ATTATTCCTTATTGATGAATAATAATTTTTTATTGCAAATGTTGGATAATTTCAGTCCAACTTCGGGAGGTTTAATTGAGAAAAGTGATTTTCTTGCTTTTTTATTTGCCAAGTTGAAAGTTTTGGACTTAGAAAATGAATATCTTCCCAAAGTTCAGACCTTTTATGAAAAGTTATGGTCAGATTATTCTGTTGGTTCTTTGTGGAGATTTGCAAAACTTGAATTTTTTGACAGCACAAAATTTTCACAAGAGGATTTCAAGTATGCAAGAGAACATGACTCCTATCCTATTGTATTAAGAAAAGTCGTCAGACATGGATATCGAATTGTTGATAAAATTCAGCATAACGATCCATTCAAACAGTATTGCAAAGCACCTGACAGTGAGTGTATTCTTTTGTAAAGCTTTGTATTCATGTTTCAGAAACAACCACAGTCTTGTTATAAACAACTTTATTGATTAGTTCGTGTGTCGTTAAGTGTTCTTTTGTTGATGAATCACCAATCTTTTTCACATTATTGAGTGTACAATATATTGGAAGCATTCTCAAACACAGTAATAACACCATTGCTGTCAAGTTTTAAGGTAACCTTTGAATTCACATCACTCGCACGTTTGGTATATTCCAGAGCTGCAACTGTTGAATAAGTATCATTCTTAGTCTCTACCACAAGAAATCCAGTGGATCTCAATAGCAACAATGGACTGGAGGCATTGTTATCGAAAGAAAGAATTGTGCTAGAAATATGGCCATTTTTTCTCACATGAATTCCATTAGTGTCAACTTGTAAGGAATAATCACCATGTTCAAGCTTGTCTCCATACTCTAGACATGATGACTTGGTGATTTGGCTAATGACATTGGTTACAAGGAATTGTTGCATGTCAGATTCTTGAGAGAACGCTTTAACATCTTCATTCTTTTTTGGAAGGAACAATTCAACCAAGGTCAACACAAATATAACAGAAGAACACAAAGCAGCTCCCAAGGAAGCAACAACTCCTTTCACTGTAAATAGAGACACTGTCACAAATACAGCCTGAATAATAGAGAATGCCATAATCATGCAATAAATAACTGCACGACCGATGTCTCCATTCTTCAGAGCAGTGGTGAACTGAATTCCAGCAATGACCGAACTGATTATGGAACCAATAAGAGTGATCATTTTAATCCATCCGTCAGGTCTTGAAATGTTATATTTGAAGCTCTTCATGCCATATCCATCAGGTTCAACAGCATTAAAGTGTCCCACAATTTTTCTCCATACTGTTGGTTGGGCAATTATGGTACCATTTGCGGCAACATAGAGATTGGTTCTGTAGTTAAAATCAATCGTTGTAAACATTTTGAAAATAGCAAATGAAGCCGACAAGGTAACCTGAATAATGTTGGTCATCAATGCAACAGTATCGAGAACTGTGTCTGGTCCTTTCACTAAGGAATAGATAGAAATTCCAAAAGAGAATAACTGAGCAGTGATACTCAATCCAACGGTAATCTTTTCAAATTTGCCTTCTGGAATCAATTTTTGCAAAGCATACTTTTTGTGATTTGCACTGTTTCCCCAATCAGTAAGTGCTTGTTGAAGAGAAGCTTGAGAGGCACCATTCATTTTGAATGAATAACAAATGAATGCAATATTCACAAGGGAGTCCAAAAGTTGGACAGAGTTAGAGACAAAGTTTACAATTGTATCGAAATCACTATCCTCTTTTGCCAAGTCTTCCAAGAGCTTGAGGAATGCCTTTCGATCTTGTTCATCTGCAACGAAAGTAGTGTTCAAGTCCTCATCCAAATAGTTATCTGGACTTGATGCAGCAGCAAATGCATTCATCATGATTAAGGTCGACAATTTCTTGGACAAGTATTCTCCTTGAAGTACAGACATTTTGGCTGTCCATTCATTGAATATTTTCTTAATCACAGAGCTGTCTTTTTGGAAGTCGGGAGAGCTCAATATATTCTTCACTATATCCATATATTCTTGCGAAGAGTAATGGTAAAACAATCGTTGTGCCCAATAGTCATAACCAATTCTTGATTGATCTTGCATGTAACTGACCACTTTAGGAACAGCCTTCTTGTAGCCATATTTATAAAGAAGAGCGTTTTGGTTTTGATAATTCACATCTTCAAGAACCTCTCTCTCCAAATAATTCTTGATTCTATGAATGTTTGGTTTGGTATTAAAACTGTCAAGAATTTCACTATGATTGCCATTAATCAACATTTTGCTAATGAGAGGAAAGGAATACTTTCTGTAAAAATCACGAACAGTGGCTTGACCAGGAAGGTTCTTCTCAGAAATTTCAAACAATTCACCAGAGAGAGGTACCTTTGTTCTTGAGAAGAAGGTTTTGAAGTAACGTTCATCCATCTTATCGAACAAGATTGTTAAGAAACCTTCTTGGGCATATTGAAGAGCAACGTCATGTTTGTCCTTCATTTGAGTGAGTGAGATCAAATCAGACAAACTCAAATTTGAATCATGTTGAACCAATTGAGTGGAAGTGTGGTCATTCAGAGAACATCCTTTCACTCTGTACTTTTTATGATCTTGATTCTTGATCAAGAATCCTGACAAAGCATCAGTAAAAGGATCAATTTGCAACTCCATATGCGAGAATTCAGTACCATGTTGACCGAATTCATTTTCAATTGATATACCACCCAAATACACCACACTGTCCACATGAACATTGTCAAGAGTAATCTTACTTGTCAATGAATTTTCCTTGTCAAGGTTGATATCGACTTTGAGAGTTTTAAAGTTGGAGTAGGTGGCTTGATCACTCTCCTTGTCATCTTGCTTGACGAAACTCTGATCAGAAAGTTGTAATTGGTAGGTACAACTGAAAGGAGAGAATACTTTGATCATTTGTCCAGTATTCAACGTCAAAATTCCAGCATAGTGGTTGAGATACTTCTTCAACTTAATGTCCACCTCATCATTCTTGTGGACAATCTCATTTGTGAGTGGCACATTTTGCAGTTCATAGGAAACATGTCCAACCTGAAGATAAGTAACCTTGTCTCCTGTCTTAATCAGATCAACAGTGTTTGGTTCAAAGGTGAGCAAGTGCAATCTTTCTGATGATGGCATTGAAGAAGTGAGAATGAATTTTTTTGTTGTGATTTGTTTTGGGAGGTGTGAAAATTTAATCCTTTCCAAAAAGAGCGCTTCATGGGTTCACAATCCGGTCCATCCATGTCATCTGATAAGAACTTACCGAACGATGATTTTTCATCAAATTTGTAATTAATTCATAGTTTTGTGATTTTATGATTTTCACACCGCGCGACCGCGCGATATTTGTTTTAAAAAGTAAAACACAACAAGAACAACAAATTAACCAAATAAATTAAAACCTGACATGTCAAAGACGACTGTTCGTCAACCCAACAATCAAATTCGGCACTCATTTAGGATTTGTTTCGTGGAGGGAATTACTTTGGTTCTTTCTCTCAGATTCAAGGTCCAGGTGCAGTGGCTGTCTTTTCATTGACCTTAATTATGTTGTTCCAGAAACATCCGACAACCATTTCTTGAGGATGATCGAATGGCCTATTATCTGCATGACAAGGAGATATACATGAATTCCACCTTTCAACAACTTTGAACAACGTGGGAAAGGATGGCTTTTCCAGTGGTAGAATAAGAAATCACACCTCTGAGTGTTTTATTGGTCACTACTTATCCATGTACAACCTTTCTGAAAATTTTCGAGAAGGAAACCATGGAATCAACATGTTCACTTGTTCCTGGTAGAGAGAATATTTTGGTTTTCTGAGGGACATTTTTCTCTCGACCCAAGGAATGCTCACAACATAAAAGAGAATGGTTTCCACCAGAGGACACCACACCAAACTTGCAAAATTAAATTCTTCTTTCCATTCATCATCTTTCTTGCAGACTCTTTGAAAAGAAACTCCAAACAACCATAGTGACCACCAAAAGCCAATTTCTCCAAAATAATTACCATGACGAGTGTAACGCCAAACTCCTTCCACTAAAACCTGACGAGTTGTTTTTCGAGTGGCCAAATGTCTGTGGAGAGTTACATCTGCTGCATGTGAAATCCAAATGCAAAATATAGAAAAGATGGCAGCCATCAAAAACATGCAAATATTAAACATCTTTGAAAAATTAATGCCATGCAATAAATCGTTGAAACGGTATTGCAACACAATGTCATGTGATTTGAAAAATAAGCTCATCAATGGAATCATGGTAATGAACACATTAATGTGGGCATTAAATGAACTCCCAAAAATGAAATGATCCAGTAAGGAATATTCCACCGAGATGTTTCTGAGGGCAACACAATTCCAAATGAATTTTTCAATAAATCATAACATTGCTTACGCAACGTTCGATATCTCCAATCCTCTTGATCTTTTGTCCAAATGTTTCCAACACTTTCATCTTGGTTGGGTCTTGAAAAGAAGTTCCTTGTTAAACGAAAAGACCACAACAATAAACAAGCCCAAATAATAACGAATTGAATGGAAAACTCTCCCTGGACAAGTGATTTTGTGCATTCAGAAAGCAAGCCATATTTCAACTTTGATGATGGAGACCATAAACCTAGATATAACTTGCTGATCATTCTCTCAGAAACAAAATAATCTATAATGAGAAGCAACAATGCGAATGGAGGAAACAGACTCCAATACGGGTCATAAATACTACTATTGTTGAAATATATGGATCCGATAAAGGTTAAGATTGTCAACAAAACATCAAGCTTTAACACGATCCAAAACATTGGCTCTTGAATGATCTGGAGATGAGTTGAAAGAATGGACGAAATGAGTGTCGACATTTTTTCAAAGCGTACTACGCTCAAAATTTGCTTTAATTGCATCGTGACTCTTTTGATGGAGTGATGAGCTCATCAGGAATGGTTAAGTAGACTGAGTTTCATACTTCTTTTCAAAGTTTATAAAAACTATTGATGCCGAGGAGGAGAATCCTATCATTAACACAAAATTTAATGGCTTTTCACAAACTCAATGGCTTTCAAAATTAGAGGATCTGATTCCCATTCATTTTGATTGCATTGTCTTCTCAAATATTCCAAATTCAGCATGACCTTTTTCAGCTCGGATGCGTTTAAAGCATTTTCCAACAATTGTTTCAGTGATGATGAAGACTTTGTATGAGTTGATTGATTTTCAATAAATGTTGCCTTTGAAAATAAATCTTCGGCAGGATCAACTTGTGAGAAGCGATATGCATTGAAATCTTTTGCTTGTTTTTGTAATGTTTCCAACACTCCGTTAGCACCTTTGCAAATAATTAACAAATCGGAATCATCTTTCACTCGAAACAATAAACGATGTGATTTGTTTTGCTCATTGGATGGACTTTTTGAAATGTTTGGTGATCCTGTTGTGTCTTGATATTTAACAATTTCAATAATTTGTTCGTTAGGAATTCTTCTCTCAAAGTCTTGATCATCGAAAATGTAAAGAGCTTCGTTTGTGATAATTAAATATCTCAAATTAGATAAACGTTCGGAATCTAAAAGGCTAATACGTGCCGAATGAAGGATCTTATCGGCACCAAAAGCATAAATACTCTTGGCAGGAATTTTCGATTCAATCAATGATTCATCAGTGGCGTGATCGGACGAGAGAATACAATCTCTTCTTTGTTGAGATGACATGTCCTCTTCAGAGGTATTCATAGGCATCATGGATGTACTCATTCTTGGGAATAGTTGTTGCTTTTGTTGATAGGAGAGAATGAGGAATATATTATGAGTGGTGTGTGTGGTACAGAGTGATGAACGAAGGAAGGTTCAACCGGTGGTAATACTGATCAAAAGGAAGCGATCAAGATTGAAAATCTGTGTAAATAAATGAACAGTGATGAAACACACTGATTGTGCAAGATATTTTTTTGAAGGGAAATCAGAAGAACCAAAGATTACAACGACATGGCGTTCTGATCATCCTGTTGACATAAATGTCTTTACACCAAATATATGCTGCATTATTTGAAATGTTAATGTTCCATGCTTAGAGTATCAATGGGACTATGAAAAACGAAAAGTAATATTTACTTTTTAAAAATCTTTCTCTCTGCAATTCCATCGACAAAGCAATGCACTCCACATTCTCCGTTCCAGTCCATCACCTTCATACTTCCAGCAGCACCTCCACAGACAAAGACAAGAACAAGGATGATAAATTCGAGGAAGTCCTCAATCAGCTATGGTTCAAGCACAAAAAACCTGAATGGCTTCCAAATAACTTTTATCCACGAGCAGATTTACTTCAACAACGCGATCAGCTGATTCAACAAGCAGAGCACCTCTTTTTCCATTACGATACAAATCGAACCTTTGCAATTTCCAAACAGGAATTCAAAATGGCGTTCCAACAATTCGGATTGGAACCAACCAAAGCCAAGCAATTAAGCCGAATTGTTCACGCAAGTGAGAATGGTTTAATTTCATTGGAAGAATTTGTGAATGCTTTCATTTATGTGAATGGAGGAGGTGAGATTTGGGAAGTCAAAGAACCGTCATCACAAGAAGCAACCAACATAGGACGTGTGACTGCAAGTAACATTTCTGATATTACCCATGAGAAGGACTTGCATCATCACGAAGATAAGGGAGGGCCTTCATCTCACATTGGATCAAACCTGCCCCTTCCTAAGAGCGATAATCCATTCAGTCATCACCATCAACAACCCCAAAAACAATTTGAGGTGCATAAGGAGCACTTCATTCCAAAAGATACTAAATATAACATGGAACAGCAGTATCCGTATCCACAGAGCTCGTTTGTTGCTGATCAGCAGGATCAACAGCAACCTTCACGAATGTTCAGCAGTGGTCATCCTCAATTGAATCCTCAACTCTCAGAGAAGGATCCAAATGCAAAGTAACCTTTCCTTTAATTATTGAAGTAGTCACAATATAAAGTACATAACCTTCATAAGTAAATCTAACGAGTCATATTCAAAGAAGATCGATTGGTTTTGGGGGAATAATTATTCATTGTTGTGAGTTACAACTCCAAGTCAACCTAGCATTGATGCACAATGACAAAACCATAAAACCAAGGGCGGTGCAATCAAAAAGTGATCCCAGCAAGGTCAACAATGATAAACTTTTCATAAGCTTGTTTTCGTCAAATTTTCCAAAAAAAGTATTTTTCTAAATTATTTCATTTGTTCAAATACATCAATTTTCTTTAACTAACTCAACAAGGAGAACCCCTTTAAACTCGTATTAATAATTCGCTCACATTACATTCAAATATAAAAACTCTTTGCCATCATTAAGTTTAAAACATTCGCAGAACATTGAACAAAGTTACAATACAAACATCAATCCATTCCACAATCATCATGATGAACAAACGAATCCCTGGAACCTACTCTTCAACATTTGGAAAAAGACCGTTACAAGATAAACCACCAACACCTCACTTTACAGATTTCGCGGACGATTTAATGTCAGATCCACCCTTATGCGCTTCTGATCTCCCACTAAACAAGGAAATCAATAGGGGTATGAAGAACATCCAGATCGACAAGACAAGAGAAGAGGATTTCAAATAGGGTATCCAAGCAAAGATCATCACCCTTTTGTAAATATCAAAAGAAAAATGTAAATAAATAGCTCCCTTGATGGAAAGGTCTGGACCCCAGAGTATCTAATCATCCTCTTCAACGAATTTCTTATTTTCGTGGCACTAGAATCATCATCTTTTACTACGATTGTTTTGTTGACCTTTCTGTAATACTTTAGAAAGATATTCGACTTCTTTCAGACTGGACAAGAGGAGGAACAACATGGAGGACCCCGCGCCAAGCTTAGAAATTCGTAAAAAAATAAATGCTTTCATCATCGATCTTTGCTCCCTCATCCTCGAATACTGGAACAGAGAATGAACTTCAACTAAGAGGTTCAGTTGCCCATCTCAATGCTCGGAAGATCGGACCTCAAAATTCAAGAAATCAAAACAACATCCATCATTCCAACAACACGGAAACTCAACATAGGCTGGAATCCTTTCAATTCGGAAAATCCAGTAGTGCAAACTCCAACAACTCAAACGCAACATTTCAAAATGAAGCTCCTCCTCCAATGAAAACTGCAATTAAGCAGCAACGACGAGGTTCTATCTCATCTCAATCACCTCTAACAGTTTTTGACATTCCGTCTATTCAAATTGACACGGCGAAAACTCCTCGAATTGAAGAGACCGTTCTAGTTTTTGAAGATGCCAGCAAGAATGGACCTCCGTCAAAATCCACATCCAATCAGACTACCACTACTTCCATGAGTCTTCCAACAACAGCTCCCACCCTTCCCGGTTCAGACAATAATTCAACACGTCAAGAAGTCGATCTTAACAATAGACGAAAATCCTTATCGTCCTCAAAGAGTCCCCTCTCAGAACCACCCGTTCAAAAAAATTCATCACACTCAAGCTCATCATCAAACTTGCTCTCTGCTCCATCATCAACAAAAAGAAGAGAGTCTGTGTTCAGCGAACAGAAAGAAAGAATCCAAGCTGCTCAAAAATATGAATATGTAATTCCCTCTCTCCTGCCACATAATCCACAAACAATCAATGATTTGTACATTCGGACATTGCATGAGAAAAATTATCGGAGCAGCACTGCTGGGTCAAATGAATCTAAATCACACAATCAAAGGGGAAAATCTAGACCTCATACCGCAACAGGAACGTTTTCTCGAAGAGGAGGGATAAAAGATGAAGATGATGATGACAATGTATTGAATTCATCTCGAATTCATATCACATCGGCAGATTTAATTGTAGATACTGGAATGCCATCAAAATCTAATTCGAAAAAGCGAGAGAATGTACCCGATAGCACAACTTTATTGGGAATTCCAGGAATAATTGCTCCTCCAAAAGGAGATGCAGGAATTCCATATAACTCGTACAAGAACGCTCCAAAATCAAATGCTGAACATTTAATTCTAAGGCATTCGAGCGAACTATTGGTAGCGGACACGCTATCTGGCCAAATAACAAGCGATTATTATGACAAATTAGAACAAGATCTTTGGAAATTCGAACACATTTCACGAGGAAAGAATCGAAATGTAATGATTACTCATGGTAATACAGTCAAATTGTTTAATAGAGGAGAACCAGTTGAAGAATTCTATAACAAATATTTGCTTTATCAGAAGGACCTTATTGAAAAACATGAAGATTTTGAGTCCATGCAACAAACAATGAAGCGAATACGTCTTAGAATGAAGCCTTCGGGATTTTCTCCGGTAAAAGCAAAAAGTCAACAAGAAACCAAATCAGAGAAAAAAGTTCTGTTTATTAAGCGCCAATCGGATGAAAATGTCAATAAGGAGCCTTTACTTTGTAATAATTTATGGGAGAGAAAGAAAAAAAAGAGACTGAAACCAATCTCACAATTTGTTCAAGAACAAGTTGGACATCATCAAAATACTCTCGCAAACGATCAACAAAACATTGCTGGTGGAACATTTTTAACCGAGGTCAATACTGCAAATCATAGTAATAGCCCAGTATTACCAAATAATAATACTGTTGCCAACTCTAATAGTGGCATGACAAACATCAATCCTTCAACACCTTCATATTCACGAACTAACTCTTCACAATGCCTTCATTTAAATAATAATTCACCTGCAGGAAAGGTCTCTTCATTTAGAGGAAGTTTTTTCTCAACTCAACCAGCCTCTCATCAAAACGTACCACTCAGTGCAAGAAGTGCCACATCGAGCATTGGAACAACTGGAACTGGTACAGGCTATGACTTATTTATTACTGATGAACAAGCCGATTATGCAGAACGTAATAAGAAAACCAAGGTTGGTCTCATTGAAACCATTAAACGGGCGAGTGGTTGCCAAGACAAAACTAAAGGAACCTATATAACGGGCGTGAATCACTCTGCTCAAAGTGGAATTGGAGGTATTGTTGCGAGATTTCCAGCTGAGGAATTAGAAGTAAGTGATGAAAGACTAAAACGAATCAAAGCAAAAGAAATGCCTCTTGACCACACTGGCTCATATCATACCATTATTGACGTTGAAGAGGAAGCGTTTGATTATGCTCCAGAGGACCTAGAAAAGGTGTTTCCACCCATCAAAATTTCAACTTTTTCAACAACAAATACAACGACACCAAATCCAGGCCTTGCTAGTGGCAATTCATCATCCAACTCCAGTACTTCTTCACTTCATGCTCTTGTAAATCATTCTACAAGTCCAAATGTCACAAGTACAAGTGTACACTCTTCAAGTTTCAAAGATAATTCATACACAGCAGGTTCATATTCAAATCCATATGGGTCCAATATTGATATTATTATTGAAAATATTAGAGCAAAAATTCAGTACAAAAATATTTCTAATATTAATGTAGACGAGCTTAATACAGAAGCATTACGAAACCAAATTGTAGATGAACAGCACGAACAAATGTTGGACGAGAAACTCCAACAATATGACACAGATTTTAAAGCAATTATTGGAGATGTTCTTAAAATCACTCAGCAAGTGACACCCAATTTTGAGACAACCACCTCAGACAATTCTACCTACTCTTCTTCATATTCTATTAAGAAACAAGCAGTAGAAATTAATGGAGAAACTTTCTACAAGACAAAAGATTTGAGCCCACGTAAAAGTGAGTCTTCATCAAACCTAAATGTAAAGAAAAAGAAGGAATTGAAAAAACCAAAAATTCGAAATGTTCCAAGTGGAACCTGGAGAAATTCTTTTATTTCATGTCAGACTAAACAACAATATGAACTTTTAGTGAAACTTGATGATCGTTCAGAGAATAGGAATGTGGTAGCCGAATCCAATGAGCATTTATCTCGAGTTAGTAGGAAGGTTATGCACAACGCTGAGAGAATGGCTCTCTATGGCGTGACTGAAAATAAGAATAAGGTTCACTCCAATGACTCTTTGTGGGATAAGGCAAAAAAGAAACTTGATATTCAAACCACCAAATTCTATCAGTCAGTACTTTTTTTACAAGAGATTGCTCGTCTTTTTAGAAGTTATTCAAGCCCCCTCACAGTCAAATCGCTTGTTATTAATCTTTTTGAATCGAATCCGCAACAAGCTCATCAAAAATCCTACATGCAAACAAAATAAGGAGAATTTTTTCTTTTCAATTATGAATCAAGTTGTGGAAGAGGCCAGAGCTATGAGCGTCAATAACATGACTCTTGAAAAAACATCTGAACCTGAAGAAACTCCTCTTGATTTATTCTTCGCCAATCGTGAAACCATTAAGGTCATTCAATTTTTTAATGCAGAGTTTGGAATTATTCATGACGAACTTTTCAATTATTTGAATCGACAATTCATCAAACAGAACAAACTTTTACTCGAATTGAAGGTAAAAATGAAACAAAAAGAAGAACAAGAAAAGTAAAAGTGAAACAACATCAATGATCCGCTTTCGGTGCATTGATCGAATGCATTTCGGTGAACGGACTTCAAGTTTTCGAATTGGATGAATTCTTCCGAGTCCTTTATGCACAAAGGACTCCTGCGCGCGGATCACAAAAAAGACAAAAAAAAGACCCAATAACAACGTTTCGTTTGGCGCATCTCGTAATGTCAGGCAAGTCCACCAACAACGCTCCGAACCTTCATCATGCTGCGTTCATTCCACAACAAGAACCCACTCTCTCTACTGCATTAATGCTAGCAGATTTGGATGACTTTCTTCCCATTACACGACAAGAATGTATTAAACCTTTTCTCCTAAACAATTCGAATAACAACAACACGAAAAACGAGCATTCCAGTCTTTCATCCGACTCCCGAAACACCGATTCCTCCAGCAATACCAATGAAGGAGGAGTCGCTTTGGTAGGAGTGGTTGGTGCATCATCAAAAACAAGCAACACAAGAAGGACCAATAGGTCGAAATTTCAACAGCAAACAACCAACAATAACACATTCTCGGAAACATCAGAACCAAAGAAAATAGCCAAAATTGAACTTGCTGATTGTTTAGCATGCTCAGGATGTGTAACTACAGCCGAAAGTGTGCTAGTCAATCAACAAAGTGTCGAACAATTTTTGAACGCGTTGAATGAAATGAATTTATTTTCTCCCTATTTGACTCATTGTCATCATCGTGATAACAACAAGGAAATACCTCTGAATATTAATCTTTCAAGTCTTAGTGACAAACAGATGCACAGCAATATGGGATTTACAAATGTTTCAATGGAAATTACTAACGATTCTCGGAAAGAAGAGCACAAAGATTCTTTGTCTGAAATTCTCTCCTCATCCTCATTCTTGAAGCTACAAAATAATGGCAAGAAAGGTACTACCATTTCTCATCACGATGATGATACTGCTCATACGTTGAAAAAACAAACTCTATTCTTTATGACCATTTCACAACAGAGTGCAGCTTCCTTGGCATCGTATTATCAATGTGAATCTGTGAGAGATTGTCTCAATAGACTTTCCTATCTTTTCAAAACTAGGCTAGGTGCCATTGCTGTTTTTGAATGCTCTTCTTTGGCAAGAATGGCTTCACATTTGGAACTTTGTGAAGACTTTGTGAGACGATACAGAGAAGGAAATTCCAAATTACCACTATTCGCTAGTTCATGCCCTGGTTGGATATGTTATGCAGAAAAGACACATCCTGAAATTTTACCACACATTTCAACTGTTAAATCTCCACAACAAATTATGGGAACATTTGTCAAGAAGTTTATTAAGCACCATATTTCCGCAAGGTATCACATTGATGATTTTAATATTTATCACACAACAGTCATGCCATGCTTTGATAAGAAACTTGAAGCAAGTCGTCCAGATTTTACGAATGATCCTTTCGATAAGGTTGATATGGTCTTGACGAGTAGTGAAATCACAGAACTCTTGAAAAAACAATTCCAAATTGATAGCCCACAAGATTTTTACTCCCTTTCTCAATTTGATTCGAATGATCTTGCCTTGGATAATGTGTTTGATGTTTTACAAAGTTCACAAAGCAGCATGTTAAACGATAATATTTATATGGAAACAAGCAATGACATGTTGGACCTTTCTCTTCTCGAATGGTTGAGCAGCGAAAGTGACGCCACAGGTTCAGGAGGATATTGTGAAATTTTGTTTAAATATGCTGCAAAAAAACTATTCAACATTGATATTAGAAATTCAATACTCAAATTTGAAAGTAAGAGAAATAGTGACTATAGAGAAGTTGTTCTCTATGATCCAAACACGACCGATCAAAATCAGAAAGTTCTCTTGAAATTTGTCATTGCGAATGGATTTAGAAATATTCAAAATTTGGTGAGAAGAATGAAACAAAGCACAGATTTATCTGACGCATTCCATTTTGTGGAAGTCATGGCATGCCCTATTGGATGTCTTAACGGAGGTGGACAAGTGAAAGCAAAAACACCTCAATTATTGACGCAATTACCACATACATCCATGATGAACGATAAAACAAGCTCTGCACCATTAGATCAACAAGATTTGTCACTCACCACCACCCTCACACCCAAACAACATTTATCTCAAACAGAGAGACTTTATCGAGATGATATATCTCATTTGAAAATTTCATCTCAAAAAGACTCAAGATCTAAAATGTATTTAGCATGGTTGTATAATACATGGATTCAAGGAGGCGTTGGCTCACTCCAAGCTCAGAAATATCTCCATACAACCTATCATGCTGTGGAAAAGATGAACATGATTTCAGCCAGTGCTTTGAAGTGGTAACAAAGTTGTTGCTGCCTCATCGAGGTCTGTACTGAGGTGTCCATGCTTATTCGAATAGTGTAATGCTAAGGATATCATTAGCAATTTTGGTTTAGACTCAAATATTCCTTTCAGGGTGACAATAATTGAGCTTTTCATGACCAACCATGAGAACCAAACAGAATGCAAACGCACACTCCATCAAGAATATCCACTTCCATAAAAAGAATACAAATTTTTGCGTCACCTTTAAAAAGTTTGTGAATTCCAATTAATTGTTGTGAAAGAATCTCTCAGAGGCTCTTGTAAAGGTATTAATAAATGAGAAATATTTTCATCCTTCAAAAACAAGTTTCCACTGCTGCTTGTGCTGCTTTGATCGTTCTTTTTCGTTGACAGCAGCGTAGTTGAACTAGCTGCTTGCTTCTGTTGGCATCATCAAAAGACAATAAGCAGAAGAAACTATTTTGCCACTGTCCAGAAGACAGTGCCCAAATCACTTTACAAATATACATTCTGTCGATCACAACATGACATCATTTTCAAATTCAATATCATCAGCCCCGTTCAGCAATAATCCTTTCCCAAGAGATGATTCTTTTCAGATCTCGATCAATTCCTTCACTCTCTCAACAATTTTGAGTCAAATGAATGTGACATGTGGTCACGCTCATTCTTCATCAATTTCTCAAACTCCAACTCCTCTTTACCATCAACCTTCAAGTAATACCTTCCAGAGTTATGTCAACAACAAGCAGTCTTCTCAATCCGTTACTCTATCTTCATTTTCAAGTGTGATGGATGCGGAATCCTTCTCATTTTCATTCCGCTCAACTCATCATCGTCACTTACATAACAGTTGTAGCATCAACAACAATCACCTCGTGTTTCCTCTCGTTCAAAAATCACCAATTCCAATCTCTCCGAAGCCATCACACCATCATCATCACGACAAAAGTGGAAGTGGCTCTCTTCTTCTTCCTGATATTAAATGTCCAACTCCACTCTCTCAACTTTCACTTTCATTCACAATTCTATTAATTGTGATTCAAGACCTTCCTTGTTGTGATGATGGGAAAGATGTTGCAAGAGAACATGTCGACTCACAATCATCATCCTTTCAGCAACATTACAAATACACACAACATGTTCAACTGTTAGACGTGATCATTGAAAAGCAAAAATCATTACGGCAGCTTGGTGTTCTGCCCGTCCTTGTATTTTCTGATAAATCAAGTGAGGAAGAATGTTTCATCAATAGGAGTCAATCTCACATGTTTCGAATTGTGGATGAACAGTATGAATTGACAAGACAATTAATTGACCTTGTTTTGGAGGAAGAGGTGCATTCCAATTGTGTCTCTATGAATTCAAATCATGAACCTCAACAACAACATCAACAACAACACGCATCGACACCGTCACAACAGTTTCTGCATCCACAGCAGACAGCTCAACTTAATCATCATTCAACAACTCCCAGAAAAGGTCATCCACAGCCATCCTCTCACAAACACATTTCAGAATTTCCAAACACAACAACTCACTCCATGATGAACAACACATGTCACAATAACGTTGGAAGGGAAAGTCATTCAAAATTATTACCTAAATTGTTTCTCATTCGTGACGGCAAACTTGTTTTCCATTGGGACGAGAGTACAATGATGGACAAGAATGATGTAATTGGAAATGTCCTTTCGACCATTGTGTTAAAACTACCTCAATGTACCATGTCAACAGAAGATATCACATTATCCGATGAGAATGAAACCAAAGGTGTAATAATTAATAATGGAAGCAACCTTAATTCGAAATCGTCTAATGTGAGTTCAGAAAAGATAAGTCCTTCGAATGTGTCATCCTCTTCAAATCACCAGCAAAATTACATTGTTGTACCCACTGGAATGTCACTTCAGGATGCATTTGGAGTATTGACAGGGAGATGCAGTGCTCGTTCTCATTCCAATGGTTCTGCAAGCGGTGGTGGCGAAGAGAATCATTTTCTAGGTGCTGTCCAAGTGGAGGAACCATTTGCCACTCTTGATTACAACATGGGAAAATCCATTCATTCACCTCATCATCAGCTACTAATGCAAGAGAATTGTCGTGACCACAATAGTTTTGAACAAACAGAAAATGCGGCTGACTCGACCAATCCTGTCTCAATTTCCCAATTTGTTTCTGAGATGTTCGATACCAGAGATGATGAACATCAACCAATAGAGAAATCTTCCAGTGTCAAGAAGCATCATGCACCTCTCTCTTCAAATTTATCGTCATCGATAGGCACAACTTCTCGTCACACATGTCAAACCACAGTTTTGGAATCCTCATCTCCATCCATTCAGTTACAATTCTCTCACAACCATGAGAACAACAAATACAACTCGAATGCCTCAATACTCCCATCCCCAGCTTCTGTTCATGACACTCCCTTACTTGGAAATTCAACAAAAATTGACAAAAATTTTCAACAAAACCACTTGTCGACGAGTTCACTTTCTGTTGCTCTTGTCGATTCGAATACCTCCTCTTCAACTCTAATATCTGGAAATCATGCCACTGATATGTCAACCTCTCAGCACCACTGCATTCCAAATACGAGCTCTCTTTCTCTCAACACAGAAACACTCACTTCATCATCAAAGGCTAATACTCCTCCTACTACTAACATTTCTGCTGAAATTTTAATGCAACGAAAACGATTTTCTCTTTTTAGAAAACTAAGGGAAAAATTCCAAGTGGAAAAAATTGAATTGGAACAGCAACGACTCGAACGAGAAATGCAACTCTTGAAAAGTGAAAAGAAGAAAAAGAACCATTCAGAAATGAAAGTGAGAGAGAGTCCATCAAAAAGATCCATCTTTGCCCTTTGTTTTGGTTTCTCGAAAGAAGTTATTGATGATGAAACCTCTCCTCTTTCACGCCCAAGTGTCGAAAAATCAGCTGCAAAAGGAAATGTGTATCTCGATTCGTATGAGCAATCCATTTCTGAAATGTATCAAATTATGCATGACGATATGAAACGACAATATTTCAAGTTGTATAGTTTGAAACAATTCAACGCAGAGAATTTGCTCTTCTACGAGGATGTGAAACTCTTCTACAAGAAGATTGTCTTAGAACTGAAAAAGCCATACATGACACTTTTCACTTCTTCTAAAAACACGTCCATCCAAAAGAATGATTTAATCCATGACACTTCATCTAGCAGCAATAGGCAATCGTCATCCACAACAACCGCAACCACGAACACAACAAAAGTTACACACTCAATCTCTCTTCTTGATTCCACCTCAACAGCTCCATCTTCTACAAGAAAATCCAAATTTCCAAGTATTGGCTTTGCTTCGAAACGATCTCAAGCACCATCTGCTGGAGGCTCTTCTCCTTCTTCTCACTCCAAATCTCTTTCGAGTACCTCCATCATTGAAACAAAGAGTCGTTTTGGCAGACAAGCATCACCTTCTTCTTCTTTGGAAACAGCAGCTTCTCACCAATCCTTTGCATTCACTCTTCCCAAAAACTCTGAACTTGTTCAAGATCTCTATGAGAAGATATTCAGAATGGCCGAATACATTGCTCTCAAGTATTTATTCGATCCTGAAAGTGTCTATTGCCTTAATACAAGCAACAAATTAGTGGAACAAGTGAAACAGAAAATGAAATTGCCGTGTTGGGATTTCATTGATCAAGCCGATCACTTGTTTGATGAAGTTGTGAGTGAATTGGTGAAAAGTGTGTTGCCTGACATGTTCTTCCGTTTTGTGCTCTCAACTGAATACATGGAGATGCAAGAACAGACTTTGCCTTTTGAATTGTTTTCTTCGGAATCATCAAAACCATCCTCACAAGCCTCCAATAATATTCATGAAACAGCACAACATATATCACTTCTCCGATCGAATATTAGTAATTATCACTTGTTATCCAAATTGAACCTGAGTGGTTTGCAACAACCATGGAACCATCCGACAATTATTACGCAACATCAGAGGTTGAGTGAGGAGTTCAATAACAATTTGGCAGCGAATTGTTATTACTCTCCACTAGGAAGAATATCCTCTGAGATTAGACCAGGCTATTTTCATTCATCCAATTCGCATCAATAATAATAACTCATATGAAGAATCGAATGCGCATACATCATCCTCGCTGGAGGGCAGCCACTCAACCCCGAATTCAATTCTTTAAGAGTGTTTAACGGTTTTTAAAATTTGAAACGTCTTCAAAAGAAAAACCGTTACATTCCGTAAATTTTAAAAAAACTCAAAATTAAAAAAACTCAACCTCCACTTTTTGCTGTTGAATATAAAGGACAGCCTTTTTCTGCGTGGTTTCCATTGAATCAAAACAACAACTCAATCCTCATCATCATCATCAAGTACAGACATTACCCGACACATCATGAGCACCTTCCTTCCACCAAATACCATTCAACGAATTTCGAGAGAAATTATGGACTTGCAAAAGAACAAGATTGACGGCATTGAAATTCTTACGTATGACCCGGTTCGAAATGTTGACTTGCTGAGCGATCTCAGCGAGATATACGCTTGTATTGATGGCCCACAAGGTACTCCTTTCGAATCTGGCAAGTTTGTGGTCAAATTGGTCTTGGACCAAGAATTTCCAACAAAACCTCCAAAAGGATATTTTGTCACCAAAATCTTCCATCCAAACGTTTCTCCAAGAGAAGGTGAGATTTGCGTGAATACATTGAAGCGAGACTGGAAGAGTACATTGGGTTTTAAACATGTTCTAATGGTCATTCGATGTCTCATGATTGAACCAAATCCAGATAGCGCTTTGAATGCTGAAGCTGGTCGTTTAATTCAAGACAACTATGAAGCGTATGCCAATAAGGCCAAAATGTTCACTGACATTTATGCCAAGCAACAAGGTTTGTCATCTCCTTCAGCCACCGAAAGCAACAACATGGATACTCAATCTCTGAACAAGACCTCTTCATTCACTCCATCCACTCCTAGTGACGACTCTGACGTCAAGGAAAATCTTTGTAACAACAACAACACTCCACAATCACTTCCTGTTCCAAAGAAACCATTGCTCCTCAAAAAACCAACTTCTTCCACCACTTCCTCAACCACCTCAAAACCTACAAGCCTAAAGAGACTTTAATTGGAGCGAGTTTTCAAATTTGTAGATTAGCACCCCGTGGATATTACGACATTTTGTGTAAAATTGTCAATTCTCATATCCAAACACTTGGTTTTATGGAGAGGTCAATGACAATAGATCATGTGATCCATGATTACTGAATTCTAACAAGTTGAACGTCTCTGAGTAGTGGAATTACATGTAATAAGAACCGATTTCAAAGTCATTAAATATGACCATTGTTTCCAATCGATACTGAATATCTCAAAAGCTTTTCATCGTTTCACGTCAACAAATTTTTTTTTGATTTTGGATGGACTTGCCTTACCAAAACGAGCGTTGACTTTTTCAGGAACAGCTTACTGATAAAAAGTGTCAGCACACTCTCGAAATTTGACACCAGACATGCGCAACATATTGTCAGCAGAAAAGCATCTCCAAGATCGATCATTTGCACAAAAAATGTCTCGAGCAATGATTGAGCCAACAGCAACAACGACCACCACAAACGATCGTAATACCCACCATTCTTTACTTGTGGACATTCTCACATCACAGAGCAATAATGAAGCTAACATCAATCACCAAAGATCGACAACCGTGACGTCGACTCCTCCTACCATTGATCCGTCTTTACATCCACAAGAACAAGAACAACAAGAACAACAACAACGAGAAGAACCAATTCTTCAAGTCATTCTTCTTGGTGATCGAAATCACATCATCAAACCAGCAATTTTAAGCACACAACTTTTGGAAAACGATGCTTCCTTTATTGAATGTTCTGAAAATGGAAACAATCTTTCTTCTCGCAGTTCAAATCCATCATCACAAAGTGAGCATCAAGGAACAAAGCTTGATTCGCACAATTCAACAACACGTCGACCTTATCATCATCATCGAGGAACCTTTCAAGTCTTGGGATCTGCAGGAGAACCAAATCGGGTAAATTCCAATACGTCACTTGATTCCAATTCTTCATCATCTTCATCATCGAATACAGATTCTGTTGTGGAAACATTTTCACCACCCAGCAATGGAATACCTCAAATCCGATCTCCCAAATCTCTCTCCAATTCGACGATCTCTCCATATCACCACCATCATCATCAGCACAATCAACAACACCACCACAACAAACTCATTTCAACTTTAACCATGAATTTCAACCCCAATGCACCTTCAGGAAATGCAATCTTACTTTTTGCACAAAAACAAACCCTTTTCGAATCCATCATTTCTAAAAAAAGTTCTAGCTTGCCGGAATTTACGTCACACATGCACAGTGACGTTCTGAGCTCAACAACGGTCACCGACTGTGATGAATGGAGTGGAAGTGAGAGTGGTTATAATGATTCATTATACATGACTCGAAATGTGAATACTGTAAATATTCAAGACTTGATTCAAACGAAGAAGACAAACATGTTGGACTCAGATTTCGTCTTGATTGAACATTTGAAAAAAGTCAGAACAAGATATCAAGCTCTTTCGGAGCGTCTTATTGAATCTGAAAGTCTTTACAATGGAAGTGATGAGAATGGAAGAAGAATTTCTTCACCTTCCAATTCTCCTCAAATGTTGTCAGTCACATCACAACAATCTCAACCTCAAATGGTTCATACATTATCACGACCAACTCATGTACCCTTAGAATCTTCCTCCTCTTCACAAGCAACAACAATTACCTCAGGAACGTTGTCAACACTTGAAACATTTATGAAATCTTTCAATTCAACATGTCTGGAATATTGTCAAGAAGAATTGAAATTTCTCTATACCATTCTGTCATCGACAATTGAAACAACATCGAATCATGATTCCCCTTCCATCTCATTATCTTTTTCAACACCCTCAAACCCATCCTCTCATTCATCTCATTTATCAACATCCCTTCCAATTTACATTTCCTGGAATTCATTGAATATCGATGAACTCAAATGCAGTTGTAATGTATTGAAAAAACTCTCAGTTCTTCAACACGATTTCACAATCACTGAAAAGATGTTTCTTGCGCAAAATTTAGCACTTCCAGATTGTTTCAATTACATGTTATTAGACAATCCTGAGAAATCACTCATTGAGCAAAATAAGGCAATTGGTAAACACAAAATGAATTACAGTATTGACAGTGATGAAAGCTCACCAGAGACAATGTTTCCATCTGAAAAGAAGAAGAAGCTTTTTAATTGGTTTGGAGGATCAAAGAAGAAGCAGCAACAATCATCTTCGACCGGTCGTGGCAACCCAATCACTGACAAGTCTACTTATTTACAAGTATATATTGTCCTGTTGGAAGTTGCAGATTCTCATTTAATTCAAATTCCACCTGGATCTGAACATAATTTATTTAGGTAAGTTTTATTATGTGTTGTCGTTATTCTTTTCAAATTGTTGAACTCTATCACATGTTCATTGAATACAACATGTCACACCACCACAATGACACATGTAGATCTGCCATTGCCATTGGTAACTGGTTATTAGAATGGCATGAATGTTCTCTCATTGTACCATCTCGCAAGAGTCCCCATGGCACTCGTCTTAATCATTGCTATCATTACATTCCTCTTCGTAAAATTGAAGGAGAGAATGTAGAGAAAACTCTGATCAAAGTCTCCAATTTATGTTGTCTATGGAATGGTAATTTTGTGTATGATTTAAAGAATTGTAATCATCAACATTTTGTGAGAGATGTTCTGGAAATGTTGGAATCTGAAAACTTGTTTTCACCATTGCCTGTCACAGCCACTCAAGCTTCTTTTGTACCTCCATTGCCACCAGTGGGAATTACAAATCCATTGTTGTACAACTCTACTTCGAATCCAATCCAAATTGGAAATGCACATCGTGACCATCATCACCATAACACATCTGAAACGACGACTCCAATTAGACTTTTTGGAACAAGTGTGGAAATGCTTTTACATCGAATTCAACGAGATGGTTATTCCTCACTTGCCTTTTATATGAACGATAATGTGAAGGAAATAATATATGGAAAGAAAAAGAAGAACTCAATCAACAAAACAAGCAATAGTGTTGTTGGATCGACATCTCCAAAACTTTCTGGAGTGGTTGCTTCTCCTCCTCAATCATCATCGACCTCTACTCGTGCTTCTTCTAAATCGACCTATTTAACGGCGACCACTGCGACAACGACAGTCGTGTCCACATCCTCTTCACCTCCAGTTATGAATGTAGAATCTTCTATTGCTTGTGACATGTCTTCTCCACAATTGTCATATATCAACAAGAATGGTATAAGTAACGCAAACATTTTCACTTGGAATGAAAAAGATTTTATTACAATTAAGGAACATCGAGATGTGGATAATCTCTTTTTTCATATTAAGAACGCTTTTGGTCCAGGCAATGATTACTTTAATAGCTTCGAAGGCCAATGGGATCGTTGGTTGTTGCAATTATTTGACAGAAGTTTCTGGGTTCGTGTCGCACAATCCAAAAAACCAGTGGATAGAAACAGTAAGGATTATCCACTGACCAAACAGAATGCACGATTGACTCTCGATAAAGAGTCATTAGAACAGCTTTGTCAATCTAAGCACGCCACAGAAAAAGGAAATGTGCTCGTTCATTGCAAGGAAGAAATTAATTGTCCATTCAATCCAGAAGCATTATCTACCGTCGAGGTAGATTTGATCAGCAAATTGGCCGATAGTTCTTCCTTAGGTGAGTATGAACCTTCACTGCCCTATCGACGACATTGGGTTACTCCCAATACCAAGATAAATAACATTAACAAATAAACTAAGAAATTCAAATTTGGTTATGATGCATTTCTGACCCGTCAAGAAACAATCTTGTAGATTTTTATCTCATTTAGGGTGGAGAAGTTCAGTTCGTCAACAAATTTATTCCCTACTATTTTTCGGAGCAGTATTGTGCTCGTTGGTTACACTTGCATCACCATCCTTATGAAAGTTCAGTTGCGCATCACTGACTTTGTGGCATTCAGTATCTTGTTTCTTCACAAGATACATTTCATACTCAATTAATTTCCACACAAAATCATCAATTTCATCCTTAAAGACTTGCGCTCGTTGAAGTTCCTTGTCTGCATCATCCCACATTCGACATCTTCTGAAAAGATCAGTTAAAATCATTTCTTCTGTTCCTTTTTGTTGAACAAAAGGAATTGACAATGATCGGCACTTTTCAAACCAATAAATTGCCTTCTTTCTGCATCTTACAGCATTGTTCAAATGTTTCTCTTCATTGAACTTGTCATGAATAACTCCGTCATCGCAAACCCAAGCAGCACGAAGAGATGCCCATCCACTTGCTGCATAATTTCCAAATCCCTTATCTTGTAAGATTGCATAACACAAGAAAGTATTCGCCAATCGAGACAATGAACTATCATGCAATTGCTCAACATAATCATCGGATTCAATAATTTCTTTTACCTTCTCCAAGGAAACGCCTTCACGACCTTCATCATTCTCAGGCAAAACACTGATATCATAAGAAACATAACCACAATGCTCACATCTTTGTAACCAGCAATTCATGGTATCTCGTTTCATGGGAGGAGGTCGTAAATCAAGATCCGAACCTCCCATGCTATTGGTGGAGATCAAAATATCTTGTTTTGATTTCTTGGAGCAAACAGCACAGGTAACGTGTTCCGAGGTAATATTGGTCATTTGTGGATGAGGATCAAGAGAGTGAATGTGATGTGATGAATGAAAACTGCAACTGTGCAACTGTTGGATTCAAGGCCTATATAAAACCAGACTTTGAATGATGAACAAGATAAACCTTCAAAGTTTAAATATTTTTTTAGATGAAAGAATTGCGCTGTGATGATCTAATTCGGAATGTATCTTCCAAGTTCATTCCCTTTGGATCTGAATCCAAACAACATGACCGAGAACATTGAGCCCCTTCCAAACATCTTTAAGCCACCTCTTCATCCTTCATTCCAGTTCTAACGCCTTTGATGAGGACTATAAGAGAGTTTCAAATTTTCCAAATTTGAAACTAAAAAAATACTCATTGCATTGATTGTCATCTCGTCATCTCATTGAATATTATTCATTGATAATAACAAAGAGAATGCCCCCAAATGTTGTTTTAGAAGAAGTGATTCATCATCGTGATGATGAAGAAGAAACGAACACACGAGCGAGAACCTCTCCTCGGAATCGTCATCATCATCAACAACAACATCCAATGGTTTTGTCTTCTGCTGCTACTACTTCCACTACGGATCATGAGGCTCCTTCTTCCTTCACTTTAGCCCTTATAAAATCACATCCGAGAAAATTAATGCTCTATTGGTTGAGTTGTGTGGTGAAATTTACTTTTGCAATTATTGTCTTTGCAGTGGCAATTAATACATTTGTGGCTTTAGGAGATGTGGACGAATTGGAAAAATATGATAAAGCCTTGTCAAGTAAATTGACGGCATTTATGGTGGGAGTTTCATTATTACATTTATTCACAGGAACGGTGATGGTAATAGGATCGGTGTGTGGAATAGTGGCTAGTTTATATCCAGGTAGTAAGCCGAGTAATGTTGTGAGTGACAGCACGGGTTTGTCCATTCATGGCTCCGGAGCTGCTGTTGGAGATTATGGACAAAGTTTGGGAAGTGCTGTCGATCAGGCAAACAGAAACTTATGGAATCCAATTTTTATTTCAAGAGCTTTGAAAACAGCAAATTTGCGTTATTATTGCAGTATTGTTTGGTTGGTGTGTTCAGTGTTGACAATATTGTTTCAGGTATGTGTTGACAGTGCCTGGTATTATTATTGGCGATTATGGCATGTATTTTCACATTTCTAATATTCGACGATAATTGACATCACGCTTTGTGAAACCAAATATATTCCAATGACCTTAATTGAAATTTTTTAATTGGATCACAACTTTTTCAAGGTTGGAAGAACGATTTTAGCCAGTGTTGGTGTTTCTGTCATGCACATCATGATTGAGAGATTCAAGTCCATGCCAGAGTTAGATGTACAGACAGATGTAATCATTTTGATTTTGACCTCGGTGATTGCACTCGCTGCCTGCTCTCCATTTATTGTGTTGAGTTTTATTGCGACTAGAAGAATTAGGGCCTACAAAAAGGAACTCGAAAAACAACAAGAATTAATTAAGGAATCCGTTATGGATGACATGGACTCCACGGATTTCGAGCTGAACCGATCAGGAACATCTGTATAGATTTAATTATTATTGTTTTACTTGAAAATGAATTTTTTAAATTATTGGTAAGTTTATTGAAAAAACTTGAATGTGAATCTTTAATATTTACAAACACTGTGTTAAACAACCATAACAACAATGGTCGTTTATTATTTATCTCACTACATGTCTAAAAGTTACATTCAATCGTACTCCCTGTACATTTTTTCTTTTTGGAAGTGCATGTTGATAATTACGTTGTGTCTGATAATTCATCACCACCATTGACCCATTCTCGAGAGCCTTTGTGATAATTGTATTCTTGTTTCTCTTTTTTCCATCCCTAGAGGACGATTCAGATTTTTCAGACTCATCACTCTTAGTGTCATGTTTTTCAGGAATTGGCCTGAATTGAAAATCTCGAACCGCTCCCAAGGAAATAGACACAATCGATGAATTTTCAGCCAAATCCTTCTCCTGATCAGAATGCCACATAATGGAATCTTGACCACTGTCATATCGATTAATTAAGGCGAATGTGAATTTCTCTCCTGTGAAGCTTTCAACCTTTTCCTTTAGCGCAAGTAATTCTTCGGGCCACTCATTATGTGTTGGCCTTCTGTGACGCTGTGAATAATTTCCTTTTAGTTTTGAGACATAATTTGTTTCCCCAAATGCTGAAATTTTTCTAGGCGATAATATTTTCTTTCCAAATATGTTGTATTCATCTCGTTCCCAAGTACATGCTTGCATAAGTTTATCAAATAATTGTTTTGCTTCAGTTTTAGAGAGAAAATTTGAAACGTATTTTACTTTAGCTCCATTCGTATCAATGTCATTTATGAGATAGATGAAATTAGCAGCAGATTCTGCTGTTTGTGATGTGGAGCTGTTTGTAGTATTTGTTGATGTGAGCAATGTAGATGATGATACGTTTGAAGTCTTAATAGGAATACTATTTTCAACTTTTTTCTTTTTAGATTCCGATTTGATGAGATCAAGAATAGTAGTTTGTTCTTTTATTCTCTTCATTTGATGTTTACTTTGTTCTTTTTTCAATTTTTTGTTTCTAACAATTGCTATTAATAACAAAGTGGCCACACTGATGCGCTTATTTATTTCACTTGACAAATCATGTGAAGTTGGTGATGTTCGAGTGTCTGCTCGAACTTCAAAAATATTCCTCAAAAACTTGATCCTGCCATTTGTCACAAGATGGATCCACTTAATAGAGAGGTGAGACGAAAGTGAACGGTTCTCTTCTGATCACAACAGTTATCAAAAAATGTCACCATCAGATTCCTCACCAACACCACAAGTCATTCATTCTGACTCGGATCCTATGATCTATCAACACATCTCTCCATTCTCATCACAGGCACAACCTGGAAAGATCTAATCCTCGAAAGCGCTGGAGGATCTCTCTTTATTCATGAAATCATCCCTACTTGGATGTTCACTTTCTCCTCAATGATTTGTATGTTGTTTCAAAACCAATAACAAGGCTCATTCAACAAGTTCATCCGATGGTGGTCGTTAACCTTTCAAAAGTTTTGTTATCTTCTTCGGTTCGGATGAATCAAAAAAGGCCACAGAGTATTACTCACGTCGTTGCTCAGGACCCAATTTCCACTCCGGCCACCTGTTCAACATTAAAAGCAGTCCATTAGATCAATCTTGGTTATGTGGACGGAGTTTAGATAGTAGGGTAATGGTACTAGACACCGATTGCCATCGATTTAGTTAAATCAACACTTTGAACAAAACGAACCAAGCACGTAAATTATTGAAAAAAATAGCAATTGCCACAAGCAAGAGATATTAACATTAAAAAATCAGATGGAACAGCAACAGAGTGAAAAAATTGCAGCATTAGAAAAGAAAATCATAAATCTACAAAGACAATTCACAGAAGAGAAGAACCAATTGGAAAGGGAATTTTTGTCTCAAAAAGAACAATGGTTTCTCTCAAGAAAAGAATTAGAAATGCAGAACGAAGATCTCAATAACCAGATTCTTAAATTAAGAATTGCTAACAATCATGCGCTCGTCATCAACGATTTTACTGGAAATGGTCCAAAATCTGTAGCAGAAACCTATGTGAAAGTCAAATCTGATCTTGAGGTGTTTGTGTCAGAGTTTGACATCCCAGAAGAGGATGAGCTTCAGTTAGAAATTACTCTTTCCACAAGTGTTTTTAAAGAGCTGCTTCCTATGATAAGAAATTATGTAAACGGCGAACTGGAGGATGATAAAATTGGTCAAATCATAAAGTCAGATGAAAGAACCAGAAAGCAACTAATCGAAAACACACAACAAGGGTTAACTGCTCAAATACAATTGGAACTGCAGCGCTCCGTTTTAGAAGAGAAGATACTCATCAAATTACAAGAATTGAGTGAGAGGGTGGTCACATTTTTGACAGACATGATGGTTTGTGACAAACATCTTGAACTTGTTTGGTGTGATAGAAATGACGAATATAATCCAAGGGAGCATACTTCTATCAACTTAATAGACAAGGTGGTCATAGATAAAGCTTTGTATCCTTGTTTAATGATGCCTTCATCAAGAAGTGTTTTTGAAAAAGCTAAAGTGATCACCAAAGAGAACAGAGAAAAGAAAAATAAACATTAATGTCAAAGAAGATTATTAAAAAAAATGTCCTTTTTAGGTTGGTTGTGGGGTGAAAGCAATGCTAAACGCACTGTTGAAGAAGCAAACAAACATACAAGTGGCTCTTAAAGAATGGTATGCGTTGTCAAGAAGCGGAGGAGAATGTTTGTCGAACCATTAAAACCTTTATCAATTTCAAAAGAGCAAGCGCCCTTATTTAAAGGAGATTGTCGTTTTCTTCCACCGTTCGCTCGTGGCCAAAGATTCGAGATCTTCTCTGCCAATTCCATTGTAACCCAGATTCAAAGAAGTCAATTTCTTCAAGCACTCACTTGTGGCTATATATTTGACTCCTTCATTGTCTATTCTATTGCCATACAGATCCAAACAAGTTAAATTCTTCAATGATTCACTTGTGGTAATATATTTTACACCTTCAACACCAATTTGATTGCAACCCAGATTCAAAGAAGTTAAATTCTTCAAGCCTTCACTTTCAGAGATATATCTAACACCTTCATTGCCAATTCGATTGTAACCTAGATCCAAATGATTCAATTTTTTCAAGTATTCACTCTCACTAATATATTTAACTCCTCCCCCGCCAATTCCAATGTTATACAGACCCAAAGAAGTCAAATTCTCCAAGCATTCACTTTTAGAGATATATTTAACACATTCATCACCAATTTGATTGTTACTCAGATCCAAATGATTCAATTTTTTCAAGTATTCACTCTCGACAATATATTTAACTCCCTCATTGCCAATTCTACTTAAACGTAGATTCAAAGAAGTCACATTCTTCAAGCATTCACAACCAGCGAAAAGTTTGATTGATTCAACATCTTGTGTGAAGTAATTGTGTCCGAATGATAATGAGAGAGGAATTTGAAATGATATACGTCTCCATTGCCTGGAAATTTTCATGCAACTTTGAATGATGAAGAATGAATCATGAAATGAAGAATTTCAAAAATTATGTCATCAATGAATGGTCCATTGATTTCGGTTGAATTTGTCTGAGAGGAATCATCGTTTTCGGAGTGATCATTGATCATGGTTGATGATGATGAATTTGCTGCTTCAACAACACCACCTTCGACCGATGGTGAAAGTTTTCTCTTTTTAGCGGCACCAATATTTATAATTGTCGGAAGAGGAAGAACTGATAAACGATATTTTTTGCATCAATACAAAGAACAACGATGCTGCACCTTTTCTTCAGAACACATTCACACACAACAAAAAAATGAAAAGAGTTGATACAGAAATTTCAAACGAACAAGAGGAAACGAATTGTCCACTCTTCTCAGCGAAAATATAGGGGGAAGTCAAGAAGTATTTACAGAGGAAGAATTATTACACGAGTTAGATAGTGAGGTCTGTGAAAGTGATCTCAATAAGATTAGTTTACCTAATCACAAACTATCAAATACCAACCAAGAAGAGGTTTTCAGTGCAAGACATTATTGAAATGATACAAAAGTTTGGAAAAAACACAACGATACAACTTGAACACAAAATTTCCCTTACAAGTCAAGACATTACTCTATTAACACCTATCATTGATCAAATCGATTTTTCGTCATTAGAGGTGATTGTTGATGGATCATCTACTGAAGCATTAAGCTCATTTAAAGTGAAAACTCGTTCTTTGAAAGTCTGCCACTCCAGTACAGATTCCAATCATAACGAAAAGAATTTTCTTCCTCAAGCAAGATCTAATATTTGTGAAACGTTGGAACTGTTCAATATTAGAGATTTTTATTGGAATCAAAGTTTTACCACTTTGAACCTGTTACCGAATTTACTGTATTTAAAGAAACTCGTATTGGAAAATTGCAAAATTTCCATTTCACAACAATATGGTGAGACTGATCATGTGAAGTTTTACATGCCTAGCCTCAAAAGTGTGACATTGAAAAATTGTGTGTTCCGTTTGAAACCATTTCAAGGACCACTAACGAGATCATTTTAAATGAAAATAACTCTCGCTTCATTCTCATGCTTCAAATTCCCAATGCCTTAGAAGTCAATTTAATGAACATGTGTTTGACACGTTCCAAAGTGGAGCAGTGAGTGTATTCCGAATTTGACGACTCTTAGTTTAGAAGAAAATCCAATCCATGACACTAATTTTGACATGACATCCATCTTGCAACACAAAACTCAAGAATCTCATATTATGTAAAACAAAAATTCAACTCGTGAAGACTTTGGAGCCTCTTTTCAACAAGTTTCAGACTCTTGATATACGAGACCTTTCTATGGATGGAAAGATTATGATGTTCAACGGAGCTCTCAAAGTATTTTCAGAGAAAATCCTGAAAGAAACAGAACGAAACAAGTATTATGATAGCCCAGGTGATTGTGTCTTTGATTCAAAAAGTGACATTGAGATATACCGTCACCTTAAAAACTTGTTCTCTCGAGAAGAGTATGAAAGAAATCCTTATGTTCCAGAGCCACATTTTGGTCTAATTCTCTACACAAAGAAGAGTGTGCTAGGTCCACCTCGAAATGTTTTGGAATGTTTTATATTCTTCACAAACACCAAAGGATATTCCAAGTAGATCCATAGAATTTATGGAGAGAATTACTCAATTCGCAATTTATATCATGCCAGAGAAAAGGTGGTGCTTTTTTGCATGTCACAAAGATCGAAAAAGATTTACACCATGAATGCCAAAGAAGTGGCATTCCAAATATCATTTCGAATTGGAGTTATTTTCGTCTCACCACATTTGTGAAACAATTAAGAGGACAATATCATGTAAAGTTGTATGAAATGTAATCTTACTGTAAAACATGGACACAATATGGGAGAGTTTGTAAATTTAACAATTATCGTTTCTTACAAAATGTCACTCTTCCTCCATCACACAAAATCCGTTTTCTCTCGGCATCCAAAACGTCACTTTTCATCGGACAATTATTTAAAAGCAAAAAATTACAAATCTCAGTATCCCTTCATCACCTCGATCCCTCTTCATTGTGTATTTCTAAAATAACAATTTTTCACCACAACTAATTTTTCCTTCAACAACAATTACCACTTGATGATGAATTATCAAATTGTAAAATATTTAACTTCATCGGATGGTGGACTTGTCCATCCTCGGATCGATGGTCTCCATTCCATAAATTCCTCTCTTGATGATGATCATGATGGTGGACTCGATTTCAACATGTCTTCACAACAATTAGTGGCCATGATTGTTACGAAAGAAAGAATTACAAAAGTTCTGAAAAAAGTCTTGTGTCATTCCGAAAAGGAATTAAATTTGAGAATTTCAGAAGGATGGAAATTGAGACATTTAAAGTGTCCGTATTTGTTGGAAATTGAAGATGTGTTTTTTGAAAAGTTTAACATGTCTTCGGTGTTGTTGTTGAATCAACAAACTCCTCATGTCATGACAATTGACAGCAATCCGGCATCATTAGAATCACATCAACGTTGTGTTAATTCAACAGATTCTACATCATCCTCTCAAAAACTTCAACAACAACAGAATAATAACTCTGAAGAAACTTCATCACTCTTGTTGTCGAATGATTCTCTCACGTCACATTCCTCACAAAAATATTGGATTTGTTTTTTAATGGAATACTTTAAGAATGGAGATTTAAATCAATACATCAAACGAAAATTTAAACAAAAAGAACAATCAAATTCAGTTCATGCATCTTCCTCTCCAAATAGTCGACATTTAAGTTCTGTCTTTGAAGTGGTTAGTCGAGACCAATTGTTACAATTCATGTTGCAAATTGCAGAAGGAGTTCAGTATTTACATCATGAAGGATTTGTGCATTTGGATTTGAAACCTCAAAACATTTTTGTCACCAATGATGAACAATCGATCAAAATTGGAGATTTTGAAACGTTACGAAAACTTGATTTCAAAGTAGCAGATGAAGCAATTGAAATTCAAAAGATGAACGAATCTGGAACAATGATACATGATCCCTATGCAGAATCCATGTCTTCATTGGGATCTTATAACACAGATCAAAAGCTCTATGGTACTGCGAAATATTGTTCTCCTGAAATGATGTCACAAGAACCATTTGGTTACTCTACGGACATGTGGTCACTTGGATGTGTGTTTTATGAAATGATTTTTCAAGTATTGAATCGACAATTTTACATTGAAGTCTTTCAGAATAATCATTTTTTTGCACAATTAACTCAACAAATTACTGAATGTGTTCCAAATGGAGAAGAATTAGCAAAACTCATTTGTCGATTGCTCGATCCAGTTCCTTCCAATCGTCCCACTGCCACTCAAACGGTAGAAATTTTAAAGTCAATCATTGGCTCGAAAACGACTCTTACAAGAGCTCGTCACAGTATGGCCAATTCGAGAAGAAATACTGCAGTTCCATCTAAAACGATTACTCAAAACTTTTTCCAGAAATTTTTATTACATTCTCAATCGAACAAGACAAGTTTGAAACCTTCGTATTGGGAGGAGTTTTCGATCATTCCAAAAATTGCGTATGAATCGCTCACGTCCAACGATGTGAAGCAGATCAAGCAATTTTTAGAAAGGAAACAAACTGTGACACCTGAGCTTTTATTGTTTGATCAATTCTCGAATTTTTATGTCTTGAAACAAGACAAGAAACAATTGTTGTTTGGAATTACTCTCAATAAGTTGATTGAAATGATCACTGTCACAGAACATCGCCTCTATGATTCAATCAAAGATGTTCGTTTTCGTGAATATTCAGACGTGGCCAATGATTATTTTGAAGTTTTTGGCGAGGATTGTATTAGACCTGAAGCAAATATTGAAAGCAAAGAATTGTTTAGAAAGACATTCTTTGTCGGTTATTTGCATTTACTCTCACCAGATGGTCTTTTATTGAAAATATTTGAAAGATTAAGCTTACCATTAATGCTCATTTTGAAAAGTTATCATTTAGACAAGGTGACAACTTCAGCAAGTGGTACTCATGAGTTAGAAGAATCTATCGGTGAACACATTGAAAGAATCACCAAAACCATGTCTCAACTATTGAATCATATTGAATGTTTGGAAATTATTATTTGTTGTTTTGACATGCTCAGATTCTGGATTTCCAATTATCAATATCAATGGAATGCAAACATGTTGGAATTTCTGAGTAAGATTGTGGAACAAGTCTCTGTGATTGGAAAATTGAAAAAAACCGATCACTCCAAATTGCCTGAACCAACCATATTCTTGAGCAAGATTAACAACATTTTGGAGTTGAGTCACATCTTGCTTGATCATGTCGCCAAGAAGCAAAAACTGGCCACGTACAAAAAATCTCTCAAAAAGAAAGTTGGAATTAAGGAATATATGGAATTTGCGGCGTTAGAAGTGGAAACCAGTCAAAACAGTACAAAGGTGGGATCCTTTGTGAAAAACAAATTGTCAAATTTGGTGGCATCCACCGACTCTGGTGACGGCTATCGAAAGAAATCTCACTTCGATACAGACGATGATGAATTTGACACGTCACATGACAAGGAAGATGAAGAAACTTCTGGATCTACCGGAGAATTCTTTTACTTTTACAAAACAATTTATACCGATTCTTCAAAGTGCCCTCGACCTGTAATTCCACCCAATGTATTTTCAGCATCTCTGAGATGGATTGATGTGTCACCTCTCGAACTTGCAAGACAAATCACGATTGTGGACCACTTTTTCTTTAATGAAATTTCGAGTGTGGAATTTTTAGACTATACTTCATTCACACTCAATAATTGCAAGAAAACTCATGGATATTTAGATTTCAATTTACTCAATACGAGCTTTAGAACTCAATTTTTCAAAATGAGTTGCCCAAAATTGTGTAAATTTTTAGAACTAATTCATGATCGTGTGAATTGGCTCATTTTAGATATTTTAGACAAACCCTATATTAAGGATCGAGTTGAAATGATTAATAAGGTGAAGCATATCATTATTGAATTATACACACTTCAAAACTATGCAAGTGCTCACGCTTTGGCCACCATTTTCACACATCCTGCCATTAAGAATCATTTACAATTTACGCTTTTAGAAGCTAAAAAGAAAGAAAAAGGAAACTTCAATTACATGTTCAAACATGTCATGAGAGTTTTAGGAAATCCAAAACATCATCATACGATTTTATGGGCTCAACAACAACAACAACAGAAACAAGGAGATGAATTATTGATTTATCATCATTCGAATAATGAGAATGCAAGCTCAAGACCAATTTCAACAAATTCCACATCTTCCCATTACTCGAAGATTATTCCAATTAAGATTGGACAAACTCGATTTAGTGTCTCTTCAACAATTAGTGCTTTAAATGTTCTGCCAAATGCCAATCATCACCATTCCTCATCTTCTCAGAATGTTTCGTTATTACCAGCCTCGAACAGCCCTTCAAAAAAACAAAAATTTCGAAAAAGCAACGCAATAGAAAATGCTCATAATGATTCTGATGATGAAGATGGAGACGAGAATAATAATCAATTGGACTCTTATTATTCTGTATTCATTGAAAATCAATACGAAAGGAATTCCATTTCAACTCAAAATGATGACAAATTGTCGATTGTAAATGCTTCATTTTCACACATGCCAACTCCTCCACTCCTCCATTTCAGATCCAAATACGATTCATTTTATGGATTTGATATTCGATCAAAATTTCAATACTCGGACGTGTTGTTTGTGGAAGACGAAAGATATCAAAATTACAATGACATTTTTGATGGATGTCGAGCGCCAGCCATTCCAATTGTTGAAGCTCATTTGAGAGAAATTATGTATTTACAAAATCACTATTCTGATTGTTTACATCAGGATGAATTGAATTATTGTTATTCCACAGAAATTACAGAAAATGTCAAACATCAAAATAATATGGTTCGTTGGGCAAAATTTGAACAGGTGGCAGTTGCTTTGAATCGATTGGAAAAATGTCGAGTGGATTATGCATTACAACCTGTTTTCCAACTTCAAATGTTAATTCAAAAACAACAAAGAGATATTGCCTTACTTTATGGATCGACAACTATGATTAGTGTCGAGCAATATATCAAGCTGGCGAGAACAAGAGAACCTGTTGGAAGTACAAGAAAGGATATTTTGTAAAGCATGTTCGAACATATTTATTTTCGTGACATTGAGAGGGATGATGACATCGAACAAATGTTCAAATTCTCTACAGTACCAATACCACAAAATCAATACGATTTGAGAATATGTATATTACATTTGTTCTTGTACTAGAATTATTATTGTTTTACAAAATCTAGATTGTTTGAAAAGTAACAGTTTACACGTGAAAGCAACAAATTGTGAGATTAATAATTTTTCATTCTCTCCAAATCACTTTGTACCTCACCCTTATCCGATACTGAGGACAACATTCCCTTTCTTGGTGATTTAGGTGGTTTCATTGGATTAGTGACAGGTTTTTGACCTTTTTCAAATTCTCGCATTTCTCTTACAATGCTTTCCAATGCTTCCTTCATATTCAATCCATTCTTTGCACTAGCAAATAAAAATGGAGTTTTTTCAGGAAGTCCTAATTGAGTTTTGATAAATTCCTTAATTTCCTTTTCTGTCATGTATTTTCCTTTTGGATTTTCTTGAACAAGATCGTATTTGTTTCCAACGAAAATGACAGGATAATCCTTTCCATCGACTTGTTTGTATTCTTCGGATTTGATTCTGTAAACTCTTTCAGTATATTTTTGTAATTCTTCAAGAGAGGCTTTAGAAGTGCAATCAAAGACGAGAACAAAACCATATGCATTTCTCATGTAAACGTCTTGAAGAGCAGAGAACTCATCTGTACATTGTTTGACATTTGACGTTCGTGTGAAATTCAATAATGAATGATATCAATTGGAATAGAACAAGGATTTCATTAGAATTGGATGCATCGTGAATTATAAATACTCACCTTGACCAGCAGTGTCAATAATTGTCAAATAAGTGGTTTGATTGTCAATTTTTCGAGCAATGTTAAAAGTTGCTTCGATCGTTGGATCGTAAATTTCAATAAAAGTATCTTGAGTCCATCGAATGGTGATCGATGATTTACCCTGTTGTTGTGTTGATATATGATGTATTGTGAACGTCATGAACGATCATCATGGAATATTAAAATAATTTAATTAATTATTTAAATATTTTGTAAAGAATTCAACATACCACTGCACCACCTCCGCAGACGGCAAAGGTAAATGTTTCTTCGTTCTTGTCGTTTCTTGGCATGTTTGGATTCTATGTATTTGATGTTTGTGTTAATAATTTTTTTGGTTGTCAAAAAGAAAATTGGCGAAAGTATTTGACGTTTGACAGCAGAGATGAACTTGGAAATTTGTTCAAGACCACATAGTTCTCAGGTGGTCGTAAAGGCATAACAAGTTCCTCTCCTTTCAAAACCTCAATACTCTCTAAAAGACCCTCAAATAATTATTTAAATCTCAATCCCTGATAAACAAATTGGTTTCAATTTAATGGACTCAAAAAAACATTCCAACTCATTGGAAATTCTCCAACTTGTTGATGAACCAATGTAAATCCCAAATTTTCACACAATCGCATCATGCCGTATTGCACGGAGGGAACTCGAATCAAGACAAATCCACAATTCTTGAACTTGACATCTTTTCGAGCCATAGCGAGTGCGAGTAAGAGAAATTCTTGAGCAATGGAAAAGTTGGAAAGATGATATTCATGAGGCTTGGAAAAGGTTGGAATTTGTTCCTTCAATAAAAAGTGCTCAATTTCTAAGATGGCATTGTGTTGTAATAGAGAACTGGAGGTTGTTATGGAAGATTCAGACGAAGGAGATGATGAATTTTGGGAATTGAGCATTGATTTCATCATGTGCTCTAAAACAAAGTTAGAAATGGATAATTCTTGTGATGAAGATGTTGCCTGTTTTTTGTCGTGTGATGATTGGGAAATGATGGAGGAATTACTGGTGGCTATTATCAATCGTTTGGATAATTGAACGTATCCATAAATTGCTTCTGATAATTTCTCTTCAGCGCTGCCGTTGTAGTTGTCATCATAGAGAACAAAATCAAGTTTCTCTCTTGGAGGAGGCGCTTCAATGTTGAAAGCTTTCTTAATTTTTTCAAATTTTTGTAACACTCTTCTTCTCACAAATTTCAGAATTAATCGTGTCACAAATATTGAAATTAGGAGAATGATCAAAATTGTCACTATTAAAAATAAGGTTAAATAAATTATGGTTTTGATTGCTGGAGCAGTCTTCAACATGGACATGACAGTTCCTGAATGGCTGATTTTCAATGCTTCACTCCTGACTGATTCAAACAATGTATTTTCTATCTGTTTGCCAAGGGAAGAAACTTTCACAAGACTCACCATGCAGATTGTTGTGAAAATAAGAACAGCCATAAATAATAGAAACAGTTTGAAAGGTCCATAATAATATTGCATCATTGAAAAAACACTTTCTGTATGATCAACTTTTGAATTCCAATCCCAGCTCAATAAACTTTGGTGCGAAAATTGTTCAAATACGTCTTGGTTCATAGATGGTGCAATGATTGACAAGTCATGTGGCATAACAAACGTGACTCCAACATTTCTTTCAAATCGACTGATATCATCCTGTTGTGATTTTACAATGGTTCGTGTTGTAGCTGATCTCTGTTCCAGCAACTCCTCATGGTTCTGATCGATTAAATTATTTTCCATGAATAATGTCTGTTGTTGTTGGTGCACTCTCTCCAAATGTCCATTCTCCCCATTGGATGAGTCGCCATTCCAATGATGATTCAACAATAATTTTGATCTCAAACTTGCAGTGTCCTTCATTAATATATTCTTTGGAAATTTACAATGATACGAAAAATTCATATCCGACAATTCTAATTCTAATTCTTGTTTTTTCAGTTTCTTCAATAATGGATTTGGAATTGTTCTCGAACGAGTATTAGTGGTTTTTACTTCAATTCCTCCATCCGTCATGGTGGAACCTCCAGATCCGAGATCCTCCTCCACCACCTCATAATTCTGGTATGAAACATTTTCCAGAAGGATCATTGAATTTGGAAGTTGCAAAAATTCATCACTACGAGCGATCTCTAATCCGTAACCAATGAAGGAAGAAGAAGATCCATGTCGTGGTGATGGTTGTTGTTGCATTTTTCTTCTTTGTAATCAATTTCAAACATTCACAACTTCCAAAAACCTTTTTTTGATTCTTCTTATTTTCATCCCGATATAAAAAAATAGTAAGAACAAAGATAATGATTTATTAATCATTTGCTCTTTTGTAGACTGTTGTTAAAAATTGGATATTCCTCAAATCTATTTGTTGTGATCACATTAAATTGATAAATATCATCATCATTTATTAAATCGTCGGTTATTTAATAGAGCTTGTGATTTCATTGAAAGAAATAAAACTGGGAAGAAATCAACATGAGCTTTCTGGCGAATTTCATTCGGACTCTGGTCTCGGGTGATAAAATCCGATGTCAGGAACGAGTGGGTTCCACATATTTTGATTTGGATTTAACCTATATTACGAATAGAATTATTGCAATGGCTATTCCTGGTGAAGGCTTTAGCTCTATCTATAGAAATCATATTGAAAGTGTTGCTCAATTTTTCAAACAGAAACATGCTGGACACTTTATGATTATTAATTTATCGGAAATACCTTATGATTATGAATTGTTTGAAAAGGGAGAAGGAGGTGGTAAAGTCATTGAGAAGGGTTTTCCAGACCATCATAATCCGCCTGTGGAGTATTTAATTGAAATTTGTGAAGAGATGGATCGGTTTTTGAAGGAGGACCCAAACAATGTGGTCTCTGTGCATTGTTTGGCAGGAAGAGGAAGAACTGTATGTTATTCCATTTTTCTATTGCATGTTATAATATTTTGGAATGATTACATCTCCTTGATATCAATTAATTAATGTGGACGATATCACCGATTGAAATGCGTTGAACTTTCGTGTTTGATGTCACACACGGCGTTTATCATGTGTTGCACTAATGGACAACGATTATGATAACCAAATGCAGGGTACTGTCATTGCATGCTACATGACTTATAGCGGCATGTTCGAATCTGGAACAGAAGCTTTAGATTATTTTGCATCGAAACGATCCACACGAGAACGTGGTGTTGCCCAGCCCAGTCAGCGCCGTTATGTACAATATGTGAGCGAATTGGTCTCCATGTTTGGCCAAGACACCCTGAATCTCAAATCTCTTATTAGCAACTACTTTAGAAAACGAGGAAAACAAATTTTGAAGAGCATCACCATGTATACAGTTCCAAAATTTTCGCAAGATGGTTGTTGTCCAGTCATTGAAATTTATACAGCACCTACTCAGTTCAATCCAAAGCAATTACTCTTTTCAAGCACTGATAAAAATCCATTACGATATTATAGAGAAGAAGATGGAGTGATTGAATTTGATATTGATACAATCTTGAGTGGAGACGTCTATATTCGAGGTTATCACTACAGAGAAAATAAGAAATCAAAATACATGTTTCGTATTTCATTCCACGTAGGAATGATGCCCAACAATGGAATTTTACGATTAACCAAGATGGAAATTGATGATGCTTTGAAATCTAGTGCATTTGATAATGACTTCTTCATGGATTTAACATGGGAGAAGATTCAAGGCATCGATGAAGACCAAGACGACAAAGATGAAGATTTAGCTCGACAAGAAGTACTGAATGAAAACTTTACTCTTGACGATTAAAACGACAAGTTAGAACCTCTTGAATGTCGGTCGCTTTCTGTACATGACAAGGAGCTGTTTCGATATTGTCAAATATGAATAAGTATTCCTTCAACGTTTTTGGAACGGGCGCTTTCTGTATTTGTTCTTGTTGTACTCGCAAATGATTTAGAGTTTCTCAACAATGATTGGTTGATACAAATGGGTTAGTTCTAGAGAAACCTGAGCACCTCAGATTTACTGGCATCAGTAAAATAACAACACAAAATGTAGGATATCCGAATACAAGAAATCATCATCATCATGGTGCTATCAATTTTTCTCCATCATCAAACATAATTGATAATTTAATGAAAAGGATGAAAAAATTGATGCCAACCAACAACCAACAATTATTCAATACAAGCCAAATACGTTCCTATACTACTACTAATTGATTATCAACAACAACCAAGAAAGTCAAGGATAGCTATGGTGATACGCCAAACAATAGTACAACATTACCTTCAACATCCTCCACCAAACAACTGAAAACTCTCTATTTCATTGATTACAAGTGGCATCTGTATTGACTTCTCCTAAATCTATCGGTGGTGCTGGGTTACCGATTGATGATGTGAAGCCTTTCTAAGTGATTTTGGGCTTGCTCGTTCATTGGAAACTTTGCCAAAAACAAGCCATGGAAATGGAACCAGAACTGACTACATGATCCCGATTTTATTTTGGAAAGAAACATCTTCAACTGCCACGGAAGTCTATGCCTTAGGTGCCACTATTGACTATATTTTGCCAAAGAACAATCTAACAGAACTTGCCGATTTGAGAGATTTTGTGACAACAAAAATAAGAAATACAAATGCAAGGAAAAGAGCCACTTATGACGAGGTTATTGAACGGGCCAATGTTATGTGGCTGAGCAAAAAAGACAATGCCAATTTAGGTTATGATTTGGAGAAAAACTTGTTTGGCTCGAAAAAAGAATTTAAAGTCTCTTCATACTTTAAGTGATTGTTTGATTGAGTTGAATGGAGGTCCATCAAACCTGCTGTGTGCCATTCAGACAGGATGGTCCTCGCTGCCAAAGTTGCTGACAATTCCAGCCGTGCATAGCCGTTCAAATACGTAACAATGAGTGACTGAGAAAGGATTTTGAAAGAGCAATAAAATTATTTAAATCACCTTAAAAGCCGTTTTCAAACAAAAACTGTCCTCTTCGTCCACTGTTGATTTGCTTAGTGGTCACCGCCATTCATAGAATACCCAAATTCGTGTGGTTTCGAATTGAATGACTTTCGAATTGAATACAATTCATCTATGGACCATCATCAACACAAAGTGATCCGAGTTTCCTTAATTTGTGATCATTGGGATCAAATGACCGTTATTTAAATATTTCAGTCACAGCAGACAAGTTGTTGTTGTTGAGATAATTTTGCCATACTGAATTAATTTTCGAAATTTCATAAATACAATGTCCCTTCTGGGTCAGGACTGCATGATCAGAGAAAATTATTTCCGGTGCGTCATCATGATCGTATTGTTGGAGGTAAAATATCACCTATATTACTCAATTGCTTGTGAGAATTTAAAAACCAATCACCTTAGACCCATCTTTTTGAAGAGTCTTCAATAATCTCATCCTGTCGATTGGGCTAACAATCTTATATATTTTGTTAGTATAATCAAAAGTATAACTTAGCCCATGTGTTAATAAGAACTTGGAAGCATTAATGACGATCTTGGTTGATATACTTGTTTCTGATGAAACAACATACAAAGCTTCTATTAAATTTGCCTCTCCAAGCAAGGCAAATCGGTAAAACAAACTCTTATATAAGGATTTGTCAATTTTTTCTTTTCCATAATCCTCTCTATTAAAAACGAGAGTGCAAAGATTTGTAAAAAAAAACTCTGTAAAAGACCTAAATTGAGGTGTTGAGTCCTTGTACAACTTTAGATATAATTGTTAAAGTAATTAGTATCTTTAGGATCCAATCTTGCATTAATAATAATATCTGCCGCAATTAAGTATGACAAAAAAAACATTCTGTTTCATCATCTAATAGCCCTCGATGGATGATATTTGATTGATTGGAAGAACTTTCGAACTTGAAATTCTCTACATATTTCAAGGCTTGGCATATATGGATCATTATTTGATACATCATCTCTTTAGTTAGCTTAACTTTTGTCAAATCGCCAATATACAATTTTAGTTCGAAAAAGTGAAATTTGTCAATTTTTGATATGTTTTGAATGAAGTGAAGGGCATGAATGTTTCGATTGTAAACATTAAAAGAGTTTGGTTGAGCAACGAAAAATATTTTCATGCTCAAAAAATTTTCTGCATATTCGTGCGTTTTGATTTGCTTAGTGATTTCTAGCTCTCCCTTAATATATCTCGCTCTCTCATTCCCACGCTCATCATGCCCAAAGCAAAACCTTCGACTCCTAAAAACTCTCAAGACAATGAGTATTGGTGGTGGACATTCAGTTTCTCTAATTTGCTTCTGAATGTTCTTCTTAAGAGAAGCTGAGTGACGATTATTTGGGTGATTGAATAATTTCATATGTTTCGAAAACGTAAACAATAAGAATCGTTTGGTTAATTTAGAGGAACAAATGGATTTGTAGTCTCTCCAAACACCGCTACATCAAAGATGAAAACATTCTTGTTGAAGAGTATACTTCAAGATGGAAAACCAAGGTTGTCCTTTCCGATTTTTCGCTCTGTAGAGATCAACAGAGTGTCATTGAAGGAACTCCAAAAACCATGGCACCCGAGTTGGCAATGTTCGAAAGAATTGATAAGAGTAAACAGAGAAGAAAGAAAGATCTCTCGTCATCCAAAGTGAAAGCGCTTGGCAAGTTAGTGATGTCTTTTGTTATTATTTTCATCATTGGTCTTTCAGTCTTTTGGTACTACTTATCGACGAACAATGTTTATTCATTCGTTTTCATGTCATTCATTGGATATGGTTGTGGTATGGCGATTACAAATATTATTCAATCCAACTCAAAGTTTTCGACCGTTCTGAAGAATTTACTTCCAAACAAGAAGCAATTCAAAATGCTATTAGTGATCTGGCTGAGATGATTAAAAGCTTCAGCACCAACAAAACAAGAAGATAAATTCATTTATAGAAGATGAATGGTTTTGAAAAAGTATAAAAAATCGTTTCATAAGAAAACCTAATGGGTTTTGAACTGAGTCGCTGAATTCGTCACTAAATGAGTTTAGAAACTTGCTTCCCAAGACAACATTGTACATTTTGTTTGATTGGGTCACAGTTGGTGATGCAAAAACTGTGACAGTTCAAAATGAACACAAATTGCTTGATGATTCATATTCTATGAAGCCTTTTGAATGTTTGGTGTCGGCAATAGCTATTGGCAGTTTGGGGGAATGACTTTGTTTTTTCTGTTGTGGGTTTTGAATAAATATGAAACCCATTCTCTTAATGACGAACTGATTTTGAAAAATTCACTTATCGTCACAGTCTCTACATATCAGCATCATCAGTGATTATCATTTAAAATTCGGAATTTGATCCACTTCATCTCTACATGATCATCAATAGTATTCATCATTGAGTGAATGTGATAAAGTACCATCAAGATTTAAATAGATCGACAACCAATACTGGTATTCATCATTTTTCAATGATGATTAGACATGTTGATTTCATTTCTTGCGCTATTACACTATTACTTAACGTTGATAGAACGACAGTTGGTGTCCAAGTTTGGCCAAAACACTCGATTTTCCAATTGCTGCTCGACCTGATGATCCTTTATGCCCACAACTCACATGAGGTGTCTTTCAATAACGTTCATTCTTCTACATTGGAACCTTCTTGGAAGTTGTGGAAGGGCGCTTTCTCTCTCAGTCGCTCCTCCACATATGTGGAAAGACATTTAACACTGCACTGCTGCTGCTTCAACTCGAGAGAAAAAAAAGACCTCGACAGTCGTCATTCCGTATTGTCACACACACTCCACCCGAGAGAGCACACAGCACACACACATTTCAACAACAATAACCACCTTCCTTGATCTTGACAATCATGAATCCATTAGATCCGAACTGGGTGCAAATTCAACATCGATCCTTCTTAAACTGGGTCAACTCCAAATTGAAAAACAGAAACATTCAACTGACAAATCTCGGAGAAGATTTCAAAACGGGTGAAAATTTATTGATTTTATTGTCTGAATTAACCAAAAACGAATATCCACTTGCTTCCATTCGTCCTCAATATCGAATTCAAATGATGAATAATATTGCAGAAGCTTTGAACATCATCACAAAAGATTTGAACATTCCATTGGTCAATATCGACAGCAATGACATTGTCGATGGAAATTTGAAACTTGTCCTTGCAGTGGTGTATGCATTGATTTACAAATTCCAAATTTGTCAAGTATTGGATCAAAAAGATCTTGAAGGAAATAAGCAAAATCCAGAAGCTCTCTTATATATTGAACAATTATTGTTGCAATGGTTAAACTCCACTCTCTATGACAATCAACCTGTGTTGACCAATTTGACTTCTGACTGGACCGATGGTGAACATTTGAAAAAGCTCATCTTGCACTTGACAAATGGTCAATCCACTACTCTTAACGATCCCAATTGGTCTTCATTCGATCCTGTCAAAAAACTCTCTCTCTGTATTGATCAAGCTGAACATGAATTACACATTCCTCGAATTCAAGATGCACAAGATTTGGCAAATTCACCTGATCGATTTAGTATGATTGCATATTTGTCATATTTCAGAATGGTGAAAAGTGAAAATCAACCACAAGCTCAACAACAGCTAGAAAATGTTTCTACTTGTATAATATCTCCTGAAGAGACAAAGCAAGCAACTACAGCTGCTGTCATGCAGACTCCTGTAGTGATTGAGCAGAAGGATGTGAGTGCTTCTTCAGCGCCTCCTTTGGAAGAACTGTCAAATGTCACAACAGATTCGCAACCATCCAGTGTTTCGGCAGTTCATGTTCATCCTCCTCAACAAATGGCTCAATATCAACATCATCAACCAAAACCACCACAACAACCCATAGTCCTCAATCAAATGCCAACTCCTCCATCGTCACAACCCACCAATCTGATGGATACCAGCAGTCACGTGTCACAACACTATTTACCTCAACAACAATTATATCCAAATGTGCAACAAGTTTCCACAACCTCCTCGAGTCAAAGCCCAATCCATGCTCAATTACAACAACAATGGTTACCTTCCATCACTACAATGAATTCAGTTGTTACCAACACCTATCCAAACATGTCATCACATCCCTCTTCCTCTTATTTACCAAATTCAGGAACATGCAACCCAACACAAGGACCTTTCATGACCTCACAACCTCCATTATCTCAATCAACAATCTATCCAATGAACATGAATACCACAACACAAATGTATCATCAGCAAATGATGTCACAGCCAATGATGATGGGAATGCAACCACAGCCACCAATCAATCCTGCAATGTCACCTCAGAATCCTCCTCCTCAGATTATGACCACGACAACGACGACGACGACTGGTAATGTGTTCACGGACATGTTTGGAAATGTCTATTCGACACAATTACCACCTCAAGGAGGTCCATACTTTTAAGTGTCGTTCTTGAAAAGTCAACATTATAAATTCCTTTCATTAGTTCGATGAGGAAATTTAATTAACCGGTTGGATCCAACCACGACGGATTGCTAATTGTTGTAATTGAGAAAAATAAATCCATTTTTTGTCTCTCAAAATGGTATTATCCCAAATGACTTTAAATTCCATGCTCCAGCATGATTATTTTTGAACTTTCAGTCAATCTCAAAATCCTCATTAGATCTATTTAAAATACTTTACAGGATCAAAAAAGGTTCACTAAAGATTGTTGAACAATCCGCAATTTTGGAGCCTTCAAAAAACAACCACCAGGTACACCTCAGGTGTGTCGGCACAATCCTCCAAAACCAATTCACCTCCTCGTCCATGAAAAAAAACAACAAGTCTCATTGACTTTGTCCATCCTTCCATCTTTTCAAATGAAAAGTCTCCACTTGTCACATGCCATTCTTTTTTGGATCTTGTTGATTGCTCTGATCGTGAAGGCTGTACCAATCAACCTTCTCCACCACCGCACCACACTAATCACAACACCAACCAACCAACGTATCACTGCTTCTTCTTCTTCCGAATATACTCCGATCGAGGTTCATTTAGCTTTCACTCAAATTTCCAATCAAATCGTTGTCTCGTTTCATACATTAAATTACAATGAAAAATTGTTGGGATCTCCAATGATTAAATTATCAAAAGATCCAAATTTGATTCGAGAGGTTCAAGTGGCATCGATTGGAAGTGTTGTCACACAATATGGAGAAGTCTCTCATACTGGATATGATTTTAATGTCTTGTTGACGAATTTGGAATATGACACTTTGTATTATTATCAATGCACTTTTAGAAATGGAAATGTGTCAAGTGACATTTATCATTTTCATACAAGAACTGATCCGAATAGACCTGAGAGTTATGAAACAACTGTCATTTCATATGGTGATCAAGGAATTTTAAATAGCTATTATGTCATGGAACGTGTGAAAGAATTCATTTCGAATTTTTACAATTCAAGCAGTAAGAATAAGAACTTGTTTGTTTATCATTTGGGAGATATTTCAGTAAGTACCGTGTCATACCATTGAGAATACATGAATGATTTAAACCACCATTTCGACATGGAAATGTCAAATATTGAACATGTTTTACAAAGTATGCCGATGATTATCCTGGTTTAATTTATCAAGCTGTTTGGTCTTGGTACATGCACAAGATGACACCCATCATGCCATACGTTGCTTATATGGTTCTTCCTGGAAATCATGAAGTAAGTATTCGTTTGAAAGAAAAATGACTTTAAAAGGTCATTCGAAATTTCATTCATACTCTCAGATGGGTCCCTTACATCATCCTTATTATTCCTTTGAATTAGGATTCCAAGCATTGAATCATCGATTTTTCATGCCTCTACGAAACAACTCTGCCTATGGACATAATATGTGGTATTCCTTTGAATACGGACCAATTACATTCATTTCCATTTCAACCGAAACAAATTATCCAAGTAAGTGAATCATTGTTCACCAAATTGTTGAAAATTGTTGAAAATTGATCAAAATTTCACATTGTGGATGAATTTATATGGTTTGTTGTGAAATTACATTTCTGAATTGCTCTCAAAAAAGATAACTTTTTCCCTGAATATGTATTTAAGGGTGATCAATTGGCATGGTTGGAACAAACATTGTCTAACATTGATCGAAAACGTACTCCTTGGATCATTGTCACTGGTCACAGACCTATTTATTCGAGTGCTTTTGGTTATAGCAATTCACATGGAATTCCAGATGGACAAAGTGTTCCAATTCAAAATGCATTTGAGGATTTACTTGTGAAATATCATGTCGATATCATGTTAGTGGGTCATGTGCATGTAAGTGTGTCTCTGTCTTTGGAAATATATTTTCATACATTGACGTTTGACAGTCCTATGAAAGAACATATCCAGTCTACAAGACACAAGTAGAAAGAAAGGATAATTTCCATAATTTGAGATATCCAATTCACATTGTCAATGGAGCTGGTGGTTGCATTGAAGGTAAGCTCAATTTTTTCACACTTTACAATAACATTTCACACGCATCCAATTCTTCATTACAAAAAAGGTCTCACCTGGAGTTTCTCCTATCATTGGGGCATCAACTGGAGTGCTCACATTTACAACAAGGATGAAGGTTACGGAGTGTTAAAAACTTCCTTCAATCCTCAAACAAAAATTCACTCCTTGTCCTTCTCTTTCTATTCCGCTGGAGAAAATCAATTAATTGATTCAGTGACCATCACCAAAGATCAACACGTGTTGTAAATATGAACTTAATCCTCAAAGTAATAATACACTGTATTGTCAATAATGAATATTGAATGGCCGCCTGTATACAAAAAAGTCAATTATTGTTTCATCCATATTCAAAAAATGATTTAACAATTTGTCATTCTATCAATAACTTGTTCCTTGCATGTTCCAACCAGAAATTCCATTATGGACTAGAGTTTCATTTTCCAATATCCACAAGTGACCAAGACAAAAAAAACCACCACAATTCCCTCAAAATCCAACACTTGAATCCTTGTTTTCAACCCCCATTCTGGGATTGATGAATTTCATCAATCAACACCTCTCTCACAATCAGAGTGAATCCACTCGAGTCGGTCACGCGCGTGTTTTTTGTATTCCTTTTTCACCACCACCACAATTATAAAACAAAAAAATGTCCTTCTCTGAAAACAACAACAACAACAACAACAACAACCACTCGTCATCATCATCCAGTGGTAGCAGCAACAGCAGTGATGGTTCAAGTCATACAACAACATCCTCATCCTCCTCCTCTTCGTTGACTAATAACAACTCCTCATCATTCAATCTCTCGGGTGTGAGTTCGGCTTCAAGTTCTTCGTGGGATAAATTTCCACGAAAATCACTCGTTCTCTCCTCATCGTCGTCATCCTCTCAAAAAAAGAAATTGGCCTCTAATATTCCAAAATTGGAAATTTTATTGGAGAAGGGAGAGGGATTGTCGATACGAAAATCATCCAAAGCAACAAGTTCTCCATTTGTAGTGTTGAATTTGTGTCATGATGCGTTTCTTTCACAACGGAGATTGGAATCTTCGAGTGTGAAAAATCAATTAGATCCAGTGTGGAATGAAGTGTTTGAATTTGAGGTTTCTCCGAGTGTGAAAGAAAAGGGTCAGATTGAAGAGATTGTTGCCATACAGGTGTGGCATAAGGGAGTGTTTAATTCTGGAGTTGAAAGTTTCATGTAAGTTGTGTGTTGACAGGAATTATTAATTCATATTCACATGACATTCATAACGAATCATTTATTGACCTTTCACAATTAATTAGGGGAGCTGCCAACATTCCATTAAAAGGTCTTGTCGAAGATCATATCCATCAATACATTCTCGATCTGATTGGTGTTGAAAGAGGTAAAATTCACTTACAAGTCATTCCTCGAAATTTTGGATTCAAATCACCATCTGAACGTGATTCACACTTGAACATGAGCAAACAACAAAATAGTGTTTTCCAACTCACCAAATCAGATATTATGAAAATTAAAGATGCTTCAAGCACTGCCGAAGTTTCACTGGATACTCGAAAGAGAATGAAAAAGATGCAACAATACAAGATTGTGGAGAAATTGCAAAAAGGTGGATTTGGAGTGGTCTATAAAGTGATTGATCTCGAAGATAAGCAATCAACGACAGATAAACCAAATTACAAGGCAATGAAAAAAATCAAATGTGACACTGATCAAGAAGCTAATCAAGCCATTCAAGAAGTTTGGTACATTCGAAATTTGAAACATGAAAATTTGGCATCCTATGATGACATGTTTCTTGAATTTGTCGAAGATGAAAACACAAAAGAACTTTCTTTCAATGTTTGTTTTGTAATGCCTTATTATAAGGATGGAGATTTGGATTCATTGATTATGAAGAGAAGACAACAAAGGAAATTCTTTTCTGTTCATCGATGTATTGGATACATGTTGCAAATTGCAAAGGGAATTGAATTTTTACATTCAAAGAGAATTATTCACAGAGATTTGAAACACAAGGTGAGTGTGACAGTTTTTTTGAATTCTTTTCATTCACACGTATGCATGTTCACATCCTCTTACAATAATTTTTCAATTCTCAATCCAATACTTCTGATTCCTTAATGCTTTCATAATTTACTTGAATTAGAATGTATTTTTAACAGATAGTTACAATACGTTAAAATTGGGAGATTTTGGCTTTTCTCGTTCCCTCAATGAAAAATCTCTCGCTTACACTGTTTTAGGAACTACCAATTACATGGCTCCAGAAATTGCTATCAAATCCTCCGGACAGCAAATTAATGGCTACACCTTCTCCGCAGACATTTGGAGTTTTGGTGTCATGTGTTACGAATTATTGACCTTAAATTGTGGAGTCAAAGGTTTTTCACACTACACCAAAGCTCTCCAAAATTATGAAAAATATATTGAGAAAATTTTGGATGATATGAGAAAGATTTATGGCAAACAGGAAGATGTGGTGCAATTTGTCTTGTCTCTGTTGAAATTAAATCCAGCAGAGAGACCATCTGCAGAGGAATGTGTGGAAAAATTGGAAGAATTTTACAAAAAGTATGCAGAGACAGCATTGGCCACACCCACTGTCAGTGGTGGTGCTGACTCGAATAGTTCAACACCCACTCCTGAACAATAATGAACTAGTGAAAAGAGACTCCATTTTTGAATCTTTTTTTGAGTGATGAGTAAACCAATATTTCAAATACTGTATTTGAAAAGGAGTTCAAGTGTTTCATTGTTGTGGTGGGTTCACATCATTAAGGGTTCTCTCAAACATTCTCGTTCTTGACAAGATATTTTTGGAGTTGTACTATTTTAGAAATATAACATTTCAGAACATCAACATGCCCAAAATACATTCACATGAACAATAATAATTGCAATAACAAAATGAGATCAATCCTCATTCCATCTCTTAAATTTTCCAGTCTTCGTTCAGCATCACTCACACCTTTCACCTCTTCAATACATTCCTCTCGATTTGGAAATTCCACATCTGTGACCAAGCGCAACAACCATCCTTTCCCATTCATCTCCAATCATTCGTCCTTGTCGTCGATCCTCTCCTCTTCGATCCTCTGGTCCTCTCTTGATTTTCACACTTGTTCCAAATCACACGCCTCCAATTCACCACTTCTCACTTTTTACAATTATTCCGTTCGAACTGCGAATGGCGAATGGTTTCATTTGAAAAATTTGAGAGGAAAAGTCACTCTTGTGACTGTGTGCAACATTTCCAATGAAAATTATCGAAAATACTTGTACGATTTGGCTGATTTCAAATATACCATGCAATCCAAAGATTTTGAAATTATGGTTATTCCAAAATTGGATAGTCATCTCAATGAAGAAGTGATTGACAAGGCTTTGCAGAATCATCAATCTCCCATTCAACAATTTCTGGCAGATGAAGCAAAAACCTCTTCTACTCTCACGTCTTCTCTCAAATTACGTGACATTATCATTTGTCGTGGAATTCCCAATTGGTTTGGTTCTTCCGAACAAAATGACATGCAACACACGTCACACATCAACTATGACATGGATTTAGAAGTTTATAATAATGTTTCTTCTGAAATTGGAGATGCCTTAAATTATTTGTGCAACTATGCAGAAGGTTCTTCTAAAACCATTGTCGAAGATTTTGAAAAATTTGTTGTGAATCGAAATGGTCGATTAATCTTTCGTTGTGGAAATACGTATCCATTGGAAGGATTGAGAGATATCATTCGTGGAGAGTTAGAGGGACGTGCGAGTGTCACAGGACAAGAAGGAAAGAGAATGAGTGGTAGTCCTAGTGGAGGTGGTCGTGGTGGTATTTCAAGTATCAATGCATCGGATCAAGATAATATTGTGTGGTAAAAAGAAAATATTGTCACTGCAAGGAGTGTTGGATGGAATTCACAACTAGGAAGAGGGTGGATTGGACATTTGACAAGTGTGTAAATAGTTAACGCGTATCATTCTGTGTGTTCATAAATTAAAAAATTGTTCATTGAGCATGTGGTATTGAAAACATTTTCTAGTCATTCATTTACACCAACTCATCATCAGTTCCATATTCACTACTGTCACCGTCATCGTCGTCGTCACTTTCAGTCCTTGACGATGAGTAACGAGAATGACGTACTTTGGAATGAGGTCCTCTCGAAGATCGAACATGTTCTCTCGAATCTGGAAGAACATGTGTGAAAGTTTCCTTTTGCATTTCAATAATCTTGTCATAGGGAAGAATTGTGGGAAATCGATAACCATCAGTGCCTAAATCATCAGGTATTGGTAAAAACCATTTCCAAATATTTTGGCCTAACACTTGTTTCACATTGGTCAAATATGAGACATTGTAAAAGTTTAAATACTTTAAATGTTCTTGATTCAATTTCTTCTTGGGTGCACGTGCTCTCTTCTCGGAAAGTTGGAAATTTTCGATCGACGTCTGATTCATCAACAATAAATAAGTGTTCCATCCCCAAAACAGATAAATCATACATGACATGGGAACTAAAAAGACATTAAATACCAAGGTCAATAAAAATACAGTGACATCAATATTGCTTGAATCCTTAATGAAGGCCATCACCACGAAAATTGTGACAAAGAAAAAGTGTGTCACAGCCATAACTAGAGAAGTAATATTAGAAATGTCAGCATGTGGTAGTGAAATAATGAAATATTTGAAAGAAAATGGCATCCAACGAATATAAAACCAAGAAAATTGTTTGTTGTGAGAACGAGTAAAGAGATCATGAATCAACAATTTCCCCTTCCTTCCAATGAAAATACAAACCTAAATAAGTTAAAAACAAATAGAAATATTTGTGATTATACAATCCAACGCACTGAAAAGTTGTGACATCAAGTGTTGAGATTGAAATAACATTCAAGAATATATAAAATTTCACAATCACACACATCAACAATAATCGTCATGATGATTAAATACAAATGATATTACAACCATTCATGAAGAAAAAAAAGTTTTCCCCACACACTCCATCCATCCATCTATACAACAACAACAACAACTTACATTATTCACCCAAACACAATAATGATCCATTCTCAGAATCACCTTCTTCTGTACCGATGAAAAGTGAGCTCTCGGAGGAATATTCATTCCCGTCTTGGAACAATATCTTGGTTCTCCATGTTTCTGAGGTTCCAAAGCTAACAATGTTTTAACTTCTTCCTCCGAGAATGAGTCTTGCCAATTGGGTAGAACGACTCCAGGACTTGTTTTCATACATCGGAAATAACTCCATAAAAGCATGGCGAGTTCAAAGAGTCCCCACATTTGATTGAGAACATGTAAAACTCTGGTCATGGAAGAACTTCTTTCGGGATGAAAGAATGGAAAGGCAAATGGTACAATAAACAAGGCACCGACGAGATAGGCTCCACATGAGAGGGCTACCACAACTCCAGGAAGGAGAGAATTTTGACAAACTTTGATACAATTGGAACAGGGAGAATCTTTTGAGGATTTTCTATGGAGAGTTGGTGATGAAGGTCTGTGGTGATGCTGATGGGAACAAGTGCCATTGGTAGGATCGTTTTTACATGATGATGATGATTGAATGGTGTTTGAAAGATCTTGATGATTCGAGGAGGATGGATCGGAATTTTGTCGTGATGGTTGTTGAGTTGAACTTTGCGGAATAAAATTATTATTAGTGTTGTTACTATTCATATTCGATGAATTCATTGAATTTGATTGATTGGTAATGGTGAGGGTGGAAAAACCTCCCAATGAAATGGTTTGATTGGTGTTGAGGAGGGATTTGTCAATCGAAAATTGAAGCATTTTTTAAATTGGGTTCTAACAGGATGTCAAGGACAAAGTGGATAACAAATATAGTTGACAAACATCAAGGTCTCCACAAATTTCTCACACTTCATTGGAAAAAACCACACAAAACTTCAAAACAACAAATTATTGAAAAAGATCACTTCATTATTCAAAAAGTTTACAACTTCATTTCGACGATTTTTTCAACACCCATTGCACTCATGACAATGACATTGAATTCAGCACCTTCGTCGAATGCTGCCTTGATCTTTTCAGCAAGAGTTTTGTCTTCTTCAGTTTCATTTGGCAACTTGAGATCGTCTCTGGTGGAACCATCTTCCAACATGATGGAGACATATTCACCTGAAATGTCAATGACCTGATATTCGTTTCTGGTAACGTTTGGAACTGGCATGTTGTGAGAGGTTGGGCAAACGTCTTCATACTTCTTTCCGGTGAAGATATCAATACCAGTAATGTTGGCCTTGGCATGACCATGCTTACCAGTCTTTGAGGTGGTAACTTCAGTGATCTTGCATGGCTTGTCCTTGATGACGACATATCCTCCCTTCTTCAAGTTACCACTGTTGAGAGTGAGTTTCAAAATGGGATGGTTTCAATGGTGGTGGTGATTGAATTCGAATTGTTCGCAAGGAGAGAAACAACGAGTCGACAGAGTTCATGATGAGAAGGTTCATCGAGTTCAAAGGAAGAGCCACCATCATCATCATGGAAATAGGAAATAATAAACAATAACAGAATGATCAACACTAGAACAACTCAGAGTCATCAAGAACAACTTACGCTTGCATTGGGTAGGTGTGGGATGCACCAGAGGATGCAGATTCGAATGTTTGGTCTTCGTCTGTAATAATTACATGGCAATATCATATTATATATTTCAGAATAATATAATTCATCGAGAGATCATCATATTCACGTAAATTCAGGTAAGCCAACAAGCCTATTTTCAACAAGGACAACATACCAGACATGGTGTATGATTGGAGTTAGGGTATTTTTTTTCAAGAGGACAACTCAGTTGACGAGGGTTGTTTACAACGCCAGCGAAAATTTGGATTGCTCTCGACCACCCAACACAATTTATTTGAAATGCAAAATGGAATGGCGGTTTCAGTCATGTCAATCATGTTTAAATACTATTAATCTTTAAAGGTACTTTCATCCTTATTATTAACACTTGTGGAGGAGGAGTAATACACGGCTTCTCTGTGTTCGACTGTGATGCTCTGTGAATTCGCACCACTTGAATGTTTTTTTTTGCATCCTTCTTCTTCCTCTTTGTTCTGTTGGACACTCTCATCTAAAATCTCTTGGTTATAAATTTGATTCCCTTGGAGAATATCAACTTTTTGGTCATCACTACCTTGACCAGTGCCATTACTTTCTGAGAATGGGAAAAACAAAGCAGCATTGGCTGATCTTGGAGTTGTTTGCAAACACTTCTCCACTTGTTCTTGCTCTTCGACAGTGAGATGTGTCTTTGGAGGGGTCATATCTTTGAATGCAGATGTTTTCTGGATCAATAAATGCAGAATAAAGTTGTACACCTCATTTCGAGCCTCTCGACCCCACACAAAGTCATTGTGTTTGAAACCTTCGATTCTCTTGTGATAGACAAGTGAATACTGTAATTGATCCATGAGAAAACCTTCGACATCTTTTGGATTTGCCAAATAATCTTGTGAACCATAAAAGATTGCGATTGGAACATCTGTAATCTTTTTAAGATCATACTGCTCGACTTTAGGAACCTCTTTCTTACTATTTGCAGGATAGGTAAATGATTGGAATGTTTCTGATTTGATCAATTGACCCCAATGAATGAGATTTTGAAGCGATGTTGGAGATGGTTCATAGCGTGATAAAATTGGAAGGATATCATGATCAATGTTGCAATCTGTCAAAATTGACCAAGCTTCGTTGAAGAGACTTTGCGTGAGTTTTGGAAGAAATGTTCGACTCACTGATGGTGATGCAATTCGGTTCGTTTGGAAATTCGCATTTAACAGGGCATCATTGCACACAGATTTGCAACCATCGTTTTCACGATATGGCAAAAGCAATCGTAGTGTTTTGTAAGATTAAGTGTACGCAATTCAGAGGATTGAATCGTTAAAACGTTGAGCAACACTTAGACAGATACTTACATTGAGTGGCACCAATCTCTCCAATTCCAATGACTTCAAGTGTAGAAAACAAAATGTCAGTATTGAGTCGAGTAACCATGGAAAGGAGCTTACTTGTTTGATGTTTTAAAGAGCACACTGGAGCTAAGGCAATGAATAAATCAATCTTTTTTTGAAGCTCTGGAAAGAGAGACAAGGCAACAAATGCTTGTGTGGTTCCCTGTGAATGACCAATATAGGAAATTTTCTCACTCTTCGTATACTTGAGTACGTATTTGATTTGAGCTGGAAAGTCAAACTTGGCCATTTCACTAAACGAAAACCTCCAAAATTCCTTGTCTGTAAAACTATTCCATGTAATGTGTTTTCGACTAAATTGCACTCCTCGATTGTTTCCAAGCCAAACATCAAATCCAGCATTGGCCAACATGAGCGCAAGACTGTGTTTCTTTCCTCCAATAAGCCATGCTGAGCTCGAATTCAACACACCATGCTGTATGAAAACAACAGGTCTCTTTTGATTTTTTCTTCTCTCCAGCTCATCATCGAGAAGAATTTCATCTGGAAAGTATTTCAAAGAGTCGAGATCACCATGAGGAATTCTATGCATTTGCAAAACATAGCCATCGCTCGTCACTGTTTCATGCTTCTCAATGGGGAACCCTTGTTCCCTCACAAAATCAAAAATGGATTCCTGTTCTTCGTCATGATAAGTGAGCTTGATTTTTGTGTTTTTCTTGTGATAATGCAGCTCATTTTGTTCTTTAAATTTGTGGGGAGCACTCACAATATTTTCATTTACGGTAAATACGAGAGGAGTTTTGGATGGAGGTGATTGTTCGGATGATGAGATAGCCGTAGTATTGACTTGAGAAATGACTTCCCATTCGCCCAAATTGCTTCTTTCGTGTTCCATAGTTGCAAGTGAGGCTGATAATGACATATCTTGCAATGTTTTGGAAATTTGCTCCATTGAATGTTTCTCAATTTCATAATATTTAATTCTCTCATCCACTTCCAATAAGAGAGCAGTAGGCATGTGTTGGTGAATTAGTTTCGCCATACTGTTGTTCTTAGTTTGAGAATAATCTCCAAGCTCTTCTATTGCGACTTGATAGGCCACTCTTCCAAAAGAATCCTTAGCCTTCAAGACTAGATCCAAAATTTCAAAACTTCGATATTCCTCAATTAATATTTTACAAATTTCTAAATTTCCCGATTGAGCACAAATATGGAATGGAGTTCTTCCAATTTTATCTCCGTCAAGAAGAAGTGTTTTAAGCTTCTTTTCATCAACAAGCAATAGAATGTGCTTCAAAATTTCCTCGACACCACTCTTCACTGCTATGTGGATGACATTTTCTTGCATCGCTGTTGTATTGTACAAGTCACATCCCATATCAACTAGAGTTTGAATGGTTTCTAGAGGAGATTTAGACAAAATAGCACAAAAAAGTGCATTGTATTTCTCATCATTCACATCATTAATTCCGATTGTGTTCATAGTATCCAAATTTTTGCTGGAAGAATCTTTGGATGAAAATAGCGAGAGAAAGGAGGATTTTTCTGGACTCTGTGAAACTACAACTTTTTTGATATTGTCAGTCCAATCTGCAACCTTGCTATAATAGTATGCTAAATATTCTGAAGAGACGGACTTTCTGGTTGAATTATTGGAGCTATTGTGGTCATTGGAGCTTTGTCCAAGAGAGGATCTATGTTGTTGAGGGCTTGATGGCCTTGATTTAGGTTTTGTCACATCTTTCAGAATATGAAAATCGTCTCTCAAAATTGAAAGTACTGTCTGTACAACTTGATGATTTCCGGTTTGACATGCCACATGAAGAATATTATCTTCGTTTCTAGAGGCCTTCACCAGGAGAAGTTTTCGAATGGTAGAGTCCGATATGTACGGATTTTTATAGACCAAATAATTGATCATTGCTAAATCTGCTCTTCTTACAGCAATATGCAAAATCGAGCATTTTCCTAAATTTAAATAACTTGTTTTCTTTTCAATCAAAATATTTTCTATCCATACATCGTACGCGGAGTGTACTGAATTGGGTTCCTTGAGATTCATTGTTACATTTTTGTGGATGGAGGAGTGATTATTGTTACTCGTGTTGTTATTATTGTTGATCGATGAGGATGATGATTTTTCTAAAACAAGCCGTTTTCGATTCAGAATATGATCCAACCATTCCACCTGTCCTTGTTTTACTGCATTATTAATAGCCAACGCAAACCGATGATCATCATCAAGATCCATCACGGGTGGTGTAGTCTTTCCACTTTCCAAAGACAGCAGCATGTTGATGGAAGCAATACTCGCAACGTCTGATCGTAGTTTCTATTTTTTATAATGAAAATGCAAATTTGAAGGTTGCAAGATTTGAAATCATCATCATTCAATCTCTCTCGAGGTTTTGATTTGAAAGGTTGATGGACTCTTTTTTTGATTTGGAGGATCATTGAAACAATTTTCAAAGGTTGTTAAATTGGACCATAATTGTTGTTTTGCAGCAGAAGATTCATCCAAAGTTCCTTCTGTTCAACCATTTCCTGGAATCTTCTATTGATGACGGAGGCCGGGAGCGTTTTTCACTTGGCAGGCGCATTTCAACATAAATTCCTTGTCAAAAACAATTGTCTCATCTTTTGCCATACAACTTGTCGGTCTTGTTTTTCAAGCCATCCAATAAGGCAAATTGAAGAACACACAACCATATTGTCTTGCAGCTGCTAATATTCAATCTTTATCATTCATGAATTCAACATGAATTCAACGCATCTTTGTCATTCAAGTGCCAGGATACATCTGGAGCTCTGCCAGTTTCGTCTCCACAACAATGATCGACACTCAAACAAAAGCCTTTGGCCACACCCTAAAAAATGCCTCCTCGCAAGAACAGCAAGAGAAAGAAGGTCATTCCTCAGGCTCAGGCTGTCGAGTCTTCGTCTTCATCCGAAGATGAGAGGGAGCAGCAGCCGGCACAACAACAACCTTCATCGGCATCATCCATATCGGGCATGGAGGATGAGAAGGAACAAAAATCGAGTACGGAGGTGCCAATAACAACAACAAGTCAAGACGATTCATCATCATCATCCTCATCGTTAACGATACAAATGAATACATTGAATGGAGAAACGGGAAATCATCGTGATGAGAATGGTGGAAAACTATCTGCTATGATCTCTGAAGAGAAGAAACAGCAACATCAACATATCGGATTGAATGGCACAGACGGAAACGACATTAATTTATTGAACAACAGTAGCAATAATGTTACATTATTATCACCATCAGAGTATATGAAACTTATCAAGGATCATTTTATAACTTCGTGGAACAAGAATTACTCTCCCTTCAAATGGGCTTTTCATCTAAAATCAAAAAACAAGAATAATCCAGATTTTGAAAACCAAGTGATTGGTAGGTAGTTGTTTTGAAAAGTACTTCTCAATTAACGTGTTGACGTCCATATCTTGAATGTCATCGGATCACAATGGTACGGATTACATGTCATCTCGATAATATAGAATGTTTTTTAAATATTACGCTAAGAAACGTTTCACCAAGTGAAATATTCTTCAAATATTTAAATCATGCTCTAATGACGGAATTAATTTCTTTTGATATTTTCACCAAGGCATTATATGATTTGATGGTTGACAATGAAACGGAATTACGAAAAAGCTACGAAACAAGCAATAACAAGAGAATTACAAATGTTTGGAATAAGCCAACAACATGGTTTGAGCTGCTCAAACTCTTTGAATACCATGTACCTCTTGCATTGGATAAATTTGGCTCTTTGGACGCATCTAACAACAACACATCTCAAGCTGATTTTGGAGGATCATCATCTGTAGACCATCAAGGAGGTATATCGCCAAACCATGACGATGACGAAGATAATTTTTTGGAAATGGACAACAAGAAACGAAAACGAGAGTATTCTCATCCTAATGTCATTATCGATTTTATCGATAATGAAGAAATGAACAACCCTAAGCGTAGAAAATTCATCATTTCAAGCACGAAAGAGGATGTTTCTACTTTATACTACACAGCGCGAGTTATCATTCGATGCTTAATCATTATTTTACGGTATTTAACGTACTCTCTTGCTCAAACCAAACTATTTCCCGAATCTACCATGACAAATGTGTTTGGAAATATGACGACCAAAGATCCCTATGTCATACTCAACTGTGAAAAGTCAATTCAAATTTTGATTACTCAATTAGGGAATGCAAATTTTAGGACATTTCTTTTACTGAATAAGTATGAAGAAAAGCACCTGTGGGCTACATTTACCCAAGTACTGCACAAAGAAGTAATTCCTATTATATCCCATGTTAAAGGAAAACATAACGAAAACACCAAACTAGAGAGCCACTTGCTGCATTTATGGGGAGCTATTAATCAATTCCTTATCTTTTTACTGACCGTAGAAAAATCTGTTCCATATCAAGCGATTGAATTTAAAGAGTTGCAACATTCGCGACCATCCAAATCTCTTCAGTCCACTCTCAATGAAAAAACATGTTTTGTGGCCTCTCTCCTGATTGAAGATGAGATTTCAACAAAAATAATCACACGTACCAATATTCATCAAACATTCACTAGATTTGAAAACTCACGAATTTTGAAGGAGAGAAGTTTTGTAAATTACTTTCTTGATATTCTGTACACTGCTCTGGACAAGATCTATGATTTCTCTCAAGTACCCATGTCTGACCACAAACCTGGCTTTATTGTGGCCGAAAAATCTCATAAGATGCTTATCAGGAAGAGCTTTATAACATCAAAATTCCCTCTCCTGCTCAAGATTTGGAACGAAACATATTGTAATGAAAAAGATTTTTACGACCAATTTTTTGCATGTGCAAGTATCAGGAATTTGCACGCCAACTATTCCTCCAATGATATTGATATTTTAAGCGATACCAAATACAACAACATAGAGAAGGCTTTATTCATGATTTCTAAATTTCCCTGGCTAAATGACAAGACCAATCAATACGTACTGACAGAACTTATCAATTCATGCCTCTATTTAAAGCTAGTCTCTCGACAGAGTATAACTGAGCTCATACCGCAGTGTACAAGCGATGTCGTGTTAGATTTTGAGAACAATGCCGAAGAAATTCAACAAAACAAGTTTTCCAACTTCCCTGACATGAGATACATTGCAATCATGTTCAAGTGTCCTAGATTACAAGCGCCCCTAATTATTAACGATTTTGTTGAAAATTCATCAAAAGATTTCATTTCAGAAATTGACTTTCTGATTAGCCATACACATTTTCTAGATTTCATTCAATTACATGGTTATATGCCACAAGTGATGGAAAAGGTATTCCAATCGATGAAAAATATTTGGAACAACATCGATGAAAATGATATAGATGGCAGTAACAGAGATGAAAAAATTCAAACGAACTTTGCACTTGGATTTTCAGCACTGTATATCATTTTGGAAAGATTTGAGTTTAAGAAAATCAAAGAAAATAAGGACGTCTTTTTCGAAATGATGGAACGATACTTTGGGGAAGATTCACCTCTGATACATGTAAAGGAGTGGTTCAAAAACTGGTTCGAGGATCGACTCGATTCAGACAATCAATCAGACATCCAAGAAATAGGAGACAAGATTTTTCAAGAATTATTGAATTTAGATTTGCAAGCTCAAGCAGAACAAGCTAGTTATGACATGGCTGGTTTAGCCAAAATTCGAAAGGAATATTCCCCAGCACATTTACTTCGAGTGTCGTCCTATATCGCACAACAATGCTTTCTTTGGTACATGGCTCAACCAGAAGAGCTAGGAAAGAGAATTATACCAATAATCTCAACATTTATTGAACAATTTGGTTATCACACCGAAATTGGTTTTGCTTCTGGAATTCTCTTCACAGTGAATCAAGTATTCTCCTCTATGGAAAAAGCCAGTGATTCTGTTTACACATTCGTTGATGTCCTCTATACGACCTTCAAAGATTTAGAAAAGGTGAAAGGAAGCACCATTGGTTTCAACATTTCCAGTGTCATCCTTCACAATATTTTCGTCGATTCTGTCCATACCTACTATCAAAATAATAAGGAGCCAGGAAAAAAGAAAGTTCCAGCAGTTATCTTTAACTACAATAATCCATCTCTACAATCATTACTCACCGAATGTTACTTGATCACAGGACAAAATGTGGAATGGCAAGTTGCCATGACACCACTTCTGCTCCTGGATGCAACTCCAGCCAACAGTAATTCCATCGACTACAGGAAAGGTGAACAGGAAACTGTACTTCTTCCCAAGGCAAAAACTTTTGGCAGCTCAAGTGTTGGTGTTACTTCTTCGTCGTCTTCTGCTGTTTTGCAGACTTGGGTACAACAGGAATTTGAAAATATTTATCGAAGTTTAACCATTGGTGGTAGCTTGACATCACTCAACACGATTGGTCTTATGAAACCTTCCATGTTTGATTCATTTTTCACACTACGACGAGCGTATCGATCCATGGGATGTCTCAATTTCCTTAAATTCATGATTGATCAAATTTATGAATGTCTTTTAAAGGAGGAACAAGAACCATTTGACGGATTTAGAGTGACAGAAGCAGCAGCATTTATGTTCTACATTAGTGCTGGGGAAGATGGAGTTGAAACATTACTTCAGAAGGCATCAACATCTCCAGAAGGATTGTTTGAGTTTTTACTGGCACACCATGCCGAACAAACAAAACAATTCTTTGAAAATGGAACATTTATTTATTCGAGACAACGAAGTGGTTCTTCCATTCAAGGCATTTCAAATGTGGAATATTTGTCCATGTTAAGTTCTCTGCTGGCATATTTTACAGTGTTTGTTTTGAGCTTGCGAGAACAGTTTGTTCCAACATCAATACGAGCAGATTGTAGGCGGATTGACAAGCTTGTGCAAAAATTCATTCAACATCTCATTGAGGAACATGCTGACAAGGTTGTGCACGAAGATAAGCATCACATGACACATTTTACATTATGTTTTATGGAACAAATTTCCAAAATACCAGAATTGACTCACCAAACTCAACAAGTTCTTATGGAGAGTCCAAGTTGCTTCCCTAAATTTTGTAAGATTATCAATCGGACAAGAAAAGAAGCATCACAGTCGTTCTTGTTCAGTTTCGGAAGGCGGGCTGGCTTTTCGAACGAGTTGGTTGTTAGTTTTTTGAAAGAAACAACGAATTAGATCTAATTCTCTCTTATAAAATCAAATAATAATTTATTATTGAAAATTGTTTTTGCAAAGTACATGGTTTTCAAATGATTTCTGCTGCTATTGCTGATCAAAGTTCAAACTTTTCAATTTTTCCAAATCTCCATCGTTAAGTGCTTGAGGGCGATGATTTCGAGAAACAGGTCGTGCGTTGTTTTCAATAATAACGCTTTGATTGGTAGTGAATAATTGATCGTAATAGCAAATCATTATTTCCGTGGCATATGTCAAAGGTCCATTATCTTGAAGTGCCAATAAAGGATTAGGGCTGTTAGATCTAATAATATTTGGACCAAAAACAATTGCCAAATTATGTGCATTCATCATGTTTTCTTCAGAAAGGGTTTGAAGATAATACAAGAGAGAAAATAATTCCTTTGCTAATTCAAAATGATATTGAGGCAACTTGGCAATAATGATCTTTAACCTTTCAATAATGATTGACGTAGAACTTCCAGCCTCTGTTGTGTTTGTAATCATTACACGTTTTTTTCCAAAAAAATGTAATATTACATAAATGGTGTAACCAAGATATGTTCCAATGAATTGTTCATATTAATTAACGATCAGCTAGTTGTAAAAAATAGTCATCTACTAACCTTTCACAGCATTAATAATTTCATCATATATTGAATACTTGAAAAGAGGATCAGGTAACTCACGGAAGAAGAGCTTAATCAAACTTGAAAGAACGTGGCAATCGACATGGTGCAAATCCACATTCGAGCCATGATTCAATAAAATCTTGAGTTGATTAACAGTAGCTTGGTTTCCACTAATTCTGAAAATACCTCGTGTGTCTGCATGATGGTTTCTCATAAAGTCCATACATTTCTTGATTGGAGTTGGAACTAGATTTCCAATACAATCCTTTCGATTGGTCATTACGTCTTCAAGTGGAACTCCAAAGAGAGCATATTGATTACTCTTAATATTATTTTGCATGATATCGTATGCAACTGTGGTTGGTGGTAATGGGAGAGTCTCTTCTGGAATATCTTTGTAAATGTCTTGAATAGAATCTACGAGATGAAGTTTTTTCCAGAATTTTTCACTCACAAATGGAGAGAAACATTTCATAATGACCTTAATCATCATGGTTGGATGAAGAATGTACAAAGACTTGAGATTCTTCTTGTATTTTCTAGTAATGGTTCTATAAACGTTTAACATCCATGAAAATCCGGGGCGAGCTTGTGATGTCGAGTTACTCACACACCATATCATGACATAGTCATTTTCTACGACCTTGTCCAACTTGGCAATCATGTAAAGGAGAGTTCTTTCCAAGTCTTCTTTTCTAATCTTCTCTTCAGAGAAGATGACAACTGGACGTCCTTGTGGATCGGTGTGTCTGCATGTGAGGACGTTCATGGCTTCTAAATCTCTGACATCCTCTTGTTTGGCTTTCTCAAGTAATTCCAAGTATCGTTCAGAGTCTTGATACTTTTTGTCTTCCTTTGATGTGACAGAAGATGATGTGAGTGTGTTACTGCTGCTATTATTGCTGCTCGATGAATGATTGATAATTTCGGTTTTGATCGCCTCTTCAATTTTTGGCAATCTGTTCAAAACATTGATCAAGTCTTTACAGTTTTGATTGTTCTTTTCAAGAATAGTCTTTTCATGAGTCTTGATCAACATTTGAACGTTCATTGCATCTTGAATGAGTTTGTCGTCGTTTGAAATGACCTTGCTCTTCACTTTTTCAGGTACTTGTTTTTCCATAGCTTCCAATTTCATTTCGCAGTCAAGAGTTGCACATTCCACAAGGAATTTTTTGGCTTTCTCAATGTATTCATTGATGAGAGGATTAAGAGGGATCATGAAGGTTTCCTTTGCTCCAAATTCGAATCCGTTTGCGATTTGTTGAATCACTTTTGATATCAAGACCAAGTTTCTTCGTTGTTTGGAATGAATCTTGACTTCTGTTGGTAATATTTCTCTTGACTCTGGATAAACAATGGTTGGATTAAACAGTCTTAGGAAAACAAAGCTAGCAATGAGAGTTTCAGCATTTTCGACTCGATACTTGTCACGACACATTTCATAAATAACTTTGCAAATGTATCGGATATTGAAAGGCATAGATTCTAAGGCTTCACGAGACAACATTCGATCTAAAAAGTATCTACAAAACAGATTCAGATTTTCCAAATTTTCTTCTACTCGCATCTCATGATTAGGTTTTCCTTCAAAGTTTGTATTTTCCAAGGATGGCAAATCAGTGTCTGACTCCATTCTGGCATTGGATTCGAATTTGTTCGGATCAATTTCTAAATCAAGAGCCTCGTCGAGGAGAACCTTTTTCATTGGTTCTAAAAGAATGCTCTTCAAATAATCGACACCTTCCGACTTCACAATATTGTCCATTATTTTAGTGGCAATTGTGTTCCCTCTCATGATCACCAAACCGCTTCCAGTCGGAGTGGTAGATGTATCTGTTCCTCTTTCAAATTCAATTCCAATTAACACCTTGTTCATAAAACACAAGGTAGAGAGTGCGTTTGCAAGTTGATATAGTGCTGATGCCATCTCGTCCAATTCTGAAGAATTCAAAAGTCGTTGTGAATAAAGGGCAGAAAGGAGGCTATCATCATTTGTGAACAAATGCGTCAATGGATGTTATTGTTGGTTCCGAAAATTGTGTATCATGACAGAAAATGACACGTTAAAAGTGACAAGAAAAATTTGATTATTCACGCAAGTGAGAAAGTCATCACAAAAGTTACAGTGCAATAGTTATTAAATTGGTCATTGTTTCATTTCAATTTCCATAGTCATCCACAATAATTTCATTCATCATCATTGAAATGTTTCATCCGTTACAACACCAAAACGATGAAAAATTTTACCAACCTTGGACTCGTCGTAATGACCTGAGCAAATTGATCGTAATCCAGAGCTGTCTTCACCATGGTGGATACCAACCGATGTGTATGAGCACCCAAATTATCTTGAGAGGGTAAAACCGGCAATGAAGGTCTTCCCATAGTGGTGGTGGTGTTGGTGTTGTTGGTGGAGGTTGTGGGCGAAGAGCTCGGATGATGATGGCCAGCAACAAGTGTGGATCCACCGCTCCCAGGCAAAGGTCTTATCGTTGTTCGTGATCGCGAATGAACTCCACTGGTACTGCCATTATTGTTTGTGGGGGTAGTAGGAAGGACCTTGTACGAAGAAGCCTTTGCGGGTGGTTCTTGTTGTTGTGGTGGTGATGAAGCTGAAGATGAATCACTCATATTTTTTTTAAAAATCATGACAAGGAACTCGTGTTGGCCTTTTTTTGCGACCCAAAGAGTGTGAGAATCAAAAAGACCACCAAATGTTTGAATATCAGGCACTCACTCAGCGAAGAGAGAAGAAGTCTTTTTACAAGGACACCATGTTCTTAAATGACAAGAAATGTATGATATGTATATATGTATTCAACGAATTTAATAAATGACACCTGCCATTGTCGTGCCAAAAGGATGTCAAGCCTTACTCGACACAATCAAGCCTTACCACATTTTTACCGCTTAAACACTACAATCCATGTTTGAAAACACCTTAAATTGTGACAAGTGCATGCTTTGAAGACCAAACCATCCACAAAAAAAACAATGCAAGCACTTTCAATCACTTGCGATCCATTAGACACTTCAGGTTTGTTGCACCACATGTTGCAGAATGTTTCAAAAGAGACTGTACGTGCATGTTCCAAGGAAAACCTAGAGTTTTTGGCCAGAATTTTCAAATTACAATTCTCTTCAGATGATGATGATGAGGATGTTGAGGCTTTGGTGGATTCTTTTTTTGAGAGAGGTTACTGTAGAGATGCATCTAGCACTTTGGAGGACGGTTCAACATCAACAACAAGCACGTTAACATACACCCAAGAACTGGAAAAGGTTATTGAGGCTCAACAAGATATCCTTGAAACAGAAGATATAATTGCCTCTGTCAGTGGTTGCGATTTACCCTGTAAACGAAGCCGATGAGGAGACTGTTTATGTTGTTTCAAATATTCTCCAGCATGCTACGAGCCCTGTTTCAGTTCGTCCCTCCATGCGCTTTTACAAGCAGAAGAATTCTCTCGCTGGCCAATTGTGATCAAGAGACTAAAAATTTATTGAGGTATATGTACACCGAATCCAGTTGGGATTCTAACTAAGGACACAAGGTCCTTAGTCTTCAATCTTGTCAGAGTAGTAGTATTTGTGGCATCTGCCAACGAAGAGGGCTAACAGTACTTGGATTTCAGGCCAATTCTTTTCAATTGCTGGGACGTGCCTTATCGCATCACTATCTGGAGGTAGGAAACCGGAGTGATGGACGTAGAAAATGGACGATGTGGATTAAACCACGAATTCGAATCTGTGATTGTACATGGTTGGGAAATCAAAGAAGAGATCTTCATTTCACAGAAGTATCTCGCAGGGTCAAGCTTCTGACATTCATGTATGTAGTGGTGGAGATTGGACTCGACTTCACAGTCTGGGCAATAGGAGCCTGTGAAGTGTCTAATATGAGAGTCGGTAATATTTCTCCAGACTGCATACTTGTAATTTGGTGAGATTTTCGCTTTCAAGAATCTAATATTGAGGGATTTTCGATGAACATGATCAATGAGGTTGGGATTGTCATCTAATTTTGTTGTCATTTCCTTGTGGTGAAAGGTCCGTGTCATTTCTCTTTGATTGAAAATGATGATATCTGTTTTGGTAAGAAGTCGTTGTTTACCAAAGAGTTGTCTGATGTCGAAAATTGTGGGTTGTGAGAGACTTTGTCTGGCTAGAGCGTCGACCTTAATATTCTCAGGGTCCTTATGTCCCTTTACTTTCTTTAGAGAAATTTGAAGACTTCTAGCTCTAATAATTTTCTGAAATTCTCGATAGAAGAGGAATCGTCCTCGATAGTTCTTTTTGAGAGCTTGGATTGCAACTTGACTGTCTGTATGGATTGTTGTTTTGGAGCGGTTCGGTAGAAGATGAATAGAAGTAAGGATGGATGCGAGTTCAGCAATGTTGTGTGAATATCCATCATGAATTCTGAGAGAGTGTGAGTGTAATTGTTTTGGAGTGTGACTGTGGTCGTAAATGTTGATTCCCATTCCAGATTTCCCATTCTGTCGGGATCCAATCAAGAGACTAAAAATGATGCAAGAGAGAAGAAGAGAAAATTTATCTCTCGAGACAAGACTTGCAAAGCTCGAAGAAACCCAAGCAACACTACAAAACGAGCTAAACAGGGCCAACCATCGCCTTCGGAGCGGTTCGGTACTGTACACCACTCTCCGTAAATTTGGTAATTTCTTCACCATACGAGAAAAGAAAAAATCAATAAAATTTTAATTAAAAAAATTTAAAAAAAATTGCCATTGCTGGATTGATGATCATCATTATCATCATTGTGATATAAATCTTTGAAACAAAAAAATAGCGAGTATTTTGTCCACCACTTTCACCACTTTCATCAAGTATTATCGGAAAAGATGAATATTATGTTTTTAATTGATACATCCTCGTCGATGAATCAGTTAACAACAAATGGCATGAAATTAATAGATATTGCCAAATATTGTGTTGAACACTTTATCAAGTCCCGACAAAAACATCTTCATCAACACCAAAAGAAGGACAATTATTTGTTAGTAACTTCGGGTCAGAAAGTTGTGGTCGGATGGAAAGACAGTGCGGATAGTTCCATCTTCTTACAACGATTAAAATCACTCAAAGCCAACGATCTCACGGAAATTGGTCCCTCTTTGAAAAAGTGCTTTGATGTATTGAATCAACATCGTCTTCAAAAATCTGTGGATCATTACGGAATGGGAAGATATGCGAGTGCCGCAGAGAATTCGGCCATCATTCTCATTACCGATGGAGAACGCTTAACACATTCTTATAATCCATACTTGAGTGCTGCCGATCAGAGGCAGATGGCGATTGATTCAAAAACTAGTTTTGATGTCAACAAGCTGACATTGCCAAATCCACATACTTATTCAACCAAGTTAACGGAGGAACCCTTTCGATGGGATCAACGAGTTTTCAGTATTATTTTGCAATTCCAAGCGGTTGGCACAACTCTGACAACCATCTCTCCTTCTGCCTCAGTTCAGCCCTCCGTGCTCAATCAGCAACAAGAGAAGCAAAATCAACAAAATCCATTAACTGCAGGACAAACACCAACCATCACCGACAATCCAATTGCACCTATAAGCGAAGTGACTGGAGGTCTCTCACGAACTATTTCAAACATGACAGCTTTGTTAAAGTTCATGGAGGATTTATCAGCTGTACAATTATCTCGACCATCTGTAATTGTAAATTTTGAAATTGTCAAAACTTTGAGCTTGAAACAACTAAGTCTATTCCCTCCATCCAACAATGAAGGACTAGGAAAAACACTTCTTCAACTGATATCCCAGCCACAACCAAACAAGGAAACGTTTTGGCCAATTCCAGAGAACTACTTACCAAGTCCAAATATGACAGAACTTCCAACACGAAGGGCTCAACCATCTATTTCTCTTCTTTACACTGAGAAGAACGACATTTTATTGACCATGGCTTTTAACAAGTTTCCAATTTATGACATTTTCGAAATTAATGTCAACAGCCCAATAGGAAAATATGTGATACAACACTCTAGTCGAGAGGGTTGTTATAAGGCATTTGTGACAAATAGCACCCCAAGCAATTATGGATTTGGAGAGAGTTTTGGATTTTTAAAGCGCCTCACTATTCCACTCCCAACAGGAGAGTTTGAAAACAAACTCTATTTTTATTTATTGCCCTACAATTACATGAGACTTTTCTATTTGATGAATGAATATGTCAATACTCACAAGTCGCAACCATCCTCTGCATGGATTCAACAGTTTCACAAATTTGTACAGAATCTACCTCCTTATTATATCAAACCTTTGAAAATAGCCATGAACAAGTGGTTTAATGGAAGTTTTAATCATTTTCCAGATGTTCCATCAGAACTACCTCTTCCTTTACAGAACTATTACAAGCAATTGGTGGAGGAAGAAAAGAGATTTAACAAAGACTTAGAGGCAGAAAATGAAAATGTGGGAGGTGCTCCTTTTGGTAGCACTGACGTTGAATTTACCGATGCAACTGCTGGAAGTGGCGGATCAGTTCAACGCGAAAATTCTTCCACAACAACAGCAGCCAACAAAAAGTTCATAATACGAAATCCTTTCGATATTGACCGATCCAATCTCTTGAAACAATTCAAGACCATGAGCTCTCATCTCTTTAACATGGAATTTCACGACATGGAGGATGAGACAGAAAAATCAAAATCTCTCGATGAACACTTACGAAAACTGTCCAAAGAGGAAATTAACAAACATTCTATTCCCATTTCACAAATGGGTAATTTCGACAAGGTTCTCACATCCAAAGAAACATTGCGAGATCCATTCGACACCCAAAAACAAAAACAGCTTACTTTTGGAAGTCCATATCAAAAAAAGAAAGTTAAAAAGATGAGATCCATTCTGATCCATGCACCCTTACTATTGGATAAGTTGGTAGATGAGTCTGAAATGGATATAAAACAAAAGGAAGAAGAAGAATTGAACGAACGTGAGGCCCAAACTCCAATATTCATTGAAGATGCCACGTTGAAACCAACAGCATCAGAAATGGGATCTCCATTGACAAGGAGTGATGTCATGCCGAATGAAGATATCACCACTCCATCTGAGCAAGTTGAGGCTATGATCTCTTTCACACCAGAGAAGGAAATTACATCGGAAGAAGGTGTCAGCAATGGTGGAATAGTGAGCAGCACTGAAGACGAATCATTACTGCCAACTCCAATTATGGAGAATGCATTCACTTCTGCCTACTCAATGGATACCGATGCATTCTTGACTCTCAATAAGCCACCAACGTCGAGCGCTACTGGTGTATCATCTTCAACTACCGTTGCAAGTGCTGGAAAGGCAGCCAACTTTAGACCACCCTCAACAACTCGCAAAACCAAAGTGAATCCTCAAAAAGAGCAAGCCCAAATATTGATCGATAGTTTGCAAGGAGCAACCGAACCTCTTAAACTCATTTCTCAGACCAATGATCATTTGTTGAACGCAATTGTGTCACGATCACTTCAACTGGAGCAGATCGAAGGGAAACGCCGACAACAATTAGATAATATACGAGCAAGTATAAAGAAACGAAAACGTGCACAACGAAAAGACAATGAAGATAGCATGATGGAAGAACGAGAAATTGCCTCGGAGGTGAAAAAGGTTCATTTTCCCAACAAGGAGACAAAAATTGCATTCATTAAGGAAATTATATGCATGGCAGCTCAATTCAAAAAGTTAAAATTGGCACAAATGTTAACAGAGGAATTAGGCTCCCATACGGTCGCCAACACCAGCTCTACAATTTGAACAATTTCCTTGTGAGTTGTCGATACTTTAAAAATCCGAATGATCATTCATTTAGCCTTTTTAACCTTATTTGGAATGCACGTCCACCAACCAAAAATGAATTTAGACATTTTCCAAACAAATGAATGATGGATATCTTGAATCAGACGGTGTACTAGTATCTTACACGATAATAATTGAATTTGAATATTTATTATTGGTTGATTACACACGGAATGAGCATACTACAAGTCTGAAAAAATGATTACCTATTTAATAGTTCAAGCATTGTTGCGTACTCTCGTCTTCTTCTTTTCTCTTTACAGAAAATCATTCGGGAGGTTAATCTTTCAAGCCAAATTCATGAATCGAAAACAAACTTCAGCCTCCATGGTTTGGAATTATTTGGTGCGAAAAGGATTGGAAAATGGATTTAAAAAAGTTTCGGAATTACGAGAGTATACAAGAAAGAGCAAATCAATCTTATATCCTCCTCTTCAATCGCCCATTTTGGGTTGTGTGAGTAAGATGGAGAAGGTGGACGCCTTGAGAGGATCTTTCTGGTTTGCCATGAAAAATTGTGAGAGGCCGTACTATTGTGACACACATAATTCTCACCCAAGTCTTGATCATGAGAATCCAAAGGTGATGATGTTTATTCATGGAGGAGGACATGTGAGTGGTGGTGCTCTAGGAATGGAAGCCCAAGCTATGCTATTTGCTGTTAGAGACTATAACATGAGGATAAAGAATTCATTGGCTCCTCCATGCAGCCATGTATTGTCTGTAGAGCATCGTCTATTGGCAGATCCTGATGAATATAGCACTATGGATCGAAATTTACTGACCAATTCGGTGGAAGAACAAATTGAGGATTGTTTACAATGTTTGAAATGGTTTGTCTATGAGAAACACATTCATCCAAGAGGTATCGTTTTGGTTGGAAATTCATCTGGTGCTAACTTAATTGTGAATATGATTTTACTGAAATTGATTAACTCTGAAAGTACGAATGGCAGAAACAGTAGTAATCCGAATGGGGATGGCAAAGATCCATCACAAAATGAATTATGGCCTGTTCATTCTGTTGCTCTCTTTTCAACCTCATGTGACATTTCCAGAACGATTATTCATCAAGATTTTGTGAAAGAAAACTTTATAGTTGCCATTCCCACCAATCTTCAAGAAATGTTTGAAAAGTGTTTACAACCAGAAGACAAGATGAGATATTCTGTTTTGAAAAATTTGATAAAAATGGAAAAGATCGACAAGCAATTGTATCACAAACTTTTCCAATGCAAATGGGTCGTTAATTACAGCAAGCATGAGGAGTTGACACCTGAAAATGATTATTTTGTGAATTTATTGAAACAACATGTTGACCAAGAGGACAAACTGAAAATTATCACCGAAGATTACCAAATGCATTGCTATTCAATTGGGTACAGTTTAGTGCCGGAAGCAAGACGAGGAGTACAACAAAGTTTGGAAGCATGCATTCCATAGTATAATCATGTCTTCAAATGTTTCAGAGTCTCTGAATTCAGACTTCATGGATTAAATATTAATAATTGAACGTTGTTTCAAAAATTCTGAACAACCATATCCAACACGGTAAATTCTACAAAGGTGGCACTACTCAAGTGACACGCCTTAAATACAATATCATAAGAGTCACCAATGAAGGACAAGTGTTCATTTGTCACTACACAGGAATCTCCTCGACCAAGTTCAATTACGTTAATGTTCTCGACGCTCTCATGATGCTGGGAATGATCTCTACCATTCTTGAGAACATATTGAATTGAAAGAAGAGGATATTCTTTTCTCAAAGACTTGTCTTCGCTACAATTAATGATACTTTCATTATTTCCCCAATATGGAACATGAACGAATAATCTCCGTCCTCCTCTCAATTCATGTGTCACTTCTTTACCGAATTGTAACAAACTCGAAAGGGCAAAGAAATCTTGATCCATTCCAATGATTTCATTAGAATTAGCTGTTTCCTTGTGGTTCTTTTGAAGAAGCGGATGGAATCAATTCCTTTGGAGCGATCATGAGATGGAGTTGATTGAGTCGTTTCTCTTTTGAAAATTCAATCCTTTGATATCGAGGAGGAGTATTCAGAGTTCGAGGTTTCACCCAAATTTGTAACAATTTGCATTTCTCGCTCGAATGCTTATTCATCTCGGAGTGATGCATTCCGATTCCGGCGGAGGTAAATTGCACCGTTCCGAAACGACAGTGGTGAGCGTTTCTCATCGAGTCATAATGCGACAACTCTCCACTCAACACATATGTGAAAATTTCATAATTTTGATGAGGATGCATTCCAAAGCCATGATTCGCTTCAATGCAATCTTCATTGAACACTTGGAGTGGAGAATTACGAGGAAGAAGTGAATGAGAATGAAAGGCTTCGAGCCATCCTTGTTTGAGATGTTTGCGTTGCTGAGAAGGAATGAGTTGAATGGAAAGGATATTATTGGTTGGAGAGTTCATTGTGTGTTTGGTCTGTCTGTTATCAAGAGGGTTTGTTTTTTTTAAGGCGCTGTTGGTTTCAAGGTGAAACGTTGACATTAGGTATGACAGTTGCAGGTCGAGCTTGTCCTTCGACACGTTTTATACGCACGCTTGACCCGATGACATTTGATAGTTCTGATCAAAACATGACAAGTAATATTCCTCAAACGATGAATGAGCCAGATAGGCCATTAATCAGTAATTTCATTCCATATTTTCTTCATAGTGCTCTGAGCCCAAAAGGTAATACAATCATATAATTGATCGAAGAATTTCAAAAATTTGTGAAAAGGTTTGAACAATTAATTTGGAAACTTTTGGCGTTAAAAAAAAATGTGTGGCATTGGAGCTCGTTTTTTATTTCCAATAACATCGACTTTGGCTTCTTCTTCATCGGAAGGAACAACCACAAAGAATTGTTGTACGAGTGATGATACATCATCATCCACAACAAGCACTGAAAATCTTCATCGGAATGAAAAGAATAACACTCTGAGTGGATTGGAAAAATTGCACTTTTTATTACAGTATGGTAAATTACAAGATGGTAGTGAACAAGACATCCGTGAAAATACTAGTTCTATAGATTCAACGATAGAGCAAGATTTGAATGATGATACTGATGATGGAAGAAATGAAAGTATGGATGAAAAGATGGAAAAGATTCGGAACATTGGATTTCAATCCTCTATCAGAAACAATGAAAGGACTCCCGAACAAATGATTTCAGATGCATCTTCATCCTCTACAACCATTACAACCACTACTAATTTGGAATTGTATAATCTTGTTGAGGAAATTTCTAGAGCAATTTCATCACGTGGTCCAGATGCAACCACTGATAAAAGCCTTTCATTTGGAAATGATATGCAACAACAAATTCAAGTGACATTGATTGCCAGTTTGTTGGCACTGAGAGGAGATCGACCATTTCCACAACCTGTTTCTATGGATCATGGCAATAATACTCACTGGTTAATTTGGAATGGTGAAATATTTGGCAATGAATATTTCAGAGAGTGTGTCATTGAACACGGAAATGATACTATTTGTTTATTGAGCCATTTAGTGAATTGTAGCAATGAAACAGAAGTTTTGAACACGTTCGCGAATATTGAAGGACCTTTTGGATTTGTTTATGTAAATACAACTGATAATTATTTATTATTCGGAAGGGACATTTTGGGACGAAGAAGTTTATTGTACAGCATGAATGAAAGTGGAAACGAGCTTGTTATTTCGAGCGTGGCATGCCACATTCCTGGTTTTTCGCAATGGAGATCTATTGGAGTGAATGGAATTTTTAAACTTTCTCTAAATCCAAACCAAACATTACAAGAATCGTTAGAACTCATTGAGTGGAATGAAATTTATAGTAGAACCCAAAAAAAACCTCTTATTTCAGATCGTCATCTTATTGAGCCACCATCGACGATCGCAAATGCCTCAGAACAAGAATCAGTACCACTAGTTGACTCTGAAACGTATGAACATGTGGTCGATGAATTTATTGAACACCTTTCGAAAGCAGTACAAAAACGAGTGACAAATATTTATGACAATACTCAGGGACACGACGAATCATTGCCAAAAGTGTGTATACTTTTTTCAGGAGGTATTGATTCTGTCATTCTCACAGCGTTGACCCATTTGAATCTAGTCGACAATGAAAAAATGTCGATAGACTTGCTCAATGTTTCATTTGGTACAAATCAACAACAACAAAGCCAATCGGCTGACAGAAAACAAGCCATTGAAGCTTGGGAAGAATTAAGCCAATTATATCCAAGTAGGAATTTTCGACTTGTTCTCATTGATGTAGACTCAACAGAGCTAGATCGTCATAGAAAGACTATTGAAAAGTTGATTTATCCCCAAAATACTGTGATTGATTTTAATATTGGTTCTGCATTGTGGTTTGCATCGAGAGGTCATGGCTATATCTACAATCCATCATCGAAAGACTCCAAAATTGTTTACACATCACCAGCTCGCGTCATTTTATGTGGAATAGGTAAGTGAAATGCATGGAAATGTAAAAAATGTAACATTACGTGATACTCAAATATATATATATTATAAACCAATAGGTTCAGATGAACAGTTAGGTGGGTACAAAAAACATTTTAAGAAATTTAAAAGAGAAGGTTGGATTGGCCTCAATAATGAAATGGATATGAACATTAAGCGACTGTGGATTCGAAATTTGGGGCGTGATGATAGAGTCATTAGTGATCATGGAAGAGAGTCCAGAAATCCTTTCTTGGATGAACCATTCATCAATTTTTTGCGAGAGCAGCCACTATGGTATTTGGCAGATTTTACTAATGTCACTTCACCAACGAATTCTACGGACAATTCTGCTTCCGGGTTGTTGCCAGGTGATAAGAAAATTCTCAGGAGAGCTGCTCAGAAATTGGGCTTAAAACGATCATGCATGTATGTGAAGCGTGCCATGCAATTCGGGTCAAATGTGGCCAAGATTTCGTATCGAAAACAACATGCAGACACAAAGATTGATATTGATTATTGATCGAAGTATTTAGCTTGGTGTTAAAATTATTTGACCATCGCTCAACAGCCTCAACAAAATTAAAGGAAAGCTGCAATTTCAAACACAATTTATTGTTTACCAAAAGTCTTCATCCTTGACTCCATCAGCGTTATGTTCCTGTGACAAAGATTCTTCATCAGCCATGGAGAGAAGAGAAACAAAACTTTGCTCGAGTGGCTGATCCTCTTCTGGCTCGTTTCCAAGACTAGGTTCGTTTCCTCTTCCCTGGTAGCTACGGCCTGTCACCACAACCTTGGCGCTGGAATCATCCACGAATTCAAAGTGATTAACAATAACTGTATCTCCAGCTTGAATGGGGTTAGGATTCACGTATGCATCGGAAATATCAGAATTCAATACACCATCCTTGTCAACTTTCACTTGATATTCCATTCTGAATTGAACATATGGATCTTCCTTCACGCCCATCCTCTCTTTGAACGTTTTAACTTTTCTTTGGAGATAGTCATCGAATGAACTGCTCCTCATGCCCGTTACCATTTCTCTAAATTTCTTTGCTAATTTTTTGCTTGGTGATTCATCCATAAATGTTCGATTCGCTTCAAGGGCATAACAAATTTTTGTACAAAGTTCATCATTTAACTCTACGATATTATCTGTATCAAATGAACCTTGAAAGTTTGGTGGAAGAATATTCGTTGTTGTTTTTGAAATGGTATCCACAGCAAGTGAGAGTGTTTCTATAATACTATTGCATGCATCCTTATAAATTTGATCGTTGAATGTCATGTGTCCTGTCTCTGTTTTGCAAGTGTATGCAGAGAGTTTGATCATAGTTTGTCGTAATTTTTTGATGACAATTCTCAGTACCGATTCGGTAAACTCAAGAAAGCTCTCTTTGGTTGTATCATGAAATACTAGTTCAGGAATTCCATTAAATGTGCTTTGTGACTCACCAACAAATACATAATCCTCTTGCTTCTTTTTCAACTGTTGGTCATGAAAAAGAATTGCATCCACAAAATAATCTAAAATAATTTTCGCAAATTTAAATTCATCATTCATGAGAGCAGAAGCAATGGCAAGTGGAGCAATTTTAGAAAGACATTCAATATTGTGTTTTCGTGTCATGGCGACTACTCTCATAAACTCAATTGGAGAATACTCGCTGCACAAGACGGAAGCAATGGATGCTTTCTTTGGTTTGTGCATCATGGCCTGAGCAAGTATGTGATGTAATTGTTCGGGATGATTCTTGTAGTATCTTCCAAAGAAGAGTGTGAGGGACCTCAAGGTTTGAACGTCTAATGAATTTAAATTTTGTGCATTTTACAAATTAGTAAATTTACAAATTTGTGTACCAAACACAAATATTTGAAGATGATGGCCAATGTACATTGAATTATAATTAAATATAATTATTAATAATCAGAATATGATAATACATGATTCAAAACGGTTAATAAATTCAACATCAAGAGCCAAAAAACTTACCCATCAAATAAAAGTATGATTTCGTCCTTTCCATAATTTTCCGAACATCATCGATTTTGTTCTCTTTCATGGCCATGTCTAAAGCAATCGAATATAAAGCAATATGAGACGTTCTTGATTCGTTAGGATGTTTCAAAGCGTATTGTTCAAGAGAGGAAATACAAGTAGAAATCTCCTTCATGTTCTTGGCATCTCGGAATTGTTTGGCTAATTCTCGGAGTGATGTTGGAGAAGGAGAAGAGGATGAAGTCATGTTAGAAGTTGTTGTTATTGTTGTTGCGCGAGTCTCTGAGGATGATGAAAAAAGCGAACAATGATAGTTCCTTCTTCCTCCTCCTCCCATATAAGAAGAGGTTTCATCATCCCACCATGACCACAACGACGCATTGTCTCGAAAGTGTCCAATAATATTGGATGGATTAAAATGTGTTTTATGTACAACATCAGCAGAATGACTTGTTTTCATGGGATGAGTACGACTCCGATGGAAGTGAGTACAATATTGTAAGGCACCACCACCACCGCGTGTGGAATGTGAAGTGGTGGTACAACTACTTCTCATGATCATCAGGGATAGCATCGTCACTGAAGAGGAGGTGTGTTGCTGTTCTTGTGAGAACGAAAGAATCTTTTTTGATCTCAAAAGTCGATGAGTGACCATTTTTTTGTGTTATTGTTGCTGGCACTCCATGTTGTTGTTGTATTAAGGTGTGATGACAAAAACCCTTTTCGAGAAGTTGTCACAATTCTCGCTTGTGACCTCTCCATTACATCAACTGAACAGTCATTCGAAAAGGAATGAGAAAAGATGATCCACCAAACCGAATGCGTGGCGACCATCACCTCTCAAATTCTCCTCCTCCAGAAACAATTCGTGGTAAAAACAAGGCCTGATTGGAGGTGCTTGAACTTCCAGTGGTCACTCTCTGGGATGAAGACATTGTGGTCGATGTGGTGTAATATTCGGAGCTTGCATAGGGAGAGTAATTCTTGAGCTCATTCATAATTCTCTCTCGTTCTTCTGCTGAAGGTGGAACTCGAACTTTTCGAAAAGGTGAACCCAATGGCTCCCATTGGTGAATGATATTAACATTAATGAGAGAACTACTTGGAGGAATGTTAGGCCGAGAGAAACTCTCCAACAATCTTGAGTAGGATCGTTTAGGTCTGTTTTCCTTATCGACACCCTGCTTGGGCTTCTCGAGCAATACTTCTCTCGAATTGATACGAACACCCTTACTGAGTCCTGCCTTAAATTGCTGCTCTGCAATGAACTTGGCAGCATGGATGACACCCCATTTCTTTAAAGCTTCCTTTGGAATTTGCACATATTGATTGGTCTTTTCATCGAAAATGATAATATTCTTGGAGATCTCCTGAGGTGGTTGTGGCTGCTCCAGTTTCACAGGGGTTGAAGGTATGTCTTCAACGACACTCTTGCTGACACCTTGAAGAAATGAATCCCAATTCAGATCCTTACTATCACTCGATGAACCAATGGCTTCTTGAATTGCATCTTTAAGAATTTGTGTAATCTCTCCAATCGAAGAAGGGACGATTGGTTGTTGGGGCGGTTGTTGCAGAGGAGAGGATGAATAAGAAAGGCCATACGACTGACGCAATGGAATGTAATTTCTTGAGGATGCTGCCGATGAAATAATTGGTCGAATGCTTTGATACTTGTTTTGAGAGGAGGTAGGTAAAGATTGTGAAAGCACATTGGGTGAATTCAGCTTTGCCTTCATTAGGTTCTTCATCTTTTGAGAGGAAATGTCCTTCTTGTTGCTTGCCGAAGATGGCTTTGAAGAAGTATCTTTCAATGGACTCTTGGATTGGATGGGTTCTTCAGTTTTTGGAGTTTGAGTAAGAGGTACATGGTTGGGTCTAACTGTTTTGGCGCCACCACTAGCATTAGGGTCGTTTTTCTTACTGGCAATTACCCTGTTTTTAGATAGATTTCTGTATTCACCATTTCTCTTTCTCGAAGGTGATTTATATCTTCGTTCTCGTAATCGTTGTAGTGCTTTGAGGGTTTTCTTGAGGTCCAATATTCTTCGTTCTCTTTGCTTGATCAATTTTTGAACCTGCTCTAATTCATTTTCATATTTGATTTTCTGAACTTCCCATGAGGAGTCCACTTCCTGATCCAACAGAGGAACAATATCTTTCATGTCAGTGACTTCAAGAAACATTTCTTCCAGCTGGTCGTCCTCTTCGAAAACTTCATACGCATCATCGTAGGACTTTTTCATTTCCAAGTATTCTGCCTTAATTTCGTCATATCTTTTCATGACTTCGTCAATTTCCTCGAGGGCTATTCCAGTAGGATTATCAATTTTCGCTTTCAGGAAATGAATAATACTATCCTTTTCCATTAAACTTTTTTCCAAAGCTTGCATCCGTAGTTTGAATTGGATCTTTCCTTTGACTGCCTCCTTCATTTGGGATAGTCCGTTGTGTTGTGCTTTCAAAACTTGAAGCTGATTTTGAAGTTGCTTAAAGGAGGATTCTTCTTGTTTTTCTTCAAGCTCTTTCAACCCTGTTTGCTCATTAACAATAACTTTAACTTCTGGAAACTTTCTATTTCGAAGTGAATATGGAAGAATGGTTCGAATATTTTCAGCTTCATCCATTCCTTTTAAGCTAACAACTCCCATATATTTAGACCATATTGGAGTTGAAAAAGTATCCAATTTGTCCTTAACTTTTTCCCACACAGCATTGGATATTACAATCTGACCACCTGCTGCTTGACCCTCTACTCTTGCAGCTCTGTTTACAACAGGCCCAAAGTAGTCATAGCGTCCTGTTATTGGATCTCGTTCCACAATTGGCTTTCCAACATGCACTCCCATTCTAACTCTAAGACCTCGAAAGATGATGTTTTTGGCATCCTCTGGGTCAAATTCGATACGGCCTGGATCAAAGTCGTACAGATGCTCAGGCCATTCTGCTTCAAGTAATCGCAATTGAGCTCTGAGAGCGAACTCAACTGCGTCCTCTGTTGTGTGAAAGGCACACATGAACTAAATCAAATTGAAATTCCCATTTCCATGGTTGAATGTAATGCAATAAATCATTAAGGTTATGCTCAAAAATCAAATGAAAGAGAAGAAATTCAACTTACTGCGTCACCTTCAGTTTTCACTTCAAACCCCTCTGTCTCATCCAACACTTGACGCATAATATCATTGTGAACTTTGATTGATTGCTGCATTGTGTCAATGTTGAGCTCCCATAACCGAGTAGAGTCTTGAACATCGGTAAATACTAGAGTGACTTCTCCCTTAGGCCCTTCCACGTTGTGTTTAAGTTGCTGTTCCTTGCTCAGTTTATAAAAGACCAATCTCGCTCTTACTGAGTTCAATTTGCTCTTTAAATCATTGTACTTATTTTGAAAAACTTCAACATCTGACTCAAGTTGTTCCAACTCCTTTTTTTCTTGCTCCTTTTTTTCTTCAGGATCTTTTTTCAAAAAAGCCGGAATTTCAATTTCTGGTTTTGGTGGCTCGTAGCTCTTCACAATTTCCACCTTAGAATCTTCCTTTTGTGTTTGGTCAGAAATGCTGTCTCTTCCTAAATCCATCTCAAATACTTTGGGTATGACTTGTTCTTGTTCCATGGATGTCAGGTCTTCCTTTTCGTTTGGTTTTGTTTCTTCCTCATCGTCACTTAACACCAAAATCTCGGGCGTCTTTTTCGGAGTTGCAACTCTCTTTTCTGCTTCTTGTTTAGGTGGTTCTTCTTGTGGAAGCTCCTCTTCTTTTGGAGCTGTTTCTTGAGATATATCATTTGGTGATGCCTCATGGACTTCAACAGTGGCAAACAAGTCTTCGGATGGAACTTCTCCAACGACAGCATCAATTTGTTTCACAATGGCTTCCTTATCTTTAGCTGCACTTTTTCTTAATTCCTTTGCTTTTTTTTGCAAGTTTCTTCTTTAGCTTTTCTGTTTCCTCACGTTCTTTTTGAAGCCTTTCTAGTTCTTGTTTTCTCTTGTACTCGAGGTTCTTCAAGTTATTTAAAGTGTCTTGAACTTTTTTAGATTGCTCTTTCAGAGCAAAATATGAGGCTGTGTCAATTGAGCTTGTATGATGCTCGGTGTCAATAATGTCCTCTGTACGAGGATAACTGTCCTTCTCCATTTCATCTTCGTACCTATTCTTTTTTGACCAATTGAATAACGAAAAGTCTGTTGGCGCATAGCTCGGATTTCCATTTTTCTTGAACAACTCCTCTCTTAATAATAATAATTCTTTGTAGAATGCCTCTCTTTGATTATCTAAGAGCTCATTTCTTCTTTTCAATTGACCTTTCATTAATTCAACTTCAATTTCATGTCTTCTGAGTTTTTCCATCAAATCTCGATTAGCCATTAATAATTCTTCTTCTTTTCGCACTCGTAGCATTCTTTCCCTCTCGAGTTGTTGTTCCTTAACCAATGCTTGCACTTTAAAATCCTCCATGTTGCTCATGATTAAATCCAGCCTACTTCCGGATCTTGAGCCAATCTGATCATCCTCTGAAGAGATTGTCAATAGTCCAGATTTTGGTCTTTTAGATGTTGATGCTCCTCTTTTTCGAGAGGAAGGCCTAGATATTCGATTTTCAGCTACACCACTCCTGTCAGAGATCTGGGAGGCTTCCGAGCTAGGTCTAGGCACCTCTAAAGTTTTAATTCCCAACTCCAACGTTTCTCCTTCATTCGACTCGCTTGCTGATGATGGGGCTCTATCCGCATCTAGATGCTCTATATTTAATAACTTCGGAAATTGGGTATACATTCCATAATGAATATATAATTTCCTAGAATCCAATAGATTGAAATATAATTGTTGTGGTACAACAAGGATCAAACGCCAGCCGTGTTTGTTGATGATGAATTGATGACAAGCCCGCTCAGTACTGAAATACCAATAAGCTTGATGTTGTACGGTAGAGCTGTTGTTGGTGGCTAAAAAATTGAATCGTTGAATTGTAAATTTTTGTCAGTTTTTTTTTCTGTAAATTTTCAAATTTAGAAAAAATGATCTAATTTTGATATCTTTTGATGGTTTATTGTTGTTTGGGTTTGGGAGGTGTTTGGGAGTCTGAGAGAGGAGAGATGCCGGAAAGAAGGAGAAGGTTTCAGACTGAGAGAGAAAATTGAGTTCAAAATTACACATGGAGCAATGTGTTGGATCAATTGAGTTTTTGATGCAACCATTAGAAATGAGAATGGCATTCATTCGTAAAAGCCACTCATATAACAAAGTGATAAACTACATGCAAGTCCATTGGTGGTAAAAGCAATGAGAGTCGCAAGCAGGCAGTGCGGGTGATTGTTTCAGAATTGGAACTATGAGCGATTGTGTCAACATTGTTCACCACTGTGGACATTGACAGCTAGTCGTCACCTGCACGTGGAGAGGATATTTTGTTGCTCGAGGAAGTCATATTTAAAACAATGTTTTCCATCTTTTGCTTGATTGACATGTATTCCTCATAATCACTCTGCAGGTCTCCCCAATCACTTAAATACTTCATCTTTCTGTTGTGATCTTTTTCAAATTTCTTCTCATGCTCTAACAGTTTTGTTTGAATCTCCTTCTTTTTCGTTTTCAACTCATAATATTGCTTATTCTTCAACAAGAGTTGTCGAAATTCTGGTGATTTGGTTTGAACGGATGTACCTCGTATCGAAAAAGAAATAGATCTCCTTCCTCCCAAGTAAGGATCACTTTGTCTATTTTGGTTGGTGTTCATAGATGAGTAATTGTTCGATCGATAAATTACAACCTGGTGCAGAGGCGACTCTGTGCTCATTTGTGACGTGTAGGCATGTCGATTCGAAACAAAAATTTCGTAAATCTCTTTGGCTTGGTTGTACCTTTCAAATAGTGGTCGAATCAGCTCTTTGACCTCTTTAGGTAGTCTGTGAGCCGATGGATTCGCCTTAAAGTAACACTCCTCAAAGTGCTTGATTTCTTCTCGTATGATTGATTTTTCGAGATAGAGTTGTTGTGAGTTCCATTTTTCATCTATTTTTGTCAAATCGACTCCTTTGTAAATGTCACGTGAGGCATCTCGTCTAATCTCAATACGCTTATTTACACTTTCGAGTGGTTGGTTCACAATATCTACCGGAACGCTTTCAAGTTGCTTTTTCGTTTCTTCTGTTAGATTATTTTTCAAGCAGGAAGTATTTTCTTGTTTTTGGAGAGTACTAGTATTATTTGAAACTTTGGTCAACTCTTCGAGATCTGCGGTAGTTGTAATATCGGATGCATGATCCAAATCTTTTGTGTACTCCTCGACAGCAGATGATCTTCGATGTTGGACAGAATTTGGACTCAACGATTGAATATCTTCAGGTGTCTCACTCTTCCATGCCGATTTCTTTGGAGCTCTCAACATGGAATTTACGTCACTGAGCGATCTCTTAAAAGATCGATGAGCAGACTCTTCCAAATTTTCACCAATAATACTCTTCACAATTTGTGTAATATCATCCGTTGTATATGTCACTTGCTTGGATTTATCATCATTCGAAAATATAATTCGAGTACTCTCGGGTCTAAATAATCCTCGTCCAGCTTGAACGGGTGAGTCTTGATCAGAGAGTTTTAATTCTATCAGGGAGAGTCCCTTTCTCTTCTCTTGAGCTTGATGGCCACCAATTGAGAAAAATCTCTTAGAGACACGATTGGAGGCTGCATTGGCGGATGTGGCTGGGCTACAACCATTCATGACATGACCACCATTTCCATTCATAGATGGATCATCTTCACGAGTTTTTGATTGGTCAAAAACAGAAGTGGGAGAGACTGGTGAAATGTTCAATGGATCATCCAAGACAGCTACTTGCTTATTATTCACAATAATGGAGTTAAAGATGGTATCGGCCTCTCGAATCAATAAATCCACACAATAGCCCTGATGAGAGACATCTCCCAACATTACTGTAGGACTTGTATTGGTGGATCTGAAAAGAGTAGGACCAAACACAATGGACAAGTTGGTAATACTCATCTTGTTCTCGTCATGATGCTGAGCCACTGCATGCAAATGCTTGACCACAAAATACAGAACATAACGAGAGTTATCGGGAAGCTTCTCCACCAAGGCTCTCATCATCTCAGCCGATTCTTCACGCGTCTTGTTCTTTCTCGTCTTTCCCAAATCCATGAATGAATTATATAACTCATAGGTCGTGAGAGGATCCGGCAACTTTTTCAAGTACTCTTTCACCACACAACAAATCGTATAGGGATCTTCATTCTGTAAATCTGGATCTTTGCCAGAGTCAAACAACTTGACGAGAGCTTCAATGGCATTCTTAGCACCAGCTCTTCGGTAGATACCTTCTTCGTGGAGAGCAAAACGCTCGACAGCATCCACACATTTGGTGAGTGGGAATGGAAGTCCATTGAGAATGGGAGAAGCCTTGATGGCTTGGTCGAGTGGAATGCCAAAGACCTTTTTCTTTCCTGTGGTTGTTGTTGAGATTGAGGAGGATGTGAATGTAGTGGTGGTGGAGTGGGTGGGTTGTTGTCGTGATGTGAAGAGAATGGTGTTGTTATTGTTCATCCAGTGGAGAGTGTGGATTCATGAAGAGGATTTGGCGAAAATCAGGATGTTGTTAACAACAGTTGGAGAGTCCATATCGTGGGTGGCGAAAAGAAGAAGAAGAAAATCAATGAAAGTGGGTGAAGAGGTTGATGGGGTTGTGGTTGATAAAGCGCGAGCAGCAGCAGATGAAAAAGGTAGTCATTCAAAGAAGAAAGAAGGTTGATGCGAGTGGATGATGATGATGAATCACCACACAATTTCAGTAGCGGTGACAAACACAGCGACGATGCATTTAGAAGAAGGAACATGGAACATAGAAGATGGTGAAATTACCGCAGCGACAGGTGTGGATGATGTGAAACCCCACCAATCAGATGATGAATATGGTGGATCAATGACGTATTGTGTTGTTGATGTTGTTGTTTTCATCATGAGAAGTAACCGATGTGATGATGGATGGGGTTTTCGTCGTCGACGTGTTGGTGGAATGAGAAACCGACGATTGGGTACAATGATGTTGTTCGTGATTTCTGAATCTTGAATCAAACATATATACTTACGTCCAAAAAGGCCTTCAAACACCATACTATAAGGATTGTTTTTCTTCTTTCAATGAAGGAGAATGATGATGCTGAACGTTAAGAATTATTATTATTGGGGTTGTCTCACAATATCGGATCAAAAGAAACAAAAATTAGTGAATTTCAGATGGTGTTGGTTCTTGATGAATGTTTCAATGTTCGTGTTTTTGAAATAGTATCACCAACAACAACAAATCGAACAACCTGTTGATGACAAGTGAGTGATGAGGAGGAGCGTTAAATTTTTTTTAATTTTGCAATCATGTCAGGTGTCAGTTTTTTTTTATGGTACATTTTGGCGACCATGAAGCCTGACACAAACTTTTGCGAAACAACACTTCAGACTGAAATAAGGAAGAGAATATGTTGAGGAAGAAGGTTGATTTAGTGACAGAGTCACTTCTTTCATTTAGAAATGACTTTTTGCCTTAAAGAGATCGAAGTTGAGAGTTAACCACGAGAATGACTCCATCGCCACGAACAAACAACATTCCTATTTTCCTTTTAGTGGTCTATTGATAATTAGGTACAACATATAAAAGATGAGATGTTTGAGTGATTGATCCATTGTCACAAATTGATGAGGTTATGATCGCATATTGTGGACACAAAAACGACATATCAATTTTCATGATTTTAGGATCGTTGACAAAAGCAAATTTTGAAATCATAACATTTCGAAACAGTTACCTGAAAAAACCAAAAAAAAACAACAAGATGAAAACTTACCTTGATGTGTTGTTCTTCAGTTTCTTTGCTCACTTCAATTTCATGAATGGTTTCTTCCACGTTTCCAAGAACCATGTTTAAGTGTTGATCATATGCCTGTGTTTGTTATATTTTACATTTTAGTTAAGAGTTCACAGAAAACGATCCATCATTGAACATCATCAGTTGTAGTAAAAAGCGTGGTAGATCCGAAAATGGTGTTGATTCATTCCAAATTCGTAGTCGAGGAGAGATAAAGAGTCAATGTAAATTTGCACATCATCATTGATAAATTCCAATCAAAATTTGCATGAATAATTGTTTGAAAGAGATTTGTAAAGACATTCCGAAATTCGAAAATATTATTGAAATGAATGATAATAATTTGTTGTTAATATTTGTAGTGAATCAAAGTGATTCAATATCGGAAATAATAATTTTACAACAATATATTCATCATCATCATCTCAAAAATTCACAAATTCACCCACTCACACATACATGCAAAATTCCCCTCAATTCACGATCTCCTTTCAATTTAATATACACCTGTTCATCAAGTGATAGCCTAATTAAATCGAGTGGTTCCAAAACGGTGGTTGGTTTTCCTTCTTTTTGCATTTTTTCAAAAAAATTGCCTTCAACCTGTTGTTATATTCATCTGAAAGTACTTCTTGGATCATCTTTTTGGTTTTGAGAGAGGTGAGGGACATCGGAAATACACAACTACTATTGGATCGTTCATTTGGATTCAAAATACAATCAATTCTCGGTCAACCACAAATTATGTGTTGTATTCCATTCAAATCAGCCACTTGAGAATTCCCAACGCAACCCGCCGTCTATAAAACCTTCAAAAATTGTTGTTCGTTCGATTTTGAAAGAAATCACGAAAAAAACACCACTCTTTGCTTTTGATCGATATAACATTGCCCAAGAAATTATTTTGAAGTGAAATGAAGCCTTACAATTATCAAATAGAATTGGCTCAAGAGGCCATCAAGAGAAATATCGTGTGTGTTTGTCCCACAGGAAGTGGAAAGACATTGATAGCTGCTTTGGTCATTGACCAACTTTATCATCAAGATCTGGTGAATCATTGTTCGGAACACGTTGGTGAGAGAGATCTTTGTCCTTGCCATTATTGTGAAAAAAATTCTTCTTCTTTGAACAACGCATCACAGCATGCAGATTCTCAAAAGACATTTTTCATCGTTCCAACGAATGCCCTTAGGAAACAGCAACAAGACACCTTGACAGAATATTTCTCGACTCGTAAATGTTCACGTGTGAAGGTGAAAAAAGATTTCGTTATATGCAATGGAAAAACTTGGAATGTCTTGGTATGCACGGCACAATCTCTTCTGAATGCACTTGATAATGACACAATTTCGATGAAGGATGTCAAACTGCTCATATTCGATGAAGCTCATCATGCCGTTGGAGATCATCCTTACATAGGGATCATGCGAAAACATTACCATTCCCACAAAAATAGAATCGAGAATGCAGAAATGAACCAACAATTCATGTTCATGCAGGAGAATGATGTGACGTCAATTAATACTCTACCAAGAATTTTGGGCTTAACTGCCACTCCAACGTCCCATTCTCTTCATAAGAATGTCATCGACATGCATGCCCAGAGTTTGAAAAAGAACAAACTAGAATTTTTCCTCGATGTATGTATTATTGCTCCAAGACATCATATTGAGGAGATGCAGTGCCACACTGCGAACACATTTCAACATGTCCTCACCTACAAAAAATCTGAAAACATTGAAACCATACAAATTATGAAGGATTTTTGTAGCGGATACAGCGCCTTAACAGACTACAAAAGCATTATTGACGAGGAGTACAACTGTTTGGGAGAAATGGGAGTCCTATTTTCTTTTCAGTACTTGAGTGGTAAAGAAAAAATTGTAGATAGTTATCGAGAATTCGAGATGAAGTACCAACACTTGGATCACCTCAGAGATTCATCATTTAAATTTGAAATTATCGAACAAATCAGAAACTCTCCTTATCTATCTTCAAAGGTAAAAAGTCTTTTTGAGCTTTTGATCGTTTACAAAAACACGGTAGGGGAAAACAACGCAAAATGTATCATCTTTGTGGAAAAAATTGCGCATGTCAAAGTACTTACCAAAATACTGAGAAGCTTCACAGAGTTTGATTGCTTCAACTGTAGTGAGCTTGTTGGTATAAGCAGCATGAGCAGAAAAAATCAACAGAATATTGTGAAAGACTTCTCGAGAAGAAAAGTGAAATTGCTTGTTGCTACTAAATCAGGAGAAGAGGGTATTAACGTTTCAAAATGCTCTCTAGTGATACAATACGATTTGTGCAATACCACTAAGGAACACCTTCAATCGAAGGGTCGAGCTCGTTTCCAAAATTCTCATTATATTATATTTTCAGAAGAAGGGAACTTTGAACACAAAAATATCATTAGAAACCTGGAAAAGACACTCACTGAACCTTTAAGCTGTTTTACTTTTGAACAATTCAGAGAAATGTTAATATCGAGCCCAGTATCAATACCTGAAGATGAAAATGAGCAGGATGACGGCAATAATGAATCAAACAATGAGACTTACTCAAGCGATGAAGAAGAGGAAATGGAGCCTTTTTATGTTCCCACTAGCATTAGAAATGATAATTTACAAGCACAAAAACATCAAATGGAGGGAATGACGTTGTTCTTCAGCCATCTTAATGGTTTCTTGAGCAACTTCTCTAATATTTCATTTGGTATTTTAACTTTCCAGTTAATGAAGCCCATAAGGTCCATGAAAATTAAGAATCTTTACGGTGAATTGAACGTAGATCCAAAGTGTTTTTTTAGATGTAGCACAGAGGAGTTTGACATTCTCCAACAATTCCACATGTTATTTTTCAAAATACTGTGCAAGTTCAAATCTGATCAAAAGTACAGCACAGAGGATGGTAGATTTTATATAATCACACCTACAACCATCTCTATGCAGTCAGAACCTCTTAATCCACACGCTTGGATTGATTGGCAATTTATGAAACAATTTATCAGAGATTTTGGGAAGAACAATTCTACGTCACAAGCCGCGTCACAAGAGGAGCCATCGATTTTAGATATTTGGAAAAGTGGTCAATCAATACCAACCGATAGAATCATCGTTACTATGTACAATAATTTCCCTTACTTTTTACTGGGAGTTGATTTTAGTAGAAACCTTCAATCTCCTTTCAACGACACAAAAAAGTCATCAACATTTAAGCAATATTATGAGCAAAAGTACAAACTGGTTGTGACAGATTGTACTCAACCATTACTAACATGTTCAGCCGAGAGAGCTGGAAAGAATTCTGTGTTTTTGATTCCTGAATTTTGTAGAAGAACTTGCTTTTCCATTGAGTTTTATAATCTTTCAAGGCTCGTTTTCACTACTAGCAACGAATTGAACTTTTTGTCTCTGTTAGAACAGCTGCTCATTGTTGAAGATTTGAGGGAAGCCATCAAGCTTCCTACCTCTGTCGATGGAGACATTATACGAAAAGCCATCACTCATAGATCAGCCCAAAATTTAGACTTTAACTATGAAAGATTGGAATTCATGGGAGACAGCATCCTCAAATATGCTGCCACTATGGATATTGTTCTAAAATATCCATCCGAGACAATGAAATTCTACAACGAGGAGCGTCAAAGCAAAGTTAGCAATGCTAACTTGAAACTCGTTGCCAGGAAATTTGGACTTCAACAATTTTACATTGAAACACAATATTATCACCACAAAGTTGCCGGGTTTTCCTACACAAAATCGAAACAAATCGCTGCCATGCGTGGTAAGAAACTGTTAGCCAATATGATGGAAAGTTTAACAGGAGCGCTCAGTGAGAATGACATGCAGTATGGAGTGACATTTTTAAAGAATATGGGTATTATTGAGAGAGATTATTTTACTTGGGATGGGTTCTTGTTCTCGAACAAACCTTCACAACTTAAGGAAAAAATTGAAATGATTGTGGTGGACATGAGAGAACGAGTGAATATCTTGCAACACAAGCTCTCCTATCAATTCAAAGAACCTCTTTATGCTTATTTGTCCTTGTTACACCCTTCAGCAAACATAGGAGGCAATGCCCATAACGATACGCTTGAATTTGTGGGAGATGCTGTATTGGATTTGTATATTGTTCGCACTCTCTATCAAAAGTTTAACTTTGACGAAAGTGTCATGACCGATTTTAAGTCACAATTTGTGAAAAACACGTCACTTCAAGAGATTGCAGATGAATCACAATTGGCTCCTCTCCTCTTCATACCCACCAAACAATTGAAAGGTAAAATTGTGAGCGACATGATTGAAGCTATTATTGGGGCAGTAGCATTAGACTGTGGAATGAATTGGGAAGTAATTTGCAAAGTCATCGAGAACAGCTTTTTACAAGAGCCACTTCAAAAGTGGTTAGAGAGGGTTCAACAATATGCAAAAGAGAATCAAAAGGAAATAACCTCTTTGCCTTCCTCTCTCCCAGGTGTAACTCAATCTTTTATGGATACAATCCCTTCCGAGAAGTTTTCAAAAGATGAAAATTCCACACACTCAACCTTTATGGAATTCATTTCCAAACAATTCAACAACATTCAAGTGAACTTGGTTTTGAAGGTTTTCCTCGATCATCTTACCTCAGAAAGCTATTTGAGGAATTTTTCACTTCAACAAATAGCTCATTATCAAAGTCTATTTACATTGAACGAAATGCCAAAGATCATTTTGTCCACTTCACCTTCATTTATGAAATGGTATTATCTCGACCAAGACAATGATTGGATTTTATTTGATACGCAACACGAATGGGAATATTTTCTTTCTAATAAGTTGTCACATTTGTTGTCGTCAACCACATTGCAACCCCCCAATACACCCATGACATTGAATCTCACACTTGGTGTTCATTTACAGGAATAATTGGTTTGATAAATTGTTTCTATTAAACCAAAACAATTCGATCACAATATTTAACTGAGGACGAGAATGTTTTCAATTTTGGAAATTTCTAGCCGTTACGAATTTCAATTTTTCAAGAATAAAAAAAGATCAAGTCTTGAATTGTTCATCTTCCTCTCTCATGATCATTATCACCTAACACAACAATACCCATGTATTCCCCAAGCACGCCTCAATATCTACGTGAACAATTCTCGCAGCAGTGTCATCATCCTACCGATAACGATCATCCTCTCCTTCTTCTTGCTTCTCACGGAAACTCCAAAGATGAAGACAAAATCTCTTTCCACTCAAAGCCTTCTCATCACTCTCTTAACCATCACCACTTTATTCTGAATACTAATTCACCACCTCCTAGTCGTTTGAAAACTCCTCCAAGAACAGCTACAAAATCTCGTCTCGAGATGACTCCAAACGTTCCCTTCTCATCCCGAATTGATCATCACCAACCTCATCCACCAATATACGATAATAGGAGGAATACAATGATGAGTGCAGAGATGAATCTGGCCTCTACCTTAACCACCATGTTGTTACTCTCTCCTCCACCTGATGATGATAATGCATCCAAACCAAAGAAGAAGAATCACCACAACAATCAAGACTCCTTCTTGACTCCAGTGAAACGATCCTTATTTGAAGATTTCAATCAATGCATGGTGCCGAATTGTACTCCACAAACACTCCATTCCAGTAAGAAGATACAATTTAATGCTCCATCGGAATCTCCTCTCCTTTCTACCATGAAAAGGGAAGAAAATCAACGCAAATTCTCACCCGAGATGATGAAATTCCTATTTGAGAGAACTCTTATTGTGGTGGTTGCTGTGTTGTTGTTTCCTGTGAAAATGGTCTCTCATCTTAGAAACAGAATGATGACGAATCGATCAGAGGATGTAAAAGTGTTGGAACAAGAAGTTGTCTCACAGAAAGAGACACTTCATTCATTTGGAGGTCAAAACAGCACACAAGAATCGAGAATGCCCGATAATCACTCTCTCCAAAAGATCAGTTCAGGGAATTTAGAGACAGATCAATTTCATCAGCAACAACGAGTAGAAGCCCTTGAATTACAAGTGAAAACACTCTCCACACAATTGGAACTGGTTTTGCATGAAAAGCAACAATTGGAAGAACAACTGACAACTCTTCTTTCTTCCTTAAATCATTCTGACAGTCACAGACATGACAAACAAGACAATCTTTCGAACTTATCTGAAACTACACCAGCAACAGTGGTTGATGATGAGAAGGATTGTAAAGAGCAATCAAGAGGTTACGAGATTATGTACATTGAAGATTCTCAACCTATTACTTGTAACACCAATCAACACAAGAATCATGAAGATGAAAACATTCAAATGCTACCAACTCCTACACCAAACTATTCTCAAACCCACTTTGACTTTGTTTTCTCATTCTTCATTGGACCAATCCTTTTAGTACTGTTTTCTTCATGGATGATTGATTTTGCTTAAATTATGAGTAAACAAGTTAGAATTTACTGTTGGACCTCATTAAGGATTCCTTGGAGTTTACTTTTCGAGATGTGACACGACCGATCTCATGGTGATTGAGACTCTACGGTAGGATTCCTCATTCGAGTCGGTACCAATTACTTCCTTCAGTGAAAATCCATGCTTTTCATAATCTTTCAAACTTATAATCTCATGCTTCCATCGATATCTTGCCAGGCCACTCAAAATGAGCAACGAATTGGGTTCCAACACAATACTCGATCGATTTCCTGTTGGCTTTAAATCTTTAATCGGAACTGAAAGGTCAAGCTTTGCACCGCTGTGATGGTCACTAGTGATATTTTGATTTGGCAAACCATCTTGAGAGACTTCATATAAAATCATGACACAAGGCTGTAATATACTCACAATGGAAATAATGGGACCAAAATGAAGAGAATCAGCATGTTTCTTAATGTATTGATAAGGTCCACAATATTCATTAAGAATAATTTGTGAAATGCAAGAGTCATGAATCTGTGAGACATTCACTAGATTTAAACGAGCATGCTCTTGCTGAACTCTCTCCACCAACGATTGTAAATACAATGGAATTCCCAACGAGTTCATTTCCAAAGAATTAGATTTCTCTATTTTCTTCAATTCACCTGTAAAGTAATTGAAATGATATCCAAATTGTTGTGTGCGTCGTGACATGATTTCTGTTTTCCATGGCGATGGTGTTTCCATACATTCCGACTGTCCAATGGAGGTTAATAGCGTGTCATTCTTATTGGTCGATCGGTGATTCGTGTTCACACTACCATTACCGTGATCCATGTGCGAAAGGAGTTGTTGACTTTCTTCGTGTGAAATAAAATTCCGAACGTAGAAGAGTCCTGAGATTTTCTGAACAGGTACTTGTTCCTTCTTGTTTCTAGTTCCAACCATCGAGTTCGTTGTTGCGTTTAATGGCGTCGAAGGATTAAGCATCCTATTGTAACTCTAATAATATTGTGGTGTGAGAAGTTAAGTGAGTCGAGAGTTTTTTTAAATGAATTTCAATTCATGGAGGTGTGAAATTTTGGAATTGCATCCTCGTAAAGGCAAACAGAGAAGATATTTCACAACAGTAATTAGAACTCGGAAGCTCTAAAACTGTAATCACTGTAAATTATTTGATTGTTTCAGAGTACTACTGTATAATAAATCAACTCTGGAGTGTCTCGTTCACTATTTGCAATGTTCAAGCGCTTGATTTATTAAACAAGTTCATTCGATTTTCAGACCTCCGTTTCAACATGGAAGCAAATGGAACGATATGGAAACGCCTTCTTATTGCCTTCTCAAAAGATTTGGTTTCACAAAGAGTGTTTTCTTTTCCTTTTTAGGCCGTGGACTATTTTTGATCGACAAATCTAAAATTGACAACTGACTTGAATTCTCCAAGCTCGATGAAAACTCTACTTTTTCGAAGAGCGCATTATTATTTTGATATTCAATGGCCGTTAAGGATAAAAGCATGACCGCCCTCAACTGGAATGGATTTTATTTTGTAACACTTTTCAACAACTCTTCCTGTCAATTGCCAACATCATCTTCAAAAAAACCCTTCCAAATCATGTCACGGCCACAGCAACCACCACCAACTCTCATCCTTCTCCTTCTCTTCGCTCTCACCACCGCAACCACCACCTTCGTCCTCTCTTCTCCCATTACTCTTCGTTCCTTACGCAAACTCTCTCGACCCATCACTGCCAACTGTTATGGCAACAATTACGATGGCGTTGGAGTCAATGAGAAACATCCCACTTGGGGAATGACCAGTGAACCATTGATTCGACTTTCGAAAGCTGCTTATTTAGATGGAGTGAAGGATCCTCCTCGATTGGCAACTTCAGCTCGAGTCCTTTCGAATGCGTTTAATAAGCAAGGACAATGTGATACGAGTAATGATCATGACCTTTCGGCAATGTTTTATGCATTTGGTCAATTTGTGGATCATGATATTAGTTTTGAAGGTAAGTGTGAAATTAGTGAAAAAATCACACCTCACAATTTCCAAATATATCCATCCCAATCCACTTGGGTTTCAACTCTCTCCATTCATTCACTCTCTCACCTCTTTGAATCTTTCCTACATTCAATTCCACTCAATTCCACACTACAGGTACTGGTTTGAAATTCACCGAAACTCTCAACATTGACGTTCCACCAGGTGATGTCTGGAATGTTCCTTTACCTTTCACAAGAGCTGTCTTTTCCTCCAACAAACCTACCTTCATCAATGAGCCAGTAGGCCCTGTCAATTTTGTCACTGGTTTTCTTGATTGTTCTCAAATTTATGGAAATGATTTACAACGTGCTCGTGAATTGAGAGAATTTCGAGGAGGATTGTTGAGAAGTCAAGTGGCGTTCGGAAAGGAGTTTTTGCCCAAGACGAGAGTGGATCCTGTCACTGGTTTGTTTTATCTTGGGGCAGGTAATAATACTGTAATTGCTGTAAGTAGAAAGTATGGAATGGTGTGTCTGAATCAAGGTGTCAAATGTCAATAATGTCAAATGATTCAAAATAGGGAGATACAAGAGCTACGGAAGCCCTTCCAATTTCCATCATGCAAACCTTGTGGTTGAGAGAACACAACCGAATGGCTTGTTTGGTAGCTGAACGTTTTGGAGTTGCTCATTCCGATGAATTGTTGTCCGACTCGGCAGTCGACGAATGGATTTTCCAAACGGCTCGTTCGATTGTGTGTGCCGAAGTTCAACATATTATTTATAATGAATACTTGCCAAGATTGTTGGGTTCGCAAGCACCAAGACCATGTGAGTTGGAATATGATGAAGATGTGAGAGTGACTGCCAAGTAAGTTTTTAAATTGTTTAAGGTGAACCTCAAATGACATTTGACATTTATTTAAAAAAATATTACAGTGTCGAATTTGCCACTGCTGCCTATCGTTTCGGACACAGCATGGTCGGCTGCAGCATTCACAAATTCGCAGCCAACGGTACTGAAGTTCCAGAATTACCATTCGATTTGGCATTCAACGCCTATCCACTCCTCATGGCAGGTCCAGAAGAATACGACATGTTCCTGAGAGGAATTATCAAACACCACTCTTTCAATTTGGATGAAAAAGTTGTGGATGGTTTACGACAAGTCATTCGTGGAAGACTCGATTTGCCTGCTCGTAACATGCAACGTGGACGTGATTTGGGTTTACCAGATTACAACACCATTCGTAAGGCTGTGGGTTTGAAACCTCAAAATATGACTGAAATTACGGACAATTTGGATTTGCAAAACAAGTTGATTCAATTCTTTGGTGTGAATTTGGTGAATTTGGAACCATGGTTGGGAATTTTGATTGAAAAGAAACAAACAGATTCCTTGTTGGGTGAACTAGGAACTTTGTTGATTAAGGATCAATTTACCAAGTATGTGAAAGGAGACAAGTGTTTCTATACACACAATCCACAACGATGGGCACGTGTTGAATTGAGAAGAGCAATTGAAAAGGTGACTTTGGCTGATATTATTGCAGAGAATACTGGAATTTCAATGAATGATCGAGCAATGGGAACTTCTCCATGGACTGCCAAGTATGGACCTTTGGTGTAAAACTGTGTGAATTCTGATGATTCCAAAGATGTAATGTATCATTTTGGATGTCAATGAATAGCTGTGTTGTTTTTTAAAAACTGAACTTTGATTTTAAAAAATTGTAATGTGAAAAGATGGAATTCCAGTGTTGGTGAGAATATTTCGATGATTTTAATCATTCAAACTCAAACTCTCCAAATACTTGTTTAAAAAGTTATCTACATCATAGGTCACAATATCATCATTTTCTTGAACCTTATCCTTCACAGCCTCCTTCAATGCATTGACACTTCTCTCCAAATATTGTTCCTTCTTTTCTTTTGAAATATTTTCTTCATCATGACTCAATTTGAAATACACTTCGAACAGTAAAACATTCAATCGCACTCTCCAATCTTTCATTTCTTTTTTCATGAAGAGAGAACCTCCTAAATCGAGACATGTTCTTGCTTCTTCTAAATTGAGAAGGCCTGAAGATGACTTTGAGTCTTCTGAATTTTCACACAACTGATCACACACATACAGATACATGTAACATTCTGCCAAATATAAATTCAATTTGGGAAATGATTCTGATCCCATGTGACGAACTTTTTGAAGTATCGAATCCTTCTCGTGAACATCAGGTTTGATGACTTCGAGAGCAGTTTTTAAAACAACAATGGCGTTTTCTGCACTTGTTTTTGCTTTCTTAATGGTATCCATATCCTTTTTCTGCTTACTGTGTACACATAACCCATGATGATTGGAAATGATTTGCATGTATAATTTAGTCTTGAGAAGATAGGCATATCCCAAATTAATGCTCACAAGACCAATGTATTGATCTTGCGTTGAGAGTTCTTTCTTTTCATGAGAAGGTGGCTTTTTGAGTTGTTTGAATCCTTGTTCACTCTTTCCAAACCATTCAATTGCTAAATCGATGGATTTCAGCCATTGTTTGGAGGCTTCTTCGAATTTTTCACATTTCTCTTGTTGTTGTGAAGCATTTGCAGTGGAAGGAGATACTGAGCGCTGATGTGACAATATACTCTCTCTCAAAATAATGGAATATTCTTTAAATAATTTAGTAACAATGTCTTCTTTTTGCATTGATGCATACTCTGCTTTGAATTGAGACCATGCCTCTTCTTCCTTTGCTAAATAAGTATTCGCAATGTTCATACATAAAGAGGCATATTTGGTTGGATCTGAATCAGTGACTTTTCTGACCTCCAATACTTTTTGGAATGCCTTAATCGCTTCGTCGTACTTCTTCTTTTGTTTGAGAAGGTGAGCCATTTGTGAATATGCCACTGCATAGTCATCTGGTGAATTTTGTGGAGTAATGACATTGAGAGCACTCTTTAAATAATACAAGGCAATATCGTCATTGCTAGATCGATAGAATTTGTCATGATTGTGTGTATAGAGTGGAGGAAACTGTTGTTGCAATGAGTTTTTCATATCTTTCATTACTTCAAAAGGATTAAACGATCGTTGCAAATATAAAGAAGCCAATTGAATTTCAATTTTTGGAGCCATTAATGAAAATCTCACGTCACTCAAAATATGAGGAGGGATTTTGGTCTTATTGGTGGAATTATTTGCTTCCTTGTAGTCAGATGTTTGAATGGGTGATCGATTCGATTGCAATAAAGTTTCCAAAGTGGCAATTGAAATTTCTTGAAAGTGATGAAAATCATATTGCTTGACAAGTGGAGCATCTTCCAATTTAAATTCAACTTTTCGTTGCTCTTCAGGTGACAACACAGGAGACTTGAAAGGCAAAATGGCAGGTAATCGAACATTTTGTAAAAAGGTTGCAAAGTTAAAAAGTTGAACCACGATTTGATATTTGGCTTGAAAATTATTGAGAGCATTGTTGGTATGCTCTTTATCAGCCTCTTCAAATTTGTTTTCAATGTATCGAGTCATGTATTTTGGAAATTCTTCGGATTGAAGCAACAAGACAGATCCTGTTTGTGCAAGAAGTTGATAAATCTCGGAAGGAGATTGAGAATTTTTGGCCATGAAATCAATGACTGCATTCAAGAAACGAATGGCCACGCTTTCCTGAGATTGTGATGACTTTTCAGAGGTGGATGATTTGGGCGATTGACTGGAAGACATTTTTTTGTTGTAACAGTTGTTGGTTTGTGTGTGTCCGAGTTTGGATGTCTTCCTGATGTGTTCAAAGTATTGCCAATTTCTCTTGTGTGGTGGTGGTGGTGGTGCTTGCATCGTGGTGGTGTCGGTTGAAAAGTAGAGTGCATTCCTGATAATGTGTAATTCAATTCCGAGAAGAGATCTCTTGCGCAACAATAATCATTTGGAGGTTGTGTGTGGATGGTCAAAAACGATATGTAAATAAAAAGTACTACTTTTAGAGTGGTTTAATAAACAATCCTATTCGAAAATGTGTTGGTTAACAAAATGTTCATCCCTTGTGGATTTGTTGACAACAATTCAAGAGTTACAATCCGTTCAGTTTCATATATTTCAGTACAAATGTAATCTTGATGATGAATTAAAATGTCGTAGATGATTTAATGTTTGGCGGAGAAGACGCCAAACATCTTCTTTCTGACTGGTGGGCAGATGAAAGCATAGGCAGCCATAAGACCTCCACCAACAACACCGCATTTGACCAAGGAACCCAAGAAAGACGATCCAAATGGTCTAGTAGTAAGACCTAATGAGTGTTTATAATTTCAAATTTTCATATGAAACAAATGAAGCAAGAAATAACAGCCATGATGAAGTCATTTTGCCAAGTTTCCAATCAATTTTCAAACACGAATTAAAATAACAATATTCCATGTTGTTTTCCCATTGTATAATATACAGTGGTAAAGAAGATTTAGCATGTACATCCAGCGATATCACAGGGCCGAGAAGAACCATAATTATTGATGATGAACAAGAGAAATAATTTTACTCACCTGCACGCATTTGACTCATTTTTGGAATATTTTTTTCTGTAGCAACAATAACGTCCTCAATGCCAGAAGAGTAGTAGTCGCAAAGTCAGAGATTATTAATCCTCGAGTTCTGTTTAAGTGTTGACCTAATTTTCATATCGAGAAACATAAGGTCCACAAGAATTTGATTGGAAGGGACTTCCCCATGCTTTTTCTGATGCTGGTTTAATGCGTTGCAAGCAGGAATCGAGGAAGAGATCTCCTTCTGTTTCCTTTTGTTCTATAAAGAGATTCTCAACAACACCTTTGGTTAAGAGAGGCTCTTTTGGAGGCATGTCCTTCTTATCTATGAATGCATTGTTCCATGGCCCACTTATAGCCTCTGTTTGAACAGATTTACAGCATTGCTCACTCAATGCATTCCTTACCTGTTCCTTTTTCAACCATAAATTCCTCTCTACAAGAAATGTTTCAAAGAGTCCCATGAAAGAATCCACTTGCTGGGAGAGTTGAAGAGTGGTTTCATACAATTCATTCCGAAAATTTAAATCTTCTTCAACAATTCTGGCAAATTCTAATTCATTCGTCATCATCTTTGAAAGATCCAAACCTCCCATTGAATCTCAACAATGATTAAAGAGCCTTACCTCATTCTGAACTTGTCCCAACTCCACTAAGGCTCGCTTCGGATTCAAACAGACTTTTCTCTTGGAAACAACAACACTGCTCTTGATCAGAGGTTCTTTACCAATTGCTGCTTCGTTCCATCTCTGATCTGAGGCCTCATCTTTATGTCTGTCTTCGAGTGATGTGGTGGTTTGAGAATGAGGGTTGCCTGTCATGAAAATCTTAATAATAAATTTTTGGGTTCAATTTTTTGAAATGGAAAATATAATTACAAAAGTGAGGCTTTGATTGTAAGAAGAAAAAATGTTTGAACGTTGCCACAGCTGCACTTCATCGTGGCTGATACTTGCCATGATGATCTTTGTGATGATTCATGTGGTTCTTGTTTCCGCAGCGTCGTTGGGGAATATTAAAATTGATGATCGGAGAGAGTTGAATGAACGACCTACCATGGTCCGTTCTAGTCATCATCATTATGACTATTCAACAATTAAAAGAAATGATCCATATAAATTTTCAGGCGCTATTCCTACTTCTCAATATATTGTTATGAGTAGATCGGATACTCCAACAGGAATGAGTGGAATTTTACAATTAAAGAATGGTACAGGAGGTCCCTATGGAAATGATATCTCACAATTATTGTTTACTGTCACATACATGACTGATGCTATCGTTCATATTAAAATTACGGACAAGGATCAAAAGAGATGGCAGGCAGATAAATATGTATTGAATGAAAACTTGACAAACTTGAAAAAATCAGCTGCTGGGAATATTTATCAGGTGACCATCGCCAAAGTTGGTGAGCCATTCTATTTTACCATACGTCGAAATGTGGGGCAATCGGCACCAATTTTTGACACCGCCAATAGACCTTTCATTTTCAGCGATCAGTACATTAGTATTGGGACAGAACTTGCGCCAGATTATTACGGTGGCGAACCTAATATTTATGGATTGGGAGAACGCATTGATTGTTTCCGTTTGAACATCACTGACAACGAATTTATTATTTGGAATAACGAGTAAGTATTTGAAAGAGCAGTAGTAATAGTAGGATGAATTGACAATCACATGTTGTTAAAATATTAATTTTTACAATAATTATGGTGAAATTCACATTTAACTATTTTAAATTTTAACTTAGCAATGGAAATGCAGAGAAAATGAATTTATATGGAAGTCATCCATTCTATCTCTATGCCACTCCAAATTCTGAAGCTCATGGAGTCTTTCTTTTAAACTCAAATGCCATGAGCATTAGAACAGAATATCAAAATTCCGCCAAATATTTGCAATATCAAACGATTGGAGGAGTTTTAGATTTCTACTTTTTCCTTGGTCCAAGTGCTGAGAGCGTTATTCAACAATACCACAGCATTATTGGTAAGCCACATTTTCCACCCATGTGGGCCTTTGGGTTCCACCAATGCAGGTATGTTTTACTGAAGGTCTTTTAATAATATTCCTTTTGGATGAATATTTTATGTTGACATCAAACCAATTATTACACGATTGATATGCGATTTATGTGATCTGTGTTGAATCTGTTACCTGCGAATTCACTACATTCCAGATGGGGATATCATACATTGGATGATGTGAAAGCCGTTGTTCAGGGCTACGACAACAATCAATTGCCGCTAGATGCCATGTGGACTGACATTGATTACATGTATCAATATTGGGATTTCACATTCGATCCAACACGTTTTCCAATTAATGACGTTCGAAACTTTGTCACCAATGATTTGAAACAAAAAGGAAGAAAATATGTAGTCATTGTAGATCCTGGTATTCCAATCGTGGATTTAACAAAGAACAGTTATGAACCTTTTGAGTTGGGTCTTTCTCTTGATATTTTCATTAAGCAAGGATCCTCGAATGGTTATGTCAATCATACGGTATGGCCAGGTAATTGCTATTTCCCTGATTTTTCAAATCCTTTATGTAAGGACCACTATTGGAAACCACTCGTTCATGGATTTTTAGCTCTTTCAGGAGTTGGAGGACTTTGGATTGACATGTAAGTATCAGTAGTGACAAATCCTTCATCGATCGTTGTTAAAACTCTTATCATGTCTCTTACCAATGCAAATGATGATTTTTTTATGAAACACACACTTCAACAGGAACGAACCAGCAACCTTAGACTTTTATATTCCAAACCAAAATAGTCTCAATTTTCCACCGTTTGTTCCCGGAGCAAGCAATGAACCACTCTTCCACAAAACAATTGATTTGGATTCGAGAATGAGTGCCACCACGCACTACAATGCTCACAATTTATATGGATTTTTGGAGGCCAAAGCAACAGCTGAAGCCCTAAAAACCTATTATAACAAGAGACCTTTTGTGTTAACAAGAAGTAGCTTTGCTGGAAGTGGTCATTATGTATCTCATTGGACTGGTGACAATGATAGTACATTTGAAAGTATGAGAACTTCGATTGCTTCCATTCTTTTGAACGGAATGTTTGGTTTTGCACATGTCGGTTCTGATATTGGAGGATTCAATGGCGAAACAACCAAAGAGCTCTTAATTCGATGGATGCAATTAGGATCACTCTATCCATTCAGTCGTAATCACAATGCTATTGGTATGCGATCACAAGAACCTTTTGCATTTGATCAACAAACAACAGATATTTCACGAAAATACTTATTGAACAGATACTCTTTACTTCCTTACATTTACACGACCCACGCATTGGTTCACATGAATGGTGGTGCTGCAGCGAAACCACTCTTCTTTGCATTCCCTTATGATAAGCAAGTGTATGGCATTAGCGAACAGTTCTTGTTTGGTGACGCATTACTTGTGTCACCTGTCTTGTATTATCAACAGACAGTGGTTCATGCTTATTTCCCATCTTCATCTGTTTGGTATGATTATTATTGTGGCCAACAAGTGCATCCTGGAAAGGATGGCTATGCTGACGTCAATGCCCCATTGGATACAATGCCAATTCATATTCGAGGAGGTTACATTATTCCAAAACAAACTCCAGGTTTAAACACGGTACAACAACAGTTTAATCCTTATAGTTTAGTAATTGCTTTGGACTCGAATCAAAACGCTCAAGGTCATCTCTTCTTGGACGATGGAGAATCAATTGATTCAATTTCGGGTGGAAAATATACAATGATATCATTTAACTCTACACGCGTCTCATCGTCACAATACGTGATTCAAGCAATGCCAATTGTGAATGGTTATTCTGAATCGGGCAAGCTTTCATTAACTTCTATTACTACCATTGGTATTCAGGGACGTAATATTTGTTTCGTGAATGTGAATGGCCAACCATGGGCGGGGTTCGGATATCAGCCAAATATTGGCCTTCTTCTCATTCAAAACTTGTCCTTGAGCTTGTCTTCATCATGGAAGATTACTTTCCAAACTTGTTGATGAGATTTGCATAAGTGTTAAACCTTTATTTATTTAACGTTTAATTTGAACGTTTTTGTGACACCATAATAAATAGAACCTAGCGAAAATTAGTTTGCATTAAGGGGAAGTTATGGCAACTCTTCTCAATACATCAAAATTTAAAACACCAAGACCACTAATTGGATCAAACCCTTTGACAGCAGAAAAGCCAGGACAAGGGCTATATGCATTATTGCCCTGAGTGATGTCAAAGAGCGCTCCTGGCACATTAATGACTTCCTTGTAGAGCCAAGGATTTAAGAATCCAAGAGGTGCTTTACCCACTATGGTTTTGTAACCATGCAAAATTGAGGATTAAAACAATCTCGAATACCATTCAATCGATCAATATAACTTACGTTTGAAACGAAGGTCATTCAATAATGAAAAAATTCCTGCTGTACATGGTGTGCTACAACTCGTTCCAGAAACATTTTTCAATGCACCAGACAAGACTATTTGATAGTTCACTCCCACTGCACTAATATCAGGATAAGCTAATGCCAAGTGAAACGTTGAATTTCCTTTTGGAAAAAAAAACATGCATTCCAAACACGTACCTCGTCCTTTGTCATTGAAATAGCTCTTTGGTGGAACATTGGGTTGCCTTAAATATGAGCTAACAACATCCTTTTGGTAATCAGGCATTTCGTAAGCTTCAGCAAAACCTCCTCCACTCCAATGGACTGTTGCATGAAAATGTGAATTGTTGAACCCCAAGATGCATGTTTGTTTCACTTACCACTCACTTCCTGCAGGATATCATCTGGTTCTGTTGCACCAACGCTAGTTGCAAAAGGAGAAGATGTTGGCCACTCTGCTTGAAACCTCGATCCATCAGAGCTACATCTTGCTCCAAAATCGCCGCTAGCGACAAGAATGGATCTTCCAGTAGAACCAATCTTCATAAATTCAATGTCAATAGCATGTTGATACGATTTGGAGACGTATTTCTCGACTTGACCATACGAAATGGAATGAACCCAAGCTGCATTGTCTCCTTCTGATTGAATTTGATGAACCCAGTCAATAAAGGGCTCATCATCATCGTCACTGTATTTAATAGAATTAATGGTGGTGTTCACTAAATAACCCACAGCCATAATCTATGTGACAAAGTGTCACCACATGCCCAAACAAAATAAATAATATGACAATATATATAAGTGACATGATCATTGAAGGACTTACATATTGAATATCCAACGTGGCTTCAAAACCTGGTTCCTTTGGGTCGTTAGGTCCAATAATGGTTGGTGACATTCGAGGCAATTGAAATAATTGTTGAAATTTCTGTAAATCTTGTGGCAACACATATTGTTCCAAAAAGGAAGCCACTGCTTGTTTGTTTTTAGGGCTTGAAGCAATTGGGAGTGTGATGTTATAGCGTTTCCAAATCGATTGAGGATTCGTAATGTAGGGTGATGAAGCGAATCTATTCTTCTTCATGAATCCTTTAGGATGGACGATCGGATAGTGATGAATGCCAATAATTTCAAAGAGAATGTTTCTCAATGATTTAGGGATGGAATAACCTGTGGTCGATCGATAAATAACTCTTTGAGTTGTTTCATGAATGAAAGGCTTCATCGTGGCTTTAAAACAAGCATTCACCACTCGGATCGGCAACTGTACATGAATGAAATTCTCATGAGGCGAAATTCGTTGAATCCTAGCATAAGGCAGCATATTTCTAATATATTCCATCACCAGTTGAACATGAGAAGGGAGAGGTTTTGTTTGTTGTTCCATTTCCTTCATGGAATAGTAATGTCGGAATTGAGGAGAGGAAGGATCACTGACTCGATGGAACCTGTTGCGTAGCCATTCTTCATGGTTTGGCTTTAATGAAAAGATGATGTTCGTTCGTTTGGAATTTATGAATTCGTTGTTGGGAAATTGGCCAAGAGAGCCTTGGGCTTGCTGTTGAGAGAGTTCTAGTGTGGAGGATGGAGAGAAACTTTCGGGAAGGAGTTTCCAATCGGGAGGAAGGATCTCGTGGTGATCTTTCGAGTCCTGAACCATGGAGAATTCAACTTGAGAGCACTTGAGAAGGACGGGTTCGGCATTACTGCTGTGGATTATTAATGTGCAACAACCGTTCAACACCACAGCCAGAACCATCAAGAGCACCCAAGGCAGTGATGGAAAAGACATTTTTCTTTGTGAACTCTTCCAAAAAGGACAATATAAAATTCATGTTATTTTGTTAGAATGCTTCTGAAATCAAATCTGGTCCGAAATTGGTCTATGAGAAAATTCAATGAAAAATTGCTTGTACTAATACACACATATAATTTTGGAGATAATTTATTTCTTTCTGAAAACTGGGAGTGGAATCTTTACGTCCTCAACTTCATAATCCTTACCAACAATGGTGTTATTCACCTCTGAACCAATGATAGCATTGAAAGGACACATCACATCTCCGTTCTCGGCAGTCCATGCATGAACATCAGGATTGTTTGCTTCTTTTGATGATTGGCTACGTAACCAGAAAGCTCTGTCAAATGATTTGAGTAACATATAGTCGTACTTTCCTGCAGCATCGAAATAGAGTGGCTTGTACTTTTGAATAGTGGCTACAAATTCATCCAACATTTTGTGTGTCTTGAAGGTGACAGACTTTCCACTGGCAAACTTTTTCAATTCCTCGCTGCAATCGCTATTCAGGATCACGTCCTTAATGGTTGGTTCTAGGTGATATCTCATGTCACAGACACCATCATTTTTCAGACGATCCATATAAACACGCATTGGTCCCTTAATGTTGTTTTCAAATTCTTGTCTGAGACCAAGATATTCTAAAACGGCAGTTGCAAAGTGCTGGCAGTTACAGGACTTGTTGTCATAGGTCTTGTGAGCGTTCCAGTGAGCACAAATTGAAGCAGTTTTATCAATGGCCTTTGCAACATTTTCCAATCCCACAATTTTAGTAACGTCAACTGCGAAAACAGCCTTAGAACTAGATTTGCTTCTTACAACAGCAATTGAAGAATCTCCCCACTAGTGTTGTTATTAGGAAGTGCATGAGTGTTTAAAAAATATTAAACATGTTAAATGGTGATTGATATTCAATGGTCATACCAGATGAATAAAATATCGCCAGTATTTTAACAATTACTTACCTCAACGTACCATGGTCCAATAATTAAAGCAGTGTGAAACTGTTTTGGAATACAAAGAAACACATGTCACAAAAACTGAAAAATTCTGGTCTCAACTTACCATTCCATATTCCATTTGTTGAATAGTTGAGTTCTTGAACATGGAACCAAATCTTCTAATGAATCTGTGAGCCGCACCATCGCCCATTTCTGTCACCACCATCTTGACTTTCATAAATGATTCATTCTTCTTTTTGTTTTCATAAATTGGTAAACGTTGTGGGTTGAGATACTTGTAACGGAATCTCTCAGGGAAAACCAGGTTTTGGCAAATTGTATTGATAATATTTGCGTCATATTGTGCACGTAGATTGTCCAATTTTTGAAGACAAAAATCAAAGTCTGTTCTCATAATAACACATCAAGTGAAATATTCCAAATCAGGAAAATAAATTTATCAGTGACATGTGAATTTTGAAAAAACACTTACTTTGTCTTTGGTTGAAAGAGAAATCGTCAAGGTTCCACATTGGTGCTTCTGGCACTTGATTGAAAGATTGAACTGAAGTAGAACTACTCTTACTTGCAGTTGGAAGATAAGATCCAGAAGATGTTGGTAAAGACGAAGTAGGACGGTTCTCCAAATCACGGGCCAATTCCTTGTCATCCTCCTCTTCTTCTTCAGTCTTCTTATTTGGGTTGTTCATAATTTCTTTATATTTACCGGCATAGTCAGAGGAATAGTCGTCCTTTTCATCATCGTCACCATAGGATGGAGGTGGATTGGTTGTTGTGGTGATGTTATTTGTTGCTGTTGTGGTTGGAGTAACAGGTTGAGATTGTTGAGGACTTGACAGTCTTTGTGGAGTGGTTGTGGTATTCGAAGTAGTAGCACTTGTCGGTAATTGTACAATGGAAGCACCTGAAGTGTCAGGTAAGAGCCCTGTCTGCATTTGCTTCTTCTTCAACTCTTCAATTTTGTTAAAGATTGAAAGAGCACTTCCTTTAGCAATACCAGCTTCGGTAAGGTCTTCAACCTTGAAGTTAATGATGGAACCACCATCAAATTGTTGTTTTACAAGAGCTGTGGTGTATAAAAAACAATGACCAGTGAATGATGTGTTAAGTCATTGTTGACGCAACAACAACATTTGAAATTTTTATCCATGTATCACGACAGCAATGAATTATAGATGTCCATGTCATGGAGTGTATGTTTCAAACGAGAGATCAATGTTGTTATCCGACAACACACACATGTAATTACACGTCATTGTTGTGGTGATCATCATCAACCGTTCCATAATTATTGAACTCAAAATCATCAAATAATACCTACGTGCAATAACTGACTTTTTATCATAGGCTTGATCTGTGAGCCATTGTTTAAAATTCTCACTGGTCCAGTTATTGATGGGAATTTCCTCCAAATTGACCTTGGTCGTGGTCTTGCTCTTGAATAAATTCTTCATGATGATGATTGGGCTTCTAATAAAAATTACAGAGAGGACTACTACTACTACTACGAGGAGGACGAGAACGAATGAACGACCGAACGGAACAAGTATTGATGATGAGAACGGAGCACACACTTGGCGAGAGAGAGAACAAACAATCGATCGATCAAAATTTTTTTTTCTCTTTTCTTGTGTCATTTGGTTCCACAAGGAAATATAAGGAACGAACGGCTGACGACGAAACTTGTTGTTGTTGACATTCACATGTTCTTTCAACGACCAATAACCGACGATGATGGAGTTGAAACTCGAGAGATTGGAAGAGCAACCATAGGATGGTTGTTGTTGTTCAGAGTTATTCCGAGGAAGATTTAGGTTCGATGTTTGTCCAAGTTTGTCCAAGAGGACCATTTCATACCAACAATAACAATTATTATAATTTTGAACGAATAAAATGAATGTCCAACTTATACATGTCATCCAGAGCCAATCTTTTATCCAACTGAAGATCTTTTCGAGATGTCGAAATAGAATCTTTGTTGGTTGCAAAGAATATTCTTCTTCCACGGTTGTTGTTGTTGTTCAGAGTTATTCCTGTTTGTTGAATTCAATTTTAAATCTCCACAACAGAGATTAACCAAGTTTCACAAGGTAATTTGCCCGCATACTGCAAACAAATCTCTTTCTGCTCAAAAATCGGCACATGATAAATGGAGAGAAGAAATGGAAAATGAAATTCTAGAGGCTCCGTCTTCCGTCAATATAGCCAATTTGTCGAAAATACAATCTAGCCCACCCAACATATACAACTCCCCAATGTTGTCGCAGCCAGAGATCTCTAATATTACTACAACCTCTGGAGTCTCAGTTTTTAATACCTCAGCCATGACCGATGACCATTCTACTAAATTGAAGCGACATCATAAGCTCTTCAGAGTGGTAGTCTTTACTACCAACTCTGTCGAAGAAGTCCTTGCAACCGTCGCAATGAATGCCGATACGTTGTACGATAGTAGAGTTGTCAATGAATTAGATTGTATTATCCTTTTCTTCAAGTCGCGCAAATTGGCAAACCAAGCAATATCTGCTGGTGCTAAGTCCAAGCTCACTATGATACCTCAAACCGTCAAAACATCATTCCGTTATAAGGTCGACAAGGATTTAGACAAGACTAATATGCATTCTATTATCTCAACCCTTGGTTCTTCTATCAACAATATCAATTTTAGCAAGATGGAAGATCAGGAATTTTGGGCTATTGGTACTAATATTGAGTTACCTGCCAATCATTTGAAGAAATTTAAGCTTTCCAAAATGAGAACAGATATCTCTCGCTTCCGTATTGCCTTTAATGGTAAAGAAAAAGATCTTCCTAAACTCAAGGGTGCCATTAGTTCCCAATGGAAAGTCAAGAATGAGAGTATCGAGTTGGCTAAGAAGATGGCTGTTGTTGGTATTAAAAAAGATCAAATTACCAATAACATTACCAAGTTCGTCCAAGTTGGTAATTATAGTTTCAGAAACCTCTCATTCTCTACTACAGAGTTGCCAATTCTATCAGTCACAGAATGGAAGCTGTTGAAAAACAAATGTCTGAAATGTCATCAGCTCTCCAAAAATTGACAAAGGAAATGGCTGTCTGGTCTGGTAAAAAGGTCACGGAAGGCTTTAATAAGATCAACAAAGCTGTTGAAGAAATTAATCAAAAAATCAACGCTCTCTTAGGTACTACTATTCGCAACAAGGGTAAAAGTGGGCATAAGAAGGGCCAACATTCCCTTTAATGGCCCCTCATTCTAAAAGAAACTCCTTCAATTTAGGTACTGCTAATTTTGGAGGAGTTGGCTGGGTAAAACAATCTCAATTACTTACCTTAGCCCGCAAATATGAACTGGATGTCCTTAATATCCAGGAAACTCATTTAAAATCCAGTACGAAAGACTATTGGAATATATGGTATTTCAGATCCTTCTTTCGTGGCTACTTAGTTTACAATTCCAACGCCACTGAAGGTGATAATGGAGCAGGAATTGCTACTATTATCAGACCGTCACCTTTTATTAAGGTACTCCAATTCGTCGAACATATTCAAGGCAGATTATCAAAAGTCACTTTGGAACATAAATACCCTAGGTGTGGCCTGCATTTTCAATTGGTATGGCCCGGCTAACAAAAACAAACTCGAATTCATGAATAAGGCTCTCAATATTATCAACATTTCTGCTCAAACAGCGGTCTTTCATGGTGAACGTATTGTCATATTGGGAGATTTGAATGCCAATACTAAAACATTCAGTAAGGTATCTTATGCCGCCCATGAACGACTATTAATTGACCAATGTGACAAATTGAAACTCTTTGATGTTGTTCCCATTTCAAACACACCTTCGTTTGCTCAACGCAACAAATACTCTCATGGTTTTTCTCGCCAGGACCATATTATTACTTCCCACAATGATTATTCTGGTGTAGAAGATGTTCCTACTGCTTATTCTCACAAACTTTTATAAATCTCCTTCCCCAGTAATCCCATTTTAGACTTCCCAGAACAGTTCAACAAATATATTATCCATCCTAAAATTTTACAATCCAAGATGAAGGAAATTAATAACGATTTTGCTAAGGAAAACCCTGACACTCTTTTAGAAGCCCAAAATACCCTTGCTAAAATTGTGAAGAAATATGGTTCTCTTAGCACAAACAAGCCCTCATTGATCACTGATAATCGTAATGTCAGACAATTTCAGACTTTTATTTTCGATTTGAAACAATATCTCTATAAGCGTAAACATGTTTCTACTATCACCAGCCAATTTTTGAACAATAATTTTAGCCTCAACAATGTCAAGGCTAAATTAGAGGAAGCTAAAACCTCACTCAACAAGCTTATTGGATCTTTATTGGCTGACCGTAAACGGGTCTTTGTGAATAGAATTAACAATCTTAATTCTAAACAACCGTATTCCTATGCCTTCAGAAAAGAACTAGTCAGTTCTTCTATATTCAATGTAGTCCAAAGTAACCATAACTCGACAATTGTAGATCATTTTTCAGCCATGTTTAATATAGAACAAGAAGTGGCTAAAACTCTCCCGGAAATCAATAAAAACAATACTGTAGCCCAATGGAAATTCCATCATATCACTGCCAAAGAGTTGGATAAAGTTATTTCTAAGACAAAAAATTCTATGGCTGGCTATGATAACATTTCGGGCCATTGTTGAAAATTCTAGACAACAATTCGCTCCAAATACTTGCAAAATATATCAATCACACAATTGACAGTGAAATGGTTCCTGAAGAATTGGGTATCGGTATTCTACTCCCATTACCCAAAATCAATATGCCTACAAAATTATCAGACTTTAGACCTATAGTTGTATTGTCCGTGATCTATCGTCTATTTTCTTCTATTATCAACAAACAATTCATGAATGTCCTTGAAGAGGCTAATTTAATCCACACTGCGCAACGAGGATTCATGAAAAAAGGTTCAACATTAGAACACCTTATCAGTCTTCGGACTGCCTTAGCATACAAATATCAGCACAAACAAGAAGTATTTGCTATGGCTCTGGATATCAAAAATGCTTATGGATCAGTAATCCATAAAAGATTTATCAGCATTCTCAAGAAACATGGTTTCCATAGCTCTGTCATTAATCTCTTGACATCCATGATCTCCAATAGCGTTATGAAAGTACTAGTCAACGGATTTCTATCCTCCCCTTTCGATGCGAATGTTGGAGTTCCGCAAGGCGATCCTTCAAGCCCGGCATGGTTTAATCTTTATATTAACTCCTCAACTAACATACAAGAAAAGCTTAAAGGAGTTCAAATATTTAATATTACCATCCTTTTATTATTATATGCCGATGATATTATATTGATAGCTAATACTAAGATCGAAATGAATTCCTCTCTAAAAAGCCTCGGTTGTGAATTAAAGAAAATAGGACTCGCTTTAGCTTCCAAGAAATGCAAGCTCTTAGCTATTACAGCCAAAGCCAAACTATCTAAGGCCCTAGTCACTATTGGACAGGATATAATTGCCACATCTTCTTCTATTGAATATCTTGGGGGTATATGTACCTTTAAGAATTATTTTTCTTGGTCCTCTGATAATCCAATCAACAAAATCTCGAATCAACTGGCATCAACTAAAACTTCTAATCTATATCTCAACAGCATCACCACTACATTAATGTCCAAAATCATATCTTTGCCTAGATATGCCTGTAGTTTCAATGGAATCAATAAGAATTCTCTAGACAAAGCAGATATTATGGTTGCTAATTTTGTCAGAAAGGCTATTGGATTAGATTACATTATCAAAATCAGTCATTTTTAATTGCAAACAAATTGGGGGCCTTGGTATTACTCGCCCCTCTACTTTATTCTCCATTGAACCTATTTGCACAGCAGTTAGATTATTCAACTCCTCCTCCACCATCACCAAAAATATTGCTTTGGCTGCTTGGAATGATCTTACCTTTAACGAACCATTTTGGAACCACGTGAAATATATCGCGGCTCAAAATAATTGGTCTCTCCAATACATTGATGAACGGTATTCATTTGTCAATGAATACGAAACCCCTGTCGACCCTAGAACTGAATTACTAAACAACGATAGATCAACCATGTGCATCTCAGGCCTTGGAGTCTTAGACCATAATAGAACCTGGCATCCATGTACCATCTCCTTTTGGAGCAATTATTCACTCAAACCCTTCCAACAACGACTATTATTTGCTCACCTACACAAAGCAGAAATCCTTAGAAATTTCGGAAAAGATTACCCTAATTGCCATATTTGCAATACCAAAGCCAACTGGGAACATGTATTCACCTCATGCACCATGTGTGGTCCGGAAATCAAATCATTATACACAAAATGGGACAACAGTTCCCTCAAATTCAATGCCCCTCTTATCAGACTTCCCTCAAACCATTCTCTCTCTTGTATTCCAATGGATTGGAATGGTAGTATCAAAGACGAACCTCTTCAACAATTAGACTTATCTCCCCCAGCTTTGACTGATTGGCTAAATGAAATATATCTCTCATTCGCTGCCTATGTTGGCAGTTGTTACAAAAACGCCACTTGGAACAGTTCAACTGTACTCAAGAAGGCTAGAGGATATATAATTAAACCCAAAACTGCAAAATTTGCAACTGCTTGGGAAACATTTAGCAGTCAGCTTGGCGAACTCAACTCCAACAACATCTACACCTCACACCTACACACCCATTAGACACACTATCGTCGGACAATTGAGTACCTATAATTTGTTTATTTTTCAATAAACCCATTCCTGTATTTTTTGATTCATCACTTGAAAATCCAAGTAAATAACCATATTCTTCAACGAGTTTCATCATGATGTCAAGGCGATCTAAATGTTTAAATTCTGAGAATACTAATTTGGCAACTGTCAACATAAAGTCATGAAATGAAAGTAAATCCTTTGGTACATCGAAAAGCCTTCTATTTTGCTTGATAGCAGCCAAAACAATTTCCCTGTCTTGATTATACAGTTCATCTGAGAGAGCCAATCCATTCTGTTGAACAACCCTTAAAGCAAAATTTTTATCTTTTTTAAGTGCTGATGAAGCGTACATCCAAACATTTGGTACATGTTTTACAGCTTCCAATAACAGTTCGACATTGAGAATGTTGTCACTTGCAAATCGCTTGGATCATTTATAATACAAAATATCGATCTTGTTGTAATTGTGATGTCGTGTGTACCAATCCATAACCATACTTTTTAATGTGATCCAAAACAAACACCTTGTCATTCATGATTTCACATAAATTTTTGCCAAAATAAATTCAATGAACAGCTCACAGCCGAAAAGGACATATTTTATATTGTGTTTGTTCCTGCAAGACAGAATACTGACAGAACAACGAAATTTCCAACCATCAAGACCAACAACCCAAAAAATTAAACTAATATAGAAGCATTTCTGTTTTGGATTTGTTTGGAGTAGTTATCTTAGTCCTTTAAGGAGAACTAATCGAATGTTTTGAAAATACAACACACATTTTCACACTCAAATAATAGAAGATTGTCTAAGATATTTGTATTCCATCAAACAAATGAATGGTTGAACAAGGTTATGCCTAGGCTGGAACAAAAATTTTTCTTTCTCTTAACTATATTGCCTTTCTAATATCAGATATGGGTGATCCTTTCTCTTAAATATGCCATTCATCATGAAACAGACCATTCCATTCATTCAATGTCCTTCTGACAGGATACTGACAGAACAGTTTCATTGTTGTTGGGAATAAAAATCCCAACTAAAAAAATGGCCAAAGTGGTAAAGGGAATGGCCGATTTTCTGCCATCATCCTTTTCGACGAATTGCTACCGTAAAATTGTTCGGGTTGGAGAACATGTTTGCAAGACTTTTGATTATCAATTTATGCAAACTCCAATCGTGGAAGAGAGAAAACTTTTTGAGAGAACGCTCGGAACTGATACAGATATCATTTCAAAGGAAATGTTTTTATTGGCGGCAAGGGATCCATCGGAAGGAAATAAATTATGTCTGAGACCTGAAAATACAGCCTCCGTAATGAGGAGTATTATTGAGAATAGCCTGTCGTATAAACAACGTATTTATTATTATGGACCAATGTTTAGATATGAAAGACCCCAGAAAGGTAGACAACGACAATTTCATCAATTTGGAGTAGAATGTTTAGGATCAGATCATTACCAATCGGACTTGGAGTCATTGGAATTAGCTTTTCAATTTTTGAGTGGAGTTTTGGATGGCAGAACTGACTTGTTCACACTAGAAATTAATAGTATTGGAACTTTAGAGGAGAGAGAGGCTTACCAAATCGAATTATTGAAATTTATTCGTAATAATTTGGATTTATTCTTTAGAGAGGTCGAAAAATCGTCGTCAAAGCATCCTTCTTCGCAAGAAGAGAGCACCAAAAAAGTTTTTGCGTTCTCCCAAGACACGAGGGATCGTATTGATATGGCCATAAAAGAAAATAATCCAAGAAGAGTGTGGAGAATTCTGGATTCAAAACAAGATGAGGCTCTCATTGAGGATGCCATTAAAAATCATGGAATGCCTCAATTACAACAGTTTCAAAGTGAACAAAACAGAGTAAGATTTGAAAATGTTCTGAAAGGCCTCTCGTGGTTAAATATACCTTATGAGATCAACCCTTCATTGATAAGAGGACTTGATTATTATACCCACACGACTTTCGAATTTAAGAGTACAAATATTGGAGCCAAATCAACAATTTTAGCTGGAGGGAGATACGACACTCTTGCAAAACAATTGGGTTCTCCAAACACCATCCCAGCAGTAGGGTAAGTACAGTGTTCATCATGTTATTGTTCATGAAATTACCTATGCAACCTGAATTCCATTAATACACAAAATGGTTTGACAATTAAACATAGATGGGCAAGCGGTATTGAAAGGCTTACCATTCTCATGGAAGAAATTGAAAAAAACAAAACTCAACCAACCTCTCAATTCCTTCCAAAAGTTTTCATTGCTGTCATTCGTGGAATGGAAAGCACCACTGGAGTTACGGAAGACGATTTGGCACGATTCGCATTGAATATTTCAAAACAACTTCGTTCTCAGGGTTTTACTGTGAACTATTTGGAGAAGAGCAACTTATCCAAACAATTGAAACATGCTCAATCAAACAAGTGCCTGTTAAGCTGCATCATTGGAGATGAGGAGTTTGTGAAACAGCAGGTTCTATTGAAAAATCTGGAAACTGGAGCACAACAACACGTCTCTCTAGAACACCTTGGCAATGAGATAAGCACAATTTTTTCGAAGACTTTCTGAAAACATGTTCCATTTTGGAGAAATTTAATATGGTGATACAAAACATTTAATCTCTTCTCACCACTACAATGCATTTTTGGATATTCTAAAATACACAATTCAATCACGATTCCAGTTCAAGAGGAATTCTTTTTTGAATTGACCCTGCTAGGGACATGTGACATGGTGATGATGTTTGAGTCAATGCTGACCTGGCGAGTTGATTTCCCTCAACTTTTGAACCAAGTGATCAGAAATGAATTCACTCAAGATCTCCACATTTTTCACATTGTAGTCAATGAGGTCATTCAATGGAGATTGTTTAGAGGTTCTTCCTTCTAAGGCCAATCTCACCAATTGTAGCTGAGCATCCTGATTATTCCATCTCTCACTTAAGAAGTATGAAATTGGCATCTTGACACCCACTACCTCCTTATGAACCTTAACAATCAATTCCAAACTCTTCACGTTCTGAATTTTCAACTTGTCATAATCCAATCTTCGAATGATATCTTTCCATTTAAGTTTCAATTTTCTCTCCTTCAATACTTCAGCAAAACTCGACAAATTCCATGTGGTAGGAGCTGGCATGTCCTCCAAAGATGAACATGTCATTTCATCGGTAGCCACATCCTCTCCATTGTTAGAACTCTTTGCACTACTTTCTGATGATGAGCTAGTTGCCATTGTTGCTTTCATCTTGGCGATCCCATTCTCTAATTGTTCCAACAGATCAAGAGAGGGAGCATTTAGGCCTGTTTTGAACATGGCCATCATGCCCAGCAACTGTGCCATTTGATGATCAGAGATGGCTCCGTGCTTTTGTAGCAAAACTCTCACGGCATGGCTATTGCACGTTGAGTAATAGCCAAACTGTTTGAACAATTGGCTCAACGCTGCGGCATTCGTTGTGGGAGGTTGCTGAGGAGGAGGTTGTTGTCGTTTGGCTTGATTGGAGGTTGCAGTGCTCATCGCTGTGGTGGTCGTCTTTCCCGAGGAGGAGGAGGATGCTGTTTGATTCTTCATTTCAATGAATTTAATATCGATATAATATTGATTGGAAAGTGTGTTTGGAGAGAAAGAGCAATCAGATCACGATCAGATGGGATGGATTTCAAATTCCAAAAGAATTAAACTGATTAGTGTGAAAAGGGAAGGTTTGAAAAGCAAGGATTGAAGGTGTCGTACGAGCTCAGTACAGAGTTCCTCCCGAGTTGTGCGACAAGAGCAAAAGTGTTTTCAAAGACCAACACACATAATCAATTTTTTTCAAAATTGTTCATTTTGTTTTGCCATTTTACAATATCTCTCCATAAAAGCAATCATTGTCTATTCGGGACCGGTGTTGAAAAAATTTTAAACTTTTGAACAGCAATGTACAGGTGGTTAAAAAATCAAATCAGTGAGGGATATTCCACTGGGAAAGAAATTGCTTTGATGGTATGAATTTTCCGTCTTAGAGATCAAAATGCAAGATGATGATGATAAAGAATTTGATTATTAATAACATTCTTTTCTTGAGACAATTTCGTCTGATATCATTAATGCAAACCCTTGAATGTCTTCACATATATAGTTGCGTCTGATATAATTAACTTTACCTCCAGCAGGTGTTATAAACCCATCAACAAAGATTCAAAAATTTATTTAGACACTTCCAGGACAGCACGGAAAACTGCGTTCGTTAAGGATTACCATTATTTTTTCAACGCACTAAAGACATCAATTCTTCCTGAAACTTGATTAATAATTAACTGTCACTTGGTTTTGAGTAAAAATAGAAACACGTAAATTGAAGTCATTGGATTGGGAGTTCTTAGAGACGTTGTTTAATGTATGTTGTCATTTATTGATGACTCTTTTTCACTATCGGTTGCTTAGGTTGACTAATCTTCTCGGGTTGTGTTGGCAGGGGTTATATTCAATCTAAGGAAACTCGAGAAGTTCGGTTCGAAAATTTTTTGATTCAAGTTTGAGAAAGAGTTTGAATTCTTTTGATTGTATAGTATAATATGAACATAAGTAATGTGCAGGGGTTCTAGCTCACATGGTAGAGCGCTTCTTTAGCATGGAAGAGGTACCGGGATCGATACCCGGGAACTCCAAAAATTTTCTTCCATTTTCTAATTTTTTTTTTAAAATAGTTAGAATTTTTTGAAAAACAGTGACTCATTCTATAGAGAAAGCACAAAATTTGAAGTTCACACTGAAACGAAATACCACGATTTATTGAGGAATTTGTGGAATGAACATCTTCTTTATAATCTCTGAGGTACCTTCTTCTTATTCTGAATGATGATACGAATGAGTTGATGACGACTCTAAATCTGCTAAAATGGTTTTCACCGCTTGAATCACATCATTCTCTGGAATGATCAAATCCGAAGTGTGACTACCTTCACCACAAACAAGTGTATACTTGAGTTTCATATTCCTAGAAAAGCACATGTAATCTTGAGGAAGTTTGCCCCACCTTTGATATGTTATCATCATGATTAGATCACGATGGAATTACCAATTCACAGTTCCACCATTTCATGACAATTGAATCAACATGTTCACACACGACACATTCAAAGCTCTATTCACACACACACTTACCCTAATTCAATAATTCCTGTACCAGGTCTTGAAAATATAATGTTTGATAAGGATGCTCCATGAGGAGAGATTATAATATCACTTTCATAAAATACTTTTGCTACTTGTTGTAGATAAAGAGAAGGTTCGAATGGATGAATGACAAATTCTCGTACGTGGTGTTGAGGAAAGGTCTTTTTCAATCGTTGTAAAATCTTTCCATGATTTTTCACATTTCTATCATAGGCCTTTCGATCAATGAGTGTAATAATTTTGTGGTTGGATGTGGATCGTTTGAGGGCGTGTGGAAATAGTCTTGCCATTCCTTCTGTGATTTTCTTATTTAAATTGAGATATTCCAAAATGTTCATGTGTGGAAAGTTTTCATCATCTGCATGATAAAGATAAAGTTTGTTTGCTCTTATTACTGTATCAAGTTCAGTAGTCACAAGTGTTCTGTTTCCATCAATGACTCCTAATTCTTTCATCATGAGATAATAATTCACAGAAACTGGGTTTTTAGGCCAAATTAATGGAACATCTTTTGGCAATTCATTATACATTCGAACTAATCTTGGAAGAATTTCAACAGGCATGTGTCCAATTGCATTCAGGAAGACACTATAGCCAGGATTTGCAATTTTGTCAAAATGTCGAACTCGAAATGACTTTTTAATGGTTGGTTTCCAACCATTTTCAAGTTGAGATTGAATAATAATTCCTTCATCATTAAATGTTGCCCATGAAACGTCCGTGTGAAAACTCGATTCATCTACCCATGCACAATCAAGTTCTAAAATCCATGCTTTTTGATCGGCTATGGAATAAAAGTGTTGTTGTTATCGTGGTGGTTGTTGTTGTGTGATTCTCAAAGACAAATTTCCATACCTCGTGCACAATATGTTCCTGTTCGAAATCTTCGTTGATCAGATTCTCGACATTTATTAGTCAAATCTCGTAAATATTTAAATCTTAATTCATCCAGTCTGTTTTGAGGTTCTTTACATATTTCCTCTTCTGAATTTTGTGATAATTTGTATGGAATTAATTCATGATAATATTCTTGTTCTTTTTCACTCAATTGCAATTCTTTAATCACTCGAACAAATTTCGGGGAAACTGTGGAGAATACTTTTTTACCTCTTCCATCATATTTGGTCTGAGGGAGTGTTGACCAAATGGTTGAAAAGAATTTCTCTGGAAAGGTTTCTTGATTGTCAAGAGGACACGAAAGAGAGGATGATGCAATTTTGGGAGGATCAATGATGAATATTTTGGAAAGCTCCGGATCATTGTAAAAACTATTGGATCGCTTTAGAGAGAGGATAATCACACTAAATGTCATTATGGTGGCAACTATCAACCCAGCGATGAAGAATGGAGGTGTCCTGATGGCTTTTGACAACCAACCGAAACGAATCATTTTTTATTCGAAATTCGGTTCAAAATTCCGGGGGATCGAGAGCGTAGCTACCAGCAACGAAATCAAAGATTCTCCTTCCATATTGGGCCTAACTTAAAAAGTGCAATTAGCAAAAAAATGCAGTTCCACAACGGACCCAGTGCTGTAAAGCATCGAAATAAGAGGCAACATCAACAATCCTCATTCACAGTTCATCCAACTTCGACTTTTCAAACACCTCAAACTCCATCATCACAGGAATTAAAATTTAATTGCAATGGCTTCCCATCCGATAAATATTCAGAGCTGCTTTTTGGTGATTGTATATTCAATGCAAACTATAAGCCGATTGCAATTAAAACAGGGACAAAATTGAAATCTGTTGAATGCAATCAACTCGGCACAAAAGCAACCGGGATTTGCAATAATTGCCAATCTACAATGAACCACCTTGATCAAATTATTTCAAAGAAAGATGTTATTTTCCAACAAATTGCTGATGGAGTTCGTCCCGCACCTAAAAGTTTACTTGCGTATCCTTTACTCATGTATGAAATAATTAGCAAGTTAGTGGTTCATTCAAAAGAGTTAACTGAGACCGAATCTGAATTAGTGTCATTATTTCGACAAGCCCAAGAACATTATGATTCAACCTGGAATTTTGAGTCAGTGAATGTTGAGTATGTGATGGAATCACCACAAAAGAAAGTTAAATTAGATCTCAGAACAGAACCTACTTGTAAACCTCGTTTGCCAGAAATGAAAAAACCTTTTGAGGATACATTTTTCATGCAATTTATATTCGACCAATTACGAAATTATAGTAGAGATCCGCGTCATCACCAGTATTCTGATATTGCAAAACGTTTTTGGATTCTTGTTAAATATTATGCAGGAAAGCAATTTTTTGTCAGAATGGCCGGAGCACGAAATCAACATCAACCATGTAATTAGTTCAACCATTTACATTACAATCTCATAATTCCTGAATTAGCTACAGTCAAAAATTGGATTCCAAAAGGTAGTCGTGGTATCATTCCGTATTTCAAAGAAACTCTTGAAGATATTGTTTCAAAAGCTGTTGTGAAGCATCTGCAACTTCGTCAAACCACCCTGCAATAAACATTTTTTTGGTTTGCTACTTTTATAGTTAGGCCCAAAATGGAAGGCAAAAGTCTGATTGCCTACGCTCTCGATCCCCCTCCCCGCAAAATTCTTCTTTGATTCTATTTCCAACAAGATATACACTGTAAATCATCATTGCATTCATTTGAAGCAACACACTGATTAAGAATGATCATTTCTATACATGGTTGTCTCTGATATTTATTGATCATCTTTTCCTACAACATCATATGATGTTGAATTACAGCTACTCAAAAGAAGATTCACTTTCTGACGAGTCGACAAGTTCGTCTAACATGTCGATATCATCATCAAATGATCTTCGTTCTTGCACAAAAAATCCTTCCAAATTCACTAAATTTTCACGAATCAACTTTTCACCTTCCACTCCAATACAATTTCCAGAAATTTCCAATCTCCTCAAATTCAAATAAGGACTCGTTGCAATGGCATTTGCTCCATAAAATCCAACATGATTATGAGATAATAATAATTCTTTCAAATGACTCAAAATGGGACTATTTGCCAATGAGATGGCACATGGAGTTCCAAGTTCATTAAAACTGACATCTAGAAATGTTAATTGTTTCATATTCTCACTTTGAGATAACATTTCAATTCCATCATTTCCAATCATACATCCCTTCACATTCAGCCATGTCAAATTTTTCATGCGTTCACACAATAACTTGATACCTTCTTGTAGAATAAAGTTCTCTGCCAAATTCAATATTCGAACATGTTGTGACAAGTGTACGCTGTTTGCAATGGCAGAAACTCCTTGGGTGAGAATGTAATTTTTCTCCAAAAAGAGAGCTGTCAAATGTTTCAATTGTGAAGTGTTATTGTTAGCCAAATAAGAGATACCAGTATTCTCAATGCCATTATCACCCAAATCCAACCATGTTAAATATTTCATCTTGTCACTTTCAGAAATATATTTTACTCCTTCATCCTGAATATTGTTTCGTTTCAACTTTAAGGTTTGTAAATTCTGAAAGGATCCTTCTGAGATGAATTGAGCGCCTTCTGGTACTACAAAATTATCACTCATGTCCAAACTCATTAAATTTTTCAGAATTGGACTAGAAGCAATGAATTTCACTTGATTGAAATGGATTCGATTTCCACTCAAATTTAAATCTTTCAAATTTGAAAAAATTTGACATTGTGACAAGCATTGAATATCACTTTCACTTCCCACAGAATTATAACTCAAATCAAGAGACGTTAAGTTTTTCAACACACTGCTGTTACTGTCACACAAAGCTGTCAATCCAATACTTTCTATATTATTTTGTCCTAAATGCAGTGTTTGTAATAATTTTAAATTCTCACTACTTGCAATTGCTAAGACTCCACTGTATCCAAAATGGTTTTCATTTAAAACAAGGCCTTTCAATTTCTTGGAATTTTCACTATTTACAATCAAACGAATTCCTTCATTTCCCAACTCATTATTTTGCAAATTCAAAAAGGTCAAATTTCTCATAAAGGGACTCGAAGCAATAGAAACTGCACCTTCATAAGCCACTCGACATCCCTTCAAATTTAATTCCGTCAATCGAATGACATTTCTACATTTCGAAAAATGTGTCAATAACTCTGTCGAATCGAAATAAAACTTCTTTTTGGTGGCACTAATTGATCGTCCTTCCTTGAAATGATCACTCAAATCCAACGCATAGGGAATTTCAAGAGATTTCAAATACCATCTCTTGCTCACTCGCGCACACACTGAAAATATAAATTTCCAATCGAGAAATTGATAAATTTGAAAAATCATATCATCAGCAAATTCCGAGGCCGAGTGAGAATTTGAATTCAAAAGATCATTTTGATGAATAAATAAATTGGAAGGATCATGATGTGTGGATGATCCTTGTTGTTGGTGTCGTGGTGAATAATGATTCATTGTTCGAGTGGACCTATTCATGATCCTATTCGACAACATTTCGTTGAAAAAGGTGGACCACTTTTTGAACATTTTTTTTTGTAAAGAAATTGTAATCACTCTTAAACAAGGCTCGAACTTCCACCAATTTGGAGTTTCTTCTCTGGTTTGTCTTGAACAATTCATGATTGCATTATCACCCATGAAATTCCTTTCACAGGTTTCAACGTTCGTTTATAAGTCCTTAGTGGAATGCAACCGCCAAAAAAAATGAAACAACGAAAAACTACGACACTCAAGAGCGATCATGATGATGACAACGAGAATGATCTGGAAATGAAACATCAAGATCATGAGGTACATCGGAATGATCCTATTCCTCATCATTTGTATCATTCGGAACATCATCAAGCTTCCATCAAGAAATTTGAATTAGCTGATCAAGTTCTCTACAAGAGAAAGCCTCAAGTCCTTTGTCCAATGTGCCGAATGTTTATGAATTCATTTCCGGAATCCTTAAATTCGGAAGAGTATGAACCATCGGTATTTGAGGAAGTGGCTAATATACTCACTCATGGATTACCGTTTCCTTTTTTTGTGTATTTATTTTACAAGTTATTTGCAGAAGTTGTCAATACGAGAGACGAATTTGTAGCAGCATGTTTATATTGTATTTCATTACTAGCATTATTTATAGTTTCTACTTCGTATCATGTCATGTGTTTAATTTATGGAAAATTTTCACCCAAGACTTATTGGTTTCGAATTGTGGATTATGCCACCATTTATTTATTTATTGCTGCATGTTATACTCCTTTTTTGATGGTCATTCAACTTGGCGTGTCGAATTTTTGGGGAAGATTGTTGACCATTGCAGTTTGGATTTTAGCTTGTTGTGGATTAATTAAGGCATTTTCAGAGGGACGACTTCTTCAAAAGATTAGCAACGCAACACTATTTAATGTCATGGGATGGATTGCATTGATCGGAATTCCTCAATCCATGTTTATTCACGTACCACTAGAGGCATATATAGGTCTCTTTTTTGGAGGAGGATGTTTTTCTTTTGGAATTGTGTTTTTAAATGGTGATGGTGTGATACCCTTTTCTCATGCTTGGTGGCACTTAATTTCAGTTTCTGGAATACTGTCACACTTTTTGAGTATTTATTGCTACATGTTTCAACTCGATGAGATGTTCCACCCGGAGCAGAGTTCTTTCAATTCTAAAGTTGTTTGGATGCAAATCGTTGATACTGTGAAGGGGGAACGAAAATTATTTGGCCATTCGACGCCATTCAAGTAGAAAAAACTTAGTTCTGGCTACGACACATATTTTCATGCAAATGGATGAATATTAATATGGTTTAGTTGTTTTTTTAAACTAAATTGTCTGCAGTATCAGACATTGTTGATGAAGGAACACTTGCAATGGATTATTTCCTTTTACAACATGCTCAAATGTCACAGCCACGTTTTTCTCAATTTCTAAAGATTCTGAAAGGTGGTTTCCCAAAGTTTTGTTGTAAAAAGCAGTCATGACTTACACGATCGTATTCATTGCTGTTTCTTTCTCGTTTTGCCCAATTTCAATTTTCTGGTGATCATTTTTGGCGAAATGAAAATTGGGGAACGATTGTCAAATGTCAACTTAAATCATCATTAAAAAAAATGTCATCTCCTTCACCATCACCCACTAACAACACTACTAGTAGTAGTGCCACCAACCATTCACCCACTCCATCACCCCAAACCACTCGTAAGAAAATTCTTCAAAAAACCCAAACTCTCGATGATGAAGACGATCTTGTCAGTCGTCAAAGCAATTCTCTCCGAGAACGATCCAAAGCCCATCCAATTTTCAAAACAGCATCCTCGTCATCTCAGTCGTCATCCCCATTGACCACGAATAGAGGATCCTCTTCCAAACAACAACCACTCAAAAGTTCTCTCTTTTCTCAACTCATCACCGAACAAGAATTTAGTAAAAATCATGTTTGGGTTGAAAAGAGTCAAATTCCAAACAAATCTTCCAAATCGTTGCAAGATCCATCTTCTGGAGACCTTTCTATGTATGTGGTTGGAAAATTATTGGAACGAAATGGAAATGTGGTAAATGTTGAAATTTTGCCAAATCAAATGCCACAACCAAAATTGCAAACTTTGAAAAACGCAAGTAACACCACCTCTACCACCATTCAATTACCAGTGATGGATGTCATGTTCATGAATCCTCCAAGTATGAACCAATTACAAGATTTGACACAATTGACACATGTCAGTGAACCATGTTTGATTTATTATTTAAAAAGTCGTGTCGAAGAGAATTCCAACAAGAAACCACTCGATGGTGATTTGATTTTCACAGATTGTGGAGGAGTTGCCATGTTGTCAACACTTGCTTTGAATCATCACACTGGTTCACATTCTCGTCATCATGAAAAAAATTCATTTGCCTTTCAAAAGAGTTCCTATTTATTGAATCATTTAGTCACCACACAACAAAATCAATCCATTATTGCTCTAGGAGATAGTTCGAGTGGAAAATCAACCACATTGGTTCGAATTTTGGAAGAAATTGGAGAAGTAACCAATAGTAAGATCATGACCAAAGTATTAGATGTCATTCGAGTGTTAGAGGCCTTCACAAATTCTAGCACTGAACAAAGCAAATTTAGCAGCCGTGTGACCAAAAACATTCATTTACAATTCAATACCAAGAACGACCACAAACAAATTCCATTACTGTGTGGAGCTTACTTTGAATGTGTGAATTTACAAGTGACTCATTCTCTGGTGAGAGTTATGGAAAAATTGGTCGATCAAAGTTCAACACATGTTGAAAAGATCAATCCAGATCAATTCATTCACAACTTTCATGTATTTTACCAATTAATGGCAGATGAAACCTCAAAAGAAAAGTACAAGTTGACACAATTACTCGATCATTCTCATTCAGGAAAATTATCATTTTCAATTATTCAAAATTCGTTGATGAATATTGGATTTACTGAGAAGGAAATTGGAGACGTCACCAAAATTTTATGTGCTCTTTTGCATTTGTTGAATTGTGATTTTGTTGAAAAGAATGACCGTTTGGCCATTTTATCAGAATCTTCGAAACCTTCCTTCCATAGAGCCATCAAATTATTAGGTGTGGATGAACAAGAATTGTTAAATACCATTGTGAAACCAAAAGTCAGTGTCAACTCAAGCTTGATGGAAACCTTTGCAGATGCTTCACAAGCCAATTACAACAAGGATTTAATCATCATGACTCTCTATGAAGGATTAGTACAATGGATGATGACACGTATGAATGAAATTTTGAAATCACCTTCTTCTCAGGAATTGCATGAAATTTCACTCTTCGATATTGGAACTGGTTTTGAAAGTCTCGCCACAGGTGTAGATGCTGCTCGAGGTGTGAAATTCAACTCTCTCGAACAATTGATTCAAAATTATGCGAATGAAAAGTTGAGAGATTTGGTAAATGAAAAGCTCTTGATGAATGCACAAGAGGTCTATCAGAAGGAAGAAATTGGATGGAAATGGATGGAATTTTCTGCCACTGCTTCTCTTCCATCCAAACTTGTGAAATTTTTAGAAGATGAAAAAGATGGAGTTTTTAGTGTGATAAAGAATCAATCGCTCAGCATGTTCAGAGGTTCTGATGAAGGAATGATTATTAGTGAGCTCTCTAAATTATTGTTAGAACAAACATCGAATCAGAGCTCTGATGAAACTCATGTGAACAGTTCAGCGACAATTTCTCCGTCCTCAAAACAACAACAACATTTATTCAAACCCAATCTTGCCGAAATGGAAATGTCACTTACTCATTTCAATGGAAAAGTCACTTACAAAGTCACCAATTGGTTCCAAAAAGCATTATTACCTGCTGACTCCATGTCGACACATACCAAAGAATTTCTTTCAAAATCTTCCAAGAATTCCATTGTTCAAACTGTTTACACTTCTCTATTGAATACTTGTCAGAATCGTTGTGATAGAAACAAGAAAACATCCAATGTTCAATTTGTCATGGACGTTCATAGAGAAAATTTAGAAAAACAATTGGAACAGTTGAAGAACACAGAGATGCATGTCATTTATTGCTTACGAACATTGTCTTCCTCATCATCATTCAATGACAAATTAATTTTGAAGCAATTGAGAAATTATTCCATCAATGATGTGGTTCGCTTGGCGAGAAAGAGTTTTGCTTCTAAAATTCCATATTCACAATTTGTGAAAAGATTTGGACCTACAAACAGTAGCAGTGGTGGCAATGACAATGAAACGAAACAAGTTTGTAAAAAGTTATTAGAAGAACACAAATGGATTGAGAATACTGATTTTAAACTTGGCAAGATTATGGTCCTTCTCAAACCAGCTCATGAGGCACTTTTGTATCACCAATAATAGATAAATAACAGAAAAAGAATTATTTGTTTTAATTGACTCATCCTGCTCGTGAATCAATTCACTGTTCAATCCAAAAATAATAATCATTTTTCAAACGTGAACACGTGATATCGAAAGATCAGAAATAAAAGGTTTGCTTCTCGTTGCTGCATCACCAAATTCAAACAACAAAAAATGTCTTCCTCATCATCTTCACAAAATGCAATCTTGGTTCTTGGCACCACAGGTGTTGGAAAAAGTAGTCTTTGTTCCTACTTGACCAATTCCAATCATTTTGCAATCAGTGAGGCAACATCATCATGCACTGCAAAGTGTGACCATTTCTTCTCGACTGAACTTGGTGTTCATGTCGTAGACACTCCTGGTTTGAGAGACACTCGTCAAACCAACCCTCCTTCTGGATCCACTATGCGTTTCGATCGTAATAGTCTCACCGCTGAAATTCTCTCTTACTGTAAACAGCATTCTTTCAACATTCGACTAGTCATTTTGTTGATTGACGTTTTACCTCGTTGCAGATTGGATGAAGATGTGAATTTCTTAATTACTACCATCACTGGACTCGCAAGTGAAACGGACAGTAGAATTTTGATGGCTTGTTCCAATCGTGAGACCCCTTCTCGTGTCACTCGAATGTATCCTGCTTATCCGTGTGTGCAATTGGATTGGAATGACACGATTGGAGGATATACTTTTGATAAGACCATTTAAATTGGTAACTATATGAAATCTCCTCTCAACATTTTATGGGACCTCAAAGATTGCATTAATTGCAAGAAGCAATTCTGTCCAAGAATTCCTGAACACTGTGCAGGTCATAATTGGGCCAAAAAACACCAATTTGCAAAACATCATCCCTCTACCAGTAGTATTCATCCAAGAGTGAAATTTGAACATAAGGGTCGCGAGGAGCCTTGTCATTCTGGAAAATGGGAAGGATTTTTACATGGATGGACTTGTTGCAAACGTGGAAAGGGTCACACCAGCTACAACAGAGAACCATGCGACTCTAAACATGTCTGTGATTCTACATGTGGTTTCTATTGTGAGAGTTGTGGACGTTTGGATTCCAAAAAGGGCTGTGTTGCTGTTTGTTCGATTTGTGGATCCTTACCACACTTGGGAGGATGTACACCATTTTGTTCTAAATGTCATAATCATCATGATCCCATTGGATGTGTTGAATATTGCATCTCTTGCAATGGGACTTGTCCTTGTACGAATCGAATGACTCATCAGCACGCCTATGAATGATCCTCAAAAACAAATATCATTCATTCAGATGAAATTATCATTCAGATTTTCATTTAGGTTCATTTAAGAGAGAGATCATTGTCCAAAATAAATAGCCTCCATTATCCTAAATCTGAAATTGACATTAATTCAAAAACCCCAAAATGACACAATTGTTGCAAGGCATCGAAGCCGATTTGAAAGGTTTAGCTTTACATCGGCGACGGTATGCCAGGCAATATTTTCATTCTATCATCCTTTAAAGTAACAAGACTCCGATTCAACCATCTCAAGAGCCAGCGTCGCAGCAATGAATAACTTAAAGTAATGAATGGCTCACCATTAGAACAGCATCGTCGTGCTCAAACAAAATTAAGCGCAAGAATTGTGGTTTTGGTGAATTTTATTCATTTTTTTTTGAGTGAGGATTTGAAAACATTTTTAAAGCCAAATCTAATTGTTTGGTGGATGATTGGATCCTTATAAATCATTGTCATCAATTGGTCGGAACGGAAGAAAGGTTGTAACTGTGTTGTTCTCTATTTATTGTTGGCTGGCCATTTCAGTGGTGGAGGATGAGGAAGAAGGTTGAGTGGATTGAGGTTGTGAATTATTGGTTGAGGTCATCACGGATTGATCATTGTTTGTTTCTGTTGAGGTCGAATGGTTGGAAGCAGAAGATGGTTTTGTGTCAACGGAAGAATGAGAAGTGTCTCCATCTTTTGGTTTTTGATAAACATAGAGTGGAATGTGTAGCTCTTCCTCTTGTACAACTTCCATTTTCTTTTCTGGCAATCGCCAATTTACGTTGCCATCAAATTTGAGCAATTCGAGATATCGTTGTGGACTTTTCACTTTTTTCAATTCTTCAGAAACCAAATCGACAATGTTGCTGTCCAAAGTGAAATGAACGTTGGCAATCAGTTTGTCGAGAGCAAGGTCGCTCTCTTCTTCTTCTTCATCCAAATCATGAATGGATGCATAAGAGGCTGTCTTTTTAGGATCGGCCACTGCTGTCACATTATTTTGCATGGGCATGACTCCTGATTGTTTTTCTTTTTCAATTTCTCGAGAGACTTGAGCTTCAAAATTCTTGAGAGCATTGGCAATGGCTGCTTGTTTGAATTTGATAATGACTTGGCAAATCTCAACTCCCGCAGCGAGTAAGAACACCTCAGCGTGTGTCTCACGTTTGCTGCTAAAGAAATCATTCATGAATAACCCAAGTTTCTTATTGAAACCTTGCTCTCTATAGAATTTCTCAAATCTGCTAATCATTTTCTTTTGAATGAGAGACTGCAAGGAGTCTACTTGATAGTGAGACACAAGTTTGGTAATAAGAGCAACAAGTCTAAACTTGGCCTTTTCAAATCTTGTCAAAGATACGTCCTTATAGTGCTCCAAAATAATTTTCTTGGCCTCAACCTCTTTCCCCAAAGTTGAAGATTGTTGGGCATTCACAAAAACGCTCTTAACAAGATCAGGCAAGACCATCATAGTCGATCTTGATAATTGCTCAATACCCATTGTTTTTTCGAGAGTGACATTGTAGTTACATTCTTTGCACATGATTGTGCATGTACCAGCCTTAAGTCTCTTTCTAATCTTGGGAGAATTGCAGCTAGGACACTCTTTAGCATCAAAATTTTTGCAGCATGCAACTGTTGGATATACTCCGATACAGTTTGGTAAATTGAATTTAGCAATGGTTTCGATCATGATGTCTCTAATGTCATCCTTGACAGCATCTGCTTTGTTCAAAACAAAAATGATTGGAATTCCTTTGAGCTCCTCTTTACAGAATTCTGCTTCAAACGGTTGGAATCTTGCCTGAGTCAAGTCAATGACGTACCACACCACATGAACATGTTTTGATAGGCTTTCTTCTTGTCTTATTTTCTTGAAAAATCGTCTTGTATCGGCAACAAATCCATCTTGAATGTAACCATGTTCAATGCCTCTACTGTCGTAAATGACTACAGGACTATGTTCACCAGTATATTTGGTATATCGTTGTGTGATTGGTTTACCTTCACCAATTTCGGCTAAGCTTTTTCCAAACACAGCGTTCACAAGGGAGCTTTTCCCACTTCCACTTCCTCCCAACAACAAAATATTTGGTTTTTGTGTTTGCTGAGTCACTGTAGAACAATTCTGTTCCAATTTTTGTTTCAATTGGTTAAACTCTTCATAAATTATTTTTGAGGTAGGGTCCTTCTCAATTATCGTGAATAATTCTCCATATTCTTTTTTCAACTTATCCACCTCAGATTTTTCAATGAGTTTCACTCGGGCTTTGGTCCACCTTTTTCTTCTCACAAAATCAAAAGGACTAAAAGCATGAGACCAATGTTTTTGGTCATCGTGCCATTCGTTCGCATATTCCCAAGAATCTTCTCCTTCATTAATCCAGTCTTTTGTTAAATACTTCCAACCGTCATTAAGAGCCTTCTTTTCAATTGTTTCTTTGGATATTGGGGTTGAATTTGAGCTTCTCCAATGTCCTTCGGAAGGAATAGAAAATTCACCAAATATCTTACGCGTTTGTACTTCATAAATCACATCCACCACTATTACTTTGAGTTTATCGGATGAGGCTGATGATGAGGTATTATTATTGATTGTTGTTGTGGCTCCGGAGAGTCCTTGCAACGAACTTGATGAGTTGCTACTATTCATATCACTCATTGTGGATGATGATGATGAAGTGTTTTTAGTATATCCTCAAAGAGCGCAATCGTCAATTCAAACAACCAACAGAAAACCAGCGTTGTTGTTTTGTTTCGGCCTATTTTTTTGTTGATTGAATTATAACGTTGGATGATAACTTGATAACTTGAACCATAGAATTTTATTCAATTTCTTCATCGAATCATCCAATGGATGTCATGAAGGAACACACACACACGATGATTCTTCATTGTGTCAGCATTAGAGATGAAAGGAATCAAAAGCAAAAAAATGATTTCATTGTTGGAAGAAGAAAAGGAAAAGAAATTTTCATCGTCGGGAGAAGACGAAAGTACTGTTGGATTGGATGCGAACGGATCTCAAGGCTCTTCTTCATCACTGCTACAATCAACAACCACTACTACTACTACTTCGTTAAATGATACCAACAATAATAATGGATCGTCATCATCAGCCACTGATCTCACCAATAATAATAATAATAATAATAACGATGGTGATGCCAGTCCTGGTGGATCGGATACCACCATGACCCTTGATCAATTATTCCCTAGTGGTAATAGCTCTTCGGGTTTGAATAGTACCACTACAACAAAGAAAAAGAAGAAGAGAGGACAACATTCAAATTTATTTGCCCTGACTGTAGCTCCGAATTATGACAAGTCGTTGGAAAAGTATAAACCACTGATTCAAGTGGATCCATCACTGGAACTCTTCTCTAAATACAAATCACAGTCTGTAGCTGATGATTCATCTAACAATGGCACAACTGACACGACTTCAACAGGAGTGCTTTCAACCGACACTGCAAACACCACTCTGTCCAAAAACATGATTCCTTTAGAGATAGTGGAGCAAGCGAAAGTAATTCCAGGATTGTTTTTGGAAGGATTTTTAGAGTATTATCAATCGGGGCTGTTCACTGATGCAACAGTGATTTGTTGTTCCAAAGAGTATCGTGTTCACAAGTTGATTGTTTGCTATAGATCCGGATACTTTAGACGAGTTTTCTCCACAGACCCCACTGTTCAAGTCCATACCATTGATGATAAGGCACCAAGCATGGATTTGTGCAATCTGGATGAAGTATTTCCCTTTGTGATTGGTAAGTTCATCACATTCTACAACAGATTTTGAAAAGATTGATGGAAATGCACCTAATCACGAATTTTCAACAATGTTTAGACTTTCTTTACACTGGAAAGATCGAAATAACACAATTCAATGTTGTGTCTCTAAAGTTAATAGCTAACCTATTGGATATTTCTCCACTAAAATGTGAGGTTGAAAACTTTTTAGTCGCATATGTGAACGAGGAAAATGTTTTTGATATTTTGAATTCTGCCATTCAGTCCAATGACAGTGCTATCAAGAACATTTGTGTTGATTCCATTGCATTTCATTTTGATACTTTATATGGCAAATTTGTAGATAAGGTGTTCAAAACCTCCTGTGATGACACCTCCCAAAAAATTCCTCTGGATATTTTCTTCGCAGTTATTGGAAACAAAAACATGAAGAGCAATGTCAACGAGTTAAGAGTTAAGATTGTGTCAAACATTGTTGAGCAGTTTATTAAGGAATTTAACGCCATGGAGAATATTGAATTATTCAAACAAATGATTAATGCGGCCACAGAGTCAAAATCTCTCGACCTGAATTTAGCCATCAAGTATTTGAAGTATTGCGACACTCGCGGAGAAGAGTTACACGAACAATCGGTACGATGCTCTCAGTCACTTGCATTTAACTTCCATTTCCTGCTTACTTCTCCATCTTCCAATATTATTTATGAAATTTTACCTTCTTCTTTCGTAGAGTTACTGAAGTACGATGAGCTTTATATTAAGGACGAAGATCAAGTCTATGATATTGCATGCAAGTATGTCGAACACAACAAGGACACACTCACAGAGGACCAAAAGAAGGAAATTTTCAAATGTGTTCGTTACACTTATTTGAGCGTTCAACTTTTGACAAAACTCAAACAAGACCCACTATTCATTTCCAAAGAAGATATTTTGGAGGCTCTATGGGCCAGAGTTGGAAGACTGGAGGGAAAGAAAGTCGATGAAAGCATTTACAGTCTCAGACCAAGAAAAAATCGTGTATTTATTTATGAGAAAGATTTTGATACGAACGGAATTTTGTACTGGCTTGGTTGTAATTACAACCAAGAGACATATATGAATCCAATCGATAGAGGGTATGTTTTATTTGCTCAGTTCATTGTTAATTACTGACCTTCTTTTCTGATTCTCTCACGAATACAATTCAATCCAGATTGGTGACAGTGAGTGTGACTGCTAATTACGAAGTCGGTAAAGCGCAAGATTTAATTAGTCACGAACCAGCAAAATGTAATCTTGTGGGAAAGGCCAACACTCAAATTAACATCAAGTTTGAAACTCTCAAAATTATGCCTACGAAATACACTCTGAGACATACCATGTCAAGAGATGGAGAGGCTTTAAGATATTGGACCCTCAGTGCAAGTGTTGATGGTGTCACATATGTGGACCTCATTGTGCACAACAATGACACAACGTTAAATCTAAAAGGCTCTACTGGATCTTGGGACATTGAAGCCAATGGCAATTATTACCAATATTTCAGAATTACTCAAACTGGAAACAATTCTTCCAACAACAATTATCTTTCGATGGCTGGATTGGAAATGTATGGTTTAGTTCACCGCATTTGCGAGGAATAAATACAAAATGTAGTTATGAAAGAGCATCAGCTAACAACTTCCCAACCAGAAGTTTTTGATGTTGTACTTTATTGAAAATTCTCTTCTTTTCAACTCGTTGCCCCAACACGGTTATATATGAGAACTATTCTGTACTATTTAACTTCACCAATTTTTGTAAATTAAACAATTATTTAATTAATATTAATTTCTCAAATTAGGATCTTGTGTGACATCGTCAGCCTCTTGTTCTTTGCTTTCTGTAGTTTCTGTATTATCTTTTTCTTTCTGTTCTTCCTTTGTTGCCACATTGGTTTTGGTGATCTTTGAAACCTTATCCTCGTCGTCACCTCTCATGAGCAAACAGAATGGAATTGTAGAGAGCAAAACAACCACTACAGTACCTGCAATGACAGGAATTGGATAATCCTTCACAAGTTGTTGAGCTTTGTCGATTACTTGTTGGGTGATACCGCTCCATGAAGTGCTTGACTCAGTGTTTTCCACAAGTTTCGACTTTTTCTCCTTTTCAACTTCAAACTTCTTCTTCCATGTTTTGGAAGCATATTCCTGAGCTACATTTTCATTATGTGTAATGAGGAAATTATCAAAGAAAGTATTTTGTTGCATGGTCCAAATTTCAATAAAAACTGCTCCAATCTTTTGTGACAGATTCGATGGTTGTTTGTCTTCGAAATAGTTTGGATTAGGAATCTTTCTTGGACTCCATGGACCCTTGTAGAGAGGATTTTTAACTTTTGGAGGAACCCATTTTCCTTTGTAGTTTGGATTCTTAATGAGACGAGGCTCCCATTTTCCACAGCCATGTTGTTCACACTTGGGATTTCTTATAGTTGGTGCCTCCCATTTACCATCTTCATCATCATCCCATTCGGCTGGTTTTCTTGCCTCTGGATCTGGAATATATTCTGGTTCATTTGGTAACCAATCTTCTGGCATCTTATCTTCTGGATCTGGAATAAATTCTGGAAGTGTTTCATCCCAATCTTCTGGTTTTTTGGCCTCAGGGTCATCCATAAATTCTTCATCGACCCAATCCTTTGGTTTCGAATCAGTAGGATCATCAATTTCTTTTGGTGGCACAATAGATGGATCAAATTCTTCAAATAATGATCCCTTTCTTGCCGTTTCACCGTCAATCTTGATTTCAAAAGTATTATCCTTCCTGACAATGAGTGTGTAGAGATGAGACAACTCGTCATTCTTGATAGCTGGAGCATTCTTCAAATGTTTTTCTTCCCATGTATTACTCTTTGGATTAAAATGTCTCAAAATGAAATGAACCTTATTATTGGCACCACACAAATCAGGACCAAACATGATAATATATGGAGATTCATTGTTCAATACCTCCAAAGTTGTAATCTTTGAATCATCTAATAATTTAATATAAGCACCTCCACATGACAGTTTACTATCAAATTTCACTTCATATTGAACAATTAAATCCTTATTCTCATTATCAATAGGAGGAGTAATTCTTGACGCAACACCATAGTGTTGTCCAGCGTGTTTCATCAACAAGCCTTTATCTCCAGCATTGGAAACAACATTTCCTGTGGCTCCTGTCCATTCCACTTGTTGATTGGCGTATTTTTCATCTTTACTCTTCACCCATCGGCCTGATCCGAAAGGATCTTCATTAAAATTATCAAAAAACAATACATCATGATCTGGAACCGAAGGAGCAGTATATCTTGCCTCTTGGTGCTTGATAGAAGAAGAAGAGGCTTCATCAAAATTTGGTTCCTCATCGGTTACTGCGGAAGTGGTAACTGTAACCTCTTCCTTGTTGTTGTTTGAAGAGGCTTTCACGAAATGATAATGACTCGTTGTTGATCCGAAATTTTCCAATGATGTTGCAATCACCAGAAAGATGAGCACAAAAAGAAGCAGCAAAGCTTGCGACTTGTTGTTGTGAAACATTTTTTTGGTTCCGAAAATTTGAAATTCCGAGAGAGAAGGATTCCACACACTCGTACTCGCACACGTGTTTCAGAGTCATGTCGAATTTGGTTGTTGTTTGGATCTCAGGTGAGTCTCGTCACCAAACTCGTGTGTGTGTGGCGTTGGAGGACAATCCTTGATGATGACGGCGACTCAATGAGAAAGAGATGTGACAAATTTGGAAGTGACTTTAAGAATGCTCTTGTCTGTTTGGGAATTCTACTAGTCAAAACTCAGTTGAAAGAAATTGTGTCATTCTTTATCTTGTTGTGTTTAGCCTGTGTTAGGTTTCTAGATATACAAGCCACAAGAAAGTGTTCTATTGGTGCTCTAATAAACTTCTACATCGATTCAATAAATGCTGTGCTGGCTTATCCACAGTGTTGGTTCCTGAACTGTTAGGTTTGTGAAGAAAGGCCTCGAAATGAGTAATTGCCTCTGCATACTCTCCTTGAAAATAATAATCACATGCCTTATTGTAGAGAGTCCATCTTCCTTTCTTTTCTTGCTCTTGTAATTCATACATCCATTCATCTGCGAGCAAAAATAAGTTAATTGTTAAATGTCAAACTTGAACATACCTTCTTTGACTGCCGTACTTTCTCCTAATTCAAAAATTTTAGTGGCAGTCTTATTGGTGAGAGTTTGATCGTCCATAAATAGAGGAGATGTGTATGCAGAATCATCAATCATGTCTCGAGTGTCCACGTAACGCATCATGAATTGGTCAATCTGAGTGCTCACTCTTTCAGACATGACAATTTCTAAATCTAATCTCTTTGCCGTTTCAAGCATTATTTCATTGTTGTGTTTGAAACTGCTCAAAATAGTAAAGTGTTTCATCTCAGAATTACCGATATTACCACAATGGCTTAATTGCGAACAAATAGCAACTCTAAAATTGAGGGCATCCATTAAGTGTGCATATCTTTTCCAACATTCAAGATTTTTCCATCTCAACGTTTTAAACTTTGTTAATTTTTCGATCGTAATATGAGCTGTTGACACTGCTACTTTTTCATGACGAGGTAAGTTTGTGACTGCATTATATGCTAAATTGATAACATCATTCTCTGTTCCAATGAGAGAACCTCCTCGTGTTTTTATGATAGCATTCAGCTGATCAAACACATCAGACAATAATTGTAGAACGTCTCGTGCTGGTGCCTCTTGAATGATTTCATTAAGCCCTTCCATGTAAATTGAAACCATGGTGATCATTTTGTGTTCCAAGTGTAGGGCGAATAAATTTCGTGTGGATGAAAACTTCTTTTTACGATCAGACATTGTCATGGTTCGATTTAGGGTTGGTCTAGAGGGTTTTGACTGAACAACATCAGGTATACTGTTTGTGGAGGTATTAGAAACTTTTGTGACACTACCCTCGTTGGCTGAATCTAGTTGTTGAGGCTCTTGATCGTCAACCAATCCTTCAATTTGAGCAATGAGATGAGGTGGAATAAAACATCTGTACTGTTTCATTCGGTATACCATGAAGAGAAAGGTGTGTTGTAAATGTCTAACTTCTGAGAATCTGCTAAAGTTGATCTCAATTTTATCGAGATCCATATCAGAAACAGTGTCAAAAAGCTCAATCAAATCATAAAATGGTGACACAACTTTGTGAGAGAGAAATATTCCAATCGAGGTGCTGATAATGACAATAAAAATAGAGGCAACCACAGCAGAACAAACTCCAATTGTAGAGGTCGATACAAAGCTCCAATTTGGAACAGCATAGACAATAAACCAGTCAATGTTATAATCAGTACATAGGCGTTGAACGCTAATAAACATGTATCTTGATCCTGAAAAAGATGTCTTTTGATTGCAATGAATTTCTTTCAAGACAGGATACTTGTTCTGGATGTCTTGAGCCACGACAGACATGACTGGATCCTCCAATGAAGAAAGGTCTAATCGCTTTGATTTTCCTGTTGCGTCCCATGTAACAAAGGGTACATCCTCATCAAAAGCAACAATATAATTCGTATCTGACTCAATGACCATACTTCTGGATCCCAGTGTATCTGACTTTGTGTACTTTTTCAAATAACTGGAGATTGAGCCCACAGAGAGATCATAACCAAAGTAGTATTTAAAATTATTACCGTTCACTGGTGAGGGAAGTTTCCAACTATTGATAAGACTCAAGAAAGCATATTGAGGCATGGTTTTGTCAGTATACGATGGAGTGAAAGCTGGTCTTCCAGCAAACTTGTTTCCAATCTCAATAATTACACTCATATCAAACGGTGAAAGTATTACATCGGGTGTTGAATTGTGATGACAATAATCGTCATTATTCTCAAAATTTTGACAAAGATATAATTTCTGATCAACCAGGTTTGTATCCACTAATGTAGGCTGTCCATTCCAAGAGATTATTCCGTAACATGTACCTATAAGGATTCAAAGAAGTGAAATGATCAATATATATATTATCGCCATGATATACTAAATGTTCATCACAATAACTTACCAATATCGTCACCAATATAAGTCGTAGTGGTTAATCCAGCCTGAAATTGCGTTTCTGACTTGTAAAGTGCATACATTTGTCTTTCGATCCAGGTCTTATTCGAATAATCAAGCATGGATGTCAATTGACTTTTTGTAGCTGCCGATATCCGCACCACATTTCCTATTGTTTGTTGAATGTATGTAGCCAACTTATCAGATTGTAAACCTTTGACATTTGAACTGAGACTATATATTGAGGGCAGTAATGAACCTAACCACACTGCAGATAGTATCAAGACACTAATGATGACACTTCCACAAAGTAGCAGTATGAGAAAAAACTTGATCGACGAAAACATTCGCCAGAACCAATTCAAAATCATGTATCCTCCATATTCCAACATGGTAGAATCCTCACTGGAACTGATGGATTCTTTATCGGCGCCACCAAAATTTGCATCCTTATTTACAGAACCACCACCAGCACCACCCTCTCGATGCATGGTTGCTGCTGCTGAATGAATACTTCGATCGGAGGAGGGGTGGTTTTTAAACGGTGGTTGGGGCTGTGATAAACTCACGTTAGAAGATCTTAGAGGAACAAATAAATGAGGTGGTGGTTGATTGAGGTTAATGATTCCATTGGCTGGTATGGGCGCAGAGAAGGAACTTCTTCTGGATCGTGGGTTGGTGGAGTTTGTTGTTGTTGTGGCGAATGTGGGACCTCCCACATGAATTTGAGGAGAATGAGAAGAGGAGGATCCTCGTGAGGAGACGGAAGATGAGCTTGTCGAAGGGTGAAGATGTTGGGAGGATAATCGTCGTTGTTGTTGTTGTTGTTGTTGGGAGGATTGAGATGATGGTTTTTGGTCATTCGATGATGAGGATGATGAAGAAACTTCAGATGCAAACAACTGAACCGTGAGGCTCGGAAGCACTCGTTTGTTTTTCGTAGTTGCCAATGGCACGTTGTTGTTATTCATGTTGTTGAAGTTGTTATTGAAGTTGTTCGGGTACGTTGCCATCTTTTGAAGTGTTGTTGCCTAGTGGATGTTCTCTTCTTGTTGGAGGAAAACGAGATAATTTAAAGGTTCGATGTTGTTGTTGTTGTTCTTGTTGTTGTTGTTTGCATGAGAGGAATAATATTCTCTTCTTCAAATCTCTAATAATAAAACAACCGAAATTGATGATGATTTTGTTTTGTCTGTTGACCTGTAATGACAATCATAAATTGTTTCTGAAACAACTTGCGGGAACATGCAGAGAGATATAAAATCTCCAGAGAGGACAACTAGAAGTGAAGTCCCTTAATTCAATCACCTCCAAATGGATCTCTTTGGATCACCAAGATGATGAAATTGAAGATTTTTGTGCGTTCTGAACTATTAACGTGTAAAGCCTGTATTTCATTGTGATGATCTTATCAGTAACGTGTAACGGTTGGTTTTTGGCGGTTTCATCAACAACAAAAAATAGCATGATCGATACCGTAGAAAATTGAGTGCTGCTCCATTCATCATCATCATCGTGTATCAGTGTTTCATATATAATTGTTTCATCATTATCAATTTTTAAACGTAAAAAATCAACACTTTCTATTGGCAATTTATTCCATCACCCTGTGCAAATTGGATCGGAAAAGAAGGTTTTTTTGGATTGTGAAAAATTTATATTATTCTGTTTTCAACATCGTAGAAGATCCGATCGCAGCATCAAGAAATCAGTTTTATTTCTCAGTGATTCTGTTCATTGAGAATGTATTTTCAAAATCAATCTCCGACGAGAAACGGCAATTATTATGGAAAGAAGTATAACAATTCGCCCAGTCGATCTAATCAAGGTGGATCGTATGGATCCTACTATTCACAACAAGCATCATATCCTTATATGATGTCTTATCAACAGGGCTACTCAACAAATCCATACTCTGGCAGAACTACAACTTCATCAAGTGGTATGGATTGGATTCAACTCAGCTCAGTTGAGACATCAGAAGACAATCGAGTTGTGGTAGCTGATAATTATGATGAATGCATTTGGACTGGATCATCTAATGGCAGAATTACTGGATACCATTACCCTTCAATGGACAAATATTGCTCTTTTCGTGCATTTGAACCAAATTACGACATCAAACAAATGATTGTCCAAAAAGAACGAATTTATTCACTCTCATCAAATGGATTTTCTGTCCATTCTAGAGGTGGACTCTATAGATATAGTTTTGAAGATTCTGAATTTTTTGGGGATCAACTATTGACATTTACCTTTCACTCTGATTACACACCTGGCGGACACTCTCAAGGCAGCCGATCACAGTATTCATTGATAATGGGAGGAAATTTTACCAAATTGTTTAATTTTGATCTTAATGCTCAAAAAATTATTTCTCAGGTGGAAACAAATCAAGGAATATGTATCATGAAAACAGGTGGAAGATATGTTTGCTGTGGAGGAACTTTGGGGGAGTTGTCATTAAGAGATCCAAGAAGTTTGAAAAGTGAACACTCCTTTGAGGTTCATACTGGTACTATTAGTGATATCGCTATTAAGGATAATGTATTGGTCACATGCGGATTCAATAACAGATATGGTGAATTAACTGTTGACAACATGGTCAAAGCGTTTGATTTGAGAACACTGAGAATGTTGGGCCAAGTACATTTCCCGTTAGATCCTACTTTTTTAGGATTCCATCCACGTGTTAGTTCAATGTTACTAATTGTGTCACAAACAGGGTGCTTCCAATTCAAGGACCTACAAGCCGCATTTAATCATCAATATCAAAACAGCGATAGTCAGCTCTATCAAATAAGTCTCGATCAAAATGATAACAATCCATCATGTATACAATCATTTGACATTAGCTCTACAGGAAACATTATTACATTTGGAGATCAAAACGGTTTACTACATTTCTGGTCCAGTCAAAGTGCGTTGGATACATACAACCAAGAGGAATACAAACCACTCAATGCACATAGATTAGTGGACGAAGAAGCGATGCCTAATGATGGCACTACTCTACTCTCTGATTGGCCCAATTACTCATACCTCGTTGGCCAACATCCCCTCGAAATTCATCCTCAAATCTTGGAAAATTTGGAATACAAGAAATCAGCACCACCTGCTAAAATAACTTATGGAGTTAGTATTAACCCTGGATTAAAACGTGTCATTGATGGTTATTTAGAGAGAAAGACCTTCAGAGATTTCATTGTGACCGAGGAGAGTGGAGGGAAAAAGAAGAAAAAGACCTCCAGAGTCTTGAAGGTTATTCCTAAAGAATTTTCTCTTAATGTCGTTAAGAATAACAATAGACTACGGTTCCAAGAGTTTGACTTTTCAAAATATAACGATACCAAATTTGTGGGACTTGAAAATGGATTGGAGATTGCTTCAATACTCAATTCCTATATTCAAGTGCTCTATCACTTAGTTCCACAATTAAGAATATGCATCATGAATTTTCTCTCTGAAAAGCCAAATTGTATTTCGTCTGAACTTGGTTTTCTCTTTTCCATGATGGAACAGGCAGAAAAAGCAGAAAAGAAAGCTGTTGAAGCCACCAATTTTTATCGATTGATACAAACTTTAGATTTATCCTTTTTATGTGAAAAAAGCAACAAACAAAAGTTGTCACCTGTAGATGCCATTCAAAAATTCAATTCATTTATACTGAAACAACTCCAGAAAGAAATGAGTTCTGTTACATTTACTTATTCCATGACTTATCCTTATATATTTGCATCTCCAAATTACAACTTGAAAGGTCCCAACAGTAAGAAGCAAGTAATTGCTACAAACAATAGTAATATACAATTACTAAAAAAACAAAATAAGAGAAGACAAAGAACTATGATTGATATTCTGTTTGGAGCTGAGGTTCAATCACACAAGTATATCGATACTTCCTTTGACAACAAATTGAAAAGTATTAATCTACAATATCCCTATGACACATTTGAAGATATGCTAAAGGACTATTTGAACAATCCCACAAATAATTTGCTTACTCTGCCCAATATTTTCAATTTTACTGTACCAACAAGAGAAGAAGATATTAGATGGATCAAATCTCAACACAACAATAATGAGCTCACAAACACGGCCATTCCTTTACATTTCACAATTATTCAAACCTCTGATAAGTCTCAATGGGAGCCCTTTATCTTCAATGATGAAAAACAAAAGCAACAACAAGAATTGTATCACAATATTCAGCCATCTGAATACTATCTGAAACAGAAAAGACGACCTCCAATGTCAATTACCTATAATTTAACTGCTGTCATTATTCAAGTACGGCATCCTTTTCAAGAAAAGACTGTTAACACTAAAACACAAACGTCCACCACAAAGACCACCGATGATGATGGAAAGGATGTTTATGACACCATTGAAAATGCATGTGAAAATGGTGAACTCTCTGATGAAGATGAAAACGAAGAAGAGAATGACAGTTTATCCAAGAACTTTGATGGTCATTGTGTAGCTCTGATCAAAGTTGCAAATGAGTGGGTTTTGTTTAACGATTTTTCTATTAGTGCCCAAAAAGAAAAAGATGTCACCATTTACAGCCAAACATGGAAAACTCCAGCTCTATTGTTCTATGTTAGACAAGATATTCAAAATGTCCTTCCCACTGTGCTATATTCCAATCCAATTAACTCAAATTTAGAATTATTTAACTCTTCAGAGTTTAAGAGTGTTGTCAATTTTAATGGAGATATTGTTTCTATTGATGCGGAGTTCGTTTTAACCAAGAAAGAGCATCAAATTGATGACGGGCAGAGATTTGCATTAGGAAGAGTGAGCATAATTTCCATGGATGAAGAAATCATTTTTGACGACTATATCGCAACATCAGAAAAATATATTGAGGACTACATGACTCGATTTTCTGGATTGAAACCTGGAGATTTGGATATTGATAATACTTCAAATTCACATCATGTCACAGAGCTCAAATACACATATCTCAAACTAAGGTATCTCATGGATGTGAAGAAGGTTAAATTTATTGGACATGGCTTATCGAACGATTTCAAAATTATTAACATATTCGTTCCAAAAGAGCAAATTATTGACACTGTAGAATTATTTAGACTACCCAATCAACGCAAAATCTCTCTCCGTTTCCTTTGTAAATATTTATTACACCAAGACATTCAACAAGACACACATGACAGCGTTGAAGATGCTAGAACTGCTTTACGTCTCTATAAGAAATATACAGAGCTCAAGCAAAAGAATTCCTTTACCTCCACTCTTCAAGATATTTATAACATTGGTCGCCAAACCAATTGGCAATAATGTGTGACCACACCACGTTATTGATAATAACTTTATAAATCATAAAAAACAACAATAAAAAATTCTAAAAAGCTTAATTTTACAGCCCGAGCATGGCAGATTGATCAATATTGGTAAGGAGGATTTAAAATTGTAGCCTCAGAAATGTCATCAAAGTTGACAGGAAAATTCTTGAAATTTCGCCCTAGTGTTTGTTGAGTTTTCATAATCATTATTGAACCAAAAGACTTACCTGTGACAGGATGTATGTTGATGGAACGCTTGTTGATGCATTTAAAGTGGACATAGGATAAATCAGGTAAAACAACAAACACAGAACAAGCATCTATACTTTTCCCACAGCTTGCACACTTGTTGCCTTGTTCCTCTCCAATTATGACTCTTCTAGCATTGCCTTTTGCTAAATCAACCTTGGTCTGTACGTGCCTGATTTTGCTCATATTGTAGATGACCTGGACATTTCTTGCAACGTCGATAGACGATTGCATTGCTTGGCGAAGGAAATCTGCCACTTTGCTCACTAGCAGATCAACAGGTAAAATCTCTAACGCTTTCATTGGATCAATACTCTTTGCGTGAGTGGTGAGGATATGAATGGCAAAACTTTCATTCTTGGGAAAACCACTGTCAGGATACCAGCATATATTCAGTAAGGTCAATAATAGAGGATTGTAAATTTCCAAACAACTGGAGTCTTTTTTGAGCATATTTTTCTTGTCGTCCTTGTGATCATCGTTGATACTCTCAGCGATACCTGCTGATTGTAAATGTCTCCGCCTAATGACTTCTTTCAGTTCTTCTTCTTCTTTGTGGCGCATTTCATCGAGAATTTGCATATAACAATCAACGCAATATCTTTCTGCCCATTCAAGATCCTGAATTTTATGTACAAGCAATTTGAGGGCAGCCTGATGGTTTTGAAGCTTTCTGTACAGTATAAGTGTCTCCTCATAGAGATTTGTTTTTTGTAGTTTGCTTAGTACTCTGTACTTGTTAAATAAATTAGTGTGTTCTAGCATGTGAATTAGTCTAGCCCTAATTTGTCCTAAGAGTCCTGTTTCTTTTCCTGCCTCCAACCTCACACCAAAAGGCAAATACTTGGCTGGCTTTAAAACAATGATCGCATCAATATAATTCAAAATGAGAGAAGTATGGAATTTTTCTTCGCAATTCCTTTCAACGACAATGACATATTCAAGATAACTTCTTTCTAAATCTTTTGGATATTGTGCCAAAAACGACAAGACACGATGAGGATTAATTTTTTTCTTTCGCATTCTGGAGGTGAAAATCTTAGGATGGATTAATATATACAAAATTTGGTTGCTTGCAAATGTACGTACCTGTATTGCTGAAGTTTCGTCAGCTTCAAAAACCCAAGTTGAATATTCCATCACCAGATCTTCATCATCGATTTCTGAAAGCAGTTCAATGGACTCCTCAACACCATTGGTTACTGTGGTTGTTTCCTTACGAATACCTTGTCCAAGTCTAAATAGCGCTCAGTATCAATAAAAATAGAAGATATAATCAATTCTTACTTACTCTTTCAAAATTTGTAAAGCTTTTCGGTGTTCATTCTTGGAATAGTACAAGAATGCAAGATATCTTGCATTATCTTTGAACAAAATCTCTCCACTTTCGAGTTTTAAATGATTTTCTGATCGAAGTAATGTCTTCAACTGGCCATACTTTTTAAATTCATTTAGATACAAGTGAGCAAGGGCATAGTCAATGGCTGCCAATTGGTCGAGACCGAACTCATCAACTCTCATTTTTCTGCATTTTTCCAAGAATTCTTGCAATGCTTTTTTAGCGTTCTTTATCCTAACATCAATTTTTAAGGGAGTAGTTTCCTCTCCCTCTTGCTCCATAGCGTTTTTAACTGAAGCAGTTGATTACATGAGGCAGAGGAATATGGTTGTACTTACTCTTATCTTTCAAGTCACCTCTTGCTTTTTGAGGTAAAAAGTTGGTCTGTGGCTCAATCAAGTCGTTGAAATAAAACAAAATCTCTCTTGGATCTATTCTGCTCTTGTTAAAGTGTGCAAATGCTTCCTTAAATCTTGTTCTAAAGAAACAAGCAAAACCGGCTTGTTGTTCATACATAAACAGTTTCCCTCTCTTTTTCTTTTTTTGTGCCCTGGAAAGTTTTTTCAAACAACCCAAAAGCTTCTAATAGTCGCATCTTATCGATGAGATCTGTAATGTGCTGGTCAATTGGTTTTGGTGTCAACAGTGATACTGTTTTCTTATTAGAAATAAATACTTTTTGCATATGATCAGAGGAGATGGTAGCCTTATCATTCGCAATTGTCTCATCAAACTTTTTTTCATACATGTTATATACTTCTATACTTCCTTTAGAAATGCCAAGTAAAAACGGAAAACAAATGCTGACCACCGTTGGTGTTTCTTTCCACTGTATTCCAGAAGTTGTTCCAATAATTTTGACAAAACATCCATACATGCTGTATTCATCTGAAATGATATTTGTTAATTGCAACTTTTGTAAATCTTCATCGATCTCTCCAGTTTGGTAATTCATCATGATGTGTCTATTCTTGAAGCCTAAACATATAGTCTTCTTCATCCACTCAATACCGATAACATTATCATTGCCGGGCACCTTAATTTCTCTAACCAACTCCATTTGCTCTCTGTAATCATAGACGATCAATTTCCTTTTAATCACAGCGACCAGTTCATGCGAGTAATTTTTGTTGATGGCATAGCAATGTGTTCCTTTGGTAGCTTCCAATGTCTTTGCTCGAGTTCAGTGCGACATTATGAAAATAAATTACATGGTAACCGACCGGATCTGGAAAGTACCTACCTCTAAATGAAGCAGTGTGGTCATATCATAAACACAAACAGTATTATCAACAAGGGCAAAGAGTTTTTTGTGCGGAGGATCTATCTGAAGATTTGTAATTGCTTTCTTTGCAGAAACAAACTTCTTTTTAAAGAGAGAGACTGAATATTTCGTTCCAGTCGGGCCCACATGCTCATCAATCGTGAACATGTATAATCGGCCATCCTGACCTCCAATCCATAGATATTTATCTGTATTGACGTGGTTGATCCGTACGAAATGAGTAGGGTATGGTTGCATCCATACACATCTCGGAATTGATTCCATTTTATGAGTATGACTGAGACTTCTCAAATTCAACCAATACACATACCTGCACTCACCATTGAGGCAACCTTTGTTTCATAATCACCAAAGTCCTCAATGAGTACTGTTTTCTCCATCCTTAAATGAATGTGGGTATTTTTTTAAAAAAGGCTTTTTTGATGGCAGTCTTGGAATCATCAATAAAGAGCTTACTTTGACAATGCAACAACGTTTATTACGAATACATACCATGTGTTAAAGAATGAATAAATAAATGAGCAAGGTAATTAGGAAGGAGAGGCCAAACTGGAATCCTTTGAAAAGTTGACCCATTCTTGTAGTTCTCACTACCATAGCTATTGGTTTTCCATCGTCGATAAGTTTAAGTATAGTATGCTTCTTAATTTCTTTTTGTGGAGCTGATGCTGTTGGTTGAGAAGAGGTTGAGTTTGTTGTGGTGGAGTTTGTAGAAGCCTCGCTTGGTACAGATATCTTGTCGACATAACAATACTTGTACCTCCAGGTGTAGGTGTGAAGAGCTCTTGAAATGTCATCTGAAGACTTAATATCATGCAAGTAAATGTAAAAAGGATCTTTGAGTTGGAGGAATGAATATGGGTGGACCATGATTTTCAGGACTGCCTGAAGAGAGACGCCACCAAATTTGTCCAAATTAGTCACTTCTTTTTTCACTCGAGTCAAACCAGCAAGTTGCTTCTCGAAATTCTTTTCATCAATTTCGAAAAACTTAATGCAATCCTTGTTGTGGTGCAATGATAGACCCGTGGCCACTAGATCTTTTAGTTCCTACTCATGATGGTGATTGAATTCCAAAAAAGAATGGATTGGTAATTTCATTATGTTTCATTCAAAAAGGATATTGTTGAATTTCCCACAAATTCCATGAGACCACCATTATTCCAACACAATAAAAAACAAACCTCAATACTTTTCGGCTTTTCTGCAAAAGGAATTGTTAATCCTCCAAAATGGAGCAAGAACTTGGCCTCAAACTCCTCTTCCTCTTCTTCCGATACCTTTGTGGTCGCTGTATATTTCGTGTTGTTATGATACGATCGGTAATGAAAGTTGAGAGTGCTATTAAACTTTTGTATCATTCCGATAGGATTTTTACAACTTGATCTTTCAACACCAAACAAATGGGTGGTCGCAGCTCTCAAACTTCCATTCCTCACCTTCAAAAAAGCAGATAATTGGAAGGCCAACGATTTGCTTGTGATTGGCAACACCACATACGAAGAAGCGACAAGATTGAAGCGTTTCATTTTTTGATGCAGCCCAGCTGACCGCATATGGCCGAGTGGTTTTTCTGGAACTGTGGCAGCCAACTGGTCCAGCGTTTGAATCCCAGGGGTTGCTGCTGTTATCGTGAGCAGTTTAAACACCTTTACTTCCGGGGTGCCTGCTAGGAAGTCACTACGTATCTTACGTTCGGCTTGTAAATAATGTACATAAAACCATCGAACAACGTTTATCATCGAATAAACCCATCCCTGAATTTTTTGATGCAGCCCAAAAAATGAGAAAACATCGCTTTCTGAGACACGGCAACACCTCATCAGCGGCAGAAAATAATCCACCCAAAGATGATCATTCATCTTCTTCTCCTAATACTAATGCTCATCAAGTAAATTCTTCTGAACATGGTAACGCCTCTCATAGATCCGAAAAGAGTAATAACGAACATTCCGTGAAAGAACATACAAATCATCATCGTAATCATGAAGCAGGAACCACATTACTTTTTGATGAGAATTGGTTTAGCAATTGGGAGAAACATAAATCACAAGCGTAAGTTGTGTATGACCAAAAAAGAAATTATTTTGATAAAATCAACATTATTTGACTTTCATTCACACCTCAGTGAAAAATACCTCTCCGAAATATTACTTTATCAAGACCCAAATTTTCCGAAACATTCGTCCATATCTCAATTCTTTTTTGTTTTACTCAATCACAAACAAAAATTAGAAGAAAGCCAAATCGTGAACTTTGTGAACACAATAGTATCCACTCATTCTAAAGAACGTTACACACTTTTAATTCCTATGGTTTTCGCGTTTGAATTGCAATGGAACAGAATCAATGAGGAGGATGAAGAACAATATACATATCTTGCCAATATCTTGACTCCCTTGTTGGATAAAGAAATTCTATCGACCGATATTTTAAAACAACTAATGAATTTTTCTGCTTTAAAAAGATGTGGATTGGATATCAAGAATATGTACATTAAAAGCAGGACGCGAGAGCTTTATACCCAAGATAGATTTAACTTGCTTCACGAAGAAAACGAGGGTTTCTCTAAACTTATTTCGATAATTATCGACAATGAAAATATGGAAATTTCAAAAATTGAACGCGTAACAAAAGAAATTGTTGAGTTGATTGGGTTTTTCAATTTAGAACCAAATCGAGTTCTTGACATTTTACTGGATGCATATGAATATAACACTGAGAACGAGTGCTATTCATCTATTATTTCATGTCTGTTCAATTCTCAACACTTAAGGCATGCCGTCGGGTTTAAGTTACTTGGCTATCACTCAAGCAAATCTACTCCAAAATCACTTTTTACAATGATTGTTCAACTTATGCGAAAGAAATTGCTTAAATTTGAAGACATTTTGGATTATCTAGGACCAAATTCCTTTGACGATTTGACTTTTAAGCACTTGGACTATGAAGGAGAGAGAAAGAAAGAATCGAGAGAATATTCTGCCGTTTCACTTGACGGAAGTATCACGGAAAAGCCCGAGCCAAGATTTGAAAGGTCATATCCAGAGTTTCAAAAGGATCAAAAATTCGGCTTTCTAATAGAATTGTTGAATTTGGATGTTATTTCCGAGGCAATAACATTATTGGACATTTTATCCAAGTTTGACCCTCATTGGAACTATGACATTGCAATTGCATGTTGTACTTCGATAGAAAAACTTATTAACCCTATTTATATCAAGCGATCCAGAGCCATGAATGGCATATCAGCTAATTTACCTGCTCTGACTCGAGAAGAAATTCAAACACTGGAAGATCTTGTCTTTCCATTGATTTATCACACAAAATACGAACTTTATCGAGATGTAAAAATACTTTCAAAGATAATACGTGTATTGAGGATGTATTTAGCAGCACCAACAACTCAGATCAATCACAATACTTTGATTGGTGTACTAACTTCTGTGCTTTCTTCACTCTGCTTTTTAGGCATGAACACTGTTATAGTTTCAGAATTTTGGGATGTATTCAAAAATGTTCCGTTTACGACTAGATATCAAGTATATGGGCTGCTGAGACAAGTTGGTTATGAACGCCAGCCCAAGCTGATGGCTCAACAGAATTTGGTTTCCAAGAATGTGAGACTGATTTTCAACCGAATCTCATTTGCCAACATCAAGACAAAAGCCAGAGAAATTCTCCAATATTCTCTAACGAACCCAATAGTAGTGTGTGACGAATTCATACGAAAATGTGAAAACTATGATAACCTAATACCGTTATGCGTTGATTCGGCACAGTACACCCCTGAACTTTTCCACGATACTATGATCTATTGCATCTTGGATCGATTTCTATCCAATGAAAGAAGTGCTATCAAGGATGATGGTATCTCCATTGCTACATGGCTATCCAATTTGGCCACTTTGTGTGGTCTTTTCTTAAGAACGTATCCCTTTACTGATATAACTCCAATGTTGAACTATTTAACACAACGTCTTAAGGAAGGGCAATGGGAATATCTGATTATTCTTACAGAAATTATCAAGCAGACATCAGGTTTAGAATACTCTGAAGAAATTTCTGAAACTCAATTGGATGCTTTAGCAGGCGGAAAGTTGATATTAACCTTAGCAGGAGGTTTTTCCCCGGTGGTAAAAGGTAGTGCTGTTGAATCAGTCATTAAGCTTAAGGATACCCTTTTGAAAACAGGAAAGGGACTCTCTCTCTTACTCCTACTTTCCAAGCTCAGCAACTATGGTATATTTCTTCATGACGATCTTCAGGAATGGAAGCATATTGCTGACTCCAAAGACATTTCTCATACCACCTATTTACTGCTCCTAAAGTTCTTGCTTAATGAGGTGAAATTTGTATTTGAAGAAGATGTTACAGGAAGTGAAAATTACTGCATCCTACCCCTGCCAAGCATTGACACTTTACGGAACGGATACAAACTGAGTCCATCTTTTGTTTTCTCCATGGCAAGATTAACAATGACCTCAATACCTTCTAATGATATCGAGCCCTTCCTTCCCAAGGAGATTTGGTCACATTTCTCTTCTGAATTCTATCAATTTTTCTGGATGAAAGAATTATCTGATATCTTTGTTCCAAGTAATTTATACAGAGATGTAGCAGCAGAAAATCCTCACTATAGAAATGCCCTTCAAAGAGAAAAGGACGAACAACAACAAAAGTATGACTCTACTCTTAAGGTCATGAAGGACTCGTGTCAACACTACTTTATTGGAAATGGAGAATTTGTGGATATGGGAATTTTACTGCAACACTGTTTTTTGCCACGTGCTTTGTTCTCAGCTGCTGATTCTTTGTATTGTGCCAAATTGGTTCATGCTTTGCACAGTATTGAAGTTCCAAAATTTTCTTTGAACTTATTCCTTCAGACGTTGTTGAGTTTTGCACCTGGCATCTTGTTGGCATGTACAGAATTTGAAGCAAGACGACTTGGCAGATTTACTCAATATCTTCTCTCATTGAGCAATCGGTGGTGTGAGAATGTTAGCGAATTTAACAAGGACATCAAAAACAAGCCTGGATCGTTTGTCTCTGTTGAAGGGCTTCCACAACTTGCGTCAATGAATGATAGCGATGAAAGTCCCTTTATCAACCTTGACCATGACACCTATCAGCGTTTCCATTTCTTGCTCATGGAAAACCTATTGAATAACTGTGTGACCTTACTACGAAGTGGGGACCATATCAAGATTAGAATAGCTCTACTGTTCTTAACTCCATTAGCAAAATTGAATGTTTTCCCATACTACAAGCGTCATTGTGACTCTCTCATTGATATTACTGACCTCTTTAAGGATCACCGAGTTGAGAATATCAAGGTACTAGCGAATACATACACCCCTCTTGTAAGAAACATTAGAAAGAAGAGTCAAGATCCAACCTTTATGAATTCCTTACTGAGAAGCACTGTCAAACCAACGAATATCAACATTCCATCCAAGAAAGACCTCTCAAATATTACACCAGTGATGATGCAACAAACACCTAATACTGCTGTCTCTGAAGAACCAGAACTGTCATCCATAACACCTCCCACCGTAGCCACAGAAGATGCCATGATTGGTGAATTTTCAGACTCCAGTAGTAATACTGGAACTGTCTCTCCACCTACTCTAACAATGACACCTGCTATCGAAGAGAAACATCTCCCTGAAGAGGAGACACAAGAAAAAAGAATTGAAGCCAAAGAGGAAGAAGAAATGCAAGATGAGGAAACAAGTGAACCCGCAACAGCCATAACTCCCTCAGAGATGCAAGACGTTGTTGAACCTGTTGATGAAACAAAGATAGAGCCACTAGAAGAGAAACCTCCAATGACCGAGACCACTGCTGCTACTTCAGCTGCAGAAACAATTGAAGAAGTGAACACAACACTTGCTGAAACTGTAAAGACTGAAGTGACTCAAGTCAGCAGCGTCGATGCTAACAATGAAGTGAAAGCTTCAGAAGAATTAACAGTTGTGACCTCAACAACTCCAAGCACCATCGCAGAGTTTGTTCAAGCGACTGCTGAAATCTCAGCTTCAAGTAAGGGATCAACCATTGCTGAGAGCCCAACTACTATGAACAGCAAATTGCAAATTAAATTGCAAAATCTCAGTAAGAGTGCACCCTCAAGCAAACAAGATAAGGTTGCAGAGTATTCCAAAGATGTAGTGAGTTTACTCATCCTACCAAAGCAAAATCCACTCAGGTTTTACAATGAGTTGAAACAACGACTCACAAAGGAAAGTAGCGATGAAAGCAAGACAAGCTCAAAAGGTGAAAACAAAGCTTCTTCCTCAAGTCAGGGCCGAGCGGACACACCTTCTTCGTCATCCAGAGATAGAGAATCGCAATCTTCCAGAAGAATTGATAGTGAGTCAAACAGAAAATACTCGTCATCGCCATCATCTCAACATGAACGAAGACTCACTCCAACATCCTCTAAGGATGTCAAGAAGGAAGAGCAAACACATGGCAAAGTAGAAAGCGCAGAAACCAGAAGAACATATGCTAGGACATCTGACAGTGGAAGTAGGAGTGGTCAATTAAGCCCATACGACAGTCGTGACTCGTACAGAAGTGACAGTAGAGGTTACAGTGATAGCTACAGCAGAGGTGATAGTAGATATAGCGAAAGTAGCCGATACAGTAGTAGCAGTGACAGACGAACTTCTTCTTCTGCAGCTCAAAGCAGTGCCAGTAGCGACAGTAGAAGGACAAGTGACAACAGAAGCGACCTCAAACGATCTGGAAATGCATCATCTTCTGACAAGAACGACCTTAAACGATCATCCAACGAAAGAGAAACCAAAACCGAGCACGAAACAGACTCCAAAAAGAAACGTTTCAACAGATAATAATAAACCTAAGGACTTAATCCCGTTATATTGCAATGTCAAATAATTAGTGAATCTTTTTGTAGGCTTCGAGCACCTTCTCCTCATCTTTTTCACCGCTGAAGGTTGTGCTCATCATTGGAAAATTGCTTCCATTCACTGCTTGTCTTTTCATCTGTTGTCGTTGGCCACAACAAATTAAATTCATTTAAAGATTCATTAGTGATATTTGAACAAGTCATGATCAAAATCATCCACAACAAGTTTAAATTTCATAAACGTCGGTATTCCCAAGTGTGTCCACAATTAATAATAATAATAATAATTAATAATTTAACCCCATTATTAATTCCGAACAAGTAGATGTTGTTGAATCATCTGGCAATCACAACAAAATTACATACAGCATCCTGTTTGACTTTAGTAAAGAAAAAGTATGGAAGAACTCCCATGAAAAAGATGGCATAAAAAGTATTCTTTGGTGTAAACTTGAAATTTCTATGGAGGTTATCACGATAATTAGCAAAAGCTTCAATCTTGGAGTCTAGATGTACTCCGGTTTCTCTTGGTCTGTCCCACATTTTTCTAATTCAAATTTCATAATATTAAATTCCATAGATGTATCGGATATACGAAATAGATTGACGATGCAATCATTGTTGATGTAAACCGATCAAGGGCCATCAATGATGATGAATCTAGAAACGCCAACGTTGGCGATGATGATAACATACCAATAATATTTTTTTTAATTAACTTTTTATGGAACAACAATAAATTTCAAGAGCAACACGTTGAACATTGATTGTTGTTCATTAAAATTGAATTTTATAGACACACTCTTTGAGATTTGTCAAAGCACTCAACTCGGGACAATTCCATTGCAAATTTTCCACTGAAGTCTGTGTCTCTTGATAAGACATTTGATAGGCAGAACTCGAAATTTTTGTCACCAGCCAAAACCTTTTCATTTGTTGACAAATAAACGAGAATTCTTCTCGGCACGTCTTGTCATACTTGGATTGATTCATGTATTCGTAAATGAGCTCAAAATATTTCTGTTCAATTCTTGAATGTTGCAAAATTTGTTTGGCACAACGATCGTCGATTGGTAATTGACTGTGTGTCATGTTGTTTTCAAAATGTTTTTTAAACAGGGAAGACACATAAATATATTCTGTCTTGTTAGCAATGAGAAAGGTTCGATCGAATGCTTCTAACAACTTGTGATCAGAATTTGACTTCTTTCCACTGCGGGTTAAAATATAATACAAACAATCGAGTTCTAATCGGTTGAATTGTTCAATGGTTGTTTTGGTTGAACATGTGAAAAAGTGTGCAATTCTCTGTAGAGATTCTCCTATGCTGTCTTTTGATCCCAAAGGCACACTATCATAGGAAAGATCTGTTTTTGAGCTCTGAAAAAGTTGATTTAAATAATCACGAAAGTATTGGTCGACAAGTGTTTTTGGAATGGCATCAAAACTCCTTCTAAAGATAATTCTTCGATCATAGAGTCTTAATCTTTTCAATTGTTCTTGAATGCTACTTTCCTGTTGATAATTGATTCCACATGCTTTAAGAAGTTCTACAATAAAATGTTGACACGAGCAAAAGAACATGGAATAGGTTTTTTCTCGATTCCATTTGGTAGCCATTTCTGACACTGTGTCAATAATTCTGTTGATTTCTTTTGCATCACTTGTCTTGTAACAAGTATATTGAAATATAATCTTATCTGAAAGGAGATTATTCATAGGAGTGGCCACCACGAGACTTCCATCACACCATTCGATTTTCGTACTTCCAATAACCAATGATAAGTGATAATGACCAAATTTGTTGCTATAGAAAATAGATGAAATTCTTCGAAATGTGACATCATTGGTATCATTTTCTGAGATTTTTGTGACCAGAATTTTCATCTTGAGCGCATTGTGTTGAGCTTTTCGTGTCATGCTTGTGAAAAATCGATGAAATTTGAAACGTTGTGGAAAGTAATGATTGCATGTTTCAAAGTTAATGAATTTCTCATTGTCCATCAATTTCTTACATCGTTGTGCTTCCCTTTCTTTTCCTCTCAATTTGAAATAATTCATATTCGATTGCCATCGTTTGAGAACCTTATTTCTCAATTGGAGAAAGTCTTTTCTTGACTCCAACATGAGTCGAGCAATTGATGATGAAGAAGAAACAAAAGATGATTCAATAGGAGAATGGTTGTTGTTAGAAATGGTTAATTGTGTGGGCATACTGCACACATACGAATCCAGGATGGGAAGCATCGACTCGGTTTCATCAGGGCTTAATTTCTCCATCCATCCGAATAGACTATATGCTTTTCGTAGATACTCTTTATAGAGCTCTTCTTGTTGTTGTTGAGATGGTCCGAGAATCTTCTCAACCACCTCCATGATGGGATCAAGAAGAGTGGTCGTCGTATGAGAACTCGATTCTTCTCTTCCCTTATTATGATTCGGATGATTCATTATGGAAGAGGAGGAAGAAGAAGAAGAAATTAAACTAGTTGGTGATTCTTGTTGTGGTTGTTGTGGTAGTATCTGTTGTTGATGATGGGATAGTGTAGGTCTAGGAGTGGTGTTAGTGATGGTAGAAGTGATGGTAGAAGTGATGGTAGTAGTTGCATTAGAAAGAGTTGATGAGGTCTTTACCGTGTTCTTCATCCTACTACTACTCATCAGGCACATCATTGGTGGTGGTGGTTGTTGATGTTGTAATAATTGATCTTCAACAACACTACTAAGAGAGGTGGTGATTCTATTGAAATCACCTGAACGTTCCTGAGGAGGATGAGGAGGAGGATGCATGGACATGAGGAGTGCTCGCAATGCATTCAGTAAATGTTCATCATCAAAGGGATGATGCATCATGGGAAAGTCCTCTCCCACATGGAAAGTACTTTCATCATCATGACCATCCTTAGGATGATCACTCACAGTGATTGTTTCATCACCAACCAACATGGAAGCATTTTCTCCGTCGTATTGATGTTGATGAGAAGGTCGTGATGGTGGTGATGTTGGTATTGAGGCAGTGGTGTCAGTGGTGTCAGTGGTGGCTTTATCATTGTTGGAATGTTGTTGTTCCTCAGAGAAAGTGAGTGATGGATCCAAATGTAGAGTGCCATTCACGAGAAATTCATTAAATTTCACACCATCGATACCCAATTCACAAATGTTGTGAATGAATTCCAAAAACGATTCATCCACATTTCTCTCGAGTGCAAATTTAAAAGTATAAAATACTAGAAAGCACACTTCTTGAGTTGAAATATTGAGTAGATTGTTTCGTTCTCGAATTTCTGACATTTTGACCATTCCTCGAATTTCCATCAAGACAGTGATGAGAATTTTCTCCAAATTGAACTTGGAAATGTTGTCAATGAATTCTTGTCGTTGAAAATCAGTGACATCGAACGAAAGTAATTGAGAATCAATGAATGACAACCACTTTTTGCCATGTAATTCCATCATTCCTCTTGCTTGTTCGATGGCTATACTTGCATCTTCTTTGGAAATGCTATATTTCATTAAAACGTCATCCGACTCCAGTTGTGAAATAATATTTTGAATATAGATTTCATAATTTTCGCAATTATTCAATGATGTGACAACTGCACAGTTGCCATTTGAGAGATGTGAGTGTTTGTTTTCATGATGATGATTGTAAACAGTTTCGGACGAAGCAGTGCTCGATGATAAAGACATGTTTTTGTTCGGTTCGGATTCCTCTTCTTGCAGCACATCTCGAGAACCTCGAGAGATGGCTCTCGAATTGAAATGTTTATTTCCCATGTTGGATGATGAGTCGAAAGAACTCTAAATTTCAGAAGAGGAATGCTGTCAAGATTGCACTAGTTCTTGCCTGGTGAGTAAAGGATTTTCGGTTTGATTTTTTTGAAACGTGACATCACGGCTGTTCAACGAAAATGTAAAAAGCAATTCATTTCTAATTTGTTTTCGTAAATGAGAATTCACAGACCATGAAAATTAATTTCATAAGGATGCAGAGAGCTGGGTATACAATATCGTATGAGAATCACCACGGCACTGCAAAACGAGAAAAACAAACAACAATTCCATTAAGGTTGTTGATACTCGAATACTGCCATGATCATTAACATGTTGCATTTCAACTAATTTTCCAACTATTCGACTGGAATTCTCCTTCAATGTTTCCGTTTCTATTTCGCAAAACATTAAGTCTGAATATCCTTCTTTGGTTGTTCAATAATTACAGGTGTAAAAGAAGGTGGAGTAAATGCCTTTGCATTGGCATTCAATTTGAAGGAGAGAATACTCTCGGGTATCTTTTGATTCTTTGCACCATGACTATTTGGTGATGGAAAGAATGGTTGTTGTTGTTGTTGTTGTTGTTGAATGGAGGTGCTCTGATTTCCCGAGTAATTTTGTTGAGAGTATCTCTTGGGTGTTGGTGAAACGACCCTTGGAGGACCATGTGCTTCTTTCCCATGTGGTGATGATTTCTTTTGTTGTCGAGTTGTGTTATGATTATTGCCGCTACCACTATGAGATGATGATGATTGCACTTCTTGATCGGGATTCATCATTGACTTTTTCATAGGAGGATGAGGAGGAACCGACTTGTTCTGTTTGTTGGCGTTCTTCTTCTTGTGCTTTGGCTGGTTGGTGGAGTGATCTTCAGCGCTTGGGACTTGTTTGTTCTGTTGCTGTTGCTGCTGTTGAGCATCTTCAGAGCGAGCAGAAGCAAGAGAAGAGCTCTTCTCATCTGGTGCTGTCTTAATATTATTATGGTTGTTGCTTTCATTGCTACTCGTAGCACCACCCACTTTGACATAGAGTACACGCTGACCCTTTCTGGGCTGATTCAACTTTGGTGGTGATGAGGCATGAGGAGCCGTAGAACGTTCGCTTCTTTCATTGTTACTTTTAGATGATGCCTCCTCTTGTTGTTGTTCTGTTGAGAGTTGGGATTGTTTCTTTTTCTTCTTTCTTTTCTTTTTCATGGAGGATGATGGTGCTTGGTTCGTTTCTTGCTCGACCTCTACGTATTGAATATCGTCATCGTCATCATGATGAGGCTTTTCCGTTAACTTTTTGTGGGAAGGTTTGTTATTGGTGCGTAAGGATGACTTGTTGGAGGCACGATTACCATTGTTGTTGGAGGAGCGATGAGATGAAGATCCCTGGTTGGAATTGACATTGGAGGGACTCACCCGATCATCTTCATCAGGATCAAAGCTTTGATCGCTGGCATATTCCACATCGTGTGAATATTCATCGGTGTCGAGAATGTTTTTTCTTCGTTCCATGTTCTTCGCGTGAATACTTTATGAAATAATAATTAATTGTAGTCGTACTCAAAACTATGACGATACTTCATGAATGATAGTCGACAAAAGAGGACGAGATAGCCGTTACAAATAATTTTTTAACGCATGCAGATTCTTCACGAGGAGCATGCATAACAACACCGTATTGATGAAGTAAAGTTATTGGACATTGCAATGAAAATTGAATGTGAAGCATTAGTAGTGTAACGGTATCATACCAGCCTTCCAAGCTGGTGACCCGGGTTCGACTCCCGGCTAATGCAAACTTTTGTTCGGTTTCCCATTTCTTTCGTTTTTTTTGGAGAGAAATGATGAAAGAGCAAAACAACGCCTTTGGAAAGATGTAGGAGCATTGTCGCAAGAAGACACTTTGAACTTCTATTCTGAATCATGCAGCACTAATGAATTTATTTTCTTCTTCTTGGAGCACTGCTTATTCCTGAGGAGCGAGAAGGACTACTTCGTTGTGAAGATGCACTTCTTCCACCTGCAGAGAATCTTCCTGATGAAGATCTTGCTCGATTCACTCGAGTGGCTCCACGTGCACGATTAGTAGTGGTCTTTCTGGCACCACCATTGGTAGCTCTGGTTCCCTTTCTTGCAGTTCTTCCACCTCGTTGTTGTTGCTTCTTATTGTTTCTAGCTGCTCTTTGAATTCCTTTCTTCTTGCCAACTGCAGCCTTAATACCACGAGCTACCTTCTTCTTGCCTCCTTGTTGAGCTTGATCTTGACCACCTTGGTTGCCATCAGAGGAAGATGAAGATGATTGATCTCCTCCATCTCCACCGGTGGATTGAGAAGCATCTGAACCTGATTGTTGTTGCTCTTGAGGTTGAGGTTGTTGTGGTTGCTCTTGAGGTTGAGATGTTGGTTGTTCTGGAGTTTGTGCAGCACCACCACCTTGTTGTTCTTGTGGTTGTTGAGCAGCAGCACCTTGTTGTTGTTGCTGTTGAGATCCAGCTGGTTGTTCGGCAGGTTGAGAAGCAGCACCATTGTTGTTATTAGTGTTTGTAACCACACCAGTATCGGAAGAGGCCATTCCAGCACCATTCGTATCGCTACTGCCAGTTGCAACAGAAGATCCTCCACGAATTCTTGGTACAAAACCAACGCCTCTTCTTCTTCTTCCTTTTCCAGCAATCTTCAATTCCACCTCAACATTCACCTGAGTGGGTTCTTGTGGTGTTGGTTGTGGAGGTGGTGGTGGTGGAGGTGGCGATGGAGGAGCCTGAACGACGATACGTTGAGCAGGAGGATTGATCGTTACAATAATTGGCTTCGAACGAGGAAGAGGCTTTTTCTTCTTCTTTTTCTTCTCAACGTTTACAACGACGGAACGTTTGTTTCCTCTTCTTCTTTTATGACGAGATGAAGATGGAATGGAAATGTATTGAGTAGAAGTGTCATCATCATCATTTGAGCGACGACTACGTCTGGAATTGCGTGGATGATCCAAATGGATGACAATAGTTTTTGTAGTTCTACCTTCCGTGGAAAGTATCATGACACATGCCAAAAGCATGAACAAACAAGAGACCATCAACACTCGTGATGATGGCATTGACATTTTTCTGTTTTGATGTTGTGAGAGGCTCTCTCGAGTCAGGAGTCTATTTTTGTGATTTAAACATCAGCGCGTAGGTGAATGAACGTGAGAGAGTTCATGAAGGATGACTCGGGTCAACTTTTTGGGGGAGTTGTATGACCGTTCATTCATTGATTCCATCTCATGAATGCTCTTCAGTGAAAGCGGAGCGTGGTCTTCATAAACAAAGATGAGCCTTCTTATTCACACCTTGTAATTTATTGGAAGAATTGCAGATTTGTTTTATTGTGCTGAAAGATTAAATCCATAACTCTCTCTTGCTTCCTTAATGAGTCGTTCGCGATGTTTTGGATGTGCTTTTAATGTTGAAGTAACATTTTCATCATTGAGTTGTGTTCATCCAAAACAGGTGCCCACACACATGAAAGGTTTGAATGTGTCAACATTCACAATAGTTTGAAATTAATTCCACACTAGTAGGAGACCACTTACCCACTCGAATTAACTCTTGTGCACGTTCATTCATACTCTTTCCATATAATTCTGCAATTCCATATTCTGTACAAACATAATGAACGTGAGCTCGAGTTGTGACGACACCAGAACCTTGTTTGAGAGTCGAAACGATTTTTGAATCTCCATGTCTGGTGCAAGAATGAATGGCAATGATGGGTTTTCCACCATCGGATTTTGCTGAACTGGACATGAAGTCTAATTGTCCACCCACACCACTGTTTCATTGTTGTTCAGTTGGAAATTGATTTTAAACCCAATTTGGAAATCAGTTCGAAATAGTAAATTAAAATTTTCCAAAAAAAAAGCTTATACACTGACCTGTACATGTGTGTTCCAATAGAATCGGCACAAACTTGTCCCGTGATATCAATTTCAATAGCACTATTAATAGCTACCACGTTACTATTCATTCGAATATGTGTGCCATCTGTCATCAGAGTTCCAAACCCAATTGGATGTTTAAGGGTTGTGTTAATCTTTAAACCACTCGTCACACATTCACAATTACCACTTACCATTCACATAATCCGCTGTTCGAAAAATCACCTCAGGATTATCATGAATAAAATCATACAATTTCCGAGTGCCCATCACAAACGAACACACCGTATGTCCAGGATGTATGGTTTTGAACTTGTTCGTGACAGCTCCACTTTCCAAAAGTTGGAGAATTCCATCCGAGAAGGTCTCTGAATGAATTCCTAAATGTTGATGATGCACCAATGAGGCACAAATGGCATTGGGTAAGGAACCAATTCCAATTTGCAAACACGCTCGATTCGGAGTGAGTTGAGCCACCAATTCACCAATTTTTCGATCCACTTCTTGTTCTTCGGAGGAGAGAGAGGTTGCCATCACAAGCTCCGAAATGGGTTCCGAATATTCCACAAAGGCATCAATATGATTCACATGCACAAATCCATCGCCATGAGTACGAGGACATTGTTCATTGATTTGAGCCACCACACGACGGGCACATTGAACTGCGGCAGCCGTCACATCGACGGAAGGACCCAATGAGCAGTAACCATGAGCATCCGGAGGACTCACTTGAATGAGAGCCACATCGATGGGATATTTCGACGATTTGAAGAGTAAGGGAGCCTCCGAAAGAAAGATGGGAATGTAATCGACGGGTGCATTCTCAGCACTTGCATGCAAGTTTCCACATTGTTGAAGGGCATACCTCTCATGAGGTCCCATAAAGATGGATGACGTATGAAAGAAGGGGAAATTCTCAGGTTGTAAATGAGGAGGTTGTTCATAGGGGTAGTAGTTGATATGAAGTCCAACAATTTCAATCTTTTTGTTGGGAAGATTAGAGGAAGAAGATGGTATGAGACATTGAAGATGTTTGACGAGATATTTGGGAACTCCACAGCCTTCTCTCCACCAAGGTTTGGTGTAAAGAAGTGAACCATGATGAATTCATCATGATGATGTTCAGGTCGAGTTGAAGAATATGTATTGATGAAAAGTATATATATTCGAGGGGCATGAAGAAATTAATTGATCTTTCAATACAACACACACTCTAAAGATCTTACCTGTTTGAAGAAAGACTCGATCTCCTTCACGAATGTTGCGTTGGAGGGCTTCTTCCGCAGAGAAGAGTTTTCGTTCGATGGGAAGATTCTCCTTGGTGGTGTTTTGAGAACTCATAAATAGGGATCGAAAAGTGGTGGTGCTAGGAATGAGTGAGCAGATCTGAAAGGGGCGTCCAAGGATAGACTCATTATGCCTTTTATCATGGACGATGGTGAACAACAATCGTTTGGAATGAAAGGAAAGGAGTTGTTCAAAAGAGCGCTTCATGAGAGGTGAATTCTTTTGAAGAAGTTATGAAAACTTGTTGTTCACTTTACAAAGTTGTTGAAAGATTAATTTGGACATTTACCAAAATTTGAATATAATAATATAGGAGTTCCAAAAAGCTGTAGTTGGCTTTGAAAATAGGAATCAACAGAAATGGAGAAAAACGTAATACGATGGTTTAAAGGAAATTGTTGAATTCTCTCTTTCATTGAGGAATGACCATGCTCTTATCCAATAGAAAACAGAATAAAGATTTAACGTCAACTCACCACATGCAAAGATTTCAAAAGAATTATAACTGCTGCCAATTAGGTAATTTTTAATCTGATAGATAGCTCATTCGTATTCTCTCTCATTCCAATTCCATTTGAGACTTTATAAAGCAATAATGCATCCTTAAATATTAGAATCTCCTCCAATGAGAAAGGAAAATTGGGGAAGTTCAGGAGGTCCATATTTTCAGAATATCATTTGATCCATTGCCGTTTCATCTCTTTGATGATCGTTCAAACTGTTCATGGCCTTGAAACTTTTGAACTCGGTGAAAGGGGAGAAGAGTTGGAAGAGGAGGCAGACGTTCTTCTACCGCTTGAAGAAAAAGAGCTTGTTTCTTCTTCTGCTTTTTCTACGACTTGAATAAATCTATTGCTTGCCACGTTTGCTTTTCTTTCTTTGCTATTCAGTTCCATTTTGAATTCCATCTTTTTTTGATTGGTATAACTTTCTGACTTGGCTTTTTTCATTTTCGGTACTTTTTTCTTCTCGTATTCGTTTTCGTGGATAACAAAAGATTTTGTTTGTGGTTGTTGCAATTCAACAATGGCCAATGGCTGTTGTGGCGTATTTTGTGTGGAGGAGTGAGTAATGAGAATGTTAGAAGAAGATGACGAGGAAACCTCAGTTTGAGCTGAGGAACCAGGATGTGACCAAGCACTAAGCGAAGAGGATATGATTGTACTGGACGAAGAGGAGGGAGATGTGAAGGTGATATTGGGAATTGAAGATTGAGGAGTTGATGGAGGTGGTGGTGCGATTGTAACCACAAGTTGTTGTTGTGTGGGACAAGTTTGTTGCGGATTGGATTGAACAGGTGACGAAGAAGAATGCTGCTTGAGGAGGTCATTTCTCAAGCTGGTAGATAATGATGAACATGTAGAAAACGGTCGCATGTCCATTGGAGAAATGTTTTCCCGTTGTGTGATTGAAACATCTTTTTGGATAAGAAAATTAGTGTTTGTGGAATTAAAGCTCTCACTAGAAAGTTGCTGGTGATGAAATTGATGCTGCTGCTGTTGTTGTTGTTCATGTAGTTGTTGTTGTTGTGGATAATTTGTTTCCACTGAATACCCTTCCTGTTGCAAAGTATAAAGTACATCCAATAAATCTAACCTTAACATGGGAATGTAATTTTGAAAGATTGTCGTCTTTTCATTGTTGCAGCTTCTGTTCGTACTTTCTGTACTGCTCGATGGATGCGGGTTGAACATGTTGTTGGATGAATGCAAATATTGATTCTTAAATGAAGAAGTTACATATTGCTGTGACGTCTCATTCAAAGAAGAGAATTGACTTGTCGAATTATTGGTGCTTTGTCGCTCTTGAAGAAGATCATTTCGAATGAATGTTCCTTGTGAAAAAGTCGCTGAAGTGAATGGAAGAATTGTGTGCGAAGCAGTTGTTCCTGTCGGCATGATTGTCGCATTTGGTTGAGAAACTTGTAATGTGGTCATTGATGGATTTCCACTATTATTGTTGTTATTACCACTAGAAGAGGTAAATGCACTTGTTGTTGATGATCTTTCAGTGGGTTGGGAGGAAGAAGAAGAGAAAGGATTGGAAAAAGAAGAAGGAATAATAGGACGCATGTATGAGTGGTGATGAGAAGAAACTTGTTGCAAGAAATTTTCTCGAAATTATTATTCAAATAAGACACCAGGATGGTGATTGCAGCTGCAAATATCAAGATGGAAATGGTTACTACGCACACAGAGTTATCGTCCTACTTGCATGCTTGCATTTGGAAATCGTCAACATATAAAACGAGGAGTGTTTTGGATGAACTTGAAACACCAATATCTCTCTATGGAAGCTTACTATTGCTGATGATGTCAACACAAATACTCGCAAACAAAACTTTTTGAATGTTATTTCGATCCAATTCGTTTCGTCCAAGGAACTAATATGTATTAAAAGTGTCTGTGCTTGTTGTTGGTTGAGAGAACGAGGACGACGTGTCTCTTAAAAGCGATGTGAATGGTGCCACACACAACCACACAGTCGCTACTGTTGGTGAAGAGAGCGAGTGCCAATGAATGGAGTGTTCTCTCAGTGAAAGAGGGTATTTTTGTTTTTCAAACCCTAACAACACATTTGATGCATCTAGCCTCCAAATTTCTGTCATGTTTAGACACTGGGCAGAATTTGTGTCGCGTCACCATTCAATTTGGATTTACCTTTCAAAACAGGTCCTGTATGCCATTTTTCTTGACAATGACATATTGATGCTTCGAATTTTTGGTTTAAAGGTTCCCACAAGGAAAAATCCTCGGCACAATCGAGTTCACATCTGCGAAAAAAAAGTGTGTTTTCATTCAACTGTGAAAGCATCAGCATGACGGAGCAATTACTGCTTTCACATAATGAAGGATTGAGGGTTTGGTTATTTGAGCAAGATCCCTAATCAACTGCTCAACATTGTTGAACCATTCAATTTCAATACCGTGCTTGGTTTTGCTTTTCATCACCTGTCCATGAAAATTGTAAAACCAAGAAGAGAAAGGGTTGGCGTAATAGAGAAATGGTATAAACCAAAGAGACTGAAAAAGAAATCAATACTGCATTTGCCAATAAATGTATCGTCCAAATTCTTTCTCAATTTTCCGCTCCGCAAGTCCTCCAAAGTACTTCCCGCCCAAACCATATACGATTTTTCATTAAAAAAATTATTGTCTTGTCTCCCGAATCATAACTATCATCATGAACAAATCAAAAGGAATAACCCCAAATGCATCTGTACAATCGTTAAAAGAGACATTGAAGAAAGAACATTTTTCACGAGTTCAATGGCAAAATCAGTACGGAAGCAAGTTTCAAAAATTACCTGAAGAAGCCGATTTAGAACACTCCTCTCGGAGAGAATATGTCACCAGCAGAATGAAAGAGGCGTCTAAAAAACCAAGAAGATTGCATGTGGATCTTGACGAGGAAGAGCTGGACCATGATTCTTCGGAAGAATTTGACACCAATGACCCAAATTTGTTCAGTGGATATAGTTCTAGGTTTTGTGGATTTCACTCACCACTTGAATCGAGTTATAATACAACTACCAGTTTAGAGCAATCCAAAAAACCTATAGAGCTTGACAATAAGGATCATTTTAGAAAGAAGCACTGGCTAAAACACTATTTTGAAGAGAGTGCTAAAATGCAAAATCTTTTTAAGAGCGCATCTGGTCCAGGAGATAAAGCTGCCTCATCCAATCTTAAGAAATAGCTTGTAGTATGAGTTTGTACATAATTTTGACAAAACCATGTGATATATTTTTCAGTAAACATATTTTCCTTAATTATTATGAAATACGTTTGGTTGAATTCAAATGTTGAACGCTCATGCTACTCGTTCAATTCTTGTTTCATGTGGGCAGTTTTTTGATCGAAAATATTTTGGTGATATTCAGTTAAAAGCTTCCCACTCTTTGCGTAGATTGCCTGCACAAGCGATTCCCTCTCTTCGGGAGACATTTTTCTAATTGTTTCTTCCATCAAGCGCTTCCTCTGAGGACTGATCAACAAAATGTTTTTCAATGGAGAGTCCTTGGAGTTGTTAAATCTCGTGGTTGGAGACGTTATTTCCTTGTTGTTGTTTCCAGACGATGACGAAGAAGAGAATTGAGAAGGTTTTGGGGGCGTGTTGCTGTTCATCATTTTTTGTGTGTTTCTTTGAAAAAACAAAATGCTCTCGTCGACCAAAGATGTTGGTTCAAGAAGCAGCCACAATAATAATACTCAAGCAAATGAAGTTGCCGAGTTACGAGAGTATTACACTCGGTCGTTTGCTATTTTGCACGAAGCATTGTCCTCTCCGCCTTCTAATTTTCCATGGGTATGTTTATGGCATGATGAGAGCCAAGCTTGATTTCGTGATTATTTTGAATTTTAATCGTAACACTTTTTTGAAATTAATAATAATATTACGATGATAAACATATACCTGTTTTGATCTATTTATTAGGTGGAAGTATTAGATGCTATAAAACCTGCTTTAAAAGAAGGCATGAAATGTTTTGAAAATCGAGAGCCAAAAGAGGATGTTAAACTCTACGCCAAGCAAAAAGAGTTGGTAAACGAATTATCCAAACGAACTGTATGTATCTCATATTGCGAATAATATAACAATATTAATGACGCTTGTATTCGGAACAACATCATCACATATCACATTGAAATATTAATTCATCGATGACCACTTTCATATTTACAGAATTTAAATCAAAAAAGTTGTTACAGAATACTTGAGGATTTTCTACTGTGCGAAGCGCATGATCATCTGGTTTTGGATGCTAGGGATCCCCTTGTTGTTGACAAGGTAAGGAGATTTTCATCAGCAACACTGATTTTATTCTCATCTTTTACCATGTTTCTCAACATAATCTCCACATAATATAGATAACCAATTTCTATTATTCGGAAAGATTACTCCTGCTGGAGTGTATTTCAACAATATTTCGTATCGATTCAAACTACGATGAGGAAGAAGATGCTGATGATATTGGAAAGAAAGCCTGCCATAACGTTGTTACATGGTTGTTAAGCCAAGATATCGAAGGGTCTGTCCAAGAATGGATTCGAGATGTGTCAAATATCGAACAACATTTAAAAAATTTAAAATTACAATCACTAAGTGAAATAGAGGTTACGAAAAGACGAATAGAATTGATTGAACAAAAATTGAATGAGCAAGCTGCTGCTCTGAATGTTTTATTTATGATTTATTATGAGTATCGATATAGGTGCGATACAAAAAGATTTCCTAAATTTTTCAACGAACATTATATTGTATGTATATTGTTGGATGATGTTTGGAATAATTTAACATGTTTTTAGGGTCGTGATTTTGGTAATATTCATAGAAACTTGGAAAATATTTCGACAAAAGGTTTTCAAATCATTAGAAGAATTGTTTGTCTTTCCTTTCTTGTTATAGTGGAAATTTTGGATACAGGAAATATTGTGGAATGCATCAACAAAGGAAAAGATTATCAAAATAGATTGCCAGAGAATATTATTTCAAAGCTTACGGATGAGATACGACAAGAGATTGGAAATGATCCTCATTGTGCTGCTCTGCGGTTATTATGGGCATCTTATCTTCAACTCACACCAAATAACGTTCCTTTGAATGATATCTATCATTTAATTCAAACAGGTATCAAATTTGAAGGATTGGAATTCATTAGGCGAATGTTTGACAAGGATGATTATGCGTTCCATGGACACGATGCAAACTATGAAGGTTACAGAAGTGTCATCAAAACTGGTGTTGAAAGCGTTTATTTCTTATTCAAATTTCACAAGGTTCCTTTTTCTCTGATCGAGCAAATTTTCTCGGTAACAGAGGCAGCCATTCAAACAAAATCTACCATGATACGAGAAAATCAGTTGGCACAAGATTTATCAGATTATGGAATTGAACAGCAGCCATACAAGGACCTGCTAAATTACTTCAAATTGGTCTTTCCTGCAAAGAAGGAGATTCTTCGACTTTTAACTCTCATGTGCAATGATCATTCATCTACGTTAAAAGTGTTGAATATTATGGAATCACAAGAAACATATTGCGTAGAAATGACTCATTCTGAGCTTAAAACACTCTGTGGTATCGATCAATCAAATCCTAACGATTGGGAAACAAAAGAAACACCCCTACAGACGATTACGAGCTATAAGGACAGTATTACCAATATCATTATTCCTTCAGGAATTCCTTGTCTAGTGGTAAATCAAACAGCAGAAACGTGTTTGGTAACGTTTCAGGTAGGTTTCTCTAAGTTTTTTAGTTTTGGGTTTATTCTATGGTCCATAAAGTTCTCGAGCTATATTTGGAAAGTATTACTTTGCCAAATTGTTGAGGTCCTTCAAAATTCAATTTCTATCCAAACAAAAGATGTGAGAAGCATGGTTCATCATTTTCTGAATCTGCTTCATAAATTGATATACTATAGAGGAGTTAGTGTGGAAAAACTGGACAAGTATATTATTGAATTATTGATATCAAAACAAATGTATACCCACAGATCTGAGAAAAAAGGAATAGTTCAATTGTTATCAAGAATAATCAAGTACTTTTCAAATTTTCCAATTGGTAGTATTCCTACAGAGATATTGATTTCATGTTGTAATTGCTTAAACGCAATAGCAACGGTTGCTCCAGTTGAAACAGCATCACAAGTGTATCATTTAATTCAAAAATATCACTTCTCCAACATACTGAGAGAAGAATGCATGAATGGAAGATATGGTGCTACCTTAAGTCTACTCGATACCATCTTAGAACTCTCTAAAAATGTAAGTACTTGCCTAAATAAGTATTGTGAAACATCCTTTCTATTACTACAGCATCCAGGACCTATGACTACTATAATGGACATACTTCCATTTATTTGCTCCAGCATATTCTCTCTTCATGACTCATGGCGCTACCAAAAGCTTGAGGAAAGATGGCTCATTGCTTTAAAATGTCTTCAAATATTTAATCAAATTGCAGAAGATTCAATATGGATGGAACATAAAACAGAAGATTCAAGAGTCAGCACAGGGTATGTATTAGCTACAGCTTGCCTATCTCTCGATTGACAGTTTTTTGTTATTTTTTCTCTTTCATTAGTGGAAGACAACTTCTAAGCGCGTTCTTGCATGATAGTAGTCTTTATCAAGTTTTATTTTTGTTGGTCGGTTTAGGTGGAGCTTTCCTTGAAAATGTTACACGACATGAAAAAACAGAAGAGGCCGTCACCGTTCAAGCGCTCATCAAAGAGTCCTTAACATTATTGGATTCTCTGCTGAGATTTAGACAAATTACTAAAGCAAGCAATCCCATAAGCACTTTCGAAGATGTTCTGTTCTCTAAGCTTTTAGGAAAACAGCAAATTCCACTTATTACTTCCATTTTTGAATTCACAGACCCTCGCCATTATACCTCAGAAGTTAGAGTTCTGGCTTGCAAAGTGATCACTCTGATTGCACAACTTACCGAAGATTACAATTCAAGACCTCCATCGCTGGTTGGATATTTAGGAAGCCATTCCACATCTCTTGTTGGTAGATGCCTTGATACTTTGCGAAGCAGAAGCGAACCTGATGAATTGAAAATTGCTATATTTGATTTAATTTCTGTCACTGTAGAAATTCAAAGAGGATTAGGAGAGCTGTTTGTGAATAGCTCTCCACCTCACATCAAGAAAAAAGTGGAAGAGGATGATGAACTAACCTTACCTCCAGGAGGCTGTATAGAAACAATTATGGATATTATCAGGAATATTGATCTGAAACAGAGTAAGCCAGCTGTTGTGAGAAGCGCTATTGGAGTCATACAATCTATATTCCAAAGTGGAGAAAGCAGATCCAGAATTACCAAAATTTTACGAAATCAAGTCAATTTTTGGAAGGACATGGTTAAAGTTCTAAGCTTTTTCACAAATGCTACTTCTTTATCGGACATAGATGTGGTGCGCTCAGTGACATCAGTTTTGTCAATATTTGCTGTGGACATGTACAACATGATGATTCTCAAGAACGATGAAGATGTCGCTTTCAATCAAGTACAAGCTCCACTCTTTGAAAAGAACTCTAAAATACAACAAATACTTAAGAAGAGTATTGAACGTATCATTGAATTTACAAACCAGAACAGACGACAAATTTTTAATATTGACGAAATGCTAAAGAATGAAATCAAGAGGCTAGGCCGATCAATTCGGTTATCAGATTACATCCAAGATAGAAACACCAAAACTGATATGCTTTACAATACAGATAGACTTAAAAGATGGGAACATGATATTAGCAACGAATTAGTAATATCACTCTCTATTTTGAATGCTAGTATTGCACAAGAGGAAGCTTACATTTCACTTTTGAGATCTATGAATGCTCTCTTTTCAGTTAGGTTTGAATCTCCACTTCTTGCAAAGGACCACCCTAATGAAGACTATTTTCAATCCAACATTGGATTGTTGCTTGATGGCTTAAAAGTGAAAGAAAAAAGCAACTTCCATGAAAGTAGTACCAGCGCCATACACATGGCTTCTGAAATTTATTTACCTCTACCAATCATATTGGACAAACTTGTCACAACATTCCATACAGAGGTTGCTTCCATGCTCGAGACCTTTATTCACAAGTATATTGTTCTATTTCCTCCTTCGTACAGTATTGAGCCTAAAGATGATCACAGTGATGATGCTATAAGAAAATTAACAGACTTACTTATTGGTCAAGTGCAAAGAAATAAGTTAACAGTATCCAAAGAGATATTAGGATGTTTATTAATGTATTACGTTGATTTAGGTTCCAATGTTGGTATTAGAAATTTTACATCCATAATGCCAACCTTATTCCACATCGTTAAAACATTTGACAAGTATGACGATTGTACAAATCTTGCTCTCTCTATTTTATCCATTTGTGTGGAGAACATATTTGATTCGGAGCAAGGTAATTATATTTGTAGGGAACTCGCAGACTGTCTTTCCAATTTTGATGGTGTGAACGAGCATCACTCAAAATACACTCTCAATATCTTGAATTTATTGTTGGCCCTTTCATCCACTCAAGCAGGAAGCACCTTAATGGTAGTCAACAATTTTATTCCTCGGCTCACTAATTGTTCCATTCTAAGTACAGGCTCAGGAAAATATGCAGGACAAACATATTATGAAGGAGAACGCACTTGGTGGCACACTGCTTGGAAATATAGTTTGAAAATTGTGACATCTCTCTTGAATAGCTTTGACTTTGCAAATCATCCACAAAGATATATGACTGGATCTGCATTGATGTTTGATGAAAGCTCTGGACAAGCTCAATACTTTTTCTATCAAGTATTTGATTTCTGTAATGCTCATCGAAACCGACTAATTCTTGGTTTGAATGAACTATGGGATAAGAGACCTCTCACTTTTGCAATTATTGAAGAAGTTGAACTGATCAGTATGCTTGTAAACGCATTGTCTCGATTGAAGTTACTACCACAATTAGTGTACTTGATTGACGCTTCCTTGATTGCCATGTTGAAATGTATTGATGCTGTGAAACATTTTCACTCTGTCCTTGGAAAAGTGACACCAATCACTGCACATGAAAGAAAGCTCTACGAAGCCGACAAACATTACAGAGAAGAATATTTGCAAAGTCAACATTCAACACTCAAGACTAGAAATTTACTCCGTGACTTACACAAAAATGCTGAAAATGCATACATGCCGAATCCAGAAGAGTCTCCTTTCACTAGTTCTACGATAGAAGCCATCAAAAATCTGTATCAAGGAAGAGAAATGTTGAACTGGAATACACAAATTGATTTGACGGTGTATGGAACTTTGCAAAGTATATTGGCTTCGGTTCGTTGTCTTACAGTACTTCCTAAAGATGATGGAATTGAAATGCCTGTAGATCCAATCTATGTTCTTTCCATGCAATCTCATAGCCCCAATATTCGTGACGTTTTTAAATGCATTGAAAGTTGTGTGGACGCTCTTGAGTATATCCCCTCTCGTAAATACACAGACGAAGCAAAAGTCACAGCGTTAGAATCGGGTGCAATTACACCAACGACGCTCTCCCCATCCTATAGTTGTACAGCCACTGAACGAGTAGGTAGAGAGCAAGAAACTATGTTGAAGAGCAGATTTTTGGTGTCTCGAGTAGTCATTGGAACCATGTATGAAGCATTGCATGTGGCGATCACACATATTTTAATTTATGAATTTTTGAGTGAAGGAGACCCACAAAAACAGTCGCAAGTCAAGGAATTGAAAGAAGAGCTCAACAAACTATTCAGCCTCCATAAAAAGCTCGATAAGCCTCTGAAGAGCTGGTTCTTCATCAAGTATGGAGACCAACTGAGGGAACTCATCAAATTTATGAAGGAATTACAAGTTTAATAAATCCACAAGTTAATTTATGACAACTTAGTTCTAGATAATTAAGGAATAAATTAAGGTAGTTCTGGCGAGAGTATTTACAAGTTATTTAGGGCTGTTCTTAGTCTGGAAAAATTATTCATTTTTCGAGAATGTAGTTGTTTTAGGTTTTCCTGATTGCTTTTTTTGATACTATTCTTGTAGAATTGTCGTTCATCAAGCAAATATTGTTCAACATCTTCCAAATCATATTTCATACTTTGAGGCATTGATAAATAATTGGCAACAGATGCTTGGCTCATGCAGGTGTAAAAACTACTCGTGGATATTAATCCGTTCTCATTCAATGCGTACGCTAAATGTTGTTGTGTGGGGCGTTTTTGTTTTTTACACATGTACGTGAGCGTTGGTTGTTTTTCAATGTCATATTTTTTTGTCTCCTTTGTAAACACAAACTCCAAATTTGACTGATAATGCTGTGTGGATATGGGGACTCCTACAATATTATACACTTTCTCCAGGCCCAAGGTATCATCAATTTCTTTCTCACCGACTTTGTGAGGGATTATTGGGAGAGGAGAAAAGTTGACATGAGCTCTCCATTGAGGAGAATGAACTAGAGTTTCATCTTCTGATTGTTGATGAGAAGTATTTGTTATAGGGTTGTTCATATCTTTGAGAGCAGGATATGGTAGTCCATTACAACCTTCAACAGCTAAAAGAAGGTCAATATTGAAGGCTAATACTTTTGTCATGGTGAATGCATTCCCCCATGCACCAGATGTAATACCTGCATAAATAAATCGTGCTAAATCTCTATCCCAATTCCTTCGTCCAGTTTTAATATATTCTTGTGTAAGAATATATTCCCCACGAGATGGTCTGTAGTGATTTTTAGGTGTGAAGTGAGGACATTTGACCTTACTCATTGGTGGCTGGCCATCCAATCGAATCATTCGATATCGGTAAACTAGAGCTCCGAAATATCCACTTTTCAGTCGTTGAGGTTCTCTCCAATAATCAGTCACCCAATATAATCCATCATATCGATAACCTTTTGCTGGAGCATAGGCAGAATCTAATTGATAGCTACGAATACGGCGCACAGGAACCTTTCTTTTCAAACTTTCAACTAAACTAATGTTATATTTGTTGAGCGTTTGATCCTCATAATCTGTTCCTCCTTGTCCTGTATAAATGAAAACATCTCCATAATCTTCGTCACCATATCCACCCATAGCCATTGCTACAATCGAATCTGCAGGGACTCCGAAATGGCCGCTAATTCCTGGTTGTGTTGGAGTGTGAGAACCTCGCTTTGAGCATTCCAATCTCGATTCATAAGTTTTGAAAACATCATCTCGGTGTCCATAAACTCGAGAGCCAATCTTGATGGGTGGCTTCAATAAGGCGTCTTTTTTTGAGTCTCTTCTACGAATAGTGTTGATCCACTCTTCAGCATTACCCATATGTTATGGTTGGACTTCTTTTTAACTTCATGTCTCTCTCGATTTGATCATCTGTTCTGTGTCTAATTTGATCATCGTGTTGTTGACATTTGTGATTCTTGAGATAGTATGCATTCAAAGTAATCATTCCACTATCAGTATCCACAATAAAATCAGAATGTCCACTTTCAATGCATTCACGAGTAATGGTCAGGTATTTCCTGTCCGATAATTTCATCGTTATCGTACTATTTGAGCTATTTGCATAATCTTCATCGAGAGGAATTGATGACAGTTCGTGTTCATCATCAGAATCAATTCTTTCCTTTTGAAAATCAATAAGAAATCTATTACCGTTTGCATTCGTTCCAAAATGAAGTTGTGAAGATGAAGGTTGGCTTTCCAAATGTGAGTTTTTATCATTACCAACAGAATTCACTGATTTCATAAATAGTGGTTGAGAAATTTCATCAACCACAGGACTAGCATTATTCCTATCATTCTTATTGAAAAACTCTTCCAAATCCTTTTGTTTGGAATTTCTTAATTTAATCTTAGACCTTGTTCCTTTATTTGTTGTTGCATCATTACCATTACCGGACATTCTACTTTCTTTTCTTCCATTATTTTGTTTGTTGTTAATTTTATATTGATTCCGAGAGTGACTCAAGACATCATCACTGCTGCAATCATCATCTTCATCACCCGACGATGATGAGAGGATGATTTGGAGTATGGGCATTTTTTTTCGCGCGTTTTCAAAAACCAAAAAACCACTGTTAATTTCTGAATATATGATGAAATAATAATATTATTCATGAGAAGCACGTTGGGTGGGCATGAGAGAAGAAACCTTACTCTTATCCTTTCGTTTGCTCTTTTTAAGATACTTGTTCATCTTGCCTGACTTTTTGAGAGAATCCATTTTTCGTTGCTTGAGAATCTTTTTCACATCCGAGTCTTTTAAGAAGAATGCTTTCTTTCCTTTCTCTGCAATTAATTTCTTTTCTCTTTGATAGAATTGATCTCTAATTTCTGAGGCTGCTTGTTGTGATTCAATCTTTTTGTGGCGTGTTTGTAATTTGGAAATTTCTCTTTGAATTTCAAGTTTTTCTTCGTGTGAGAGAGTCTTGTCTCTCAACTGTTCCTTTAATTCTTCAATGTCATCTTTCAATTTCTCAAACACATGTGCATAGTTTCGTGCAAACTGTTTAAAACTTTGATGATCAATATTACTTGATGCTTTAGGGTCAAATCTAGGATCATGACTCTTCTTTTTCACAAATCCCAATCGTGAAGCAATATCAGGAATTGTAGTTGGTTTGATTTTTGCACTCACTTCCTTTGGAGCATTCTTATTCTTTTTCTCTATCACTGGAGGATCTTTTGTGATTTTTTCTCTTCGTTTTCTTCTCTTGAATTGTTGTTCCTCATCTTCCGAAGAGTTCAACAAATTTGATGATGAATTTCGATTGTTATTTCGTTTGTTATGATGATTGTTATTTTCTTTCAATTTACTTAGAGCCAATCTTTCAGCAAATGATAGAGTTTTTTCATCCTCTTCATCCTCCGAAGGCTCCGAGACATCGCTGCTCTCTTGATCGTTCGGATCCTCTTGTTCAGCATCATTATATAATTCCGCTTCAAAATCCTCTTCTTCTTCTTCCTCTTCATTATTTTCTTCTTGTTCATCCTCTATGACTTCTTCCGAATGGTCATTTTCATCCTCTTCTTGTGGATGAAGAATGGAAGAAGGTTTTAACTGCTTTCGTTTGAGAAACATTTTTTTTGAACTTTTCACAACAGTTTTCACATTTTATTGCTGAATGAAGAAGAAACTCACAGAATATAAAAGAATGCATCAAGATTGGAATCACACCATCTAGCTCAATGTGATGCATCAGAGGTAAGTACTCAATAGTATTGATCTCTTTGAGGTCTCATGTCCAAGTGAAAATAGTATTATTCTTTGTCAATCACCATCACTCCTCAATTCTCACTCACCACAAGTTGTGGTGGATCATCATGTTCGCGATTGATTAACACCACAATCCTCGACCCCACATTCCAGCATATCCAAATCCATAGAATGGCATTGCGTTGAATCCAAAACATGGGAAGCCACCGAATCCTCCATAGAATGGCATGGAGTATGAATTGCCATAATTGCTACTATAAGCAGTTGGACCTCTGTAATATGATCCATAAGCAGCATAAGGTTGATAATTGGTTGCTGCTACTTGATTACTGTAGGCCATGGTATTCTGTCCATAATTGTTGTAGTTACCACCAGCAACACCATAATTGTTGGATGCACCACCTTGATAACCATAGGCACCATTGTACATGTTGGAAATTTGAGCCTTTGTGAAGGAGATTGTGAGACAGAACACCAATAAGGCACAAAGAGCGTATTTGAAAGATTGCATGTTGAAATTGGAGAGTGTTTGAATGGCAAGGTAATTTTTTGTTATTGTTGAATTTGATGAGAATACTGGACAATGATCGTGAGGTTAGATTTATAGGTTTTGAAAGTAAGTATGAATTTGGAAATTCTCTGTTTTTTGATTTAGTAGAAGCCGACGCTGGTTTTGAGAATGAACAAAATATAAAAGGAAATATGATAAAGATAACAACAGGTGAATGTGAAAAAGAACAGACTTAAAAACCCATGATCGATTCCCAAAACTGATAAAAGCTTTTTTAAGAAGAACAACATTACACAAGGATTAGCATTACGTAATGACTTCATGTCCTGTCGTTAAAAGACAATTGGCGCCATCTCATGATTCAAATTTTTGAACGTTACACAATTTTTAAAAAAAAAATCGATGAAAATGTCTGCCAACGAATCATCAGCCATTGTCTTTGTGAACTATACTCCCAATTCACCGGCAGCCAAGAAGAAGACCCAATCCACCACACGATCCTCACAACAACAACAACTCCCCTCCAAATCGTCGTACGGACCACCATTGAAGGCTGTGAAGAGTAACAACAACAACAATATTATGCAATTCTTCAAAAAGTCTTCATCACTCTCCGAACAAGCTTCTACTTCTACTTCTTCTTCCGTATTGGTTTCATCTTCCAATGTTTTAAATAACTCCAATCCAATCCTAATGATGGATACCATCTCAATATCCTCGTCCTCGAGTCAAGAAACAAATCCTGTGCCTTCTTCTTCCGTGATGATGATGATGGAGGATGAGTCTTTAACCCATCATCCTGCAACCAGCAATGATCTACTCTCAAGTCATGGTGATACTATTCATGGTGAACAACCATCCGCATTGAATCCTCTCCTAACAATAGGCTCATCAATTTCTTCCAAATCTGCACAGACTCCCTCTTGCTCTGAACAACAAGATTCAAAGAAGAGAAAGATGATTGAATTGTCGAGCGATGAAGAAGAAAATGAATGTACAAAGGAAAACATTCCTCCTGTTTTATCTCAACATGAGAATGTCCCATCTGTGTCTCCAAAAAAGAAAAAGAAGAAAAAAGATGCAATCCTAAACTCAGCAAATACCACTACTACATCAGTGTCCTCTGCCAATGCGACAGCTACCACTGCAAGTAGCACAACAGATTCAACCACTTCAAAAACTCCTACCACTGTTGAAGAATGTCAACAAGCCATTCAACAATTGGAACAAGAGATTAAACAATTGAAACCATCATTAGAAGACTCTAAAAAGATTAGAAAAGATGACAAGATTCGAAAATATTTGAAGAAATTTATTGAATTTTGTACATGGAACAAGGAGTTCCAGAGCAACAAGAATGTATTTCCTGTCAAGCTCACTTATATTAATTTGCTTGTTGGATATTGTCAAGGCTCAATGCTCGAAATGGACGATCTCATCAATGATATTCGAAGTACTTGGGTCAAAATAGCAAACAAGAAGAGCTATGCCTCTACACCCATAACTGAGGATTCACTTCCAACCATGGATGCATTCAAGAATGCTATTAACCTTCATATGGAACGAAAGTCATACGGTGTGAAAGATATTTGTGACATGAATGTTTGGGAAGCAAGAAAACTCTCTACATTGACAAGCAAACTTGGATCCAATGCGAAGGATGCCACCACTCTTGCCAAGCAAATGAGAGGCAATTTCAAAAAAGCTGTCGATGCTAAAATTAAGGAAATTACAAAACTGAACAAGTTGAAAGCAAAACTCGAAAAGGCAAGCACAAAGAAGCCAACAAAGAAGGATCAATCCAATGCCTCATCCTCTCTTTTAACCTCACCAAAGAAGAATTCTGCACCAGCCGTAAAGTGTAAGAGTATCACACTTTTCACACAAAAGTGCAAGATTTTACAACAAGATCAGGTTGTATCTGCTCCTGTCTGTAGAACTCAACGTGTCACATCTTTGGAAGAAATTGATTCTGTAATGGCGGCCCAAAACCATTCTCTTTCTATCAAGACTGTTCTCTCTGAGATGAAAGAACGTGTCTCTGACAAAAAGAAGCCAAAACGTAATGCTCTCAAATGTTTCTCTTTTTATGGTAAAACTCAAGTGATGAAAAAGACAGAGGAAGGTCTTGTATCCAAAGTTGTGACAGGCAGAAAACCCTTCGTCAAAGATCCATCTGTGACTTATCCTGAGGAAGACGATGAGGACATAATGGAAGACGAGGGTGAAGAGCTTGTTCTTGGTGAATTAGATCCTGTTGATGGAGAAACTCTTGAAGGAGAGGACGATGAAGAAAGCGATGAAATGGACTTTGACGACGAAGATGAAAGCATGGGATACAACACCATTTGTGCCGATGATATAATAGAATATGAAGATGGTAAGATTGAGCATATCGAGACTGCAGACATCTCAAAAAAGAAGAAGAAATTGTCTGACTTGGATCCAATCTATGAATATTCAAATCAACTTAAGGAGTGTTCGTTTGTAGTGGATGAAGATTTCACATTTGATATTTCTGAACTACATTGTAATCATGTTTACTGGTGGGTGCCAGATCATAACAAAACCCAAAATGAAAAGAAGGTAAAAGAAGGAGACTCGACCACGACAACAAACAATTCGAGTGACACTATCATGACATCACCAAAGAAAAAAGGTGACAAGTCCTTGGATTTGACATCACCTAAAAAGGAAGATGTATGGGCAGAGGATGTTCTTACTCATTTCAAAAATGTGTTAGCAACAAGCTCCTCGCAAACCGACATTGTGAAGGCCATGGCTGAGAAATATCCAGATCTATCGAAAAACAGAATTCATAAAAAGATTAAGGAAGTTGTTGTGAAAGAAAAACGAGAAGGAGATTCGAAACAAAGGTTCTACATGAAACAATGATCTGTTATATTTCTCAAGAATATTTGTATTAAATTATAGATTCCTCTTTAACTTTATGGAAGCTGTGACGACGATCTTCTCTAGCTAAAACGTAACTCTCTGGATTGTTGAGCAAGTTCTAATGAAGCAAATCGCAGAAAAAAATGTCTGAAGAAACCTTCTATCGGAATATTGATAATTGGATTCGAATGCCTGACTTGCAACAAAAGCAACAAGAACTGGAAAATAAATTATTCACTTTGGAAACTCTCCTAGATTATGAAATCAAAGGTGATGAGAAAACTCTCTACGCCCAAAAAAGCAATATATTCTTTCTGCAAAAAGCTTCCGACGTGATCCAAGAAAAGCAACAAGAAAAAGAGAAAATTGAAAAGGAAATTGAAACGATCAACTCGGAGCTTGATTCACTTACATCTTCATTTCACAGCTTTAAACAAAACGTTTCCAAGAAGAAATAATTATTGTTAATTATTCGGCAGTAAAAGAGGTGATTAAAAAATTAGCATTACCACAACAACCACGGAAAAGTATGGACAAATCCTTCCCTCAGGGACGACTAGTGAAAACTGCTGAAATTTCTTTGCGTTGATGTACAATAATTTATTATTTTCGCATTCCTGGTGGAGGTGGAGGAATCACTTTTGAAGCATTCAGAGGAGGTGGAGGAATCATTGGCTTTCTGCTTCCGAGGCCAGTTGGAGCATTAGGTGGTGGAGGTGGAGGAATCATCTTGCCAGCTGTTGCCACTGATGAAATTGTGACATTTGGTGGTGGAGGAGGCAGTACTTTTTCTTCTTTCTGAAAGTGTAACTTGAGTGTAAATGTAAACTTTTCCTTGTCCCAATCTGTAATAAACTTTCCTTCACTTCGATCAATTGGCTTGTTTGGTATTTTGAATGCAATTGTTTCATAGGGATCTGCTGCAAACACCAAATATTGATATTTTGGATTGGGTGGATCTTTCTTTTGTTCGTAAGCACTCATAATACGATATCTAGGTTGAATTTCCTTCTCAATTTCTGGATAATGTATCATGAAAACGAGAGACTTTTGCTTTGTTTCTGGATTAATCTTCTTTGATACGGTATATCCAGGTCTACCAATTTTTAGTGTTTTCTTGAAAATTGGTTGTTGTTGTGTGGTAGTTTTTGAGAGATTTGAGTCTTTTTGTTCTTTAGCAATTCTTTTGTGTAGATTATATTTATGTCTTCTTCCTTGTGTGTGGGCCATATAATTTCCGATGGTATTGTGCAGCGTTAAACATAATTTACATTCATACTTTCCGAGATGGTTTTTCATAATATATGGATCCTTTTCTAAATCAATATTTTCAAGTGCAAGTTGTGTTTGTCGTTCTCTTCGTTCTACATTGGAGAGGATGGCACTTTGTACACCTCCGGATCCAGGTTTTGATCCGAAATCACGATAACCCGTGCTCATTTGCTTTGATAATTATTATTGATGATGAAAAATGTTATGTTCCAAATTAATTGAGATGAGAGCAATTTGTTCGTTGTTATTGATAATACTAAGATCAATGATGATAATGATTTAGGCTCTAAGATTCCTAGATGTTCATTCGGAAGAGTCACTACGAGGATGATCCGCAATGATGAATTCTTTTACGTATTTTTTTTTTAATTCTTGATTGAACTTGCGTTTCACTTTTTGTTCACTTGTGTTGTCGCTTTGCTCGAAAACATGGGAGGAGGTGGAGAGAATTGAAGAAAGTCCATTTCACCTCCTTCATCGAGACCTTCGAGAAGAGGACTTGTTGGAACGGCATTTGAAGAGGTGGTTGTTTTTCGTTTGGTGTTGTTTTGATTAAGATGGGAATGGGTGGATGAGGAGGGTGCTGAGGTTTTCTTTTTCTTTTCTTCTTTGGTTGTCACAGTTGGCTTTTTCAAGTGTGTGCTTGTGGTCGCTGAGGGAGGAATGGTCGATTTGGATTTTGACCGATCGGCAGCTACAGTGGGTTGTTGTGTATCAGTCGCTTCCATTACTGCTACCTCTTTATGAACTCCCTTTTCCTTTTCCATCTCTTGTTTAAGTTTGAATGCAGCAAGAGCTTCGTCGCGTTTCCTCCATTTTTCTGCCTCTTTCCTTTTTCTTTCCTCTTCTAATTCTTTCTCTCTTTCTAGCTCTTTCTTCTTTTTCTCTTTTGCTCGAAGAATTGCCTTCTTCCTTGCTTCATTGATTTTTTCTTCCTCTTGTTTTCTCTTCTCAATTTCTTCAATTTGTTTCATTTGCTCCTCTTCATCTGAATCAAAGGAAAGGATTTCTTCGAGATACTTTTTTGTGTTTGCAGACTTTTGTTCTCTTAAAATTAATGCTTGCTGTTTTTGACATATTTCCTCAAGCTTTTTAATTTTCTCTGCTCTCTCCTGCTGTTCCTTTTCTTTTTGTTCTTTCTCACGCTGCTTTTTCTCTTTTAACCTCTCTGCTGCTAATTTTCTTGCAGTTTCTGGAGACACAGACCGCAACTTCTTTGGCTTTAAATCGCTGGACTCGATTGGGTCATGAATCGAAGTAAGGTTCACCTGTTTGGTTTGGTTTGGCGCTTTTGTGGACTCCTTCTCTTTGTCCACTTTGGGCGTTCGTGACAAACTTGCCTCTAGTCTATTATACATATTTTGAAGTGCCTTATTTTCTTGGATTTCTTTAACCTGGGACGGCGTCAGTATCCTAGGTTCTTTTGTTGATCTCGGCGTTATAATTGAAGACGTATCGAGAGGCTCGATTTTCTCAATCTTTAGCTTTTGTGGAGTGGAAATTTTCTGATTTCTGTATGGTCTTTTTGTATTATGAATGATTTCTTTTGCCTCTGATTTTAACTGTTCACAGTTCTTGTTTAGTTGGTCCAGTTCATTTTCGTAATTTCGAATGAGCTGCTGAACTAGTGATAACGCTTCTTGTCTGAAAGTCTCCTTGTAAGACAGCTCACATAAATGATAGTTTAGAAGAGCTTTCTCTCGTTTTCCTCTCTCCTCAATAAGGTTAAAGCTTTTTTTGATGCATAGCTCTTGTAAATTTTCCAAGTAGCTCAGTTCCTGAAAATTCAGGTTAAGAATGTTTGCACAATCGTCACTTCCGTCCAAATCTTCTGGATCAATCGTCGGTTGATATTCTTCTTCTTCAGGGTCTTCACCCTCATCAGAGATGAAGCCGTTTTCTTCTTCTTGTGGCGACTCCTCTTGATCCATATTCTGGTCTTTGTGATCATAATTTTCTTCGAGTTGAGTATGAGAAGTTTCAAGTTCAACTATTGGTTTAGAGTAATTTTGCTGGGAATGGAAGTGCTTGCGAATATCTTCTTTCAATACCCTCACTAAAGGTATTATTGATGATGAAAATGTAGTTTCGTTATTGACATATTGGTTGACCTGTCTTTCTACTTTTACAATTTGGCAAACGGTAGCAATAATATTTTCCATTTCTGATTTCAGCATTTCGATTTGCTCTCTTGATTCTTCCGATTCATCGAGTGATCGCTTAATAATATCAATCCTTAACGCTAACTTATTTATCTCTGAAACTTTTGAAATGAGCTCCTCTTCCGAAAAACTTTGTTCTTGCTCAGTGAGGGTGTTACTGTCCTCTTTTTCAGGATGTGCATCCACTCCATCATGCTCTGAATAACCTCCCATCTCTTCTCTTAACAGCCTCTCATCTTCTTCATCCAATTCGTATTCTTCGTATTGATATTTGTTACTGTTGTAATTATTATTATTTTCATAATCATCAGAATATTCGCCATCACGATCTGATTCGTATTCACCCGATGGTTCAACATCATCCTGTTCTTGTTCCTCCGAATATTCTCGTTGTTCATACTCATCTTCATTCTCATCATCAAAAGAATTCGTCATATACGATTCAAATTTCATTCGTGAGCTTGGTTGAAAGAAGGCTTTACGGTAGTTTTGTTCGCCATCATTTTCCTGACCTGAAGTTCGATGCGCGCTCATTTTTTTCCAAATGGTTCGCGCCAAATTTTCAAATCACAAGCCGTTGCACCATTTTCAAAATCAAAAAAAATGGAACCACGAATCAACCATAACACCTCATCGTTCATGGCTTCATCTTTCCAGCATTCACAACAAATGTTGCCAAATGCCACACCCCTTCCCATGCAACAACCACACGGCACCACAACCGCCACAGCTCCCACTTCTTTTTCACTCAATACGAGTTTTAACTCTTCTGGAATGACCGTCATTATGAAACCTAATACTACTTCCTCCAATCATCATAGAGCCTCCTTGTTCAATAAGCAATACATTGTCGAGAGAAGTGCCGATCGTAGCTTGTTATTGGATTCCAGATCATCCATCTCTCCCAATTCCTTCATCATCACGGATAAAGAAAATATATCCTCTATCAGCAACATGAATGAACTGAATACAAGTGTTCATTCAACGTCCGCAATTGTGGATTCTCTCAAAACAACAACATGTTCAAAGGCTCCCCTAAGTAGCAATGGAATTCCACCATTATCTAATCCACTCTCCACGAACCATGTCCATCATCACCCTAATAACATGATGAACCCTATGACCGAATCATCATCATTGCATAATCATCATAGACCCACACTCGTTCTCAAACAATTCGCAAACAAAGTTTTTCTCGATTTTGGTAAGGTGAAAATGAACAGTGTTTGTGTTTCTCAATTGTTTGTGGCAAATCCAACCTCTAAGGAACAAGAAATTGCAGTAGAGAAACTTCCTGTTCAATATGGATTCACATTGCGAGAAGTAGTTTATCGAATTCCTCCTCTGTGTGATGATTTTGTCATTTCCATTCAGTGGACACCTTCACAACTCGGGAAAGTGAATGGTCAATTAATCTTTTTATGGAATACTCGTTTTAGATTTTGTGTGAATTTAATTGGTGAAGCAATACCTGAGAGTAGAGTGAACACAGGAACATCTAGGAAACCTTCACGTGTGACTACTTTGACCAACTCTTCTCGAATGGTCAAGGGAATCAAGTCGAGTGTGAATGATGATACTTTTAACATGTCCACTTGTAATATTTCAGCGATTCTTCCTCCTCAAAATGGTCTTGCATCGACCGATCAATCCATACTCTCCAATATTCCGATCGTTCCAATTCATACAGCTTCTACCAACACTTCCTCAATGACAAGCATGTCCACGAGTTGTAATTCAGCAACAAGCCATTCCACAACGAGCTCAGCAACAACTGGCACTTCTCAACCATCATTATTGACACGAAGGACACAACAATCACTCATTCATAGAACTTCGGTGTTAGAGCAACGAACCCAAATGGGTAGTAGTGTACCACCTCTGAGAGCATCTTCAAAAATTACCAAACCTGAAAAGATGAAACGAGAAAATCAAACCATGTTGAATCATTCCAAGACACTCACAGTCGTCACTCAAAACAAGAATTCTTCCTCACTCAAAGATAATATGGCTTCGACAACTCAAAAACGAATCATTCAAAGTACAGCTCGATCCGAAATTCAAAAGATTCTCGAAAGACAACGAGAGTTGGAACGAGCACTCCCAGTAGGCATGCCTCAATTGGTTCACGAGTTGAAGAACTTTGGAATTGGTATTCATCAAATATCTCTCATTCAAGGATATAAGGACATTCGTGTGGCCATGTTACTTCAATGGGTTCATGCAGTTCTTGAAAAGTATGAAAACTTACCTTCCAAGTACAAGGTGTGGAATTTTTCATCTCTAGCATTGAAAACAGAAGAAGAATTGGTCTTTGCATTGATCAGTAATCAATATCGTTTACCATCACCTCTTCCACTCTCAGAAATTCTACCAAAAGATGAAGAGCGTGACTATCTTCATCATTATCAATATTCTGAAAATGGTTGTTGGAGTGCATCCTTTTCACCAACCAAACTTAAAACTAGGCCTGAGATTTCTGACAAGGAATACAATGAGCATGAGATGGTTTGTAAAATTGGACATCTTTTCAATACATTGTATCAACAGAAGGAACAAGTGGTTCGAACTAAAGCATTGGTGGTCATTCAAAATTGGATGCTCACTGTGTATTGGAAACGAAGATTACAAGTATTGAGAGAAAGTTCACTCATTGTGGAAGCTCGAGTGAGAGCTTTGTTGGAGATAAGTAAACTTGAACGAATGAGAGAAGAACGAAAGCAACGAGTTCTGATGGAACTCACTTCTCGTTTGCAAGGTATGGCAAGAGGTTATCTTGCTAGAAGAGCTCTTAAAAAAGAAAAGACGAGAACCATTGTTCAACAAGCTGTATTTCGATCATTCCTAACACAGAGAAGCAAATTTGAATGTACACAATCTGCCCTTTCAATTCAAGCATTGATGAGAATGTTTTTGACGAGAGAAAGTCATTTGGATGACAAGTATGATTTAGTCATGTGTCAAGCAGTCATTAGAGCATTCTTGACAAGAAAACAATTTTATTTAGATTATGCTGAAGTGCTTGAATACAATAACATGTTAGAGATGGAGGCGTTTGAAAAGTATGTGAATGACTCTATTGAGAATTATGATGAGAATGTCATCCTTCATCAAGCACTTGTGAAAGGTTCACTTTGTCGATCACAATTTACACATTCTCTTCAAGCAATTACAGAAATTCAATCAGTCATGAGACAGAAGAAGGCACAAAACACTTTCAAGAATATGAAGCAAGACATTACAACCATCCAAGCTCTATCAAGAAGAGTTCTTGAAAGAAGAAAGTATCACAAAGAGAAGGAACGAATTAACACTCAACAAGCACTTGTGAGAGGACTCTTGGCAAGAGAAGAAGAACGAGTTGGAGAGAGCAGAGTAGTCTCGATGCAATCTCTTATTCGAAGAAGACGTCATGAAATGATTCTCGATGCATCGATTAAGCAAACGACAACCATGCAATCGCTTATTAGAAGATTCTTCAATGAGTGCGACTGTTTGATTGATCAATATAGAGCATTTATTTTCCAAGCTATTTCTCAAGGACATGTAGCAAGACGAAACAAGTTGGAATCTATTCAAAACCTGATCTCTCTGCAAGCTTTAATTAGAGGTCGTCTTGTTCGAAAGAGCCGAGACACAAGTATGGAATCTGTTTCCATGGTTCAGAGATCCATGAGAGATTGCATTCTAAGAAAACATTACTCGCGATTTGTTGAAATGATGAAAATGATTCAATCCAGCATTCGAAGTTATTCTGCACAACAACAAAAATACGAAAGTATCAGTGCTGTGATGAATATTCAATCCGCGATTCGAGGTTTCACACAACGAAAAGCATGTTGTGAAAACATTTCATCCATCACTTCACTCCAAAGCTCAATAAGAGGTCACACAGAGCAGCGAAAGGCCAAACTTGCATTTGAAAGTATTCTTTCACTTCAAGCAAGTCTCAGAGGCAAGGGTTGCAGAGAATCCATGTTAGATGATTTGTATGATATCACTCTAAGTCAAGCCATTATGAAAGGAGTACTTTCTCGATATTCATTTACTTTTGAAGTTTTTGAAATTGTGAAATTTCAATCTCTCATCAGAGGATATCTCGAAAGAAAACGCAAGGACAAGCAACAAGAATGTATTACTACCATGCAATCATTAGCAAGAGCTTATTTAAAACAAGAATCTATTGAAGATGACAAGTATGATGTTTCAATTTCTCAATCAATCATTAGAGGATATCTCGAGAGGAAGAAATTGAAACAAGAACGTCAAGCTCTGTTGAACTATCAAGCATTGGTGAGAAGTTACTTGTCCAATCGATTCTTCAATCATATTAAGCGCATTTCTTCTACCATGCATTCTGCTGCAACTACCATTCAAAAAGTGTTTAGAGGTTTTATGGTGAGAAAATCAAATGCTGTTCAAGTGAATATCATTCGACAACGAATTCAACACTTGACAGAGAATATCGATGAACGAAAGAAACTCAAAAATCGAACTCAGAAGGCATTGGAAGTTTTATTGAAATCAAATTCTGTGAATCAAGTGATGAGTGCTTGTGCAAGCTTGGCAACGACAACGAAATGGAGTGACAATTGTTGTGAAAGTTTGGTGACGAATGGTGCTGTTCCAATACTATACACTTTTATTAAGATGTTGAACCGATCGAAACCACATATGGATTTATTGATTCACATCTTGGATATTTTACTTCATTTGACTCGAATCAAGTATTTGAATTGTTTGGTTCATGAGAAGAATGAATATTTTGACATTTTATTTGATCAGGCACAAATTTACAGAGAAAAGGAAGAGATTTTCATGAGAGCAATCACTCTCATCAAGAAGGCAGATCCAAAGCGATTGAAGAGTGTCAAAGACCATCTCTTGAAACGATGTACAAGTGTATCTCGTTTGATGGAAAGAAAATACACCACCGAGAAGAAATCTATGAAGACTGCACAGAATCACCTCAACTCTTCCGCTCTCAACTCAAGCTCTCTCAATATTTCTCTCAATGATTCAAGTATTTTGCTGAACAGAAAGCACAATACATCATCAAACAATCACAACACGTCGGGTGTAGGACGCTCGGCTGCCTCTAGCTTGGTGATTGCTTTTGAGAATATTGCTGAGCTTATTGACATGTTAAATAAATTAAAATAAAGATCTTTACTGTCTCAAAAATCCTTGTTGATGTTTGACGTCAAATGCTCGTTTGAGGAATTGACGAGAGTCGTTTCCTAATGGCAAGAATGCAGGATTTGATCTAGCAAAGAAGTTAATCTTTTCCTTCACTCTTTCGTGTTCATCAAAGAATGCAACAATAGCTTCGTCGGTCACATCCTTGGAGCTTGTGAGCTTGACAAAGTGTTGTTGAAGCAAATAAACCTCATCCAAAACGTTAGTGATGGATTTGCATTTGGCTGAAACACCAAAATACTCATGTTGAGACATGTAGGAGAGAAATTCATAGACAAAGAGTCGGATTGGATCAAGAGATCTGAAGGCTATTTTTGCAAGGCCTTCCAAACAACAGGTTCTAATTTGTGGAGTATTATACATTGTGTTTTGAATAAGCTTCAAAATAATTGATTTCATGGCAGCGTTGTGAATATCGAAAGTGTCAGGTTGCTCATAAATGATCTTTGGATCCGTAATGTTAACAGGTCCAGAATCTTCTATACTCTCTTTTTCATGTACACTTGGCTCATCACAAATCTTGTTTGCATACTCTCCCAAGAATGTCAAAATTGAAAATGCAAGTTCAGATGACTCCTTGGATCCCGTTAGACATTCATCTAAAATAGTGAACACCATACTCAAGAATCTTGTTGTAAGTTCAATTTGTCTTTGATCTTTTTGTTTTGTTGGAATGAGTTGTTTGAAGAGGGCAATCAACAAGTCTACATCAACTCTTTCAGATAAATCTATACAAATGTATGAACACAAGTTTGCAAATTCATGAAAAACAGATGGTCTGTTCTTTGAAAACTCCAACAAAGTCATCAATAATTCGTGAATGTGGAAAGGCATCCAATTTACATTGCTTTTGATTTCCATTTTGAGTCTTCTTACGACTTGAGAAACTTTGTCCAGTCTCCAGATACAAGCTTTAAATGCTTGGAATTTAACAAATGAGCAATCATGAATCAGAACAGAGTCAATCTTTTTGTACAATTTTTGGAAAATGGCATTTGCTTGTTTCATCTCTGGTGTATTTTGTGAAAGTGAAGAGTATGGGTCAGCATCAAGTATGGCTCTAAATCTCTCATAACAACGCATTAAATAATATGTAGCTCTACAGGCAGCATGAATTTGAATTTGTGGTTTGCTCTTATTCAAACTGTTGCAAATTCTGGTGACTACAAATTCAAGAGTGAGAGATTTTTCTTGATGGATGTCTTTTTCAAGGAAAAATTTAAAGTTTCTAAGTGATACTTGCTTCACAGTCTCAAAGAATATTGTCAAATCTTCATCATGAAGTAAATGTTTGAGAGTGTCAACATATTTTTGTTCGTATGGAGCATCCTCTGATTCTTCGGCTTCTTCAGAGCTAAAAACCATTGGCTTGATAATACTGGAGCAAATTCGTGCTAAATAAAATCTTGAGAAGACGTCTTGAGCATTCATGGTTGGATGTAACTCAACTTTTTTGTCATCCTTGAGCTCCTTCAGTTTTGAATAAGTGATGGCTTTGGCAGGTTTTTTCTTGTCAGTATTCACCTCAAAATGAGGAACTGAGGAACTAAATGCGAATAACGTTGGACCTGGAGCAATAGCTACCAGACCAGCAATGACGGTAGATGCATCTCTGGAGCAATGTGGAGATTTGTTTTTAGCACAAACGATTACATTCTATAAAAGTCAATAAAAGTTGACATGCCTATAATTTCCAAATACCTACCTCAAGTATTCCTTTGGTGAGGACAGGATCTGAAATACTGTTTTTCACGATTTGTAAAGCCGTTCTCAATAGGAAAAGCTTCTCCTCCTTGTCAGTATCTTTGAAGAGCTTCGAAATCAAACCCTTCTTGGCAGAAAAACTGTTTTCTTTTCCTAGATCCTTCACAACTACTTGCACCATTTCATATAAATCCTTCAAATGACTAGCAGCATCCTTTCTAGATAAGAATGAACTTCTACAAATTCTGTCGATCGTACGAAGACAATACCCTCTAACACAATTGTTCTCTGCAGACCTTGTAAACTCCGATTTTAAAGCAGTGAGTGTCTTTTCACGAAGATCTCGTGGTAAATTGATCTCGGAAAGCATGTAATGAACCAAAGCCACAACTCTTCTGTCATCCACTCCGAGCACTTTATGAAAAGAACAGCATAGTTAGTAGCGAAAAGGTGTATGTATATTGTGATGAATCACATGATTATAAAATTAAATAATAATTGTGATGATAAGTGATCGGTCAGTCATTAAATGTAAGTATTCATCAAAAATTGTCGAAAAAACATACATGTCAAAAGTCTGTTCACCAAAGTCGTCATGGTCGATGAAATTCTGTCAACATCGATGGCCAAAGAAACAGAAACATGGTATGGCAGCTTCTCATCTACCATATTTTCTGTGGCAAAATATAATGTCAATTCATCCAATACCTTTGATATTTTAGATCCATTCAGCTTTTTAGGATCCTGACTCTCGGTCATATATCCATCAAGCTCCTTGATGATTTCGAGCACTTTTCTCTGGGCAAGTTTTGCTTGGATAATTGGAGAAATAATTTTGGCATTATCATTATCCAACAAGTGTTGTTGATTACCACTCGTTAATTCAACAAACTTTTTCAATTGAACAAAGCTTGTATTTTCGGGTATCGTGGTCGGAGTGGTTGGAGTAAACATATCATTCTTTGTTGCCGTTAAATGTTGTTGAGTATTGATTCCGGAGCTCTGTTGATTTAAATCATCCATGCTATTCATACTCCTCATGGAATTGTTGTTTGATGATGATGGGAAAGGTGGAGGGAACACATTGGACTGTGAGGGAGCCACACTAGGCGTGAGCAGGTCATCATCATCAAAGTCGAGAAGGGTGTTTTGATTTTTGGGCATTTTTAACAACCTTGCATTCCTTTCGTTTGAGGTTGCGTTTGGCTAATTGGAATTGATTTGGCTCAAAGTATGATTCCGAGATCGAGCAAAACAGAATTATAACGATTTATTGTGATATGTATATTGTGATGTATATATCGCCTTTATAAGGTTAAAGGAAAATAATTTCATCCTCTTCTTCCACAACAATACAATTGTTTGAAGTTGAAAGAGGTATGTAAGGGGGAGAAAGAGGAAATGTCGTTCTACATGATAACAAACCATGAACGCTTGGAGACCTGTCAATACGAGCAGCTGAATCTGTCACTAATGGAGAATTCCATCTTCGTTGCTTTTTTCTGGAACTTGTTGATCCAATATCTGAAGGAAGTGAATGTTTGGGACTTGAGGGTTGAGACTCAAACCTCTCTTCGTACTTTAAGCTACTACTTGGAGTAGGTGGTCTATTAATCGGAGAAACAGGCTCTTTCAACTCTGATAAACAAGGATGGACATTCCTAATAAGCTCAACGGTTTCATGTTTCTCATTGAACAGTGGAGGAGCTTGTTCAATAACCTTTGATCGCTTCTCAATGTTTCGTCTTGTAGTATTTCCTCGAAGATACTTGGTAATTTTGAGTTGAAAATCCTTCTTTAAGGTGGTGGTGGAGGAATTAGAATATTGAGATGAAGATGACACGGGCTGAGAACGACAGGCAGATGCAGAGCTTTGTACCATACCGTGGCGTATGTATTCATCAAGGATTCTTCTCTGTTCAGAAAGCTGGCCTTCCAGCTTGGCTAAGTTCTCCCTTCATGAACGTTGAAAAGCTTGCAAGACGACATTTCAATGAAACGGAAAGCCTACCTTAACTTTGCATTTTCCTTCTCGAGTTTCATCTTGTCCAAAGCTATTTCACGGCATGCCCTTTCAAGGCTAGCGTTCCTAATGGCAATGGCAGAATTATTCTCCGAGTAGTTATAAGTCTTTTTCTTGTCTGATGATGTTTCAAATGTAAGCATGTTTCCCACTGATGAAAATCCGATACACTTACATGTTTCGATGCTTGTTTGCATCTCCGTAAGCTCTTTATTCTTCCGATCCAGTATCTCTTCATACTTTTTCACTTTTGCATTCAACAGATCAATCTTCTTTCCCAGCTTTTCTTCGTTAGCTTGAGAAGAGCTTCCTGATGAAAGAGACATTTTTTGAAGGCATTCTTTTCAGGATGATTTTGTGAACTTTAAAGTGTTCACAGATATACAGATGAAAAGAGTGATAATTTATTTCAATTGCTATGAAGAGTGAAGATTTAGATAGAACAGGATTGGGTAGGAGTTTGGTATTTGAGTTTTTCACGTGACATTATTGAATATTAATTAAAAAACGAATTTAAAACTTTCTTTCGGTCTTTGACCATTCCACATCCAACAACAAGTGATTCAAGATAAATCCATCAAATCTATTGATGGCTTTTTCAGCATCCTCAGGAGTGGTATAGGTGATGAGAGCAAAACCTCTGTTACGAGTTCTGTCGTTGTTCATTGGAAGATAAACTTTTGCAATTCTTCCAACGTCACCAAATAATAATCTTAAATCACTTTCTGTGGCTCCTTGGTCCAAGTTTCCAACTCGGATGGTGGTATTGACGTCGCTACGACCTGTGCTTCCAGCTCCGAGTTGTTTGTTCTTCAAGCTAGGAGGAATATAAGCACCACTGCTTGGAGCTTTGAGCTTGTCTTCGTCCTCTTGTGGTTCAGTCTCGGCTTCATCCTTGACTTCTGTGGCTTCCTTTGCAAGTTGCATTTGAATTCTGTTGAGTAATAGTTCTTGTTCATCCATCACAGTTTGTAGTGCAGTTGATTGCTTCTTGTTGGTATATTCAAAATTAATTGGTTCTCCAACAGCAGTAACTTCAGGAAGGTTTCCCGTTTGAGCAGAACCAAACTTCTTCCACTTGCGTCTTTCTTCAACGAGTGGATTGTGCTTCTTTTGAACTTTTACAGTTTTAATTTTTTTAGTAATTCTCACTTTCTTTCCGTCCTTCATCTTCTCTTCAATGATTGTTTTAATTCCGGTCTTTTTATCATCAATGATTTGGACAATGTTGCCTTCTTCCTCTTGGTCAGCCCATGATTTGCTTGCTGATGACGTGGGTGTTGTTGTGATGGTCATTTTTTTTTCAAATTCGATTTTATTTTGTTCAAAATTTTAAGTGGATTGCACGTGAACATGATGATTGTGAGCATTTTGAAATGTATCTATTCACGAAAGGATGTTATGGATGATTCTCGTTGTTGGTTGAAGAGGATTGTTTCGTTGTGCATTCTTCTTTTTCATTCATAGATTTATAGAGATCTGAGGCAGCAAATTTTTGCATCAGTTTGAAATCGGATTTAGTGACGGAGCCCATCACATCGGAACAAGCTGTAGAAGCACATTTGCCAACATTGCCTCCTTGAGAGTTAATTTGTTGAATGGCTCTAGCCAAAAATCTAGGAGCACAACAAGCCGTTCGAGACATTTTGTGGTGTTTGTTCAAAATGATGAGATATTTATGCACCAGAAAAAAAGATCAGAACGATATTATTCAAAAATTAGAACATGGATTCGGCGAAATGTTCGGCACTTGTATTTACAAATTGTTTTTGTACTTGTACATTTTTCATTTGCATGACAAATTTGAGGGAATTATTTATCTTTCTTTGATTCTTTTTCCTTATCTTCTGTCTCATTGTTGTCTTTGGTTTTTGGCGATGAGCTGCTTGCAGATGTCTGTGTGAGTCCTGGCTTTTCTTGTTTGAACAAGTATCCTTTTCCCATGAACAATAAACTTCCTCCTAACATTCCAATTCCACTTCCCACAGCTGCCGTTGTTGTCACAGCGCTATAAATATGTAATTATGATGATGAATGATAATTATGAACATCAAGCAATAAAATTGAAGAACATGTGAAACTTACCCAGCGCCAAGCTTTGCTCCAACATACATACCAATAGGCCCTCCAATAATGCCTCCTGCTAACAAGCCCAAGCTTATCATGGCAGCAGTTCCATAATAAAATTGTTGTTTTTCGCTTGGAAACGAAGATCCATTTTGTGGTGTTTGGTTTGACGAATCATTACCTGTATGATTGGTCACAGTTTCTGTCGTGATGTTGGTGGTGGTATGATTTGAAGGATCGTTATTTGCATTACTATTAGGGATTATTGAATTTGAGGAGGTGTTATTTACAGATGGGGTGGAAGAAGATTGGGATGCAAAAGTTGATTTCTTCGTTGAATCTTCCAATGTTTCAAATACAGAAACTATTTCATTTAAATCGTTTTTCAGTTCATCTAATTTGTCTGAGGTTATGTTTTCTTCATCATTCATACCATGCTGATTCAACAATTCTTGTTCGAATTCATCTTTTCTAAAGATATAATTGGACAGTTTTTTATAAACAGGCGCAAGGTAGCTCGTTTTGGACGTCTCTGGTAAATTTGCTTCGGGATACTTCGCTTCGAGCTCTTTCAGACGTTGGAACAGTTGATTTAATTCTTGCATTCGTTTCTTGTAACGTAATACGTCGAGGTTGTGATATTCCGAAATGTGAGAGTTGTGTGCGTACAACAATTCATGTAAGTCTTTGGAAAGAGATAAAGCAAATTCCTTCTCGTGTTTAATATCTTTTCGGATGAGAAGAGAGTCTTCGTTCGGTTTTCCAATAACGTCCAATAATTTCTTGATATTATTTAAACAATTTTCGTACACTTCCAGGAGTGACAAAAATTGTTCATATAATTGTTGTTCATCTAACTGATCAAATTCATCGAGATCGGACAAAGTCTCCTCCTGATGATAAGAAGGGTCGTTATTTTTGTTAATCATTTTTGTTGGAAGAATTTTTAATGGCAACAGTTCGAAAGAGAGAGTTTATTTTGCTCAAAGAAACAGCAATTTTTGCAATCCTAGCAAAGTTACGCATTTTGTGATAACTTGTGGACACATAATGCCAGACCAGTAATGAAAGAGATGAAAAAGTTTCTTGTTTCGTACAGAACAAACTCCACAGATCTTGTTCTTGAAATGATCACAACGCCATAAAATCTCTTTGTGACTTCAGGTGTTACCACTATTTTCATGGCTCTTGCTTGCTCATGGGTCATTTCCAATACCTTGATTGATACTATATCCACAAGTTTAACTCTTCTTGAGGATCGTTGATTTGATGAACTTTTTTTCTTTGTTTCAGAATCACTCCAGGTCAGCTCTTTTGACTTTGGATCCACATATGCGAATCTTTTGTGAACCTGCCCCTTTGGAGTGTTTTTATAAACATAGCATCCCACAATTATCTTTTGGATACAATCTTCTTCTAAAGAAACAAAAGGTAAAAACGCTTGGTTCGTTTTAAGGCATCTCAAAAAGTTGCCATTAAGGTCATATCTAAATGCAAACCTTCTCAGCCCATTTTCACCTATGAGCTCGAACTGGTTGACAAACAAATCCTCAAGGTTTTTGAACTTGAAAGGTTTGTTTGACATTCGCATGTTCTCTGGTGGTTGTTCATTCAAACGCTTCATCGCAGGGTCGAACTGAGGAGTTGTCTTTAGGTTAGAGAAATAATTTTCCTGATACCCAGCTAGTTTTCTTTCCATTGCCATTTGTTGAACTGTTGGCACTGGTATAGGTTCATTTTCATAAGTGAGCAAAGTCGTATGGATGTAACTATTTTGCTCCAAATCTGCCATGTTGAACACACCATTCATGAAAGAAGATGGTGCGTTGAATAATTTCCATCTCTGGTCTGGAATTCTCCATTCAGAAACACTGCCATTAAAACCAACAGAGGAAGACTCGTTAAGAGTACCCTGAAGCGTTGAGATTGGACCATTGCTAGTTTCTGATTTAAGTTCATTGATCGTCTCAAAACCGCTTGCCTTGTTGTTTGGTGGCAAAACCTTTTGTGGACTGGTTTGGTCTTGAGAAATGGTGGTTCTTTCCTCTTGAACAGTGGAGCCTTTTTCTTTCACTGCTTCACTATTAATCACTTTTTCTTCAGCTTTTTGCTTTGACGAAGAATGTGTTTCTTCCACATTTGGAGACAAGGAGAGCTTTGGTATCAGTGGTCGTTTTGGGCTCTCTATTGCAAAACTATTATCCTTTGAATTTAAATTTGATTTTGAAAGGAATTCATTCATAATGTCAACGTCAGCAGTAGTTGCCGGATCATTTTGCTGGTCGTCGTTGAACAGTTCGAGTTCGCCTACGTCAATGTTATGAACCTCCAAGTCCAAAGAACCAAGATTTTCTCGCTGTTTTCTTCTTTCCCTTATCATTTCCAAAATGTCTTCAGTTTCCTCTTCCTTGTTTGTTGACGCTTCTTTGATTAACTCCTCCCTCTCTTTTCTCTTATTTAATATTCGATCAAGCTGAGCCTGAACTTCGTCAGAATCTTCGTGATCGCTCTCTATCTCTTCGGAAAATGAAATATCCAACACCGGACTGGTGGCCCTTTGCTCTTCTTGCCGGGGTTGACCGTTTCTTGTTTGTGGAACATCAACAGGGTTGTTTGATCGTGAGTTAGAGGACACCTCTTTAATGTCCAGAGTGAATGCTTGGTTTATGGGACTATTGAGTTGAGATTTATCTTTCTTGTTGTTCAACAGTTCCTTTAAATTTAATGAGATAGGCCTTTGATTATTGGGCTGAGTGATTGGAATAAGATGGTTGGTTGATGATAGAGCTTCTTCTTCTTGCTTTCTTCCTGTGGGTTCCAGGTTTCCCGTGATTGGAGATAGAGCAGGAGAGGAAAGTCGATACTTTTCTCGGAACGATGGCTTTTGCGAACTTGCAATTGATGGTGTTTGGACAGGATCACCCGACGTTTTAAGGGATGGTTTGATCTGAACAAATGGAGGAGAGGATGGATTCATATTGAAATTGAGGAAAGATTTACGAATAACGGATAGGTGATGCAATCCTGATTTATACAGGGTAGATGTTGTTACTGAATTTTTTTAAGGCAGTCGTTAAATTAGCAAGATGGATCTGTTGTTGGTTTCAGTTTGCCCAATTATTAGAATACTTCTACCTCTTCTGTTTTCAATGAGCATGAAGAATGTATCATCAAGAAACCTTTCAAAATGAGCTGGTTTCATCCTTTCGAGATTCAAACTTGATCGTCTTCCCGCCCAAAACCGTTAAATTTCAACCAAAAAAATCAGTCCACCACCACACAACACCTCCCTGAAGCATTCGAGAATGAGTGACGCATATTTTGTTGGCCGCAAAGAATTACTCGCTTGGCTGAACGATACTTTTGGGTTCGGATTCGAGAGAATTGAACAAACATGCACCGGAGCTTGTGCCTGCCAAGTTTTTGATTGTTTATATCCTGGAGTGGTTCCTCTCGGAAAGGTCAATTTTGAAGCCAGATTTGATTATGAATATATCAAGAATTACAAGATTTTACAAGGAGTATTTACAAAGTTGAACATACCCAAAGTAATTGAGGTGAACAAACTAATCAAGGGAAAATATCAAGACAATTTAGAATTCTTGCAATGGCTTAAAAGGTTTTACGACGTTCATCACCAGGAGGGTTCCGAGTATGATGCAGTGGCAAAACGAAATGCTGCCATTAAAGAGTATAGAATGTTGAACTCAAAAGGAAGCTCATCAACTGTAAATGCAGGTTCCTCCCTGGCCTTGTCAACGACATCCTTGTCTTCAACGAACAGCAGCCGAGTCGAGCTCAACAGTACAATCTCGTCATCCATGGGCGCACCTTCCCAACGAAAACCCAATCTCAATACATCAATGACATCAACAGTTTCTTCAAAGCAAAACGTGAAGAACATCAATACAACAAGAGGCGGAAAGGCTCAACAAGAGAAAAAACCAATTACCAAACCATATGCTTCACTGCAGTTACGCATTGAAAATTTAGAAAGAGAAAGGGACTTCTACTTTCAAAAGCTCAGAGACATTGAATTGTACACACAAGCCATTGAAGACAACCCAAATGCCACGCAAGAACAATTATCATTCATGAGGGATATTCAAAAAATTTTATATGCCACGGATGAAGATTTTGTTTCTGTTGAGGATGACGAAATCATGAGCGACTCTAACAAGGAAAATATTGCCCTTGAACAATAAAAAGCAATTTTCAAAATGTGTTGGTCAAAATTGATTGTTGAATTTGTTGCTTAAATAGTGGCGCCTAAAATAATTTATTGTATTGGAACACCTGGAATGCAAATGTTTCTTGGAGTTTTCCCATCGTTCGCAATGACAGGTACAAGTAAATCAGGAGCAGATGGTATACTCGTCCCTGTTTTGACATTGTAAAACATTTGGCCCTTCGCTAACTCCTCTTGCAATATTCGCATCTTTTTCTCCTCCCATTTCTTCTTGGCTTCCTCTTGATGCTTTAGCATTCGGGTCATGGTGGCAACTTTTGTTAAGGTGAGCTTTAGGCGTTTCTTTAGGTGGTTTTGGTACTGATGGAGCTTGTGGTTTGTATGTTTTTTCTTTCTTTTGTACACTGTAGGTAGGAACTTCTTGTATCTCATTAGTTTTAATCTTGGCCTTATATCTAATTTGCTTCATGGTGTTATAAAGTTTCATCATGAGAGCTACCATTGATCGAGTTAATCGACTTGGATTTCTCTTCGTCTTGGTTTCATCATCCGCCTCTTCAATCAGAAAATTCAATTGCTCTCGAACGGCCTCTCTGTATGAAATGCCTCCGTTCTTTCGTTTTGGAGAAATTGGGCTACCTCTTGGAGATTCTGTTTGTGATTCTGCACCACCATTAGTCTTCTTTTTAGCTTTTAGTTCCTTATCTATTTTCTTATTTAAGCCAATCCAATCATTCATAAACTCTTCTTCAGAATATTTGGCATTATTGGGGCCCTTTTGGTTTGTAAAATAATTTAAGAATGTTAAAAACTTTCTCAATCGTTTGTGTGAAAAGTATACATATTCAATCAGCTTATCAGCCTCCACCAAAATGATATTAATAATATATTTGAGCTCGTCCACATCATTAACTTCCTCAATTTCACGCAAAATTTCGCTCGTTGGTTTAAACTCTTCTGTGTAACCCTTGTATAGAGAGATGGAGGATACGTCAAAGTGATCATTTCCGTCTTCCTCCTTCGCTCCCGTTGTCTCCTCACCACCATCAGCACCTGAAGAAGCATCTCCTTTTGTGAATTTGGATTTAGCAAGCCTCAGACGTTTGAGCTCTGTGTTCAGTTTTAATATTTCTGCCTCAGCCTTTTCTTTTTCCATCAGCCATTTTCTTCTCTCATTGTCCATATTTCTTTGCTCCAGTAATTCATGTCGTCTGTCTGTTTCAGAGGTTGGCTTTCTACCAGCTTGTATTCTTCTTGGATTCTCATCAACATGTTTTTCTTGAGATGCTTTGGTTATTGCTTGAAAGTCGTTAAGCGTTTTTCCCAATTCCTTATTCTCCAATTCTTCTGAGTTAACACCTTTGTCAACTAGCATGTTTCTCAATTTTTTAATTTCTTCTGTCATCTTTTGAATAACGTCGTTAGACATGCTTAGTTGTTGATTCTGCTCTTCTATTTTAACGAAATGCTGCTCTTCCATGTCCACCAATTTCTGTAACTCATACGCATCAAAGTCCTGATTTTTCATTCTGTCATTCTCCAGCCTTTTCACAGTTTTAAATAAAGTTTCTGCTGTCAGGTAAAGTCTCAACTCTGTTGGAGTAAATTTTTCCAAATCAATGGTCGTTGGAAAAAAGCCTAACTCAGATTTGTCGACCTCATAATTGTAAAAATTGTCCATAATCCATACGGGGCTAATATCTGTGCGTTTATGTTCAGGATCGTGAAATTCTTCGTCTGACAAGTTCTCAATGTCGTCAAAAGCTAAAGAGGACGTTTCTGACTCTTCGTCATCTGAGGGTTTGTCTAAAGAGTTTTTCGTTTTCATTTTTGGTTTGGTTCTGCGAGGTTCATCCTCTTCTGATTCATTCTGATATTCCTGTTGCTTTTTCTTGGTTTTCTTACTTGATGCCGCGCTTTGTTCAAACTCTGAATGGGGGGAGGGTTTTGATATATTAGTTGGAATACTCGATAAATCATATCCATCCAGGTATGTGTCTTCTGGGAGTGTCATGGTCACATTCTTTTCAAAGTCTTCTAAATCGAACTCTCCATCGCTTCTACCAGTGAGGATATACTTCAAATCAATAAGCTTACAAATATCGGGCGATTTAAGCCGACCAATTATTGCTTTCAATAAATTTTGCTGCTCGTAATACCTTTCCTTTAACTTGTCATGAAAGTCTGAATGTCGTTTATCTCTGTCCATTAAATTCTCTATCAGTTTTTCTTTATCTTGAACTCTCGATTTCAAGGTGTTCACAGAAGAATGAGCATCATCAAGCTCTGAAATAGAAGCACCAATGTCTGTCTCTATTTTCTTAAACTTTGCCGTTATCTTTTTCAAAAATTGTTTTCGTTTCTCTTCATCTTTAAAAGTTTCAGCGTTGAAGTCTAATAGGCTGAATTTCATATTCTTGTATTCCTCAAAGATGGTTTTAAGCCTATCCAGAGTTGTGACAATGCTCTCTTGTACGTCTACCAGTGGCTCCAGAACATTTTCGTTTTTCACATCAAGCATTTCTTCAATATCCATCACCTCTTCCTTATTCTCGGTAAGATTTTCTGCTTCTTCATCGTAAGACTTTATCCAGGCCATGACACCTTTCAGAATATTTGTTCTGTTATTTTGTCGTTGGTCTAAATCTTTTGTAATATCAGCAATTCTATCTCTGCTTTGATTTATAACTCCAAGTCGATCAACTTGTTCTTTGAACACCAAATCTGAAATCTCGTCAACGCTCAAAAATTCAACTTCGTTGTTCATGTTTTGTGCTCCTTCATATTCTTGCAATAATTTATCAATCCGTCCAAGACCTTGCATCATCCTTTCAGCTTTCAGCTGTCGTGCTTTAAGCAAGTCATTCATTCTTTTTTTTTTCAACTTTTTAAATTGTCCAGGTAGCATTCCTGATGCTAAGTGAGCAAGTTCTTCGTTGACTCTTTTTTCCAGCCTTTCATATTCAGATTTCGTGATCTTGTCGGACATAGGAATGTCAATATCTGCCTGGTCCAATATTTCTTGCAACATGTGTGATTTTGGTTGATATTTCGTTGCATATCTTGAATTATCATTTACAATGAGAATTTTTACAGAAGCTTTGTCGTCTAAGTCGGCGCTGTTTCCGTTCATAGAGATCTTTTGTTTGTTGTGATGGTTATGTAATCGAGGAGTCTCAATTATTCCAAAGTCTTGCTCAAACTCATCATCGAACGATCCAAAGCCCTTCTCTCTCCCAGAAGTAGGGGAAATAGAGCCTTTTTGTCTTCTATGAATATTAGTTCGTAAAATGGGTAATCCTTTCTTGTCTTCATAAAAACTTGAATTACCGGTCCTAAATGAGCTTTCAGTCAAATCATCATCTCGGAAAGAGGTTTCAATGTCCCCAATTACCGATCTATGTTTCATATTTTCAAATTGTTTTCGGATAATGGGAGAGGTATTTTCCTTATACTTGTTTAATTGCTCTCTAAGAACTGCGGGGGATGGTGATATCGATCTCTCCTCATTTGCTCTTCCATGATGATTCTTTTTATGCAACATGTATGGAGACAGCCTTCCAGATAATAGGTCAGAAGACTGCGGTCGTTGTTTCGGAAAATGAGCCACAGCTGCTGGAGTGCGAACTAAGAGGCCCTTTTGATAATGTTGAGGTTTGGTGGGATAGTGCTCCAACATGATTCGGTCTCTATCAAGCAACAGGTTTGATCCTGAGTTGTTGATATTCGAGTGGTAGTTGTTGTTGCCATGAAAATGTTGTTGATGATTCAAAAATCCCGATGCTTTTGGCTGATTGTTTGAAGTTGATGATCCTGTAGATGTGCTCGAGATGAGAGTGGGCGGCAAAGATCTCGCCGTTTGACTCATATTTTTCTTATTGAAAAGAATTTAAATATTTAAAAGGAGTCTGAGGCCATCAAAAAGTCATTTGAGAACAAGACGAAGAGCATTCTAAAATGACATTCAGTTTAAACGTTCTGGAATGTCATCATTGTTCCAAGAGTGGAGAGCTTAATTGCAATTTTAGGAACAAGAGATGTGGCTGATGCAATACTATTAAAATTTGGCGCCAAATTCTTCAGGTTTGACAACAGTCCCGAGAGATCTCAATAGTCGATCGACTCAACACACAAATTGACAAGTGTTATATTGAGAATAATAATATCAAAAATTCGTACAAATGTTTTGAATGGAACAAGTCTGTTACAATTAGGTCAATGTCCAAAAACACTGATATATGTGCTTTCTAACGTTTTCTTCTTGAAACAGTTGGAGAATTACAAGCTTCCTCAATATAGCTCTCTATAATGTCTTGTTGCCTTATATTGGAGATGAGTTTAAACGCTCCACCAAGAGGAGGAGAAGTAGGATCCTTATTGTTGTTGAAATTACTCGTGGGAGTGATCGTGTTAAGCTTTGCCAATACTTTTTGATCGATTCGAGGAGAGAATTTCAAAATTTCTGAATTGGATGGAGTAGAGGGAGTCTCGTTGGAAGATTGCAACAAGAGAGGAGACATTCTTGGACTGGTGGTTGTCATTGTTACAGAAATGCTGGTGGTTGGTGTAGCAGTTGAAACGGTGGCACTCCTTCCTTTGGTTGGGCTTCCAGGTGTCGCATCCATTTCATTCAATGTTGATGGTTTTTCAAAAAGACTGGTGGATCGACGGTGCAATCTAGGAGGTATCTCTTCTTCTTGTTGCGGTTGTTGAGGATGCTGTTCCATTGACTCTTCTTCCATTTCTCGTTTCATATCCGAAAGAACATGATCAAAGTCTTTTGGATAGTTGCCACTAATTCGAAATTGCTTGTCGTCAACTCCAATGTGAACTTCATGATGGAATTTTGCGGGATTGGGAGCCTTAATGACAATGTCACGCTTATCACGAGGTAGTTTAGGAGCTCCTTTTGGAGTTGAGGTTGGAGTGCTTGTATTTGAGACGGCTCCGTTATTGGTTGAAGAAGAATTTTCTCCATAGCCGACCAGTCCTTTAAGTTGACTAATGATGGTGGGTCGCGAAATGGATCTCTTTCTATGTGGAGTTTCTACTTCATCTGAATTATTTACATGATTCTTATTTACATTGGGTTTGAGATGATTATTTTCTAATTCTGCAGAATTGGCCAAGAGAATTGGCCGAGAGGAAATGTCATAAAGTTCAGGAGGTGATGACTGGCCACCATGATCGCCATGTTGTTGTGACTTGATATGATCGAATTCACTGCCATCCTCTCCTCCTACAGTAACCCTGAATTGATTAGAGATGTTTGAGGGTTGAATGGCAGAAGGTAATGAAGAATACATGTTTCCATCACGTGGTGTGATTGGAGTTTTTTTCTTTGGTGTGTTAATCTTTTCTTCTTTTGTGAACTCTTTGTGTTTAGGTTTTTTTGGTTTCAAATCAATGTTATCTGGCAACTTCTCCCCTAATAATGTATATGCATTATGGAGAAGAATTCTTAATTCGTCAGAGTCGTAACTTGTGGCCCTAAATTTTTGAATCCTATGCAAAATATCCGACACTTGTTTGAAATTATCCATATTCTGAACTGATTTGTATTGCTCTAGCCTTTCTTTCAATTTGGTGACAATATGTTCACACACTTGTTTCATTTGAGAGAATCGAATCATATAAGGCTGATTCAAAATTTCCTCAGCAGAAGGCCTATCTTTGTGATGTTTGTTAAGCATTTTTACAATTAGCTCGATCATTGGAATTTCTTGAGGATAACGGTTGACCATGTCATTCACTAGAGCACCCTCTTGTCTGAGAGTTACAATACGTTCCACTTGTTTGCTCTTAAGTGTCATGAGTTCGTACATTACACATCCGAGTGACCAAATATCTGTCTCTGATCCGTACTCATCATTATTTACAACCTCTGGAGACCAATATTTCATGGTACCCACTTGAGAAAACAATCCATGAGACTTGGGAATGTTTTTTGCCAGGCCAAAATCGCCCAGTACTATCTTACACGTGTGCTCTGAACATTCTTCAAGAAAAATGTTTTCAGGTTTCAAATCTCGATGAATAATTTTTCTCTTGTGAATGAAATTTAAACATGAAGCCATTTGTAAAATAAAGTCATAGATCCACTGAAAAAGGAATCACATTCAATAAATCGTATGAAATTCACTCCATTTGAAATGAAAAAACCTACGTGTATCGAAATTTTCATTTCTTTCTTTTCGTATTCTTCGATAAATTGTCTCAAATCGCCTTTTTCATAATATTTCATTGTGAACATGGCTCCAGGTTGTAAACTGGTGAGCATTTCATAATAATCATAGACTTTCATTACGCTCTCATGCTCTAGTGATTTCATTAATTTATACTCGCCATAGACATTGGGCATGACATTTCCAGAAGGTGACACAATTTTTAGAGCCATTCTTTCCCCTGAGGGACATCCGTCAAATTCCTCACGACATAAATAGACACATCCAAAACAACCTCTTCCCAGTATGCTCTCAATATGAAAGGATCTCTTAGTGTGCTTTTTCAACAATTCCTCACTCACAGTTTTTGGCTTGATGAACGGTTTTTGTGGAAGAGTATTGTTTGAAGGAGGTGATGCAACAAGTTGTGATGAATCTACAATGAGAATTCGATTCTCATAAATGTCTAAGAAAGCCTTGAGTGGTTCATCATACGGAGAATCAATCGTAGTCAAATTGGCATTCGTTGCATTGTTGGGTGTGTTGTTGTGGTTGTTGTTTGTGTTTTCATGGTTCCCATCAATCTGAGGTCTCTTTGGTTGAGAAGAAGCGTTGCTTGTTGCAAAGCAAACTTCACAACCTGTTGTTGGATCCGCAGTTGTAGGAGTACTCGTTGTTGATGAAGGAGTGCTGATGGAATTGGTACAAGCCAACAATAATTGCTGTTCGAGAGTGATTTGACTCTTTTGTGGAGGAGAGGGATTCTTCTCAATTCTTATTGTCGTTCGATTGTTGTTCGTGTTGTTCATGTTTCTGTTGTTGTTGCTGTTGAAATACAAAGTACTTGAATTGGTAGTGTCGCATGGAGAACGAATTGGAAGAGTATCGAGAGAAGGTGTTGTTGTTGTCCATGGTGAGGATGAATCCGTATGGATGCTGTTGTTGTTCATATTACCACTACTACTAGTACCACCACCACCACCACTCGTTGTGGAACAAGAAGGAGAAGAGGCTTTTACTGGAAGAGGAGGAAGAGGTTGTCTTGGAGAGATTTTCGGTACGACGACGACGACATGAGTGCCATCATCATTAGTGGTATCACCACCACTACCACTACCACTACCACGAGGATTATGTGTTGAATTCGTGATCGTCGTGGGGCTGCTACCACTAGTTGTTGTTGTTGTTGCTGGTAATGGAGGTAATGTTTTCATCGATGTTGTAGTCATGTTCCGTGGGGGTTGTGGTGGCTCATTGAAAGTCATCATGATGATGAAATCCACTTGTTGAATCTATTTGAATGTTGTTGTTGTTTCTTGTGTAATTATAGTTTGATGGAGATTATTAATGATACAAATTGATTTGATGGAATGACAAATGCTACCGAAGGAGAAGAGAATGTGTATGATTTATCCGTAACGGTGGAATAATGAACAAGAAGTGAGATTCGGTCTATTGTTGAGCTTTATCACATTGAGCCAATGAGTTTTATTCTCATATTTTTATGTTTGAATTGCATGACAGTTGAACGATGCTTTGTTAAATAAGACCCAAAGAGAAATTGGAAAGAGTAAGGAATTGAGAGAATGGTTAGAGTCTCTCTGAAAATACAACAGTGCAGAAACCGTGTTTGATGGAGTGTGAGGTTTCCAAACTTGGTTTAATAAAAAGTCTACACCCTGCGTTTATTAATAATTCATGTATGCATGGACGTGTAGAGACTTTTCGTCCTGCTTTTGCTGAGCCATCATTGCTAATATTCGCTTTGCACATGCAAGCCATTCATTCATATTAGATGAGGTGCAGCCAGAGCTCTCTAGTTTGATGCCATTCAGTAGCTGTTCATTTCACAATGAATATATAAACAGCAATCATCGCACTTGCTTATCGAAATCTGTCATCCACAAGTCCACTTCTTACAGTTATAAAAGTTGGAGAGTGGTTTGAAAATTTTTCGTTAGTAGGCTTAATGTTAGATGTGGAGAACCCAGTAGCAATAGGAGAGGTTCCAGTTGAGGATGTTTGAGACCCTGTGGATGGTGTGGATCCTCCTAAGCCACAACATCCACCTCCAGACCTTGTCACAGCAGCAGGGCTTGAAGATCGTATGGAATAAGAGCTAGAGGTTGTGGAAAGAAAATCGTCGTCAGTTGATCTTGCACCTCTATTTTGAGATGTTTGTGATGAGAATTCGTGTCTTTTTCTGTGAGATTCTACCAATTTCTTTGCGATTATCATGAACATTTCATCAATTCCTTCATTGTCTTTGGACGATGTTTCAACATAAATTGCATTAATACTTTGAGCATATTGAATCATGTCATAGAATGGATATGAAGGGTCATTATAAACACCAGTGGCTCCAAATGGATTGTCAGCTCCGTTATTCGATTCATTTACTTCGCTTATCGGAGATTGAGAGTTAGGATCATGATGTTGGGGAGGAGTTGAGCCAGTGGAGGCTGAGGTTATTGATGTATAAGACCCAGTCCTATCTGCCGATGAGATGTTATCAGATCTGTTAGATTTGTTAAGGTAGTTCTTAATAAAAGTTCTCCATTCGGATGTTTCCCTTAGTAAATCACATTTTGTGCAATTTATCACGATCAAAATGTCGTCATCAGCATGCATTTGTAGTTCTTTCACCCAATTTTTAACATTTTCTGCAGTTTGAACTCGCATGCTGTCAAAGCAAATAACAGCACATGCTGCTCCACGATAGTACATAGGCAACATTGACTTGAATCGTTCTATGAATGTAGGTAAGCTTAATACCTGAGTATTTGAAAAACATACCTTGTCCAGCAGTATCCTACAAGAATGTTGCAATGCGAAGATTGTACAAATATAAATACAATGATTTGAAAACCAATTGTGTTGACGTGACAACGTACCCATAATTGTAATGCAACAACTTCATCATTGCATAGTAATCTCTTTGTAGAAAAGGTCGCACCAATGGTTGGTGTTTGTGCTCTAAATTTGTTTGTGTTATATCTTGCAAGAAGACATGTTTTGCCCTAATGATGTTTTTCAAGTAAATTCATGATGATTTTTTTCAAATTTTTTCAAACATGGCATACATACCACGCCCGAGTCTCCAATTAGCACAACCTTGTGCATTTGTTCATTTCTAGGTTTGTACATGATTCAAACATTAAACTCCAATAATGATAACGAGTAGTTGCTTTTGCGCTTGATCGATTATAATTTAACAATCTGTTTGTGTTTGCTCCGAGATTTCCACTCCGCAACAAATCCAAACAACAAATAATCTCGCTCTCTTTCCAATATTTAAATATGAAACCACACCGTAGCAACAACGCTGTGGTCAAAGGTGATCGCGATGGAGTCCTTTGGTTCAACCGCCAATTTTTTTTCAGTGTTCCAGCGTCTTCGTTCAATTTTCCTAATCTTTAAAAAAACCGTTTATTTCTAACGATCATCATCATGAAAGAATGATTTCGGAATGATAAGCGTCAACGGGAAGGATTGAACTGCAGTATATGGCAAACGACAAGAACAGAAATTTAGCAATTTGGTCATGTTGAAAATGATGATACGATTAAGAGCAGAAGATGGTGATGATCGCTATCCACGTATGGAAGGTTGATGAGTCTGTTCTGTGCTTCCACCACACGCTCACGGATAGCTTTTTTCATTGCTCGTTCATGCTGCTTCAAAAAGAAAAGAAAAACTTTCGGCAAAGCTTTTCTCAACAAATATTAATCAACAACAAATAACAACAACAACTTCATTGTTCCAAACACGTGTTTTGATGATGATGAGAGTGATCGTGTTTAATTGTCTTTCAATTCCGAAACCAACAACCACCAAAAAAAATGACTTCAAGCTTTTGGGATTTATGGGCTGGTTGGCCTTTCGTAACGAAACATATTGGTGTTTTTGCGTTTGCCATGACTTGTGCTGTGTCCTTCAAATTTATCTCACCCTATTATTTTGTCTTGTTGTTTGATCGGATATTTAGTGTGGATATTGAATTTTGGAGACTGATTACAAGTTCTTTCTTTTTTGGAGGCTTCGGAATGAGTTTTTTGTTTGCATTCTTGATTTTTATACAATATAGTGCACAATTAGAGAAGGATAGATTTGATGGACGTGTTGCTGATTATATTTATTGTATTATTGTGGGAATAATGGCCATGAGTGTGTTTGCTTATTTCACGTCAGCTATGCTTTTATCGAGTTCTCTCATGATGTATTTGGTGTATATTTGGTGTAATTTTCATCCTGATAGCAATTTGAGATTAATGTTTGTACCTGTTGAAGTGCCAAGCAGGTATTTTCCTTTTGCACTTGCTGCTTTGCATATTGTTTTGGGAGGAGGAATGGAGACACTTATTGAGGATGGTATTGGAATATTGTGCGGACACATTTATTACTTTTTAGAGGAAAAGTATCCACAAGAATATGGCTCAAGGTTATTGACAACTCCTTCAATTCTTTATTGGATATTCCCACCAAACACAATGCCACAAGTCCATGGCGTTCATGGCAATATTCAACGACAACCTCCACCACCAGAGAGAGGAGGATTTCAAGGCAGAGGAAGAGTTCTGGGCCACAATTAAGCGAGGCTAAATTCATGATCCTGATCTGTTGAAGTTTTTGTATAAACATGATTTTTCATCAGCTGAACATTATTGTGTAGCCTAGGGATGATTGGAGCAATAGTGACGCTTTTATTAAGTACCGAAACGCTTTCTGTCAATCACAGGTGGCAACAATTCCTCCGTATGAATTTTGTAATCAAAGCAAGCCATCAATAATTCATCGGTGTTCACATGTGCAAAACCCACCATATCTTCAGATTTACCTTTTCTGCTCGATAACACGTAATCTTTGATTTGATAAGTGTTAGTATTCATAATAAAACATCGATTAAGGGATGTGATAAAGAAGTGGTCTGGAGATATTTGATGGATTGAAGTAATGGTGGACTGATTCAATTTTTCCGAGGGAAAGTTAAGAGGAGACACCATGGTACGACGTCTGTCAGCTTCAAATACGGTAATAGTATTGGGAGAAGTGAGAGAATAGAACGAAGAGCATTTGGAGTTGCATCTATCAAGAAAGTCCAACTTGTATAAGAATCCGTTATGAGTTGGCAATTCTACTTCAAAGTGCACCTTATTCTTTTGTGAAGATAAATCTTCCACTCGATAGGTCATGAAGACATTTCCTTTAGAAACTACTATATACTTTTCGTTGGCAATTAGACCGTTAATGGAGTTCGAAAATAGGGCAAAAGGTGAGTCAGATCTTTCTAAATTTGTGTCAATCTTGGTGGAGAGTTGAACCGATGAAATGAGCGTTTCATTCTCAACATCAAAAATTTGCATGGTGGAACAATCTCTGGCAACAACGACCACATATTGATTTCCAGCAAAAGCAGCATAGTGGCCAGGCGTAATACCATACTCAGGCTCAGATAAATTGAGCTTCTTTTCTAATGTGACAGCATGGGAGGACTCTTCGTATTTTAGCTTGATTAAATAGGTGGAATCAATAGAGCTCACACAGATGTATTTACCATTTGGTGAAATTTCTGACCTAGAGCTGTACCAATTTCCCTTACTCTTCACTTTTAACTGCATGAGTATAGATGCAGGTTCATCCAAACTCACACGTCTATATTCAACTGTTGGTTCTGGTAAATGTAAGAGGGTAAGAGTATTTGCCATGTTGTCGAAGAGAGCAACTCTTCTTTCGTGAGCCACTTTCAAAACATCTCTATTTGGCTTAATCCTGAGTCTGTCAAAGATTTTGTCTTTCAAATCTTGTTGTCTGTAAAATATTTCCGTCTTCATTCTCAAAATGGCACTGTTGAGCCCACCAAAGTAAAGTGTCTTTTCTTTTTCACAATAAATAATGTCACACAAATCATGGAGAGATGGTCTTTTTCGAATCACAAAAACGTATTTCTTTCCAACTTCCTTATACATAGCAATGCTACCATCCACTCCAGTCGAATAAATAATTCCAGGTTTTTCAATACAGATCTTCAAAACGTCTCCAGTGTGTCCCTTGATGGAGTTAACAATAGCTCCTAGAACATAGTCACAAAAGTGAATATTTCCTTCTGAATCTCCAACAACAATCATTCTATCGTTGAGAATTTCCATACACCAGCAAAAAGAATTCTTTAAATTAATCTTATAGATCAGAGTTCTCTTGTTCAAATCGAAACAGAACACTCCAGTCATACCACCAACTAGAATCTTATTTCCATTATCAATGAACTTTGTTGTCAACATTCTGTGACTATTCTGACAGTGTGCATACTTTTTACCACTTGGTGGTTCATTGGTTCGAGCTGGAGCCAAAAAGAACTTGAGGCTCAAATCTTCTTCCTGAATGAGCCTAACAGCTCCATCCTCACAAGCAATTGCAATAAGATTCTTTTCCTCACAATAATCCATGGCCCATATGGCGCCTCCAAGAACAGCTGTCGAAATTCTCTTTGGAATTTGCTTCTCCAAATCCCATTCAGTAATCATACCATGCAAACCAGCAGTAAATAATTGATTATTCTTTGTCCAAATCATCGCTTCCACAGTAGTGCCAATCTTTCCTGGAATTCTTTTAATAAGAGCGCAATTCTCGCTCGGAGTCATGTTTCTCGTTTTTTCAGAACTATTACTTGTTCCTCGATTGAAAACAGAGTTATCAAGAGACCAAATTTCAATTTCACTATTAAATCGAGCAACTGCTAACATGGTCTGTCCAGGATTCAAACAAAGTCTCTTGATGGGAGAAATATGAATGTTTTTCGTTACATTCAACGCATCCACCAAGAAGGAATGTTTTTGTTGATGACGATTCTCTTCCGATACTTTCTTTTTCTTGTTCCGACTCTCAAAAGTATCTTTCTCTTGTTCCGATTCGTCCATGAGAGTTTGTGGTTGTTCAGAGTCATCCTCCTGCTCCCCCTCTTCATGATAGGAGACTCCTTCTTGTTCATCATCATTCTGATGATTTTCCTCCTGAGAGATAATTGAAGCCTTTTCTTCTTCCTCTCGTTCCAATTGTTCATGTTTTCTCTTTTTCAACGCAATCATTATTTCTTCATCCTTCTTCTTCTTTTTATGGGTTGCTAACGAGGATGAAGAGTTCGATGATGAAGTTTTTGAGGAAGAAACTTTTTTCTTCATTTTTTTTGATGAATTGAATTTTCCAAAGTTTGAGAATTGAACACAAAATTTTAATGACATTCATGAAGATGATTGAGATAGACTCTTTTGTATGTACATATTTAGGACAGAGGAGACAGTATTAAACCTAGTAGTGTAGTTAGTAGTGAATTGGTGGTTATTGTTGAGGTTGTTGAGAAAATATTGCAATATTTTGACCAATACTATTAATCCACATCAGAAACAGAGCCACAAATTTTGGAAAGTAATAATAAATTTCCTCGTGAGATTCGACTTCGTGAATCATGATGTTTCTTATCTTGTAAATTCTGTATGATGGCAGTGGCGAGATGAGTGAGTGCCATTTTGCATTCATCTTTATCTTCTACATCAATTTCAAGATAGGTCACTATTTGCTTTTCTTTCCATTTATCAATCACACTAATGACTTGTGAGGTATCGACCACACTTGGTTTACGATTCGAATGACTGTACGTTCCCAACACGAGTGAGGGTTTTGTGAAATCGGGAACATTAATGTATTTTTCGGAAATGATTTGTTTGAGTTCGTTCCATCCATCATTGTGTGTAATGTTAAAGAGAAAGAGCATTCCATGACAATCTTTGGCTTCATCTGTGTTGAATGAATGAATGTGAATGAATAGGTGCGAATGGGTGTGAATGGATGCGAATGTGTGGGTGTATGAGTGAGTGAATGAATGGGTGTGAATGGATCGTGTCGTGTCGTGTCGTCATGGAATCAAATCAAATAATATCCATCAATGAATGAACGGCAAAATTAAAAGTCAGAGAAAGATATATTATGACCAGAAATGGGTCGATTCAAAGTGTCATCATCATTGGTGTCCAATAGTTTTTACAATTGTTGTGAAAATTGTGAAAAACATACCTTTCAAAAAATCCATCAAATACCAATTAAATTGCGAATAAAAATTGAAACTAAAAGTCACCTTCTCACTGGTATTCTTCAAAATAAAGCTCACTTGTCGATTTGCAGTGTACATGTGTCCTCCTGCAGTTTTTAACATGGTATTGACAAGACAATGATCCAAATCTCCAATACAAATGATATACAATTCATAATGTCGAGTAATTTCTGTTGGTGGAGAATATCCATTATCTGAAAGTGAATCATCAATCACTGAATTCTTTCGACAAGATTCTGCAGTGGATGTTTGTGGATTATTAAAATAATAATTTCCTTGTTGAGATCCTAATTTTTCAGATCCATAAAAAGCAGCTCCTCGTTGAAAGGGGTCAGATGTTGATTTGGGAACTGGAAAAGTAATTTCTGAAGCACTCGTTTGAGCACTATTCACTTCCATTCCAAAATCAATGAGTGAATAATCATCATTTTCTAAGGCTTGTCTAAATTTCAAATACGAAGAATCTTGATGTGGAGAATTCGAAGAAGATAAATTCAATGTTGCTGAACTATTGGCAAGTGTGGGTGAACTCGTTGGAGATGACAACTTGACATTCGATGTAGACACTACATGGTTTCCATTCACAGTTGTTGTCACATTAGGAGGATGTGAAGAGGTGTTGCTGTTGCTTGATTGCATGGATGTCACTTTGACGAGTCCACCACCACTACTACCACCAAGTGATGATTCTTGTTGTTGTGGAGATGCTTTTAAATTTGAAAGAGTTGCAATTTTTCGATAGGGATTGGTTGGAGGAATTAATTCTGGCAATTCTTGTGAACCTCTCTTATGTACAAAATAAGGTTGAATGCTGAGAGTATTCCTTCGTTTATCCATGAGAGCTTGAGATCGAGGAGTGAGAACCATTGAATTTGAACTGTTTGAGTAATGCATGGCGGAGGTGTTGGTGGTGGTGGTGGGCATTGGAAGGATATTAAAAGGTTGCTGTGTGGTGATGTTGTTGTTGGAGGAGGAAGATGGATGAGAGGAAGAAGAAGAAGTTGATGAATAAAGCTGTTGTTCATGTTGTTGTTGTAGTTGTGGTGATTCGGAGGAAGGTGACGACTGTTCTTCATGATGGAAATGTTGAGACACAGGTGGTGGAATCATTTCTTCATTTTCTTGATCGTTTATCTTGTCAACATGTTGTTCTGTTTGTTCATTACTAGTAGTAGTAGTAGTGAAGGATGTTGGTAGTACGACTTGGTGAAATACTTGTTGTTGGATTGCATTTTGATTCCATTCCATCATTTTCTGTTCATGGACCTTACATCGATGATTGATGAAATTATTGGATTTCTCAATCATGGATAAAGATGACGATGATTGCACGAATGCAGAAGGATGATGATGATTCGAAGAAGGAGTGGTTGTGGTCGAAGGTAATGTGTCCACTGGTTCTATGGTTGTTGTGGTTGCTGTTGTGGTGAGTTCTAGTTCGGATAAACGTTCCAACAACAAGGTCGAAGAATCATCGGAATCGATAATAGGCAAGTGATGAGTGGTTGATGTTTCTTTCTCATGATGATCCATTGTCTTGAATGTTAATAATTGAAATTCACAAAAATTAATTGTTGGTGTTGAATGAAGAGTAATTGTTGGTGTTGAAAGGTTCGTTATCCACAACAGCAACACAAAGTTTCGAATGAATTTTTTCAGTTTTATTTTTATAAGTGGTGTCACTTGTCTTGGCCAAATTTGATTCCAACTCGCTCCAAAAAAACATCACATTTGCAGCAACGATGATCTCCTCCTACCTTATGATTCCATCTTTTTGCAGCATTGCTGTAATCTGCACTCATATATTTTGGTTTCATGGTGAACTTAATTCCGTCATACTCAAAGCTGAATTTTGCAAGCTGTATATATTGTTTTTGGAGTATTTTAGAGACAATACTAACATTCTCTTTGGTTTCTGAACACCATACATAGAGAAGGGCAAGAGATTTTGTAACAAAATCATAACCCTCACTATTGAACATAGGAAGTAAGAATTCTTTTAAATGTGGACAACAAGGGTTGCCACATTTAATTAATGATGAGTCTACCTTGACATTACAAGATAGAGGTTTGGATGAATATGAAAATGGAGCTGAAATACTTCATGTTACAAAAGGAATTTCTACTAGTATGTTCACATTATTTAAAAAGGAAGAAAACTTTCAAGAAGAAAATTGTTTTGCAGCCTTTGATGAATACATAAGGCATAATGCTCAGTCTGGAACAATGTCGAATGGTGATTGGAGAATGGCATTTTGTAATTTTGAAAAATGCATTCTTCCTTTCATTATTCAAGCTCCAGAAAATGCAGAATTAATATTGTTACTCTGGAGAGACATTGTGAGATATCTATATACGAAAAAAACTCATACATTAACGGAGAACCAAGAGTTTTGTGTGAAAGTTTTTGTGTTTGGTTGTCTTGCTGTCAATCGTTGGGGTAAAAATATTGCTGGATTACACTTTCATGAACTTTGGATTCATATAAGTCAGTTGATTTGGCAAGTTAACTTGTATTATCTCTCCTCTGAAAAAGATGAGTAGAATTTCTCTAAGGAAAAACGTATTGCCAAACACAATTCCAACCATCAACCAGAAAAAGCAGTTCTTGAAATAATTAGAAAGACTGTTCTTGGTGATGTTGTGAGAGAGAGTTTTCAAAACACCTCTAGCACACACAAGTCACAAATTGAAAAGCTTTTGAAAGATGTTCCCTTAATTCCAAGCGTCATCCCAAAGGCCTTATTAACACATCAACAATATTCACAATGGGTTCCCTTGTTTGAAGCTACTATTTTAAAGTCCAATTATTCCTCTTTCCAAAAATTTGAGTTCAATGGTCATATTATTCATACACAAGGAGCTGCTGTCACTGAAAAATTAGAAAAATTATTTGAGAAATGTATTTTGTTGAAACCTACAACACTAAAAGGAAAGAGCAAATGTCCTAATTGTAAATCCACAGAACATATTTCTGAAGAATGTGTTATTGGTTGTTGTAGTAACTGTTGTGAAGAAGCAAGTTGTGCTTTTCACATCAAACAAAAGAAGAAAAGTCTGGAACGACTCAACAAGCAAGCAGAAAAACTCAATTCCGTTATTAATTCCAGTCAGTCTCAAACTCAAGCAAATGCAACACAAGATGTATCCACTCCATCACAATCACTTCCTCCAACACAATTAGCACAAGTAATGAATCCTCCGATTATTGAACAGAAGAAAACATGTGCCAATCCTGGTTGCCATCTGGTGAAAGTGTCAGGTAAATGTAAATACAAAATGTGTAAAAAGTGTTGCGATAAGTGTAATGTTGATTGTATTTATCATATCAAGCAAGGGAAGAGTAAACCTATTGCTGGCACTTCATCCGAGAAGCAAATGTAGTCGTTCATCACAGCAAATAAAAACCGCTGAATCATTCGAGGCTTTTTTTTTGAATATTTTATTGTGATTTTGTTGTTTGCTGGTTTGTGTGACCTGGAGCCGCACAACAAGACATACAAAAATCGAGATTTTTTTTGTTGGAAATTGTTCTTGTGTTTGCTCGAGCAACCCGGTAAAAAAATTCTTCTATCCACTCGAAAACTTCTGCGAAACCTCCCTTCGTCTCACAGCTGCGCCTTCGACTCAGGTCGGAAGTGTTCCGCATCATTTTCCTCGTGGCAGAATAACAATCGAATCATCTCAACTCCAATGACTTGGGTGGTAACTTTGTATAAGGTGACCAATGATTGACAATCTTGACCGTTTTTTGTTTTAATCTCTTGTAATTTTGCATTCGAATGGAACGTGTAAGATGAGAAAGTTTGGAAATTTCTGTAAGGATGTGCGTCAATAAATTGGGACCTCCATCGTTGCGATCAATAATGCCTTGAAGTGTTCGAGAGTTAGAGTCCAGTATGATTGGAGAACCCAAATATCCTGACTTATTATAAATTAATTGCAATTCAGGTTCTAACGAGTTATGTAACACTTCCTTGACATGATTCATTTCGTCATTGTGTAGAGAGGCAAAATCGATCAGAAAACAGAGAATTTTCAATCCAGAGCTGTAACATTTGTAAAGTGTGTCAGAAAGTAGTGATATTAATGAAAGAGAAGAGTGTGATGTTTCATAGCAATTCAAAGTGTTAAATTCATAATACAGAGAAGGATCGATATAAATAACTCCAAAATGTGAAAAGCAAGTCAACATGGAAGTATGTGAAGCGAGAGTAAATGTAAATATTTTCCCATTTGAATGTTTCATATTAAATACTGTCCTCCTAGCAATCACTTTCGTGTAGAATTTTTTGTACAGAAAATCTAAAGAATGAAGGTTTTGGTTGTTTCTCTTGAAATAATAATTGTACCATTGTAATCCTTCATTTTCACACTTGTCTTTCCAAAATTGGGGTTGTGATAAAATTTGATAAAGTCTTGAACCACTCAACATGACAGATTGAAGCGTTTGATTATCCACAAATTGAAAAATTAATTGAAGAATTTCATCGCTTAGCTCATTTAAAGCATTCAACAGGCCTGACATCTCCGAATGGTCTTGATTCCAAAAGTCATGATGATGATCCGATCGGACACATAATGAAAGGATGTCATGATTGTCCTCTTCCAGCTCTGAATTATTCCATTCATGATTCGAATCATTGATCACGGAATGACTCTTCTCGATGACTCGATCATGACATGATTTCATTGTTTCCTCTGAAAGATGTCTCACAAATTCACTCATACCATCCACTCCATTCATCAATCGCTCGCAATAGGAAATCATTAATTGATTCATTTCATTCTCGCTCACAAATTTACAATTCTTCTTTTCATCATGACATAACATTGGAGGTTGAATGACTGAAACCAACACCACCCCGCCACGATCGGCATTTAAATTCATTTTTTTTTGTAATTGTCAATCAAACGTTCAATAAATTTTTTTGTAATAACTGTTTTTAAAAAGTATTTAACTTTTTTTGAGTTTTGGATTTATTTGAAATTCCCAACGATTGGCTATTATTGCAATATGAATTTAAAATTTCCATTAGGAATGTACAATTAGTTAGGGTGATCAGTGTCAATCGTCATCATCATGATGATTGTTTACATCAGGCAAATGATTAATTTACAAATTCATTTCTTCTTCCTTCTTTGGTGATTTCGTTGAATCATGACTATTATTTTGATCACCACCACTAAAACTACTACCATTATTCACATTAGAAATTGGAGCATTATTCACGCTATTACTACCACTACAACTACTAATTAATGGATTACTACTACTTGAATTCATCATTCTTTTTCTTCGTAATCGCTCCTGAAAGAGAGGTGTATCAAAGGCTCCACAGGAAATTCCAATGCGTCCCGTGCTTGCAAAATCTCCAGCGAGTAAAACGGGTTTCAACTTGTTTTGAGAAGAAGAAGAAGAGGAAGACTCTGACATGGTGAGAGGGGATTTATAGGTAATAATATTTAATAATAATATTTAATAATAATATTTAATAATAATATATAATAATTATATGATTGAAAGTGAGAACTGTGTTTTTCTTTTTGTGTTGTTGAAATGATCAAGGCGTTTGAAAGATCTTTTTATGTCTTGTTCATTTCTAGAGTTGAACCACGAGGTCAAGTGCAAGTGAAAATAGTTCGTGTTGGAAATTGATCGTTGGTTCCGAGTTCCATTTAAGGGAAATGTACTCCTTAGTATTGTTTTGCTATGTCTGGAAATAATGAGAATTTTAAAAAAGTCCCACCAGATCATATTGAAGGTTCCATCAATGAGAGGATCAAAGAGTCACCATTAAATTCGCATTATATTTCCGCTTTTTTCACAGATTATTGACGCCTCACGCTTTTGACAGCTGCCAAATGTCATTGATACAAAAAAATGTCGTCCACAGCATCAACAACGAGTTATCACGACACATCCAGTGCTCATTCTCACAACACAACGACTGCTTCCTCATCCCAACAACAACAACAACCAACCACTATGAGATCGCGACGATTTGCCACCAAACCCACCGTCATTAAACTCCAACAACAACAACCCTCATCTCATACCTCATCACCCACCTTGACACCCAATGAAAGTAGTAATGGCGATGAAGAGATACATGTGGTGGTATCACCATCACCTGTCGCAACGATCCACAACAACAACAACAACAACATATCGAATGGATCTGTGAAATCACCAACCATTGATGAATCACCAACAACAAGTGGCGGTAGTTCCAATGATCATATACGTTCGAACACAATTACTCCTACTTCCGCTACTTGTACTACTCTCAGTACAACATTTCATTGGAATCACAACATTGGTTCAATGGCTTCTTCTGCTGGAGAGACATCACCTTGTCTGGAATTTTCTCCTACGACCTCCAACACCACTTGCTCATTGAATTGCTTTCGAATAGGTGTTCCTTACATTGTGGTGAGTTCTAATAAGGTCAAGTATGAATTGGTGTTGTGTGTGAGAGATCGAAAAAATGTTCCACCTCTCTCGTGTCAAAAACGATATTCCGATATTTTGAAATTTCACCAACGTCTCTCAAAAATCATGAAAATGTCTCGAGAATTACAAAATTTATTTCCAAGTAAGATTGGATTTATGGTGGTTTCTAAAAATTCAGCGTCACGAAAACGAAAAGCAGCCTTTGAGAAATATTTTGAATTATTGGTTGAAGAAATTTTCACACAATTTTCACAATCACTTTCCAAGGAATGGATTCATCAAATTATTACCATTCTATTAGAAGAATTATTTGAAATTCAATTCATTGAAGATGTTTTGAACACTTTGAGAAAACCAACAACTAGTGGAACAACAACATCGAGTGATCATGTGTTTAAGGAACTTGAATCTGACGTTGCGAAATCTCTCAATTTGTCATTATCATTGAAACAAATGACAAAAGGTACTGTTTTTGCGTATTTGAATCCTCACACATCACGGATGTATGAACAAATTACAGAAAATTCCTCAAATTGTAAGATTAACACAATTTCTGACATGGTTCAAAATCAGGTGAATGTGTTGCATGTATTTTGTGCTGATCGAGCAAAACAAGAAGAATTTGGAATTCCAGTGATCGCCAATTCGACAGATGGTCAAGACGAAGATCGAGAAATTCAAAATACAGAATATCAAATTTTAAAACTGAATTTAAATCGTCATCGTGACATGAGATTGTCACTCGATGGCATTCTTCAATCCATGGTTTCAGCTGCAGATGTACATATTACTCTCAAAAATTATTACTTAAAGTTAGAATTTGAGGAACTGCTGTTCAAAGATCCAATCTTAAAACAAATACTGGAGAAGGGAGAAAAATGTAAAACAGAATTTCTTGAAGATGGACTAAAACAAGTTTTTGTTCATTCAATTTTTGATGAAAGTTCAGGAAACAAGTCCTCTTTCAACGATGGGGACGTTCAACAAGTGAAAAAGATGTTAGAAACTCTCTCTGCACTCTCAAAGCAAGCAAAAGAACTCGACATGAAGTATTCAATTTTGTTCACTCAACTTTTGAAAGCAGTCACCTCGGTAGACAAGCAATTAATTCAAAAAACTGTCGAACAAATTAATCTTAAATCACAAACCATTTCTTCAATTAATGAGAAATTAACAGAAGGTCTCAAATATTGGTATCAATTTATGGATCAAAAAACGAGTAAGGTGATTACAGAAAAGGAAGGTTTTCATCACGACCTAATTCTCGTATTTTTACTTCCTCTCTGTTTTAGTGTTGTGAGTTACAAGATTTCATGTGTTCCGCAAGTTTTGAAACTATTTTTTGGCCTTCGATGTGAGAGTGTGACCACAGAAATTGAGTTAATGACTGAAAATGATTTTTACACACTTGGAACTACATCAAACAAGGAAGAAGAACATGCATCCTCCGTCACTGCTCTTAACAGCCAGGCCACAAATTCCTCCTCTTCGCCATTATCTACAACCAATTCTCCTTCAACTCCTGACAACAAGAAAAAACAAAAGAAGACGGGTAATGATGAAGAACAACTCACTCTTCCTAAGTCACTCTTTGGAACGAACGTCATTCATGCTATCAAGGTTATGACACTTTTGTGTGAATCTCAATATTCACCCTTCTCGTATTGTGTCGAATTTTTAAAGAAATTATGGAATACTATTATCAGTGAAAGTAGTAAGGCAGTGGATGACTGGAGAAACGTACATTATGTATTGCATGAGGAAGAAAGAAAACTCACAAGACTATTCTTGAGCTTTGAAGACGACTCGGCGGTTGATGATTTCTTTAATATTCAAGAATTAACAAAACAGAAATTAGAGAGAGTGGCCATGAAATTGAAATTATCTTCAGAATGTTTTAATATTTCACATAATGAGTAATAATGTTAATAATAATGTACTCCAATAATTAAGGTGATCAGTGCAGACTTTCAATCTTTATATAATTAAGAATCTCCTTAATCGTTCCTCAAATTTCCAAATAAGCATGCTCCAACATATCGTACATGAATAATCTGAAATGTATAAAAATCGCAGAATATTATATCCACAGAATGGAATAATAACTATTAAGGAGTAATTTTGAATGAAAAACTAGCATGACATTTACTTTTGAGATTGTTGCCTTTCTCGATGCTTCTCTTTGAGAGCCGTGTAGATGCAGTATTCTGTTTGATCCAACATTTCCATACAAAGTTCTTCATTGTTCGCCAATCGACTCGGCAATCGAATGTTCATTCTTGTGAAATATTCTCCTGTGGTGTCTCTGTGGTCAGGATTTGCTAAAGTATTGAGGGCATAATAAGCTGCCTTGTCAGGAGATGTTATCTGTTTAAATCGTCGCAAAAACGTCATGAGGTTATTCTTTGCATCCTCTTCGCTATATCTATGGAAGTTAGTATTGAGTGACAAACTGCCTACAGGATCCAAAGCATTGACATGTATCTGGTAGCTCTCCAACCTTTCTGCCATCTCCAGCATGACTAGTATTGCTGCTAATTTTGAATAAGCATATTGTTTGTTGGGTTGATATTCTTTTGGATCATTCCAATGTCGTTCCAACAAAAATGTCTCATCTCGTGGGTAGTGATGTATCTTAGAAGAAATAAATAATATTTTCGAAGGTTCTCCATAATCTCTAACTCCTCTTCTTAATAAAGGGACTAGTTGAGTGGTTAAATAATAAGGGCTTAATAAATTAACCTGGTAAGTTTCCTCAAATCCATCGACAGTTCTTTTAAATTCAGGAAGTAAACCAATTCCTGCATTGTTCACTAGTGCATGCAAATTGGAATGTTTTGCTTGATATTCTTGTGCAAAATTTCTGACACTATCAAAACTCGTCAATTCCAATTGCATCGTTTCAAATACACCAGGATTCTTTGGTTTCGTTTTTTCTAAATGTTCCCGAACAGAATCCAAAGTAGGTTTACTTTTTTCTGTACTCCGCACTGTTCCAATAACATGTCCATTCAATTGAGTTAATAATTTTGATAAAGCTAATCCATATCCACTCGAGCTTCCAGTGACTATAAATTTCTTCCGTTGTAAATCAAATTCATAACTCATTAATTGTCGGATCGTGAGAGATTGAGGAGGTTTTCGTGTAAGCCTTTTGATAGTGTTTCCCATTTTCAAGAATATTCAACAATTATTAATTCCGATAATAGTTATAATAGTTGTAATAAATTGTTGAAAAATCAATTCCGAAGACAAATAATGATGTGATGATGATTGGTTAAAATCTTCTTCTCAGGTATCCTTTAACACCCCAGCAAACAAATAGAAATATTCCAAACAACGGAATTGTTCTTTTCTTTTGCAATTAGTTGAAACCCAACGATTGATGAAGGAAATGGCCGCACCAATCAAAATGATTTGCTGTCGGAATTTTTTCAACCATATTTCTAAAGTGAAAGAATTTTGAAATTGGCTTTAACGTTTGATACTGAATTTGCATGAACCATGGTGGGGAGAGCTTTTCTCAATTTAATGTTCGACTTTTGCCAATATAGACGTTTCAGGTGTTGCTTAACTTTTATGAAAATCTTGAGATGGTCAACTCTAAAAAAATGGCCCCAAACAAAAACGCAATTTTTCCTTCCTCTGACAATTCGTCATCACCCGTTATTTCTTCAACGGATGATGATGAAAGGACCTCATTGATTCCAAAGAAGAAAAATCGAGTTGTTGCAGCAACAATTACAGAGGAAAATAATTCTCCTCGATCGATTTATAGAATGAAAAAAAACGATCAGGATGTGGTTGAGAAGGTTTCAACATTATCGGTTGTTAATCCAATGATTGATACAAGCATTGTTTGCCTGTTTGTGGTGAAATTTGATTTAAAAATTGGTTATCAGATTGAACATCAAATGCAGAACTCGGCCAATCCTATTAATTTGAACGGAATTGAGTATAAATGTCTTCCGAGTGGAACCCACAAATTGGATACTGATACGGTGTTGTTTAGACATGTACATGACAATAGGGAATATTTTGGATTGGCTTGTGTTGATATTTTCAGATCAAAAGATTTAGATCGAGGGTCTAGAATTCGATCCCTCGGAATACTCTCTCCTGATTATAGAGGAGTCATGACTCATACTACCTTTTTGAGAAATTGTATTCAAGGAATGAACGCTTGTGACAATAGTGAAGACAGTCGACAATTTATCCATAATTTAACGGAATATTTCCAGAATCATGATTCAAACTCAAAAATCAACCAACGACGACTCTCAGAAATTACAAAAGAAGAAATTGAAAATCACCTCAATTTTGGGTCCCTAATATCTCTCTTTTATTTCTACAGAGAGAATATATTTACATTGTGGAAAGCATTACTTTTGAAAAAGAGAATATTAATTTCAACATCAGTTCCTATTGGATCTGGCTGCTCTAAAGTACATGCCATCCACTTTTTAACCTATTTTGCCCCTCAACAAGCATATTCGTACATTGAAAACCATTTTGGAAGAAATATTAATTTCTGCTATTACATTTCCTTAAACGACTACTCACACTTACTTCAGATGAAAAGCTATTTAGCATGTACATGTGACGAAATTTTGGAATCGAAGCCTGAATGTTACGATGTTCTTTTAAAAGACCGACAAGTCGTCATTCCAGACAAGATTTTGAAACAAACATTAAAGAAGTCTGAAAGTGACGAAGAAAAGTCGAAACTGCTGGATACTTTACTCAGCCAAATTGCTCATCTTCCAAGAATGGAACAAGAAGCTATTTTTCGAAAATACTTTGCCTTTATTAACAATCAAACCATCTTATTTCTGGGTAGTCAGGACAAGAGAGCCCAAGTGAATAAGCGAGTCATGTCAGCAGAGAGAAAAAGCGGAACCCTTCCTCTGTGGGGTGATGATATTTATTTTGTGAAGGAACTCGCCGAATTGATTGGGTTGGATATAGAATTCACAACGTCAAGTTCGTTCTGTTGTTGTTAAAGACAAAGGTGCACCACCCATCGTTTGGATGTCCACCACAGAAAGGAACAATCTCATTAGATAGTTGTGATGCATGGTGATTGATGAAACATGAACAGAGTGAACAACAACAAGAACACTATTTGCAAGTTCTGCCCTCATCATACGAAGATTCTACTATATGTTTCTAGAATATATATCCTCTTTCTGGATTTGCCCGAAAACAAAAAATTGAAGCACAACAGCAACATAATGTTAAGCCTCCAAAAGATTCTATCAAGGTTTACGGATGAAGAATTTTGTGAGCTCTTCAAACCAATCAATAATGGCCAGCATCGATTATTGAGAATATCTTTACTTGAAATTGAAAGATTTTTCTTTATCGAATTTCAGTGTGAATTTAGAGATTACGCTTTTTATACCTACTATTATCATTTTAATGTTGATGATCGATCTTTGAACATGGCATTCACAGACTATGAAGATTGTGTCTTGTGTTGGGATGATCGATGGAAGTGGATTGGTAAACAAATAGAAAGAGGATGCTCCAACGATTCTGTATTGAATATCAAATACTTGGACGATGTACAAGTCAAACACAGTAATGCAATTACACGGCGAAATGTCATGGAATTATTGAAAACACCATTCATTCAGATGAACTCGAGAATTGGAGATTTCATCGTGGTGATCGTGATGGACCATTAAAATGATCACTCTCTCTGTCAGAGAACCATTCACCTCTTCTCTCTCGCTTACCCAGTGTGTGCTACACAACGACAATGAATCCCACCCTGAGAGAGTAGAAGGACGACAGAGTTGTGGATCCATCCTTTTCTCTCTCTCTCGCTCTCTCTCGCGACCTCTGCACACATTCGCCAATAGAGCGAATACCTAAAAAAATAATTTTGATCCTCTCGCTCTCGTGAATTAAGGCTTTTGTGTGTGGATTCGATTCAGGAAGGAAATCAGAGGTTCATCACTGTTGATTAAGGTCTTCCTCTATCACTGTTATTTTGATAGAATTACATCCGGATTGGTTTTACGTAAAGTGCGCACTCGTTGAGAATTATAATGAACAATGAAAAAATTAATTTTGAATATGAAGCCAGTACGATGAATGATGAAACGGATCGGAACAGCGATGACCTTGGTTCAGTTGTTGAAGAAGGCGAATGGAACGAGGAAAATGAATGTACTGTCATTAGAACATGTCCGTTCTGTATGAAAAATTTCGTGATGAGCATGATGGCATTTCATGTGAGAAGTTGTTTGCAATTATGGGATTCTCTTCATGCAAATAACGCATCCAATGAGAAAAAGAGAAGTTTAGAGAATAATGATTCATCCTCGAATACTTATTTAAACAGAATCCATCCCTTTCATCCCATGCAAACGACCCAAGTCGATCATGCATGTAAGAAACAGAAGAACGTGCATCAGACAACACCAACTAGTAGAAAACTGTCCAATGACATTTTATTCTATGTTGCACAGTTTTTAGAACCCGAATTCGTTATTGGTGTTTGTATGAGAGTTTCAAAAGAATGGTATGATGTGATGTCCAGAGTACCTTTATCTCTAAGTTTTGACAATAGAACCATTCAAAGATTGAAATCTATTCATTCGTCAAGCATTATCGTTACAGATTTGGACTTGTCCTATGTCCCAGTGGACAGGGAGCACATTCAAATAATTGCAAATCAAAGTGTTATGAAAAATTTAACCAAGCTAAATTTATGTTGCACCAAAATCAATACACTCTTCCTAACAACGATAATATCAAGTGACAATTTAAAAAATTTGAGAATTTTGAATTTAAGCGGAAACAAACTTGAAGGAGAGGCTATTGAAATAATTGCAAACAACGAATTAGTAAGCAATTTACAAGAATTATTAGCAGGATCCAATTCAATCGGATCCCTTGGAGCTCAGGCCATTTCAGAAAGCAATTGTATGAAGCATCTCACCTCTTTACACTTGAATAATGCATCCATTGACGAAAAGGGAGTTGAGTATTTAACTGACAGTGAATATATGAAAAACCTAACAAAATTGGACCTGAGTGAAAATGCATGCAAAGATGAAGCAGTGGCCCTAATATCAGAGAGCCCATTTATGAGCAACCTTCAAACCTTAATATTGAAAAATAATAAGATTACTAAGGAAGGAGCAGAGATGATATCTGAGAGCAGTTTCTTAACTAAATTGACAGAATTAAACTTGTCAAGCAATTGGATTGGAGATGAAGGACTGATGGCACTTGTATCCAGCGATAACATGAATAACATACGAACTCTTATTTTGACCAATACCAACATTAGCTGCAAAGGCATTAAAGCTCTTATTGATCCTGAGACCAGCATGAGGAATATAACGGCCTTAAATTTAGGAACCAACAATATTGGCAATGACGGGGTTCTGTCAATTGCCTATAGTGATGTGCTGCAGTACCTGACCAAACTAGAGCTATTTGGAAACAACATTGAGAACGAAGGGGTAAAACACCTTTCCAAAAGCAAGTACATGCAAAGACTACGATATTTGGACCTGTGTAACAATAACATTACCGCGGCTGGTGTGGTATCATTGGCTACAAGTTTCTCCATGAAAAATTTGCGATATCTGAACTTGGATGACAACTCAATAGGATGTGAAGGCCTTATATCAATTGCTTCAAGCCATTGCTTGAAGAATTTAGTCACTCTCAGTTTGGAGGGATGTATGATTGGCAACGACGGAGTTATTTCCTTAGCCAAAAGCTCGTGCATGCAGAATCTTAAATCTCTTAGATTGCATAACAACAATATAAGCACAGCTGCTGCCTCTGCATTAGCTTCAAGCAAATATCTTACGAACTTGATCGAATTGAATGTTCAATGTAATAATATTGGAATCAAGGGAATTTGGGAAATTGCCACGAGTCCCTATTTGCAAAATTTGCAACAGTTGCACTTGGAAGGAAATAACATTACAGAAAAGAAGGAAGTGGAATTGTTTTTAAGAGAGCACTTAAAGAAAGTCAATGATGTGTTATTGTAAGACAACTATATCACCCACCTTAATATATGTAAAATGATACAGCCTTTAATATCTCTACTATTTACAAGGTTGGTTTCTCACGACATTTATGCGAACATTCATAAGGATGTGACTCCTGACCTTCCAATTTTCTCTTTCTGTCAGATGACTCTGAAATGTCAATATATGTCATTTCCATCATCTCATTCGAATAGTATGGCGAATAACAAGGTGTATTACAAGCAGGGGATATCGGACAATAGACACGCTCTAACTTTCCCAGTACCACGACATAATCCATCTTGTTGTGAAATCCATATTTCTTTCTCAACTCATCCAGCTCCGCTCTTTCCATATGCAAGAACAAACACTTTTCATATTCCACATAATTAGGGGCGAACGTCACCAATCCAGCGAATCTAAAATTGATTTTTCTTTTCTTGTCTTGAGGATGCAATTCAAAGAGTAGAAAACTTCCAATGTTCTGAACTATTTCATCTGGTAGATATTCGGCAAATTTGGATCTCTTGAAATAAGTGAACATTAACAAGTGTTGAGCTTTGTTCTCTCTCGCTTCGTCAGTAATGTCCTTTGTGTATCCATCAGTGAGAGGGTTGCCATATTTGTAAACGATATCAAGCGGAGACAAGGATGAGCTTGTCTTTGTGCGCAATCCAAAGTAGCTCACTTTCTTGTCCAACTCAAAAAATCCTCTCTGCCATTCGAGATGACTGATCACTGTGAAATGAGTCGGTAAGGTGAATAACTTGTCGGAGGAAATTGTGAATAAATACGGCAAAGTATTCACATCGTAATAGGCCAGAAGAGGTTTTAACAGAAGGTCGATATTTTGTGAATCACGACAAAGCTTCTTCAATGTAGAATGCACTTGAACGTAAACATGTCCCCAATTCGTTTCGGAGAGACAAGGATCGCGTTGACAGAGCAGTCCCCATGTTCGAACTTGTTGATCAATCTTTTGTTTCAATTCATCGGGTACAGAATACGTCACACAGGCGTGGCTTGTCTCCAATTCAGAGCAATAATAGGGTGATGTTGGAGAGTAGAAGCAAGACATTTTTTGTTTAGTCTGCAAGTTTCATATTTCACAATCTTCACCTTATCATTTGGCAAAGGTCTTGATACGTTACAGTTTGACGGAAGGATCAATAAAAGCCAACACATCACTGCTCAATATTTCTTTTGTGGTTGACAAAGGACATGACTATTAAAATAAAAGAAATAAGAATATTGATATTTTTACTACCAACACTGTCACGATTCTAGAATTTGCTTAAGAACTTATCAGCAGCATTTTGGAGACGGCTTGTTTTTTTGTCCTTGTCCAAACGTTCTCTTCTGCCTTGTTTTGCCAATTTTCTTCTGTCCCTGCAGCAACAACAGAAAATACAGAAACCAACAATGACACCAGTGATGCACAAAAGGAAAAGAATTACCAAGGAAACAACAACACCAATCACAACTGCATTTTCAGCAAGAAGGGTAAGCATGTAAAAAGGATCAAGATTACAAGTTCCAGAGTCTTTTTCAGCATATGGATTGTAAACGTAGGACTTTGGATTAGTGCATGCCACAACACACTTGTCACCAGAGCAAGCAAGACGGTATTTAATGGATCCGTCATCGTAAGGTGGGCCGAAGGTGACTCTTTTGAGGGTTGGCTAATATTAATGTTTCAGTTCAAATAAATCTTGATGAAATAATGATGATAATGAATACTTACGTAAATGAAAGGCACAGGTGTACCAATGGATGCTTTTGCAATATCTGCTTTCAAAGGATCAGTGGTTGGAACGTATTGATTGGCTTTGTGAAGTACGGGATCTAAAAAGGAGAGCATCTTTTGTCGAACATCTGTTACAGAATCTTCAAACTTTTCAGCCAAATTCGATCTTCTTCCGGCCTTGCACCACCCAGGATTGACAACATTGCTGCAAACACCACTAGTTGGATAATTATCAAACTTTGTGCCTGCGTCGGTGAAAAATCTTTTACAGGTAGTTTCAAAGTTGGAAGGTGCGTTTGAGCAGTCGCAAGTAGACAAAACGTCTTTGCAGATGTCTAAGGCGACGAAGTGTTGATTACAAGAAGACAGCTTAGAAAAAAGTTTTCCTAGATAGGGTGTCATGCATGTAAGAGTAGCAACATTTTCCTTGACTGAGAGAGGTTTTGTGTCGCAAGTGTTTCCTGCTTCATCCACAACACATAAACCCGAAGTTTCAGCACAACAGAATCCACTACAAGCTTTTCCCATTTCTCCAAGATATGTCAGCAACTCATTGCTAATACATGAAACATATCCATACTTAGGGAATGCATTAGCACAGTATGCAAATTTCATTCTCTCGAAGCACTGATCACAAATAGGGCTTCCCAAACTAGTTAAATAAGATTTCGTTTCATCAAATAAAGCTAATTGATGATATCATCAATTAATGAATGACGATGAAAACAACCCGAACGCATACTTACTTTTAAGGTAGTTGTCCATATACTCGGCATAGGTGGTGGTTGAATTTTGAACATGCTTGATAAAGAAAGCCTTATCCGTGAACTTTCCGTTCATCATGGAACAAAACGAAAGACCTTGAATTTCAACCGTATCGCAATACATGGTACTATCCTTTCCACTCAATACTCCATTACAGTCTGCTTTCACCCATCCGTTTCTAAACCCCAATAGAACGAGAGAGATCATCATCAAATTCCAACCCACCAGCACTGTAAACCTTTGGAGGCGGGCACTGTTCGTCTTGCTTCTACCAATGAGATTCATCGTTTTTAAAAAAGCCTTAAAATATTTTTTTTGATTTTTATAATTGAGGACACCAATTGGATTCCAATTTGAGGAAATTCGAGTCTTCTTTTCGGGCATAAAAGTAACCAATAATGCACGCAGCAGACATGACTGATCATCATTGCTTCAGTAGGTTCTTCTTGGTGTGTCCTATTTTTCTCAATTTGTTGTTGAATTGAATGCTTTTTGAAATGGAACGGAATGATATTAAAAAAATGGATACAGCCGGAATTGTTGAATTTGATGGATATGTGATTCATGGGAGTGAAAATTCTACAGATCGTGATGTATTGTATTATTTACTAGATCCAAAACCATTTCCTTCATTTCAACAGTGTTCTGAATTTTGTAGAACTGTAAAGATTGCTGCTGATGATAATGAAAAGTCAAAATCAGTAAATTCATCTTTTCGGAATGGTGGTGATGATGACCCTCACGGACGGAAGGCAGTGGAAAATTCATCTTGTGTGGAAGAAAATAGAAATATATGTCTCATCAAAGATGGATATATTGTGCAAATTTATAAAGGAAATGAGGATGAGACCAACAATGCTCTTCTTAGAACTTATCCTTTGCATTTGAAAGAGCAACGATTTGAAAATCCTGTTAAGCATTCAATGGAACGAGTGTGTATTTTGAAAATTGTTAGATCATGTAGAGCATTGTTAACATGGTTTACTAAACACAAACAGCATCGATTGACAATTAAGAATTCGTTACGATCCTGTGATTTTAACGAATACTTGAAAACTTTGAAAAATGTGGTTGATATTTCCGATCCAGAATTTTTCAAATTAATCAGCAACAAAGATTCAATTAAGAGTTTGGCCTTTCAACTTGGTCAAACGATTGCACTGATTCGTGGAATCGAAATTTACACCAAGAATGAAATTTCAGAAATGTTTCCTGACCTTGCAGACATGTTAATGAGAAGAGAATTCACTGAAAAAACATTTGATATTCTTAACAAGCACAAGAATGAGCTACTTTCTCATTTAACTTGTGTTAAAAGTTTCAAGATTGCAAACAGTTCGTGGAATATTTTCTTCTGTGACACAAATGAACCGTCATTTAATGATGAACTTTTATTATGTCAGCAGGTAAGTCAAGAAAATACTTCTATTTCTCGTATTGACACAAAAACGAACAGCTGAATGGAATTGTGATTGACATGAAAGTTGGAGTTGAATTTTGTATATATTTTCCTTTCTGTTCCAGAAGCCTCCTTATGAATGCTGGATCCAGTTGTTCGATGTTCGCTTTCTCTCATTCCTTATTTACAAATGAGCACTCTAACAGTGAGCAGATCTATTGTTGGATGTGTAAAGATTATATGAACAACAACTTTGAGAATCACTTCGACGAATTTTTAACCACACATAGCCTTGCAAAAGAGGACCTACTTGAAACTATAAGGAAAGAAATCGTCAAGAACAAGCAATATGATTTAGTATTTGACATTTCGTCTGGTGTTCGTGTGATCGGGCAGAGACAAAAATTGAGCCACAAAATAGCAATCGATTAAGCTCAATAAGCTAGAGTTAAATAATTCGAAATGATTTATTGAGTTGTGACAATGAAAATTTACATGGAGAGAGCAATATTGCTTTAGAATTTAGATGAAAGCCACTGGAATGATTAAATTTGTTTAGAATTTTGGAATAAATTTCAGTATTAACATACCTGGAATCCTTCTCCGTAACCCATTTGATTCACTATGCTGCACATGAAAATTTCCAATGGACGGCGACCATCTTTTTCAATACCATGTTGCTTTCCTGTTAATAATCCGTCAATTCTCAATTGGTAAGCTAATTGAGTATCGTTGACAGCACCAGGCTTGTCGATTTTGTTTCCCAAAATTAAGAATGGAACCTTTTGTAAGTCTTCGAATTGTAGAAGTCCCTATTTTTCCGATCACAATAAAGGAATTATAAGCAAAGAAATTGGAAGATGATGAAAGTACATACGTGTAATTCTTTGCTAGCTTCTGGGAAACGTCCTGCATCAGCTGCATCAACCAAGAAGACTACAGCACTAACATCTGATGTAAAGTAATCCTTCCACAATCTTCTGGCTATATGTTTCGTAATGATATGAATCACGCCGGTGAGAACAAATTCAATATAATATAGCACAATATTTACCTAACTCGTGACCACCAAGATCAATAGTCTTAAAGTTAATATTACCCATTGTGAGCTCTTCGACGTCTGTTGATACGGTAAAATCATCATAGGATTAATAGTTTTTTTGGAATTCAAATGCAAGCAACAACGGAGAATTTAAAAGAGAAGATCAACATGTCGAAAGTAAACAGGATACCACGACGGGAAGAGTTGATGATGTATTGGATCGATAGTTCGAACATTAAAAGTTGTAAGTAGGAGTGAACGTTGATGATGTAGTACAATAAAGAGCAATAATATTTTCATACAACAAAATCCAGAGCAAGAATATAATCACTCAAATTCTAACAACAACTCACTAATATTTTGAACACTACTTACTTGGATGTTGAGTGGGTGAGTAGGTTCCAAGCTTTTCACTCTTCAACATGTGCAATAGCGTTGTCTTACCAGCATTATCCAGACCTAAAAACAAAATCTTTCCAGACTTTTGGTACAATCCAAGAGCACTCAAAATTGACCAGAACCAATCAAAAAGAAACATGATGAATATCCGATGTATTATGCTGTATGATGATGATGATAGGGGTACCAATCCAAAGAAGAAACAGCTGTTCAAATGTGCGACACAATTTCTTTGAGAATTTCCACCGAATCGTTTGAAATTTTTTTTTCAACTGCTGCTTCGGACGTGGCGTTGAGTCATCTGCATTCCGAAACTGGTTATGAGTTACTCATGAATCGAAATTCATCATCAGCATCATCATCATTGATCAACAACGACACCCTTTCATTCTCACAGACACACACTCGTGCACGTGTGAAAGTGGCCTCATCACCATGAATGTGTGTGCACAAAGAGGGAGTTGTAATTTTTGAGAATGAGCTTTGAAAGTCTGGTTTCCAATTAGATTTGAAAGTCTGGTTTCCAATTAGAGAAAGGTTTTTCGAGGAACATCGTTAAGGCAAGAAATAATATGATGATGTAAATGCAAGAATTAGTTTATGATCATCATTATTAGGAGAGTAAATCATAGAATGGGTAGAAAAAAACCAACACCTCATGAACGATCATAGGGTGGTTGTTCTTAATTAAGAAATAACGAGTTTTTTGGAAATTAAAAAATGCTGAACGAACCACAAACAAATTCTCTCAACAAAAACAACAACATTTCGGAAGATGCAACGCCCGAGGCTGAAAAAAGCAATATCAGAAGCAAGTCCGAATAAACAAGATACCTCATCATCATCCTTTGAAAATAATCGTTTGATGGAAGTGGAAAACATCATCGTTCCGATACAAGGAGACTCCTCATCGAAGACTGAAACTTTGAAACAGGGTGAAGTGGATTTGCCTTTGGATGATGAAACGAGAGAACGAGTGGAAGAAATTTTGGGTGCCACTGCAATTGTTCTTCTCATCAAAGGAGATGCCGAAAGGCCATTTTGTAAATTCTCCAAAAAGATTGTTTCTTTGTTGATAAGTAGAGGAATTTCATTTTCATCATTTGATGTGAAGTCTTTGGATCAATCTGACGAGAAACAAAAAGCATTATATATGGGATTTAAAAAGTATGGAAATTTCCCAACATTCCCTCAATTATATGTGAACAAAGAGCTAGTGGGGGGTTTAGACGTGTGTACCACCCTAGATGAGGAGAACGAACTAATTAAATCAATTACGAGCTTACTACCTAGTGATGATAGCGATCTAAAAAGGCAGTCATGGCTCTCATCAGATATTTCAGATAGTGAATGGTTGAAAACTAAGAATGCTCAAACGGAATCTTTAGAAAATGAATTTGTGCAAGTTAATATCAGATATGTTAATGGAAATATTCATCAAATAATTCTCAAAACAACAGATACAGTAGAGAGGCTTTACGAATACGTTCTTAATAATTTTTCACAATTTGATTCTCAATTTAAGAAACCATTTTTGATAGCCTATCCTGGATTAGGGAAGAAAGTTTTGGATAGAAACTACTTGAACACAACTCTGAGAGAATGTTTCTCAACAGAAGAGTTCGAGCATGAATTGATGAAACGAAGAAACTCTCCATACCTAAAAATTATTCCACTAGCAATTTTCTATCTTCCTAGCTCTACAATAGTTCCTCCAAAGACACAAAGACACAGCATTGATGGAAGCATGTCGTTGCTGTTTGCACAACTATTCAAATCAATCATAACTTTGATTCTCAAAAAACCAATTGATTTACTAAGAACAGTATGGGAAAAGGTTAAATGGTGGTGAATCGTTTGAAGTATTGCTATTCGATAATTTATATATTCGAACAACTTTTGTAAACCTAGATTTTTACCGTATCCAATCAGGCAACAATTTTGTGAAATAGATTTTGGTTGGTTGTTTTTTAGGGAATTGATGTATGTAAAAAATATCACACATGTCACTCACCATCAACGACTTCCTGATGAAATTTTCTTTCATCAAATATACGCATTCTTGGCTCATCAAGATTATGAGTTTGACCGTTCAGTAAAATTTTGGTTCTTCACGACTGCTTCTCTAATTTCAAAACGATTTTACACACTCTCATTAAAACTCCCCTTCAAAGGAACGATTTATTTAAAGACAACAATCCATGTGGATTCATTTCTAAAATTCTGCCAAGCAGGAAGAGCTTGTTCATTTAGAAAACTTTCAATTTCTTGTTCAGATCATAATTTTGAACTCAACAACCAAATGTTAGAACAATTATTGAGCTCAAAATTCCGCTCTCTCAAAACTCTTGATCTTGGAGTGGGTGCACAATCTTGGGATTATTGTAGGCGAGCATTTGGACTGGAAGGGCGCAGAGTTATAACAAGACAAATGGTTCAAACAAACTGTCCTCATCTGGAAAAATTGAATTTCATTAGTAATCAAATTGGACTTGATGGATGTGAGGAATTAGGAAAAATTGGTGCATTGAAACACTTAAAAAGTCTTCGTTTGGATAATTGTGAAATTTCTGATGAAGCTTGTATGCATTTAGGAAATTTATCAAATTTAACAACTTTAGGTCTCTATCGAAATTCCATTGGAGATGAAGGATGTAAATTTCTATCGAACGGAAATTTACCAAAACTGAAACGTTTGTTCTTGTCTCACAATAAGATTGGCAACGAAGGTTGTAAACATTTAGGAATGAATTCGAAAAATTTACCTGAACTTGAAGAATTGACATTACTACACAATACGATTAATGACGAAGGATGCAAATATCTTTCAGAGCTTTCCAATCTGACAAGTTTATCCGTCGGAGATGACTGTAGCAATGATTCATGCATGTACTTTACAAAAAAACTCCATCGATTGAAACGTGTGAACATGTCGACGAGCACAAAGATTGATGGCTCTGGATTCACACGACTCATGACTCAGTTATCACAACTTACAAGTTTGGATCTTTCAAAGAGTAAGGTGAATGATGACGACATTGCATCCATTCACCTTGATTACTTCAAGAAGATTGAAACATTGAAATTAAGATATTGCACACACATTACCGATCAGACAAGTCAATACTTGATCGAACATGCACAATATTTTACCAATTTGAAAGTACTTTATGCCTCTGAAATTAGTAATGAACAAAAGATGACACTTCGAAGCAAATTCCCTGATTTGTATTTCGATCATTTGCCCAGACGAGTCTATCCCTTCATGTATTTCAATGTTCATGAATAAATAAATAAATGAATGAATGAATAACAACAACAACCACTCATCATTTCAACCTTAATCTCAATGAAGAACAATTATCTTAATACAATTATTTGAAATACCTTCGAAAGAGAATCATGGGATTCATGAGTGCTTTGATCGTTGTTGTTGTCATTCAACAAGTAATTACTTTATGAGGATATTATTTGTATTTCAGGTGTCGATATTCCTTCAAAACACTCATCTTTCCAGTTTCATAATATTTAGCCATTTCATATGAATAATTCTTATTTGTCCACTTTTCAAGTTCCTTCTCTGTCTCACTATCTGTACTATCTTCATCAAAGATTGTTTTTCGATCCTCTCTTTGCAATTGCTTCTTTTTTCTGTTTTTCATTCCATGAAACAATTACCATGATTCGAACATGATATATTTGATATATTCGTACGTTACATATCAATATAATATTTAAATGCAATGAATATTTAGTATGTCAATATTTAGTATGAAAGAATAGAAACAATATGCAACCATAGATCCCATTAGAATTCCATCTCTATTCAACAACAACACTCACCTTTTAACCACATGAGAAGGTCTTGCTTTACACCATTCTTCAAATTTATCTTTCTGAATTCTCTCCTTAACATTTTCTTTTGACACTTGTCGTGCCTCCAAATAATCCATAAAATCCTTTCGATACGTCTGACATTTCATTCCTTGTTTCGAGATGATTCTCTCTGTTGGTTCTCCATCAAATTGAAAATTCAAACTTTTTCGTTTTTTTGAATCTCTTCGAGCAGATAAGTATAACTGTTCCAGTGGATCGATAATCCAATGGTTGTTGTTCTTGCTCTTGTTTCGATGTGATGGTTGTTGTGAATCTGGTAGATGATTGTAATAGTAGTTACTGTTCGTTTGTGAAATCAAAGATCGGAGTTGTTTCCGATGGGATCGACGGTTCTGAATGAGCTGTTGAGGCTTTGATTCTCCAGAACAATAGAAACAACAATAATACTTGTCTGTTCCAGTTTGATTGTAACTTCTGGTCATGGATGATGAGAATGATGATGAGAATGATGAAGAGAATGATGAAGAGAATGATGATGAGAATGATGAAGAGAATGATGAAGAGAATGATGATGAGAATGAGGAGGATTGAAAAAGATGTTGACAGTGCGAGTGTTGGAAGGAGTGTTTGGGTGTTTGGAATTGAGACTTTTTTCGATCCAATCATGAGGATGATGAAAGAAAAGCTTTAAGTTCGCGTTGTTGTTGTTGTTGTTGTTGTTGTTGATTCTTCAAATTCGTATTTCAGGTTTTCATTTCTTGAGAAATAATTCAATGACATGATGGGGAAACGTTTCATCATCATTATTCACTTCAAATTGTTGACATGGGTCATGTTGTTGTTAAAATCTAGAGAAAGAGGATAAAAGAGTGAATGGGTTGTTGCATATGAGTACTCACTCGCGCAGGTGTGACCACACTTTGAAAGAAGGTGCTGATTTCTAAATTTGTCATTTTCAACATCAAAAAAAATTCTCTCTCTCTCTTGTCACACACACACACTCAAGGAGCACGGCTCGCTCGACCTTTCGTTGAAGAAATTCCATCTCGCCGCCTCATTCTCACACATCAACAAGATTCAAATTGTTGACAACGGGATCGACGCACGATTCACAACAACGACCATCCTCTTTTCCACATTATTGACACACACGAGTCAATCCAATTCTTGTTTGATCAAATCTCTCTTGTGAATAGTTATACAACAACAATAGCATCATCATCATTGAAACGACTCATTCATTGATAGCAACATCATATTATGAAAATTTCATCCTTTTTTAAAAAGAAAAAGAGTGTTGGTCCTATTGAATCAACAACGACTCTATCTCAAGGACCACAAGGAGGAGGTCTCTCTCGATCTTCTTCTTCTCCTCAAAATCAATCTTCTCCTGCCATGATGATCGGAAATTCACGTCGACGTGAACAACCACCACAACCACACTCTTCACATAGCACTTCTTGTTCGATGTTAAAATCCACAAGTGAAACCTATCCCAATTCAAAAATCTTTGGATATCCTCTTCCTGAAGATGTGAATGATATTCCAAAATTTGTCTATCAATCGATCACTTATTTAACACAAAATGGATTAAATGAAGAAGGAATATTTAGAATTTCAACTTCAAAAGATAGTTTGGATAAAGTGATTAGTGAATTAGAACATGATGTTAACATGGACGTGAATTTTGATAAATATGGAGTACATTTGGCAGCTGCATTGTTAAAGATTTATTTTAGAGAGTTGAGTGATCCTTTATTGACATTTGACTGTTATGCAATGTTTATTGCTGCTGAGAGAATTCCAGATGATGAAGCTCGATTAGATACCATTAAGAAGGTGGTCAAGTTTTTACCACCTAATTATTATACTACTTTGAAAATGTTGTGTGAATTTTTGCATTTAGTAAGCCAAAATTCAAAGGTGAACAAAATGACAGCTGACAATTTGGCCATTGTCTTTGCACCGAATATTTTGAGAGAACGAGGAGAATTAGATGTCATGGATTTAATGAGACATTCTAAATGGATTAATCATTTAACAAAAACATTAATTGAAAATACGGATTATATTTTTGGAATGGGAAGTCCAAGAAGATCTGTCACAAGCACGTCAACGACCATTTCCTCTTCTTCTAATCAATCAACAAATAATACTCGATCATCACTTTCGACCACAAACAGTAATACCAACATCACAACAAGTCAATCAATGGATGAAGAAGATTCAAAAATCATTCTACAGCTCGCTCATATGAGACAAACTCAAGAATCCAACGATGAACAAGAAAGAACGCTTAGAAGAAGACAAACACTTGAAAGAAGATCATTTCTCTCAAATACAGAACGAAAGAAAACCATTGCCAAAATGTCACAAACCATTCTTTTGGAAAGTATTGTGAATTCCAACAATAACAACCAACAAATAGATAGTTCCACAAATTCTCCGGCAACTCCTGGAACGAACTCTCCTCTGAGCTTCTCCTCCGCTCTTAATCAAGACCGAACTGACTCTCCATTGGAAGAGAATTCTATCGTTTCTTCATCACCACCCGTTGCAGCGTCTCCCACAAGAAAACAATTTATATCTTCAACTCTCTCATCAGAGGACAATACTTCTCCAAGAATTGGATTTGAACATTCCTCAACAACACCAACCAATCCCTCGAGTCCAACAGATGTGAAAACTACTGTCTCAACATTTTCAAAGAACGATTCTACAAGTGGCCACTCAACCATTGTGACTGCCAACTCGACTCCAACGAAAAAATCACACGCCGTTGTGAAAAAGAATAGTTCTTTAATTTCAGAATTGAAAAAGGCAGTTCAAAAATACTTGTGTTCCTGCAATTTGTTTGGAATTGATGTGGAAGCTCAACTCTCTCAAGAAACAAACACTGTACATGTAATATTATCTGGCTTAATTATTAGTGACACTTCCTGTGACATTATTGAAACAATAACAAGACTTGGAAAAGTTTCATATTTCGATCCCTTGGATGCAGTATTTAATGACGTTGTTCCAAAAATTGCAAAACATTTAGGACGTGAATTTAAGGTTAAAGTTCAATTCGACAATCTTCATGAATATGATCTAATGTTAGATGAATGTCCAGAAATAATGTTAATTACATGTCTGCATTCCATTGCCAAATATTTTTATGAAAATTGTGATGATCCAAAATTGGATGATCAATTCTTTGTGGATTGGATTTTAACCATTTTCCCAACCATGACCTATTATCCCTATTATCACATGATTCTCTATTGTCTACTCATTCGACAATGTTACAAAGAAAAAGACTATGACAAGTTGTCAAACATTTTAAAAACTTCTGATCAACATCCATTCAGCAGAGACAAAATTTCACTCATTCATCATCACAACATTGAAAAACCACTCAACTATGAAAAACGAGCATTTCTCATCAGCAAATTAATGGGAGGCAAAAATCCATTTTTCACAAATTACAACAAACAAATTGAGTTTGCCAAACATTTTGGATTTATTGTCACAGAAGTGTTGATGCGTGATTGTGTCTCAGAAAATCCGCTCACACTCTTTGAACGATTTACACTACAAACAGATATTGCTTCGATTGCTCGAGTTCGAACTTTTGATAATAATGAAAGTGTCTTGTTTGATGCGATTCGAGTTCCAGATTTGGCAATTATTGAATTTCTTGTTGAGGAATGTCAAGTCGATGTGAATGCAGTGAATGATGATGGAATTTCTCCACTTACTCTTGTAAGAATTTTATATAATGGAATGGAAAAGGAAGAACTTGAAGATTATCTCACCTTTGTTGGAGCTAAAGAAATTAAACCTCAGAGCATTGACATTTTGACACATGACATGTGGAGACACATTTTCACTTTTTTGGACTTGAAAGAAATTGCCACATGGTGCAGAGTATCTAAAAACTTTTATGGCCTCAATGTCATTGATAATGAAAAATTATGGATGGATATTTATCAAAGAATTCAAACTGTAGAAACAGTTGCTTTTAATCCATTTCCAAAATTGTCACAAATTTTACAAAATCGTGAATGTCATCTCAGTTGGAGATGTTTATCAGAACTTAAATATGAATTTAGATCAGAAGATATCACCTATTTTATTTTTAATGAAAAAGATAAGAAACACAAGGAAATTCTTGCCACAAACACTGTGCTCATGTCCAATCCTCCAAAAATAGAAAGTTCAGACTTTATCTCATTACTGCAATTTGTGTTTAGTGAATGCAATTTAGATGATTCAATGATCTTCATGCATGATCGAATGAAGGCAACTAAAAAGTCAGAAAAGACCATGTTAAAGTTTATTGAGGAAAATATTCCACCACGACATGTGACACAACTTACCAAATTTGTATATACAATTCAAAATATTTCAGTGAAGAGAGAAATGTTTAAGGAACGAGTACCAAGTGCATCGATTTTATATTATTCGGTCATGGTTGATAACTATTGGTTTGTGATGGCCTATAATACCCGACACAAGTTTATTGGAGTGATTATTGTGGCATCTGACAATCAGATTGAATAAATGACAAGTACTACGTTTTTAGAGTGATATTTACTAGGAACATCTCGATCATGAAATCTCCATTAGATGATTATGCAACTGACCAAACTAACCGAACCAATGGTTAGAGGATTCTTTTGACCAATTTCTTCTTGAGGGACGCGAGTGGAGTGCAAAAAAGACCAAAACGGAAAGATGGCTTACTTGAAAGTTGTGGATGAATATTTTTGAAGCAACAAGTGAATGAGGTATCTATTATTACATGCATTCGAGGGGTGCAGCGAATATTGAATGATTTGTGCCATTTCCATTCGCTTATCACTACTTCTTTCCACTTCCAATTGTAATTGCTGTAATTCGAACGGAGACATGTTTTTTGGAGGTAAAACTTTGGTTTCTAATGGTTGTTGCTGTTTTTTTGTGTTTCCAAAGGGCATGATGACGGTTGGTATGGATGCTTTTTTCTTCATTGATCGATGTTGAAGCAACATACAAACATCAATCAACAGTTGTTTCAATTTGAATAAACATCTTCAAACATCATAACAAAACCAATAACCACCAAACAAGGAAGGATTTCAAATTCATTTTTATTTATTTGGCAAAACCGTGACAAGTGGTTGCAAGTACTTCAAGCATGTAATTATTGCATCTCATCACTCGTTTTGACTGGAGTCCTTTTTAGCAAATTCATAAGAAGACAAATAGGTACTATCGGTCACTTCTTCCAAAACGTAAGGACTGAGGAATGAAGGAAGTGTAACTTCTTGACCAGCGACAGCTTCAACACTCAAAATAAAGGTTCCTTTTCCTTTTCCATTAAGGTAATGATTCAGTTCAAAGTAGTGATTCTTGTACACAAAACTATAAATCTTCTTTGAGATTGGAATTCTACTCTTGTCAGCAGATGATGCAAGGTTGACGTAGGTTCTCGCTGAAATTGGTCGAGCAGAAATTGTTTCAAATCCATCATCTGTTGTAGTAGTTGAGTGGTAAGAGTAGGTAAAAACTCCATTTTGACCTCTCTTTACAATTCTGATAATGTCTTTGTCGTTACTTGTTGGCAGGAAAATTTGTTCAAGGTCAATAATTTCATGTCGTAAATCAATATCCACTTTTTGCATTGGTTTCAATAAGAAACGTCTTCGTGAAGATTTAGCTCTTGGGAATCCGAGTTGATGTGAAAGAATGTTAAAAACTTTTTGTAATTTTTCATCAAAACTATTGACAGCATTGTCAACAATATACAATTGAGGGTGTCCAATGTACGAAGCTCTCAGCTTGTAGTCAAGCTCTCTGGCTTGCTCGATTGTTTCCGTTCTAACAGTATTGTTTTCAATCGTATAGTATTTTTCAGCTCCAATGGCTGTGGTGACAAGATGAATAACGCAGTCGTATCTCTGGTCACGAAGTTGTGGTATTGACCATCCATTCATATCCATCAATGCTTGCCATAAATCATCAGAGACGTACGCTTTTGGATCCAATGTTCCTCTATCGCAAAGCAAAATTGTTGGCTTCTTGCTCACCTTGGCAAGTTCCCTAAAATTATCCTCAATAGCCATCTGAGTCTTGATAATATAAGTCTCAAATGCCAAAATTTCCTCCACTGTTGACTTGTCCGTAACCTTGGCACCACCTGTCATCAACAAGGTAGCAGCCTCTGGTATAATAAATACTTGAAAACCGAGATTTTGCAAACGTTCTCTCAACTTTTGCATTGCTGATGTCTTACCCGCACATGGACCACCAGTCAACACAACTCTAAATATTGGAGGAGTATCCCTACTAGGATAAAAGGAAAGTCCCTTTGGATCCTCGGCTAGCACTTCCATGATTGCATCATAGGACATATTTGCATTATGCTCAATTAATTGTTGTTCAGCATCATTGTTATCTTGAGTGATGTAGTCTTTCAACATCATGGCACATACGCCTACTGCAGTAGCGACTCCAACAACTGCACAATAGATTCCGAATTTTGAGGAGGAAGAATTATTGAATTCATTTCTGTTATCATTATGACTGAATGATGATGAGAATGAGGAAAAGGAGGTACGGAAACATCTCTTCTGAATTTCAGAAATTTTCAAATATTTAGAATCGTCATCATGGCAGTTGGTTTTTAAAAGACAAGGATGGTTTGGGTGAGATGATGCCACCATCATCATGGTGAGATTGGATGGCTTTGGCAATGAAAAGAACAAACTGCTGGCTGCATGACCTCGGAGAAGGCTCGCCTTCATTTTTTTCGTTGCAATTATGAGACCGATATTGAATCATAATATCGGAAATTAATTTTACGATTTTATAAATTAATTTAATGAAGATTCTGGTGGTGGTTGAAAATATTCATTTACAATAGAAAGAGGGAATGGAAAAAGTGTTTTTTCAACACTCATTCTAACTCTCATGAAAGTAATATTCACAAATACACAATAATAGATTGGTTATGGTATGACACTATCACACATATACCATGAACAACAACATCACTTCCCACGCACAATGATGAAAAGTAAGTTTTGGAGGAGAAATAAATTAAACTTGATGAGAAGATGAATTCAATTGCTTTTCTCTCATCTCATAGACACTCAAAAACAATTCTACCAACATTCTCATAAAGGTCACCCCAAACAAAAAGCTCAATCCCGAAACCACCAATGAAATCAACAAGATGAATGTAGCGTAGACTGGACTAAAGGAACTATAATAAAACACATTCAAACTCACGACCCAATAAATTAAAAAGATGGCCATCAAGACATAACTCAAAATTAAAACTAATGATGAGAGAGATCCTCCAATAAAACGTTGTAATTTGAAAGGCATCACTAAATCTTTGAGTGATGATTTCAAAGCAGGTTGAGATGGAATGTATGAATATTGATCATGGGCAAAATAAGAGGTAGAGTGTGGGTAATTATTTGCTGATGGTTGTGGTGGTTGTTGAATGATTGGATAGTGTGAAGATTGTGGAGGTTGAGTATGAATATCGTGGTAAGCCTCGGCTTGGTAACTGGACATGATCAGGAGAATATTTTGTTTGGGTTGATTTTTTTTCTTTTGAAATAAATTAGAATTAGAAGCATTCACTCTGAATTGATGGCTGACACACCCTTACTGGAACGGAGTTGGTGAAGGCCATTTCGATTCAGATCCCTCTTGGATGTGGGTAATAAAAAGCAAAGACGAAAGGATGTTCTTTCTTGCCTTCTCCATTGTTACTCTTGGATTGAATGCCCAAATCTCCTCCTTGATGATCGTTCTATAGAGAACCAATTGAAAAGGGTAGTTCTAAAATGAAACTTATTATTATTAATTATTAAGAGGTGGATCAATATCTCCACATCTCATAAAGTATTTGATGTACAATTCTACTAGTTGATCGTTGTTCATGCATGGGCAAATGATTTCTTCTGATTGTTTCTCATGGGCAATAAATTGTAAAGCTCTCACTACGTTGGAACAGCTCAAATGGCCATCGAGAGGTGATGACGTTCGAAAATGTTGAACAGTGTTAGGGAATAAATTAAGAATACCAAAAATTGAGTTTTCGTTAGTCATGGTGGGATATCTTTCAGCATGATTCATTTCTTCTTTCAAAATTTCCACAAATGATAAATATGGAACTTCCTTAATATAGCTATATCCCATTCGTTTCATGTGTCTTACAATGTCATTCAACGAGAGTGAAGCATTAGGATTTCCATGATTCGTATTGATCAAATTGAAAACATTCATTCGTTGTGTAGAGTCAAAGGAATATAAATATTGATTCAATTCCGAAGTATTTGCAATTGAAATTATACTTTTGGCAACAAAATCAACAGGTACCATTTCTATAGGTTCAGTCGATAATTGAGGAGCATATCCTAACTGAATGATACCACAAATTAGACGTGAGATCCATTCTCGAACATTGGAGAAACCATTCAATGAATGTCCAACAACAAGTCCAGGTCTATAAATCAAAATTGGAGAAATATTCTTTTCTTCAATGGCCAATCTTAATACATGTTCAGCAATATATTTAGTTTGTGGATATCCTGATGAAAGAGATGTGAAGTTTTCAATGTTGAGTGGAACAAACTCCTCTGCAATCATGGCTTGTTGTGGATTTGAATATTGATGGAGTAAGCTAATTGGAACCACGCTAATAGAAGAAACAAAATGCAAAGATTTGAGCTTATTTCCAGCGGTACACAGCTTCAAACATTCGACCACACTACCAACATTCACACTTCTCAATTGGTCATAGTTCATGATGAAATTGACATTGGCTCCGCAATGAATAATGGAATCAAGTTGAGTGGATAACTCATTCCATGTTTCCTCATTCAGTCCGAGTCTTGGGAGGGAAATGTCACCGAGCAAAATTTTGCATCGTTGTTCAAAGCCGTCTCGGATTGTTTGAATGTATTCAGTAGAGAGACCATGGCAATATTGAATGACATTATCAAAAACTCTTCTCTTTGCATCTGCAGTGTTAGATCCTCTTGCAATGCAATAGACAGAACAATTGAGATTATGCATCAATTGTTCACACAACAAACCAACACCAATAAAGCCCGTAGCTCCAGTGATCAGTACGTTGTTGGGAGTTGAATGTAAAATTTGAGTATTCATTGAATTCAAAACCTCTGGTTCATGAAGAGAAGGTACAGATTCAAGGAAATTTCTCACCTCAGCTTCAATATCGGATGGAGTCTTGAACCTTGGCTGGTTTGTGAGTGAAAGATCATCATTGTTGGCTCTATCTTCAATGAGTTGCATAATCTTTTCGACAGGATCTGAATAATTCTTTCCTTGCAAAATCTTATCAGCCGTGATGTAAATTCCAAACTTTTCCATGAGAATGTTTGAGAGACGAACAGAGCTCAGAGAATCGACAACACCTCCATTTTGGAAAATATTATTGAGTGTCATTCTAAGTTCATCCTTGTTTTGAACAGAATCAATTGAAGAAATATCAGACTCCTTTTCCACTTGATGATATAAATCTTCCAACGACTGTTTGTATGCCTTATTCAAAGCAGGACGACATGCCTTGAATGAACTTGTAAGTTTACCATTTTCAGGTGTAAACTTCTCGGGGTCAATGATGAATGCCTTTGGAATTTCATAAGCTTCTAATTTCTCTTCTTTTGCAGCTGCAATAATTTCTTCCATAATGACCTTGTAGGCGACGCATCCTCTTGAATAATCCAATGAATCTTGTGCTTCAAGATTTTGTTGTCTCAAAATGTTATTCACTTTGTCTTTGAGAATGTGAACATTCTTTGGAACAATGACTGCCACCAAGAAGGACTTTAAAGAGTTTCCATAAATAAACATTTGATCAATAAAATGGGTTCGAGAAATAAAGAGATTTTCAAGGTTTTCTGGAGCAACAAATTCGCCCTGACTCAATTTGAATATATTCTTTCTTCTATCAATCACTCTAACTTTGCAAAGTTTTTTATCAATCTCTCCACAATCACCTGTACGATAATATCCTTCTTCATCGATTAATTCTTTGGTTTTTTGAGGATCTCGGTAATAGCCTGGAATACATGACTTGGATCTAACACAGATTTCACCTCTTGCATGTGGCTCGTCAGTGATATAGTAATTGAGTTCTGGAACATCAACAAGCTTAATTTCAACATCTTCTAAAATTAATTTGTGTTTTGGAAGTTGAGCATTGTCTTGAACCATTTTGTCGGTGAGATATGTTTGTTCAAATTCTCCTCTGTCCACCCTGTTATTTTATGTCAATAACCACAAGTCGAATATTTAAAACTTACCATGAAATTGACCCACATTCAGTGCTGGCATATCCGTTGAACACTGGAATCTTGAAGCATTCTCTGAGGAAATTAATAACCTCAGGTGAGGTTGAGGCACCTCCTGTGACCATACTAGTGAGTCTTCCACCAAGAATATGTCTAAATTCTCTAAATAATACATGCTCTGGGACTGGATCTGCACTTTCTGCATTCTTCTTTTTTCTGTTTTGATATTCTGCAAGAAGCATGTTATAGAAGCGAGGTGTTGTTGAAAGCGTAACAGGTTGAATAGATGCAAAATCTTCAAATATTCTATCCATTTCTCCACAAAATATTCCAACTCTTCCACCATTGATTAAAGTAATGGTTGTGTTAGTTCTATCTGTAATATGTGAGAGAGGACTAAATGAAATGCAAACCAACGGATGATTTTGATACAACTCATGTTGGAGTTGAGAGTTATAGTGGCTGTCAGTAATAATTGCTCCTTTTGGTTCTGTAGAGGTTGAACCAGATGTGTACACAATCGTACAAATATCGTTAACACTTTTGTTGGTTCTAATGCTTTGTTTGAGTTCATCTGAATAGGTTGGAAATGTCGCAAAAGTGCTTTCTTCAATGGAAGACATGTCTGTAAGTTCAATTCCGAGTTCCTTTGCAAGTAATTTGGCTTTCCAATCCAATTCAAAATCTTTCTTGTCAATGTAATTAATAAAGACAAAGTCATCATCGCTCAAGCTCCAATCACAAAGATCATTGATAGTGACATTTAGATTAATACTATCTTCTAGAGGATACCTATTTTTCAAAAGATAATAATATGGAAAGACACCTTCAGATTGATCCTTAATATAGTTCGTAATAGTTTTCAACCCTTGTTGATAGACTCTCCTCTTTTCTTGCAAAAATTCATCAAAAATTCCATGTTCAGAGAAATAATGTTTTGAAAACTCTTCTACTTCAAAGTCTTGTATCAACAAACTATCCATTTGGACAATTGCTTTCACGCTAGGTAGCAAATCGTTCTTGCAAAGTTTCAAAAATTTCACAGTCAACTCTCTACTGCACACGACAACAGGAATTTCTGAGTTGTTCATAATTTGAATAATTTCATGAGAGACTGATTTCATGTCATTCACACTTTCCATGTTGAAAATATCATCTGAAATACATTCTACTTTTGCTTTTGGTAAGGGTACAGAGACCATTGCTTGTGTCAACACAGCCCAATCTGAAATAAACCAATCAGGTCTATTGATGGAACAGAGGCCAACAAAACCTCGACCAACCTCATCTTGCGATTGACGAGGCTGCAGCACTAACCTTTCATTGTTAAATCTCGCTCGAAGACCGTTTCCAAAGCGTAGCACTCTTTCATGCAATTGTGAAAAAGTCAACCAACGATGGTATTGTTCAAAAACGCCCTGCTTTAACTTTCTTCGATATCCAAGTCCAGGACGATCTGGAAATGACATCAATGCATTATTAATGGTCTCTGCAACATAGACACCTTTCACCAACCAATGTAAATGAGCTGGGTGTTTTGTTCTCCTGACAATAAAAATGTCATGAATCGGGTACGAAAATCGATTGGCCATTTGATCGGCAATTTCCTTCCATTGATCAAGACTCTTCTTGGACCATTCCTTCATACCCACATTAAATTCATCCACCGATTGACCAATCTCTAAACAATGCATTTTGGGTGTATTGGTTGGAATCTTTTGTTTTGAATAATAGCATGTATCTTGATAGACATCTCTGTAATAGGGTTCATACTTGTAAAAGTAGACACCAATTTCTTTCTGATACGCAGCACCATCTTCTGCCAAGGCTATTGCCAAATCCAACGGACGAGAGGGATCAAAGGTTTCGGGATCAAACAAAATGGTACTCAAAAAGGCACTCGGAACAAAACCAACTTGTTGTTGTTGTGGAGAGATCATTTGATGATCATACAAACGACATCCACTTTCTTTTACTTTCCGAATATCCACTTTCTGAACGAGAGACCATCCGAGCCCAGTTTCAAACTCTTTCAAAATCAACACTAAATCTCCAAGTTTGAGAGAAAGAATGTTGCTTTCATTGTTGTCGGATGATGATGAGTTTTGATTTTCATCGACATAGTCCTGTATGGCGATGGCATAATGACGAAAATTGAACATTTTTTATCTTGTTGTTGTTGCATGTGAACACTTTGATTCATGAATCATCATCATCATCGCGGTTCATGGAAGAGGAAAAAGGAAACGAGTATCAAGTTCATGAAAATATCAAAAAAATATTTCTCCGTGAGATGATGTTAGTGGGAAGTGGTGATGAAAGTTGAAACGCTTTTTTCGATTTCTTTGAGGATTCCTCAAACAACACTCATCAAACCACATTGTGGGGTTATGAGTAATGAGTTGAAGCATGGATTTGAATCGTAGCACTACTTCCATTGCTGCAGAATCAATTGCAATGTTTTTGTCTTTCCTTCTTTTGATATTTTCCGTTTCGGGATCATTTGGAAGGAAATTAAGCTAAAAAATGTCACAAAAACAGACCACATCAGCAACCACAACACCAAAACCACCCAATGCACGAACACTCTCACATTCTCAGAATTTTTACTTTGGAGGTTTGTCGGGAATGATGGCCACGTGTGTGGTTCAACCCATTGATTTGATCAAGGTTTGTTTTAAAGTTCTTTTCAGTTATCGTGGAGTTACTATATATCTTAATGATGAAACAATGGCTCCGATATCTTTGATTGACCATCATGTTATCGGAATTAAATCATCTCATTGGAATATTTATACAACTCGTCTCAAATGGAAATGTGAATCATTCTTTGTGGCTTACCCTCTTGATATCTTTGTCAACGTTCACTCATCTTTTCATCACCATCATGATGATAGACCAGAATGCAATTGGCAAGAGCAAGACCTTCCGTGATTGGAACCTTATCAACAATTATTAAAGAAGAAGGTGCTAAAAGATTATATAAAGGACTTGATGCTGCATTGTTCAGACAGGTAAGGTTCAAATCAATATTCATTCATTGATTCATTTCTTTGTCATTTCTTTGAATTCCTAATGAAAGATCACCTACACGACCACCAGATTAGGAGTATTTAATACATTGCAAGATTATCTTACTAAAACAGATGCCACTACTGGTAAGAAGACTCAACCAAACTTTGCCATGAAAATTCTGACTGGAATGTTTGCAGGTGGAGTTGTAAGTATTTGAATTAGTTCATAGGAGGATTCATTGTGACGATTTTTGATATTTATCATCAATGAATTGGTTAAAAATGAATTAGGGAGCTCTAGTTGGAAATCCTGCAGAAGTATGCTTGATCAGACTGACAAGTGGCAAATACAATTACAGACATGTAGGAGAAGCCCTTGTTCGTATTATTAAGGAAGAAGGAATTGCACGTCTCTGGCGAGGAACCACACCAACCGTAACTAGGGCTGTTATTTTGAATGCAGCTCAATTGTCATGTTATTCCCAAGCAAAAGAAATGATTTTGAAATATAACATAATGAAAGACGGACTTGGATGTCATATTGCAAGCTCACTCATCAGTGGATTCATGTGTACGGTTGTCAGCATACCTGTGGATCTTGCAAAAACAAGATTGCAAAGTATGAAAGTGGATCCAGTGACATTGAAACCAGAGTATTCAGGATCGTTGGACGTTATCACTCGTGTCGCGAAGAATGAGGGAGTTTTAAGTCTTTGGAAAGGATTTACACCATACTTCCTCCGTTTAGGACCACACACTGTCCTTACGTTTGTCTTCCTTGAACAATTCAGAATGGCGTTCGGATATTAGTGTAAGAAAATATCTATGAGATTTGACACTTTTGATATGCATGGCTAAGTAAAGAAAATATGTTGTGATTTACTTGTTCAAAACTTGTTTGCCAAATCGTACAAAGAGGTCGAGAAGTACCAATCTTACTTCTCTGTGTTGAGTCAGTAATAATTTAGTGAAGAGAGGATAGAATTTAGGTAAATATTTGGAAAATTGTTCATCAGAAAAAGAGGCATAAACTTCCAGAAGTGAAACAATTACAGGTACCAGAGATGCCATTAATTTCGAGCCACATAATACCACATCTTGTTGGATGCTCAAATCTGCATTGCTATTTGGATAAGGCAAAATTCCAATATGTTGCAAGTAGCTAATGATGGTAATTTGGCTAACGTCAATGATTCTTTTTTCACCAACTTGTTGTCTCTCTGGAATATTGGAAGCACATAACATGGAGCAAATATTAATGTAGACAGTAAGTGCTGTCATTTCAATTTCAATTTCGTGCTCATTTTCAGCGTTACCCTTTTGTCTACTGTTAAATTCCTTTGAGTTGTTATGACAAGTCAACAGAGAATCTAATAAATGTTCAATGTGCTCTAGTTTCATGTGCTGGTGTTGAGTATTCACAATTTCGTTGGTAGTATGGATAATCTTCAGTCGAATCCTGCTATCAATTGTTGATTTTAGCTTCAAATTTACACTCAATAAATTATGTAGCTCTGCACAAATTCTATCCCATTGCTCAGAAGTGAACATTGGTCCACAAAGCTTAACAAAGAGCTTGATTGACTCGTTACCAATTTCAGCCAATTTCTCATTCTTAACTTTTCTTTCAATAACATGGGTACCACCTTCAGTGTTTTGAGCTTCTTTAGTGTCTTCTACTTTAAAGAAGCAATAAACTGCTATCGTGGTCAAAATATCGTTAAACAAGAAACTGATTGAGGAGAAGTATTGCGCGAACAGTGTAATCATCAAGCTTAAAGATTTTCGGCATGTTGTGTTGATCCAGCTTTCATCTACAACATTTGATTGTTTGATTTCATCAAATACTGGGAACAGAACTCCAGTGAAGACAACCTCCCAAAACTTTGGAGAGAATCTATCACCAATCTTTCGATTGATAAGAATTTCTTCGAACATGGTCTTTAAGGCAGTGGCTCTCACCTCTTCTCGTCTGTCATCGCTAATTAAACTTGCCAGGCCAGTTAATATTGGGAACCAAAGTTTGAAATGAACATCGTCGTCATTATACATTTCCACATTCTTGATTGCATCAACCTTATTGTTCACAATATGTAATGCACAAAGCTTTAGAAGAGAAATTGCAGAAAGGGAAATATTCGAATCTGCAATATTTCTAGCAAATGCTGTCAAACATAAAACGCAATCAACAAATGATTCGTTTTGTTGGATTTGGTTGAAATAGTCAACATCTCCATTATCCTTCATCATCGATGCGACATACTTGAAACCTTCATCAGTGACTGGAGAACCGCAAGTGGCAGCTTGAGCGAAAATTTGTAGGATAGTCTTCCATCCTGATTTGATGTTATTGTATCTTCCCAAAATCATTTGACCAACACATTCAACAGTCAAAAGTCTAATTTCGGTCTTATTACTTTGTTGGATGATTTGTAGGAATGGCTTTAAGAAATCACGTTGGAAGTGGTAGTTGGCAAGTTCATCTTGCTCCAAGAACTTCATTGACAATTGACGTAATGAGTCAATGGCGTTCATTGCAATAGTCAGGTCATCGTGAGTACCAACTGTAATAAAGTGTTTACCCATATGGACCCATAACTTGGACCACACAATTTTGATTCTATTAATATTGTAGTGGGCAACTTCTATCAGCTTTTGTAAGCTGAATGTTCGTGGAACAGGGTTGATATTAATGTTACCAGTACAGGTCATACGATTAGCCTTTGGATTAATCTCATCATTGGAAACACCACATAGTCCCTTCACAAAACTTTCGATAGCATCATCGCTAAGCTCTCCAGATTTAACGAAAATCTTATCAATCACTAAATGGTCAATGTTGTTGTTTAAAATAGTGTTTGAATTGATTTGCTCTGGAGTTAATTCAATGGTCATTCTAGCAGCGGCTTTGTTGATTCTATTCTTGTTTTGTGGAACATCCGATTGAAGTCTTTCCAGCTGAGAAACACATTCCAAAATATTTGCCCAGCTGTCTTTGAGATAATTGCCTTCCGTCTCAGCAATCTTTAACAGAAGTTTGATGGCTTTTACGTGTCTATCTTGCATAATATATCGGTTCTTGAGAGTGTCTTGTGTTTGGTGGAGATGATTAGCATCATTTTGTGACTCATATTCTTTCTCAGAAATTGTTAACTTTGTGAAATGACATAATGTTTGAACGAAAGCTAATCTCTCTGTTGCCATGTCAAAGTGTGAAGTGATATGAATTGCGTACTCTAGCCCTCGCAAGCTGTTATCATGAACCTTACTATCAATGAATTTGTCTTTCTCAAGAGCAACCTTGAATGCATCTTTAAACAACTCCCAAGTTGTCTCCATCATACTCTTTACGTGAGTAATATGATTTGCAATGAAGAATTGGTCATCCGAGTCTCCTTGGGACTGGCTGCTCTTCAACATATTTCTTGTTTCCTTTTCTAGTTTCTCGCTTTCTAATGTGAACAGTAATCTCTTTTTTCTTGGGTTTTGTTGAGCTGCGAGCACTTGTTGCTTATCTTGAGATTGTTGAACTTGTTGTTCCATTTCATCGTCTTTCAACTTAATTTCATTATTTTTGATGCTGTTGTAAATAGTTTCTTGATATTTATGGTCAATGTCTCCTCCATCGTTAATGCCTCTGTTGTTGGCAATAAAGGCTTCCAAAGACATTCTTTCACGGAAATTGAAGGCAGGATTATGCAACTCCGTGTTCAACATGATTACTGAATACGCAAACACATAGCAAGCGTCAGCGTTTGCAAAAATATGAGATTTGCCATTGTCTTTGAAAAACTTTTCTGCGAACTTTTGAACGACTCTATCAATTTGTTGACCTTCTCCTGGCAATCTGAAAGTATTCAAATAGTTTCTGAATGCTTTGTCAAAGGACATACCAACAAATGATTGTAATTCAGTGAAGGCGTGTAAAATGTCAGAATTAACTCCTTCTCCCAAATATTCACCAATCATTTTCTTTGAGAATCCTTCTGCTGTATATAAAAGCTTGGCTACTGCTTCTGCATATTCTGTTTTATCCGTTTTTTCAGGATCGGGAAGCTTTCCGATATCTATCAGATATTTAATACCTTTTTTAGGGTTTCTATTGAATAGTTTAGCACCTTCTTTCATTCCGATCTTCATGTTTCTTTGCTTTTCGAAAAACTCTCCCTCGGTCATTTCCTCAGAATGACTGATAGCTTCGTTGTTGGCTGACACTGATTGTTTTTCTGTCATCCACTTAACTAACGACTCGAGAATTGTAACAAGAGCATTCAGTGAGGCTGTTTTGAGTTTGAGTTCTTGATTTGGTGTCATCCATTCTCCCTCTGCTTGGAGGTTTTGCACCACATTAGACAACTCTCCAACAATTTGTTCGTAAATATTAATCGACTCCAAGGCACAATCATAATTTACGAAAATATCAAGAAGGGTTTGAGGATCTTGAGCGACAAAGTTCAATACTTGAATGACGAGCATTTTGTGATGATAGGTGCTATTCTCGCTGTGTAAAATACGTAGGAAATTTGTGAGAAATAGACGAATTTCACCTTTCAAATATGTTTTAAAATACTTGATAAGAGATTTAAATATGGAAAGAGAAAGAGAAAAAATAGGAGGAATAGGGCTTGTACAATTTCTGAGTAATGACAAACACAAAAATTGTTTGATGTCTGCAATAAAAGTCTCGGATGTTCTAAAAACTGGACCACTGTTTTCCAACACATTGTGAATAAGTTCAAGTGATAGTAATCTACTTTTGAGCTCTAATGAATCGGGTGTTGGACTGCACAATAAAAACACGTAAATAAATCTTTGAATCAAAACTAAATCTACTTACTTCTTTGGAAGTTGCTTCATTGCCAATCGACATAATGCTCTGAAAATGAAGAAAGCATCTTTTTGATACTGGTTGTCAAAAACTGGAGTGTTTGATTGTTCATCAGATTCTGAGCCTGTTCGCTTGTGTTTGTGAGGCTTTTCCGATGTTTGATCATCGATTCCATCTTCTTCATCATCCTCATTTTCCAAATCATATTGTTGTTGTTCCAAAATTTGTTGGGCTACATCGTTGATAATGATATCAACAAATTCGCTGATTAGCTCCTCGCTTGGTTTTTGTTCATGGCTTGCAGCATTAGCGCCTTCATCTTCTTTAACATCTTGTTGAGTTGATTCTTGTTTGACTTTTGGTGGTTTAGATTCCATTCTTTGGAAGATGATATTTAGCATTTGATTAAGAGTTGCTTGAGCCGTCTTTCTGTTGATTTCATTCTTGGATACCAAGTGAATGTTGAAACAGGTTTTAACTGTTAACCTGAGACTCCTTCCGTGGATATCGCATGATGTTACTGCAGTCAACAGAGCTTTGATGATCTGTAATTGAACATTATCGTCCTGCGTTGGGTCAAAACAATTTGAAATTGTAGCTACTACCACATCCACCAAGAGATCGCTTTTCCCTTCATATGGGACTTTGCTGTCAATGTATCCATATGCCATCATTTTGTGAAGACAATCCAATGCGGGTTCCACAATTGTTGGCTTTTTAGTTGCACAAGCAAGTTCAAGAGGTTTAAAGTACCGGTTTGGATTTTCGGTCATGTCTTTTAGAACATCGGCTTCATTCTTTTCCAACTTTTTCATTACATCTGCTCGAAATTGATCACCATGATGATCCGCAAAAGTGGATATTTTCATTCACATTAATTCCGTACATATTCGTAATGAATTTAATGAATAAAAACATCCATGAAATAATAATAATAATTTCACCAACACCATCATATTGAATATCTCTATTAAAAACAACCACAACATACCCATCACTTCCTGGCAAGCATTCTTCAAATCCGTTTGTTTCTTCACCAAATTCTTTAGGATCTTTTCCATGGATAGCATATAAAAGACGTTCATGGCCTGCGTCGTGGTTGTCCCAGCATTCGTCGGGGCCTTTCTCAACTGAAACATGTTGTTGATGATGTTCATTTTTTATCTGATTTATTTGCGTAGGTGTTGATGCAAATAGAAAAGGGTGATGATATGACAGGGAAGAGGTTCAACGTCTCTCTCTGATTGTTGAGTGTTGAATGAATCACTAAGAGCCACTTGAAGAGCTGGAATACCATCTAACTCATCGGATTGTTATTCGACCAAGACAAGAAGTCTATCAAAATATCCACAGCGAAAAAATGACGACTCCTCGCACTCCCGTTCAGAGGTCTTCATCATCGAGACAAATGCTTTCACCAGCAGCAGCCATGACACACAACGACGATGACGAGGACCATGAACCACAGGCCACCCCACTCTCAGACCTAGTTACACCAGATACCGAAAGAGAACGATCTCGGATGTTGTTGGCACAATTTTATGGTGTTATGATGTCGGATCAGGATGGAGATGCTGCTTCATCAAGTGCCACTCCTGTGAATAACAGGCAAGTGTTTGATACAAGTGATTTAGGTAGGTGCATCATTGGCAGCAAAAATCCTCGGATGATCATATTTAAATAATTGTTATAACAAATGATGATTTATAATTCTATTTAATAACAACAACAACAACAGACAGCAGTCATTTCAATGCAGATGATTTTCTAAAGAAGACCATAACAAACAAGGCTATCGATGAATTATTAGCTCAAGAGGACTCTCTTAAAAAACAAACAAAGAAGTTGGACACGTCACTTCAAATGTTAGTCTATGAGAATTACAACAAATTTATCACAGCTACTGACACTATCAAAAAGATGAAACATCATGTGGAAGGAATGGAGGATGAAATGAAAAGTCTTTTGCAAAACATGGACAAAATCACAAACTGTTCGGAAACTATTAATTCAAATCTTCAAAACAAAAGAGACAAAATTGAGAGACTCTCGAGCGTGAATAGAACTTTGAAGAAGATGCAGTTTTTGTTGGAGCTTCCTACTAGATTGAATGAATGCATTGAAATGAAGAAGTACAGTGTGGCTGTGAAATATTTCTCTATTGCAAACAAAATATTTACCAAGAATGCCAATCTCTCTGGTTTCAAAAACATTGAAAAAGAGTCCAACGACGTTATTCAAAAGATGAAAGATACAATTGAGAGAGATGTGATGAACATTACTGATGACAATGATCCTCGAGTTCAGGATTATTTAAAAATTTTAATCGACCTAGAGGTACCCATTGAAAGAGTGAGAGATGCCTATTTGAAGGTTAGGGGTGACTATTTGAAAAATCAAATGGAAAAAGTTATGCAAGAAACAGAGAATAGTAGATATACCACAACGAATGATCGTGTTAAATCTCTGAATATTTGCTTCTTGAAATCCATCCAAACATTCTACTACACTTACCAAATGACTTTCCTGACAAATGATCCAAAGATTAGAAAGCAAACTACTGCTGAGCAACTTTCAAAAGACTTTGTTGAATGGACAAAACAATTATTTGTCACATATTTTGAACACATCAGAATTTTACTTCTCAAGTCTCAAACAACCAATGAAGATTTGAAGGCAGCTCTAAAATCATTTTGCAATGAGTCAGTGGCCTATATCAACGAAGTACCAAACAACAAGTTGCAAGACAGAGTTTACAATCTTGTGGGAGATACTGTCATGACCTTCTTAATTAAGCAGATGGACACGGTCAAGCAAAATACTGAACAAAACTTACAAAAGCTTGCTGAAACTCCAGAGACAACTAAACCAAATCAATTGACAAAGATCATAGAAGACACTATTCAAAACTTGAAAAAAGATTTAGAACTGGGACTCAATAATTATCAACAGTTCATTCTTGCAGAAGAGGAAGTTGCAAGTCCTTTGGCGTGGGTTATGCAATTCAAGGATAAAATATTTAAGAACTGGATCAAGTCCATGTGTGTAGAATTTATCGATTCACTGCTTTTGACATGCAAAGATTATGGAACACCTCACAGTAGAGTTGCCATTTTGACACCAGAGCAATTCAAAGTGCGTAAAGTTACTTCTGTTGGAGCTCTATTACTTGCCAAACTTTGTACAAAATTACCATTAAGAGATTTCAAGCAAATGCTCCGAGAAAAGTTTACTGCTCTTGACTCGAACCCTAGATATAAAAATCGTGATATTGACGAAGATGATACCCTTTTCAACATTGAAAATATGGAGCTCAGAATCAAAGAATGTAGCTCTCATTTGATTGTATATTATGTGGAAATTCAAGCAAGAAATGTTTCAAAAGTCATACGAACTGGAATGGAGACTCATAATTGGTTAGAAACAGATGTACCAAGAGACGTCAGACATGTGATTAGGGTCACAGTGAGTGATCTCTTCAGTATTAGAAATCAACTCATTGAAATGTTCCCACCAAGTCAAATTCATGACATTGATCCAGAAAAGAGTGATTCTGGTCGAAGCGGTAGAAGTACAAGAAGTGCTGGAGAGTCATCCTTCACATACGGTGCTTTCAATTCAGAATCATCTTCCATGAAGTACAGTCAAAGCTCTGAAGTTGTGAAAGACGTCATGAGAATCTTCAACAAGAAGCTTGCCAACTTTACCATCAAAATGCCAAGATATTTCCAAAGAGCTGGTGACTCGAGTTTTAGTGGAAATGAAATCCTAACAGAAATTGTTAAAATTGTGGTCAAGACTTTGGAGGAATGCGTGAGAAGTGTGACCTTTGGTAAGAATGGTTTCCAACAATTGCAAGTGGACATTGCATTCATGCAACAAAAGTCAGTGAGTCTCATCGAAGATAAATCCTTCCTGCCCTCTCTCATGCAAGAAGTGATGGCAAGCTGCGCCGAGAGATGCATTTCAGCCACACCACTCGAAAGCACCATTGTTCAGTCCATTATTAGCAAGTACATGACAGAGGACTCATCCGATTCAATCAGCAGTAAGCAATAATTGCCACTGTTTACTTGACAGCTACCATGATGATAAATTTGATGATAAATTTGATTATTCTTGTTGTTCTGAAAATCTACAAAAATTTTAACCGCCAAATTTTTTTAGTGTCTTCAAGCATCAAAAAATGGATCCACAACAACCCTCTTCATCTACAGAGGAGGAACAAACAAAGCAAGAACAACAAGAGATGAAGGAGATTGAGGCAAAATTGTCTCAGCAACAACAAGCTCAGAAAGAGTATCAGAGTATATGTGTGCTTGATCACTCATTCGGATTTGAAAGTTTAAAAAGAAATAACATTTGTTTTGTTAAGGAAAATATACTTGTAACAACGGTTGGAAATACAATACAATTCTTTGATATTCGAGATAAACGGTATCGATGGATCACAATGCCTGGCACTGGAGGTTTAGGAGCCCTTGCAGTTCACCCATCAAAAAAATACATTGCTGTCGGAGAGAAGAGCCGAGAGAAACCCGTGGTCAGAATTTATGAATGCAAAATTGAATCAGATGATATTGACGGAATTTCATTGGAGCCATTTAAAATATTACGAAATGGTACTTTGAAAGCTTTTTCTTCAATGTCTTTCAACACCAAAGGAGACAGGTTAGCAACTGTGGGATCCGATCCTGATTATTTGCTGACAATTTGGAATTGGCAACAAGAAAAGATTGCTCTCCGATACAAGGCTTTTGGCCAAGAAGTTTTTTCAGTATCGTTTTCTTCCTCCAACGATGGGCAATTAACTACAAGTGGAACAGGACACATCAAATTTTGGAAAATGGCTAAAACATTCACCGGATTGAAATTAAAAGGACAAATAGGAAAGTTTGGCAAAGTTGACATTTCTGATATTGCAAGCTGTGTTGAATTACCTGATGGAAAGGTCCTTTCAGGATCAGAGTCTGGATTTTTGTTGCTATGGGATGAAAATTTAATTAAGTGTCTATTTACAAGAGCAAACGAAGAGCCATGTCACGTTGGAGGAATAGAGGTTGTATTTTTTGATGAAAAGTCAAACCAATTCGTTACAGGAGGAGGAGATGGTTTTATAAGATTTTGGAATTTTGACAAAATTGATTCAGCAGAACCTGTCGACACAAATAATATTATTTGCTTAACTCCGACTAGAGAGCTAAAGATTAGTGATGGAGTTTCCATTATTACAATTGTTCGTGAAGGAAATATTTGGGTGGTGCAGGATTCAAAAGGAGCTTTTTGGAAAGTGCAAATTGACGACAATGAGCGTACTAAAGTTCTCAGCTTTCATGCGGGGGCTATTACTGGGTTGGCAACTTCTCCATGCGATCATGTAGCTGTTACTGGTGGAGAAGACGGCACAGTGAGATTGTTTGACTATTTCTGGGCTAAAAAAGAAGTTTACTCTTCTAGATTCTCGTCTGGTGTATCCAAATTGATATGGAACCCACCCCATGTAGACTTGGATGGCTTAACCATCACTGTTGGATTTAATGATGGATCTTTGAGACTTCTAAAACGGTGCGAGGACTGTTTTTGTTTGATGAAAGTTGTGAAACCTCACAAAAAGCGAATCAATGATTTTTGTTATTCTAATGGATCTAACTGGCTTGCGACATGCAGCGAAGATTGTACTATCTTCTTTTTAAATTCGACAACCTATGAACCAATTGGATATGCAAAGTTTGAAAAGCCTGCAAAAAGTTTAATACCAACTTCAAATAGCAATGAATTGTTAGTACTGTTCAAGGATGGAACCATGTCAAGACTTCAAAGCCCTGATCCTTCAATGATAGACACATCCAAAACCTATGAATTTAAACCTGTTACTAAACAGGTGAATTTCTCTCAATTCTTAAAAAAGGTAGAACCTCCGAAAAAAGTAAAAAAGGAAGGCGATGATGACGAAGAGGAAGAAGAAGAACAAGAGAAAAAAGAAGAAGTTAAAGAAGAACTACCTGCTGGTATTTACTTTGGTACTACATCTCCAGAGGGATCTTTACTTATTAGCTTGGAGAAACCACAGGGAGTAGTGAAATATGATAGGCCTATTTTGACAGAGTTCTCACCTGAGGTTGTGTACCCAAAGAAGTTTATTGGAACATATGAGTCGATTTGCTCCAGCATTAGGTACTCCTCATGCGGGAACTACTTGATTCTTGGATTTAAGGATGGTTTTGTTTGCCTCATAGATTTAAAAGCAGGTACTGAGCACCGCTTCGAATATGTGCATGATTGCATGCACGGAGAGATAACATCGGCAGTTACTAGCTTTGATGATAGCTATCTATTGACGGTTGGACGAGAAGGATGTTTCTTTTCCCAAAAAATTCCAAAGCACGAGAGTCAACAAGGTCAAAAACCACAATTAACCTTCAAATCTGAGGAAAACGAAGTCGAAGATCTCACCCCTGGACAATCTGTGAGTATAGAAGAAGCAAGAGAACAAGCAGAGATAAATAAGAAACAAGAAGAAGCAAAAAAACGAAAAATGAAAAAGCAACAAATGTTGCAACAGATCAAAGCAAAATATTTGGAGTTATTGAAAGAAAATGACCGAAGGGAGCCTGACCTTCGTTTATCTCGTGAAGAAATTCAAGTAGATGTTACGCTAAAAGATAGAGTGCTAGAAAGCAACAAACGCTTGCTTGAGGAAACTAGAAAAGAGATGGAATGGCTGTCTGCAAAACATGACATTGCACTCAAGAAACTCAGAGACCACTTTATCGACTGTTTGGATGTGGAGAGGATTGTTTTGAGAGCGTTCAAGAGTGGAAAAATTGTGACATCTTTTAAAACAAGAAAATTGGATGAGGATTTGAAAAAAGAAATTGAAAAAGTACATCAACTCATCAATGAGGAAATTCACCGAAAAAGAGCTTTAAGAAATCAAATTCAGGATGCCCCACCACACTTTGAAACTCATGACGCTGAGAATACTCCTCCTTCAGCAACTAATAAGAAAAAGAAATTAAATGGAAACATGTCCAATTTTGAAAAGCAGGAGATTTTGAAGAGAGAAAACGAGGAACGATCGAGATTGAGAAAATTATTGTTAGAAAAGAAACCTCTTGATACAGATGAAGATCCTGAAGAAATTGCCGAGATTCTCAGGGCTCAACAAAATATGGGAGACTACAAGCTAAAAACGAACAATGATTATATTGTACCTGATGCTCAACGAGTAACAACAGAGAAAAAATTGAGACAAATTACTCTATTGCAAGAAAGTATGCACACTCTAAGAATGGTCTTTAATGTCCGATTATTAGGTCTTCGAGATTTGAAAATGAGATTAATTGACAAGTTCAGAGGTTATAATGAAAAGATTCAAGAAATCAATAACAAAATAGGCATTACTGAAAAATTGTATGAGCCAGAATTGAATGACGAAGAATATCCAGAACGAAGAGAAAATATTACCATGACAGAGATTGAAGGTGACGACCAAGAAAAAGTCGAAGAAAAAGCAAATTCTGTTTTTTCAGGAGCTTCTAAAAAGTCAAGTGCCAAGACGCACCTAAACAAGCATAAGGAAAAGGATGAAAATGGTATTCCAATATCTAGACTTTCAGAGTTAGAAATTGCAGAGAAAGAAGCAGAATATCAACGATTGTTGTATGAGAAAAATAGATACTTGCGAAAGCAAGAGAAGCAAATTGAAAGCTTTGACACTGCCATAGAAGATCTACGAAGAGAAAAGTTCAAACTTGAAGGAGATTTGAAATCTGCAGACTTGAAACTTTTACTGTTGTATCGAGAGCTCAAAATTTTGCGAGACTATGAGACGAAGGATTTGCAAAAAATTCAAGAACTCCTCGCTAAGAAACAGGAAAAGGCTGCCATCCAAGCACAAATTTCTGAATGCCAAGAACAACTTCGACAGAAGAAGAAAGAGGTCCAACAAATCAAAAAGCAAAAGTACTTGATCCAAGAATTCAACAGTCTCGTTCCACAAAATCATGCAGCTTACTCTGAACTATGGAAACTATTTACTGGCAATGATCATGAAGATGATGAGGAAAATTTATCTGATGTCGACTCTACTAATGGAGACAAGAAGGACAAAATTCCTCAAGGATGCAGTGAAGAATTGTATCATCAGGTGTTTGATCTGAAAGTACGAAGGATTGAGCAAGAAAAGGCACTGAATGCGATTGACAAAGCAGCCAAAAGTATCAAAACCAAACGAGAAGGTTTCCAAAAAATTGAAGCAAACATTATTAAGGACCTTAACAAAATCGAAGACACCATTCGAGAGACACAAAAGGAAAAGCAACACAAAATTAATGATTTAGAAACCATTGTCGTTCTCAAGTTCAACCAAATCCAATCCTTAGTACAAAACAAAATTCCTGCAGACTTATCCGATCAAATTGTGTTCACTAACAAGTCACTACAAGGTTTATTTGCCAGAATTCGTGAATTATCAGAAGAACGAAAGATTCTACGAAGGAAATATATGGAGCTCCAAAAAACTCAACGAACCATGTTGAAAGAACAAAAAATATTGGAGGAGAAATTCCAGAGCGAAAAAGACAAAGTTCGTGAGGTGCAAATGTTGAAATTCGGAAGAGAAATTAACTTGGAGGAAATGGAAAATGCTAAAATTGATTTAGAGGCAGAAGAGCTAAAGTCTGAGTTAAATATGCGAGAACAAGAAGCATCAAGAATCCTAAAGGAATGGGATAACAAAATTACAGAGTACAAGCAAACCATGATCAAGATTACCTCCGAGAATACTCAACTTCTCACTAGAATTTCAGAGCTGAAAGCTAAACAGCAAGAACTAGAACATTATTTGAATCTTGCACAAAATACTGTCATTGAGAGAATGGAAAGAACCATCACAACAACTAAGGATAACACCTCACAGTACAAGCAAATCATTAATGAGCAAAATGCTAAGATTGAGAGTGTCAAGAATGACATTGCCATGTTGACCTTTAAGGCATCATCTTTGGGATACTAAACTTCCCGAATGATTCTCCATAATGTAAATAAATATGTATTTCGCCTAGTCAATCTTGGTGTCAAGTTTGAAAAACTGCACAAAGTACAACAAACATGTAAACATGATGAAGTGTGCAAAACTAAAAGTTGTGCACATCAATACGAATAAGTCTGGATATCTATGTGGAGGTGTTGCAAAATGCATCACTAAATGGATCACTACCATTCCTGTCAAGCTCAATACCACCACAATCTTCCATAATTTTCCGAGTTTTCCAAAATTCACATAGCTCATCATGATTGATAAAATTTGTACAAGAATGTATGCTAATTTCAGATTGTCCTTAATAAATAATGGATACATGCTAAAGCAAGAGACAATATTTAAAAAAGGAATCAATGAAGATAATGATAGCTTTTGAATGTTCTGAATATAAATAAGCAAGCAAGGAAGTAAGGGAAGCAAAATGGTCTTTTCGTGCACCTGGAAGGAAAACAAATAAAAGGAGAAGGATACAATGGCTAAATTAATGAAGAATAAACTCTGCAAATATTGTGGAGATACTGAACTTTTCTTTGACCAAACTTTGTAGAATAAATGCAAGCAAGAAGGAAGTGCAACGACGAGAGTGGATATTGTAGACAGTCTAATAAGCGCCTTCTCATTGAAAAGTTGATTCCATTTGATGAGTATTGATGTCGAACACCAAAAACTAGCGACCTTGTCCTCGAAAAGTCCTCTCTTAAAAGGAAACATTCTGTGAATAACTTGTAAAAATACATTCAATCCATCTTTCTGCAAGAGAAATGGAGCAAAAATTACACCAAACGTTGTGATAACACTTAGTATTACCACTAGAAATGCTTTTGGTCTGCTCAGGATTTGCGCCAGAATAAAGAAGAAGAAGGAGAGAGAATAATACAGAGCCATTTGCTTGTAACAAATCGTACAAACAAATGAGATGCATGCCAAGCTCAAACTGAATAAGTTGTTATCATTCTTTTGAAATTGTGCGAGGAAATATATGGAAAATAAAGAAAATCCCAAAAATATGTTGTTAAATTGGAAATGGCCATGATCAATGAGAACGAGTGATGGGCAACATATCAACCAAATACATTCCCACATGGAATTTTTGTATCGTTCTCTAAATTCCATCAATAATAAAAAGCAAGCAGGAATATATAACACTAAATCTGAAAGGATCACTGACACTCTCATAAACATAACTGTTTGATGGGATTGATTTCCTCGAGAGGACATAAAATCAAAACATCCTTGACATAATCCAAATAGATCACTAAGCTTTCCCATCAAGTAATGGTGGAAAGCTGTGAGTGGAGGATAATCCAATCCCCAATATTCCAGATCATAGAAATACCATTCCGATATCGGTAAATGTTTTGTAAGCTCAATCCAATGCCTCTGTGCTTCAAAATCTCCATACATGGGAGGACTTGATTTTCCAGAATGAGGCTGATACATGGCTATACATATCCTAAATAACATTCCGATGCAAGCGATCAATAACAGTAAATTCTTGAGCCTTTCCGTGCTCAACACGTGTTGAAAATTATTGCTCTCGTTATTGTTGTTGTTGTTGTTCCTTTGCGTATTGTTTGGTGTCTCTATCATTTTTTTAAAAAATTTAATTTTTCAACTTTATCATTTCAACGATGCCAGAGTATCGTCATCTCTTTCATTACATGGGATCATTGTCATACAGAAATAAGGATTGAAAATCACCTATAGTTGGTGGTAATCTCTTTTTGAATTTTCCACCGATCCTAAACCAGACTTGTTGCTCCTTCGTCGAATTCTTTGAACTTGAAAAAAATGAGCCAACAACAACAAAAGAAGCCTTTGCAACAATCCCCCTCTTCAGTAGCACCAAATAAACCTCAACAACCACAACAACAACATGGAGAGAAGAAGAAATTGGATGCCCGTATCAAGACATTGATAGAAAATTGTGTAAAAACGAGACACCGATCGTTTTTTGTCGTGGTAGGAAATAGAGCAAGAGAGCAATTGGTGAATTTGCACTATATGCTTGCAAAGGCTAGAGTAAAGACTTCACCTTCTATTCTTTGGTGTTATAAGAAAGATTTGGGATTTATTGCGTAAGTAGTCAAGTGTTTGTTCCTTGTCGGAATGATGATGACTCTTGTGGATTCAAACTTTCCGATATTCAGTGATGCCAAGAGTAGAAATAGAACCATCATCAAAAAGTATGGAAAACAAGGAGACGATGAAGTACAAAAGCATCTCAACACACCATTCAACTTGTTTTTGTCTGCTAATGATATTCGTTATTGTTACTTTAAAGAGACTCAAAACATTCTCGGTAATACGTATGGAATGTTAGTTTTGCAAGATTTTGAAGGTATAACTCCAAATGTTTTGGCAAGAACGATTGAAACTGTAGAAGGAGGAGGAATGATTGTTTTATTGCTTCCTGAAATGCAATCACTTAAGCAATTGTATACAATGACCATGGATGTTCATTCTCGTTTTAGAACTGGTCATGATGATGTAGAAATTACAGCCAGATTTAACGAAAGATTTTTATTGTCTTTGGCTTCCTGTAAACAGTGTCTTGTCGTAGACGACCAGTTGAATATTTTACCAATTTCTTCACATATTAAGGATATCAAACCAGTCGTTTTGGATGAAGAGGAGAGGCTTGAAAATCACATATTGTCAACAAAAGAAAAAGAATTGCAAGATTTAAAACAAAAACTTCAAGAACATCAACCTCTTGGAACGCTAGTTTCTCAAGCAAAATCATTGGATCAAGGAAAAGCCATTCTAAAATTTGTTGATGCCATTTCAGAAAAAACCCTTCAAACAACAGTAGCTTTATTGGCTTCAAGAGGTAGAGGTAAATCTGCCGCTCTTGGTCTTGCCATTGCTTCAGCTGTTTCTTATGGCTACTCTAACATTTTCGTCACATCACCAAGTCCAGAGAACTTGAAGACACTTTTCGAATTCATTATCAAGGGCTTGGAAAGTTTAAAGTATAAGGATCAGCAAGATTTTGAAATTGTCCAATCTACAAATCCTGCCTTCAACAACGCTGTGGTGAGATTGAACATTTTTAAAAATCATAGACAAACCATTCAATATATTCAACCTGAAGATAGTCAAAAATTGGGCCAATGTGAGCTATTGGTTATCGACGAAGCTGCTGCCATTCCTTTACCTCTCGTTAAGAAATTATTAGGTCCTTATTTGATTTATATTTCATCTACAATTAATGGTTATGAGGGAACTGGACGATCTTTGTCTTTGAAATTATTAGAACAATTGAAAGAAAAAGGACAAAAGCAAACAGGTAAATTGACTTCAGGTGCGCGAAAGTATTTCGAAATCAAACTTGAAGAGCCAATCAGATATGGTGAAGGTGACAATGTCGAACGTTGGCTTTATGATGTACTCTGTTTAGATGCCACATCAGCTGTTCCAATCACCTCGAAGTGTCCTCATCCATCAGACTGTAACTTGTATTATGTTAACCGTGATACTTTGTTCTCATACAACCAAGCATCTGAAGCATTTTTACATGTAAGTTTCTTTGTTATGAACTTGTTGATTAATACTTTGGTGAATAGAATATGATGTCGTTATATGTTTCATCACATTACAAGAATACACCTAACGATTTGCAATTAATGTCAGATCATCCATCTCATCACTTGTTCGTGTTATTGGGACCTATTGATGAAAATTCTTCCTCACTTCCTGACATTTATTGTGTTATTCAAGTATGCATGGAAGGTAAAATCAATAGACAAACAGTGCTTGCAAACTTATCAAAGGGTCTAAATCCTGGCGGAGATTTAATTCCATATCTTGTTTCAAGACAATACCAAGAGTCAGATTTTGCTGCTTTATCAGGAGTTAGAGTTGTGAGAATTGCAACACATCCTGAATATAAGAGAGTAAGTACGAATTGCTTGTTTCATGATTTATCCTAAAATTATATTCTTTCACAGATGGGTTACGGTACAAGAGCTCTTGAATTACTCACGAAGTACTATCAAAACGAAATTCAAAATCTCGATGAAGTTATTGAAGAAGAACAAACTCAACAAGTCACTGAAGTGAAACCTGTTGGTCTTGCTCACGAAGAAATCAAACCACGAAGTAAGAATGAATTACCTCCTTTGTTGCAATCACTCGAAGAAAGATCACCAGAACCTGTGCACTACATGGGTGTTTCTTATGGTATGACGCAACAACTTTTTAATTATTGGAAGAAGAATGGATTTGCTCCTGTTTATATTCGTTTAACACCAAATGAATTAACTGGTGAACACTCTTGTGTCATGCTGAAGGCATTGACAACCACTCCACCAGAGACTAGAAAATGGTTAGATTCATTTGTTGAAGATTTTAAGAGAAGATTCCTTTCCTTATTAGCTTATGACTTTTCTAACTTCAACGCTGCTCTCACATTAAGTATTCTTGATTACAAGATGGAAGACTCTGTAGCTTTAGGATCCAAGTCTTTGACTGTTACTGAAATGGATCAATATATTTCCAAGTTTGATCTGAAAAGACTCACTTCATACTCTAAGAACTTGGTTGATTATCATGTAGTGTTGGATCTTCTTCCAACTCTTACTAGATTTTTTCTTTTTAAACAAGATGCCATTCAATCTCTCCTTTGCCCAGGCTGCGATCATGATTGGAGTTGGATTGCAGCATAAGAAGATTGAGGACGTTGGAAAGGACATTGATTTGCAAAGTAATCAAATTTTGGCTCTTTTCAATAAGGCAGTTCGAAAGTTTGTTAAATATTTCAAGATCATTGACAAACAAAGATTTGTTACAAATAGTTCAGCGCCAAAGAACTCAAAGGATGATGACGACAATGACCAAACGATGAACAATGACGACGAAAATTATGTCGAAAATGATAAGGGCAATGTTAATTTTGATGAGTTGGACAAAATGGATAGTGACGATGAAGATGAAGAGAAAAATAAGAAGCCAGCAAATAAGGACATTCTCGATCTTTTTGAAAAACCACTTGAAGAGACAGATGAGCGATTCTCAACTCAAAAGAAGAGAAAGACCATTGCAAAAGAACCTCAAGATGAAGAGCCTGAAAAGAAAAAGAAAAAGGATGACCCAAAGAGAAAGGAATTCTTACAAGAAGTCATCTCGAAAGGCGAATATAAAATTACAGGTATTTCAGAAGAGGACATTGAAAGAGGTGTTGAAGAAAGTGGAGGACTTACAAGCTCTTCCATCAGCGTAGGAACTGACAAGTCAAACACAGAGCCAAAAGAAGTGAAGAAGTACATGCTCAAAAGTGAAAAGGAAATTAAGCAAATTGAAAAGCAATATCAAAACAAATTTTTCAAGAAGGGAGGAAAGAAGAAGCGACAAGTGAAGCATTAATAAATACGACATACTAATGAATCATAATTTAATATAAAATTGGTTTCATTTTGAAATGCATGTTGATGAGCGATAAGGCCATATCCTTCAGGTCTGCAGTGAGGTAATAAAAGTTTTTCAGACCCTCTGGATCCCTGGATTTGGCAACCTCAGAGAGAGTTTGTATCTTTGTGGTACAAAATGAAATATGTTTGCGATCCAGGGCAATTTCTAATTCTGATTTTCCTACATTGTCAGGTAATGGCCAATTTCTGTCATCCTCACTGTCAAATTGTTCCAAGATTATCAGGGTATGTTCCATTTCTTAATAGAATGCAAAATATTCATTCTCACTTACTCTAGAATATGTGATTCCAAAATCATCCTCTTCAGTTGATCCAAAACTATATCAGTGACATATACTTGCTTTTTAATTTCTCCATCTCCCTTGTAGTCACTATTATTTGTGTATTCAAGCAATCCATCGGAATGAAATATTATTTCAATGAATTCATGACCAAATCGACCTTTATGCCCCACATACTACGACATTAAAATAATAATATTTGAATTATTATAAATATAAAATTGAAAAAATCATTTCCGATGATCACAACGTTTCCATCATCATGCAATCGGATCCTCCTTCAAACCTACATAACGAACATAAAACCGATGATGTTTCATTTTTTTATTTGAAAAAAAAATGAAATTCACCGCTACGTACAAGGCTCATCATCGATTTCGGGATTGTATGCTCTGCGGAATCTCTCTTCTATTGATATTTACTGGAATGTTGATTACGGCCGTAAAATCGGGTGAAAAGAGTGTCGATAAAATTGTGGATTGCTGGAATGTTACATCTTTTGATATAATTGGAAATATAACTTTACCATTTGAGACGATCAAATTTACAAATATATCCTATGGAAAAGTGTTAACTATTAGAGGAGAAATAGTCGGTAATAATGGTGATGTTAATGCTCCGAGGACATCATCCTTTGGGTTTTACGCGAGCATTGATAAAATTCCAACCAAAAAAGACTATCATTTCTACATTCCGATGAATACCAACTTTTCAGCTTTTTCAAAAGGAAGTGAACGTGCTGTGTATTATGGGATTAGTGGACCTGTTTTGTCTGGAGCAGCGTCTTTCACCTACGTGTTGAATGTTCTGGTTCATGATCCAAAAGAGATGCCACAAAGTATTTTGTCGATCATTTTGACAAGTGGCATTGTAATTTTAATTCTTGTGATTTCAACATTTGTGATACAAACTGGAATTTCATTATCCATTGTGTCAGGAGTTGATTTTTGTGCAATGTGTAGAAAACGAAAGAAACATGGATATGCACAAATTGATACTGTCTTCACACAGCAACAAGAATAACCAAATCAATCGAAAATCATGACATTACATGAAATCATGATGAAAAGAGCATGAACAAGCATACTTTAATAACTTAAAAGGTGAACATGTTTTGACAGAGAGTCATCACCTTTGCAACGAAGGCTTCCAAGTGGAATATTGGTTTGCTTCCACATTTCATTCGATGTTCATACAAAGCAGCCAATGAAATAACTTTGTGGGCTTGGTCTCCATCCATGAATCCTAAAAGCTTACTTAATAGTGTCTTCAGAATTGTCTCAGGTGCTATACAGTTCGTCAGCAACAGGAAAAAGTCATCTCTTATCTTCAAAAGTTTTTGTGGAGATTGTTCTTCAATAATGGATTTAGCAATATCTTCTACAAATCGTTCCCATCCAGGCAGCTTGACTTCTTGATCCTTTGTGAATGGATATTTCTCAACCTTGGCACTTTCTAGCATTAAAATTGCTCGTCTCAAATTACCATCACATTTTTCCACAATTTGATTTTCAATCGTGTCAATAAGTTTGATGCTTTCCTTCTTGGCAACAAATCGCAACACTTCCTTAATTTCCTCATTCTCAGGAGCTGCAACACGAATTCCCATACATCTACTTCTGATTGGAGGAATTATTTTAGATGTCGAATTAGCGCAAAGAATCATTCTACAGGATTTGGCATACTTCTCCATAATTCTTCTCAATGCTTGCTGAGCTTCTCTTGTCATGTTGTCAACTTCATGCAAAACAATCACTTTCAAATTTGTGGCAGAGGATGATGAAGATGCTTGAAAATCCATTGATTCAGTTTCTGCTATTTCTTTAATCATATTTGCAACCACATATCTATCATAATATCCACTATCACTTGGTGTAAATTCTACATGGAATCCACTGGAAAGAGCAGTCACTGTAATAGTCTTTGACTCATCAGATCCAACAGCTACATCCTTATTCTCTAATTTCACTTTATCAATTTTGCTTCCGTAAATTTCACGAAGTAAAGCTTGAATCCGAGTTTTCTTTCCAGCTCCCGATGGGCCGTATATCAACAAGTGCGGGAAATCACCACTTGCTACAATATTCTTCAATTGTTTAGAAACGTCCAAATGAATTTGCATCTTGTCCAAAGTGAGTGGACGATGTTTATCAACCCATAAGACCATATTTTCTGATTTGTGTGTGTTCGGAATATATATTTCAATGATTATTATTCTCCAATATAACTGATTCAATTCAACAGTGCTAACACCTCTTCTAGTGAGCAACGATTGAATTCAAAAGAAATAATGACGATTGATTGAATGGTCGTCTGATGATTCTTCACAACGGTTTTATTTTTTGATGGAATTTTTTATTTGATTTGGCGGGAAGTTCGTCCTTTTCATTCACATCAAACCAATAAGAACCTTCTCTTCCTTCTGAGGGTTTTTGTAAGCAATACACACACCTTCCTTTCCAATGAGGTTTTTGAATTCCTCCCTTGTGGAAACCATTCGAACATTTTTCTTGCAGACTTGACAATAATTGTTGCGAGCAGCAGCTGGTGAGACGAGATGATTCATCTTGTGAAATGACAAATCCTCAAGGGATAGTGGACATTCGTACACGAGTTCACAATTTTCAATGAAGGGAGAAGGTTCAGCTTCATCACGATGAGGATTGCAATCCAAAGGTTCTTCTTGTAAAATTGTTGTAAGTCCATCATCATCTTCTCTGTTCCCATATGCATGGTCAGAATCATGATGCTTCCGTAATGGCAGCAAGTGAGGTTTGTGGGCTTGTAAGTTTTTCACTCTTCGTCTCACCACTTGCATCCAATTTCGAATATTTAAATTTAAATCAAAATATGGAAAATAATAGTGAACGAGACGTTTCCAAATATTTTGTTGAACCAATGCAAATTGTTTTGAATAATTATTTTCCAACTCTTTTCGATATAAATCCGATGAATTGTATTGTTTCAAGGATTGTAATCTCTTTCTTTCTAACAAGTTCAGCTTTTCCGGAGTTTGATCAAAGATCATTTTCAATAAATATCGATCACATTGAGCTAAATGAAACAAATCCACAGCCACTAAATACGATGCAATTTCTATCGATAATTCCAAGGGCAGAAGTTTGAAAATGTGCGAACACGATGGAAATTGGTGAGACATTTTTTTGTGGATTCAAATAATTTCGTTCATGTTCGAACAATGAAAGAACTCTGAACGTAAGAAGTTTACAAAAAAATTGAAAAATTTGTTGTTGGAGAACAATCAAATTGAGGATCGTGCACGATGAATCTTTCACATTTTTCGAGAGCATTTGGCACGAACAATGATAACAACACTAATAATAACAATGACAACAATAACAACAACAATCCGATCAATAACATTCCGAACGTTTCAACTTTGGCAGATGTAAAAGACTTTAATGATGATGATGAATCCATCACTGATCATCAAGAAAATATAATGCAACCATCCATTCCTTTCCGAATGTTCACTGCTCAAGAACAAACCGGACAGGTTCCTTCTCAGCGTTCACAAATTGCCTTGGTTGCAGTGCCTCCACGACATTCATTATTCTGTTTGGGTGGAGTCGTCGACAAACCCTCTAATCCAGGCAGTGTACTTCAAGTTTATGAATTTGATTTAAGGACTGGAGTTTGGAAGCAACATTTGGATGGAGGTGAATCAAGTACATCTAAAGTCGGAAATTTGTGGGCTTTGAAAGCTTGTTATAGAAGAGCTGATCATCATATATGGTGCTTTGGAGGGAATACTGATTCGAGTTTAGCATCCTTCAACGTTATTGAAAATATTGCTCCCTATGGAGTATTCTGTTTGGATTTACATACTTTTAAATGGAAAACCAAGTTAGATCGAATTGGGAAATTAAATTGGAGAAGAGCCACCAAGAAGGATGGATATCCATTTGCTCTCCCTGAAAATGAAACAACAGCATCAAAACTTGGAGAAAAACGATATGGTCACGCAATGGAAATGATGAATGATCAGTCAAAATTAATAGTTTTTGGTGGAGACAATGGTACTGGATTAGAATTGAATGATTTTATCGAGTTCGATTATAGAGATTTATTATGGAGACCAGTGGAGGTATGTTGTCACAAACTGTTCAATGGAGTTCTCATCTATGTCGTCTGTGTTTATTAGGTCGTTGCTGGAAAGACGCCTTTGATGAGACATGTTATGTGCTCTGCCATGACGAACACGGACAAGTTTTTCATATTCGGAGGTAGGTTTGGAATTGATTTTTAGTTCTCTCGTTGTATACATTCAATCTCATAGGACGGTGTTTGGTTCTGAATGCATCCGATACATCATTACAAAGCTTAGCGTACTTTGATTTTGCCTGCAAGACATGGTTTAATATTGAGATTAATTATACATTTCCATCCTCTCGCTTTGCATTGGCTTTTTCTACATTTCAAGCTTATGGAAAGCCAAATCTAGTATCAAGACACAGTGACGTTCATCATAACTATGAATCATTTTATGAATATTTGTGCATGCATGGCGGAAGAAATGATGGTCACAGATTTAATGACACTTACATTTACAACATTGAGGAAGAAAAATGGATATCTTGTAAACTAGTTGATGATTCCATTGGAATTGCTGAAACTCTGCTCGAACAAGAGAAAGACATTCAAATAATGACTCTATCTAAGGAAAGGAAAATGAAACGAAAAGAATTGTCTTCCAAAGAAATTATTTACCGAGGTGGAAATATTGGCCAATGCATTTCCTATAATGACATTAATTTTAAGAGTTCAAGCTTATTTTATGATTACAGTTTGGGAATGACAACTTTTTCAATGCCAATGGTATCTCAATATCCAACTCCTCTCTCTCTTAAATTCATTAGCTTTGGAGGAAAAACCGGCTTTGATACATACTCTGTGTATGATTCGTCTCTACTTACGTTTGATCTCACATTTTTCAATTACCAAAACGATCCTTCACTTTTGGTAGATCCAACTAAAAGCGCGTCTACAGATGCATGCTTGGAAGAGCTCTCTGTTAAATTGTGGTTCCAAAAGCAATTCAAAGATTGCTCCATTGTGGATGCTAGCCACAACGCCGTGGATTGTCACCGTTTTATTCTTGTGAAAAATAATTACTTTAACAATATTATTCAATCACAACAGTACAAGACAGACTTGAAAACAGAACATTTAACTCTGATACTCAAGTACTGCTACGGTATTGAACTCGCTCCAAGAGACGCAGGATTATCTTACCATGTACATCCCACATTAGATTTTGATTTAAAGGACAAGTCCATGATGGATTTTATTGACCTATATTCTGTGGTCCATGATATGAAATTTGTTGAATTACTTGAGTATTTGAGAAAATTGTTGACTGTCACAATGAATATTGAAATGGCTACTTCAATGTTCAAGGAACTCTGCAGTCTTGTGCAAAAGAGAGACACAGAACCCCTAAACGAACTACTTAGATTTTGTGCTGACTATTTACGTTTTACTGTGTTGCCAGAGATGGAGGTTCTTAGAGATGCTGAACTAGAAATTTTCATTAGCTCTAATAACTTTTCATTGCAAGAGACCTCATTATTCCGTTCCTTAATTTCATCTCCTGTGCCTCCAAACTTTAATTTCAAACATTATGTGAAGAGGAGAGTCATGCTTGCACGTGAATATATGCATTTGAATTTGATTGCACTTATGTCCAATCCATCAGACATCAAACTTACCACATTTTCCAATATTATTGTAAGGTTAGATGATTCGATTCGATTCGAAATTGAAGCACCCTCAGCATTACTTTCTCTACGATTTGATTACTTCAACAATTTAATATTTAACAAACTTTTTTCAGAACATCAATTGGATATTGAGCTACCCACAGAAGTATTTTATCAACCACATGCCGTCCATCCATTGCTTAATTTAGCAGTCGTGTTATATTATGCTTACACCAACGATGTAGATTTGGAAAATGTACTGGCATGTAAACATGTTTTTCCAACACAAAAGAATGATCATGAACAAACCACAAACAATGAATTTCAACCAGTAGAAATTACACAAAGCCTTCTCATTCAGTACATTATTGATATTTATTCATTGGCAGACTTTTTGGCATCTCTCTCCATGAAAGAAAGTATCTTAAAATATGTCAGAAGATTGATTGCCACTGAAAAACTAAGCACTGAAACGGTGACAAGAATTTCTCAAGAACTTGCATCGGACCATGAGAATACCTCTGATCTATTAAGCGAAATTTATGAAATGTTTCATGACTGTTCTGACGAGTACGTGACTCTCCAGAAACAAGAAGTAAGAAAAGCGAAACGTTTTGTAAAGCCACCTCCTGAAACACTTGACATTGAATTCGAGGAAGAAGAAGAATAAGTTTATTTTGTGAATCTTTCAAAAGCTATGATCTTATTGTAAAAATAGAGAAACTTGGAGAGTTTTATCATTCAAAATTTGATCCTCTTGAAGAAAAGCTTTAATGAGCCAAGGAAATCAAAATATTTAAATTGACAATAATAAAAACATGCGTGTGTATGTGTAATTTGCAAAATTGTTTTATTGTTGATGGGAAGCAGCTGACTTAGAGTCTTTGGGAATTTCTACAGTTTTAGACCCCTTAAAGAAATTAATGGCCATTTTCACCACAATCTTTGTGATAATCATGAACCAAAATAGATTCAAGAGGAACAGTAAGGATGGCAGGATGATTGGTACTCGTTGGTGATAGGGAGAGAAATTATACTGGTCTGCATGATAGAAAATGTGAACGTTTTGAACAAAACACCAAATAACTCTGCAAACTAAAAACATCAACCAAAACAGAACACCGTTCAGCTTGAACCATATTGTTTTCTCATAATGCAAAAATTCCATGAACCAACGGTGTTGTAAAAATGGTGTAGTAATTTCAGTAATTAGGAGAGTAATGCAATACAGCACACCAATTCTGAAATTCAAACAATACAATATTCCTAAAATGCATACTAAATGATGAATGATCATGCTTGTGTTGTCAGGAAATGCTTGTGGATATCTAAAAGTGGTAAAAATTAAATCATGAACAAAATAACCAACGCTGATACCTAAAACCACTTCATACGATATTACCCATCCATGGGCAGCGTCACCCCAGGTTGTTGGTTCATTCACTAAAACATAAATGGCTGCAATAGTGGAAAACCAAGCATGAGTGTAGGAAATAACCTTATTGTAGAAGGCAATTTTGTGATTTTCATTGATTTCTGGTTTGCCAAGCTTTTTAATTCTCTGTTCGAGAGCGACAAACACAAACTTGTAACAAATTAACTTGACAATTTGTTCAAATAGATAGCAAAACACAAAACTACAAGCAGCAATAAATAAAACATTGTATGGCATTGGTGTGGTGGTTAGGAATGTGCACTGAGTATTATATTCAATAAATGTTGGACTATGGAAATAGCTGTGTAGTAAAAACACAAATATTTGATGGTATCATGAATATCGGAGTTAGTTCATGTCATTCCACAAGATAACAACATTCAAGAGTTGTGGAAGAACCAAATCATATCAATAATCAACATCATCATTTCAAAGAGTCATCATCTCTATGTTTCCAAATCATCCTCAACCTACCAATACTTCCAATATTCCTTCTCAAAAATCTCACCCATAAACTCCATCTTCTCTCTCTCACAAATTATTATTCCGATGATGTGGTGAAGGCGGCGAGAAACACAAAGATGTAATTTTTTTAAGCCGCTCGCAAAGATGTTCAACGGTTTTCTTCATGAACGAGAAGGCCTTCTCCACATCGGGAGGATGATGACCGATGAATATGAAGTTTACAGGCGCGACCTTCGATGAAGCAGGTGAACACTGTTCTAATAGATTCTGAAGGTTTTCTATTGTACAAACAACATGCCCTTAAATCTTCTTCACCTTCAACATAAAAAATGCTTGCAAGTGAAACTGAAGAAAAATCCATCATCACGCCGTCTTCCGACGATATCGATCAACCACAAGACAACAAGGATGATGATACAACAAAAACAACACATAATGAAGCAAAGCTAAACAAAGAAGATGATCGTTTTGAAAACACAAAAGAAAGTAGCACTACGACAACAGCTACTTCTGAAGCTGCTTCTTCAAATCAAGAACAACAAGAAAAACAAACAAATCAATCATCATCGGAAAAGAGAAAGGAACGAGAGTTTGATCATAGGAGAGATTATGGACGATCCAATGATAGATATTATAATAATAGGTACGATGATAGACGTTCGGATTACAAACGAGATTACCGAAGAGATGACCGATACGATAACCGAAGAGAGGACAGACCATATAGTCGACGAGACGATAGAGGATATTCAGGAAATTATGACAGACCATACTACAATAGAAGAGATGACCGATTTGATCGGAACAGATCTGAAAAGAAACAAACTCAACAAGAAAACGTTTATATACCTCCTTTCAAGTTAAGAAAAATGCAACAAGAAACAACGGATACGTCAAGCGAAGAATTTCAAAAGTTAAATTGGGAAGCGCTTCAAAAGACTTTGAACGGTATTGTGAACAAAGTGAATGCAACAAACTTGGCTGACGTTATTCCTGAGGTTTTTGCGGAAAATATCGTAAGAGGAAAGGGATTGCTAGTGAAAGCTATTATTAAGGCGCAAAATGCTTCCAATCAATTTAGTAATGTTTATGCTGCTTTGACTGCAGTCATAAACACAAGAATTCCAGAAATCGGAGAATTATTGCTTAAACGAGTGGTAGTGCAGTTTTTAAAGGCATACAAGAGGAACGACAAACAAAAATGCATTTCTTCTTGTCACTTTATTGCTCATTTGGTGAATCAGCAAGTAGCAAGTGAAATTCTCGCAGGACAAGTTCTAACGTTGCTGCTTGAAAAAGCTACTAATGACTCGGTAGAATTAGCTGTCACATTTGTGAAAGAGTGTGGCAAAACATTACTCGACATCGCACCTAAAATTTTAACAGCAGTTTTTGAGGCCTTTAGGAACATTCTACACGAGGGACAAATTGATAGACGTGCCCAATATATGATAGAAACATTGTTCAATATACGAAAACTAGAGTTTAAGGATTATCCATCTATAAAAGAGGAGTTGGATCTTGTGGAAGATGATGACAGAATTATCCACGATTCTATTGAGCTTTCTAGTGATTTAGATACAGAGGATCATCTTGACAATTTCCAATATGATCCAAACTTTGAAGAGAATGAAGCTAGATACAAGGAAATCAAGGAAGAAATATTAGGAGAAGGAGAGGGAGAAGAAGAAGAAGAAACCAAGCCAGCAGAATTTGTGCAAGAAATTCAAAATTTGGAGGCTGCTCCCGAATCAAGCACCACCACAACAAAGCCAACACTTCTCGATCCAAAAACCAAAACAGACGAAGAGTCCACCAATCTTAAGCGAAAAATTTACCTTACTATCATGTCGTCACTTACTTTTGACGATTGTGCTCACAAGCTTTTGAAATCTGGACTTGCTAAAGAGCATGATATGGAAGTATGTTCAATGATCATTGAATGCTGCAGTCAAGAGAGAAGTTATTTGGACTTTTATGGCAGTTTGGGGGAACGATTTTGTAGTTTGTCTGATAATTTTAGGATTGACTTTGAAGAGTGTTTCAAAATCCAATATGGTATTTTACATAGATATGAAACCAGTAGATTGAGAAATATTGCCAAATTTTTTGCTCATTTGCTAGTTTCTGACTCCATCTCATGGTCCATATTTTCCAATGTCAAACTCACTGAAACAGACACCACTTCGTACAGTAGAATTTTCCTCAAAGTGCTCTTCCAAGAATTGAAAAGCAAACTAGGAACAGAAAATATCAAACAGCGATTATTGAATGACGAAGAACATCAGCAATACTATGTTGGATTATTTCCCAAGGATAATCCAAAGGTACTTCGGTTTGCAATTAACTTTTGGATTTTAATTGAACTTCCACAATTGGCTGAAGGTCTAAAAGCATATCTTAAAGAAATGGCTACCAAAGTCACAGAATCTAGCAGCAGTGAATCTGAAAGTGAAGAATCCGATAGTAGTGAGTCAGATGATTCATCCTCTGACACCTCATCTGATGAAGAATAAATTAAGTATTGAGAAATTGACAACAATTTGGAAAGGTATAAAATCTAGCATGTTCCTCGTCCTGTCAAGACTTGATGCACTCTTTTGTCATGCATCTCTGTTGGTAGAGTCCATGGATGACCTTCAATTAATGAGATGTTCTTTTCCTTGAATTCACGAATCACTTCGTCAGGAAATTGAAATTGTTCGTCCATGAATTGGCACGAAAAACAAACGCCAAGTAAAAATGTCTCAAAATTAAATTGTCTTTGTAAATGCTCCAAGCGTGCAAAGAATTTATCATAGTAACCTTTTCCACGTCCCAATCTCTGATTTTTAAAATCAAAAGCTAATCCTGGCACAATAACTAATAATTTGCTCTCTCCATTGAGACTGTTCATCAAATTCATTCGAAATGGAAGGCTTTCTTCTGGCGGTTCCAATAATTTAAATTTACTCTTCAATTCAAAGGTATTAAAATCTGCTTCATCTTTCACTTGCACCATTTCCATCTGATCATGTTCAACGGTAATCACAGGAATAAATAATTGTTTTCTTTGTTTCAATGCATCCATAATTATATCCATCGTATTCACCTCAGCTCCGGATTGCATTGGAATATAACAACACACATGAGTACAAGTTTTGTAAAAATCGCAATGATTCATTACGTGGTGTGTAATCACTTGCGATTGTTCCGAGATTTCACTGTTCGTGAGTTGAGCGAGTTGTTTCTTGAAAAATCTTCTCAAGATGGCTTTCATTTTTTTTCCAATTTCCTCGAAACAATCCTTTCTCTCTCTGCTTATTCTTGTAATTTTAAAATCCATGAATTCATTAGAAGATTCAAAAATAATCGAAGAAAGAAGGAAATTGCCCATAATTGTTCTCCATTCAACCTTGAACCACAACAAGTAAGTGGTTGAATCATTTTAAAAAAAATAATGCAATCTGTGCACGTGTCTTCTCAACCCTCAACTCCTCCAACGCTTAGCGTTCCGAAATCTCAACTTTCAGGAGATGAAACGAATGAAGCAGCGACTGAAAATTCTTTAGAATGGTATCAAAAAGCGGACACTCTTGAAAATTGGCTTCAGAAACAAATGTTGTTGAAATTATTGAAACAATTTCAACCAAATAATTACACTGCAAGGCTCGAACTGTCCTTTGATAATACATTCACTTCGGAACATGGTGTAACGTTGAATGATCTTTTGAACAATGCAAATTTAGAATATTGCAAGCAGTTTTCGAGATCACTCATATCAGACACGTCTGGCATAATGACTTGGAATCACAAATGGAACGAAAGAATTACTTTGTATTCAGGAAATGTGACACATTTATCTTTCAAACATACCCCAAATAGACAAGTGAGCTTAGTGAATGCTTCAAATGAATCATTGGTTATTGGTGGAGGTCTGAATGGAACTATTTATGAGGCATGTGGTATAGATGAAATGACTCGAGCTGTTTCTCATACTGACACTTGGATTTATCACTCACACTCACAACTTGACCCAAAATGCCCGGTTGGCGAAATCGTAGTGACAGATTCATTCAAACTGGCACAAACTAATGGTATTGATTATATTATTCACACAACAGGACCAAGAGGAAGAGATTGTGACTATGATGAAGAAACAAAGAGAGATTTACTTGCTAATTGCTACCGAAATAGTCTTTCGTTTCACTTTAAGCAATTACCAAAGAAATATCAAGCTGAGGATTTGTCACAGATTTATTCAGCAATTATTTTTCCTTGTATTTCTACAGGAAAATTTCACATGAATCAAATAGAAGCTTGTAACGTTGCTTGTGCAACAGTTAGAGATTTCCTGTTAGAGGAGAATAGTGATAAGGAATCTCCGTTACATCAACTTAACTGGAGAATAATTTTTTGTACATTTAGATGCAGTGAGCAAGCATTATATGAAACATTCATGGATTTCTATTTTCCATAAATGTGTCTCTAACATGAGTCAATGGATGGATAGCACACACAGAACGAGCCGCTGTCCATTAGTAACATAGATTCTCCATCGCTGTTCCACCTAAAGTTTTGTACATTAAAGCTAGCACTTGGAACGTCCACACAAGAACAGCCCTCTTTTGACCAGATATAAATTTTACCATTACCAGTGCAGATGGCAAGTCGTGGATGCACAGGATCCCACTGTGCCTGTCTAATTGGTTGTGTTTGAATAACGAGAGAGCACAATGACAATTTGCTGGTTTCCCAAATCCATAAAGTGTTGGGCATACTGTCATTTCGTGTACACAGATATTTAGAATCACAAGACCAGTCCATTAAACCAATGCCTTCTTGTGGATTCGCCTTTTTGTAATCAATATTCTTGAGTGATTTTATCTGCACCGGTAGCTCGGCAATAACATCTGAAAGGAAATCGTTACACATGAATTCGAAAAACCGTAAAAAAGAGACTTACATCTGGTTTTGCTGTGTGTAGTGTTTTTGGAACCAACAAACTCAACTTCTTGAAAAACAACAGGATTATTAGGGTGGCTCTCTAAGGAAACAGGACTGGCGTGTTCATAGGTGCCAGTAAGATTCCATGTCAAGTGATTCAACAATCTTGCTTTTTGATCAAAGCTTCCAATGGCAAGAAGCTGTCCATTGGGGGACCATTTCACGGTTTTCACTCCTAAGAGGTCATTATATGCCGAGTAGTGAGAAATTTCAGATCCAGCCGGGGAGTAAATAGTCACAGAATAATCGAGAGGATGATCCCAAACAACTAAATAACGACCATCTGGAGACCACTTGATATCTGTTAAATTCTTTGTTCGTACAGGAAAATGTTTGACTAATTCCCAGGTTTCTGTTACAATAATTGAAATGTAGTCTTTACAATCTCTTCTTTCGGCAAGAGCCATATATTTTCCTCCGTTTGGAGTAAAGTCCAATCCTTTTGAAGTATATTTTGGATATTTAATATGAGCAACATGTCCACTAAATTCGTCATTTCCATCCACATTTAAGGAAGAATTCTTGAGCGACCAAATTGTTATTCTTAATTGAAAATCTGCTGTAACAAGAACATGTCGAGCATCTGGAGAAAATCTTGCAAAACTCACTCCAGCAGGACCCTCCTCAATTTTACATTTCCATGTGTTATCACTCACGCTCCACACTTCAACACATGATCTCTTGTATTGAGCACACAATACAAATTCACTGTCCGAGCTCCAATCAATCTGAGAAATCACATCGGAACAGGTGTAAAATCTTAGCACTTGCAAGGACTCCACGTCCGTTATTACAAGTTTGTACCCAGCAGAGCTAGCAATGTATTTTCCGTTTGGAGAAAACTTGCAAATTCCAGAGTATTTGAATACTTCGCTGAAATCCATGCTTCTTTGGTTTGAGTATTTTTTTTGTTTGGCGAATTGAGAAATTTGGCGCCAACTTAAGAGTTGTAAGACTTGCAGTGAATGAGATAGTTATGCTTCTGAAACTCTCGATTACTAACGAAAGTAATTGAACAGAACGTAATACACTTTCATGATGCATTAAATCTTGTAAGTTGTTTTTGGTGATTTCTGCACGAAAAAAAATGAATCAAATTCCTTCCTCATCATTCATTCCAGCACGAGTATTGCTAGAACCCTCGTCGTTGAATTTGAACATCATTCCCGAGAGGACAAATTATTATTCAAAAAGAAGAGAGGGTAGTTTTTATGGAAATCAATGGGTCGTAGATTTGAGAAGTGGACAATTAAAGAAACAAAAGTTTTTTGTGAAAGATAAAAAAGAATTTAATGAATTATTAAATCAAACTTTCATTCCTCTGGAAGAAAGATACATTGGAGGCCCAATTATAAGTGGAGAATCTGTAAAAAAAGAAAATGAATTTTCAATGTTTCAATTATTGGAATCGGTGTGTGATGTGATCAAGGACATAACTTTTGGAAATTCATTCTTTGAGATGTCAGACAGTTTTCAGAGGTTATTTACACAATCAAGACTGTTGTATAAGAAAATATTATCAAATCGTAAGCATGTGACGTCTGGTGATGAGGGAATTCGTCCTCTTATTAATCAGAAAAAATCAAAACAACACGCCCAAAAAAGCACCATGAGATTCTTGCAGCACCTTAAAACAATTGCTTCAAACAGAATACGCATTCGAAAAATAATTTATCGTTTGAAATTAATGAAAAGAAGAATTGAGCATGAACAACAATTAACAGATGTGTCAGCTTTTCAAAATCTTTATGAACATATTTCAGACATGAGACAGAGTGTTCACTTCAGGATATCATGTTCTCAGCTGGCCCAATACTTGTTAAGGAGAGATGTTTCATCTTCTACTCCTCGTTTTGACTCTCAAACAAGCGATAAACAACAACCAGAAATTCACAACACCCTTAGTCGTCTCTTCAGAGAATTACAGCGTGAAGTGGAATCAATTGTAGGATTACATGACAACCATTGCCATACAAACAACTCCATTCTTTCCCAACCTCACAGGCAATACATTCACAACCAAAACACAAAGCTTCTCTTTGAGATGATTCAACACCAATTAACGTCTTAAGGCGCCCGCATACGCAAGCTTTCCTTTTTCAGACTCATTCACCACATATGCGTGTTCTTCTCTTTGCCAACCAATTATTCTAGGAGACAAAACAAGCATTTTCAAAACCACACAAAAAATGTCTTCAAATTCCGTCCAACAACTCGCCGAGCAATGGTTGCAATTGGATCCCTTTGATAGAACCCGAGCAGAGATTCAATCTCTTCTTCAACAAGGAAACATGACTGAATTGGACAAGCGTTTAACCAAACGTATTGAATTTGGTACAGCTGGTTTGCGTTCCGTGATGGCAGCAGGATTTTCTTGCATGAATGAATTGATCATCTTGCAAACTTCTCAAGGTGTTTGTAAATACGTTGAGAAGGAAACATCAAGCACATCGGATCGTAGTAAGATTTCTATTGTCATTGGATACGATGGTAGACATCATTCCAGACAATATGCCCATTTGGCTGCTGGTGTGTTCTTGTCGAGAGGTTTCACTGTGTATTTGTTCAGAACGATGGTGTGCACTCCTTTTGTTCCTTTTGCTGTCAGTAATCTCAACAGAAAGAAGAAGGATGGAGAACGATGTATTGCTGGTATCATGGTTACCGCATCCCATAATCCAAAGCAAGACAATGGATACAAATTGTATTGGGAAAATGGTTGTCAAATCATTCCTCCACAAGATGAGTACATCTCCGAGCAAATTATGCAAAACTTGAATGTTTGGGAGGAAGTTAGAAAGCAATTAAAAACTCACGGAACTGGAGCTGATGAAGAAGAGGTCATTGATTTGTCTCCATGGAGCCAATTGTTACAAGATCCATCTAGTCAAGCTGATGATTATTTCGAAGCCATCCGTTCCTATAATTATGGCTCAGGAAAGCCTGTCATCTCCGATGAAAAGATTGTTTATACTGCCATGCACGGAGTAGGTACTCCATTCACCAATAGAGCCATTGAAGTTTATGGATTGCCAAAATGCGTTCCAGTAGAAGAACAAATTGATGCTGATCCAGAGTTTACAACTGTTAAATATCCAAATCCAGAAGAAGGAAAGGGAGCTCTAAAGCTTGCAATGGAAAAGTGTGAAAATGTTGGAGCTATTTTGATTTTAGCCAATGACCCAGACGCAGACAGATTGGCTGTTGCTGAAAAACAACTGGATGGAACATGGAGAATTTTCAATGGTAATGAAATTGCCATGTTATTGGCTGACTGGGTTTGGACACATTACAAACTTTCTCATCCAAATGGTGATTATTCAAAATGTGTCATGATTGCAAGTACTGTCAGCTCAAAATTATTGAAAGCTATGGCTGCACATGAAGGTTTCAAATTCGATGAAACTCTCACTGGATTTAAGTGGATTGGAAATCGAGCTGATCAATACATTAAGGATGGATTTACATTTTTGTTTGGTTACGAAGTTGAAATTGGCTTCTTGGTTGGAGATTGTAGTTTAGATAAGGATGGTGTAAGAGCAGCCTCTGTCTTTGCTGAAATGGCACACCATCACTACAAGACTGGAAAGGTTAAGCGTCTCAGTGAACAAATTGACAACATTTATTCCAAGTATGGATACTTTGCTATGAAAACTCGTTACTTCTTTACTCCAACAACTGAGCTATTGCACAGAGTCATGGAAGATCTCAGAAAAATTGAAAATGGTGGCTATCCAACATACATTCCTAGTATTAAGGACAGTTCTAGACACTTCAAGATTAAGTCCATTAGAGATTTAACAAAGAATTTTGATTCTGCACAAAAGGATAACAAACCAGTACTTCCTGCAACTCCAACCTCTCAAATGATTACCTTTACTTTTGAGAATGGTGCCACTGCAACCATTAGAAACTCTGGAACTGAACCAAAACTCAAATGGTATGTTGAAACCAATGATAGGAACAAGGAGAAGGCATTTGAGCTCTTGGATGAAATGACTCCATCCATTCTCGAGTATCTTCTTAAACCAAAGGAAAATGGTCTAGTTGCTCCTCAAGATTAAAGATCATACCCCCAACCACTTCAATTGTGGCCCTTTGTTGCTTATTCTTCTAAACGTCTGTTAGGGTTCGCAGGCATATTTACGCTGAGAAAACCCACATTCGAATTCAGATTAGTACCTCTTCGCTGGCGAATGAGAGAAAGTCGATGTACAATTTGCGCGCCACTTTCTGAGGTGCCAAAAAATTATTAAAAAATGAATGGTCTGGATGGAGTGTCTTCTCTTGTGGTTGATATCAAAAAATTTCAAAAATTGAATAAGGAAGCGGAAGATCTGAAAGCAAAACAATTACTAGAATGCGAAGAAAGTATTCGGAATTTGGAGGGAATAATCAAAACCAAAGATGCAGAAAACCAAAAACTTCTTCGAGAATATCAAGCACTCACCAAAGCTTATAGTGCGTTACAGGCAGACTTTACGTACAACTATCAATTATTCCAGGAACGGGATGCCGAAATCTCTTCTTTTGAAAAGCTGAATAACGAGCTCCGAGAACAACTGGCGAAAAGGTATGTTCAATCAAAATGAAATGCATTCCTCAGATGACGAAGAAGAGGCTCTCTAGTAAGAACGAAAAAGAGATTTTATTAAAAGAAAAAGCACGACTTGAAGGCGAGATCAAGAAAGAAGTAAATAGAAATAACGAAATCGAATTGTATTATCAGGAACAGCTTCAAGAAAAATCAAGAGAGCAAGAGCAACTCAAACAGGCCATGGAAGCTGAGAAAATGTCAACTATCAATGAGTTCGAAGCGACTATTCGTGATCTAAGTCGAGAACACAGTGAAAGAATTAAACTCTTGGACCAGCAAAGAGGAGCTTTGGAAGGAGATTTGAAAGATATGCTTGCAGAGAAAGATGAAACGATAAAAAAACTGTTGCAACAAATTAGGGAAAAGGAGCTCATGTCCAACAAGTATCTCGCAGAAAATGAGTCTATTAAGAGGACATTTGCAGCAAAGATCAAAGTGCTGGAAGATGAAAAACAAGCACTTGACAACTCGATCACGGAAATGATGATTCAACATCGAACAGAAATGGAAGAACTGCAAAAACAACACACAAAACAACATCAACAACTGATTGCTTCATACGAGCCAACTCTTGCTAGACTGAAGTCAGATATTGACGAATGCCAGACTGTTATTAAAAACCAGAAGGAAAGCTTGAAGATATGCCAAAGACAAATTGAAGATCACGAAAAGCAACGACTCTTCGACATTAATTCTTTACGAAATGAATACGAAGAGAAGCTTCGAAAGAAAGATAAAGACATTGAGGTTATGAAAGATAAAGAGTGGGAGTACACAAAAAAACTCGAAAGTAAGGAAGACATGATTAATAGCTTAAAGAAAATGCTTGACGAGAGAAAGCAAGAAGCGGAGAGCCTGAAGGATGAAGTTAAATCTCTTACAGAACGAGAAAACAATACGAAGCGAGAGATGCTGCGCATGAGTCTTCAACTCGAACATGAAAAAGAGCAAAAAGATAAAGAAATCAACGAGAAACATGACCAAATGCTTAAAATGCTCAAAAAAGAACGAGACGACGCAACAGCAATTCTCGAAGACAAAGATCGACAAATTGATGAGCTAAGGAGAGAGATAATGGTTCTTAACACTGAGTTGTCTCTTGCAGCATCGATGAAAAAGGCCCCTTATGATAAGTTGAAACCACAAAATAAGTCCAGCTCAAAATATCAACAGCTTATTAATGAAATCGACGATGAGTTAAGCCTTGGATCAATAGATATGGTTTCTTCTCCCTCTTCATTTTCATCAAAAATGGAAAACAAAGAAGCTCCAGTGGATGTACCAAAGGTTAATGCTTCAGTAGATCTGTTAACAGTGAGCAACATGCATATGGAGCAAATCACCACTCTGAACTCACTTGTGACAGAACTAAGGTTAGATTTGGAATCTCAAAAAGAAAAACTGTACAGATCTGAAGAAAAGTTAATCAGCATGTCCTTGGAAAACAAACAACTACGAGCAAAACTGAAAGAAGCAGTACATGATTTAAAAACTTTATGTAAAGAAAAAGAAAAGCTGACAGACATGAGCAATGCCCTCAAAAAGGAAGTCATTAGCTTGAAGGAACGAAATTTTATGATTGAAAATACATTAACGCCCTTAAATGTAGCCCTCACTACTGAAGTCAACAATAATAGCAACAACACGAATGGTACACGTGACATTGGAGTCAACGGAAAGTCAAAACCTCTTTCATCTCGAAAGAAAAAACACTAGGATACCTAGTTGTACAATAAAGAAAATATTTATTTCATAATCTTATCCAAAACTTTTCAGATAATTAAACTTTGTAGTCGAGAGTTTGTTTGAATCGCGCTACTAAACTGCCAGTTCAAAGAGATAAAGTTCCATCAAAAAATGTCTCTACCTTCAACACCCACAAAAACATCATCTCCAAGTAAGAAACATCATAAAAGGCCGAACGTGTTTGAACGACTCTCAAATCCAATGAATTTCACTGGTGTTTACTTGGAGAGATTTAGATCGGGAGGAAGTCTCAATGCAGAGGCTCCATCAGGAAATATCAACAGTTTGGCTGAGATTCTGAGGCCATCGGTCAAGAGCTCAACATGCGTCCACATCTCATTCGGGTGGGATCCAGGACAACACAAAAACAGTGGACTTGTTCACGATACACCAGCTACCAGGAATAATCCCTATCATACATCCACCGGAAATTCAGCCTTGGCAGTTCCCTTTAAGGCTAAATCGATGGAAGAAAGCTCCATGAAGAAAAGACGAAAATCTTTGAGTGCTTTGTCCTCTCCTCATCCTCTTCAATCTCCTATTTTCAATTCAGAATTGCCAATGGCAACATCATCATCCTTGAGAACTCCTTCAGTCAGCAGCATCCAAAGACCGAGTAGTGCTCTACCTTCTGTTAGAAACGATTCCGAGGATCTAATATTAAGCAAATTACGATTAACAACAAACTTATTTGACGAAAGCCAAGCTCCAAATGAAAAACCAGAACACCAAGAGAATCTGTCAGAACCAGTCAGCCCAACCCTTCATCAACATTGCTCTGAGAAACAACAAGAACGGCCTGCATCAGCAAATGCTCTTTTGAACCATCCAACTGAAGAAAACATCTCTCAACACGCCAAACGATCACCAATTACCATTTACGACCGATTATACGATTCAAGTACTTACACTGGAGTGTACAAGGAACGATTTGAATCAGGAAATGGTTGCATCAATGGCTCTTCGGAGTACTACCCTGAGAATGCAATGCAGTCAGCATGTCCAGAAAAACGAGTCCAAAGAACCCCTACTAGTAAGAATTCATCTCTCAGTAACTCTCTCAAACGTAACAACAACAATGCATCATCATCAGAACATGCAAAAATGTCGCCATGCAAAACAACATCTGGATGGAATTCTCCTGAGTGCCAGCATTATTTCCGAGGCTCTTATTCGGAAACTTTCGCCAAGAAATCAAAACAAAAAAATACAATATGATCAAACAGCTACTGCTATTGCTGGTCGTGCTAGGATTATCTTACTTTTATCTTTATCCTTTCCAATTTGATAATTTAGAAAATAATGTTGCAAAACTGCATTACGAGAGATTTGGATCTCCGATGGCCAAAGACAAACTCGTAAGTGATGTGCGATGTTGATAGTTGGTAATGGTTTTGTAGATTTTCGTTGTGGGTTTAGGTGTGTAGTTTGATTCGTTATTAACGGTTGAAGCATTGATTAATTGCATTTTTCTTTAATTCTCATGAAAAAAGGAACTTCGTGGCATTGGTGGGACAAGCAAGTACACTATTTCAGTAGCCGACATCACGGCGAATTTGAAATTCTCGTAATTGACAATCGAGGAATTGGTAAATCTCCAGATATTCCGTTTACATTTCGCTATTCTATGAAAGATATGGCCAATGACATCATGCACATATTGATGGACTTGCAATGGATTGGCAACAAGGGAAATATAAATCTGCATTTAGTTGCACAATCCATGGGGTAAGTATAAGTTAGATTTTGTGGCGACAACTCTTACATTCTCACAAATACAGAGGCCTTATTGCTACAGAGATACTAAGATGGGAGAATGCTTACTTTCCGCACTTGAATATTAGCCATTTCAAGACTGTCACACTTCAAAATTCGTTTCGAACAATTTATTCAAGAGAAGCAACACCAATGCTTGACACTGTTCTCTTCTTGGTCAAATCCGGTACCATTGGCGTGCTCTCGTTGGAAATCAGGTAGGTCTTTAAATTTTGCTTAACAAGCGTTTGTTCTACGTTTTAGAATGAAATATGTGCTCGAACAAATGTTTTCGAGTGATTATGTCGGAAAACATTACGAGGATTTGTACAAACGATACTCGCCCATGTTTAGTGATTTAAGAACGATTGGACAGATGAAACAAATATTTGGAATTTTAACTCATTATGTGTCTGAAAAAGAATTTATTGAAGCCTATGAAAAGGTGCCCAAAGTTCTGCTCGTGTCCAGCAAGTTTGATCGCATGGTGCACTCAGATAACACGCCCCACATGCTAAGACTGTTGCAAAATAGTACCAATGTTCAAAGAGTGTTAGTTACTAGATTGTATGAGAAAGAATCAAACGGCCATATCATTAATTCAGAGCAACATGAAGATTATAATGACTTTTTGTACAAAAATTTGAAGTAAAAATAATTTAAGAGACGCCTTATTACTCAAAATTATCGTCATTTTCTAAAGAAAAATCATCCTCATCCTTGTGAGATTCTGTTGAAGCAGTTTGCTCAGTTTCTTCCAAGTCAATATGTTCAGCAGTCGTACTGGTATTTTCATGTTCTTCTTCTTGTGAGGACGGAACATCTTCAATCTTTTTGATATATTCATCTCTAAATGTCATGTATCTTTCAATATATGATTGAGGTACCTCTGTGAAAGGATCATCATCTAGTCGCGGTTTGGTTTTAAATGACTTGGTTCTTTCCTTTCTTTGCTCTGGTGTGACTTGTTTATCGGTTGCCTCATAGTAGAGAGGTAATTTTTCAGCACCACCTGTATTCTCTAATCGCATGGGTCTCATTGGAATAGAAATTGGTACACTTGATCCATATAGATTCACTTGTGGTTTTGGAAGTTGTGAAGGTTGCCTAAACTCGAGTCGTCTTCGTGTACGAGGTTGTTGAGCTGTCGTTGTTGACAGTACTTGTGGTTCCGTGTTTGCGACATTATTTGACAATAATTCTTCTGTTTCTGTTGTCGAATCCAATTCTTCTTCTTCCTCTTCATTTTGAGTTTCATTATCTTCAGTTGTCTCGGGTTCTTCTTCGTCAAAATTAAAGAACGCTCCAGGTGTGTATGTTCTACTAAGATTTTTTGAAACCATTTTTCTATAGTGGAAACTCTTCTGAGTTAAGTCATCATCTTCTGTGGATGGCAATGTCACTTCTGATGATTTTTTAAAACTTAATTTTGGTTGTTCAGGTTGTTTGGAAAGCGTAATTTTAGATTCCTTTTTAGATTGAAAACTTGGTGTGCTCATTGCTTGCTTGATTTTTTCATCAAGTGTGAAACTAGTGGTGTTTGGGCTTGCCTCAAAAGACGTATCGCTAAGGCCAGATTCATCTTGAGAAATTGTGCTAAATCTGGGTTGTGACATGTTGGTCTCTGATAAACGCTCAGAGCGATCTATTCCATTTTCTAAAACAAGTGTTGGTACAAATTGTTGTTGTGACAAGATGCCCTTGGCTTTTCTAAATATAATGTCTTTTTCTGCTTGAGTTTTTAACAATAATTTTTGATATTGAAGTTTTTCATTCTTCATAAAATCTTTGATTCTTTGCTCCATATTCAACTTTTCATCATTTAGCTTTTTTTGCATATCCTTTTGATACTGAACTAGAATTTGATGTTTCTGTAATTCATTATCAAGTTCTTGACATGGATTGGTTGTACTTGCTTTCGGAACAATATGAAATATTTTGGAGTAATCCTCTTGTTGTTTGATCTTTTCTTGAAGAGATTCATCCTTTTTAGAGTAATAGGTTTAAGATAATAATCAAGTAAGATTCATTTCAACAATTATTTTAATGACGATGGATCATTGATGATCATCATGTTATAATAAGATTTAAATAACTTACAATCAATTCAGTAGAGTTCAACAAAAACACTTGCTCGTTCATCATGTAAATCCCGAAAAACGTTTCACAATTCAAACATCTGTACACTTTAAAATTTGCATCACCATCCTCTGCTCCTACGATATGAGTTTCCATGAAAATATCAAGTGATGATTGAACACCAGCAATAGAAGAGCCTTTCAAGAATTGCACCTTTTTGCTCTCAACACTCGGAAATCTGGTACAAATTTCATGAACAACGGATTTTGAAAAAAGCTTTGTTGTACTGTTATTGTTGTTGGGAGAATTTGATGTAAAATTGTTGTTTAAATTCTCATCATTGTTGGTGGTTACCCCCTTCAAGGACCATTCATCAAAAGGAATAGTGGTTGATGGAACCACATTGATTTGTAAATTCAGGCATGGACATGCCAGTCGTTTGCTACTCGAATTGAAAATACCAAAAGTGCTGCTGCTTGAGGGAGCTAATGTTGCATGCCGAAAGACAACAGGAGATCGTCGTGCGAAATGAGTGGTTGATGATGGGGGAGAAGCCTGAGAGGAAGAATGGTCGGAGAGCATTTTTTGATGTTGAGCAAATCAATATCTCTTCATCGATCGAAAACCTTTGTCATGCGTATTCGAAATATATAAACACTTTCAACATCCGCACTACAAACCGGAGTATGAAAGTAAATAGCCAAAAGCGAAGCATCAACAAGTAATATTTGAATAAGTCTTTTCCTAGTTGCCAATTAGGGGTTATAGCTCAGTTGGTAGAGCGTGTGCTTTGCATGCACAAGGTCCAGGGTTCGATTCCCTGTGACTCCAAATTTTTTGTTTTAAAGATATGTTTTTTATAATCGACTGTAGCCGCAAAAAAAATCAAGTGAATCGAATTAGTTAAAAATTTTACAACTAGCCAGTATGGGATTAAGTACATATCCCTTTTATTTAAGTTTGGGATGAATGAGTATTTGAACGCTCTTACTCAATGGTACCAAGCAAGAGGATGTGACTTGAGAAACTGAAGTGCTGTTCATGGAATCATTCGAAGAGGAGGACTCTATCAGTGAAAATTCGTTTGGAATTTGTGTGGCAAAGGAGGATGCAATGGATATCTCAATAGGGCAAGCTTCGCTCCACCATTCTGTTCTCAGTTGTATCTCTTTTGAAAGCACTACTTTGTGAATATCATCACCATTGCTGCTTGTGGAAATATCTTTGAGATTGTCGATGGGAAATATTGAATGAGTGCCATCGGGGAAAGAGACATTAATGAATAATTGATCATTTTGTAAAGAAACATCTCTCATCGTGCATTGAATTGGTATCGAAAGAGAAATGAAAGGTTGATACTCAATTGGTTTTTCAACATTGGGTACAGGAGAAATGATGGTGCATTGCTTGAGTTGCATCCGTCCAACATCGTGAAGCGTCAGTTCGGCTGGATAAAATTGCTAAACGAGTTTTGAATGAATTCAAACATTGTCCACACGAAACTAATAAGGTAACAAAATTACTTACAATTTTTGATAAATGAGCGAGCGAAACCTCATGACTCTCAATGAGATGGTTCATAATTTCCGCCACACGAGGATCTAGAGGTAAATTATGGTCGTTGGAAAATTGTTGAATTGCACGCGCTAATTGTCTCATCTTTTGAATGCTTGAATGGTCATTGATGGAAAATATGTTTGTTGTCTTTTCGGCGCTGTTGACAAGATACTTCACATAGACAACAAGTCTCAAACACATTAACTGCTGTAGAATATTAACATTGAGATTTCCAAAAAGTTTTTCAATCTTGTATGTCATCTGAATAATATTCTTGAAAATACTAGGTCCAATCATCTTGAATTGCAATGCCTGCAGTATAGATAAGTAGTTTTGGCAACATGCACAATAAATATTCAAGAAGTGTATAAATACATTCAAATTTCTGTCTTTGCTTTTTGGTGTTTTTTTTAACTCACTTCTCAATGTTTTCATAGCTGAGACTGGGTCTTCTCGTTCACTGTTGAGTGCTAAATGTCTAATCTGATTAAATGCATTCACAAATGGAAGAACTAGAGAGTTCGAGTCCATCATAAAATCAAAAACTGGTTTTTGTTTCTTAGATGGTTTTTCTAAAGATAAATCATTCTCGGAAAAAGTATATGTCATCGAGTTTGAATTCATGTTGAGCGTTTTGATGGTCAAGGTTGGGAATAAATTAGGGTATTTGGAGCGAAGGTAAGCATAGTGTTTGTACATGTACTTGGGAAGATGATTTGGAATCCGAGAATTTTCCTCACTAGCGCTGAAAATGGCAACACATAGTCCAGTATAATATTCATCATCCACCTTATATTCTGTTGGCATAATATAACGTTCTAACCTCAAAAGCTCTTCGATCAAAAACTCTGTCAGTTTTGAATGATTCTTGGCCAAATCTCTTAGACATGTGTAAATTTGGTCGATATCAGATCTATACTTTCTGAGGTTATTAATCAAAAGTGCTCGAATGGCAGCTTGCAAACATCTCGCATTAGATAAAACGATGACTCTTAATAAATTTCTTACAGAAGTTCTAATTTCCGAATTAGAGTCCTCAAGAATAGCCAAAACAATTTGAAGTTGTTCCTCATCAAATCTAAGCGAAGAAGCACTGATTTTGCTCACTGAATCTATGGCATGAATTCGAACTGAATCAATTTCGTCATTAAACATTTCTATCAAATAATCAACAGATTTTCTACTAAAAAGCTCAGATTCCTTATTGAGTTCACAAATAGACTCAATTATCGCCATTCTCACACTTCTATATTGGTCTTCAAGGGCTAGTACGAATGTTCCAACAGCTCCACTATATAAAAGAGCATCCTTTTCAGTTCCCTTAATGGAGATCTCTCCGTCAACATCCTGTTCTGCAAATTCATAATTACTCAAGTCCTGTTCCATAATCATTTGTTTTTGTTGAATTGTCTTCTTCTTAGTGTTGGCATCCTCCTCATCCCTCTGTTGTTTCTTCCTGTGATATTTTGGGGTATATTCAAGCTCGATTTTTCCAAATCCTTCAAGGAGAAGGCTCTCTTTTACTCCTTTCAGTTTTCCAAGCATTCTGCAAGCTTTTGTCCTAACAGAAACTACGTGATCTCTAACAGCATTACATATTTTTCCAAAGGCATCTTCCACTAGAGTAAGTTGAGATCCTGAATGAGTGACAGTTCGGTTTGGATAAATTTGAGCCAATAACGTGATCAATTCTAAACCTTTCTCTCTCACCTCTTCGGTGTCGTCATGGAGTGAATTGACTGCTTCAGGGTATAAATCAAAAGATAATTGCATACCACGCCTGTACAAGGTAATGAAAGAGTCGATAGCTTGCTAAAATACGTAAAAAAGATAACGATTAGTTTTAAATTACATGAATTAAAAAAACATACAGCTCTTACTCTAGTGTCTCTATCATAAAGACATGATCTCAAAATTTCCATAATGGAAATTGTTTTGTTATTTTCCCCACCATTTAATGGATAAGTGATGGACAATAGTTCAACATAAGTTTTTCTTATTCCTTGATCCCAATCACATAAAACTTTTTCATGAGGTGGAAGAACCTGAAATATTGATTGAGCAAACTTGGAACTCTTTGTAGCAATTTCAATCAGCCCATTATAGGCTTGTCGCTTAATTTTGTGTGATTCATGAGATAACTGTGAAAATCAATTTTAATACTAAATCTTTTCATGCAATATGAACACTTACTAAATACGAAAGCCAATCAATGTCTTCCATTAAGTTTGCAATATCCTGTCGTTCTACATTTGAAGAAACAATGCTTGCAACAAATCTAATAAATAAAACAATTAAATCACGATCATAAAGTGGATCTACACCACCGACATCTGTTGATAAATACTGAAAAACGTTCTTCAAATATGACAATAATGATGACGAATGTTGTAAAAAAGAAAGCCCATTCAATATAAAATTATCGGAAGATGGGCTGAAATATGTGATCAACAATGTGAGAAGCGCTTTTCGTTCGAGCAAAGTTTTGGAATCTAATAGTTGTTTTATGAATAACTCCATTTCTCTGATTTCCTTTGTTTTTATATTTGCTGATGATTCTGTGATGAAACTCTCTTTTCCGACCTCTGTTGATGGAGTATTTACACTCTCTGCTTGTGTATCACCATCATCCTCATCACTCCCGAACGTGTTGGAAGAGTACAACTCTTGGAAGCTTCTTTTCATTTTTTTGTAATAATTAATCGATAAGAAAAACGTCCTGTAATGGGATGAAAGTTTTTCTATCACACTGTTTAAGGTACATCAAGAAATGTGTAACTATATTTACAATAAAGTGTTATGAACCAACTATACTATTTGCATTCAACCAGATCTGAATCGTCCGAATTATTTCTACCTCTTGTTGAGATGGTTCGTTTAGTGATCAAATGAGCAAAGGAGGTTCGTCCTTTTTGTTTCCTCTTTTTCATTTGGAGTTTAAAGTTGGTCACTCGTTCCGATTCCAAGATGGCTTGGCGACTAATTCCTTGTTTTTCAGCAAGGTCATAATTAGGAACCATGATGGACACACTACGAGTCTTTTGTGCCCTTGATGATTCAAACTCCACTAGTGGTTGATCAACTTTGGATAGGCTCGAAAAATCTGAATCATTGGGCCGGAATAATACCTTTGAGCCGATGGCTTTTGAAAATCTCATGGAAAGGCCACGTTTAATACTATTATTGCCATCCTGCGAGCTGTTTGAATGTTGATTATTATTACCGCTGGTCGATATTCTTGATGAGATTTTGTCAAATATGGATTTACTTGGCTGGTTTGATGTGGATGACGGAGCGAAAGTTGGAGATGACACCGAGACGCTGCTAGTAGTGTCTGTATTTGAATTCATTTGTGTTCGAGTGTTTGTCTTGAGAGTTGGACTTGGCATACGTTTTTAAAAAGGAGTATTATCACGTGAATGGGGTTGTTGTTGTGTTGACTTGCGAAAAAACTGAAAACAGAGAGTTGTTCGATTTTTGTTCGCTTTCTGGTAACAACGATTGACGCTTGACGCAAAGGTCTCAACTTTCCTTTTTGTCAGGTCAAAAGACTCCTGTGGCTTCCTCCTCGATCGCTTTCACCTCCTGTATGAATGACTTTCCACTTAATTCCACGCAAAGCAGAATGAGATTGTTGCCACACGCACACGACTGAACCACAGGCATGTCCTTCATCACAATGAATGGATCAGTGAGTGTTGGTAGTAGTGAGAGCACAATCCCCCAACCCATTGACTTTCACTAGTTCAAAGTTACACCACCTTCTTGGTTCTTCTTCATGATGTAATCAATGACAGGTCATCGGTTGTTTGAATGCATTTGCTCTGCTCCTCCACATAAAAACTGCACCCATCAACCATCACTGTAAAAAATACACGAAAGGCTGAAAGGTTGTGTCTGCTGCGTGCGAGAGAAAGGTATGATATTGTGATGATGATGAATTTGTTATCATTAATTGTTTTTCATGGTCAATTTAAACTTTCAATGAATGAATATTTTCTCTCTATACTATACGTTTGAAACGGAAAAAAAGAACAATAGAGAACAACAACAATCAACAACAAAATGACAGACCAAATTGAAATTGATGCTGAAGAAACAAGTCAATTGGGAAAAGCTTTCAAGAATGATATGAATGAATTGAGTGGAGTCAAAGCTATTGTAAGTGGCTGTGGTGATGTATGACTCATTGAAATGATAACATTCTTTGATCAATTTTCTTGGAAACAATACCGGTTCTCTCATGATGATGAATGCCATGTTGTATGGTTCATCATTACCTGCCAAATGTCAAAACGACGTTCTTCACCAATATATTTGATTTTGTTGGCCTATGTTTTGCGTGCCGTTTCAACCCTAAAATTGGTTTCTACAATCGATTCACCAACAACAATCAAAACGACACACATCAACACTTTACACATCAAATTCCCATTCACACTATTTCTTCATGTACTCTTCCTCGAATACTCGATGTCATCATCGAACTAACCAATGCTTGTTATGTTCTTTCACATTCGTTCTGAATCATTACCATGATTCTGTGGTACTCTCTGACATTAACGACAACTTGACATTCTTTCTCATTCAACAACAACAATAACCCAAAACAACTTTCTATAGGAAAGGATCATTACCGAGGGTAAAAGACAAATTGAGACAATATTCGGCTACAAGACAGCCATCGGTAAACTCATCCAAGTGAGAGGTGATGCTGATAACAAGAAGGAATTATACAAACAAAATCTCGCTATTTTAGGTCCAAACATTCAAATCATGAGAGATTTGTTCCAATTCAACGATGTCATGAGACAACATGTCGTCAGTTTTGTGAACGGTTTTTGCAAGAATAATACTACACCCAACGCAGAAGAATCAAAAGCATTGATTGATGTTCTTGATGTTGTCATCATTTTGGATTATTTGAAAACATGGCAAGCAGGTTTAAATAACGATTTTGCCATGTATCGTAGAGCCATTCAACACGTTAAAAAAGATTACAACATGAGCGAAGATGAAACTTTGCGTCACTTTCTCGTTAACCCTCACAACATCAATAAGGCTTTAAAAACAGCTTTTACTGAAGACGCTGATGGTTTCGAAAAAGTACTCAGTTATTTGGCCTCTGAGTGCAATAATAGACATGAAAAGGAAGAAAAGAACGAAAAGTATGTGAGAGTGGCTGTCTGTTGCATCTTTTTGATTGATCAACTCATTTCAGATGCCAACAAGTTTAACAACATGAAGAAGAACATGAAATTCCACAAGATTAACAAATTATTCGAAACAAATCCAAAGGTGTCACTTCATCATGAACTGCCTCTCAATGTTCCAAACTATTTGAAGAGTTGTCCAAACTTTACGAAGAACGCAGATTGCGACAAAGGTGTGTGTACAATTTTGTAAAAAGTGTACAATAAATTTATGAAAATATATAGACCTACTAAGATGACAAGAGTAGATTCGTATGAACTGGAGAGACTTGAAATATATATTTAGGAGAGTGGAATGTTTTCTGTGAATTATTTCGAAAAGCACTGACTAACTGACTAAAACCTGTCCATCCATTTGCTCTCATGTTCTTCATACGTTTATATATATATCTCATACATATGAGATTGGAGAATGCTCTTTCATTTCAAGAGAGCTCTTCTTCACTGAAGGAATTTCATCAGGTTTTTAAAGCCTTATTTCAATTCAAAAAAATGTCGGAACAATCGCCCCATGAAAATATAGAAAGCCTCAAAGCAGACAATGCTTCAATTGATAAGGAAGATCAACTCAATCAGAATTCTTTTCCAATCAAAGACCCAATGATAGTAGACGACAAGGAAGAAATCCAACCAACACAGGAGACTGCAGATCATTCCCAGCGGCAAACCCAGAGTAATTTGATTATCATAGAGGTAGAACGCAAATTTCAAGATTCAAAGGATGTTATTCTCGACATGATTCACGAGATTACCCATCTTCAGGTAAGATTTTTCTTAAGGGTGAATGGACTCACCAAATGATCCTCAATCAAGAGGGAACAAGAGCTTGCAAAATATCATGAAATGTGCAACAAGGAATCTTCAAAACCATCTGTTACCGAGGTGGCCTCCCTGTCCTCTCTCGTCCGAAAACATGAGTTGGAACGAGAAAAGATGGAAAATCAGTACAAAGAAAGAATCAAGGAGGTTTCTAACGAAAGGGATTTGTTAATGCGCGAGTCTCTTGAAACAAAGCTTCATCTTGAGGCCAACATGTCCATTGTGGAGAAAATTAAGGTAAGTATTTCAGCCAAGAAACAATCATGGTTTTGGCAAAGCCTTTTAAAGAAAAGAACATTGAGCTTGAATGTAACGTAAATATTCTCCAAGAACAAAACAAAAAGTTGATAGCCAATTTGTCAGGCTACCATCAAGAAAAAGAAAAGTATGAGAATACGTTAGAGAAAGTGAATCTTGAAATGGAACTGCTTCTATCCAAAGTGAAAACCTTTGAGGAGAATGGTAAGTTGGAAAACAAATGCCTTTCGAGTTTCAGTAAAAGATGTTGACGACTTGTTCATCACATACATTCTGACAAACGACATTGAAGCATCTGTAATGACCTCGGAACAAGAGAACACCAGACTTCGGGTTGAGATGCTTGAAAAATTGTTGACCAAAACAATGGAGGAAAATGCCAAGCTCTATGATGAGAACATGAGTCTCAGAAAACATCTTGCCCAATAATAATAATTCTTTTCACGATCCCGAAATAATCATAGAGGAATATCGAATCAACGTCTTTCGTTATCCTTCCCTTCGGAACTTGCCAACCACGTGTTCATTTTTTGAAATAAAGCAAAAAAAATGGGACAAGACACAGAGCAAGCTTTACGCAACGAATTTGACATAGATGATGCGGCCAAGCTCATGCCAGAGGAAGTTGTTGAAAGTAAGTACAGCCATGAAAATCAATCCGATGCGATCGTTTATTAGTTTTTGAAACGGATGTTACGTACGGCTTGAGCGAGAGCGAAGCCAGGAGGAGACAAGCTATCGTCGGGTTGAATGAATTAAAAGAGGAAGAAGAAGAATCATTACTAACCAAATTTATTGAAAAATTTAAAGAACCTATGATTTTATTATTGTTAGGAAGCGCAGCAATCAGTCTTTTATTAGGACAATATGATGACGCAATTTCAATTTCTCTGGCTGTTTTTATTGTTTGCACTGTTGCCTTTATCCAAGAATGGAGGAGTGATAAGGCTCTCGAGTCACTGAAGGAACTCACAACACATAAAGCAACGGTTATTAGAGATGGAACTCACCATATCATTGAAGCAATACATGTTGTACCTGGAGATATCGTCACCTTTTCATCTGGAGACAGAGTTCCTGCAGATGTTCGACTGATTGAAGTTGCAAGATTAGGAATTGATGAAAGTGTGTTTACTGGTGAGGTAAATCCCGCTTCAAAGAATACTGAGAAAACTAATCCAAAACATGCTGCAAACGAGGATTCAACATCAAGCCCTTTTCCAAAAGCAACCCATGTTGCTGATTGCAAGAATATAGCATTTATGGGAACTTTGGTTGCCGCAGGCAGCGGAAAAGGTGTCGTCGTTTCAGTTGGGCAAAAGACTGAAATCGGAAAAATTTCTGATTTATTGAAGTCTATCGAGGAGAAAAATACACCACTTCAAGATGCTATGGATGATTTGTCACAGAAAATTTCCTATCTTTCTTTTGGAGTAATCGGTGTTATATTCTTGATTGGAGTTTTTACTGGTAAACCATGGCTTGAAATGCTTCAAATGGGAATAAGTTTGGCAGTTGCTGCTATACCTGAAGGTTTGCCTATTGTCGTCACAGTAACTTTAGCGATGGGTGTTATTAGAATGTCAAAAAAAAAGGCAATTGTCAAAAAGTTGCCATCAGTAGAATCATTAGGTGCTTGCAACGTTGTTTGTGTTGACAAAACAGGAACTCTAACCAAAAACGAAATGACAATGGTAAAAGCATTCACTCTTGCTGATCCAGATATTTTGTATGATATTACAGGATTAGGGTATCAAGCTTCTGAAGGTGCATACTACCGAGTTCCTATGTCATCCTTACAGAATAGACATGATCGTTCTCATAACGGAGAACGAATTATTCCAACCGAAGTTCCTCATCTCAATACTTTACTCAAAATTGGTGTTATTTGCAACAATGCAAATGTAGACTTCACCACAAATAAGCTTGTAGGACAACCTACCGAAGGCGCGCTGATTACAGCAGCTCAAAAGGCTGGAATTAATGCGAGTGAATTAAGACCCAAATTCAAAAAGATTGAAGAAATTCCTTTTGGTCCTGAACATAAGTGGATGGCTGTAAGAAGCAAAAATACTGAAACCGGAAAGGAGCTGTACTATATCAAAGGTGCTGCAGAAAATATCTTGATGAACTGTACTCATTACTGTGTTGGTACTGAGTACCAAAAGAAACCACTTACGGATCAATTGAGAAAGCAAATTGAAGATGCCAATTCTGCATTTGCAGAAAATGCATTAAGAGTAATGGCATTAGCTATTGGAGAAAAGTCAAATGCTGACCTAACGTTTGTCGGTATTGTAGGTATTTATGATCCACCAAGGCCAGGAGTTAAAGACGCTGTGAAACTTCTCACTAAAGGCGGTGTAAGAGTAGTCATGATCACAGGTGACTCTATGAAGACAGCCGTTGCTATTGCCAAAGAACTTAATATCGTTCCTGAAAATGGTGATGAAAGAGAGTACGCACTTTCTGTCGATGATTTGACAACTAAGAACTTTGAGGAAAAGATCGTTAATGCAAGAGTTTTCTACCGTATGGCTCCTATTCATAAGATGAAGATTGTCAGCGCATATCAACACTTAAATTATATTGTTGCCATGACCGGCGACGGTATTAATGATGGTAAGTTATGATTACAAAGTTACTTGAAGTTAGACGACCTAATCAATGGTGTGATATTACATGAAATTCAATTTTCTCATTTCTCAACATTTTAAAAACAACACAATAGCGCCTGGTAAGTAATCAATGTTAAGATATTATACATAAAACGAATATTTCACAAAAATTTAAATACAATATAACAGCACTTAAGATGGCCAACATTGGTATTGCAATGGGTAAATCAGGTACTGATGTCAGTAGGGAAGCTTCTGAAATGATTTTAGCTGATGATCATTTCCCAACAATTCTCTCCGCTATCGAAGAAGGAAAGGGTATTTTCAACAACATCAAGAGTTTCCTTAGATATCAGCTTACTACATCCATCAGTTGTATGATTATCATTATTTTCTGTACATTCATGGGATACCCACTTCCATTGAATCCAATGCAAATTTTATTTATCAATATCATCATGGATGGACCTCCTGCACAATCTCTTGGTGTTGAACCTGTGGATGATGATGTTATGAATCAACCTCCTCGTGACACAAAGAAACCAATCACTTCAGGAAAAATCATTATTTCAATCATGATATCAGCCCTTATTATGGTTATTGGCACACTTTACGTTTTCATTAGCGAAATGACTGAAGATGGAATAGTGACGGCTCATACTACTTCTATGACATTTACAACATTTGTCTTTTTCCAAGTTTTCAACGCCTTCAACTGCAGATCAGAAAAGAAGTCTCTTTTCCAAGTTGGTCTTTTCACTAACGTTCCATTACTTTTTGCTGTTGGAGGTAGTGCTTTGGGTCAATTAGCTCTGATCTATGTTCCTTTCATGAGAGCTATTTTCGAGACAGAACCTCTTTCACTTTCAGAGCTGATGTTTGTTCTAAGTGTTTCTTCAAGTGTTTGGGTCATTGAGGAAGTTATCAAATTTTTTGAGCGAAAAACGGATAGGAGTTAGATAAGTGCTACTCCTTGACACAAAATTTTGAATAAATTATTATTGTTGTGAATTGGATCTGCAACTGCACCACCACTCACTCAAGATGAATTCTTTCAAACTCAAAGTTAGTGTACAGAAAACGAACCTATTTTTATGAATCATCAAAAAAAATATTTTCGATTTAAAAAAGTAACGACACACATTTCGGAAACATAAATTTTGCTGCTAGGTCCGCTTCCTATGATTCTCCTCTTCATCAACCTTGAGTAAATCATGTCTTCAAGTAGTACTACCAGCAATTCTTCAAAGAATGACGCGAAAGTGAATTTTGAATATTTGTGGAAAGAATTTGTGTTTAAATCGGTAAATTTAATATTGAATCACCGTATAAATTGGCCTATAGATCGGGTGAAGGATGAAAAAACAACATCATGGGTAGGTATTAATTACAAATTTTAGAAGTGAGCGCGTTAATTGAAACTGTATCTATTTCATCTGCTGTTATTAAGTTTCAAATTAAATTACAAGAAACGGAAGAGGTGAACAAAGATTTGGAGAAGCTGTTCAAGGCCTTCTCGCCAAAATCAACGCATAAAACTATATTTATTGATATATATGCCGAAGAAACGCCAACAAGCCCAAACGAAAAGGGAAAAAAACATTTAATGGAGAGATGGTGTATTGAATATATGGATAAATCAAAAGAAGCCACACTCACCGAAAAGCAACAAGAAGAATTGAATTATCAAGTTCGTGTGGCATACAGAAAATTCATTGTACTATTCCGATCTCTATTTTCATATATTCTGTTATTACCGGCGTATTCTATCTACCAAAAGTTACAAAAACATAGAACTGGAATGGGATACACTTTAGGCTTCGTATTGTCTCCTGTTGAACCAACTTCACCTATCGAGCCAAGTAAGTACTTTGTAATTTATTGATCAATTCTTAAATTTTTGTTCGACATTCTTCAATTCATCGCTCAAAACAGCTTATTTGCGAAGTGTTGATTTTCATTCTATTGAAGCCACTTCAATGTGCAAACTCAAAGTTAGTGTAAAATACAGAAAACAAAAATTTTCAGAGCTCTTAACTGTCAACGATCATTCAGTATTAAGAGAAAGTCAAATTGACGTGGATTACTTTTCTGATAACAAAAATGAACAACCAATGAATGAGGATCAAAAGAAAAAGAGGACATTATCAGTTCATTATAGTGAACCAATTTCTAGTAATTTAGAAAATCCTATTGAACCATCATCTCTTAAAGAGGAAATTATTCCTACTCTTGATCTTGATCGAAAAAGGGAGAGAGCTATGAGCGTGCCACCCAAAAAAAAGGATCAACAAAATGTCAATAATGAAGATATTCCAAACAGCAGTCAATCTCTCAGCAAACCTGTAAATATTCCACTCACCTTTGAACGCCACAAACTTCCAAGCAAATTTCTGCCAACAGAAACGCCTCCATTCTCTCATGCCTTTTTTCCCTTGGATCATCTCCTGCCTCATTACCTCGTCAAAACAGTGTAAATAACATGACACATGTATCTCCACCATTTGGAAGTTTTGAAAATCTCAAGTTTTCCCCAATTGGATCTTATACTCCACCTTCAATGCTTTCTGAGTCTCTTTTGAAAGAATCTCCAAGCTCAACCCAAGCATTTGAAAGATATAGTACAGTACCACCCATGTTTGTCGGAAGCTTGAAAGACATTCCAAGCTCACTGGAGTCTCATAGACACAAATTCCAAATGGACTTTATTCCAACCCTTCTTGAAGATATTGAGAGTATGAGAGAGCATGACGAATTTGATCATGACCATCATGGCTCATCAATAACAGATGATGACTTTCCATTTCTTGGGTCCATGGAGGAAATGCACAACAACATGACTGGCAACGAGGGACACGACGATGACAAAGACGAAAAAATTGGTGCACTTTTGACCATGCTCTCCAAAGCTTCACACCATTCCACCTCATTCAAACCAACACCAATGGAAAATATTGCCAAAGACTTTGAGCAAATTAGAAGTTTGTTGCAATCGTTAGAAAAAAGCAATAAATGATTGCCATGTATAGGTTAATGATATTCAAATTTACATGTCATTGAATTATGTACATTTTAAAAATTGCTCATCCTCATTTACATCTTGAGAAAGGATGCCTCTTTATCCTTGATTTGATGTTCAAGTTCAATACTTCTACCCTCTTCGCTATTAGACAACCTCTTTTTTCTCTTTAATAGCAACAATTCAGCACGTAGTTCACGAATTTCCTCTCTTAACTGTTTCGCTTCATACTTGTTTTCACTATATCTAAATGATTCCTTTGGAGTCATGCCATGAATGGACGTTGCTTTTGTGAATGGATGATCAAGTGTTCGTGATCTATTTCGAGTGAGTGGTGGTTTCAGTTCTTGACCAGCAGCATTGCCATCGAATGCGGTTGTAATTGTTGATGGGGCATTAGAATCAACAGATGATCTTCTGCTACTACTAGTGGATACCAATCTACCTTCCGAATCAAAACTCTTGATTTGGTAATATTTTGGAAAACCCACAACCAATCGAATGTTTAATAAATCTAAATCCTCTTCCAGCACTTCATATGACTCTTTTTGCAACAACATTAAATCATGCTCTAATCTGTTTAAATTTTGCAATTCAGTTGTAATATGCTGACTCTTCTCTTCATCTGTTAAATTTGAATTAAATCGGATGGAAAGAATTTGTCTTTGCTTTTCGTAAATATCTTTGTATTTTCCTTCGATGAAATGATGGGAAGACAACTCGGCAGTTTTTGAAGGCGGTGCAGAAGACATGTTTCCTTTGAGTATTTTTTTGGGTTGCTTGATGACATTTGGCAAATCCGGATCCATAAAACAAAACTTGTAATCTCTATTCAAAAATATTCTCGAGTGCCGGGAATTGAACCCGGGTCGCCAGAGTGACAGTCTGGAATGCTACCACTATACCACACCCGATTTACTGAAATTGTTATTATTATTATTTATATTACTATTTAAATCTTAGGCATTATAATCTGTGATGGATAAATTGTGATCTCGAGTCTATCAACTCATCAATCGGCCCTAAATTGTCTCCCCCAACATGTCCTTGAACTCTTTTCAAAAAAAATGTCCTCTCCATTAGATGAATCCTCATCATCAAATCTCTTTTTCGAACGCACTCGATCCAACATTAAAAAGAGAGGCACCTTTTACTTTACTTCTACCCTCTCTCTTGTACTCTATGTCATCATTCCCACTCTATTATTATTTGCCTCCATTCTATATTTGCAATTCTCTTTTCAGGATGATTCACAACGAGTGAACTATTTACAACAAGCCTTCGGAACCAAAGCTTATTCTTTATTGAATCACTATTTGGGTAAAATTGCAAATATGACTGCAAGTGACGAAGAATCCGCATTGGAAATGAATGAATCTTTATCCAAGCGATTGAATAGCATGTTCACATTTACAGAATTGAAATATGGATTATTTGTGAGTGCATTGGTGGGATTGGTGATTTATATGCGAGTAGTTGTAATGACAAGATTGATTGTATTCACATGGTTGAGAAGATTGATTTTTGGAGCACCACCAGAGGATGTTTATTTGCTTGATTTTTGTAAGTTGTAATGAAATGCTGGTGTTGTCAAAATGTCAAATTCATCCTTGTTGGGTAAATGATTCATGGTTCTGTTTGAATGTAATGCATGATGCATCACGATGGAAATTGCAACGTGATGAAACAATGTTTATTGAACTTGGAATTCTTTGAAAAAACACTTGTTGTTGGAACATTTTAGTGACTTTGAAAAAAGAGAGAAATTCAAAAAATCTAATTGCTCTCATTGACACTTTGCATGATGTGACAAGTGTGAAATCCAATGAAATTGATCTAGTCGTTTTGGATTGCAAAGATGGATCTTTGATGAATGATATTATCAATCACTACATGAAGGATTTATGGAAATCATCATCCACTCGAGTTGTAACATTGAATGGAATGGGAATTGCAAGCATAGAATTAGCACGTCAATTATTAACTAAAAATTCAAGAGCTCTTATTGTGACAACAACAAGTAACAAGGATGCCACTGTTTGTTTCATCTCGAATAATGCAAAAGATGTTAAGAAGGCAAAATATGTGTTGGGTAGGTTGTTAAAGTAATTTCAAACTGTAATACCGTGGTTGTTTTTATCATCCTAAATAGTGAAATGTGAATCGTCATTCGCTATGAGTGATTCTTCGAACATTGAGAGAATTAAAAAGATTGGTTTGAATGCAAACAGATATTCATATATCTGCTTTGACTTCAAACAAGAGAGCGATTTAACCAAGGCACAAAAAGGTAGGTTTAATGGCGTGTTTTTTGTATTGTTGATTATTGATTTAATACCAAAATCCAATTCTCCCATTTATTAGAATTCAAACTGAGCGAATTGGTAACAACTGCCAATCATGCAGCCATTTCCAAGTTCAACACCAATGCAACTTCATGGAACGGTAAGTTGTTAAAACATCCATATTATTAATTACTTAACTTAAAATGTCAGTATTGGAATTTATTGAAAACACAAACGCAACAAAGAGGGATGAAATGATTCTTCAAATAGATTGTTCGGATGAATCAAGCAGATGTACCAGTTTGGTATGGAGAGTAGTTTAAATAAATGTTTGACTAGTTCTACAATATTTATTGAATGATACCGCAAGTTGCTCAAAGGTTGTTGTTGCTCAATAAGGATTACTAGTGGTGTTAATTTGCAAATATTTTCCAAAAGTGTTATTGTTCAGTCGAATCATTTTCTGCACTTCTTTCCTGACTAATCTTGACCTTGAGTGGATTTTCCGTGAGAAGTTGTTGTTCAATTTGTAAAAGAAGCTTTTGTGCTTCTGCAGCATCAAGGGCTTGTTGTTTCAGTCCACTAGCGACGACGTTCTTTACAATCATATTATCAAAGGCAAATGATTTGTTCTTGGAAAGTTTTCTTCCTTGATGCATGATTTGAATAATATCTCCAACATCGGTTTCGTTTGTTTCATCATGGTAGCTATTTGTCAAGATCCGGTATCATCATCAAATTAATGAATAATAATAACAATAATAATTGTGTGTTCCAACATGTTTTATCCAATCATCAAAAGTTATCATTTTGCAATATAAATGTCATTATTATCATCAACAACATTCAATCAATTTTAAACAATTCCGACTGTTCATTCGCATCCCACTCAATGAAATTACACCCGACTACACTTACAATATCTTTTTATATTTACGGAGCAACACTCCATACTTGTTATTGTAATGGTATCTTGGTACAAGTAACACACCAGTCTTTTCCATCTTTTTAGACACCACCGTACCGACAAGACGAGTGCTGCTACTAATGTTGGCCAAGTTTATCAAATGACGCATTTTTTCAAAGAGCCGAAATTTTGCCAGTTCTTGAAATTGAGGTTTTGGTGCTCAAGAAGAAGAATTTTAGAGAATATTAATTCATCTTGTTGGTTTATTGGATCACCTTTATCATGTCCTTCGTCATATAGTTGATTCATAAAACCATCATCAAATAAATAGGAGATGAAGAAGACTTCGAATTAAGTGACCAAAAGGATGAAGAAAAGGTAGATAATGATGCTGAAGCGGAGGAAGGTGAAAATGATGTGAACAATACACAAAGGTGTTTATCATCTCTTTTTCTCTTCCTCGTCAATCACAAACGGATGCTTCTAGTCATTTTCACAACAAACTTTGCATCCGATTAACATGTTAGCGGGTTTAGCGCAGTCGGCAGCGCGTAGGTCTCATAATCCTAAGGTCCAGAGTTCGATTCTCTGAACCCGCAAAAAATTTTCGCATTATTTTAATGTTGAAACAAATCATAGGAATTGTGCAAAAGAATAAAGCTTAGACATGCTTATTCTTATGAACATTGAAATGAATTCCAGAGCACAAGTATATTTTGAAAGCAATTCAAACAGATCTTGTCAAGATTTGAATATATTAATTCACAATTTTGAGCCATTGTCACCTTCTCTGGTACAATTTGTTATTTTTGCCTTCTTTGGCGTTGTATTTTGGGTAATGTCTTTGAAAAGGGAGCTCTTGGTTCCTTGTTTTACATTGAAAATAAACTCTCAACACTCATCATGACACATAAGAGGGCCAACAGCAGTCACAAACAAAGCTTTGGCAAAGCTTCATCAACAAGGAATGTCATTGAATCACCAAAGAATAAGAAGATTCAATTTAGTGACCTTTGGTTGAATGCTTGTTCATAAGACAAGTCATTCATCATCATATCCAATTCGATGTGAGTGAAATAACAACACATTCACCAAAACTCCAACCACACGTGGTACAAGATGCTCTGAACCCCGTAAAAAACACCCAAACAATCAACTCAAAGCAAAGAATTTCAGAAAGAGAGTTCTTGTCACCCAACAAAAGGTTGAAAAGGAGAATTCAGCCAGATAACAAGAGGAACATTTGTTGAGAATTCAAAAGATGATAGGGAATGATTTGAGATTGGAAAGTTCTTAAAATGTGACCCTTTACAATATTCTATTGATGAAGGGATCGAATGAAATAATAATCATTCAATCTTAGAGCGATTCTCTACTAACCTTCCCATTATTGCTTGCATTTTTTGAATTTTGGCCACAAATAAAGGCATTCCAAACATGAAAAAATTATTTAGTCATCATCAACAGTGGCTCTCCAAAGGCTCTCATTCGGGATTTGAGTCGATCACAAGCTTGTGCTCCTCCTCTTCCTCTTTCACCCGTTCTACCATTCCGATATCGGGTGGTTCCTGTTGCATTCTCAATCTACTACTACCACCACCACTACTACTACCACTAAACAACACTCTCGTCCATCAAAAAAATTCATTCAAGGCTTTTCCCTATTCAACCACCACAAGATTGGCCATGAGTGAACATCATCAACACGGAAATAAGCCTGGAGTTTCGGCTGATCATTTGGCTGTAAATCCATCCGATACTTTGTTTGCAAAATTTGCAAGAGGAGAACTTGCTTGTGCCAAAGTTTATGAAGATGATGATGTATTATGTTTTAAAGATATCAATCCACAAGCTCCTGTACACTTTTTGATTATTCCAAAACAAGTACAACTTGGCAATGTACATTCTGCTACTGAAAATGATATTCAAGCATTGGGAAAGTTGCTTTACGTTGCTGGATTGGTTGCTAAACAGGAAAATTTACTTGATGGTTATCGTTTGGTCATAAATAGTGGAATTCATGGCCAACAATCGATTAATTGTAAGTAATTGAGATGTGTATGACAACAGTACTGGTATTGAATCCAACCTATTTTGTTTCTTTCAGATCTCCATATCCACATGATTGCAGGTCGTCATATGAAGTGGCCTCCAGGATAAACAATGGTGCAGTTCCGAATAAATTTGAAATTTCATCATCATTTCAAAAACATGGTTTTGCAACTGGATGATATCCACCTCGAGAAGCTGTGTGCCAAAGATAATTCCAATCATTTGGTCAATCGCATCCTTTTAAAAAATGTCTTCTCAGCTTTTGCCCAATGTGGACGATTTACAAATTCAGTTCGATAAATGTTTTGTTTTCAACAGCAAATTTGCAGGAAAAGCAGAAGAGGAAGATTATCTAAAATTGCTCGGATGTTGTCCTTCTCAACTCTCTCTCAATGATAAGATGATTAGCGTCGGAGTTGTAGAGGCTCTATCGGGATTTGCAACAACATTTGGATCTGATGTTATTTGTGATTCATTATTCAGTGATAATTCAAAATATGTATTTATTGAAGTAGAGCCTGGATATTGGATGGCTCTATTTGTAAAATGTAATTCTAATCGGCAGTCCAATCCAACACCATCCTCTTCTCTCAACTCTGCAAATACTGGACCTATTCAAGATTTCTCGGGATATAGTGATGATAATTTACCATACTTAATTTTAAAATCAAAATTACAAGATTCATATCAAACATTTAAGATATTTCACGGCGAGATGGATAGTATTGTGAAAAGCGAAGGAGTTCAAAGTTTGAGGGTGAAATTGGATTTATTTCTCGAAAGCTATTGGAAAAATTTTGTATTTATTAATTGGAATATCATGGATATTTTAGGAGGAATTCAATTTCTTCCAGTCCCAACAAATGACTTCCTTGCCATCCAATCATTTATTCATCAAACTATTTCAAAGTTTAGCAATTTTAACAAACCAAAATCCCAAAAACAAAACGACTCTGAACCGTCACTTTCTGTCATTAGAGGATGTTTATTTATTTTTGACTCATATTTAGTTTTTAATGGAATAACCAAAGAAGACAGCAGAACTGTGGCCCAATATCTTCCATTCATTGTGGAGGAGCGTTTGAAGTACCTTCCTCCAAATGTGCTACTGAACTCGGCTAATGGCTTCTTTTTGACTGGCCCAGAGGATATACAATCACCTGTAACACGATTTAGCGCTCCACGAGTGTACATTGGAGAGCCAAGAAGCGAATCAAGCGTGATCATTTATAAGGTGAGTTTTTATCATGATCACTGGTTCGCTCATACTTTAACAATGTATTTATTATTTATTTATTTAGCTCAATAGACTACAACTAGTTCTTTTTGTTGATCCGACTGTTGCCTCACAGTTATATTTCTATACTAGCCTTAGAGATTTTATTTATCCTGAACTGCAACCTATTTATAAGGATCTTTGTGACAATATTTGCAAGGGAGATGGTAATGTGATGAAATATATATTTTTCAATGGATCGAGTTTTGCTTTGAAAACAAGTCTCAATTTTCAAAACACTTCCATGATGTTGAAGGAGTCTTTACAAGAATTGTGTCATTTGAGGTCACATGCCAAAATGTAAGTTTAAGAGAATTTCTTCAAAGATGAATTATTGATCTCATTACATCAGGAATGACTCTAAAGAAATTATCGTAAGGAACAAAAAAGAAAGCTGGATCGCTTTTAAGATTGTTGGAGGAAAGGAATTCTTCTTTATTTTTGATCAAAAGAATGCAACACTTTCTGATGTTCAACAACAAATGGAAAAAGCAAGTGTATTATTTAATTCTAGTAAATAAGCCTTAAGGCTTTCTTAATGTCCAAATCTTTTTTGATTTGCTAAATCTCGCCAGCTTCTGCAATATTTCCTTAAAGTAAACCACTTCATCTCCAACAATGTAGCGGAAGTGTTTCTGAATATCGTCTGTCGTGGCTTGTCCATTATTCTTTTTGAAGAATGCAATCAAATCTTCAGCCATCTTATTTGAAGTCTTTAACATGGGTTTCACTTCTTCATCCAGCTCATTCTCGTTGTTTACAAGTGTTGGCTTGTCACTTGTCATTTCTTGTTTTTTTCTCAGGTTGGCCAAAACAAGAGATGAGGCTAGCGGCCCTTTAGAGCTTGAAAAAGAAGGAAGAGCCAAACCTCCAGTTCCATGCTGTCCAGTAAATGTTGGAACAGAAACAGGAACATTTTTTCTCATCTCTGCTGACTTTTTCAATTCTTTCATGGCTAAATCAGCAATTTGTTTTGCTTGCTTCTCCACAATAGATAATTCTGATTGTGTGGTGTTTAGAACAGAATCATGATTGAACACACTCTTGACCGATTTCTCATCGAAAAGACATTGTAAGATGTATGTTTCATCTTTTTCTTTGATTTCTTCTTCAGTATTTGATTGCTTTCCCTTAAACTTTTCAATCCTGTAATCGCTGGATGATGAGGACGAATCAGATTTGACATCCTGTCGCAAAATCTCACTGTTACTGAAAATTGATCCTGTCTCTGTATTTTCCTCTTCATCATCTTCGACTTTCTTTTTACGGCTAAATCTCACGCTGTCATATTCCTTTCCAAGAGTGAAAAGCTCATAGAGATCATTCGATTTGAAGAGTCGTTTCTGTCTTGGATCTTTCAATACCTTATTAGAGAGGAACTGTTTGAAAATTTGACGATGATACATTTTTTCTTCAATGGTGCCACTTGTCATTAATCGATACACAGTCACTTGTTTTTTCTGACCAAGACGCCATGCTCTCTCTAGTGCTTGAAGGTCTGTGGATGGATTCCAATCTGGATCAAATAAAATAATTCTATTGGCTCCAATCAAATTAACTCCTAATCCTCCAACTTTGGTAGTCAGCAAAAATATGAAAATGCTGTCGTCCTTATTGAAATTATTGATGAGCGGGTTTCGATCTTTGACTGATGTAGTACCATCCATTCGAGAGTAGGTATATCCTTTTTCTTGAATAAATTTCTCTAAGATGTCAAGCATTTGTCGACTCTGTGAAAAGAGTAACACTCTGTGATTTTGTTCTTTCCATAGAGCCAATAACTTTTCAACGACCATCATTTTTCCAGATCTTGATTTGTTTCCAAAGTCCTCAATACTATTTTTTTCATAGAGCAAATCTGGATGGTTGCAAACTTTTCTTAAATTAGTAATGGCCTTAAATAATAAATGTTCTCCTTCCAAAGTCTTTTTCACCTCTCTGCTCTTTAAGTATGAATCATATACCAAAACTTGTTGATCTGTTAATTTACAAAAAATTACATTTTCTTTTTTCTCAGGTAGTTGATGTTTAACATCTTTTTTCAATCTTCTCAACAAATAGGGTTTAATTAAATCCCTCAAAACGCAGGAACACTTATAGGCTGTTTGTACTTGGAATTTACTTGCATTCGAATAACCTCCTAAGGTTATAGGAACTGCAAACTGAGAGAGAAAGACTGGAAGCGTTCCTAGTTTTCCAGGATAGCAAAAATCAAACAGTGACCATAATTCTTTCAAGTTATTTTGGATTGGTGTTCCTGTTAAAATGATTCTATTTGGAGTATTAAACTTTTTACAGGCTAGAGTAATAGCAGCATCTGGATTGCGAATTTTATGTCCCTCGTCCAATACTGTGAAATGAATGATATCAATACAGACATCATTATAACTACTTACTAATATAACCCCATTCTTTTTCAATTAAAATTTCTTGATAATTTCTCAAGGATTCATACGTGGTTATTAAAACTGCATCAGGGCAAGACGCCACTTTCTCAATCAAATCCTCAAAGTGTGACTTGGAGCTTGATGAGGTGTGGAGAATGCATACTCGAAGCAGAGGCCACCATGTATTCAACTCCTCTTGCCACTGTTTCATTACAGTTGCAGGAGATATAATAATGGATGGTTTAAACAGACCACTATAATGGAGGCCGGCAAGATAAGAAGCTATTTGTACGGTTTTTCCCAATCCCATCTCGTCCCCCAGAATTCCACCCACTCCTTGAGCTCTTAGCTCACACATCCATTTGATTGCTGTCTTTTGATAAGCAAAGAGCTTGTCATAAATTTCATTTGGAATGCTGTAATCTCGTGTAATTGATACAGACTCTCCCCAGTCAATAACATTCACTTCTTCTTGTTCTCCACTTGTATTGATTACTGTTTTTGTTACAAAGGAGCGAGTACTATAAAATTCAGAGAGTCTCTGTTCATAATATTCATCATTGCTGTCATCATGCTTGAATTCCTTTTTACGAGGAGTTTTTTCTTCCTCTTCTTCAATATATTCATCATATTCTTCCTCAAATTCATGTTCATATTCTTCATCCACATAGTCTTCATCTTCTTCTTCTTGTTTGACCTTCTTTTTACTTCTTTCGAGGACTCGACTTGAATCTGTTGTTGCTTTTCGTTTGTTGCGTTTGTCGCTTGGTTGAGAAAATTCAAGCGATGAAGAAGGAGCAGATGATGCATCTTTGGAAATGTTCGTTTTGGCTGATGATGATGCCAAATGATCAAAAGGAGTAATGACTCCTGTACGAATTAACCGTTCTCGTTCCGTTTCATTTTCTTCATTATCAATCACTGCCAATGACTTTCTAAGCTCGGTTTCCTTCCTTCTATCCTGTAACTCCTCTTCAAGTTGTTCTTCTTTTTCTTGCAAATCATTAATTTTCTTTTTCAGACTTTTCAACTTTTTTTCATCTTGTTTGGTAAGATTGGATTTACTATTTAATTCTTTATATTCTTTTTCATACTTTTCAATTTTTGCTTTGAGAGATTCAATTTTACTTTGTTCCTTCTTTACTAATTGTTTTTCGTTTTCTTCAATTTTCTTATTCATTTCATCCATAACATTTCTTTCAATATCTTCCGTGGTGAATGCAGAAACTCCGAGCATGGATAAATCATCTTCCGAAGAGGTATTCCTCATGCTTGATGATGATGATGCCATAAGTGAAGAGGAGCTGCCGCTACTTGATGCTACGGGTCGAGGTTGAAGCATTTTTTGTTCGAGTGGTCGCAGGAAAAAAGGTGAAATTGGTGAATTGATGTCAATTTATCATCATTAGCAACATTGACAATCATAATCTTCGTTATTGAAATTAAAGAAGTTGGTAATTTCTCGTTTTTCTTCATGCTGATGATGATTCTCTTCATGTTTTAGCGATTGAAAACAAGTGTCAATCAGAGTGCTCAATGTGCTGCTTGAATAATTCCAACTGTTCTCTCCGTCTTTCAACTTTAGAGAATAGAGTTTTTTGACAATTTGTTGAGTAAGATTAAAATTTGCTTCCTCCATGATATTCTCAAAATACTCTCTTAACAATGATTCAATTCCTAACTCAATAAATAATTTGAATTTTTCAACCGTGGAAATGTGTTCTAAATTACAAAGTTCATCAATAAATATTAGTAATTGTTGAGATACTTCAACATCGCATTCCAGGGTGGAGAAGTGAATAAATGATCTGATCATTGCGATTTGTTAGAGGTATGATGAATAAGAGTGGTAAAACTTACTTGAGACTTTGCAACAATGTCATGTCTTGCAATAACTGTGAAAACGAAATCACCTTGCACACAATTAAATCCTTACAAATTTCAATCGCCTCTTTTTTGATAAAATACTCGTGGTTGCTTGCAGCAGATTTCACAATTTCTGCCAACAAAGAGATACCTTTTTCAAAATGAAGTGATTGTCTATGTTCAAATAAAATTAAATCCTATTCTCAAATTGATTCATTCTTATATGTGAACAATAGTATAATATTTGATCGAAAAACTTACATGAAACGTCTTGAACGTAGTAAGAACCACATAATGCTCAGTATCTTGAAGCTTTTTCAAGAGAATCTCTAATAGATGTTCGAACGTGTCTTTTTGAGAAAAAAACTGAGCCATGCTTGCATAGACTGTGCTGTTTTTGAGACAAGTACGAATGATTTCTATGGCAGCATCTCGTAATTCCCAGTTCATATCATAGAATCTCATGGTGATCACTTCATAAAACCTGTTTTCCTCATTCTTGCATGTGAGTGGTAAAATTTTTCCAACTAGAGAAACAATCTCAGGAATTAAACTATTTTGAAGGATTTGCCATAAATAATCGGAATGTTCCTCCTTGATGATAATTTTGGTTTTCAACGCCCAGCAAAGTAGAAGCTCAAGTACTTTAGAGCAGAGAGAATTATTGATATGTTCATACATTTTCACTGTGAAAATTAATAAGCCATGTAGGTCACTCTTATCATAATAATCTATTGCTGATGGAATGTATATAAATCTTTGAAGACACTTGCTGATGGCTAAAATGAATTTTCCTTTTTGCTTCACTGAAAGACATTTGAGATTGTTAAAGTGTTGATGGTCATTTCTTTCCTCGAACATTCGTTTCCACATGGTTACTAAAATGGATAATAGCGATAGAGCGGATGGTTCAGGAAGTAGTTCACTGGAAAAATTGGAAAGGATTTTTAGTCCAATATTTTGGTAGCCAATATCTCCAGAAAGTAGACATGCTTCTACAGTTTCGCAAGTGTGTGAAATAACATTGTCTGTGTATCCAGTCAACTGTTTCAAAGCATTCACGCGTTTGTTTTCACTAAGAGATAGATTATGATTTGATAAATATATCAAAATATCATAGAGTCGTTCAACGATACGTAGATCATGTACACCTGATATAGTCTCATCGTGTACAAGACGTTCTATTAATTGTGATTCAGCTAATGCATTTTGCAAAATTTCTGTCCTCAATGGCCGAAGCATGGTAAAGTCAAAAGTATTGTTATGATCGTTAAAGCTTAGGGTTATAAGTTGCAAAACAAAATCTAAAAAATCGAGCATGTCATCTTTCTTAAATGGTTCTAAAAGATTGATAAACTTTTGAAGTACTTCTTTGTCGCCACGGCAATACCAATATTGAACAACCAAAAGCAGGCATTGGGCAGATGCTTGTCTCAAATAAATATTATCACTTCTCAAGCAAGTTGGAAATATCCTGTTAAAGCATTCTATCTCATGGGTGAACCATTCCATTGCACTTGCATGAACATCAACAAATGTACACAACGAATTAAACACTGCAATTTTTAAAATACAAATATCCTCAAAGTCCATATTCTTATAAAAACAACCATTCTCACCCTCTGAGTCTAATAATTGGAAAAAGTAATTCTTAAAGAGATTTGTTTCAATTACTTGTTGTTGACCACTGTGAGTATGAATAGAGCATGTTGGTGCATTAAATAAATATTCTTCTCTAAAATACATTCCTAGTGCAATAATCATGCATCTTTTCATACTCAGTAGAGGCTGCATCATTTCATCACCCGAAGAATTTACGAAAAGTGTTTCATAAATTGCAGTTAAGCCTTTCTTTAGAACAAACAGCTCCGTTGCTTCTCTGCTCGAAAAAACTTGCTCATTTAAAAACGTAAGAAATTGATCATATTTTGATCGTTCAAAGCATTCAATAATTTCTCCAGATGGTTGCATGAAATGTTTTAAATTCACTTCAAGCGTTTCGGCAATAGTTGTGGGAGAGGACATTGGATGAATTTTTTTTGCAAAATGGATGATGCCAAAGAAATGATTTGTGGCCTCTTTTTAATCATCATCCATGATGGAAAAGATGACTTGTTCTCTGCTACCTTCATGGTTAGTATGTTATTATAATAAGAATAACTGTAATACTTGTAATAATCATACGTGTTTATTGTAAGAATTTTTTTGAGAGAGACTAAAAAATGATCAAACAAGCCCAAATCATCACGTCATCCCGAAAGGCTTGTTCGAGGCTTGCAGTTTTTGTGATGATGATTGCTGTTGGCCTTCTCGTGATTTCGATAGACCAAGGAGTCGTATACTCACAACAATCAAAACCCGTACGGAAAGATGCCGATCAACCAAAAAGCAAATTCTCGGATACATCAGCAATATCGGCTGAAGAGGTTAAAGGAGAGCTTGATGCTACCAAGATTAGAAACAAGAGAAGATGCAAACATGAAATCGGAATTAACTGGAGAACCAATGTTGATAGTTCTGTCTATCAAACACCATATATTACCAATTTGATGAACGTTAACAGTGGTCAAAGCGCCGATAAGAAACAAATCATCGTTCCTACTTTTGTGAGATATATTCAAGTATTAAATGGTGATAGCGGTGCTGAACATAAAGAAGGAAATAGCCATTGGCCATATACTCATAGCCAACTTGCGTCTCACTCATCAGTGCTTCTGTATGATATTAATGGGGATAACATCAAAGATGTTGTTGTTACCACAGCTAATGGTGAAATTTTGTTTTTTAATTGGAGAGGTGAATTATTAACTGATTTCACCATTGCAATTCCTGGATTAATGGTCGACAAGTTTTGGTATAAGGGACTGGAAAACGATAAATTTGATGTGTCTCTTTCACTTTCGCAAAAAGAATCTGAAAAACATGCTGAGGAAGCAAAAAGCAAGAGAAAACAAAAAGACCAGACAACTAACAAGGGAACCAATGACAATACTCAAACAAAAAGAAAATTACTCCAACTCGCAAAAGCAGCTCCTGGAACGGAAGGATTATTAAGCTCAGAAGCAAGGGCTTCTTTGTCATTAATTCAGCAAAAAGTTCATACTCCACAATCATTGAGACCATTCCTTGGAGAGAAATTAGAATCTTCAGAACACCATCAACACTACTCTCATCATACAACAATTAAGAAAGGAGGGAAAGAGTACATTACCGTTGACGCTCATGTCTTATCTACGCCTGTAATTGCTGATATTGATGGAGATGGAAAAGATGAATTAATAGTTTCTGTGTCTTATTTTTATGACAGAGAATATTATCATCAAAATATGTTTGAATTAGACGTTGATATTGATATGGACAAATATGTTGCTGGTGGCATAGCTGTGTATGATTTGTCCACAAGAAAAATCAAATGGGATGTTCACCTTGATATGACCACTGACACGGTGAAACAAAAAGCTTACATCTATGGAAATCCAACTGTTGCAGATGTTGATGGAGATGGATCTTTAGATGTTGTTATTGGTACTGGTCTTGGTTGGATTTATGCATATAACAGTCATGGAAAATTATTAGATGGGTTCCCAATACTAATGGGAGAAATTCAGGGACAAGTCATTGCTGAAGACGTAAATAACGATGGATTCATTGAAATTTGTGCTGTTGATTTCAACTCCAACCTTGCATGCTTTAATGGAAAAGGAAAAGAAATTTGGTCTCAAAGATTATCTGGATCTGCTGCTCAAGCTCCATCCGTTGGTGACATTAATGGCGATGGTAAATTGGAGTTGGTTGTTGGAACTTCAACTGGGCACGTTTGGGCAGTGGATGGTGAAACAGGAAATGTGTTAAAACCTTTTCCAATCAAAACCGGAGCCTCCATTTACAGTCCAGCTCTTCTTGTTGACTTAACAAATTCTACATCCTCCAACGATGGTTCTCTCGATATTGTACTTCCTTCATTTGACGGATACTTATATATTATTAATGGTAAAACCGGTTGTATTGATCGTGTGGACATTGGAGAGAAAGCATACAGTCAAGTGTTAGCGGATGACCTCACTGGTAATGGAAAGTTGGATCTACTCGTGAGTACAATGAATGGAAATTTAATTTGTTTGTCTACTGAAGCTCCATATCATCCATTGAAAGCTACTCCTTACCAAATGCAATATGAAAATGGCTTCAAGTATAGAGATAATATGTATGGAATTTATTTCAAGAATAGAGAATATAGAGACGTCATTGGATCAACAGTTGGTTTAGATTTTGAAATTGTTGACAACAGAAAAACTAATTCTAAAGATCGTCTACCAGTGGCCTACAATGTCCGAATTTTGTTAGGCGCCAATAAGGTTCTTTATGAAGGAAAGTATCAAAAAGCTGGATATTACCGAGTTGAGGTAAACACCCCAGAAGAACGAACACACAATGCCATCATCACTGTTGAACTTAGAAACGAATTTGGACAGTTGTTCACGGATAATATTTCTTTGAGCTTCAACATTGGCTTTTTCTCACTTTTGAAATGGATGGTTTTCATGCCATTTATTGCCAGTTTAAGTGCTATCCTGTACACACTGCGAGCACATTAATAAATTTGCCTCAATACATGTTCAAAATTACATGATGATTAATTTACATTGTGTTCTTCGGATTTCTCTTGGGTGCTGGAATTGCTCTGCACCAAATTTTTAAGATTGTTCAGTAAAATGCTGGATGCTTTGATGGTGTATGAAAATATTCTTGGGGGTTTGAGATCTTCGCTCTCCACTTCACTGCTTGATGGTGGCTTACTGACCATTGCGAGTACAATAAACATGGGAAAGAGCATGGCCCATACTCCTGATGATAAAAAGAAGGGAAAGTAGTTCGACAGAAATGCATTTGGAGCTCCAAACGCTAACATGTATCCCCAACGCTCCTCAAAGTATTTGATCCTTCTCTCCAATGAGTAGCCCTTATAGGACCACACATATTCAAAAGCATAGAATGCATATAACCAACTGTACAGAACAAAGCTAGTAATGGTTCCAAATATTGGAACCACAGACACCAATGAAGCTTGCAGAAGGAAAATAAAGAATATGATTGGTCTATAAATTAGATCAGTTATTTTCTTAATGATATTACTGTGTTGTAACATAGTAAGTAATTAAATATGCTGATTGAATGCAAAAAATGTTTTAAAAAGTACCTTCTAAAATCTAAACTATTTGAACTACTTGATTGAGATGAAGCCCTCTTATGCAAAGAAGTCTTCTTAGCAACATGTTCCGCAATATCATCATACCAAGCAGCTGATAAGATAAAACTGACTGTGTATAGTGGCCATATCCAAAATAACTGAAATTATTAATATATATTTCGGTCATATTTTCGTGAATAATTATTAGAATCGCTCTTCAACAACACATACATTCTTTAAACTAGCAAATAATAACCCTAAAATAAATGATAAATAATCTGTATTCATTGCATTTTGCTCTAGACCATTTCCGTTTGATTCCGAAGCCGTTGATGAATTAAACAATGGTGTTGCGATATAATCAAAGAATATTATACTTCCTACAAACAAGCATCCATTCAAAACAAAGCATTGAGCAAATAATGGCTTTAGTGTTTTACTTTTTGCGAATATATCAATTGCTAGAGGTAAATTCATTCCATCTCTGAAGCCTTTTGAAATGTTGCTGAAAATTGCTTTTGTGTTGGGCATTTTGTGGTGGTGAGTTTTTTTTGGATCTCTCTCGAGATGATTCGTATTGACCTCGATTCACGTTTTTCAACATTTGGTGGCAGTCAATAGTTTTAAAAGACATCATGATGAAGCAATACAACTTGTATGAATTCATGTATGCATGTACTTTTTATGTTTTAAAGTAATAGTACACTGAATGTGAACTCGAAATGTAGAGAACGTGTTCATCATTCTTCTTCGAGCTCGTCACAGATGAAATTTCGGTAAAGAGAACCCGTTCAATTATGCCTCAATTTTCCAATAATTCTGAATTTGTTGGAACTTGGCAATTTCTTTTCTTTTCAACACTTGTAATCTTCTAGTGAAAATTCTGTATCCTAAAACACCCATCAATATTAATCCAAAAAAGACACCAATGAGAGCAATAGCCACTACAATAACAAGCAATGCGATTGCCATACCATCCCCATTTCCACCTCCTCCACAATCACTTCCTCCACTACAATTACAATCACCACCTCCTCCACTTCCAACATAACAGCCATAGCAGCTGCCAAAGCATGGTTGTGCAGGTCTTCCATACAGTGAATTCCAAAAACAAAACCAGAAACACATATCTGAGAAATCATAGTATGAGGTTCTGTATCTTCCATAGTAAGGATAATTATTATAGGTGTAAAAATCATCGGCTACACAACAGTTTCCAAAAAACGTTCCATTAATGAGTTTGTTCAAGAGTACCAATCCAAGACAACACAATCCAATTAGGCCCAAGATGAAGAAGAATAAAGTAAGTCCACATCTAATCATCATCAAGTCGTCAACCCATGAATTAACATGAATTTTAACTCATCACATATTCTTATTGTCGAAACTTACATGTAAGAAGCAACAAATGCATTCAGGTTGCCAAATAATTTGGCCCTTAAGTAGTAATCATAGTCACACAACGCGTATATTCCAACACATATAAAGACCAGTATTTGCCAGACAATCAAAATAATACAAAAGTCTACGGCAACCAAACCTCCAAACTTGATAATAGAGGAAGCTTTGTATCCACTTGCACCTGTAGAAACAACATTTCCGTGCTCATCCACATCTTTGATGTCGTACTTGTGTCCACAAATATCGCATTGATAAAACGATGAAGCTTTTGGAGAAACTGCTCTCCATTGGTCCAAACAATAACGATGCACGAATTTCATACTTCCGTCACACTTGCACGGAGCCACATAGTCATCATTGGATGTAAGTATTCCATGACAACATCTACAAATTCGTTCATTTTCTTCATCATCATGAATATGATCTGTTGAATGATAAGTTGAATTGGTTATTGAGTGTTGATGAAGCTAAATACAATTCCGATTTGAAACAAATAATAATAATATTATGGCCATTTGTTCTCTCTCAACCTACAGCATCATCTTCATACGGAGCATGTTGCTCATGTAATTGATTTTCTAATAATTGCTTCTTCTCACGCAAATTCTCATCAATACGATAGGGTGAAGTATAAGGAACACCAACCACACTTCCCGATGAGGACGACTCAAAGGCTTTCTTGAGATCAGTTTCTTCCGAAAACATGAAGCAGATATCGGTTAATTTTTTAGGTGAGATGAATGAACGGTCGAAAAATAGGCTAATTTAATGGTGATCGGAGTGTGAACGAAATGGAAGACAATTCGATGGATAGAAGAGTTCTCTTTGGTGTGTGAAAATGTTCAAAATTCCATCAGAATTTCAGGCAAAAGCTCAAGTTGAATTCACCATCATCATGATGTCTCTTGTAAAGTCTTTTCATCAGTTCAATATTGATGAAGTGCTTTTACAATAAACGAAAAAATTGGTTTTGAATTCGAAAAAAAAAATGGAATATTCCACTCTTTCTGCCCTCTCTCACGCCTTACCTTGCAAAGACTTATGCTTGCAGAATGAGGAAGACAAGCATGAAATTTTTACTTCTAAAGTATTACATGGATCACAAAAGAAATATTCTCTGCAAAGAAAGTTGTTTAACAGATCCATACATTTCCGTGATCATTTAAAGAGAAATCCATCTTCTTATTATGCCTCTGAGGCTTTCATGCTCAAAGAAATAATTTCAGAATCAATGCTTCAAAAACCTAAACTGTATTCATTTGAGTATCAATATCATATTACAGACAAAGATAATATTCATTATGCTGACAAATTGTATAGTAATAACTTTCAAACAGTTATGAATGATGATGGTGATCATTTTGCTTATATGAAACTTGATACATCAAAAACAGGAAAAAAGTCAGCACGAAGCGAAGAGAGAAAAATGGACAAGATTGTTAGCGTAATCTCTGTTTCAAACCCTTTAAATATTTATCTCAATCAAATACTAGCATTAACAAGATCCAACTACTTGTATCACTTTCATTCGGAGAATGGACAATTAATTTATGAACAGAAAATTCCTCTCATTCTCTTTATCGGAAACTCTTCACAAAGTGATGTCTCTTCTACAAATGCAGCTTGCATTCGAAATAATGTTCACTTTGAGACTATTTATTTTGTTTCAAATTTGAAAAATAGAAGTGCCATACAAGTGACCATTCTCGAATTTACAAACAAAAGTTATTCATTTGCATTGAAAGCAAAATTTCTTCTTAAAAAGTCAGTGTTTGGGAAAAAGCTCTCAACAGTTTCTCTTCACTCCAATTTATTATTTCTTGGATATAGCAATGATGAAGTGAAAATATTTAATTTAGATGAGCTCATTCAAAATTTCTCAATACATGTTCTGAATGGATCTCTGTTGGATGTCGGTTATTATGGACTTAAAAATCCACTACCTATCACACTAGAGATTGACCCAAACACTCATCCATTGATTTTAACAAATATGAGCTACTCTATTCCAAAATCTATCATGTATCCTTTGTTTGCAGGTATGAAATGTGATGCAAAAGAAGGAAATGGACTGTTAGAGCTTTCTACGAAAGGCTTTTGCAAGGTCATTGCGAAAACAGAATATATTTATCATGACGTGTCTGTTCCTTATTGCCTTACAACATTAAGAAAACATCAATCTGATGGAAATTTAGAGTTTGAACTTTGGAAATTGAAAACCAATCACTTCTTATCAATGAATAATTTTGATCGTTACTGTTTGGATAAAATCAAAGACGAGCAACAATACTTGATATTTAAAGATACCACACCTCAGGAAGGAACTCTTTCATTTACTCCTCTTTCGCCTTGCATAATTGTAGATAGACATGACCGAATATTGATGATGCACCCTCAATTCATTCGATGCGTTTCTGTGAATAGAGAGACAAACAGTCTCGTTTTCAATTACGAAATAACGGTAGACTCGTTGAAAGAAATGACTCGGCAATCGTTGTGGACTTCTAACGCTTCTATTGGCCAATACAAGGCACGTCAAGCCAAGAAAAATGTCACATATTATGCCTATGATTTTCTGAGTGTGGACTATGATTCTGAGACAGATTTGACTGTTGCTTTATTGTCGAATGGGGATATATTTTTGATAGAAAACTCCAAAGGATCTGTACTCATGCATTTCAATCTGTGTGACGTTCTCCCGAAAAAGGTCTTGCGGGAAGTGTGGTATCAAACTCCATCGTATGAGATCACCATAATGCTCGCCTATGACAAGATCATGCTTGAATATCAAATAGAGGAAAGAAAAGTGGTTTGTCTATGCCTAAGTCTGAAATATCGACATTAGAAACAAAATTGACAGATGATCGATATTAATAACGATATCTAGTGGAATAGTCCTTGGGAGATACCACTAAACCTCTTCCTTTCTTTGCTCCTCGATAAACTGTTTCAATAATATCAATCATCTCTTGTTTGTCTGTTATGGCCCAATTAATTTTGTTGTTGTCACCTGTTCCTAAATCGATCATGATATGTTTGTTTCTAAAGAAAAACATGACTGTGCATGGGTCATATAATTCATACATCTTGTTGAAGTTTGGAACTTTGGTAATATCCACTAAATATATAACACACATATTCTTCACTTTCTCTGCTATTTTACTCAGACATTCATCCATTTCCATACACGTAGCATCCCAATCGTGTCCAAATCTTATTAATACAATACGTTCCTCTTCCGTAACAATGGCTTGATCAACAGCCCAACCCGAATTTAAATGTGGTAATAAATAGGCCATGATGATGATTCCGGTCGTTTGTTAGAGATTTATTTTTGATGATGCAAGAGTATAATCGTTGGTTGATCCACCTTCAACAAAATGAATTCAATGATAACAATCGTTTTGAATTTTTTTTCTTTTTTTAAATTTTCATGAAAATGATGGCAACAGGAATTCCATACACGATGGCCATAAGATTGATTCAGATACTTATTGAAAGTTAAGGTCATGAATTCTCCAACTTGTATTGAAAGCTCCTATATTCTTGTGGTAAAAAAACTTTGAACATTCAATGTCTTTCTTGCATCTTTTTTGTCACATTAATAAACACAATCCTCAATAACAATCTCAATGTCACTCAAAGGTTTTCTCTCAAGATTCAATATTTTCTTCAAGAGTTTGAAATGATTGGTCACATTCCAAAATGAATCTTCATCTCGATATTGGTAAATGATAAAACAATTTCGTTGACATGCAGCTCCAACACGCCGAGTCAAATCATCCATACTAAAAATTCCTGTCAAATCGGTCGAATCTGTCATTTTACAAATCTTTCCAAATGTTTTCTTCTTTTCATTATATTCATTTGTAATATAAATAGAGTAATCTCCTGAAATGAATGTTTGTAAACAAGAAGCATGGTGTGATGTATTTTCATTATGAATGTCAGAAAGATTAATCTCAGTATTACTGCCATTCCTTAATGTTCCATCAGAGGTCTAATTCCAAAATATAACAAATGATATATAAAATAATATATAATGATGATTAATATTTAAATTATAAAATATATAAAAAGAATATTTTGAGCACACACATTCATCATTTTCATCATTCACACACACCTCTCTCTCAACTACTTGTTTTTCAACAACTTACTAGATAAGCTTCACAAAAATATCCACTACTAATTCCAATAATATTAGATGCTCCTCCATACAGTGTTTTCAATGTATAACTTCCATGAATGGAATCTCCATACACAGGTCCCACACTACTGCATCCACATCCAAAAGCTCTTCCTTGTGCTGTTAAAATCGTGGTATCGTCATAACCACATGAAACCTCAATAGGATCAAATCCAAATGGAAATTTCAATAAGAGAGGACGATCTAGTGAAACAACTCCACCACAACCTGTGTAGAGTGTGGTTTGAGGACAAGTGTGTGTCATGACATGGAAAATATGGTCACAAATGTGAGTGATCCAAAGGTGACCAAAGATGGTGTAGTAATGAATAGAGTTCCAAAGAAGGATAAAAGTGCACATTGTTTTGTCTCCTTCTTAGATAATATACAAGAGACAACTTACTTCCATTACTGTTCGCTCCAGCAATATAAACCAAATGAGATTTGGTCAGGAATACGCTATGACTATTACTTGCACCGACACGAATCACCACATGATGATCGAAATGTTCTGGAGGAATTTCACATGGAATGGAAATGCATTCATGTTCTTCTTCATCATGATTATTACCTGATTCTGATTGAGAACTGATCGTACCATCACTAGTAGTAGTAGTAGTAGTACCATTACCATTACTATCAATGTTATTATCAATATTGTCATTGTTGGTAAGATTGGTAGGATTATTTGTTGTTGTGGTTCTAGAGAGACTAATTCCACATTGATTTGATGAATTCAAACCCACAGAGAACACTCGATGATCTGAACTCAGAAAGATGCTATGATATCCACCACCAGCACCATCCACAATATGGAATTGATTGATTGGTCCAATTGCTTGAATGAGACCTTTCAAACATGAATCATTATAGATTGGACCAATTTGACCACAACAGAGTTCACCTTTTTGATGTTCGATAAAGAGATCATGAGAAGATGCACACAAGAGATATTTGGAATACCATTGTGTGTGTGTGTGTGTTTTTGTAAGGACACAACGATCGTAGGTGAGGTTTCCACACGAAGGATTATATGAAACACACCATGTCATGATTTAAAAACATACCATGTGTATTACTACCAAAGCTTAAAATTCTTCCCTCTTCTGTAATGATGTGTGTGTGATGACGACCAGAGATGACTGTGAAATGAATGACATTCATTTTGGTGTTTCAACAAGTAATTGGTTGACAATCATTGTCGTACATCATGAGAAAATATCACAAATGATGATCGGAACAATGTCATTGCAATTACCACAATCCAAAAGAATAATAGAAAAGTAAATGATGATTAATTTCGGAATTGAACACATCAAATTGAATGTCATGACCAACAAATATGTAATTACACAATTACGCCTTCTTTCAAAACAAACCTTTTCGAACTGATACACTGAGTGGAAGAGGTACTTTGAGTTGATAGGCAGAGTCATTGGGAATTTTGTAAAATGGTTCTTGATCGGGATCATAGAATGAAGGAGGTTTGTTGTTGCATTTCTTCATCCAATGTTCAGGAGTGATCACATGATTGGAAGGAAAAACGTGCCAGTTGACACTCTTCAAGTCTCCCAGTAGAAACAAGCTGTGTGCTTCTTGACTGTGCATATCAAGTTCAACAATTTTTTTATTGACGACGTTTGCTTTCATGTACAAACATGTCAACTACCTTAAATATCTTGATTGACACGTTGAGTTGCGTGTGGCTTTTTCAACAAATCACGAAGAGAGGGTAGTGAGGAATTGTTCAAGTGAGGAGAGCTTGAAGAAGAGGAACCTAAGGTTGTTGGGGTGGTGACAGGAACATTGAGATCTTTGCTAAGGGACACATTCTCTGAAGAATTCACAGATTTGGAAGCTTGTTCTAAACTCAACCCTGTACAAGTAAGAGCGTGAATTTTCATAGCAACATCCCTATTGATCCTTCTGAAGAATTCACTTGCTTCCTTTTCCAAAGTTTCTTCGATGAGGTCTCTTCGAACATGACTTTTAGAAAAGAATTTGGGCTCTTTACCATCTCTAATAATAAAATGGAAAACCAGTAACATGATGCGTTTGCAAAAGCTCACTAATGTCAGTTTGTGAGGAAGTCTCTGTCTGAGAATGGCATGTTGTTGATTTTGTTCAATGAATTTAGTGTGTTCTTTTGAACACTTTTCAAAAAGAGCACGACGAACATCACGATATCTCCAGGTCTTTCCTTCATCCTTTGACAATCCAACCAAGTGAGCTAAAGATCTGATTGGAAGTAACTTCTCTGAAGAGTTAACAAAATCTTCATCAACATCATGCTCTTCATCTTCACCACACCCTTCGTCATCATCTTCTTCAAGTTCCTTTTTTCCATGCTCTTCTAATTTTCTCTTCTTGGTTTCGAGTTGCTGCTGGCTGCATTTAGAGTCGTTTGAATGATCTTTTGGACGCTTCTTTTTCTCGTCAACAAAGTCGACCACTTCATTGAAAGACTGCAAACTATTTCTTTTTGAAAGCATCGTTGCAGCACTTTGGTGATCTAGAGTGGAATTGTTATAGGCGCTGAAAGCAGAAGAAGAGGGAGTTTGAGGCGAAGAAGAATGATGAAGAATGGAAGAGTTGGTAGAGTTCTGGGGAGGATGAATTCCAAAATTGTTGGTAAGATGTCTATGAGACGAGGAAGCCGAATAAGAAGTAGATGTTGTTGGCTCGGGCAATAACTTGTTGTTGTGGGGTTCAAGCTCAAACAAAGGAGGTAATCCCGTAGTCGCGTGCATCATAGAATTGGTAGAATAGAGAGTGGATGAAATGGTGTTCTTGGTCGTCGGTTGAACGTAGTGGTAACTGTATCGAGATGGAAAACCATCTTGTTGTTGCTGGGATTGCGCAGAAAACGGAGAGCTGTTGGAATTGATTGGACCGTTGTTGCTCAATGAAAACCAGTCTTTCGAGTGATGATTTGCAGAGTCATGGTAGTGATAAGGAGTTGGTTTGAAGCCATCAAACGACGATGATATCTGCGTGGAAGAGAAACTGCTTTCAAAATTACCTCCAAAGCTCGCAGATGATGAAATAATATTATTATTAATATTATTACGCATTCTCTCAGTGTTATTATGATGGCTTTGTCTTGTATTATTCGCGAACAAAAGGCTCAAAGCCTTCTTGTTCATATCAGAAGCCATTGGTATTTCATTATTGCGGGAACCAATAAAAGAAGAGTTAATCCTTGGTGAGCTTGAATGTTGTGAAAATGATGGTTGGTTGATATGTAAAGAAGGTTGTTGTGAGGGAATAGAGAGTTGTTCATCATCTTGTTGAAGAGGTTTCAACTGATGATAGAATGAAGACGCCTGCAAATTCTGGTGGCCAAATTCGCGATTAAACGACGGCATGGACCTTGCGCTGATTTTTTGTGGATGATTTCGCAAAGAAATTTTTCGACTTGCGCGATTTTTGCTTGCGCGAGCGAATCATCTTCGGGTAAAAGTGAAGCGAAACGATGAAATTCCTAATTACAGCGCCGTCATCGGTTTGCACAGTGATGTTGTATAAGTACATCTATTTAATAGAGCTAGTTGTTGTTGTTGTGATGATTGGCAAGTTGTTCAGCCAGTCGATGCACAGACCTGAGATCTTCTTCATCTCTTCTTCCCATCACAAACAACATCTCTTCACAAAAAGTGAGAAATTCTGGTTCTGTTTCTAAGAAATAATCCAAAACTTTCTCTCGTTCTGGATGAGCGTCCACTTCTAGAATCATCTTTTGGAGACGTTCATCTTTTAGCCTAGATTTAAGTCTATTTGATTCTGAAATGTAGTCCAGTTGTTCTTTTTTGAGAGCAAGGTCATCTGGAATTTTAAGTTTTCGTGGACCAATTCTCTCGACCTTCTTTTTCTTGATACTGAAAAAAGAGCCAGTTTCATCATTGGTTGATAATAACTGATCTTCAGACGGGAGAAATGTGCGTTGTTTTCTCTTCTTTTGCTTTGAATCATTATGTGATGAAAGTTCTGCAATTTCGCAAGGCAGCAAGTGAACATGAAAGGGAGTACCTATATTGTTAATGGTTACTTGTATGTTGATCTTTGTTTTCTCATTATCAGTATTAAAGAGTTTTCTTAGAGTCATAACAGAATTGTCTTTTTTCTTTGTGCTCTTGTCATCTTTTGTTTTGTAATCCAAGTGAGATAAACTTTTACTACCAAAACATGTGATAGATCTAATAAAAGTATTTGAATCTGCAAGGTCTTCTTTCAACTTTTCTCCTTGATCCATTACTTTACATAATTCAATAAATTGTGTTTCGCTTAAATATTTCTGACAAAGTTTTTTTAAATTGACTTTTTCATCATTGATTAATTGAATATTGACTGGAATTTTATGCTTTGCAATATAGGATGAATCACAACATATTTGGAATGTAGGATATAATTCGTTATATAAAATGCATTTGTTGTTTTTCAATGATTCAATATCCGATGCTAATTCTATCAAATGATTGTTTAACAAGTATTGAAATGCAATAAAAAGGACATGTCTTCCTTTAATGATTCTGCTAAGGGCTGAATTAAATTCTATCAAGTTTGCATTGAGTGGAGCTTCATGCAAAAAGACGTTATTGTACTTTTTCGTTTCTTCGGAGCATGTGGATGGAGTTTCTTGATTGGCGTGATTGTTTTGAGATTCAAAAAGTACCTCCACCGAAAACCACACCATTTTTTTTGAAGATTTCTGTTTTAAAAATTCTTTTTGAAGAAGGACTTGTGTTGCTCGTTGACGAGGAAGAGGAAGAGGCGGACAACAGCATTACTTCATATTGGTTGAGGAATGAGCAATGCCGATTTTCGAACCATTCATACTCTGATCATCACCAATGGAAATGTTTTCAAATGATACTCTCAGAATGGATCCATCTGTTTGTGAAATTAAGTAAAATTGAGGATATTTGAAACTTGTTTCTCTATCGCCCTCAATGAAGCGACCTGATGACTTGACGAGACGTTTATCCGTACCAACAGTCATGGCAAAGTACCGATGTCCATCCATGCCTCTTAACTCTAAAATACCTCTTCTTGGAGCAAAGATTAAGAGTAACTCGGCACTCTTTGAAGCCGATTGTTCCAAGGTCATTGTGTCTTGTCCAACCACCACCCAATAACACTGAGCTTCTCTGTACCCTTTAAATATTTTCATTGCTGTCATTGAGGAGAGATCAAAGATCATGACTCTCCCAAGTGAATCTGTAGTTGCTAGAAGCTTTCTAATGTTGATCATCATTCGAGAGATGATTGTGGATTCCATCACCAAGTCAAGCACTTACCCAGAATAGTCGAGCTCAGCAACAAAAATTTCACGTTTCTCATCAAAAAATTGATTAGAGAGTGGAATGAATGCTCCTTTAGGAATTTGTTCTTCTTGTTGAGATGTTTCTTCCTCAGAGGTTTTGGTTTGTGTGGATCCCCAAAACCAGGAGCTTGCAAAATTATAGACCTTATTCGCCACTGTTGTAGCGATTTTAGTCACTCTGGTTCGTTGTTTAACAGATGTCTCATCAATTTCTTCTGTTGAGTATTGAGCGATTGTTGGCTTCATGCCAGCACCTATAATATCAAATTCAGATTTTACATCCATAACTTCAAATATCGAAACGTCACAACAATATGAATACAGGCAACATGCATCATTTGTTTTTGTGGAATCCTTTAAAATCCATTTCTTGAATTGATATGAATCATTTTCATGATTAGATGAGAGCATGTTATTCAAATCCTTCTTAAAGGTAGTTGGATCAATAGTTACTAAAGAGTTTGAATAAATTATTAAAATAATCTCCTTCTGGTAATTTGGCAAAAGGCTGTAATGAAACACACTTTGTGATTTAATTTTCACAATGGGTGAGTCATGAAATCTATCTTCGTGAATGATATTGTTTGTAGAAACACTGTGAATTCTTAGAAATCCTTCTGATGTGCCGATTAAAAGAAATATATTTTCTTTGTTCTTGTTGTCTTTAAATGAAACCCACATCAGGGATGTAATTCTTTCTCTAAAAATAAAATGCAAATTAAAGAGTTTGTTTTAAACAATTAAATATACATCAAAAACTCTCCGATAATTACCCTTCATATTTACAAGGATTTTCCAACTGAATTAAATGATAATCATGGTCCTCACAAATCGATAAAAAACAAGTATTTAAATGAGCAATTGCAATATAGGTACAATCCAAAGAAACAGCCATCTGAGTATCTGACCCATTCAAAAACCAATCATGAGAATCTAAATCTTGATAATAATCGAATATTGTCTCGTGTAGCTCCTTTCCGATCCATTCGAGATCATCTCTCAGAGAGGAAGAGAGTTTCAATAATTGCATTTTTTTTAAAAAATGAACCAATGGATTGGAATGGTAGTATCAAAGACGAACCTCTTCAACAATTAGACTTATCTCCCCCAGCTTTGACTGATTAGCTAAATGAAATATATCTCTCATTCGCTGCCTATGTTGGCAGTTGTTACAAAAACGCCACTTGGAACAGTTCAACTGTACTCAAGAAGGCTAGAGGATATATAATTAAACCCAAAACTGCAAAATTTGCAACTGCTTGGGAAACATTTAGCAGTCAGCTTGGCGAACTCAACTCCAACAACATCTACACCTCACACCTACACCCATTAGACACACTATCGTCGGACAATTGAGTACCTATAATTTGTTTATTTTTCAATAAACCCATTCCTGTATTTTTTTTAAAAAATGAACAAACCAGCAACATCCTCCAATCGAAACAAACGAAGAGCAAGCAAATCCAAGAGTGAAAAATCAAATTCAAATTGGTGTAAAGACCCTAACGTAGAAATAGTCATGTTAGAATCTATGGAACAAGTGATTCCAATCGATTTTGTTAAACCTTTTTCAATTTTAAATATTCATGTAGCGTTGAAAGAAGACGCCAAAATGGACGTTCAGATTGAACAAATAGAAAATCGATTGAATGAATTGTATAATTATCAAATACTAGAAACACATCGTCATTGTGTGGATGATGAAGATCCAGAAGATTTTGTTTTACCACAGGATATTATGGAAGAATTCGGAGCAAGAGTGATTGATGAAAGTAGCAGCAGCAAGAAAGCAACACCAAGATCAAAAAAAAGAAAATAATTTCTACGCAGAAAATAAGCCTCTTTTATTGACTAGAGAATATGTATGCTTTTTCAATTGTTCATCAATTACTTTGTGAATTTGTTTGCATCCATCAATTGCATGTTCTAGCACCTTCTCAAATTGATCCAATGATAATTTTGAATCCATCTGTAATAACGTTACTTTATCCTGCTTTGGAAGAAGTGCAATTGGAACATCAGGTCCATCAGCACAATCCTCAATATAGTTTAAATCCGTGAGAGGAGAACCCTCAATAAAACCAGCTGCACATGATACTACAAAGTCTTTCATTGGGATACCTGCATCTAATAGTGCAAGAGTTGCTGCATTAATACAAGCACATCTAGTACCACCATCAGCTTGTAGCACTTGCATGAAAATATCAATTTGAGTTCTAGGATATAAATGTGTCAAAATAACAGATTCAAATGTTTGTCTAATTACAACAGATATTTCGGTAGATCTTCTATCTCTCTTAAATTGTCGTTTTCGTTCTCCTGTACTAAATGTTGCCATACTATATTCGCAATTGATGATGGCTCTATCGTTTTTCATTTGTGATTTATTCTTGACTTCTCTCGGACCATATACAGCTGCCAATACTCGAGTATTTCCTTGTTCATAATATGCAGAACCATCTGCTCGACTGAATAAATTTAATTTAAATTTAATATTTCTAATTTCATGTGGACGTCTTCCATCCACTCGCAATCCTTCCGGAGAGAGGTATTCAATTCGTGATGACATTTTTTATTTCCAACTTTTATTCAAAAATATTGTTGTTGAGGATAATTCTTGGTCGAGTCCAAAAGGAAAGGTTCCTGTGATGATGATGATGATCACAGGTCTCTATTATGATCATAATAATTATTTCTCACGCGCCCTGAAGGGGAATTCAGAATGTAATATTGATACATGATGTTTTAGTGATGATGGAATGCATCTATTTTCAGTTGATGATATTTTCTTATTAGTACTTAATGTTCAAAGATCTTTGAAAGATGATCCCATGCAACACAGAGCAAGATTACTCCGAGAGTCATTTTCCAGAGTCAGTCAATTCTTCTTGAACACACTCTTTAAAAACCTCCAAACATTCTCATTCGTCTCCGATCGGTTGGAGTGTTTCTAACTGTGATACTGATTGGCTTTCCGACACTTGTGGTGCAGTGAACCTGTGAAATTAATTCGAATTGAATGCTAGAATCTCGTGAATCATCACCTGGAAACATGTTTCGAATTCCACCTTTCTGTGCAAATTGTTTGAGAAATTGTAGAAATGAATCTGGTTGTTGTTGAAGTTGTTGTGATGATGACGACACATTGTTGTTGTGATACATGTTGCTAAAAAACACTGAAAATATCCAATACGCAATACTACCCAAAATGAGAAAGAATGCTTCCGAAGAAAGCCATCTCGACCAACCAGTGGTGGTGGTGTTATGATTGAGATTACGACCACTTGGTTTTGGCCTTCTCGGAGATGAGAACATTTTTTGCTTCTTGGTGACACACAAGTAAAGGGACAATGAAAACAAAAGAATGGAAACTCTTTAATGGTAAATAGGACATCAAAATCTTCATTTAACTCTCTGTTGGTGTGAGCAAATTCTTGAAAGAACTAAAGTAATTTTCAAATGCCAAGAAACGGAAATTACTTGGTAGCAATCCATAACTTCTCAAAGGCGTTCCTGTGTTGTCCGTTCCTGTCCATGAAACGAAAATTTTAACATCTGTGTTACTTGTCTGGTCATAATACTGCCCACATTGTCTTTGACGAACACATGGTAAAGAAATATCAACGGAGCATTGTTCCTTAGCATTGTCACAGTTATCAATAAATTCAATTGGTTTTCTATTGAGGACAGAAGTTAGATTCACCAGTCCTCCATCCAATGTAACAGCAATTGTGTAATAGAGAGTGAAAGAATCTCTTCCTGAAATTGACTTGAGACTTCTGAAATAAACAGATTCAGACTTAGTATTTCCAACCCACACAGTTACTGTACTGTTCTCGCTCACATTCATAAAGGTGCTCGCTACGATCGTGTATAATTATTAAATCATGAAAGGATGATATTATCCAAAATTTGATTATATGAATTATTCCGTAACGTCAAAATACATCAAATAAATAACAATCATCATCATGGAAATGAAATAGTTTAACAACATCAGCATCATCGGACATGAGTAGAAATATATTAAAACATACATCCGTTGAGAATAACTTCAGCTAACTCATCAACTAAAACACAGAAAGGATAAAAAGTGCTTGTTGTGTTGCTTGTACTCAACTCAATGACAATCTTTGTAGCCTGGTTCTTTTTACAAGAAGATTGAACTCCAGTGAGCGGATCAACACCAGGAGCACAAGGCTTTGAACAATCAACAGCCTTCTTCTCTGATCTAACGAAAGGGAAATAGATAAACAATAAAACAAAAAATACTCCTAGCAGGACCAATAATTGAGAAGGAGATGATGATTTCCTCATTTTTTCTTTTGGAACGTTGTCTTCCACTTGCTTGATGGGTGATGCCCTTGTTGTAGTGAGGCTTGGTGTTCAATAGTCTGTTACTTTCCTTGTTTTAATTTTGAAATTATGAATAATAATGATTGTTGAAAAGAAACTCTTGTTATTGAATTAGAAACAACAAAATAAAACTGAAATTGAAGGAGGAACAATGGAATAAGCCTCCAAGAGCGAGCCTTTGAGTTTCAGTTATGGCGCTGATATTTGAAGAACAAATTACAAAAAAAATCTTCAACAACATGTCGAACAATTATCACCAGGTGGTCCTTGTTATGAATTGCTGTGGCACCACAAAACCAGGAAATAAGCCTTCTTCTAATTCCTCTCTTCTTTACTTTCGTGATATAGTCATCAATATTCACCAAGCCATAAAAGAATGGGCTTTGAAAACAATTTTGTTTTTAAAGGCTGGTCAAAGAAGTTTAAGCCTTACTCAAGAAAAACTGTTGCTCTCTATTTACTCGACCTCAAACCACTCGAGCCTCCAAATGGTGTTGGCTCAAGATGATCTCTCATTACCTCTTTTAAACACATCTTTGAAGAATCATCAAAGTCAATACAAAGACTGCCATGAAGGTAAGTGTTTATAAACACTCGACAGAGTTCGTTCAACAACATGCAACAAAGAGGAGTCAATGCATGACGAAGTTTCTACACCAATGATCGCAGGAATCCTTAAGAACTTAACCAACACGATACAAAACGGTATGAAAGATAACGTAATATCTTCACAAATTGTGTACTTTACGACTGAAAAGTTTGATTGTGTTTCTGAAGATTTAAATCAAACTCTAGGAGTAAGTTTTATATATTTTGGACGGAAAATCAATTGTTTTATTTTAAAGGAGTTGTATGGAGACAACATTGATTTGCATGTGATTAAGGTTGTGCATGATTTTGAAACAGATGTTTGTTTAGACACAGCTTTTATTGATATGATCGAAACGTTTCCCAATACCAGGTCCACTTCCGTGTTTAATGATCCTTTGTGCATTTCAAGAGAATTGTTTCTTTCCACAAAACACATTTTGAAACGACAAGGAAGGGAGATGGCTTTATTGATTTCATCAAACATTGAAGCTCTGAAGTTTTCTGTTCTTCCTTCAAGCACCTTAAACGATTTTGAGATTTCTGTTTCGGATAGAAAATGTCAGTGCCATCACGAAAAAGTTAATTCTAACGTGTTTTACAAACAACTGCAGAAAGGGTTTGTTTGCAGTTCAACTCTAAAGATCATTGATCATTCAGACACCGTTCCCCTCTTACGAATTGGAGATGGATTGACAGAATTGCTTTTCAACTCTGGAATCGATGAAAAGAACCAAGTTGTACACACAATCATTGAGATGCAAGCAGTATCAAGGGTAAAGCTTTGCTCCTTGCCATATGAGCTACTGATTGGAGAAACCTGTTTGCTAATACCCTCTATTGACATGGATATATCGAAAGTGGAACAAAACGAATCAGAGGTGTATTACTTGTGTCGACATCTTGTTGACAATAACGAAGGTCTTCTCTGTAGATCTGAATCCTCGTTCAAGGCAACAAGCATTAAGGACAGTGGTTTGATATATCATTTTCTTGTTGTTCCTGATTTAGAAATGAAATGTCTAATTATTCGACAAATAGCAACCTCGGACGAGGTAGTTCCTCCAGTTTTTTTGTCGAGATTAACTCAAAATTTACCAAATTCAAAAGTTTTAAAGGAGCTCGAAAACATAGAAGTGACGGATGAGTTCAACCCTTTATCAGTTAACAGTAACAAGATTAACTTTGTTTACAAAACAATAGCTCTAGCATCTGCACATCAGAAGAAGAATGATGAGAAAAAACCAAAGTGGGACTCCAGAACTTCCTTAATGCAATCTTCAACAAGCGTGAATGAACCAACTTCAAGGCGAGCGGTCAATATTGACAAGGGTCAATCTAAGAGGGTAAAGAAATTAGTTTTCAAGTGATTACAAGATTATTTTCTCCTGTTGAATTTTTGTCTCATTTCATCAAGAATATTTAAATCTTGTTTGCTATTTGGAGCGAAAATAGGATTAAAGAAACTAATGGTTTTTCGTTTTTCCTCATTGCCAGGATTCTTCTTTCTTGAAACATCCCCAAGATCAACATACTCGTCAATTTCATCAGATACAATTAGATCTGTATTATCAAATGCCATGGTGACAGGTCTTGGTGGAGGGACTTGTGGTTGTGGAGGAGTTGCTATTGTCTGAGTATCTTCTTTATCTTGAACTTCATCCTGATGTAAATGTTCAGACATTACCGCAGCTGCAAATGCAGGGGATGAAAAGTCATTAATTGAAAATCGTTGAGGCACTATTCTTTGAGATTTTCGTTTTCTTAATTGTTCCAACTTCAAGTTGTATTGTTTTTCCTCTTCCAGCTGTTTTTTCCACTTCATTTCTTTTGTAATGGAATGAGCAAGAGAGAATTGCAACTTCATGCTTTCTTGTTTGTATCTTTCAACTTGTTGTCGCAAATTATCAATGGTTTGGTCTTTTTCAGAGACTGCCAAAAAATAATTCTCTAACTTTTTATACAAATCCGCCATTTCATTTTGCATCTCAATCATCAGATTTTGCGAGGATGCCATATTGGAAATGAGAGTTTTGTTACTGATCATGAAGCAATTAATTTGAGCCTTGTTCATTTTGTTGATTTCATCAAGCTGTGACAACATTTTTTCTCTGTCTTCCTTTTTTTCTTGACGTGTTTGGTGCAGAATGTTGAGTAGTGATTGAACCTCAGCTTTAAGTTTGTCGTTTTGAGACTTCAACTCCTGAATTTCTTCTTCTGAAATATCATCCAACTTGGTGAACATTTGATCGTGCTTTTGAGGAGTTTGGGTTTGTGAGCATGTTAAAAATTTATGATCAACTTACGGAATCGCTTCGGCCCTGCTTTTTCAATTGTTCAATGGTCTCTTTGAGTTCATAAATTTCTCTTTCCTTTTTAGAAAGCTCCGTTTCATAAGACACACGCATGTGGTCTATTTCGGCTTGATTTCTGAAGTAATTTGAATCTCTTTCCAACACACTTTGGAATGATGCTTGCTTCTCTTCTAAAACTGATATGGCTTCGTTGACTATGGTAGAAACTTCATTCTTTTGCAATGTATTTGTTATTTTTGCTTCTAACTGATTTATCTTTTCATAGAGCTTTGTTATCTTCTTGTTCAACCTTTGATTTGTTTCTTCTAATCCTTTGTTTTTTTCTTCCAAATATTTGTTTCTGTTTTCATATTCCTGTTTCTGATAAACCATCTCATAATTAATTTCTTGGAAGTCTAATTGTTGAATAACTTTATGAATCAGAGTAAATTCGTCACCATATTCTCTCTTCAATTCTTCAATTGTTTCTTGTGTTTTTGCATCTAGTATTGTGTTGGATTTTATATAATTTTGTTGCTGTGAGTCCATTGTGAGTCTTTGATTTCTGACTTGTTCAAAGTTTCTCTTCTCTTGAAGTAATTTTGAATAACAATCACCAAATAGCTTTTTAAAGGTTCCATCATCAGCACAGAGAGACTTAATGACATCAAGTTGCTTTTCAACATTTTCAAACAGATATTCCTGATCTGCAACAAGTTGTTGGATTTGTTTGGATTCATCCAAAGTAGAATCTAATTTCTTTCTTTCTTCTTGAATGGTCTGAATGTTTTGAATCAAACTTCTAATCTCATCTTTGTATCTTTGAATGGAGGAATCATATTGAGAGAGAGATGATTTATGTACAGTAAATTCTTTCAACAAGTCAATGATATTGTTGTTCTGCTCTTCTATCTTTTGAACACTTTGGATCCAATGACTTGCCTCCTCTGTTGGTTCTTGGGTTAAACCAAATTTCTTCTTGTTGATGGTAATTTCTTCCTCAATATTCTTTTTTTGTGAGATAAAGCCATTCCGTTTTTTCATTTTGGTCTGTAAACTTGAGAGTAATCGGTGGTTCCTTCAATGTGGATAGTATTATTGAGTTCTCGCCTTTCAATAGTTTAAAACATTCAGAGAGATTGATATTATTAAAAATTCTTCCGAGTTCCTTACTTACCAAAATTTTCAATCACTGAAGAAAAGATTAATGGCAAGATCACAATATCCTTCTTTCCATTCGAAGTATATGCAAATATATCCGATGCTAAGTAACAATCAGCCCACTCCTCTCCCTTCTCATTGTGGTGCTGAATTTTAATTCTTCCTTCTTTCATAAACTTTCTCCATGATTTTAATAAGCTACTGAATTGTGAGGCCACCTTTTGAGAGGTTTCATAGTGTCGTTTGCTCTCATTAATTTTCGAAACAATTTTTTCCATATTTTCTGCCAATGATCTCACTTTCAAATAAATTACAGAATCAGAGGGAGTTATTTTAACCAGGCGATCAAACAAATTCTTGTATCCAAAAATACGTTGCATTGGTTTGGGGAGCAAATCACGAAGTCCAAGTCCTTTGGATAGAGGATCATCTCTACTTTGTTTAAGAAGTTTATCAAATTCCTTATTCTTTTTACATATCTCATTGACTATTTCAACAGCCAAGTCATAACCTTTGACATAGTCACTGTAAAAGTTAAGAAAGGGAAGCTGTCAAAATCAGAGCAACAAGTGAAAGGTCAATTGAAAAAAGGGCCTCTTCTACTTACATGCTTTACAAACACATCGAGAATTTTAGGAATGTTTCCACTATTCCTATTTTCGTTCTTCTGTTTTTGAACCTCGTTGAGCAATATTTTCGTTAAATTTCTAATTTGACGCACTTTATCACTCGTTAGCAATGCTGTCCTAGTCAAAAAATCCACTTACCATTTCCAAATACTTTTTTGATTTCCTCTTGAGAAATCAGTGGCTTCTTTGCTTCCAATCTACTTTCAAACACTTGAATGTATAAAGTATCAAGTACATCTAAAAAGTACAAATAATTCTTTTCAGTTTCAATCAGTTCATTAATGATACAAATAATTTCTCTCACTCTATTTTCTATTCATGATAGGAGTTACACAACATAAAGCGATGAACACAAAAAGAGTCATCCACAAGATACTTACTTCTTTCGAGTCCTTTTTTAAATTTATATCCTCTCCACACTCGCATCAAAACAGAGACTGCGCCATCAGCACCGCACTGAACAGGAGAGGCAAATGCAGTTGGAAAGAGTCCGATTTTGGAATTAAACTTTCCAACACTCCAGCCTTGAACATTGTCTTTTGTAACTCCAACAATATCTCCTTGATGAAGTTTAAGCTCTCTTTCTCTCTGACCCTCAAAATCAAAATTCATCTATAATAATTCGTAATGAGCATAATAATTAATGATCGCCCATCATGAATATATGATCCGTGTATTTCATGAATTAAGGGTATATCAGATCACCATTAACCTTCAAAATTCCATTTTCTACTTACCTTTACATAGAACAAGATGGGATGAGCATCATAAATGAAATCGGCAGAGGTGAGTACTTGTTGTTTGTGGTGGCCAACGGTGTTGGTGGTGGTGGTGGTTGGATGGGTCGACATTAATTCGCTTAAAAATAAAAGGCTCTCTTCTTCAGCGTTGGTGGTCTGATGTTTTTTTAAGGCTACCGGGCGAAGTTCAACAGTTGTTAATCCAGGAGAGACGAAGAGCAATTTATTTGGAGAGGAGCAACTATATACCACATGGATCTTCTCTATGCTGCATGTAATGAGATGGGTGGAATATAGAGGGTTTTGGATGGCTGTTTAATCCACAGGTGGTTGTTCCTCTTCATCGCTCTTCTTCTTGTTGTTCTGTGCTGAGTCGACTAAGGGAGTCTTTTCCTGATCTTGCTCATCAGTTCCATCCTTCTCAACTTCAACATCTACTTCGGAAATAGAAACATCCTCAACATTTTGAATGAGGTCTTCAATTTGTTCCATGTTGGCAGCTTCTTCAAAATTGACGTGTCCGAACAATCCAGTGTTGTGAAAGTCCATTTGGCTCATCAACTGAACAAGTTCTTCGCTTGACAAATCCCACAACTTGTCAAGGGCTGTTTCAACACCTTGAGTAATGGCTGTTTCAAAGAAGAATTTGATAAAATCTTCAGTGAGATCAGATTCCTTAATGAAATCATCCATTTTCATTTCTTTGAGTTCTCCTTTAGCACATTTTTCAATCAATTGTTGATTCAATTTTTTCATTCCTCGATTCATTGTGAGACCAATCACACCACTGAATGCCTTTGAGAGTCTAGATCCAAATAATTTATCTACAGCCACAGCAGCGTATCTTTCCTTAAAGTTAAGTTGAGACATGTATTCACGTTGCATTTCTGAAAGGCCATTTTTGAAAGTATCACCAGTGAGTGGCCAACCCCAAATCACAAATAACTTGGCACACATTTCTGCAATCTTTTTGATAAATGTTCCTTTAGCATCAATTGTAATTTCTTTTGTATATTCAATCACAATTTCCTTAGCTCTTCTATCTTTTTCAGTCATTGAAGCAATTTGTGAATACATGAAAGCATCTCTTGCCAACTCTGGTAATAAATCACATGTGTGGTTGATCAGTTTTTTCATACCATAATTTTCTTTAAGAATGCAGTTAAATCCACAATCACTACATTCCAACTGTTTCGTTTCTTCATCATAAAAGACGTCATCACTCAGACAATCTGGGCACCATGATTGAGTCCAATTTTCTCTCTTTGAAATACAAATATGAATACCCCTATTATGTTCTAATTTTTCATCTTCAATAACCTTCTTAATTGCCTTCAGTTGAATCGAGTCAGCCAAGTCACTCTTATTAAGTACGAAAATGACAGGAGTAGGAGCAAAGACTTCTCTAACAACTTCTGCTTCGAAATTCTCAAATCTACCACGGGCTGTATTCACCACATACCAAACAACGTGAATGTGATTGGCGACATCTGGTGATTGTCTCAATTCCATAAAGAATTTTCCAGTTTCTTTAATAAACTCTTCATGACTGTTCCATTCCAAACCTTTAGAGTCATAGATCACAACTGGCTTATCATTGGGTTCATATTTTTGGAAGTGTTGAGTGACAGGCATACCAGCACCTGCTCTTGCCAATTCCTCTCCGAAAACGGCATTAACCAAACTACTTTTACCTTTCATAAATGAAGAATAATGATTGGTGAAAATCATATGGAACAGTTGTAATACATCCAAATGATGATGATGATGGAAAATTATTGAATAGTAATATAATTTTAACAATTGTTACCATCATGAATTTCCATTTAATCAACCGATTGACCAACACATGATGATTCATCAACAATTTTAAAAGTTACATACCAGCACCAGTAATACCTGCAACTAAGATGTTAGGCTTCTTACAAGCCTTCGTGCAGTCATTAAAGTGATCTTGAAAGCTCTTCACCAATTCTTCGGTTTCTTTTTCGGACAGCTCTTGCAACTTTTCATTCATTTCACTCATTTGGGCCATTTGATTGGGATCATGCGGTTGCTGATCGTGGCCATGAGGTTGGTTTGGGTCTTGGGAAGGGATCATTGTTCAAATTCGATGAATGTATTTTTGTTTTTGATTTTTTGGTTCAATTATTTTGACTGAGTCTGCATGTCTTTCAAAGAGAAACAATCAATGAAAAACCATTTTATCATAATTTATTATTTGGATTGAATCGTCTGATTCGAAACTTTGTACTCCACTTCAGCATTCATTCACCGATTCAATCCCTAACCAAAGATAATGATGTTCTATTGTTTAATCGTAGAGAGCGTCTCAGGGTTTTTTAAAAGAATGATCATCCACACACTCCCCATGTCTTTTCTATAATTGAAACAACCATTTAATTTTGTTCCCATTTAGGCTTCTTCTTCATAATATCGGTATACTTTTTAACTCCTTTTTGCAAGACTTCATCACCATAATTTTTGTATGTTGGAGGATTGTTTGCATAGTATTGAATTGATAATAATCCGAGGCCAGCAGATAATATAAAACTTGTACTCCAAAACTTCACAGTCCGTGCGTTTTGTCCTGTGATTAGGCTTGCCACCATAGAAAAGAACGATCCAGCACAGGCATAAAAGCCGATTGCTGCAAGAGGTCTTTTTGCGAAATAATACAGAGCATATCTAAATCTACCTGCTCCGGCATCAATTCTTTGAAGAACATCAGGGTTAGATCCGTTGGCATAGTCGTATTGGGTCATCAAGTGTGTCGCTGAAGGTTGATGTTGTTGCTGAGAGTTGTTGTTTTGGTTGTCATTCATTTTTGTTTGATTTTGAGGGATCGAGTTCATTCAAGATGACACCTTAAACAAATAGTTATTACGAAATTGCAGAAGCATGAGATCATTGTTTAAACAGACATCAATTCTCATGTTAATTTCATCGATACTCTTGAGAAGATTTGTCGTATTGGTGTGAAATTTTAAGTTCAATATTTAATAATTAAAATTGAATGAATCCACTTAGTTTTCTATTGATGTTCTGTCTTGACATTTGTAATATCTCTTATGAGAGAAATATTATCTCCTTTTAATAATATTCTTCCAACTCGTTTTCGTTGTGATTTTTTGACATAGACTTCCTCTGTATCATCCAATACAATATTCATGTATTCATCAAAGCCAAGAATATTTCCTTCTATCCGTAAATCAGTATTTTCATACAGCCAAATTTGAATTCTGCAACCCTGCTTCAAATACTCAAATACTTGAGTCTGTAGTATTCGATCATGATGTTCCGATGAGGATGATCATTCAAAAGCTTGTTGCAAAAAATACTTACAATTGGCTGGGTCATCATCTTTTGTTTGCGGTGCATTTTTGGAAAGAGTTTTTTTTTGAAGGTGTTGTTGTTTCACTTGAGTTGAATTTGCAAATGTCAAAGAATGAATTCAAAAACAATGTTGGGTTCTTTAATTTTGTTTCTCTTTGAGTGTTTCGTCATGGAATACGAAACTACTCACTCTTGGCATGATATCATCAGACAAGGAATCTTTTGACGATACATTGCCATCCATACTGTCATTTAGAGCTGTCATGTATTTTCTGTAATCCTCTCTTGTCATTCTATATTTTGCATCAGCAGTGTCCAAATCAACTCGAAGAATCTCTTCAAAGTATCTTTTTGTTGGAACTGCTTTACCCTTACTATCCACGGTGCACATTCTCACAATTCCTCTTCCAATAAATTTATTCTTAACGAAGAAATTTTGTTCGACGTACAACCATTTTTCATCGGCACATGCTACTCGAGTGACAATTTTAACTTTTTCAAACAATTTTGCTGAACGGCGGAATTGAAAACTAACACCAGCAACCACCCATCCAAATCCTTTTCTCATGAATCGTTTTTTGAGGGTGATGTCAAATTACACATATATGGCAAATGTCAACAACCATAATCATGAAATTCTTAGAGTTACATACCTGCTCTACGACATCGATTGAACACATTTCCGTGTTTTAAAATCATATCAAAACGGGCGTGTTCCATAAAACTAAAATATTGAGCATTGTTTAAATGCAGGTTAAAATCTAAATCATAAGGGAGGACTCGAATCTCATAGACATGATCCTCATCGTAAGGTTTGGAGTTCTTTTCGTAGTAATCATCAAAAAAGTATGCTAAAAACATCAAGTAGAGAGTTCGGAGCCAATAGATCATGTTTGTTGTGTGTGCTATTGGATTTGTTTTAGATGAGTGTGGCTGTTGAGGTGTTTTTTTTGTTTTCTCCAACACACCTCGAAAGTTCTCGAGAATGTGTTTAATTTCCGAGAAGTCGACGACTGGTTGGCCAACGAGACTCTTTCGCCATGTGCACCTCGCACTTGTACTTGTGCGAAGTATGTACGAAAAGTGTACGAGATACGCGTATATCGTCTCCAGAGAGAGTGAAAAGACAGAAGAAGGTTTACCGTTAGCAGTAAAGAGTGCGACCGCAGGTTCAAAAAGTTGATTTAAACAAAGGTCTTGTCGCACCATTTGATCAGTTATGGAATAAGGGTGGCAATGCTTGAATATTTTACTTTCGTTTTCTTTCTTGTTTTTCGAACAAAGAAGCAATATTGAATAACACTTGTTTTGGACCCACAAGCACAATGTGCAAGAATAATAAATAAATAATTACTGAGGAAATGAGAATCAAATCAAATGTAATTGGTGTCACTTTGAGAAGAGATAATTTAACTTTGATATTCGTATAGAATTTGTAAGCAGAGTTGCTCAAAAGAAAATCTTGAGTTTGAACCGTTTGGTCATTACTTGTAAATTGTTGGAGAGTCTATGCATATGCATACAGCGATATTCACGGTGAGAAATATCATGATAATTTTCGTATGGACACGATTCATGTTGTAATATTCATCCAAGTAAAAATATTATCATACATGTATTCACCGATCAATCATTAAAAGTCCCCAAAATACTTACCAATTTAAGAGTTTTGACTAAATCACTCTCTTTTGAAAGGGTTGGTGTAAATCTTGAAGTATTCTCCACATTCTTAATGAATGCCCTAATAAATTTATCATTTTCATCTTCAAAAAATCTAATGTTATGATCAATATCATAGAGATGGCGGGCTAATGCCTCAGAAACTAATTTGATGGACTTTCTTAATTGATCAATATCCACTTTAGAAATGTCTAGAGAATTGGTTCGTGTTAACATTGAAGAGGATGGCACAGATTGTGCTGAAATGGTTGCAGACACAATTCCCTTCTTGGCGAAAACTTCATGCTCCCAAACTAATTCTCTATCAATCTTCTTTTCAATAAATTGAAGACCAATCTGTAATTGTTTAGCGGTAGATACAAAATGTTTGTATAGATTAATCACATTCTTATCGTTGGTCTTTTCAGAAATATGCATAAATAACTTGAAGGATTCATCATCACGAGAATTTACACGTGAGGTGAGACTATCTAAACATAAAACAAAGTCTAACTGATTTACCAATCTTGGGCCTGTTTGTTTGATCCAGTGTTTAGTTCCAGCAAAACCCAATCTACTTCCACCCGTTAAAATAAATAATAAATTATGAGAGGCTTTTGTTGATGGTATAGAATAGAGTTTTTGGAATAATCTTGAAACCTCTAACAAACCAATCATTCCACTTCCATCAGCATTGAAAGTAGTTGCCAAGCCTGGAATTGAACTAACCGAGTCATAATGAGCAACAATTCCAATGGTTTGAGACTTTTCCGTTTGCTTGCCCTGTAATGTAGAGAAAATATTAACAACAGGAATTTGGTCAATTGGCTTTGCCTCTCCTTCCGAAACGACTGCTTGATAGGACTCACTCAACAACGAAAATTCACTCAAATTTTCAAAATAGCTTAACATTTCGGAAGTCTTTTCATTCTGAAAAATGAAATAAATAGGCTTATCAAAGGTGGAGACTAGAAATTGTTTTTCAATATTTCTGGATTGGTCAATGGAATTTGGGGAAATTTCATCATCTTTTGGTGGAAGTACAATCAACAATCCACTCACATCTTCTCTATTTAAAATTGATTGAACACTTGTCTTGTTGGATGATAATAATTCTTCAATTTTCATCATGATGACATTCCGGGCAGCGGAAAGAGCAGAAGAGCCTCCCAATCTTTGAGTCGTAATCGGAGAATTCAATCCAGTAACACGACAACCAAATGGTTGGGATCCTTTATCATATTGGATAAGCCTAAAAGCATCAATGAATGTATCTTGTGATTTTGTTTGGGTGGCCGCCAGAGTTGATGTGATGATGGCAACCAATAACCAAAGAATCAAGACAAAAAAACAGATACTCTTCTTTTTCATATTTTTTAATGTTCGCTTTTATCAAAAACAAGTTGATGAAACCCAGCCATTGGTTTCAAGCGAATTTTTCGAATTTGTCAAATTCATCACTTGCCACTATTTCAATTCTTTCAATTATATAATAATTATACTAACCTTCCGGTCATCACCACACAACATGCTGGGCGTCATTGCATTTCAACCACCATCACTTGAAAAAATGTCATCTCTTCAGCAATACCGCACAAAGGTAGCCATGACCCGAGAAGAAATTGATGAAAAGAAGAAGAGGTAAGTGGTAAGGAAGGATATGTTTGCCACTTTATAGTACGAAACCATCAAGATGGTTAGAAGAAAAGGCCAAGGAACAATTACGAAAGAGAATTGAGGAAAATTTAATTCGAGAGCAACCGAATCTAGTGGGTATACAAAATCATTCCTCTCAACAAGCATCTTTCCCAACAAGCCTGATCGGAATACTAACTGACACGGTTGAAAAATCCATCAAGGAAGAATTAAAAATTAATCATACTCTCAGTCATCAAACACAAGGAGAGGAAGATGATGATGAAAATTTCTTGACCAATGAAATGGAAAATCATAAATGTGCCATTTGCTTTGAAATTATGTTAGATAAGGAACATGAGCCAATGATGATAGTACCATGTGGACATTGTTTTTGTCGAAATTGTTTACAATTATTAACCACACAAAAGTGTCCAACATGCAGGTAGGTCCAAAAAGCAGTCCACTCATTGAAAATAACTTGCTATTTTAGGTCAAAGATCAAATCCCTGGCTGTCAATTTTGCCTTAAAACAAGTAATTAATTCTTATAATGATTTGAAAATGCAAAAAGAAAAGAAAAAACAAGAAATGCAAATATTTATTGAAAAACAAAGTGTACATAATGTCGATCCAACAGTTTTGGAAATATTTAAAACTGTACTTAATAGGACACCCTCTGAGCATCGTCAAGAAGTTGAAAAATATCTCTCTCAATTTGCAAAAGCAAAAACAAGAAAAAAAGTTCTAACCGATTCTTTAAGTGAAATTGATTCAGAACTTGATCATTTAAAAACTCATGAAAATATTGCAGAATCTCATTTAGAAAGATTTAATGTTGAACACCAAGCTCTTGTTCAGGAAATTGAGGAAAAGATGAAGAGATTGGAAGACTTAAAAAAAGCAATTGGTGAACAAGATCGTGTGGTAGGTAATGGTGATTTGAAATTTACAAATATGCATGACCATGGTTACCATCTGATTGTCATTGATCTCTAATGTCAAGACCAAGGAGATTTCTCAACACAAACAACAAATGGAACAAAAGAAACATTTCATTCTTCAGTCCATTCAATCCATAGAAAGAGAAAGAGAGAAGGCCAAACTGATCATTAAAAACTTTGTTCCAACTTTAAGTGATTATGAGTTTAATGATTAGTGAAGATTAGTCATCATCATGATCAACAACAACAACAACACTCGATTACACACTGTTGGTTGTTGTAGTTGCCAGAGATTCTCTCTTTTTTTGAAGTACAGCGTTCAATAATTTCACAATACCTTGAGTGGCAACACTTGAAAGTGATTTTTCCTTTTCCCAATCCGACAACAATGGTGGTTGGTAATTTCTCATTAACAACTTTCTCCTTTGCTTTTCAGTTGATTTTTGTTGTCTTTCTTCTTTCATGAATTCCATAAATCGTTGATAAGTTTTTGCCTTGGAATTGATTAATAAAGGTAATTCAGTGGTTAAATGAGGTGATTTGTTGTCTCGTGTAACTTTTCTATTCATAATTTCAGAAATAATTTCAGATAATTCCTTTTTAGTGTCTGGATCAGTGAGTCCAGGTTGTCTATTTTGTGGAGGTTCTTGTTTTAATGATTCAATATTATCTTCATTATCATTGTCATCTTCCGTAGTTGTTGCTGTTGTGAGAGAATGGTCCTCCTCCTCTTCTTCAATCTCTTCTTCAAATTTTACTTTTTTGTGATCTTGATTCAATTGCGTCTCTTCTTTTCTTTTCTCTTTTTGAGTTCTTGTTCGGAATGAGCTGTCTTTGAGGATTTCTTGTTGGAATTTGTATTTTGGAGAGGAATTGTACTCTCGCTGTTGTTGTTGTTATTATTATTATTAATATTATTATTAGGAATGTCTTTCTTGATTTCTGGTTCATCATCGGCCTCTCGATCGGAACGTTTTAGAGGTGTGGTCGAAGGTTGGCCGTTGTGGCCTCGTTGTTGCTTTGGCATTTTTTATCAAATTCAACAATTTGTTGAACCTTTGTTTCCTCTTTGTGGCGAAAGCATCGTATCCGTTACAGTGTGTTCGTGGGTTCATTGGTCTTTTCCTCACATGCTCATCAACAACAGGACACAAGTTTTTCTGAATCATCCTCTCCACTTCCGAAAGGGCTTCTTTCCGACCGAAAAAAAATGAAGAGAAATCCAATCAAATTGGCCCACTCGACCCTCACTCGCTTAACAAGAAGCGGCAGCGCTGGTGCTTCCGTGCTCATCTACCGATACCCATCGGGTTTTATTTTCAACAAGAATTCTTCATCAGTGGGTAATTCATTCTTTAAAATTACTCCATTCGAGTCATCGTCAAGTTGTTCTTTTCATACTTGTAAGTTCAATCCGATTGGTTGCAAAGGGTTGAGAATAACCCACAATTTTAATTTATCTTCATATTCCATCTTTTTAAACGTCATCTTTTCCATACATGGATATCTAACAACAACAACAATCTGCTCCATTTTGTATTCATTTTCATTCCATCATGAACAGCCTCGATCCAAGCAAAAGAAAAAGATCCCTATAAAATTCTCGGAGTCCCCAAAACTGCTACCAAAGAAGAAATTAAAAAGAAATTCAAAGAAATGGCCAAAAAATTCCATCCCGATATTAATAAGGCTCCAGATGCCAAAGAAAAATTTGCGGAATTGAATGGAGCTTATCAAATCCTAGTGGATGATGAAAAACGTAAAATGTATGACATGACAGGATCAACAGAACAAGCAGACTTTGCAGGTGCAGACGGTGGACCATTTGGTGGCGGTGGATTTGGTGGAGGAATGTCAAGAGAACAAGCTGAAGAGATTTTCAATCAATTTTTCGGTCGTGGCGGACCATTTGGTGGAGATTTCTCAAGCGCATTTGGTGGAGATCCATTTGGAGGAATGGGTGGTGGTCGAAGTGCAGCAAGAGGACCCAGACAAGGTGCTGATGTTCGTAAATCAATTCGAATTTCATTGAAAGAGGCTGTGACTGGAACTAAAAAGGAATTGAGAATTAATAAGGCAGTGGAATGTACATCTTGTGGCGCTACTGGAGTTAAGGCTGGAACAAAACCAAAGACATGTACTCATTGTAATGGAACAGGTACAATGACTATGCAACAGGGTATGTTTAAATGCATGGAGATAATTTTTCTAATCCCATTATTTTCAAAATTATGAAATTTCAAAATTCTGGCACGCATGGTCACTACTACTTGCAGGATTTTTCATCATGCGATCCACATGTGATGCTTGTGGTGGTAGCGGAAAACTTCATGAAGATTGTCCATCATGTAAAGGAGAAGGATATACATCAGAAATGAAAACAGTGGAAGTAACGATACCTCCTGGTGTCGACACTGGAACTACATTGAGATTACCTGGTCGAGGTGCTGCTGGACAAAGAGGAGGACCACCAGGTGACATGTTTTTAGAAGTGTTTGTTGAGCCAGATCGTAGCTTTACGAGAAAAGGTGATGATTTGGAAACCAAAGCAAATATTTCACTTTCACAGGCTGTATTGGGAGGTTCAGTGGATCTTAATACTATTACAGATGAAAAAGTTACAGTTCACATTCCATCAGGATCTCAACATGGAGACAAGCTAGTATTGAAAGGAAAAGGTATAAAACCAAAGAACAAATTCTCGGCTGGTAATTTGAACGTTTATCTTAATATCCAAATACCAAGAAATTTAACAAGTGAACAACGAGAATTGTTTGAAAAGTTTGCACAACTAGAAACAGATCGAACAGGAAAGGTAAATGCTCCAACAGATCAATATTCATCATCATCGAGTGATCCGTCTGATCAAGGAGAGAAGAAAGGTTTCTTTGAAAATTTAAAGTCAAAGCTCAATAAAAAGGAATAATGCTTTATGCTTAGTATTCTCTTTCTGCAGGAGTTGAAGGACGACCATGCCGCGATTCAATTGATTTGCTATTGTGGGTTGGATTGTTTTGCCTTTCCAGCACTTCCTTGCTTTTAGATAAAAGAGCTTGAATTAAATTGTATTGGGATAACGTTGCATCTGATGAGGTTGATTTTGGTGAGGATTTGCTACTACTGACATGATGAGTGGAGCTTGGGCTTGAGGATGGTTTAGTCTTTGCATCTTTCGCTTGGCTCAAGGAGATCAATATTGTTTCATCATCGTGAACTTTTCTTTGCAGATCGTCAATCTTCTTTTCCAAAGCACTGGTTTTTGTGTTATGTTGATGTTTTGTTTCTTCAACCATTTGTTCCAGATCTGTTTTGAGAGTCTTGATCATGGTTTCAACTTTGGCTTCATGTTCCACTCGGAGTTTAATTCCTTCCTCTTCGATCCATCTTTGCTCTTCAGTCATTCTTCCGATAACTTTTTGTTGTCTTTCAAGTTTGTCATCCACACTCTTATGAAGAGTGGCAATACTTTGATTAAATCTGTAGTCAATATCTGAAATTCTACCGTTCAGTTTTTCTTCCGCTTCTCTCAGTACACTTTCAATCTTTGTCTCTAACTCTGCTTTTAATTGCTCTAAATAAGCAGAGGACTCTCTGGCCATGGTCAACGAATGACTTGCACTTGTGTTCAATGCCATTTTATCAGCAACACTGTTGTTGAGGCTCACATTGTGTGAATTCAAACGTGTTCCATATTGTTCGAGAATGGATTCAAAATTTTTGTGATAAGATTTAAGGGATGAATCAACCATGTTAAGAGCAAAAGATCGAACTCCATCAATCTCCTCTCTCAATTGTGAACTCAATTTGCTCATGTTATCTCTTGTTTCTTTTTGAATTGAAAACACCAATTGTTCTAATCTTTCGAATCGATCTTCATTGAGCTTTTGATACTTGATCGAATCAGATTCATAATGATTAATAGACGTTTCATTCTTCTTTGCTGGTGATCTTATTTGAGGTAATTTGATATTTTCAGGTTCACTTTCAAAATCAGAAATATCTCCATCCTCTAAAACATCATCAAACATTCCCTTAAAACTTCTTGAATGGTGACGATCATGCATTCTGGGTGAACTTTCCATTGAAGAATGTACTTCCGATTTTTTAAATGCACTCTGTGTGGTATGAATGTTGTTACTCTCTTTCAACATGAAATGATGTCTTGGAGAGGGTTGAGCAGGAGAAGATTGAGGTATCTGTTCGATGTAGTGTTTCATTCATTCATCGTTCATCAGAACAATATTTACAATAGGTCATAATAAGATATCATATATTTTCAAACAATGAGTAAACATCACCAGTTGACTCAAACTTACACTTGTTCTTGGATTAAAAGCTTCTTCAAAATCCATATCTCCTCCAATAATTAAATCCTGAAGAGTATTGTTGGACTGCAAAGCTTCAGAAATGGTTTTTGCAACTTGAGGTGCTAATTTTGTTGAATCACTATCAATATCTAAATACAACTTTAAGAGTGAATTATTTTCTTTGAGGGAATCGGAAATAATCTTCATAGAACTTAAATCTAACATGATTCCTTGAATATCAAACTTTTTCAATCGATTATTTGATTTTAACATGTTAGCCAAAGCGATTGCACCATCCACACTGATACCATTGAATCCTAAATAAAGTTCCTCAAGTGCATTGGAGTTTCTAACAATTATTGGTAAACACATTTTCATTACATGAATTAATATTCAAAAATTTCTCTGTACTTACAAAGCCAATGATTTTGCAAACATATAAGCTCCTGGATCTCCAACGTTATTTGATCTAAGATTCAACTTCAATAGGGATTTGTTATTTTTGAGTCCTGTCACCAATGAAGAGACACCCTCAATACCAATTCTGTTTGAACCAATATCCAACTCCTGAAGACTGAAATTGGAGGCCAACATTTTCCCGAAATGTGTGGCTCCTTTATCACCAATTCTATTATGTTGTAAATTGAGTACTTTCAAAGAAGAATTATTCAAAAGAGACGATGCAAGAAGAGATGCACCTGATTCATCAATCAAGTTATTTTGAAGGTTGAGAGTATGAATTCTGTTTGAAGAAAACACAGAATTCAGACTTGACAAGCTGTTAATAATTTTGTTTCCTTTCATATCCAAATGAATCATTGATGAGAAAGGATTTCGTCCAATACATTGAAAAATGTAAGAAATTCCTTCATCTCCCAATTTGTTATTTCCACACACTAGTTTTTGAAGTACAGTGTTTCTTTTCAACATGTCCCCGAGGCATACTGAACATTCTTCTGAAAAGTTGTTTTCGCTAATATCTAATTCTGTAATATGTTTGTTTGTTGTTAAGGCTGTTGCAATACAAATCATATCCTTGTCAGTCTGTCATTCGTTGTTTGTAAATGAATGATGAAAAATGATTCCGAACATGTTGAAACCTACCAATAGCTTTTTCCTATTGGATAATATACAGGATTTGATGTTTCTATCATTCAATGCAAAGATGAATTCAAATGTTGGATCTATTCCGAGTTTTGAACAGTGATTCATATAAATTTCTCTTGGATCAAGCTCCGAGTCCTTTCCTGGATTCCATGAATCATCCAGATTATCCACAATAATTCTGTTGCCAATTCCTTGCAAGGTATCTTCTCCAAAGTCATTAAAATTTAATTCTTTTTGTTTGATCATGAAATCAAAAGACTCATACGGTTGTTCATACCTACTCTTTCCTTTCAGCAGAGAGTCGAGATCAAGGCTTTCATCGATCGTTCGAGTGGTCATTTTTTTGTTTGTAAAAAAATTGGCGGGTGATGAAAAGTCTTGCGAAAAGTTTTTAAGGGTTTAAAAATGACCGAAAGGACACAAGAAGCTCATCAGCCTTCTTCGGAACAAGAAGAGGCTGTCTTGATGATGTTTGAGCCGATGCACATTGTGGTGGATCGAGTACCAACAGAAAAAACCACCACCAATTTTGAAATAAGTAAGGATGGAATTCATGATACAAATTCATCAATGTTCCTTTCAAAAGACATCCATCATCCAACCACTCTTCAGGATCCATCTCATGTCTTAAATGAAACTTCGATTCAAATCTCTCGGAATCATGACCAAGAAGAAGGATTGGTGGTTCACTCATCTGAACCAACAACAAATCCATCAATGGAAACAACCGTACAAAACAAAACGGAACATAATTATGAAACAACAACCCAATCTCTATCAATTCCAAATGGTAGTACTACCATTGAAACAACCACACATTTACAAGTTCCTTCAATTCCCAATCAGGTATCATCAATCTCTTGTGAATCATCCGTATCACCTTCATCAGCAAGTCTTGTTCATGATCCTTCCAAAAGTATAATAAGCAGTCATCATGATGGTGGTGAACAGAACTTATTTGAAAAAGATGATAATCATCTCGTCATTGTTCCTTCCACACTTAATTATGGACATCAACGAATATCAATGATTGTAAAAAGAATAATCCTTTCAATCCTTTCTTTGGGTATATTTCCTCTCTTTTTATTGCTATTGACAAAAGCCTTCACCTCTCGACATGATCCACTGGAAACTTTCTTTTTATATTTTTTGAAATTGGGAGAATTGTCCATTTTGTACACTTTTTTTCTCTTCTCCATCTATTATCCTTTATTTTATGGTTATTATCCTCCAAATATCGCCTATGTGCTTGTTCTTGCAGTGTTACCCTTGTTGAATGTTTTATTTGCAGGTAAGTATGGTTGTGAGGTGAATGAGAAATGAAACAAACATTTTCTGGTTGGCATAATACCATCCTATTATCATGAAGGATTGTTTGGATCCTTTGGAGGTTTATCCAAGTGTGTATCATGTAAGTAGTACTAGTTGTAGAAATAGTCATGTTCTGAACTTTTTGTTGACCCTTCTTGAATGCATATGTGTATATATCTCGATATTCCTCATGCATGACATCTCTCAAGTAATTATTAATACATTATTTCTCAGTTGGGTGTATTGGATCTTTCGAATTTGGATTAAAAGATCACCCATCTCACCAGCACCTCCCTCCATTGAAGATGAATCTTCACCTCCAAGTTCCATTCATACATTCACTCAAGATCATCACCATGGTGGTGGTGGTGAACAACATCAACTCGTTAGCAATCCTTCTTCTCATCATCACTTTCAGGGTGGCACCACTTACAGTTTTCATTCGATGCGATCTAATTTTACCACATGCACCACCAACACACCCATGAACTTGCAAGAGAATCATGAAGTGAGGACTCTCCATCCTTCATCACATCCATCATTGACTGAAGAAACTCATCACCATCACCTCCATCACCACCATCCTCTCTCACATGCTTCCTATGGTGATCCTAGTGCCACCACCATGTGTCCACAAAATCAAGAATTTAATCCTCACATTTCCTCTTCTCACAATATTGCTCATTCAGAAGAAGCAATCCAAGTTCCTGAAATTACCTTTTCCTTTGTTGAAATTGAATTAGAAACAACAACACCAAATCAAATATCTGATACTCACAGTCATCATGATAACCATTCGATACACAACACTACTACTCATAATGGTTCTCAAAGAAATCAAAATGAAGAGGATCATTCTTCTCATTCAGTGGATACAATCAGTGTCAATAGCAATCACAGTGATGACTTTGATGAGAATGTGTTTGATGAAGAAGAAAGAAAAGATTTGAGAACAAAAACACAGAGAAATCTAATGAGAGAAGAACGAAATTTGAAATTATGGACAAACATGCAAATCAATATTGCTCTTTATAGTAAGTAAGATAATTTATCATCATTGTGTTGACATGAGAAGTACTTTTATTGCAATTATGTTTTAATGAATATGTTGAAAGTATATTGAACTATTCTTATGGTGAATCTACTGTGCTTGTGATCATGTCATTTCTTCCTTTTATTATTAATCGTTTATTATTAATCGTGTTGATTCGTTTGACAGAACGACAAACAAAAACATACTCTTTTATTGATTTTCTGTCATTTTCTGTGACTGCCTTTGGATTGAAAAGAATATTCTTTTTGTTCGAATGGAATCAATTTGTGGGTTTTGAGGTGACAACATTTCTGTTACGAACCATCATGTTGTTAAAAATGTACAAACCATTCTCTGATCTCATATATTGGACAGACACGGGAGTGAAACGGTTCATCAACAAGGTTCTTCATCATGAGATTATTTCAATATCTGACTATATGAACAAGAACAAGTTTCATGAACGAAGTTTCGAGAATTGCTCCAAAAGATTTTACAGCAGCGTATTTATTGACATTATTAGCTCTTTTATTTTATTGGTTTACTTTTTAGTGTTCAACACTTTGACCTTGGAGGTGTGTTGTTACTATTTGATCGACATTGTCATTTCACTTGGTGTAAGTATCAATGATCATACAGTTATAAGGATGATATTCTCTTAAAGTGGATTGTGTTAGCAATTGTGATCAAACCACTCACTCAACACAAGTTCAATCCATTCATTGGCCAAATATGGATGCATCATTATGTTTTCAAGCTTTTCCTTTTTATTTCTTTTGTGGTCGTATTTTACTTGACTCTTGATTAAATAATTCTTTTATTACTCAATCTCTCGATTAAACAAACATATTGGAAAAGACAAAAGTCTTGCCATCAATGGTGCATGTTTTTCCTTCAATTGAATATTTCTTGCGGGTAATTTTGAGCTCTTTCAACTCCTCGAGATCTTTTCGAGTGTCCGATAATTGGTGTTCTTGTCTTGAAGCAAAGTGGTCATTAATCATTGAAAGCTCTTCCAAGCACCTGCAACCCAATGAAAACTTGTCCAAGAATGGACTACTACTATCACCTCGTGATTTCTGAGTGGAGTCACCAATAGAAAGATCAAAGGAATTGATGGATCTTTTGTGTTTTTTCTGTTCCTCAATTTTATGGACATACAAACTAATCTCATCACCCTCTAATAAATGTTTCAACTTGTCTTGTTTTGGATTTTTTTGCATAGATTCTTCATATTCTTGTTTCAATTTCGAAAGTGCTAAATCCTTGTCATCTACTTTGTGTAAAATTTGATCTCTATACTTGGAAATATTTTCTTTCATCTCAATTCTTTTAAATTTCAATTCGATTTGTTCAGGAGTCAAGTCTAACAGTTGTTCCTTAAAAGGTCTAAAATCAATGACACGTTTTCTTTTTGTATTCATAATTTCATCAACAATTTTTCTATTTTGATAAAATTCATTCTTAATAATATCAGAAAAATTAATTTTAGGCATTAAGGTTGAATGATTGAGCTCGTTGGTTTGTGAGGAATTCAATAATTGAGAGGATTTTGTTTGAGAATGTTGTTTCTTTCTTGACAATTCTTCTTCCTCACTTTCATCGACAACAAATTCATCATCAGTGGAGTGTTGTTCATTGACAAATTCTTCACATGTCAAATTCTTGATGGAATGATAGAATGAAGAAGAATCCTTTCGAGTTTCTTTTTTCATCTGTTCAGATTGTCTTTTCATTAATTTTTTGGTTGCATCGAATGAAAACTTGTGATTTGTAAAATCAATATTCTGTGTATCAAATTCTAATTTTCTTTTGACCACTTTGGTATTATCTTTGAGAATGAGTGATTTTTGAGTGGATGAATGATTCAAAGAGGAATTGTCATTAGATGATGCACATGTATCATAAATCTCTTCATGCAATGATAATAGATATTCTTCAGGTGTTATGGAAATTCCATTTAAAATTTGAAGAGATGGAAATGGTGAATGGAGATTGTTTCTCACACTTTTTAAATCCATGTTCATGCCATGACACTTCTTTTCAACAGTACCACTAATAGTAGTAGGAGTAGTAGAAGATGAACCACCACCACCACCAGTAGTAGTAGGAGTAGTATATATAAGAGTCTTTCCAACAGTAGTACTATTGCTGCTACTACTACTTGTCATTGCACTCATTGGACGATAACTTTTAATGGCTTGAACAAATGGTGTCATATCAATAGGTGTATGAGTATTCACTGTTTGTAATATTTTCTTTCTTGGAGACATTCTTAATTGTTGTAACGATGAAGATTGTTCTTGTGCATTTCTTTTTTCATTCCATTTTCTAATACTTGATAATAATTCTTTAGATTTTCTAATCTTATTGAGAGTGAGTTGAGATTCAAGAATGGGATTGAGTTTGGATTTTTTAGAATCTTTTTTTAGACTACTTTCAGTGTGTAACATGAAAGTGTTTAAACTTGTTGTTGAAACGATCGAGTCACTTTTGGAATGACCATCACTCCTAGTAGGAGCACTAGCATAACCACCACCAGTAGCACCACCACCATTTCCACCCTCAACACCACCACCAACGTGGTCAGTAGTGGTAGGATACCTTGGAGAAGATGAATGAGGTGATGAGGATGGACTATTGTTTGTAGTATCATCATACCATTGTTCACTCCTACAACTAGCAATGAATACTGGATTATTATTGTCATTAGTCTGTAATTTGGTTCCATCATTATGATTGCTCTTACTGTTGTTTCTATTCAGAGTGGTGGTGATGTTGATTCTGGTGGTGGCAGTTGGAAGGTCACTTGTGGTGAGAATAGGAGGAATTGTGGGAAGAGTGAACTCGGCGGCATTCTTTGAGATGCTATTACTACTATTACTACTACTATTACTACTACTATTACTACTACTATTACTACTACCAACACTGTTACTTCTCACATGGGGTTGAATAGTTGTAGTACTAGTTGTAATTCTAGAAGATACTTGTGGTTGAGTTGTTTTGAAATGCAATAGTTTCTGTAACAGTACCACTCGATTATCAATACATCGAATGGGATTGTTTGAAATGTTGAGACTCTGTAATTTTTTTAAATGACATAAATCTCTAATCCGATCCATGTTTTGTATCTTGTTGCACGATACATCCAATACTACTAAATTTGGACATGATTCAACGATGAGCATGGCATTCAATGTTCTTAAATGATTATGAGATAAATTAAGTTCAATTAAATTCTTAAATAATACAAGGTCTTTAGGAATGTCTTTCAATCTCATAAATGATAAATTCAAACGATCTAAAAACTGTGCAATATCTTTGACATCACAAGTCAAATCATTGGAATACTTTGATGTCAAAAAGGATAGAATCGATTTGTATCTAGGTTGTTGACCTTGTTCAGAATCATTTAGATCATCATCACTACTTGTGTCACTTCTACCATTGTCATTATCACTTGTCGATGAATCAAAATCATCATTCCCATTACCATTTATGGTTGTTATTTCAATTCTTGTACTCCTTTCATCCGATCCATCTTCACTTCCTTCATTGTTATTGCTATTGCTTTGTAATGATTCAGTATTTTGTAACTTGGCCATTTCATGAGCTGTAAGCATGGCTATTTGTCGATCAACGGATGATCTTCTTCTAGCTCTTGATGTATGAAGAGAGAGGGGAGAAAGAAAATTTGATGGATGATTATTTTGTGAGAGTCTTAATTTTGTGGAATGTTGGTTGTTGTTGTTGTTGATGGTGGAGGGAGTGTGACCACTACTACTATTACTACTATTACTACTATTACTACTTCTATTACTACTTCTATTACTACTTCTATTACTACTTCTATTTTGACTGTTGGTGGTCATCATTGGAGATATTACAATTCGTGGGGAAGCAAGTAAAGAGGATGATGAGGATGCATCGACGGCAGGAGGGGAATTCGTTTGAGGTGGTAATGATGAGGATGAGGATGATGAGGAGGAATAGGATGATGACACCTTTCTTTGCTGCTTGGTGGATGAAGAAGGTTGCAAAGGTTGTTCAGCATTGTTGTGGATGATGAGGATGGTAGGGTCGTTCGGAGAGAGTATATTCGAGGAGTTTAGAGTGGATCGGAAGGTCTGTACAGCAGCTGATAATGGTTTCCGATCCTCTGAAGAGGTTATTGTACATGTTATTGTTGTTGTTGTTGGACTCTCCATGGATCGATGACGATTCAAAAGAGTAGTAGTAGTCGTGGCGCCATCATCATGTTCATTCTTTGGTTGGTTCATTTATTTTGAGAGAGAGAAGACTCAACAACCGCCAAAAATTCAGTTGAAAATGACGATTTACAGTTGATAACTGGTGGTGGTGGTGGTGGTGGTGTTGGAGGGTTTTGGTGGGTGTTGACCATGTTTGAATTCGAGGTGTGGTGAGGAGGTACCTAGGAGCTGAAGGAAGCAGGCGTACCGCATGAGTAATCAGAAAATAAGTGCGGTCAAAAATAAGACGTTTATCTACCATCGAAAAATACCTTCGATTAAAATACTGCTGGACGAATACGGATGGAGAATATCGCTGGTTAAAATACTGATGGATATTAACCACGGCATCAAGGACGACACAATACAACAGGGCAATTACATCTGCATAATACTGGTCATTAAAATACTGTCGGAAAAGTAAATGAGGAAAATACTGACCGATGAAAATAAGACGTATTTTACTGCTCGACCAATACTGTCGGATGAAATACCACTGGCAAGATATGGACGGAGAATAATATTGACAAAATAATGATTGAAATTAATTATGATAACAACGACGGACAATACTTTCGGATTGGTACGGATGAAAGTACCCACGAATTATTTTCAGATACTTTGTTGAATAAGACTTGTTGATTTTTGAAATATTTAGAAAATTAATATTTATTTACAAAAAATATAACAAAATGCAAATTGATTCAATTGCCACTTTAACCCAGATGGCAATGAATAGCAAATACAGCTACATTTAGACTTGACTTTTCTGATATCTATTGCTGATAGCATTAGTTGTGGAATGCATTTGAGGTGATACATATAGGAAACGTTATCCATGTGTTTCACTTCAAAGATCAAGGAACTAAGAACTACCTTATCAGTTACTTGTTTAACGAACGCAATGTTCATTTCTCCTTGATCCGTTTCAAATAGGACAAAAATGTCTTTTTCAAGCTTGAATTCTGGTTCTTTTGCTCTTGGTATCAATTTTCTGCATTGAGGATATTTTGTAAAAAGAGCTTTCATGACCATTTCTCGTTCAGAAGCCCTTTTTTCAAGCTGTTTTTTGTTACTTTTGTCATTGAATTGCTTGTACGTGGAATGTTTTAACTCATAGAGGAGAGTCCAAAACCAAGTAACATGACCAATATCATCGACATCCTCAAATATATGACAGCCTGCATGAAAGTTTGGAAGTTTGCACTTTTCGGAGTTGTTCTGAAGCATGATATTTTTTTTGTAAAGAAAATGCTTCCTGTGCGCGCTCGATCTGAACTCGCTTACAAAAACTTCTCTCCAATAGTTTCAAAGTTGAGCCTGTATTTTCGAAAATCAAAACAAAAAAAAACCAATCATAATGCCAACTGACACTGTAAGGGGTATCAAGAACAAACGTAATCGAAAAAACATTTCTTATATAGCTCCATCATTGAATATAACACTTTTTCAAGAAAGCAAGCAATTCTTAACTCAGAACAACGCAAGGTTTGTTTCTTGTCAATATTTCTTGGTGATCATTTCTTTCCATGAAGCATCAAACAATGTTGTAAATTGAAATTTCATTCATTTCTCTCCCAAGTAAGTTGTAATGTTGTTCCTTTTAACTCTTCAAATCTGTTCTAATCCCCAAACACAAGAGCAAAAGCTTCAACTTTCAGACACAGTGGTTACTCACGTTAAAACATTTTGTTCAAGTCTTCCAAACTATAGTATTCTTTCAGATTGTGATAAATCCAGGTAGATGAAATAGTAAGTTGTGTTTGTTATTTGTTTGACTAAATTTCACAACAATCGTTTTTAGTTGATAAAGATGTGCAGGAAACATATAAGTCAAATATTTGTGAACGCAAAAAAGAAGGCGAAACTTCGTAGAAGATCTGGAGTCTCAAAAAGCAAAAATTCAGACAACCTTTTTGACTTTGAAAACGACGAAGATGTGTATGACATCAATTCTGAGGAATATAAATTGTATCAAGAGCATTTACGTAAATCATCATCAGCGAAAATGAGACGCTCAAGACCTGTCAACGTTGTTGAGTTGTAAATTATGATGCCAATAAAATTTAAAATGCGTTTGCAATAACAATTTTAAATCAAATATTGAACCAAAATAATTTCAATTTGAATTAAAAATAAAATAGGAATATTTCCATCATTATCATCGATAGTAACAGCCACAGGTGTTGTGGTAGGTTATTTCAACAGTATTTCCGTCGTTGTTTCGTTCATTAAACCTCCATTATTAGAATATTTAACATGATGCTTCTTCCGACTGTATTTTGTGTCTTGGTGGATTCTTTTCAACAGTTACTCCCGACAGTATTTTTTATCTCGAGTTTTACCGTAGGCCGTACCAACGGAAACAAGCTTGAATCACCTTCGAAATAACAGACCGCAATAAGGAGACACTACTTATGCACAATATGCATTCAATAAGCTTCATTTACTACCGACGATAACTATGTAAAATACAGACGCGATTCTCTGCTCCTAGGTAAATTTAAACCTCACACCCGAATGAATGAAGTCACAATATTTATAGGAACACTCTCCAATCTATCTCTATCATCATGTGGGCTCCAAACAAACACACACACAGCAAGGAGTTCATTAGAATGTTACAGTCTACACTCCATGTCTCTTCATTCACAAAATTAATGACACTGTTGTAGTTAGTGGTAACAATAATTTATTTCCAAAAGAATAAACTTCTTCTCTTCTTGTCTGAGGAACCAGCAACAACCTCACCACCACCACCAGTTATTTTAGTTGTCATGACATTGGATGAATGACAAGTTGTCGTCATATTTGTATTGTTGGTGATGTTGTAGTTGGTGTTTATACTATTATTAGTTGGTGGTGTTGTTGTTGTTGGTATTAAATCACTATTCACAGTGAATCCAATCTTATCTTCAAAGTTCTTTACAAATTTTTCAAATTCTGCTGTAGCTTCTTGATCCTTCAATTCATCAATAATTTGTAATCGATATTGTCTAGTGGTTGGTAAATCTTTCAATCCAAATAAAGGATTCAACACCACACAGGTATATTTGGTATGTGAAATTTCTTCAAGTACTTGATCTTTGTAGAGTGGAGTTGGTTTGAATGGATTTAATGTAATAATTGCACCATCCATGAGTGAAGTGGAGAAGAGTTGTTGTTGAGAAGATGTTTTTGATAATGATGTTGAAGTGGTTGAAGTGGTTGTTGTAGTTGCAGTCGATGTGGTGGTAGTAGTAGTCGAGATAATAGTAGTATTGGTATTGGTATTGGTAGTAGTATTGGATGAAGGTGAGTGAGGAGGTGTTGTGGTGGTAGAAGGATGGTTCAGGTGGTGTTGATGATGGTGATGGTTCGTAAGGTTGTTGTTGTTAGAATCATTTGACAAATCATCGTCATGACCTCTGCCACCACTCACCAATTCCTCTTCAGAATGTTGAGACGAGTCAGAAGAGGAGGAGGAGGAGGACATCATGATAGTTCGATGATATTCAATGGCTCCTCCTCCTTCTCCAATATATAGACCACCATCACCACCACCACCACCATCACCACCACTCAATAATTCTTCTGTGGAGAATGATAATGACAAAGTGTTATTAGCACCACCACCACTCTGACCACCATAACTCTGACTTGAAATACCACCACTCTCCATTGTCTCTTCCATATTCATTGTTGATATTAAATGCTTTTGTTGTTGATGATGAATCATTCTTCGATGAATCAATCGATCCAATTTTGTACCTCCTTGAATGATTTCATTCATGAGTGGTTCAAATTGTTTTTGTTGTCTCTCCATAATTTTAATAAATTCATCCACTAATTGTTTATCTACTCTTCTTTTAGTAACATCTTGCATGTAGGGAAGTAGATGAGGAGCAAATGGTTCATCACTTTCATTCTCTCCATCACTCAAATAAATCATTTGATCTGTGTCTTGAATTTTCTTCTTATTTCCTGATTTTTTAAATTTACTCATCATTTTAGTGGCCACTTTCTTGGCAAAGAATCCATTGCTACTATTGTTATTACTATTATTATTCATTGCATTACTAGTATTATTCTCATCGGTCATGTTGGATGAAGTATTGATCGAAATGGATGATCGTGTGGAGTGTTGTTGATCGAATAATGAGGAATGTAGTGAATCTTTTTCATCATTCACACACAGTGGTGGTGGTGGTGGTGGTGGTGTAGAATAATAGGTATTTGAATTGATATTGCATGGTAAATTAATTTTCTGAAAGAGTTCTTGAATTTGTTCATTGGAGAGAGGAGGTGTGTGAATCCAAGTATTGTTGTTGTTGTTGTTGTTGGTAGTATTGGTATTGGTATTAGTATGGGCAGTATGGGTAGTATGGGTAGTATTGGTATTTCTGAAATTCTTCTTGAAATCCTCACTCAGGGAATGTTGATGATGATGAGAGGATGACACTGAAGCTCGATGTGGTTGTTGTTGTTGTTGAGGTATAATAATTTTAGTAGTGAATAAACTATTGGATCGATCTCGGAAGGGATGTGGTTGATGACCACCACCACTACCACCACCACCACCACCACCACCACTATAAGAGGATCTCAATGAAGAAGAAGAGGTGGTGGTGGCAAGTGAAGCACTCAAATGATGATAATTGGTTGAAGAATGAGGTGATGTGGGTGACATGCTGCTCCCTTGATTGTTGTTGTTGTTGTTGTTGTTGTTAACTAGTAAGAGTGGAGAGGATCGTGTCATTCCAGAAGTAGTACTACCACCACTTTGTAAATCATTGATATTGGGTGAAGAGTGTGAAGAGGTGGTAGTAGTTTGGATGGTGGATGATGTAAGATCTTGTTTAGCAGATTGTAGAAGTGATTTGAGTGTGGCGGATATTCTCCTGTTGCTGCCACTCGTGGTGTTGGTATGATGAGAATGATGAGGAGTTGAAGTGCCTGTGGTGCTGGTGGTGCTGAATGCTTGAACTCCCAAATAGGAAGCATTCCCACCCAATACAAGTAAATCATCTTCAGAGCTGCCACTCGTGGTAGTGTTGAATAAACTTCCTCGATTGGCTGCTGCTGCATTGGTTAACACACTTTGTACATAGTCTGAATCGTAACATCGTACGATGGATGGAGTGAATGCACCACCACCGAATGCACCACTACTATTCTGACCACTATTACCACCATTCATCATATTTAATAATAATGGTACTCCATGATTGTCATCATCTTTCTGAGTTTGTTCAGCAATCATTGAGAGAGTATCTTCATTGATGGAATGTTCAATTCGATTCCTTTCTTCCTCATTTAACAATTGTGAATTCAATAAAAGAGATCTCTTTTCTTTTTCTGCACCTGTCGCATAATAGAAATATCGACTTCCAACAAGCATAATTTCAGTTGCATTTGGTTCATCCACAAGAGATGGAATTTGTTTTTTCAATTTATCCACTTGTTCATTAATGAGTTGAACCCAATAATCTCTCTGACGTGAAGTTTCAGTAAAGAGAATAAATGTCTTTTCACGTGTGACTATTTTGAATGCATTTTCAATACAATAACCATCTGGAACACTTTGAGCCCATGTGAGAGGAGTAGAGAGAAGAGAAATGGCACATCGCATTTGGAATTTCACTTTTGGATTTTCAAAGAGTAATTGTTCACGTTTGTAGTGTTCCATAGAACCAGGTGGAGGAGGTTCATTGGTGTTGATGGTGATGGGTGTTGATGGTGATACTAGTTGTTGTTGTTGTTGTCCATTGGTGGTCGATGTTGTTTGTTGTTGTTGTTCGACAACAGCATTCAATCCTCCACCTTCCAAACAAACACTACTGGGATGGGTGGTATTGTTGTTATTGCTGTTGCTGAATAATTGAGTCATGGACATGGAATGATGATGATGTGAAGCATGCTCCTCTCCTCCTATGGTGGTCGTGGTTGTTGTTGTTGACTTGTTGCCACCACTACCATTATACACTCCATTCCAATGACATGTACACAACAAGATCAAATCATTATACAAAATCAAGACACGTGATTGAATACCTCGACTATCACTCACATATCCCATGAGAGCATGTCGAATGAATTTTCGACTCGACTTGACCAATTCAAATGGCAATGAATCTCCAAATTGTTCAGCCAATTGAATGGCTCTCTCTCGACACAATTGTTCTCGAATCTTTTCATTGACTCTTGAAGCCACAGCATTGATTTTCTGTGCAGCAGTAATCAATCGATCATAATCGTGATGATCTTGTGGTGTCGATTTGATTGATTCTCTGAGCAATAATTCATATCGAGGTATACGTTGAACAGGTTTGATCATAAAAGACACAACGGTATCATTGTACGAGTCAGGTGTAAATTCAGTACGTTCCAAGAATTTTCGGAATTTTGATTTTTTTTGACGTTTTTCTTCAATCATTTTGAAAATCAATTCATACTTGTTGCAATAATCGCTGTAACTCTTCAAATAATCACTCATCAAATGAAATATATCTCCTAGTGTTGGTGATTGTTTCTTTGCTAATATCAAGGCATTTCTCTTCTTTTGATCTTGTATGGTACTAAGAGAGGGATCCATTTCATCATTGTAATCATGTTCTTCCATATATTGAATATAGATTTGAATGAAGGAAAGAACTTCCTTATTCACTGCTAAAATGATTTGAATATCCTTGAATAATTCATTGGTATCTTCCTCTTTGAGTAATTGTTGTTGTTTGATGGGTTGAATAAAGACCGAGTTGAGTGTTTCCAAGGCATTCACGTATTCGCGTTCGGTTTGAAATATTTCTTGAATGACATGTTTACGTTTGGAGAGTAATTTGGCGCGCAGTTGTTGTTGTGTTTGAGAGGAGGAAGAAGAGGCTATGGTTGTTGTTGGCAGTGTCGGTGTGTTTGGTGGGTGATCATCCACCACACCCAACTCGAGTGGACGATCCACAACATCCTGATCATCATCATCATCATCGTGGTTGGGAGTTACAACCGTTGGTGATGATGATGACTCACGTGGAGTAACAGCGTGGTGTCTCATTGTGGAAATGTCATTGATGGATGACAGATCTTGTTCATGACCACTGATGTTGTTGTTATTATTATCATTGGTATGCTCATTGGGATGATCATTGTTGGACTCTGATGAATGACTCGTGGTGGTGGTGGTGATGAGGTTTGCTGATGTGCCAAGTGTTGGTTGAGAAGAGGGTAGTGGTGGTGGTAGCGGTGTTGTGGTGTGTTGTTGGTGTTGTTGTTGGTGTGGAGAAGAAGAGGAAATAATCATCGATGAGGACATTTTGTTGTGGTGGTGATCAGTGATGTATTGTTTAACAATTGTTCTTGTTGTGTGGTAAATGATGATCTAATGATGATCCACGAGTGCCTATCATCAGAACACCAAACTATGGTGTGTGCGTGTTGTTGACAAGTGGTGGTAGTGTTGTTGTTGTTGTTGTTGTTGTTGGTATTGGTATTGGGTGAACGCGACCAGATGTTTATCGTAGAGTATTCTCGGATAAATGTTGACAACACGTGCGTGCGTGGTGGTGGTGGTGGTGGTGGTGGTGGTGCGATCTGGGTGAAGAGAGTGTGGATGCAACCTTTGAGAGAGATGATTAATGGATGATGAGAGAGAATTGTAACAACAAACAGGGTTGTAATTGCTCTCACTTCACGTGAATCACGACTGTTGTTGTGAACAATACAACAAAAAGAAAGAGCGAACAGAGTCAATACCTGAGCACAGTATGAACTCGTCGAGTGAAATTTTTTAGAAAGATTTGAAAATTGACAAGTAGTGTGGTGTTTGTGCAACGAGTATAATATTGAAATGTTGAATGAGAGAGAGAGAGAGAGCGATTACTACTACTGGATGTACATGGTCATTGGAGAGGGTTCTGTCAAACTTGTTATTTTCGATCAAAAAAGACTCAAGTTCAACCACCACCACAACAACCACCACCACAACAACCATGGTTCAAACTCACACATGATTCCTATCGCTAAACTCTCCATTCTCTTATGCATGCGCAACGCAGTTTTTGGGAATGTTTCATCAAGGATTATAATTGTCCATATACAATGGTGACAATGAATCGCTCGACGACTCGAGTACATAAATATATACCTCTTTAGAATGATGATGATTTATGATTGGTGACCAACAACAAGAACAACATTACTTGACAGGTGCATTCTTGAAACTTGATACTGGTTGAATGTGTGGTTTTCCTAATACTCTCCATTCATGTGTCTTATTCCATACCACCACTCCTTGTTCATTGGTGTTCATGAATGGAATAATCTTTTTGGTTAATTTATCACTCTTAATTTGTTTATCCACTTCACAGACATCAAATCCATCCACAATGACTCGATCACCTGCTTGTAATCCTTCCAATTGATTAAAAGTTAATACTTGAACAGTTTCATCACTTGAAGTAGCAGCCAAGAGCATTCCTTCACTCTCAATTCCAACCATTTTGGAAGGTTTCAAATTAGTCATTAAGAGAACATAGTGATTAGCAATTTGATCCTTCTCCACTTTACCTTTCAATCCACTGCAAATGGTGAGAATTTTAGAATGATGATCAGGAGTGATGGCAATCTTTTCAACATAGAGTTTAGATGCTTCAGGATGATCTTCACAAGACAAGACATAACCCACAGTGAGAGCAATGGCATTGGGATTGGTCAATGGAGAAGAGGAGGATGCATGATCTTCGGTAGCCTTTGGTTGAGAGGATGATTGAGAGGATGATTGATCCTTCTTGTTCTTATTGGGAGAGGATGCTTGTTGTTTCTCACTCTGACCACTCTGATTTGAGTTACTGGTTAATAAATTTCGTAAAGTGAACTTGACAGGTTGTAAATACAACTTGACACTATCAAAATACTTGAATTTGTTCTTCAAATGATTCATATAACGAATCACATGAATCATGGATTCTTGTTGTTTCTTGGTTAATTGTCCAATTCCATTTGATGAATACAAATAAACATAAAACACAACATCCACCACACTCAAAGTATCATTCACAAGATAGGAATGAAAAGTTAAATGATCATTCAATTTGAAAAGTAAGGTTTCAATCGTAGGATGGACTTGATTGTTGTTGTTGGCTTTTTCTTGAAATGCTTGACTCAATGCTTCAATGACTTTGATCCATTCCAATTGTTCTTGATTCAATTTCACATGAAGAGAAGAAAAGAGTGTTTGAAGAGTTGTGTTTTGAGAATTTTCATCCACATTGATGGTGTGAATAGGAGTAGTAGTTGTTGTAGTAGTTGTTGTTGTAGTAGTTGTTGTTGTAGTTGTAGTAGTGGTAGCATTCATGGTAGTAGTCGCATTATTATTGGTGATGCCACTCAGAATGTGTTGAGTGTAGAGAGTAGCAATATGAAAATTGGAATGACAAGTGGATGGAACTACAATATCGGATGGAGTTACATGATCCTTCAAGGATGACATTTTAACGTTAATGTGTGTATGGATGTGAGTGTGGATGTGTGTGTGTACTAGAGAAGAAGAAGAGAGAGAGTGAATGAATTCTCAAGCAAGAGCAACAATAGAGCAAACACGCTTTGAATTTTTTTAAAGCACGTTTTCTATTGTAAACGCTTCACAAAACCATACATTCTCACACTTGTGAGGGTGGTGAATAGAAGAGAATTCATAGAAGAGAATTTTCATGAAAACCACTCAAAGAGAAATAGATTTATTTATTTTGACTATTAGGATTGATTAGATTAGATTTATATATTAGATAGAATGACTTCACACAAGCGCTTTCTTTAAATTAGGACAAAAAATGACCGAAAGGAAGGAGAACCATACAAAACCACCACCACTGCCACCACCACCACTGTTACAACAAAACACCACCATCACCACCATCACCACCACCTCTGCCCCACCAGAATCTGCTGTGGAAGACTGTTCAACAACAACAACAACAACAACAGAACCCCAAGTCATGACCTCCAACTCCAACCACTACTCGGAGGATCCATCGAGTTTTAATCATTTACCTCATTCCGATACGGTTGTGAACACTGATCATGAAAATTGTGAGGAATCCATCAATGCGACACTTAAAGTCATTTCTCCTAAAGTAGAAGCAGTAGAGATTCATCAAAATCCTCCTCCTCACACTAATTTAGAGGAAGAAGAAGAGGATCAACATTTAATTGAAATTTCTTCTGTCAAAATTATTCCAAATGACCGTAATAGTGGTGATGATCATAGTGGTGGTGTTGATCACAAGAATTCACCATCATCACAAGTGTTCACCCCAGTCGAATTGGAAAGATCTTGTCATATTCTCATTTATAGAAATCAGAAATTTGAAGCAGAGTTAAATGGTGAATTTTTGAAATTATTTGCTTGTACTAGCACCACTGGTCGATCTGCTACATTTAAATTTAATAATAATAGTAATAATAGTAATGGTAATAGTAATGGTAATAGTAATAATAGCAACAAGATGACTCCAACAACACCAGTATTAAGTATTTCATTGGAAAATGTTTTTGCCATACATCCTAAAAACTCTCTTACATTTTCAGTATTTACCTTTCAACCCAAAGACTCTAAAAAGATTGTCTATCATTTTGAAACATCCTCTCCTGAAGAAACTATGGAATGGGTGGATTCATTAAGATCGAATACTTTTAAAGTCAATTCCAATGCGAATCGATCGTATACCACTATGAATACTACTACTATGAATACTACTACTATGAATACCACCACCAATTCTAATTCTACTACTATGAATACTACTACTACTACTACAAATACCACTGTAGGGTCCTCCTCCTCATTTGGATCTCATCGTAAAGTTCTCATCTTTTTAAATCCATTCAGTGGTAAAAAACAAGGACTTAAAATCTTTGAAAAACATGTCAAACCTATTTTAGATGTCGCACATTTATCCTATGTTGTTATTAAAACAGAGAGAGCTCAACATGCTTTTGAATTTTGCGCCACATCATTAGACATTTCTAAAATGGAATATACAGATATTGTCGGAATGGGAGGTGATGGAATTGTCTTTGAAATCATAAATGGAATTGGAAAGAGACAAGATTGGAAACAAGTATTCAAATCAGTAAGAATCGGACACATTCCAGGTGGAACCAGTAATGCATTGGCAGTCAGTGCTGGTTCACAACTCAAAACAGGTAAACCAGCAAGTCCTGAAATGGCAGCATTTATTGTAGCGAGAGGTTTCTATCAACCCATGGATTTAGAGTCTTGTTTTCAAGCACCGAACAAACATTATCTTTCCTTTTTAAGTATCACATGGTCAGCCATTGCCGATGTTGACATTGGTACTGAAAATATGAGAGTAAGTGTATTCAGAGTATATATATGAAATTCATCATCATTGATGTGACTGAACTGAAATGTTTTATCATTATTGATGTATTTTGCATTGAATCATGTCATTCATGTATTTTATAACCATGCCCATGTCCAATTGTGTCTGAAATGTTAATATCATCATCATTCATAATATATATTATAACCATGTCTGTCACTAGTGGATGGGAGGTGCTCGTAACACAGTCGGTGCCCTTAAACAAATTCTTACCAAGAAATCCTATCGTGGAAAATTGAAATATTTACATCCACCACCACCACCACCATCAGAACTAGAACGTAATATCACTACACCACCACCATCAACCACATCATCCACACCAAAACAATCCAACATGTTGACCCTAAAGAATATTAAATTGAATGAACAACGATATTCTGCCTATCATTGGAATCACAACAATCTCACCACCACGTTGACCACCAACACCACTACTACTGAAAAGATTCAATGTCCTCTCTTAGAACAATATTTCTATGAAGATTTCAAAGCAATAGCACCTGAATATTGTACTCATACTGCAAATGCCACAAACAAAAATATTACTACTACTACTACTCATACTATTGACAGTACTAGTACTAAAACTGACACCTCCACCACCCTCCACTCGATCCATGTTGATACAAACTCATCATTAATGGTCACAGAAATTGAAGACAATTTTAGTTTATTTGTAGCAGCAAATATTTCTCATTTATCCTATGATTTTATTGCTTCTCCAATGGCTCATCATCATGATGGTTATATTGATTTAGTGTATGTGAAGGATAATATTAGTAGAGGTGAATTTTTAAATATATTTTTAGCTGCAGAGAAGGGTGATCATATTTTTGAAAAGGCAGTCAATATTTCAAAGGTGAAAGCATTTAAATTAAGTCCAATGGACACTGGTTCTTATGTGGTTGTGGATGGTGAGGCTGTTGATTATAGTGACATTTTAGTTGAAGTTCATCCTTCAATGTGTAATTTATTGACTCTCTAGAGATGACAATGTTCAACAACAATGGTATGACCATCAGTTATTCAGTAAATTATATTTGTAATCACAACAAACGGTTAATAAAGGAAATGTTTGTTCACAATTAAAATGACAGTCATCATCGTTTGGTGGAATAAGCACTTAGTTTGTTTATTGATAGTTCTTTTGCGAAGAAAACAATAAAACGGATCTTATTCATGGCCAAACACATCCATTCAACAAAAGTAAAATTTAGAAATTGCAATTTCCCATCAATCTGTTTTGACACCCAATCAATACATCAACAACCCAAATAATAGAAATTTTAAAACCATTGATGAATTTGACATTACAGCTCACCATTGAAATTACCAATAGTGACAAACTTTAACATCATTCTTTACAAAAGAAGATATTGTTTTAGCTCAAGTATTAAACAACTTTTAATTTTATGATAAAACGAAGCTTATGGGATATCACATAAATAACAATATCCTTGATAGTGATAATCTCTTTGTTTTTAAACTATCATATGTTAAGTTAAAATAATATTTAATCATGTTCAAATATAACCCGAAGTATTAATGTTATCTAATTATAAGAATTACATAGTACTTATATATTATTTCCAATTATTGTTGAAAGAATATTATAAGTAGAACATGTTTCGGTATAAAGTGTTAAAACAAACTTGTTTTGTTTGTTACTTAAAAACATTATATATTTGGATAGATTTTATTTGGATCATTTATTAAAATCTATCAGAAATTATGAGTGTTTAACGATTTGTATAATGTTAATTTATTCTTTTATAATTCTGATGTTTTTATAAGCTGATATCACTCTATGTTTATCTGAAGTATAGATATAATTTATTTGGGTGGTATTTTAAGAACGATTTATTGCCATAGTTCATTTTCAGGTCTAAAGTAATGAACTTGAAATCCATACAAAAGAAACTATATGAAGTTAGGTTTAGTTTCATAAGTCTACATATATCCAACTGGTCATCTTAAATCCATCAAACTGATAGAAACTTAGTGGTCAATCTGGAGACAAGTAACCATATCAAACGAAATATGGAAAGACGATTCGCTGCAAATTCCCCGAAACTCTAAAATATTTCATGTACATGGTTTAGGACTTTTTCTCATGGATTTACCAATATTGCTAACAATAAACTAACTAGATTTTTCAAGCCTTTTTTTCAGAATATCCAAATTTTATTCAAATAAATTCCACCATATCTCATAATAGTAGTTACTACTCCACAACATCATAAATCTATTACTGCTCTTTCACTACTACTGGATGATATTTTCTCATATACATACTCAAAGCCCATATTGGGAAAATGTTTCGATAATTGGTATAAGTAATCATACAATTATGATTAAAGACTCCACTAATACTCTCTTGAGGAAAATCTCCATTCGGTAATTGTTTTCTTAATAAAAAGTAAATACCCATTTCAATCACCTTCAAATTAGGATAATCACCAGTCATCAAACTCAATAAGGCCCAAGCCGTATTGATGACTCGTGATGTTTCCGATTGAGAATATTTGTGAGTGACACAAGACAAGTACGATTCACCCCATCCTCCATCTTGTTCTTGTTGTTTAGAAACAATAAAATCAAGTCCCTTTCTCACAATTTCATTCTTTGAATAGACATTATTCACTGGATCGATAGCATTCAAAGCAGTAATTGCAAACCATGTTCCATAACAGAAACACACTGCCCATCCACCATACCATCCACCTTCAGGTGTTTGTTTAGATTCAATGACAGAAATGGCATGTTTGATACTATCATCAATGAGAGGAATGTAGGGCGAGTTTGGATAAAACTTTTTAAATTGTAAGAGTGCAGTGATGCATGCACTGGTGCATTCAGTATGAGGATAATCAATCATAATTTCACCATACAAGGCTGCTGGGTTAATAATTTCAATCCATGAATGTGTACGAGAGAGTTCATAAGTGGCCCATCCACCATTTGTACCTTCATTGAACATGCTCAAAATGACACGAACAGCATAGGTGAGACGTTCTTCATCGAGAAGAAGATATTGTTCATCCTCCTTCTCACCACCTTCATCACCACCTCCATGAATCAATCCACTCAATGGATTTTGAGTCCATTTTGAGGAAATGGGCGTCAATAAATCTACGACGAGACAAGGACGTCGTTGGTGGTTAGAATCTTCTTCTTTCAATCCAAACAAGTCATGAATACTCAAAACAGACTTGATGCCTTCTGCAGTACAATCTGAAATGGGCCAACCGTGATCTTTGGTACTGAATGGCCATCCACCCTTCGATTGTTGTCGATAATAAGCCATTCGATTTGGAACATCTTCCTTGACTTGAGTAAAATTAATAAAATTATAAGCCTTCAAAAGTGTTTGTAAATGAGAAGGTCGATCCAATAAGGGTTGAATATTAATGGATCCATTGCTTGTTTTAAATCTCTTGTAATATTCAGCAATGGCTTGTGTGGCAAATGCAGTATCCCACAATTGAGATCCATTATAGCCTTGATATTTCATACCATCATCAGATAACCATAAATAATCATAGACTCGATCTAAATGAGCCTGAAAATGCTCTGTTTGTGATCCTTCGTGGAAATAGACACTCAACATATTCAATACCTTATTAACAGGACCAATACAAATATGGTTAGTCACTGAATCTTCATACTTGATATGGTCAATACACGTGTCAAGTGCTCTCTTTCTAAAATATCCAATTTTGAAATACTTTTCATAGGCTACAAACACATGAATCATGGATGCATAGAGTTGAGTAAATGGATGATAGTTATCACGTGGATTGACATAGGATCTAAATTTAGACCATGGTTGTTTGGAATATTCAATACCACTCACATTCATGTAGAGTTCATTTCTCAATTCTTGAATCAAAGTATCACTTTCTGCCCTATCATATACTTTTCCAAGACCATACAAATAAGCCATTGGTAAATACACGACACGACAATGACACCACCATTTACCAGGTTGAATGTATGGAAACCAATCTGGAAGTAACCACAATTCAGGTGGAATTGGATCAATACAATCCCAATGCATGAGACCTAATACACAAAGATAGAGTTTAGCCCATTGAGGACATCCCAAAGTACCATTGGCTGGTTCCTTTGAAAGAAATTCCAAAGTTTGTTTCATGAATTGGTGACTACTCGAGACTCCCAATAATCTCAAAGCGACATAATTGAGCACAGTTCCAAATATGGTCGAATGACCCTCAATATGGAGTCCATAACCACCATCCTTGTTTTGCTTACTTTGAATGTATCGAATCATTTCATATCGAAATGGACGTGGTAATTTCTCTCCACAAATGTACATGACAATCACAATACCTGGTAGAAGAAACATGGGTCCACCATAATCACCTGCCCAGTGTCCATCATCGGTTTGAACACTTCCATAAAAATCAATGGCTTTCAAGAGTCTTTCATTGACCATGGATTCACTGAGATTGCTTTGATAATTGTTGGTCTTGTTAAAGACATAGTCCAGTGGAGAGGTAGTGTCATTATTCACAGTACTGTCGTCGTCACTGCTATTACTGTTGCTACTACTACTACTACTATTATTATTATTACTATTACTATTGGTACTACCACTATGACTCACATCCAAATTCAATGGAATGTCATTCACATAGGTATTGGGTAATTCAAAATTGGATGGTTTGTTCAATAAATGTATATCAATCAATGATTGTGGAGCATTGAATTGTTTGAGAATGGATTGTGGGAAGGGAATCCAACGTTGTCTTCCTTCCTTGACCACAAGTCTCCATTCGATGGGTTCATCCTTGTGGGCATCATAATCGTATTCACGGAAGTTGAATTGTTCTAAAATTTGAGTGAGATGGGACATTTGATGATAATATGAATTGAGTGAAAGTGTGTGCGAGAGAGCGAGCTATCAGGGTGGTGGTGAAAATAGATGAACGAACTTTTCACGTGCCCACCGCAATGAATGGTGAAGGATTTTTTTCAGGTGGAGTACGATGCTTTCGCTCTGCGAAGAGAGAGTGATCTTTGAGAGAACTCTTGGAACCGGAAGGCAAAAGGATTTACTTTTGAATTCAGATCTCCTGTTGTGGTGTCATCATCTGATTCAACAACAATAACAACAACAACAAAATTCTACAATCAATCAAATATATTTTCATCCGAACATACATTTATCCCAAATAACTCACGGCCACAAAGAATAATAAAATAGAGATGATGACAAAATCAGCAATACTCTTCTCCACAACAATCGATCTAAATTCCTTTGAAGTATCGGGATTTAATTGTTTTCTCAAACTCACTCCGAAAACCATTGAACAAATACATGTAAAGAATCCTGCAAGCATGGCATTGAAAGGAAATGTTCCAACCAATTGACAATATACGAATTGAACAAGAGCCACAAGTACAGATAGAATAATGAATTGATCAATTAGTTTAACTCGTTGTGGAGTTTTCGTTTGATAATTCTTATACAATGTGGAGAGCACAACAAGAATGCTTCCAGAGTTGGCATCGAAAGAGGAGTCCAAGGATGATGAGGAAGACATTTTTTTGAATGGAATAGCCTTTTGCTGGAGACTTTTGGAGTGATTATTCTTGTAATAAGGTGATGAATTAAATCCAAGAATGATATCTTTAGAGTAGTAACAATTAATAAGAATCATCACAATCTTTCAACATGATCCTCTTGAAGACTTGAACACACTCTTCAATCAATTTGAATAAGATTGAAAAAAAATGAACTCTCTCAACCCATCCGTGGATGGTACTCTTGATGCATCATCATCAACCTCGTCCATTTCTTCATCGTCACCACCACCCTCCTCTGAAATTCCTCCTCCTCCCCCTCCGATTCAACAAAAACAACCCAATACCTTTCAATTCATGTTAATGGGTGCTATGGCTGGTCTTTTATCGGATGGAGTGGTTCATCCCATTGATACCATTCGAACCAATACTATTTTGAGATCTTCTACTTTGACTCCACACATTCCAAAATTTCAATACTCTCTACGTTCACTTTATAGAGGATTCTCTGTTGTTTCACTCTTTACCATTCCTGCTCATGCCTCTTATTTTGTGTCCTATGAGAAATCTAAAGAATATTTATCTCCTATTTTGAAAAGTGATAATTTGACCTATTTATTAAGTGGATTAATTGCTGATATCTTCGGTGGATTATTTTGGTGTCCAATGGATGTTATGAAACAAAGATTTCAATATCATCAACGATTAACATTTAAAGATTTGTTTTCAAGTCCAAATTCATTGAAAATTATTTACAAGGGATTTGGAACTTCCATCGCTGTGTATGGACCCTATGTGTCACTCTATTTCATGTTGTATGAGAATTTGAAAAAGATTCATTTTTTAGAAAGAATGTCAATTAGCAATGCTAACGTGAACACTACCAACACGAGTGATAGTAGTAGGAGTAGTAATAGTACTGCTAACATGAACACCACCACCACCACAACAACAACCTTATCACTCCCTCATTATATCATTTATGCGAGTATGGCTTCAACAGTGAGTGCCATTGTGACCACACCACTCGATGTGATTAAAACCAAAGTACAAACACTCGACATTTACAAATCTCCATTCGATGTATTGAGAAATGAATCACCACTTCAAATTAGAAATTGGCCAATGTATATGAGTGGATGGAAACCAAGAGCATTGTGGATGGCAAGTGGAACAGCACTCACCATGGTGTTTTATGAGCAATTGAAAAAGATGTTACATGTTGTAGAAGAAGAGTAATCGTGTTAAGTGGTGGTGGTGGTGGTGGTGGTGTTGGTGGTGGGTGGTGGGTGGTGTTCTCTTTCTCTCTCTCAAAATAGATATATAATCTACGAATAAAAGAGCCTCCTTAATGAAGAAGACTGCATCTCGTAAGGTTGTGGTGGTTCGTACTTAAATATTTTTAAAAAAAATGACCACTCCTTCCTCTCCATTCATAGGCACTTCATCAATGATGGACGAAGAGACACATCCTTCTCTCCTCCTACAACCACCACCTTCGGAAAAGACAATTCCTCCTCTCCAACAAGAGGAACAACAACCATCATCACCATCACCACTACCATACAAATCCTTTTCGTTTGATCATCATCATTCTGCTACACCAAGACCATCCCGATTTCATTTTTCATCATTTTCATCACCACCAAAACTTTCCAATATGCTTCATGCTCCCTATCACGTACAATACTTTCATCATGATGATCAGCAATTATTTTCTGATCCTTCCAATACAATGACGATGATCATGGATCAGAACTCCTCTCAAGTGATTCAAACCAATGATGAAGCAACTCAATGTAAATACATTCTCACACAATTAGGATATATCAAAGATGATTACATCCAACACATGTTAAAGTCAACCAATCACACACATTCTTCACCAACTAACAAACAATCCTTGTCACCCTCCACTCCATTACGAAATCATTCTCCATTGAATAATAATAATCAAAATAATGATTTTAAAAATCAAGTATTGACATCTCCTATTATCATCAAAGGATATTATATTCGTTACAAATTAATTAAGAAATTTGTTGAAGATTTTATTCAACAAAACATTCATCATGACACCATTCAAATTATTAATTTAGGATGTGGATGTGATACTTTATATTTTTATATTAGAGATTATTGCAAATCGAATATGTGTTCAAATGATCAAGAAAACAAGTCATCCAATACTACTACTACTACTCTTCCATTTATTAAATATTTAGAATTAGATTTTGCAACAGTCATTGATCACAAAAAGATGATTCTTGAAAAATTGAATATTCACACGAGTCAACAATGCATTGTTCACAATATATCCACTCCTAACATATCCATCTCTCATACCAATGATCATTCTTCTATTCATGCAATTCCAAATGATCATTCTCATGCCAATGATCATTCTTCTACTGTTGTGAATCAATTGTCTTCTGAAATTCATACCATGCAACACCTCACTAACAATTCCATTTCATACATTTTAGAATCATGTGATTTATCAGACATTCAATCCTTCAAGAATATTATTTTACAACATTGTAACACTAATGCACCAACTCTATTCATTAGTGAAGTAGCCATGTGTTACATGTCCAAAAGAGATTCATCTCTACTTTTAGATGCTATTTATTATGATTTATTTAAACAATCGACATTCAATGTAAAATTTATTGTCTATGAACCTGTGATTGATCCAAACAATTCCTATGGAAAACAAATGTTGAATAATTTAACAAAAAGAAATTCACCATTTACTTCCATTTCAAGTTCTTTCAATGAACAATATGAAAGATTTAAAAAGTATTATCATACGACTGAAAAAACTGACAAATGGAATGATGAAAATAGATCAACAACAACTAGTACTACTATAGATCATACGACAAGTCATGCTTCTCCTTCTACAGATTCAATGACTAGTACTACTCGTACTACTACTAGTTCTACTACTACTACTCTCAATAATTCAAAGTTATGTATTCATATTGATACACTCTTCAATATTCATAATGAAATGATCAAATTAGACAAGACTCTACTCGACATTCATAAAAGACATCCAATGTTTGATGGTGTTGAGGAATGGCAAATGATTTCACAAGTCTATGCATTCTTATACATTCGAAATTGTGATGAAATCAACAATAATAACCAACAAGAACACAACCACCACTCGAACCTCGACATTCACCAATGCAACATGACTCATTTATTACACAAAATGAATTGGAATTAACTACTACTTCACAAGAGTAATCACATGTCTAATCATGTCCAATTCATCATGACTTCACTGAGGTTTGAAAAGTTAGTAGTAGTAGCATGATCATTCTCAACAAGTATCAACAAATTCATAATTATCATCATCCATATCATGATAAATATTCCACAGCTGTTTGAAATTTCTTATGATTCATTTCACTCCATTCTCTTTCTCTGAATATCGTGAATAGTTGTTTCAAAACGAGAATTGGTGATGAGTTGTAATTAAATGTTGTTACTCCTAAAGACATTACTCTCACCTCTTCTGTTCTCATCGAGAGACTAATGTATAAATGCTTTTCTGTGAGTCAATTTCCTGTGAACGTGTGGTTCGACTCTATGCAAACCATGTGTATGTCAACAATCAATACTCATCAACCACACGAAACAATCCTGGGAATAAATTCATTACTATTGACATTTCTTATTGAGGAGATACTCTGCACGCTCTGACTGACCGTTACAAGAAGAGAGAGATTCCGTTGTTTATCGGAGGGCGGGTGAAACAAATTCAAATTTACAGTCTAAGCCTAACGATCGTAGATGGGTTAAAAAATAATCAAAAAAAAGCAACTCATTTGTACAGTATCGACCATCATCACATCCTCCATCATCATCACTACGAGAGAGAGAAATGAGTAAAAACACGACAGAGTCCTTCGAGCCTGGCTACACCACGATCGGGGACGAATATGACAAGAGCAAAATTCTAAAGGAGCAACGATTAAAGGACGGCCGTACCGTCGGTAAACAATTCGTAACTTCTCCCACAAAGAAAGGAAAAGTCGGAAAGGGAATCACTTTCGGAGATTTCAAGAGTCTCTATGATGGAGATCCATACGAAGATCCTGGCACGAATGAAAGAAAATACAAGAAGGAAAACGAACAAAAGGCTCAAAAGATACACAAGACTCCATTCAAACCAAGCTCTCCACCAAAGAAGTCTGTTGGTCTCGGCACTTACTATGGAACCATCGGAGGCGTTTATCCTCACGAACAAGAATATGACACCCTCCAAAAAGGAGAAAAGCCACAACCTGTTAAGGAACAAAAGAGACCCATCTACACCAGTCCTCCTAAGAGAGGAACCTATGGCTATTTGGGATTAACTATTTCAAGAGGTACTGAATACAAGTATGAAAGTGACCCTTATGATCATTCGCTTGAAAAGAAAAAAGAGAAGGAAGAGGAAAAACAAAAGCAAGTAAGCAAGAAGGCTTTCATTTCTTCTTCACATCATTTGGATTACTTTGATACTCACAAGAATGTGGCTGCTCCAAAGATTCTTGGTACAGATGAAAAAGTAGAAGAGATTTTGAAAAAGTCAATGGAAAGGGAATCTGCTTCTCCAAAGAAAGAATCAGAGGAGAGTAAGAAGAAGCCATTCTATCCATCTCCTGTAAAACAAAGAAATGATTTCCCACCTTATATGGAGGATCCATACGATAAGAGAACGCTTACTAAGAAAGATGAAAAGGAGCAGAAGAAGCCAGTTTTTAAGCCCATGAGCTGTGGCAACAAGAGTTATCCAACCAGGTCAATTTTGTTCGGATCTTCTGTGAATATGTCAAATACATTTTAATTAACGTCATCAATAGGACGCATCTAAGGATTGTTGGATTGAATGGTTGATAAGCACAACTTGTCACTCCAATAAACATTTTTGTTTTAATTGATTTCTCTAATAGACTCATATTCCTCGTGTTGGAATGAAAGGTTTTAATTCTTCTTTTTCAAGTGTTTAAGAAAACCAGCCAATTGTTTGTGATTGAGAAGTTTCTCTTTGAGTTCTGCAAACTTCTTGGCTGCCCGTGCATTATGATCTTCTGCTCTCTGTTTAAGAATTTTAATCTTGAAGAGAGTATCTTGACAGAACTGAACGTATTCTTCACTATTTCTATCCACTCCTTCTTGGCTCTTTTGATACATGGTTCTTCTTCTCGCAAGTTTTTGTTTTTCTTTTTGAAGCCGTTCTTCAATAATGTTGATTCTCATCATTAATTGGTCTTTGAGATCTTTCATGACTGTGTAATAGATTTCTTCAGCTTGTTGCACCGATTTCACACCATCCTTAGGAATGAGATGATCCACAAGGTCCTTGTTTTTGCGTTGTTCTTCCAATTCTCGTTCTTTTTCTCTCAATAAACGTAATTCTTCCATCGTAGGTCTATTTCTTTCCACATCATAGATGGTAGTGATGGACTGAATATTACGCTCTTCATTGTATCGAGTGTGGAGAATATTGGCCATTTCTGAAGTACTTTTCACAATTTCCTCCTTGCATTTAATCTCAGTTTGAAGAAGAGCATGAAACTCTTCCACAGTTTCAACCAATTTAGGACGAGGCATAAATGGATCAATAATTTCCGTATAAAAACCACCATCTTTGGAGTATTCACGAACAGATCGAGTAATCTTTCCTTCTCCAAAATGATACTCTAAACGAATCTTTTTATCCACAACATAGAACGTTCTTTTTGCAACATCTTCATTGGCACTTTTGTTTTCATCTCGTGTGAATTTCTCAGTCATTTTGACAATGATGGAATCATTGAGTTGTTTTCGACGAGTGAGAGCTCCATCCATCATGAATAAGTTCTTGTCCAAGTTGTTGTTGTTCTGATCATTCATGAATGATGATGACTCCATGTTGGAATTCTGATAATGGTTGTTAGTAGCAGTCGTAGTAGTCGTAGTAGCAGTACCACCAGTAGTAGTAGTAGTAGTCGTAGTCGTAGGATTCGAATGATTGGAAAGGAGACCAACCTCTCCAATGATTGGACCATATTTCAAATCATCTTCATGGTGATTCAGGTTTAAACTCATAATACTTGGTTTCTCAATATCATACGAAACCGATCGATAGCATAAGAAATCTCCAAATTCCATTCTATTTTGATAATATTCAAGTACCTTCTTTGGATGATATAAATTTTTAGATCCATCAAAGAGTTCAATTCTCTTCTCTAAACCATCCAATCGAGCTTCACTATAAAATTTGTATTCTCTTCGAACACCTTTTTCATAGACAAATTCTTTGAGAGCTTCAAAGTTGGAAGTACTCATTCTACCAGGTTCAAACCATTCATGAATACGTTCTCGAACCCTTGTGATGGATGATGGTTCATCATCTTGTAACTTGCGATTAGTAGTAGTGGTAGTAGGGGTGATATTAGTGGTGGTGGTATTCATATTGATCCTATTATTGGGTGAATAGATGGAATAGATGGATCTTCTCTTGAGTAAATCTCTGAGTAAGGGTGATGGTGGTAGTGATGGTAGTGATGGTAGTGATGATAGTGATGGTGGTGATGGTATTCATATTGATCATGGATGATGTGATATTCATGAGAATATTCATGGTGAGATAATATTCATGGTGATATTCCTATATATGAAACTCTTTACACTTACTTTCGATGATTAAAATAATAATGCACTTCTTTCACTCTCTCTTTCGATTCATCCAAATAACAAGTAATAATTTTTGTTATTAAATCCTTTCGATAATAAGGAGAAAACAATTCCAATGTTGCATTTGAATATTCTACACACTTGTAATTCAATGGATATCGATCTTCATATTTTCGTTTTGAAATTTGTATTTTTCCAACCCATGAAGTTGGAACATCTAAAATGTCATCATCGTATTCACCTTCTTCAACAGTGAGAAATTCAATTCTCTTCTCTTCTTGTAATGTTTCATCTTCTTCTTCAATATTATCTTCATTCTTTGTATTTCTAATGAAAATATATTCCCAATGATGTAAATTTTTTAAATCAAAAATAATATTTGAAATTTTCTTTTCAAAAAACATGTTACACCAATAATTTTCATGATTCCATAAACTTTCAATTCCATAATATCCTAATGAATCAATTTCATTCAATTCAATCATTTCACCTGTGGATGGTTCAATAAAGAATGGAGTTTTAACATCTCTTCTTCCTGGTAATACAATGACCCAACAATGAACATAATTCAAGAGTTTAGAAAGTAATTCCATTTGTTTGGAATCTTCTCCACCAAGAGAATACCATTTGGTAGTAGTTGGAGGAGGAGGAGGGGTGAGATCTGAAGATGTTGTTGTTTCAGAAGTGTTATCATTGTTTGAATTTGGATTATTAGTATTATTAGTATTCATAGTATTGATATTAGTAGTAGCAGGATAAATGCTATTAATTTCCATGTCCACTTGCTTCTGTAGAGTGTCATTATCTTCTTCTTCTTCTTTCAATGGATAATCTTCTTTTCTGAAATGACTTGTCAAATTGGGTCGAACTTTGAGTTTGTATTTACTTTCTTTAAATACTTTTTTTTCTTCCTTGATTAATTCTTCTTCAGGTTCAATTTCAAATGGAAAAGATCGTTCTGTTTGATCATTGAATACAATACTCTTTTTAGCATAACCAGAGACACAATAAGCATTATATCCAGCTCCAATCAAGAGTGAACACAAGAGAATGGACAAATCAAAACTATTTCCTTTCTGCCAAAAGAGAGTTGTGGTTGGACTACAAACAACTTCAGGCTATGAACAAGTTCATTTGAATATTGTTGGTCAATGAGTGTCATCAAACATTCATATTGGTCGAGTTCAATCAGTGGGTTAAGATGACAAGTTCATTTGAATATTCGTTGAATCGAACTGAGTGTGTTTGAATTGGCAATTTGACTTACAATTTCAAAAGGTTTATCAAGAGATTCAAAGGTCGTGTGATGATGAACAAATGTTGCAATTCCTTTTGCATCATATAAATCTGGATATGGTAATAGAGTTGGTTTGATGTATGTACAAATAAATTTCTATGTATATAACATGTAAGATTATAAATTCAATCAGGGAATTCAATCAAGGTAGATAATAATTCAATCAAGGTAAGAATCAAGGTAGATAATAATTCAATCAATCAAGAGGATCACCAGGTATTCATCCTTGAGACACACACACACATGAACAAACATTCAATGACTTACATGAACTCCAACTTCATTTTCTGGATACAACATGAGTGGTTTTCGATCTTTAAACAATTGAGAATATTGTTGGTTGAAATTTTCAACATATTCCAAAACAATGTCTTCTCTCGTATCATTGGTTCGATAGGAATCGGGAATGAATGACACCACTCGATCCTTTTCAATGGGTTTATCTTCACTTATACGATAATCGAATGGTTCCGACGAGAGAGCAACTTTGGATTCTAATTGATTCTTGTTCTCTTTCTGAGCCTTGTCATACAACTCGAATATTTTGGCAAGGCGTTGAGATCGATCCATGGAATGCCATTCAATACCATCATGATGATGCTGAGAGGAGAAGACGGGCATTCTTTTTGGTTCAGTGTTGTAAAAAAGGAGGCATTATTGAATGCATTTTGGCGCCATTTCTTGGATGGCACAATAATTATTGTTGTTTTGGTGGTATAATTGTAGAGGATGAGCGAGTGAAATAAATCCGATAATGCATGCATAACAAATGTGTCGATTCGAAACTTTAATCATCACTTTCATAAGAGTCCTCATCATCATCATCATCCTCCTCATCCTCATCAAAAGAAGAGCTTGTACGTTGTTGTGAAGAATCCACACCACTTGTACCACCACCACCATGATGGAAACCACGAGAAGAGTTCTTCTTCTTGTTGGATTCCTCTTCTTGTGATGGATCAATCACATCTTCGACCAATGGAATTTTCAACTCTTCTTCATCATCAATTTCCACTCGATGAGTCTTTCCTCTGAATCGATACCAAACGAGTAGAGTTTTTGGAGAACCAGGTGCAGGATCAAAACTTCCTTCCATTCTTGACTTGCTATACTCTGGAAGATATAATTTAGAATTGGACACTAAGAATTGAAGTTGATCTGTTAAATCAATCCATGAAGGATATTCATTCACATCATCATCCACATGTTCTAAATCTCCATATTTTGCATTAATGATAATTAAACCATTCACTTCTTCTTCTGCATTTCTGGATTGTAAAGCTTTTTCTCGAATCTTTTCCAATTCTTGAAGAGCAACTTGTCGTTTGTGTTGAGTGGCAAGATAGATCTCTTTTCGCTTACTTTTTGTTTCTTTTCTTCTCCAATAGTTCATTAAAGGATTCATTACAAAATTCTCAAGTAAAGTGTAACATGTAATGGGTGTCAGAGTTGCCATGAGTAACATTTTCCAATTAAAGGAATGAGTCAAGACAATGGGTAGAGTGAAATGATGTCTGTCCGATCGTTTCAAACTAAATTTCAATTGAATTCCTTCTTCCTTACTTGCTCCAACACCAAATCCAATCTCTGTTTCATCTCCAATGGTCTTGACTAACATCATGTTCATTCCAATGTCATACTCGGAACTTGTTGTGAGAGTCACATCAGTCACCATTTCAACAGGAGAATTCGAAAGATCTTCATGATGTATCGATGGCACACTTCGTCCCAAATTGGTCAAGGCACGTATCCATTCTGGAACGTTTCTTCTAAATTCACAAGAAATGTGTGAGTTTGTTGGAGACAATCTCAATTCTGTTGAAAGAGAAGATCCATCATGTTCAAAGTTCTTATCTAACACAAATGAAACATTATTGTCTTGAGGAAAACTAACATGAATAGAGCCAAACAAACTATGATCAGAAAATAATTGTCTCTTGTAAACTAATTGAAAACCAGCAATGGATAACCAATTCATAAAGGTTGGACTAATACCATTGAATTGTCCAATCCTGTCGATTCGAACACAGTTGAGAGAGTGGGTGGATTACAATGAAAGGTATATATTGAGGTAGAGTAGGGTTATTCAGAATTGCAATGAATTGAGGTAGAGTAGGGTTATTCAGAATGAAAATATGAATAGTAGGGTTATCATGACAAGGATATTCATAATTGCAATGAATTGAGTTAGAGTAGGAATACTAGGGTTATCATGACCACATTTACAAAAAACATACCATTTCATTGATCCAAAACTATAATCGGATAATTTTGTACTTCCAGAGGCAATCAAAGTCAAAGCATTTGGATTCTGAGTACTAAATGCAGTAGCAAGATCGAACTGTGTGGCCTCTTTTGTTGGATCCATTGTATGTCTCCATTGTACAGCAATGGTATGTGAAATATTTTCAGCACTTAATTGATCACAATTAGCATTTCCATGAAAAATCAGTGTATCTAATTTTGAAATTGGTGTTTGAAAGGTTTGAGAAAAGGATGAATTTGTAAAAGATACTTTTGGTATAATGACACGATAGGTTTGACCATCTTGTTCAATATATGCATCTTCCAAGTCTTCTTCACTAAGAAATGATCCAGATATATCCATGGATAAATTAGCACTGGTTGCTCCTTGTGTTTTTGAATCTCGTAATTGCCTTCGTTGTTCTCTCTTGTAATCTTTATATCTTTCTTTTAATTCTTGAAAAGAAACATTCTCAGAGTCATCGGCTAATACCAACGATGTGATACACTTGCCAAGAACATCATATTGTGCTCTCTTTCTTTCATTAGAAAGTACTTCATAGGCTTCATTCAGTTGTTTTTGTTTCTCTTCAAAATATTCTTCCAATTCTTTTTGTTTGAAAATTTTCTTTTGTTCAGAAGTTAATCGTTGAGCATCGGGATGGCATTTCCGAGACTTTTTTCTAAAGGCTTCCGTAATTTCCTTTTGAGTAGCATTTCTTTTGACTCCTAATATTTCATAATAGCTTTTCTTCTTTTTATAGAGTTCTTCAATTTCAAAGTTTTTATCTTCGTCATCGTGATTGATATCTGTGTGTGGAGAAGAAACATATTCGGAGATGGTGATGAATCATTGATGTGGTTTAATAATTGTTGATGTGTTTGATGTGTTTGTAGTGGTTGTAACAGTGTTTTAATAATATGATGATGATCTTTTGAATACATTCCAAACAATGGATTTACTAACCCTCTTCGAGATGGTCGATAATCTCTTCCGTTCCACCTGTTCGAGCTTTTTTCATTTTTTTTGATTCATTCGTTTTGATTGAAATTTGGCGGGCAGTCCGTTCAAAACCGTGTTGAGCTCAACAGAAGACGAAATTCAATGACCGAGTCATGGTCTTCGGCTTAAAACTTGAAAGAACTGATGAGGGTGTCCAATTGATACTTCCTACTTTCAAGTAATTGCTTGAATGGTGGAAGATATTGTTGAGCATTCTTCCTTTTAAATTTGAGACAGTCCATAAACATTCGAATGAGAATTTCTGTGTGAAGTGAGAAAGAGGAATAATACGAGGTATATATTGGATGAACCTCTTTCTGAAGTACGTATACGACAACTACTACTTACCATTTAAAAAGTCCAATCTCTTGGTTTGATATTTGGAATCCTCCAATAACTGATCACTTTCGTCGAGTATGCTCTTGTATTCAGGTGAAAGGAATGACAAATCTTCTTCTTGAACTTGAATTTCTTTCAGAGCATCAATTAATTTAATCTTTTCACTTAAATTGAGTTGATACTCAAGCTTTGGATAAAGGAGAGAAATGGAGTGTCCAAAGGTATGATCATTAATTTCTATTAAGGCGACCATTATCACAATGTTCATTCACTGTTGCAACTCTTTTTAATAACTTACCAAAACTAATATTCACTTTGGTCTTTCTTTCCGTGGCAGCTTTGGTAATAACTTCCTCAATCACAGAAATGGCAGTAATGTTATCTGTTTCAATGACTGCTTCACCTCTCTTTAACTTGATGATTAAACATGTGTTCTGGAAGGTTGAATGAAAATAGTAAGTCATTTCATCTTCAGTGATTCTTTGAATGCATTGGTGCCACAACAATAAATGATGATAGTTCATTACAACACACATCACAACAAATGATTGATGATGATAGTTCATTACAAATCAGCTCAATCTATTACTACTTACTTGTCTGGAATACCTTCCACACATAAACCAATCCATGAATGAACTTCAGATAATGAGAAGGAACCACTCACAATTAACTTGTTGAGCGGTCGATTACCAACCACAGGTTTGGCTCTTTGTTCATCAACGAGTCGTTCATGCAAGGAGAGTGGCTTAACATTAAACATGTGAAACTTGGAAATCTTTGGGTGCAGTTTTGGAATGATATAAACTTCAATGGGTCCATATTTTCCTTCGTAGGTTCTGAAGAGCACCTCAATTCTCTTACAATTATCAGTAAATCTAAAAGTGGCACTGAATTTGGTTGATGAATCCTTCTTCTCATCGGGTGTGATATTACTAACGACAACATTGTTATCTCCAGAAGAATCAAGTAAATCAAGAGCAATTTCTGAACGAATAATGATCATGTCCATGTGAACATCCGATTCTACATGAAGCCGATAATAAGCCTCTTTGGCATCCAATATAAATGAGGCTTTGGTTTCATATTCACAATGAACTGCAACAATTTCAGAGGACATTTTGGAATAGTTTTGTTTCACCTTGCTTAATTTTTCATCAAGAGATTCTAATTCTTTTTGGAGATTGATAATTCTTTGGCTTTTCGTAATTCCAACAATCTTTTTCTTATCGTCCATAATATTGAACGGCAAGTTGAGATTTGATGATTCAGTAGCGCTGTATTGATGACTCGTAAAAGCTAACACTCGGCCACTGAATGTTGAAACCAAAATATCCTCATCTTCGGGCGAAATTATTTTTCCTGCTGTCACGCAAGTGATACTTTCATCAATGGTTTTCTTCAACAATCTTGTGGGTTGAGATGGGTCAATAAATGAATAAACTTCCAATGTGCCATCATTACGAGCAACAATTAATTCTTCGTTTCCATCACCATTAATATCATACTTGCACATTTCGTTCACCGATCCTTTTTCTCCTTCAATCTTCCAAGCAATAGTGGGATTGGAAGAGGCTTTAAAATCAAGTTCAATCACTTGTCCAGTCTCTGTACCATAAATTAAAGAATTTGATTCCTCATTGAGCAACAATGAAGTGACTGCACCTTCGGTGGCGTATTGAGCCACACAGTCAGTATTACATACAACTCGCAATTTTCTGTCTTGACATCCCAAAATTGCCTTGTCATTCACTGAATCACCACAATCAAAATAAGGAATGACAGTGTTGATTCGGTCGGGTGACATGTAGAATCCTTTTTCTACGGAATCAACATAATGATACAAAATATAATTTCCTCCAATCCAAAGGCCTGGAACTCGAATAACCATTCGAGTAGCATCCTCTGAAATGTTGCTGTCCAATCGATAGAATTCTTTTCCTTTTTTTGTTACACCCTTCACCACTTGCCCGTAGGAATAGAACACTCTATTCTTGTGGATCTGTACTCCTTTTACTGGTTTGTTTTGACTAATAGTTTTAAATGTTGTCTAAAAGATTTTACGAAATCATCACGAAATCATTTGGTTGTATAAAGAGCATAAAAATCAATGCTTGTTCTCCCTGCTACATACATTAACAGCACCCTTTTTAATTGAAAATGCTTGCAAGGATCCATCATTGTCTCCTACTACTACTCTTTGAGTTTTCTTCTTTCCGACAGGGAATAACTTCAAACAATCCGATGACACACTGGATGTTTTTAAGAGATCCAGTCTAGTCTGTAGTTCTGACATTTTTTTTGGAGGGAAAATTGTTTCTGTTGGCAGCATTAAAAAGATCCATCTCTCCTCAGCAGAATCATTTAATTCTCGAGATGTCTCAAAAGTGATCCTTTATTGCAGTTTGACACTCAAGTCTCAGCCAGGCCTTTTGAAATTTCAAATTGCAAGATGAAATCACAGGTTGTTGTAACCAAAAAAAATGAGTGAAGCTAAAACCACAGAAATACATTTGGAGGATGAGAGTGTGAACGGCAACTCTCAACCACAACAAGAAAATATACACGAACAACAATCAAAATCATCATCAAGGTAAGTGGATATTTCTGATATAACGTTTTTAATAAACATCATGGAATCACCGGGTAAATTAACATCGCATCCGTTTCTCCTATTATTTTAATATTTCAGCTCTTCTTCTAGAAGAGAAAAGACTAGCCGAACTCTTTTCGTTGGAAACATCCCAGCTGAAACATCAGAGGATGAAGTCCGAAAAGTCTTTGAAGAATTTGGCAATATCATTCGAGTTGCCATGGGTGCTACCGACGTGAAGAAAAAACAAAACGGATATGCCTATTGTTTTGTTGAATTTGAAATTCTAAGAGATGCGGAAATTGCCTTTGATAAACTTCAAGGAGCAAAAATCGGTGATAGAAACATTAAACTAGATTATGACTTTGGACCAAGAGGACAACGAAAGAGTTCTTCCTATAGAAGAAGATCTCCAAGAAGATACGAAAGAAGATCACCCAGATACTCTCGATATGATGACAGAAGATCCCCAAGAAGATATGACCGAAGAGATGATAGGGATAGAAGAGATGATCGAAGATATGATGACTATTCCGATAGAGAAGATAGAAGATATGATGATGATTATGATCGAGATGATAGAAGAGACCGTAGAGATGATAGAAGAGACAATGGACGGGATAGAAGACCACCAAGACACTCTTCAAGAAGATATGAGCCTTACGGTAGAAACTCACCTTCTCCTAGAAGATAATTCTTTTCTTCTTTTCTATTAACCCTTTTCTATTTATATATATATTGATGATTAGTAGTAGTCGTAGTCGTCGTATCCATATTCTTACAATGCTTCTCTTCTTTTAAGCAGTTATTTGAGTCTAGTAGTATTGCAAGAGTTCCAATCAGAGGTATTTCAATGGTGATGATGGTATGAGCCAGTACATCTCTCAGCGCAGTAGTATCCTGTTTAAGGTTATTGACGATCGATGCTTGGCAATAAAAGTGATCTATGGAGATCACATACAGTAGTGAAGCAAATAGTTAAAGGTTAATAGTTAAAGGTTACTTTTAAGGCTTGGTTGTAAGATCTTGCTGGTGAAATGGTGTGTTTGATATCAAATTCTTCTTTCAATGCATTCAGCACTCGGAAAGGTTTTTTGTCGTTTTCCTTCCTGAGGTTATTTGCAAAAGGAAAAGGTGGAGTTGAAAATTTTCGAATAAGGTGTTGTTGGTCCTAATGTGGCGGTAATGATCATCATCATGTCGTTCTTTAACTGTTTGCAATGGGTAATGTGAGGTGGTCGGTCCGAGGGAGAAAGGTCATGGCTGTCTTTTTCCATGATGATGAGGAAGGTCATTTAATTACCCTTAATTGTAGTAGTGGTAGGTATATATCTTGTTGTTGTCAAAGGATACATATATCACGTGATATTTGTCTCGTTAAATTGTGGAAACGATGCATCATTTCGTGTGGATTGTTTTTATGAAACACATGTCGTTATTCTACCCACGTGTTCGTGTATATAAACAATAAAATATATACCTTAATATAATTGGAAATTGTCAAAATAAACCTTTGCCAAATCAAACATCATCACACCAACAAAAAATATCTCGATCGATGGCCTCTTGGATCTTCCAAAATCTTCTTACACCAGCCGATCTTCATGATGATGAAGAGGAGGACAAGGTACCAACTTCTCAGCTTTTGAATTCAAACAACAACACCACTACCACCACTACTGGTACTACTACTACTCGAGAGGATCATGTCGATATTGTTCAGGTAAAACCCATTCTCTCTTCTTCTTCTCGAACATCATCCATCGATGTGAGTGTTTCGGACTTGTTGCATCGAATCGAAACCTCTTCCCTTCATGATGATAAAATTGAAGCCATGGAACATCTCATTGAATTATCCTCTCAAGACAATCAAAGCTCGTCGACTATGACTCGTTTCAATCATCACAAAGAATTCAAAGAAAATTTCCCTAAACTCATGAATTATTTAAATCAAAATGAAAATGAATCTACTACTCGTCAATATTTGACAATTATATGTAATTTGGCTCAACTCGAAAACCATGGACCTATTTATTTAGATTTAATGATCAAAAATAATAATTATTTATCAATTTTAATTTCTTTGCTCAACGAAAATAATTCCTATATTAGGTATCAAACAATTCAATTATTGAATATACTTTTACAATACAATTCTCTAGTCCTTCAAGATGCTATTCTCAAAGAAGCAGCAATTCCATTAATATTGTCGTTATTGAATGAATATGGAGTACTGAGAAATGAAGGAATTCTATTTTTAAGAAATTTAACAAGAGAAATTAATCAATCTCTTTCAGAACCACAAGAACACACTATGGCCATTGGAAATGAGTTAAAAAAGATTATTGTCTTTGAGGGTGCATTTGAAAAATTATTTGGAATTATTTTACAAGAAGGAGGAAATCAAGGAGGAGTTGTCGTTCTCGATTGTCTTTATATTATTTTATATTTATTGAAAGACAATGAATTGAATCGAAAACAATTTTTAATGCTCCAAAATTTTGGAATGTCATTTTTGTATCCATTATTGGTCATTCCAGAGTTTAAATTTGATTCTACTCTCCCTACTGCTAGGATGAGTAGTGGTGGTAGTCTTGGTATAAGTAGTAGTAGTGGTATTGATGGTAATATTGGTGATAAAAGTAGTAGTGGTAGTGGTAGTGGTGGTACTATGACGACTCGTACGAATACTGGTCTTCATGATGATCACACGATGAAATCATCATCTGACAACAATCTCGAGTCATCCTCTTTTGGCTTTCTCAAAAGTGTGGCTGGAGTTGCCATGAATTTAATGAGTGGTGGTGGTACTAGTTCTAATGATACACAATCAGAACTGAATTCTCAACAACATTCCAATCTCTCTTCACACCTCTTGAGTGATCATTTTAGTATTTCCAATCCAATGTATCCCATGATGATGGTATTGAATAAGAATGAACAACAAGAAATTTTCAAACAAAATTTCAAACACATTGCAAACAGTGAAAAACAATTAGAAATTATATCCATTGTGTTGGATATCATTTTAGAATTGATGAAATCTACTAGAGAACCTGTCAAAGATATAATTACACATCATCACAGAGGTGGAACAAGAAATACTTCTCAGATGAGTCTTTTAATTCCAATTTTGAAATTATCTTTGGATTATATTTTTACATCCATTGTGGGAAATGATTCTTCTCAACAACAAGAATTCTTTCATTTAATTCCACCTCTCATTAGAACCATCATGTATGATATTAACATGAAATCTATTTTCATTTTAGGACATTTAATGTATAACAATCGAATTGCTCAAGAAGTATTAGAAGGTTATTTCTTTCAATATGGAAATACAATGTCCATTCCAAGTCAATTATTAATGAGTAATGGAATTCAAAATGTATTGATCACCAATTCAAGTGGAAATGGTTTGATACATTCCTTAATGATTGAAGAATCAGCAATTATTCGATTGTGTAAACTTGTTTTATACGATGGTGATGAATATCGAAGGTAAGTACCACACACCTATTACATCTATTGAATTTGATCATCCTCATCATTCCACCACCATATATGTGTACACCTGAATTTGATCATCATCACTCCACCACCATATATTATTCGTATACGAACCACACACACACACACACACACACCTATGACACCACCTATTGAATGGAATGAATGGAATATACTCTCATGAATAACAACAACAACAACATCACCACCATTTTGTACCATACACACTCCTACACACACACACTCCTACACACACACTCCTACACACACACACTCCTACACACACACACTCCTACACACACACACTCCTCATACACACACACACAGACAATTAGCATTTTCTACATTGAGAAGATTTCTTTACAACAACAAAGAAGGTCAATTACTCATTGCCTCCACAGTGAAAGCACCTCATTTAATATCATGTTCCTCTGAGGAGTGCATGTTATGTGGAATTGTATTATCCGATGCATTATTCTCATTGGATCAACCTAAATTTCATCCTCTCGAAAGTGTTCATGCCATTTCTATTCTAAGTGTCATCCTTCGACAAAATACAAAATGTAAAGATATTCTATTAGAGATACCTTATTTTGAAAGTAGGAGTGGTAGGAGTAGTAGTATTCATCGTGGTGGTACAAGTGGTGGTGTCTCGAGTGGTTGTGGTATTCAAAGTGGTCAGAGTGGTCAGAGTAGTACTAGTAGTAGTATTCAAAGTATTCAGAGTGGTCAGAGTGGTCAGAGTGGTCAGAGTGGTCAGAGTGGTCAGAGTGGTATTCATCGTAGTGGTGATCCTCCCACCTCAACAACAATGACGAGTAGTACTAGTAGTAATGGAGATGATAACAACATCAGCAGCACTGGTGGTCCAATCCTATTGTCATCATACTTCTCCAAATCCTTCTTCACATGTCTCATTAATCTTGTGGTATATGCCATCAAATCTCGAGCCCATGATTTTTATACATGTGCCTTATTGAGATTATTGTGTGAATGGATGAATGGAAGTTCACAATCTGCTCGAAAATTTATTGAACATTCTCGTTCAACATTATTATTTGTAAGTAGTAGTATAAGAAAGAGAGAGAATGGATACATTTTAATATTACTAATTTTCATCATCTCACATGATTTGTTAAATGTTGAATTAACTTGTATTGGTCATGATTGTGAAATGGGAACTTGTTATACCCTTTTCATTCTATTCGTTATTGTAATGAACTCTATAACCATCACCACCATCATACCATTCCTCTATCATTCCTCTATCATTCCTCTATCATTCCTCTATCATTACTCCTATGATAATGAATCACCCAAAGTTCTCTGAAGTCATCACGAGTGATATTGGCATGACAGCAAGTCCTCTCATTCAAGCCTTGTGTTGTATGTTGTTAGGACTTGTGTGTATTGAATATGAAGATCCATTGACTCCAATTGGAGTATGGAATCATCATGTGGGTGGTGATGGTAGTAATGGTGGTGATGAAGAAGGAGTTCACCATCATGATTCTATTCCTGTTGGAAGGATTACCAAGTAAGTAGTTGTTGTTGTTGTTTGTTTTGATTCATATAAATGTACATATCATGATGTGATCTTCTTATTCATTATGATGTTGAATTTGCATTCTCTCATCATTCTGAATGACTAATTCAATTCCACTCACTTGTCATCCTATGATTCTCATCATCAACTTGTGTTCATCCTATGACTCTCATCTTTTGTTCAGAACATGTGTCATTGATATAATTCAAAGACGTGTGGGTATTCAGAGAATGAAAGACAAATTTGATATTTTAAGACAACACAATGTCATGATTGGTGCATTGAATCAACCCAAATTTAATTATGAATCTCTACAAATTAGTGATACCACTCCTATTGAAGTACTTCCCATTGATTTGGAATTTGCAACCTTTGCATTATCTGCCATGAGTAAGTAGTAGCATTGTAGTCATTGTAGTGTGTGTGTGTTAGACATTAGCCAATGATTCTATTGTTTTAATTATTAATTCCATTCATCATGTCATACTTGGATCCACACAAATCCTATTTGACATTTCATTTACCTTTTTTGAACATTTGTTGATCCCTCGATCATTTACCTTTTTTGAACATGTTTTGAACCTTCCTAGACACCATTTTAACCTTCTTCTCTCAAAACACTCCTGAAATGACTCTAGAACAAAATATTCTCTTAAAAGATTTGGAAAAACACAACAAGAAACTCCAACAAGAAGAAAAAGAACGACTGATTCGAGAAAAAAATCAAGAAATTGAAAAACGACAAGTCGTAGAAGAAGAATACAAACAACAAATTTCAAAACTTGAATATGAAATTCAAACTCTCAAACTGGAAAAGGATACCACCATTCATGAAATTAACTCAACCAATGAAACGTATCAAAATCAATTAAGAAATCTCTCCAATGAAAATCAAAAACTCAAAACTCGAATCACCGAACTCTCCGAACGATTGAATACTCTTCAAGATGAAAAGAATCATCTCTCTGAATTGAATCAACAAATGGAAATGAATCAACAACAAACACAACAACGAGTTTCAGAGTATAAGGCTCAACTCGAACAAACTCAACTGAAATTGAAAACTCTACAAGAAAGATTCGATTCCGAACTCCATGAAAAGGAATTTAAAAATAATTTACAACAAGAGCAATTGAATCAATTACAATTACAATTGAAACAAAAAGAAGATGAAATTGAACACATGACGAGAGAATTTGAAGAAAAAATCAACCAATTGAAAAAACAAGAATCTATGAATTTCTCCAATCAATTGTCAATGAAAGACTCTCAAATCAATTCTCTCTATTCAGAAAACGATTCTCTCAAACAATACATTTCTCAATTAACAGCATCAAATCTTCAACAAACAGAAAAGATGGAACAAGTGTATCGAGAGAAGGAAATGGCAGCATTGAATCAGTCCAATAGACTTCAACAAGAATTGAAACAAAAACAAGATGAAGTTCAGAATTTGTTGAAATCCAATGAGAGTTTCCAACAAACCATTCAATTGATGCAAAATGATCTCATGAATCTAAAGAATCAATTCACACAAAAGGATTCCTCAGTGAATGCACTACGTCAAGAAAATGAAACACTCAAACAAAACCTTTCTCAAATGAATTTAAATCATCAACAATTATTGCAACAATTTGCAACTGTACAGGAATCTCTCAAAAAGGCTAAATTGATCATTTCTGAAAAGGAGAAACGTATTGAAGAACTTGATAAAGATAATGAAGACATGATTGATATTATTGAAAAGTTGGAAGAAAAGTTGGCTCTTATGGAAGGAAACAATAAATAATACAGTGTTGTGTTTGGTGATAATGAATTCATGAGTGTTATTGGTATTTACATATTCCAATGTTGTTGTTGTGAAGGCTCATTGAGGTTTTTAATGAGGCGGTTTTATTTGAAAAGAGCGAATGCAGAAGGGAATTGATCATTTCATGAAGGTCATATGCCATACACTTTCACCTGTCATCGATAAGGATCATCGATGTCAGAGTTGATAAATAAAAGGATTTTGAGGTATGAGGATAATGTATGGAATTTTCCATCATGCAATTCGAAATTAAATTTCTATTGTCTTGTTCACTTGAGTGCCTCTGATGGCTCGGATTTAAACAAGTTGATGAATTATTATTTAAATGATGAATATTCATCATGGATGAATGTCCATTGTTTGTTGAATAGGAACGAATATAGGATGTCGGGAATGGTTCATTAGCAATCATGTTGGGTCCAAAGTTGCTCATAAAATTCGAATTCCGACTCGAGTCGTGCTTGTTGTCAATGCAGCAGAAGATATTGAGTCTTCTCTGAATGAATCTTCTCCTCACTGCTGTGGTGGTGATTGTCGTGGTCATCATTCGTTTCATCATTTTTGTTTCCATCAAATTCTAATCAATTTTTATGTGTAAAGAAACTATAGTAATAATATTTACAAATTGGTTTGGTTCAGAGGGTGCAAGGATTGAGCATTTGGTTGTGAATTCTCTTTGAAAATCGTTGAGGATAGACCTCTGGTTGCTAAAGCAATACTCTTAATATAAGCTCTATATGATAGAGAATTCAAATTGCCAGCAAATTCTACAATATCAAAATGTTCACCTTCTTTTTTTATTTGGTTGCACTACCAATTCTCATCGAATGACCTGTCAAGTGATCTTTGATATTGAGAACCTTGCAAAGGAATTTAAGAAAATAACAAATATCATCCCTTGTTAAGAACAAGTTATCCTTTTGCGAAAGGAACGGACTATTAGGATGTTTGATATTTTCAACTTCAGTAATGTACTGCTTAATAATTGCAACTGGGCAAATTAAAGTGTTCTTTGCAGGTTCAATAACAACTACATTGTGATTCCTGCCATCTTGATCAGTCTTATGCCACCAATCTTTAATGGTAATCCAGTTAAAATGAGGTTTATCCACTTTAACATCAGACCATTTCATTGATGCCAAGTCACTCGGTCTGAAAAGTGTTCTGAAACCAATGACTAGAGTTACCAAAATTAGTAGCTTGTCGAATTTGTCTTCTTGAGAAGTTGGATTGTATACAGAATTGAATCTGGATATGTGTTCAATTAATAATGGTTCTCTTTCTTTTGTATGTCGTTGGGTTCTATTATACAATTTGTTGGCTCCACGAATAATAGAATCAATTTCTTCTTTCCATTCGAATGGAATTTTCAATAAGAAGGCGAAAAAGGAAATAGAAGTTTTGATTAAAGGGATTTCCCAACCTTTTTAAGAATCTAATTTATGATAAATAAATTCTTCTGCAGACTCATAAGTGAACGGAAGTTGATACCAAAATCTATAATTCTGATATCTTTTAAAACGTCTCCATAGATTGAAAATGTAATTACTGGAATATTTAGTTTCAATGCAGAGACATCTATAACCATCAGTTACTAGAGTTCTCCGTTCACTGCTAAGAACTCGGTCCATTTTGAGTTTTTCAATAGCTCTGATGATTGCTTGTTGATAAGCATCTTTGGATGAAATGATTCTGTCTCGACTGAGATTCTTAGCAGTAGTGGATACCACTAAGAGCTGCTCCAATTGGGAATAATCAATAAACCCTTCGCTTGGTTCTTGATGATTTTCAAGATGGTTTGAGGAATCAAGGAAAGAGGAGGAACCATGTAATTGTTGTCTTGATTCCAATCCTCGTTGAAAGCATCTTGTTGATGATTCCAAGAATTGAATTTGATTAAATGGTGGTTGTCCTTGGAGGCAAACCTGTCCACTGTAAATGGGCCATATTTTTGATTGAGGAGGTTGAATAACTCTTGAGAAGTTTCCCATTCTCCCATCCTCGATAGGTGATCTGCTGTGACATTTTCCATTGTTGGAATATAGCTCACTTTCAGTATGGACCATTCTTGTTTCATTAAAAGTTTCCATATTCTCCTTGCAATTGTTGCTAGGGAATCCACTGGACCATAACCCTTCTTGAGATAGGAAACTGCTGTTGTATTGTCTGAAATTAGATGGAATTGAGTTTTTGGAGGATAAAGATGTAATTGAACTGCTTCCTTTAGGAAAACCAAAGCTGTTGTCAATTCCTTCTCGTTGATATGTTGATGTTGAGTTGAGGGATCCCAAGACATTGTTGTTCTGGATAGCACCAAATCCCTGTAAGGAGCTGTCCGTATAAATTCTCTTGAGATCCCATGATAGTTCGAAGGGAGTTCCTTGAGAATTCTGAATTAATGTTTTGAGAATTTTCAAATCCTTCAGACAGTTTTGAAATATTCTCATGGTTGCTGACCAACCTTTCTTTTGAACTATGGAGTTCATACTTCTTTTGAGGCGGTAGCAAAACACTGGTATTGCTTTCTCCGCTTTACTTAGAAATTCGATTTTTCCCAGGAATTGAGCGATCTTGCGACAAGAGATGGATTGGTGCATTATGGCCATGGAGGTCATTTGATTGATTCTTTCTAATGCAATTTCCTTTTTCTGTTGTGGGATTAGTACTTTCCCATTCAAAAAATCTAGTTGTAGGCCCAAGTATTCTATCGATTGAGTTGGTTCCAGAATACATTTGGAAGGTTGAATCATGAAACCCAGGTATTTCATATCCGCTAATACTTGAAGGGTTTGCATTCGGCAATGTTCCTTTCCCATGAAACTGAGAATTAGAATGTCGTCGATGTAAATGAAGATGATCATTCCTTGAAATCTCCATTTCTTGACAACCTGTTTCATAATCTTTGTAAATATTCTGGGAGCTGACGATAGGCCAAATGGTAGGACATTGAAATGATAAAATTGGTTGTTCCATATGAATCCCAATAATTTGCGAGAATTGGGGTGTATTGGGATATGGTAGTAACCTTTCGAAAGATCGATCTTGGTAGCCCAAGTCCCTGGTTTGAGTATTTTGATTGTATTGAGTAAAGTTTCCATCTTGAAAGATTCTAAATCTATTCCCAGATTCATCTTCCTTAGATCCAGAATGAGTCTGAATAAATCTAGACCTTTCTTGGTTACTAGATGAATCGGATTCAATACAAGATCCTTCTGTTGTTGTAAATCCTTGATTAATGTGACAAAGACTGCTGCTAACATTTTTGGTAGTTCCTGGTTCATCCATTTGCATTCCTCTACTCCGCGAATGGTGTTGTTTCCAAATTCCATCCATTTCTCCTTGTTTGAAGAGATTGTTACTCCATTTCGAATCCATTCCAGGATTCTGGGAGAAGTTCCCCATTTCTCCCAATTCTTCCAAAATTGAGAGAGTTGTCCTCCTTTGAGGATGGATTGAGGTTCATTTGTTGGAAGAACTGGGTCCTGAGGGATTTGATTTGGAATTGAAATTACCCTTTCTTCCATACTCTTTCTTGGAGGAATCACCTTTGTAATGGTTTTCTCCCTTATTGCTTGAGAGAGTTTTGTTCTTGTTTTTGTATTTTCTCTCTTCACTGAGAGACTTTGTCATGACTTGGAAGGCCAAATTGTTCTTTTGCTCTTCATGAAGTTTTGCTTCTCCTGTTGAATTGCCTTCTGTCAAAAGATTTCTTAGAGTAATGTTGGAAGTGGAAAGACTTTGAGAATGAATAATGGATTGAGTGAGAATTGAAGGGGAGGTACAGTTTAACAAGTTGCCCAAAGCTCTCAACTCAATTCTCTGTAACTCAGTTAATAATGGACTTATTGCTGCAATGGTAAAACAACGGCCAGAGATGATAGCATAATCATTCAAAATTTGGATGACTGGTGTCTGGATACAATCTTCGTCTAATTTGAAAGAAGGAATATTGGTACCTGTGAAGCCAGGATTCTGAAGTAATCCAAGGTACTTGTTATACAATTTAGGGATATTCTCCATGAATTTTCCATTGCGATAGAAGTTCATAACACAGGCCTCACAATGGGTTCTGAACTCTATATCAGATACAGTAGGTTTATCCTCAATCTTATACTCATGCATGATTTCTTTCAGTTGTTGATCGCGATTCGAAGAATAAACTGTAGCTTGTGAATGATCACCCAATTGGAATGGAATAGATCGATTCACTGGTGTTGAAGAAGAAGTTGCTTGAGGCATCATGAACTGTGGATACACTGCTGGAGAGTACATAAAAGGATTGTTCATGTAAAACGGTTGTTGATGTTGATACATTTGTTGAAACCATTGTGGGAATGATTGAGGAAATCCTTGAACACCTTGTTGTTGAATGTTTCCTGATGAAGAAGCACCAGCAACTTGAGGTGTTGGTTGTATACCACTTGGCGTGGTACTTGCATGGAATAGTGAAGGAATTGTCATTCTTGGCTTTTTTAGTAACAAATCTAATTTTTGGTTCCTCTTCTTCTTCAACATTTTCATTGTCTTCTTCATCAAGTTCTTCTCTACGATGAGATTTCTTCTCATGGTGTTCTTCGGTGGATTGAACAGATTCGTGATGAGATCTTTCAGTTTGATGAGCTTCATGAGGAGAATCAATCCCTTCAGAACTAGAGCTAACTATAGGTCTATTGCTATGGTGACCTTGATCAGTACTCTTACTGGCGGTTGGTTTACTACTGTGTGATGGATCCATGTTGGTGGTATGTAATGATAGACACAAACTAAACAATTTTTTGAGCAATGTTTTGATCAATATTATTACTAAAATAGTTTTTTACAAACTTAAACACGTTCGTGTTACAGTCTAAATTAACGAAGCGATGATATTCATCCACCCTTTGAATATATTGCAGCAATTCAATTCTCGATCAAAGCCGCGCCACCTCAGACATCCTCAGCAAGGAAAAATCTCTTTGAATTCAAAGGCGAATGCAGTTTGGCCTTCTTCTTCGTTTGGCGAATATTTCAAAGAAAGAATTTTTCCAAACAGATCAATCTCTCTAAAAGAATATGTGATCAAACGGCTTATATTTCAACGATTATCCATGATCGATGCGAAATCAAAGAATACTGTAGTTGTTGAACATGATTCTGTCAGAGATTGCCGTAAAAACAGCTCCTGGTTTTGTTTGGTGGTCAGTTCCTTTTTTCCGTTACAACTTTCATCACCCCTTCCGAATGCAATTTTCACGGATGTGAACTTGAACCGCCGCGAGTGTGTCTTGACAAAAAAACAATCATAACCAACCACTCTCACAGGTAAAAAATCAGATCACCCTCTCTTGTCAGAGTTTTCAAGAGAGAACACCACAACGGCTACTACATTCCGTTCAGATCTGCTTCTTGTTGAGAACTCTTGACAATTGACATTTTTCTTCTCTCTCGATTTTCGATATCCAATCACCACAAATAACCATCCAACTCGAGCTCTCAAGAAATTAGTGGTTGATGACCACAAAAAATCGTCCTGATTAAGAATACGCGTCCCCGATTGTTAGCCTCTTCCTCTTCTGTTTTTCACCATTATCAAAAAATATGAGTCATCATCAACAGAACCAGCAACCATCGTCGTCATCCTCGCCTTCGATGATGATGGAGATGGGTTCTTCTCAAAACAATAACCAACAACACCACCAACAACCACATGAAATTCCCTATTTACCTTTCAAACCACAACAACAATATGAAAATAATACTGCTCATAGTAGCAGCTCCGGTGCCCTTACATCACCTCCTCCTCTCATTGTATCACCTTCATTGATTCGGGTTCCATCGATGGAGAATGATTCCTCTCAAACCATTATCGTTGATTCTAATCATCAAAAAGAGAATGTAGTGGTGGTGTCTATGAATGGTTCTCCTCATCAACAAGCTTTGAATCATACTTCCTCCATCATTGACAATAATGATCAAATGAACAATTCCTCCGATGCTGCACAAACACCATCACCTCCCTCCTCTCAACAAGGAGAGGAACGTAAAGATCTTGCTGCTGCTGATGAAGATGAAAAGTATAAACTTCATATCAATGATTGGGATGCCAATAGCAAGGAAACCAAGAAATGGTATTTGGGAATTAAGAGACCACGATTTCCATCGAATTATATCAGTACGACCAAGGTAGGTAATTTTTGTGTTTTTAGTGAGCGATTGACTTTTTTCATGACTATTCACTGCTGCCTTGTCAAATGAACAAAATTCGACCATCTTGATGTTACACATACTCGCATTCCACTTCAAATATACATGACCTTCTGATATATACAACACTGATTTTCTGCCTCTCTCTCTTTCCTTGTATGGATGATACACTTGTGTCTTTGTTCACTATTAAAATCCACCAAATGACATTTAAATAGTACACTTGGTGGAACTTTTTAATTCTCAATCCATTGCTTCAAATGAAAAAAATTGGTAACATTTACTTTATCATTGTCATGATATTTGCATTAGTTCCAGGTGTCAGTCCAACCAATCCAGTCACAAGTGTTCTCCCAGTGATATTTATTTTAGGTGTGAACATGGTCCGAGAAGGTGGTGAAGATTTTCTGCGTTATTTGAGTGATCGGAAAGTGAACAAAATGAGCGCGTACGTACTGAAAGAGAATGAATTCCAGAGAGTCGATACTTGTGATGTTCGTGTGGGAGATATTGTCAAAGTCTCTGAAGATTATTCATTTCCAGCCGATATATTATTAATTACATCCAATTTAGAAGATGGAAGTTGTAATATTGAAACTGCAAATTTGGATGGTGAAACTAATTTGAAAACAAGAAATTGTCCGAAAGGTCTACACGCATTCAACACTCCAGAGAAACTCTCTTCCATGAAAGGAATCATTGATTGTCAACCTCCAAATGAAGAACTTTACAAATTCAAAGGTTCTATCAAAGTGGAAGGAATGGGTCCAGAAATTCCACTCTCTCATGCAAATCTATTGTTAAAAGGTTCTATTTTGAGATCTACTCAATACATTTATGGAATTGTCATTTACACTGGTCCCGACACCAAGATTATGAAGAACATGCAAAAGGCTAAAGTGAAGTTCAGTTTTGTGAACAAGATGTTGAACTACTTTATTGGAGCTTTATTCGTTTTGCAAATTATTTTCTGTTTGATTTTTGTTGGATTGGGTGGTTATGAAGAATTTGTAAATGCTTGCCGTTATGCCTACACTGGAAAGTCAAAAATTGAAACGACGGATGCTGGTTATGTGGTTCTCTCCATTTTGACCTATTTCATTTTGTTGAACTTGTTAATTCCAGTCTCATTGTTTGTATCTTTGGAATTTGTGAAAATGATTCAAGCATGGTTCATTACCATGGACAATCAAATGGCCATCTATGATACACATCCACATGATCCTGATAAGAAGGTATTTATGAATTCAGTCTCCATTTCAAGTGATTTGAATGCAGATTTATCACAAATTGATATCATCTTTTCGGATAAGACTGGAACACTCACTGAAAATTCAATGGTATTCAATAAGTGTTGTATTGGAAATGATTATATTCATGATGATTATCAAACCAAGGGTCATATTGGACGAGTATTGAATCAATTGAAAGATTATCACTTGATGAAGAAACATGGAGTCCAATGGGTTACAATGAATGAACATGGTGAGAGTTTGAACAACATGATCTTTCAATTACCACAACCTGAAATTGATTCTATCATTTCCAATCGAAAATTATCCATCTCTTCAGAGAATGAATTCTTTTTAGGAATGAACACATTACTACTCCTTTCCTTGTGTCATAATGTGGCTGTACGTGAGAAACCATTGCATGGCTCAGATCCATCCAGTACTACTACTACTAGCACTGCAACAAGAAAATTCTTTGAAGGTGAAAGTGTGGATGAAGTGGCATTGGTATTGGGTGCTGTGAATAATGATTTTGTACTCAAATCCTTCTCTGAGAAGAGAACCGTAGTTTCTATTTTTGGAAAAGACTACACGTTTGAGAGATTGTGTGAAATTCCATTCACTCCTGATCGTAAACGAATGTCCACCTTCTTCAAAATTCCACAAGACTTTTTGAATGATTTTCCAGTATTTAAAAAGATTGCTCAACAACAACACCATCTCTCAGATTCAGATATCAATCATCCTGAGGGAATGATTGTTTGTTATACCAAAGGTGCTGATAGTTTTCTATTTCCATTCATTGATCCATCCAATTCTAAACTCTTAAAACCAAAATTAGATGAACATATTTTAGATTTTGCAAAGGATGGACTTCGAACCTTACTTTTGGCCTATAAATTTATTGGACATGATGAATTTAATGAATGGATTACTCGATACAATGCTGCTAAATCACTCTTAACAAAAACAAGAGATCAAGCCATTGAACAAGCTGAAAAAGAAATTGAAAAGAATCTTTTAATTACAGGTGCCTCAGGTATTGAAGATAAGCTTCAACCAAAAGTTCCAGAAACCATTCGATTTTTTCTTACAAGCTGGATTACAATTATGGTTATTAACAGGAGATAAGAGAGAGACTGCTGTCAATATTGCCACCATGTCTAACTTTTTAGATGAAGATTCACAAATCTTTACTTTGGATGGAGATCCAGAGTCAAGAATTCCAGATTCCGATCGTTATACCAAAGTTGTGAATGATCAAGTGTGTGCAAAGGGAATTGAAACTTATTTAAATTCCATTTCCAAATTAGATTCATTCCAATCCAAACAGGTGGCTTTGGTGATTGATGGTCATGCATTCACTCATTGTATGGAACCACTCTCTCAGAAATTCTTTATCAAACTCATTAAGAAGTGTAAAACTGTCATTTGTTGTCGAGCAACTCCAAAACAAAAGTCCATGCTCGTAGATTTGGCAAAGAAGAAATTAGGAAAGAATGGTTTAGCGATTGGTGATGGTGCAAACGATGGTAAGTCTAATAATGGTCGACTCGATGACGAGACTCATGTCATTCAAATTCGATTTTATTTATTTTTTTAAAAATATTTTTTTTATTCGCGAATGAATCTCATGTGACTCATCATTTGACCTTTCAATTTGAACAATTTTCAACAAACTCTTCATTACTACTACTACCACTATAACTACTACTACTACTACTAC